GGTGCTACTGATTGAGGAAGACACCTGTGGCTTTTGATATTGGATGAATTTGATGACGAGGCAATCGTTGAGCTGCAGCTCCAGACTCGAAAGTTAGATACGGAAGCCAAAGAAATTCCTAACACCTCTAATCGACCCATTGTTGACATTAGATACAAGACTCAACACCATTATGTAGTCAATGGTCAACATGACCGACAGATATCCTGCTGATGAGTAGGGTCAGATCCTGCTTATTTTGGCTCAAAATTGTGGCCGTTGGGTGATGTTCACTTCATTTCACCCTTCAGTCTCTCACCCTAGCGAATTCTCCAGACAATCCGAGTATCTGCAGCTTCTGCTAAGAAAGAAGTAAAATTCCTTTCTCTTCTGTCTTTTCCAAGCTCATACTCGAACAAAACCGAATAGCTCCACCGGTTAATCAGGAAGTGTTCAGCGAAGCCCTTGTTGCTCCTCAGGCTGAGAACGGAAACTGGCCAACTGAAAAGGAAGAAGCAAGAAGAGCAAATAGCTTGAGGGAAAGCCCCTTCTAGAAGCAAAAACTTTCGCGAAGAGCGGAGCTTCATAAATGCGTCCTCCAATAGGTGTCTTCTAGGAGGTCAAACCTCTGGAGAAGAGCTATCAATTACCAAGCGATGTATTGTCTTACAAATTCCGCGCGCAGAGGACATCATGACTAATTTCAGAGCTACATAGACTCAATTAAGTCTCTAAATATATACATTTTCATGCTTGTTAAGTTCGTCTAAATTTAGTAGTACTGGTTTTTCGCAAATGAAGTCGAAGACGGAACTTTTCATATGCTAGCGAAATCCAGAGTGATTCAAGTTTAGAGCTTTCCAAATACTAAGGTTGTAGTAAAACATGGAACAGTTCAAAGTAGCCCGAAGCTGCATCTTCATTCTCTCAGTGGTCATGTCGCTAATTAATTGGTTAAAAGTGGTAACTTATGAATTCTCTCCACACCAGAAACTAGATACTTGAAGTACTAACATAACAATCTTTACAGTCTATAGAAAGTGGGTTTGCTACTAATCAACTTCAAGTATTCTTTAGAGATGAATATCCGGAAATAGGTACGCTACAGATGAGACGATTAAGTAACACATATTTAGAAAACACAGAAGCATATAAATGCCCTCTAAACAAGCTATTCTGAGCTTACTAGCCAGAGTGATTGAATTCAAATTCTAAAAGAAGAGAATTGTGAGTGTTAAACCTTCTTGATTTGCTAAGTCTGTTATACTAAGGACTGAAAGGTTGATGAGCTGCAAAGGTGATGAGCTATACAAGGTCCTGAGGAGCCACACGCGAAATGCACTGTGAAAGGCACAGCTAGAGGTAAAAGAAAAAAAATGTGACCAGAAGCGTAAAAGAGATATAGATCTGCCAGAACTGGCAGCTAAAGTTGTTCGGCTTATTTTAGCGGTGTATGTATGAGTTTTCTCAGTTAACCCTAGTAGTACAAACTGAATAAGACTACCAAACAGGGCGATATCTGTACAATACACGTAATTAGAATAACATGTTAAACGGGAGATAGATAGATCAAACATAAGTTACGCATTTTACTTGAAATGCAGTGCTTTATGGAGCGGTTTCCGTGTCCGGACCAGTAACTCCGGAATCCGGCTCTTCACCCGATGCCAACACTGGTCCTTTTACAATTTGGCAGAAACTGATTTCGAAGCTAGTCAAGGGGTTACGATTGAATTAAGCCTAAACAGCAAATGATATAGAGTTTCAAATGTGAGCAAGCTGTCAGAGAGCAAGGATACAAGAGTGGTGTCGCCGCTGGCTTGTCTGGTGCATAAAGGCGAGAGCCCCGAACGGTTTGAGCCAGATGAGCCAGACGAGAATCTGTTACAAAGAATAACTTCGAGGATCTGCTCTGTAATTAAGACACTTTTTACAATAATGTTGAACTTTGTCTTCGTATCTTCGATTGGAGCAGCAGCAGCAGTTCTGATCTATAGCACACTTAATCTCCTAAATGTTGGCAGAAGACCAAAGGACATCCCTCCAGGCCCTCCAACACTACCGATTTTGGGGAACTTACATCAGGTGATACTTCCTAGCTATAATGAAAACAATATTTCACTGATGAAATGTAGATGCCAAAACATAAAGCCCATCTCCAGTTCCAGAAATGGGCTCAAGAATACGGGTATGATTTCGGACATTCAAGTAGAATTCGCTGACATTAACAAGTCCCGTCTATTCTTTGATCCTAGGAACCAAGACATACATAGTACTTTCATCAGATCATGCAGTAAAAGACCTACTTGACAAAAGAAGCGCAATTTACTCATCGCGCCCCGAGATGTATATTGGTCAGAACATTGCTAGCGGAGGTCACAGATTTGTTGTGATGGTGTGTCATCCCTTGAAATAGATTGAAAAAAGTGCTAAATAGTATTAGCAATACGGTCCATTCTGGAGATTTATCCATAAAATGATGCATAACACCCTAAACATTCGAACTGCCGTAGCCTACGTCCCCTACCAGGACTTGGAAAACAAGGAGATGTTGCTAGGATTCCTCAACGACCCGAAAGACTTCGTTGGACATATTCGTAGATTCAGCAGCTCTTTGACAACCCAGATGGTTTTCGGATTTCGGACAACAAGCCGACAAGATCCACGAATGCTACAGTTCTTCAAGGTTAATGGCATTAATCCCTCTGAAAAAATTGATTCTGACTGCCTTCTAGGGTTTCGAAGCCTGGGGTGAGGTTGTCGGGAGTGCCAGTAACCAACTGCTTGATCTCTATCCGATCTTGCGGAAGCTTCCGGATTTCTTAGCGCCAAATGTTAAACATGCTAAGGAGTTGTACAAGGCGGAGAGGGAGCTCTATGTTGGTCACTGGATGAATGCAAAGAAACGAATTCAAAATGAAACTTGTCAGGTAGTTTCACCGCAGCACTGATGATCAAAGGCTAATGTTCAAAGCCATGCTTCTCCGTTGACGTATTCCTCGCACAGAAAGCGGAGGGTTTCAGTGATGATGCTGCTGGCTACATTACCGGCTCACTGCTAGAAGCAGGATCAGATACCACGTCTGGAATTCTCACTGGTTTCATCCAAGCAATGATTGTCTTTCCAGAAGTTTTGAAGAAAGCTCAAGAGGAAGTTGATAGAGTCATTGGACATGACAGAATGCCTAACATGGATGACATGCCGAACTTACCATATATTCGGGCCTGTGTGAAGGAAAGCTTGAGATGGATGCCGATAGTAATTCTTGGAGTACCCCACGCTGTTTTAAAAGAAGACTTCTACATGGGGTATCGTATTCCAGAGGGGGCCACCATAATCAATAACGTTTGGTGGGTGGTTCGCTCAACGATTTTCTACACATCAGCTAACATAAGACTAGGACGATTAATATGGATCCAAAGAGGAATCCAAATCCGCGCGTTTTCGATCCATCCAGATTCGAAAACGACAATCAGTCCGAATTCGAGTCTGCCACAAACCCGGATCCAACTCAACGACAGAACTGGGTTTTTGGCGCCGGCCGAAGACTATGTCAAGGGATGCACATCGCTGAGCGGTCTTTATTTCTTGCAATTTCCAGACTGGTATGGGCCTTCAATTTTGAAAAGACGAGAGATGCAAATGGTCGACCAATCACTCCGGATACTGAAGACCTTGTAGGTGGGCTCACAGTCCTGCCTGCTGATTTCGAAGCCGTCATCACACCCCGGAGCGAGAAGACGGCGAAAATGGTCAGAGACGCGTGGAAGCATTGTGAAGATGAACTTCTAGATCCGCAGACGAAGCAGTGGATAACTTCAAAATTACCGGAGGGTATGAAGTTTAGCACTTTTGTACCCGACAAAGCAATTGAGACTTTCTAATCAGCTCAAAAAAAGAGCACATTGGCGCTTTGTTCGTAGGAGAATAAGCTAAAGTTGTAGCTTTTTACTCTGCCGATTTTTAGGTTTCTTGCGATTGTTTTGGCGTTTCTGCGTGCAATCTTCAGCGAGTCCTTCTCAATAGCACTGCAACGATTTGTCATAAAGAAACTATAACTTGATCTTTATCATATGAATTTTTTTTTTTCAACATTCCAAGTAACGTTAGTAGCCCAAATCAGCACGTAAAAGCACCCGGAACACGATTCCGGAATTGCGGAGCTTAATATGTACATCCAGCCGGACTGTGTAAAGGATGACGAGGAACTGATCCGAGTCGGAGCAAGTAGCTGATATTAGGAATGATAAATATTCCGCTGAAATATTAGAATAGCATGATTTGTGTGGTCGCTTCTCCTAAGGATTTAAGTAAAACCAGTCAGATGTTCGTCACAGCGACCATACCACAATGAGTTCCTCCACCCATTGGCCCCATTTCTTGCCCGACGCGGTCAAGAATCTGATTTTAAGATTCTTCGCGACCGTAGATGATCCTACGCCAAATGCTGGTAATGTTTTGGCAGACGAGATTTTCGTCCCTGAGGGAAACGCATACTTCGGAGGGAAAATGTTCCATGGCTCTGAAGGTCAACCAAGTCTGCTAGTCTAGAGCTCAACCTAGGTACTAAATTAAGATAGGGATACGGAAGTCTCGTGATGGAGCCTGGAACGCGGTTACTTTCCGTCGTCATGATCTTTTGCGCGTGTTTGCGGCAAGCGAGGCCTGTGACGATTTGATGTTTCTTGGGAGAGTTAGAATGGCATTCAAAAACGAAAACGATTTAGATATGGAATTCACTGGTCGATTCAAAGTTACTGATGTAAAGACTGACAACCCCAAATTGATTCTTTATCAAGTTTGGGCGGTAAGTATATTAGTGTTACCAGTTCAGTTGTCAGATGCCTAATCGACACAGGATAGCGCTCCTATGGCGGCTGCGATGCAAGGTACAAGAAAACTAAAAAAAGATGAATTGATTTAAGACGGTGATTCTGAAAGAATTTCTTGGTTCATTTTGCCTACAGAAGAGATGATATCACCCATCTCAACTAGCTATGAGATTTGGTAATACAACAATTTATTGCTGAAACTCGCTCATATATTCCATTTCATATTTATTCACCTGGGTCCTCATCTCGACGGTCGATGTGAATGCTTGAGTTGGGACTTTAGTTGTGATTGTCTTGTCAACATTCTGTTCGCAAACGGTTGGCTTGAGACCAATTACGGTTCGCAGAATGTTTTCCGCTGCATCCAGGCTATCCACAGAGCTTGCTCTCCATGCAACATGCTCATCTGGCCTAACAAGAACTATGTCTTGCTCCCAAAGCCATCGGGCGTGGCTTTCTCCCTTGAGATCAACATGCTTAATCGGCATGGACAACAACTTTGCGGCATTCAAGATGCGCTGGATACTTGATTGATCTTCAGCAAACGTGACAAGAGACCAGTCCTTTCCAAAATGATCGAACAGAAGCGAACCGTCGGAGAGAAAAATACTCGGTGGTCGGATCCCTGGATATGTCGACGGTGTATAGGATCTGGCTTGCCATTCCGGTTTTTCGACATCTTCTTCCTGTCTTAAAATGACATTAGACTCGTAGATATACCCCATTTCTAGGCCAAAGCTTTTGTTCTCTCCATCATTCATCTGATAGTAATCATGAATCTTCTCTACCACGTCGTTGTCTAGTCGAGTCGGCGTGTCAGATCGTTGATGCCCCCCGCCCTGTAGAAACTGTTCAACATTCTGATGAACAGACATGTGACGACCGGAAAACTCAACATTACGCAGTGCAACCGGTCGTCTCTCTGTCTCATAGGATGCAAGAAGGCCTTTGCCTGCGTAGTTAATCACTGCAGCCAACTTCCAACCTAGATCGTACGCATCGCCAATGCCCATGTTCATGCCGTAACCACCAGTCGGGATATTTTGATGTGCAGCATCACCCGCAATGAAGACACGCCCTTTAGATCCTGCCCACGTTCGAGCGACAGCGATACTAGGACGCCATACCGAGCGAACCAGAATTTCGTCAATCTTGACATGGTATGGGCCGGTCATACCTCCAAGCACTCTAGCAACAGCCTCCTCGGAGCTAATGGAGTCCATGTCAGTCCCAACAGGAAGAAATAAGTGGACAGTCCATGTATCTATTTCATTTTGCGCGATGATGGCTCCACCAAAGGCACCTGGTGGAAGGATAAAGAAGATATGCCAGAACTGGCCTTGCTTGTGGAGCCGGGTCAAATCCCTTGACTTAAAATGGACGAGCAGCGCGCATGTCGGCCTATAAAAACTTAATCAATCGGCTTTTTAGAGAGGTCTACACCCTCAGGATGAAAGCGCTTACGCTGGACCGCCGTCCAAAGGAAGGCTTAGTGATTTTCGAACCACGCTTGAGGCTCCGTCACACCCCACCAGATATTCAGAAATAAACTCCGCAGTCAGCCCTGTCTTCATATTTGTCGCAATAGTTTTGACCTGTTCATCTTCTTCTTCAACATTCTCTACCTTCCACCCAAACCGCACTTCCACCTTGGGATCCTGTTCACACTGCTTCTTCAGCCATGCTTCGAATTGAACTTGTGATATCCTCTGCCAAGCTTCGCAAGGTTGGGTACCGTCATTTTGAGTTTTGATCCGGGTTCTAAACTCATCGACGCTTGGGAGTAGCCATTTCGTGATAGGCTCGTCTGCATTCAACCCTGTCGAGATCAACACATTGGATGAAATGTGAGGTGCGACCCCTAGCTGTCGTAACGCCTCAGCAAGACCCAGTCTTCTGAATATCTCCATTGAACGGGCGTTTGTCAAATCCATCTTTGGCCATCTTGTTGTCGCTTCGTTTCTCTCGAAGAGTAGTGATCTGATTCCATAATGTGACAAAACAGTTGCAAGCAACAACCCGACAGGTCCGCCGCCTGCAATAACGACAGTACCGGCGGGGAGTCTTTCATGGCTAGTGGGGGTTTTATTCGTCATCGCGTTTGAGAGTGCGATCTGCTGAGGGTCCGATACTGATTTTTGAGCGCAGAACAATCTATTTACCCAGTCAAAAGTCGCCTTCCGACACATCAGCGGTTGCATACGAGGAAATTTATTTCCCTGTATAGTGAGCTAAAAGCATCCGATGCTATGAGATCCATTTCTTGTTGGAACTTTTGGACTGTTCCGGCGCAGCATTCCGGAATACCGGAGCCGTACCGCAAGCTTGTTCCGGGGCAGTAAGCGTGGAAAAAGAGGCGTAAGAGCTTTTTTGTCCGTCCAACTCTCTTTAGAAGCACTTGAGTTTCAGCATTATTTCATTTCCATACTAGATACAATTATGGTGACCTTTGGCTATTTGCTCCGTTTTAAAAATGCTTCCAATGAGACCTTTTATGGCGAAGTACCGGAAGAAATTGTCACAAAAGGATCATATATTGGGTCCACAATACCCGTATATAGCCAAAATGCGCCTTGGGACTTGGAATTCCGTCTGCTAGACCGGAAAGAGACAATATTTGAAGTATGAAGCTTGTTGGACTGCAATGCAAAACCCCGAAGTCCGGTCTCACTATGTTTAATGCAATTCACACAGGTCTTGTCCCCTCTTCCAGCCGTACCAATTTTCATAGGCGTTGGTTTGAATTACAAGCAACATGCAAAGGAAGCTAAAGCAAGTTTGCTGCCACTAGTCGTAATAAGAGTTCATCATGCTAACTCAACATGCTCCCAGATGAGGATTACGCAATATCCCGTGATATTTAACAAACCTGCAGGTTAGTTAACATTTAGAGAGATTTGTGTACTAAAGCTTATTGTAGCCTCAAGATGCACTTGCTGGCCCATTTGAAGACATTCCAATCAACCCTCAGTGTCATGCTATGGACTACGAGGTGAGCGCAGGGCCATCTTCATAGTCGATATTGCTGATTGATTATAGGCTGAGTTGTGCTTTGTAATTGGAAAAGACTGCAAGAATGTAGGTGATGATGAAAATGCGATGCAGTATGTCTTGGGCTACACGGCCGGAAACGATGTCTCATCGCGATACTGGCAAATGCCTGAGCGCTCGGGTAACCAGCACGGGATAGCAAAATCTTTCGATAAATTTGCGCCAATTGGACCTGTTATTGCTTCTCCGGGCGTCATTCACGACCCTCACAATCTCTCGATTAAGTCAGTTGTGAATGGCGAAATCAGGCAGTCTGCACGGACCGATGACTTGATATATGACATCCCGACTATCATCAGACATGTTAGCAGAGGTACGACTCTGCGTAAAGGGACAGTCGTCATGACTGGCACACCAAGTGGAGTTGCTGCATTCATGGATCCACCAGCGTGGCTTCAGGATGGGGATATCGTCGAAGTCGAAATCGAAAAGATAGGCAAAATTAAGAATAAGATTGTTTTCGAAAAGTTATAGCTAGGGCAAATTACATTTCATCAGTTGTGTTTCTTTGCAGTACTATCATTTGGTTCTTCATATCATGTGAACCGGAAGGCCTCGTGGACCGATTTCAGGGCGAATCATCAAAGTTCTCTCGCTTTCTCCCTTCTTGAGACGCTCGATAAAATCCTCTGGGTCGAAATCAACGCCGATTGGGTTCTCTGCGAACGCTTTTGACTTCATGAAGTCCGTAGCCTCGCTGGGATTGTCGAAATTATCTACCTGGGTCTCAATCTGATTGCCATCGGGATCTTCATAGTAGATTGACGTTGTCGGACCATGATTAACAGGCCAGAGTGGCTGAATACCCTTTTGCTTTCGCTGTCTGTATGACAGTAACAGGTCTGACAAAGAATCGAAGGTAAAAGCGATGTGTTCCAAGCCACAGCTGGATCGAATTTTGTCTTGCGTGTCAGGAAGGCCGACGATAGCAATACGATGGTGTTCGTCGTCATATGAAATGAACGCAATGAATTCGTTCTCATAGATTATGTTCGCGCCAAGGAAAGTTTTGTAATATTCCACCATCGCTTTGAAATTGTTCGTCCGAAGAACGACGTGGGCCAATTTTGATGGCGATTTCACAGTTGTTGCCGGAGCATCGAAGTCGACATTCATGATGAGTCTTTGTGATAAAAGGTCTCTCGTACTAGCCGCAGGCACGACACTGATATGCGAAAGGTTGTAGAAGTCCACCACAGTTTATCTGTTCTGGGTGGCAGGTACATAGTCTCACCGCGGGCTCATGGCTCGGAATCGTTGCGAAAGCTGCAGCTACTCCTCTATTTCCCCGGAGTTACGATGAAGCTGGAAGATGATCGGAATGCTCAAAGATCAACCTTCTCACACCTCAGCTCCGGCCAATCGGAACTGGCGTGTTGGTTTCCGAACTGATTGGGAAAAGACTCGGAGCTTGTAGGATGCTCCCGGAGCCGGTTAAGGACCTTGCTCTGCCGTCACGATGCTGCGCAAGTCAAGAAGCAAGGCTTTGCTGATAAAACAGGTACAGCACCCCGTAGTGATCTAGTGTCGGGAGACCAATTCGGAAGTCCGTTATATATAACCGCGTGGATGAAGACGTGAAACTGTGGGGTAATATGGGGAAAGCATGACTGCGGGGTATTTGTTTCTTGGAGTAACAACCAGGACTAAATTTCTGAATCCAAAGCGAAGCACACCTACTTAACAAACCATTAACAATGGCTTGTCTGATCACTGAAATGCCTATGCGTGCTTGTGGCTAGTAACGGAGATGTCTCGAATCTTGAAAATGCAAGGTGTTTCATCTGCGGTTGATCGTCCTTTTCTCACGACGAGGCTCAAAGAGCGCCGAACGAAAGCCAAGATAGCATGCACATTTTGCCGGATTAAGAAGATCAAATGTGTGTTCGTGTGCTCAGCCGATATAGCTTTGAGATGATCTAACATAATTTCAGGCGAAGGGGGTAGACCTTGTCCCAATTGCGTGGTATGCTTCCTGGACCTGCAGACTGGATTTACGTTGACGGGTTTGGGGGTTAGGATCATAAGGCAGAGTGCATCTATCCAGCTGCGCAACGTCAGAGAATTCGAGTGCCTGAGCAAGAAATTTCTTCGCTGAGAGACAGACTTTCGCGTGTTGAGACTCTGCTTTCTGCTTCCAATGTTGCGTTCTCAAGGACTCAAGCTTCATCAGCGCTTACGGCATCGCACAATGAATATTCTATACCGCCCTCTCCTTCGTTACTTCAGATTCCTGATGGCGATTTCGCTTCAGCAACACCGCTTGCCAATATTCGGACTTTGCCTTCAACTCCAGTACACACGCGCAGTCAGCAACCACCTTCGTCTTCTACTTCGTCGAGAAGCACTCTCCCTACTTATTCGTCAGAAGCTCTGACGCAGCTAGGCAGATCAGAAGACGATGACGATGGCAGCAGCTTTATGCCACCAGAAGAAGAAGTGAGTTCATAGTTTATATGAGTATATGAAAACTAAGTACTTGTAGCTTACTTTTGAATACCATGGTACGAGTGCCGTTCCACATTGCCAACTTCACTTCACCTCTGACAGTGAAATTCAGGGCCTGGATCGTTCCTCTCCATATGCTCGAAGTCTGGAGTGGAATGGGTGCAGGGTAGAACAGGAGACAAAAATTTTGCAAAGCTTGCACGATTGATCGCTCACAACGTAGCCCAGCGATTAAAACTTGTAAAGGCGGTAACCTCTGGAAGAGAGCCGGAGCCAAGTCCCGATTTGTCGTGGAAGTACGTGCGAGCCTTCTTCGATGAAACACCTGAATCTACTCTAGGGATTATCTGCCGAAATTCGTTCGAATCAAGACTACATTCCCATCTCCAGCAAACTTCGCAAATGTCGTCCCCAGAGAGTGACGCGGCCTGGTATGCTCTTCGGTTCGCCGTATTTGCCATCGGTTGTCGAGCAACTCTAGCAAAGGACAGTGCATTAGGATTCCGCGCTGCGCATGAACAAAGTTGGAAGTACTTCCAGAATGCGCTATCTATGTATACGGAGCTTCATTTTTCGAGAACCGGACTTATGGCTGTTCAGGCACTTACGATTATGGTACTGGAACTTATTCCCAGGATAGCGAAGACGAACTGACCTGAAGCAGAGTCTTTACGCGGAAGGTATTGAGTCTCCAGCGCTTGACTACATGCTAGTTTCGAGCGCGTTGAAATTGGCTGAAGCTAAAGGTCTCCATCGACAGCCAGCCACAGCATGGAAATTGAGCGACAAAGCAATACAGATCAGAAGTTCCATTTGGTGGTTTCTATACACGTTTGACAGGCACATTGCATTTCGCTCAGGGAGACCGCTGGTAATTACACCACTATGATCGGCTTCTAATTCCTGAAGTAACTTTATACAGAGTGTAGGTGACGAAAACATCAACTGCCAACTTCCGAAGCTTGAGCCTGGGGGTGAAAAATGTTTTGAAGTTTTTATATCCATGGCCACTCATGCCCAGATTTCGTCTCAGATCTCGACGACTATAACAAGACTGAGAAGCTCTAATCCGAATGTAAAAGAGGTTGTTAGCACCATTACACACCTTGATCAAAAGCTTCGGTTATGGCGGGCCCGGTTACCTCCGTACATTGACTTTGACCAACCGTTCAATGCAGATCGGCTACCACCTTCTGTATATCCGCTTCATTTCTTCTATTTGTTTTTTTCCTATTACGGCGCTCTGATGGCAATACATTCCATCATTGTTCAGCCCTGGAACGCTATTGCTGTTCAGCTCTGCCGCAACCAGAGTCAACTGACTCTGCTCAATCAACAGGTCCAAAAAAGCGATGAAATCCTTGTTTCGGCATCCAGAAAGATCATCGAGCAGCTCCCACATGTCAAAATTGAGCCTTCAACGCATAAGTGGTGAGAATTCTCATAGACTTGGCTCTGAGATATGTTGCCTCACGCTGATCCATCCAGGCTTGTCCTTACATTTCCGCTGAACGCTGTATTGAACCTTTTTGTCCACGTCCTACAACAACCTGCATTTCCTAGCATTGAATCGGATATCAATTTGATGTACGCTGCAGCCGGGCATTACAGCTATCTAGAATTTCTCTTGCCAGACCAAAGGTTTCCGTTTGTAAGGGAATTGGCCAATGTGGCTCGGAAGGCTGTATCAGAAGCAAGAGCGAACTCGAAGAGCAAGCTAAAGAGCACAAATAATTTGACGATCCCATCCTCGTCGTCCGTTTTCCAATCTTTCGGAGAGTCGTTCTTGACCGAGACTTTATTTTACGACGTAAGTGCAATATTTATGAGCATATCATGAGGTGCCTGTGCTAAGACTCGTATTTAGACATTTCAGTTAAGTGGCTCTAGCATGGATGATTTCAATGACGAAGACTGGGGTACTCTTCTTGTGAGAGATGACTGGAGCCACGAGTCACCGCTCAGCCTCGTTCCGTTAAGCGACACACCGATGTTCTAGCATTATGTGAACAAAAGCATGGCCAAAAGTTATCTTTTCTATGCGCACTTTTATAATTTAGCTATTTCTGTCCAAAATTGCGTCAGAGACTGGTCGAGAAACAACGCGGATGCTAGAACGTAATCAGCTTCCTGCCTTGAAGCACAGATGTTACCTGTCGCTGTACGTTCTCGAACCTTATGAAGGCACATGTCTCACTTTCCAGATGGTTAAATAATCCAGCGAGTGAAACAAACTCCTTCCCACACCTCAAGTTCGGGCAATGATACACCTTCTGCTGGTGCACAGGAGAATTAAGATGCGCATTTAGAGCACGATCAGTATGGAAGGTCCTATGGCACAGATAGCACTCCCAATAAGAACCATTAAATGCATACTTTGTAGCAGTGTAGTTGACGTGTTCGTCCTGATGCCATTCAATTTCCTTCATGGTAATGACACCGTGCGGATCACGCTCGCGAATCATACGCAATATAGAATCTCGATTCAGGTTAGGAGCATGCGTGCATGACCCTGTCTCGAGGTGGTGAGAGAGGCCACTAGCAGTTGCGTACTTTTTCTGGCAGAATGGGCAAGCAACCTGTCTGCCTCGGTGAATGCTTGAGTTGAGGTGCTGTCCTCAGTTCTCTTAGTATCGTATATGCATAAGCCCTGGGAATCTCACCATTTTCAAGTTATTTTCGTTGCTGAAATGTCTTTTACAATCTTGACAATAAGCCTCGTAGTGGCCAAGCTGCTCCATGTGCTGATTCGCTGCGGTCTGGGTATGGAACTTCATTTCGCATGTTTCGCAAGGAATCTTCGGAGCCCAATGTCCTAAGTCATTCATATGCTGATTCGCTGCGTTCTGGGTATAGAACATTTTACTACACATTTCACAGGGAACCTTCGGAGTCCAATGTCCAAGAGCCGTCATGTGCTGGTTGGCCGCCATCTGCGTGCTGAACTGCTTATTGCAAGTCTCGCAATCGAAGGTCGGAGCCCAATGATCCAGGTCGTTCATGTGTTGATAGCAAGCGCGTTGGGTACGGAAAGTACGAGTGCAGGTTTCGCACTCGGGCCAGTGGCCATAGTCATCCATGTGCTGTTCGCAACTGCTCTCCCAGTTGAACGTGGCTGGACAGGTTTCGCACTTGTATTCGTACATCTTGCACAACAAGTCTAAGGAACAGAGTTGAGTACAGCAAAGACTGAGGAGGTATGGTGGATGTAAAGGGTCGAAGTGCGGTGACTTGAAACGCGTGGAGGGTGCGCGTCGATGTGACCGAAGAATCTATGACGGTTGATTGGATCGATTGTCTGGAGCTGGCTGCTAGGTGGTCGCTCCTTCCACTCCCACGACTTGTAGGAGGATCGCCTGTCCAGCCATCTCCGATCAAATTAGGCAACATGCTAGCCTTATTAGGATACAACCTCCTCTGACAGTCTGGCGTCGCCTGTCCAAGCTGAAGAGCAAAACGTGACTGGGCGTTGCACCAAGATAACTTGTACGTGCTGACAAGGCCACCTCCATAATTACCACAAGTGAAATGTGATCCAACCATCTCATTCTTTTGTTTCCTTCAGACCGGAAGCTGTTTAGTTCTAGGTTCTGGCCTTTGCACCGTCTGGAAATCACATGAGGATAGCATCAACGAATCCATCATACTCGGGGTTCTCGCTTGGTCAAGTTCTATGGTCGCCAGAAGCTATTCATACAAACATGTCAAAGCCTGCAGGTTGTTGCAACGGGATCAAACATTAGCCGCCAAACAAATCTCGACAAGACAGACTTCGGAATTCCTCTCAAAGACCCAATCAGACGAGATCCATCATCCGGGCGACAAAGTACTTTCTGACTGTTTTAGGCCAGCTTAAATCCGTTAGCAATTATATCCTCACTTCGATAAACATGAGCCTTAGTAGTGTTACGCGCATTATTGCAGAACATTGAGCGCTTATTTATAACCCGGGCATTCTTCGACCTGTTATCAGAATACGCCTCATAATTCATATTGCGTCCCGTTTCACTCATTTCTTTTCTATGTCAAGACTCTAGAAGCGCACGATGGCATTGGGGATTCCATGTGATTTGGTTGCCCCTAAAAATAAAGGAGATTTGCGCGAGGTTCGATCTTTGGAGGCTACTTTATTGACAAAAGCCGTTGAATCTAGGCCCGCGATCTTAGAACAAGTTGTTTAACGTATCTGACGACAAGGCAGAATTCTAATCACGTTGCAACAATCGAATTTGTTATTGAAATTTCACTTGTTCTTCTGCTCCGCAACTCCTAGGTTTGAGACACACCAGAGGATCGATCAGCATTCTCACAAAGCATCATCTCCTAAAGCTCGGCATCGGAGTAGACTGAGAAGCAATTTCATTCTATCCATGAGGTTCCTTCCTGGCGGTTAGCGTACAGACTTCTTTGCAATGCTGTCTTCAATTACTATGATCCTGAGGTATTCGGATCCAAGTAATCCTAGGTTGCTTTATATGAAGGCTTACATGTCCTAATTCCGCAGAACCGTTACACCTCTTATGTATCCGAGCAATCGAGTTCAACTTATGTCACTTGCCATGGAAATGCTCTTCTAGCTATCGTACAAGATGTCAAGTCCATGGAGGATGGAATAATAGCAGAACACATGGGTAGCAAAAAGCCTAAACGACGTTAGGTTGGTACTGATATGACGGATCGTACTCCATGTTGCGAGAGCTGTGGTATTGAGGCTCAGATGGTGCCATTAAGGTTTCTATGCCAGCCTGCATCCGTTAGGCGGTTGCATTATGAATGTAATGTGTGCCATAATCACCTGCCAATCTGCTGCTCTCTCTTCCCAGTTGTGTTGAGATATGAGATGACGCTTCAGGTTGTCCTTGCGAGCAAATGGTTTGGCGTTACAATTGTCGGATGGACAACAAAAGCGCTTTCTGTAAACTCCAGCCAAATCTTTCTCATGCTTTTTAGAGTTCTGATGCCGTCTTCTGTCTTTGTCGCTTGTGAATAGCTTCGAGCAACCAGGAAGTTGGCATGGGACATTCTTGTGGCGCAATCTGATGAGCTAAACATCAGCTTCGACCAAGAAGACAAAAAGAAACATACTTCTTAGTTGATCGAACGATTTGGATAGATGAATTTTGCTCTCCATTGATCATTTGGTCTTTACGAACGTGCGTGGGACTGGTCGTGTCCGTGGAACTGGGAGAAGACATTGGTTGAACGTCAACTATCACGTGATATTGGAATACTGGAACTCAGCCGCACGACTGCGAAAGCTAGATCCAAAGCGAAAGAGTAGTCTTCGCCGATAGAGCATATATACAGGAGCACCCTGCGTAATGGCGCCACCTTTCAATGAGCACTGAAAGACCGGTGTGCTGTAACCACCGCTGTCCTTACTGCAATATCCCTGCACTGTTGCGTCTTCGCCATCCAGAGTGCCTCGTCATGAGAGCAATTCAATAGCTCCAGCCACGAATCTCCTTAAAATGTAACCCTCTGTTTTAAAGTGTTCTTAAGGAGAAGAACGAAAGGTGGTAGTCAGTGAGCGGTCGCTCTATATTGCCTATTACCTTGGCAACGATTCTCGGATCTTTGAAAAGAATGGAGAGGACCCGCCGCCTCCTAGACTCAGAATGTCGTCGAAGCTTGTCCTATCGTTGGGCCAAGCTCGTGTTCGCAGAGCCTGCGGTGCCGTTTGAGTTTGCGAATTCAGGTTGATCGCAAGGCGAAGTCCTGAGTCAAGCCACGTACGCCCTTTGATGCGCAGTTGATGCGCAGTTGTGCTTTTTGACGTGGCTTCCGGACCGTCCAACTTCATAGCTTCATTTGCAGCAGGTTCAGCGGTGGCTGGCGGATTCGCAGAACCGTCAACGAAGCCTGCCCAGCATGAATTGCCCGCTGATCTGCGGAGCGAACGGAGCCAATCGACCACGTAGTATGGCCCCTTTAAGGGAGGTTTAACAATTGAAAATGATCGGTTTTAATACAGCAACGATGCGCTGGCAGCTGACTTGTGGTGCGCCTGCATGGATGTAGGCCCACTGAGGCCACTCGCGGCCGCAATCGGTCGGTGACGGAGCAACTCAGCCTCGCTCTTGAAGCAGCAACCGTGCTGGGCCAAATTCTTGTAAGTGATGAGGAAGGTTGCAGAGCTCATACTGTGAGAGGCGTTGTCGCGTTCCGACTTCGGCGTGCAGCTGAGAAGCTTAAGCTCGGGCGTGAGATAAGTCGAAGCAGCTGTCGAGAAGGCCTGATAAACCGGACAAATAGTGATAGGGAGATGGCAGCCACTAAGCTAACTTCGAAGTGAGAGATTACACCAAAGGATATTGAGAGACGATCTGCCTTTATATGTCTACTCCGACCTATAGGTTCTCGGGCGTCATTTGCGTCTTGCAGGAGTACACCCCAGGATGTTAATCACGCAATCGATGCGCTATCAATGTGCTGGAACGGATTTCCTCGGCTAAATAATGACTCGACACTTATCGAATGGCGCTCCGTCTTGATGCGTGATATTATCGACGGTGTGCGTCGTGCAACCGCTAGACATTGTGGATCTCGAGTTTGGGCAATTTCAAACCCTGAGGAGCCACGTAGGTTTAGATTGGCATATTCGGACATGTGATGGCTTAAGCATGCGTGTATCACACCGTAAGGCCAACTAGGTGCAATCCTCTAGTGCTGTTTGATTTTCGCATGTCTGCAGAGAAATAACCGAGAGTGCAGTTATTAAGATTGTATTGTATACACAAAGGGTTCTTTTGTAGATTGCCCAATATGGATCTGGACGGAGGCGGGAGGTCGAAGGCTGGTCTTTTGCCTTGATGTATGCGGGGTCTGCAATCGAGTAAATTGAAACTACTTATTATCAGAGAGTCTCGATATCTAATTCAATTACAGTCAGGTTACCTTATCCTCGCTTCGTGGATCGGCTGGTGTGGTAAATTCCAAAAACTGTGCTGCAGCAGAAAACCAAGAAAAGGGGTGAAGTAGGATAACTCTGCTACTGCGAAGTCCCTGTTGACTTATCTTAAGTTATTGAACAGCAAAAAAAAAGAATGAGGAGGACTAGAAATAGGAATGTTTGAAGAGATGAATTGAAGTCTACGAATGTAGTTCAATGTGCTAGCGAATCTTAAGTGCTATAAGCCACGGTTCCTTAAAAACGAATGCCGTTAGTGTGTGCCCCACACGAGCGTCAATCATGCCAACAACAAACATCATTTTGGGCCTTGAAGAAGCAGATCGATGCATCTTCGAGCATAGCCCTTGGGTATAGTTTCCTTATCAGGTCGTACTTACAGGTCCATCTTATCCGAACCAGGCCTTCGGTTCCTTTCTGGACATGTCATCAGTTCCGAGATCACGAATACAATATCGCCAAGACAATAACCATCATAGGTCTCTCTATTCATTGGAGTGCTTAGGATCGTCTCCATGGAAAACGATGGAAGCCATGGTTGTTGGTGCTTGAGACGGTTTCCCTGTTGAGATTGACAGCATGTCCGTACAAAATAGGACCAAAGACAAGCCACAGAGCTAGCATTCATGTATGTCTTAGCTGATCTGAATCCGTGTCTATGCTTGCTGAGCCTAAGTCGACTTCTTCTAATCATAGCCAACATTCCGATCCGCGTTGTGCTCCAAGTGCAACTCGCTGAAATGAGTACTGCAAACAAATGATGCAGCCCTCACGATTGATAGCTTCTAGCTGCACAAGGTTCTTGTCTTGGTGAAGTAGTGTCTCTGATTCGGACAGCTGCTCAGCAGCAGGGTATGCAGCCGTGACGTGGTCCTATAGCGGCAAGCGGAGGGTGACCCGACAACACCTTGAACTCTCGGCTTCCATCCTTTGGTTCATTGTCTTAGATTTCTTAGTGCAATTTGCATGATGGTTAATTCTTACTAAAGTTCGACACTAACTGACTCATATCAATCTTTTGTCTAAGACATAAGTTAGATTATTATCATGTACTCACACTCGTCCATGATTGCGTTATTAGATTTCTTTGGGCGCTTAAGACAATCTCCAGAACTTCTCGCATCTCAAGATAACAACTTTACAAAGAATAGAAGATGTAGAGGTAGAGCGTCTGCACGAGCAATGAAATACAGGAACGTAGTTAACTGAGGATTTTGTAAGTCAAATTTCGAATATCTTGACAATGTAACAGAAAAATCATGCAATACCAATTATCAGATATTTTGACGTACCTCAGAGTGTACGTGAAGTTCGGGGAGATGCTCCAGCGCTTAACTATTGATTGAAAAATCCCCTTCAAACGCAAGCTCCACAACGTCAGCAAGTATGCTTGACAATCTCTCTGCAACAAATACTTTGCGATTAAAGCCTCGTACTATACTTGCAATAAGTTCAACCACCTCTGCATCAGCTGGTCACAAGACTTACCGACCACTTGTTCCCGCTAAACTTATTTCCCGATTTACGCCTATCCCTATTAGTAGAATAACACCACAGAAAAAACATAATATAAGCATAGATATTCAATTGATTTGTTCTCCTGACATGAAACTTCAAGCATGCCTTACGTCCGTGTATCTTTGTGTAGGTCATGCATCATATAACTCCTGCTGAGGAAAAACTGTCCATTCGATGACTTGCCTCACATTTCGAACTCGCGCAAACCCACGCTCTTGTCCTTGAAACCTTTGACTTGATTTTGGTTCGGAAAAGGTTGAATAAGGACGAATGCTCGCTCTCTCGTTATACGACAGTTTACATAGATCTAGCAACGAATTCAAGTCTTTTTCGCTGCCTTTACTCTGAGCTCTTGTAGCTAAGCTCTCAGATCATCCTTCTTATCCATAGATGCATATTTAGTTGTCTGTCACCGAGAATGCCTGTAGTGGTCAACAGCTAGCGGTAAATATTTCAAGATATACTTGATTGCCTTTAAGTTCGTCATTTAAACGATCTGAACAACACGAAGAACGCCATAATACTTGGAAATAGATCAAACTATAAAATTGCGAAATTGGATGACTTGGACTCCTAAAAATGGTAATTAGTGATGATGGGTAATACACTTTCATACAACCTGGACTAGATTGGCTATTTGATTCAAGCTGTGGAGAATCAACGAACACACCACAGCAGTCATTTTTATTCTGGAGCAAAACTTTCCAGAATAAAGCCGTAGCTGTGTTTTGTAGGAATGAAGACCACAGAGCCAGATAACCAGACGGATTTCATGGCTAGTGTGTTCGACACTAATTTTCACAGCAAGTCGAATGCACGATACGTTCTCACTAGCCGTTCATTTCGTGAGGTGCATGGCTGAAATCCTGGCAGAAAATTGCCATTTTGAAGCTGGATGAGGGCAAGCAGGGGCGAGAAGTCAAGACAAACTAAAAAGGTGAGTATGCTGGGTCTCAAAGTTCCCTCTCAACGTGAGTCATCTCCATGTTCAAGCAAAGTATAGAAGAGACTTGTTTGAGCTCCAAAATATGAGGACGGAATAGACAAGGCTAGAAAAATGATTCAAAGCTTAGTACCTTGATTGAACCTCTTTAATGGATAGGGTGGTAAAGCTAACCATTTCAGACGTCCTGTTGTTTAGTTATTACGCGCAGCGTGTGCTCAACGCACACGTCACTGATCAATTGAGCCTCAAACCGCCTCCTGAACATCGGCAAGAAACAAATTGTAAATCTATAACGCTATAGGATCGTAAGGCTGGAAACAAAATTTACTCTCATTGCAAAGAAGACAGCTAGAAATGACTGTGCATATGTATCGAATAACACATTCGGCTAGCTCAGGCGCCCGAAGACACCAACGAGTAGCAAAACGGAAATCATATGCAGACCTTAGACGTGGCCTCGTTGCTCATTGCTCAATCAAACCCTCTGCGGGCTGCAAGGAGCGACCCACTTCCTATGGTTCAAAGGAATTTTGGGTGTGACGAAACAGTTCAGGTATCTCGGTTAACTCCGATGCACTCGTCGTGAGTCCAAAAGGAAGGTTGTCGAAGAGTTGCCTCATTCCCATCCAGTTGCCTTGTGCAAAAGTTGACGCAAGTCCATGCAAAAATACGAGGACTAGATCACTCACGAATATATTTTCTTCTTGTTGTCTTTTTTAATTATCTGCGTGACTATACATTAGCTGAAAAGTGAGTGAGAGAGCTGCAGTGCAACGATCCTGTAAGCGCCGATCTGACAGCTAGCTACCCGAAAGAGTGATGACGGAGGTTACGAGTTGCAACATTCCGCACAGAACGCTATCCGGCTCTTTCAACCTCTCCAAACATCGTTCGGCGCTGCAAGAAATTTCTCGAAGCTCACTTAGAAGTTGATTTTCTTTTTTGCTGTAAAACCATAGCAGGAAGTTTATGCTGACGCACTGTGATCAAACAACAAGCACATAGAGTAATTTCGAGCCTGGTCGTATCGCAGGTGCAACGCTGGGCACCTCGTAAAGACAAGGACATTATATATCCGTGGCCTACAAGCAATCTGATCAGATGTTCTTCTAAGAGCTATTGCTAGACGCCGTATATCGGTAAGATAATTTGCTTACGGTGAGTCCGAATCAAGAAGCACTCCTCCTGGAACATATCTGTTCACATCAGGCCTAAACTTGAATTCCGAAACCTAACTGATGTATTTATTCTGCTGCTGAGTCTCAATCCAATTGCTGATGTAGGCGAGTATATGGTTGTTTACTTTCGAGAGTCCCTCTCGAAAGCCGCGTGTTTGTCGAATTGTCGCGACGTCGGCAGAAGAGACATCGTGAGAAAGGCCTAACTCATGTCTAACAGGTGTACCATTCGAAGAGATGTTGATAAATACTCTTCTAATAGCCACTGTGAGGGTCGCCGAGTTATTCACGTCGTGTGCTTCCCTCGGTTAAATCTTCGTCCCGTAAAAGCTGGTAGCGTATTTAACGGAAGGAAAGTCGAACTCCTCGAAATCTCCTCTTGCATCCTGTCTTCAGGCTCAATCATACGTATCCGCGATCGATCTTGATATCTTTCCAATAGCGTCATAAAATCTAGGTGTACGAATAGCACTGCGCAAGGTGCTAGACGCTAAGTCCATCTGATACGTGTTATATCTTGTTCACGAGTGTCAGATTTCATCTACACCTGCATATTTATCTTGAGCTATGCAGATGGCTAGTCTCCTTAATGTCTCGCGCTTCGGAAGTGCTAGTGCGCTGTTCTATCCAATTCAATTAGGGTAACAGGGGCAGCCGGCACTTCTAGCACGCATAGAATCTGAATCGATTCTCGCATAGCATGTCATGAACGTTTCCAGATGCTTTAGCCATGTGGCATGTATGTTCATTGGAGTATATTCATTGACATACAGTGGAGTGCAAGAAGCGAAGGCAATCGGCGATCTGTCAGTGCGTGCCGGAGCCGGCTGATTCGCATCGATATGTCAATTCGAGACGCCATATGCCGTAAGTCCCACGCCGAAAACAGCGAAGAATCAAGGAGTCGTCTAGAAGGCGATGTGTGCGCCCATAGGTGCGAGTGCTGGAATTTCTGAAAGGCTATGAACGCCTTCAACTACCAAAGATGCTGCTGCCGTACACCTGCTGGAACCGTGATCCATATAGCAACGCCTCAACTGCGGAGCGTACTACCGAAATGTGCATTTCAAGTGCAGAATTCCCCCTCCCTGAATGTCTTTGCACCGAATAACATGATGGGCCAGCAGCTGTGTCACGCGCATGGAGGGTCCGCGCGGTCCATCTGTGTGTCAAGCACATGCTTTTCGTAAAGCAAATGGCTTCGGCCCTCTTTCTCAACAGGAGGCTAGAGGCAGCAGATCAGTATACTTGCTTTACGTTAGAAAGGCTATTTTAGGAACCTTGCCTGTCCCAAGGCGCTCGCGACCAGGAAACGCATGTTTCGTCTCCCGTTGACGGACGGCCGAAGGGTACGTGAGCATTTTTGATTTATTCGCACGTCTGGGTGAAGAACAAGGAGAAGAAGAAAGAGAAGAAGACAAGGTGGAAGACAGCACCAAAACACAATATTTGGGGCCCACGCTCTCCCTTCCAACGCGAAGTGTTCCTAGTCAAAGTGAAAGCGCGCCTACCCCATCCAGATGGCGGTTCCTCAATTTGAAAGAGCTTGGGCTCGAAGAATTGTACCTCTCCCACACTTGTCGTAGCGAGAGTCTCGAGCGACAAGATGGACGTGAGAAGACCCGTGAGAACGATGCGTACGCCGCTCTCTGGCGGATGGCTGTCATGCTACGCGATACGAATCACGCTGCGAAGTCAAACCTCCTGTAAAGGGCTCCTGAAGCGATCAGTAGACATACACACCATGCCGTCTTAGTCGGAATCCCGTAGACCTAGCCCATCGGATGAGGGTCAACCATGTCAGGGAGCAAAAATCATGTCATCCCTATCTTAGGCTCGATGCATCCGCTGGAAGTTTGCGTAGAAAGAAGAAGCCTTGGGAGGGCTGGAACTGGATAGAGGAATTTTGGTTAAATGTTCGACAATCTTTGATCGTTGTTCACGGGCTGAACTCGGCCGATACTTTTTGGATTAGATCGGGCATAAAACCCCTTTCTTTTTCTTTTTATACGGAGAATCGACGCCACTAAGCATACGAGTTAGTCTAGAAGATTCAGTTTCCCAAAAACCACCAGGATGAGTTTGATAGGCCACCGACTGGTGCAATGGTTTGATCACCGGAGACGAGATTGGGTACGATATGCGCTTCTGAGAGGCAAGAGGCCACGCAAAATATATAAATAAGGAGAAATAAAGCTGATGCATTCATTATGCCCATAATCATACAATTTCTTCATCCTCATCCGCCGTTGCCACAGCAGCATACTCCATTCCTCCCCGTCTCCTAATTCCGCCAGCCGTCGGTATGTCGTACATCGTCGTATAGTCGACCTTTTCGCCCCCCAGCAAAGCCTCACCACTCGGTCTCGGCTTGAACACGCTCGTCTCGTCACAAAAGAAGTCCTTGAAATTACGGACCCATCCCCGCGAGAATGGGTTGCGCTTCTCTATGCTATTATCGCTTTGCGTCGTCTTCAGGAACACATCCACGCCAAACATGGTCATCCACTGGCTCAAGCATCCCTTCTTGTGGGCATGTGCGCGGGCGGCAGCTGCAGGATCGGGGCCACGGCCCGTCGCAGTGATTCCTCCACCTTCGAGGCTGGTGGAGCCAGTGGCGATGAACGTTTCGGCAGCACTGGGGTGCTTGTGAGTGGACATGGCTTCGTACGTCGTAAGGCCGCGTGTTATTTGCACAATTTGAACGATCAAAAGCATAGAGACCCAGACAAGTTGGACGTTAGTCCAGATGCTGAGGACTATGGTGAAAGGATCTGAGTTGAGGGTAGCGCACAAGGTCGGGGAGATGATGTTGCATGTTGCATCCGTGGGATGCGGAATCAGGTCTAGATCTGCATTCGAGTTAACCTCGTTGGGTCTTATGAAGAAGCGACAAGCAAACGCCCTTACAATTGTACACGAGCCAATCCCAAACCAAAATCCCCAGCTCCATCGTCAAGACGTAGTATACGAATTGCCTATGGTTATTGACAGCCACGCAATTGTCCACCCACGGGCAGTGGTGATCCTGTTTTGCCACGCATCTTTGGCACTTCTTGCAGTGTTTACTCCTCAACGGCCGCCTCGTCATGCAGGTCACGCAGAAGTTTCTTTCGTCAAATATCCGTTTGTCTAGAAGCTCGTCTATAATCGTCTTTTGAGCGGCGCGGGTGCTAGGTTTGGGCACGAAGCCGGGATCCATACGCATAGCTTTGGCGTAGAAGTATGTGACGAAGCCGTATAAGATGCCAAAAAGAACATTGAGAAAAGGATGCGACCAGAAAGACCCTGAGAAACTCGTTAGCATGCTCAAGAAAGTGGGCTTGATGAGCAGACTCACATGGTAAAACTTTTGTTAGCCACCGCAAACCTAGCCAAAAAAGTGAACCGGCGAAGACGCCAGCTAAAAAGGGCACCTTGTGCATCGTCTTCATATCAGTGGGCGCCCATCTCAGTGCCCAGTTTGCTCCAAGCTGCATCAAATACACAAAAAGGACGCTGATCGGCACTGCGAGATACACGACCATGTGGCTGAGTATGTATAAAAAGCAAAATCCCACAAAGAACGGCCACAAGAAATACGCACGGTTGTAAAAAGTCCGCTTGTCCTTGACGACCATCTCCAAGGGAAACTTTCTGGGTGAGCCGTCGGAGTTGTAACCGCACTCGTGCAGCGCAATTTTCCATTGCTTTGTGCTGCCCATCTCTTTCGCGACGACGGCCGGCGTCTTGCCCTCATTGTTCTCGGCAAAGCGGTCGCTTCCGTACTCGACAAGCTTGAATATGCAGTGCTGATTGCCTTTCACTAATGCCCAGTGAAGCGCCGTGAAGCCCAGGTCGTCGCGAGCGTACACACTTGCCCCCCACCGTAATAGCAGATCTATGACCGCACCGTAGCCTTTGTATGCCGCCCACATCAAGCTGGTATGGCCCTGAGCGTCCTGGATGTCTATGGGGATATCCTGGTGCAGCAACAGAGCGATCTGAAATACGTTGCCGTCCAAAGTCGCGCTGTGCAGGAGGTTGAAACCCTGATCGTCCGTGAGCAGCGGATCTGCACCGTTCTCCAGCAGCAGATTCACCACGTAGTAGTGACATTTCTTAGCTGCCCACAACACGGGGGTTGCCACCGCATCTCCACCTTTTGCGTTGACGTTCGCGCCTGACTTGATCAAGAAGTGACATAGAGCGTAATGGTTGTTGATCGCGGCCCAGTGCAGCGGTGTGATGCCCTGCTCGTCGGCGTACGTAGCGTCGTACTTGCCACTGTCGAAGAGTCGCTGGATGGCGCCAATCTCCCCGAGCCGGGCGAGCTGCATGATGTCTTCCTCGACGGGCAGCGGCGGCTTGGGCGCAACATCTTGCAGTTCGTGTGCGTCTCTGGCGGTGCCGTCCTTAAGCACGCCGTTGGGGCGTGAGGGTGATGAGGGCATTTGCTCGAGAGGGAGGGCTGGAGAAAGGTGACAACGTATGGGAGTTTGGGAGGTCCGGGAACGGCGGAAGAATCAATGCCAGGTCGATGGAGTCGGAGCGCAATTAGCTATATCATATCGAACACGACCAGAATAACAGGTATCGACTGTGTCTGCAGCAAGGAATGTCGTGCAATTTACGAATGTGAGCCCGTTTGCAGATCGCAAAGTGCCAAAAAGCTGTCGACGCCGAAGAAGATGGCGCAGCGCCTGTTGGCTCGATCGGGAAGTGGCTGACGGGCTGTGCCAGCTTCGTCAGGGTCCGAAGGGGGTGAGAGCTAAGCCTTTTGCCAAGCGGCGGACGGGTAACTCTCCTGTGAATTTTCAGGCTACCAATCTTCCAGCTCTGCTGGCGTATTCTACACGAACTGAACGCTCATTATTGTAAATGCTATGAATACCAAAGAAAGACCAGACGCACTTCACTTTGGCTGGTCTAGGCGGCCCTCGTTGGGGTCCCTCAGGCTTGGCTTTAGTTTGAGCAGCCGCTGAACTTCCCTCAGCCTCGTCTGCAGCCCCACAGGCACCTCCACACCGGACTCCATCCCCTCAATCTTCTCCTGGATTCTCCTCTCCTCGTCCTCTAGGGCCTTCATTCGCTCAATCTCTCTTTTCCAAGCATGCAGCACACACGCAACCCTGTTCTGTCCGTACTCGGGCAAGAACGCCAGGTGGCTCTTCATCTTGTTCGAGATCTTGCTCGTGTCGATGTCCGGGTTTGGTGGCTCGATGATGTATCCTTCCTTCACCAATTTGTGGTATGCCTCCTCAGCTAGCCGTTCGCTTGGTGTAACATCGATGACGTACAGTGAGTTGGATGAGATGTGCTTTGGATTTCGACTCCACATCTGGTGCTCGAACAACCTGTCCTCATCGTCCAGCGTGAGCTCGGCATTCGCGCATTTGACCTCGAAGTGACCAGACTCGCCCAGGAGCCTCTTGAAGCTGAAGCGATGCTCCAGGTGAGTTGGGGAAGCCAGCTCCTGGATGCTGCTTGTGCTTTGTGATGTAGAGTGTGGCATTCTGTTGGTGAGTTTTGGAGGAGGAGGACGATGGAAGGTGGACGAGTGCACACCCGCCATCGTTCAGCTGGCGCATTCTTATTCTGTGCCTTTCGATGCCTTGAATTAAGCGAGCCAATGGATTCGTGAAAGTTTATGTCTCCGTTTGGCACGCCGATGTTGGGATGCATGTCATTCGCCTTTATCGCGCGTGCATAGCCTCAGTCAGGTCTCGAACATCGGTCGCTGCAAGCATCCACATGACAACCTTGCTTTGTCCAAACCAACGACGTTTAATCCGTTAGCTTGGGCGTAAAAGTACATGAATGTGAAGTGGATTCGCTCTTTGTACTGAAAATTAACATAATAAACTTTTGGACAAGCAGCGCATTCCTAGCCGACCTCGGACGATAATCCGGAAAGCCGATTATGACAGACAGGTATATAATATTGTGGCGCCTTCAGGGATATCGCGACAACTGCAACGTAAAATCCTAGACTTGACGTCATGATAACATAATCACCGTAGAAAATCAAAACGAACACATGAAGGCCATTACTTGAATGGCGCCGGCATCAAGCTTCAATAGCGGACAAGAGCGCAGCTGAGGCAAAGGACGGGGCACATTATACGCAGTGGTAATGCTCAATAGATGTCCCTCACTTGTTGCAGATTTGTAACACTTAAGCGCCAAACTTATCGGGACTAAGCTTCAAAGACCTGTGAAGCTTTGATTTTTGACCTCGGTGTCGACATGCTGCGACTGGAGAACAGGCACGGTGGAAGCGCTCAGACGATTTTCCACGCCATTTATCTCCGCAACTCGGCCCGAACAACGCACTCCAAACCGAAAGAAGCTTATAGTAAAGATTATGCGCCCAGATTCATGCACGAGGTACCTTAGTGAGATTTTGATGTCACTCAGCGACACCTCGTCGATCGAATTAAAAAGATTTACCCAGGCCATGAAGCGTTTCAAGAATATGCACCAGATGTGAAGATGTCGGTAGATAAATACTTAGAACGTTTCTTTCAGACTATTGCTCTCCGGCGCCTCAACAAAGCCTCTCTACATAAGACTCGTAAACACTTAGCGGCAGGGTTTAGGCATCAGATAAGTGCTGACAATGAGGTCAGATATATTAGACTCCTACGCTCTCGAAATTGATTCCACGGCCGATGACGCATTATTCATGAGTATTGAATCCATTTGAAAGTATTGCTGCCGTCCAGGAAGTCAGACACATCCCAATCGCGCGGAGCCAGCATAATTATCGAAGAAAAAGTTTTCTAGTCACCACTCTTACTTACTAACTAGAATACGTGACTTCTACCAGCATCTCGAACTAATCAGCAGGCCACTCTGGAACAAGTAATGTGGACTGGTTGTGCTAGGCGGTCAAGAAATCTAAACTGCTCGCGTCCGACCAAGACAGAACTGCGAATGACCCATGGATGCAAATCGGTAAGAAGAAAGACATTCGACTCTGCAAGCAACATAATTTGGTCGTCTAGCGGATTCACAACGCCGTGTTCAGGACCTGGTGCTCACGGTAGCGTAAGGAAGCACGTGTATTATCGTGGCAGGGCAGTCATGTGACAGAAGACAAGTCGAATCAAGAATGTCTGGAATCTTATGGACAGTAATGGTATAATGTTGGCGATGTTCGGAACTACAGCTTGGAGCTGGAGAAAAGATGCGGTGTTCTCAAGACTTGTTGGAGCTTATCCTCCCTCTTGGACCACTCGAACTAGAATATATTCAGGCGCCGTCTACTGCCTACGGATGTACTGGCAGATAATCTTGATCACCGTGGAGTTGGCGCAGAAGAATTAAGTGGAAATACCACAGCAGGGTACATGTAAATCACAGCGTTCGAATTCTATGTGAGTTTGGCCCTTTGAAATCACATGTATCATACAAATGACTAGTTGTCTAGCTCTGGACAGTTCTCAGAAGTCTCGGAGGTAATGGCATTGTATGGCGGTGGATCCGTCCAGATGATGTCGTAGCTACGCAGTCGTTAGTTTTTTTATATTGAAAGCTAGAGTGAATGTGGACCTACCGATCGCCATCGTACTTTGGAGCGTCATTGTCTCCTAAGGCCTCCACAATGTCTGTAAGGGCATCGTGCTCCCAGCAGATGAGAATATTTCCAGCCCCAGAATACCCATTGACAACATCGGCGACGCAGTCTGGGTCGTCTCGATCGCAAGAAGTATCCACGACGAGTCCCAAGTCATCAGCCAATGGCTTTACAGTATCGTATGGACGTTGACGAGATCCGTCTGCATGCTTTAGCGATTCGTGACATTCATGGCTATATGTCGCTTACCACTTTTCGGAGTTTGAGCCATAATGTGGCCAATGTTGTAACTTGACTCAGCGCCGAAGACGGCTCGCAGACATTGAGCCCTCTGCTCACCTTCCGCACTTAGTCCATCACCACTACTGGGTTTTTCGCCGTGGCGGATAAGGTAAACTATGGGCTTGGCTGTTGCCAGAACCAGCAACAACGATTGAATGAAAATACCATCAAGCCGCATCGTTTTTAGGAGCTGTGAGACGTGAAAGTCCTCACGAGCATTTTTCATGCCTCACATATTTATATTCCGCACTCGGGCTTTCCCATATCCTGTACTTATTTTGGGCTCTTTTAAGTGACGGGAGTGTCCGCGGGGGATCGGCTGTCGATCACTTAATGGGACCTGCGTCCAGCCATGAAACGTGAATAGCAGAAGACGCGTGATTCGCCGCTAAGGCGTCACCCCCAACTTCTTCGAAGGCGGCGGCAGCTTCGCACGTAATAATATGACTTCGTGGCAAGTGAAAGAGCAGAAACAGGAAGGTTTCATACGACAGAAGAAATAACTTCTTTGTCACCAACAGCGATATTAGTGATATCAGTGACATGTTCTGCTCTAGCCGTAGAATGTAGGAAGCGCTTTTCGCGCGCCGAAGACGGGAATGAAGGATGGAGGGTCATATCAGCGAGAGTACGGAGTAAATCGACTCTTGGAATCATTTAAAAACACCTCCTTTGCCTCTAAAATGTCGTAAAGGAGGATCCGGAAAGGGGTGATCAAAGATTGAAGGTGCCATTCAATGCCGCTATGTTCACATAAAATGCTTTTCTATAAATCAAGTTCCAAGCGTGGATCATCGATACTGGCAGTAGACCAACTCTGTGACAAATGGTAGCAAGCTTTGGGGAATGGACAACAAAACTGTGCTTGATGTTGAAGCGAAGCTTTGCAAGTTTGGTTGAACAGTGCTGCAGCTTTGCTTCTCGCAGTCCACTACACCAAATGCGGCTGACCGTAGAACTAGGGCATAGTTTCCGGCAACTGGGTGAGCCACCCCGTGGTATTATCATGCTCGGCATCGCATGCGAGCAAATCACAATCGTTTACTTCTTGGCTCAATCTGCATTGCGTTCTCTTCTTCAGATCCCGTCGTCAAGCAATAGCTCACAAACCTCTTGGCGTCGCCCATCGACTCCGAGCATACAGCGTTGCATGATCACGACCTATGTAAACCCGAGGACGTTTCAAATGATTTCTATATTATAGGCATCTATGTGCAGCGCAGTTTTGATGTAACTTGTTGCAAAACTCCTACTGCTTACAATACCGTCAGGAAAATATCACCGACTCTGTCATTGCAATGGAGAAGTGGAGCCCGGCCATTGATCCAACCTATCGAAAAGGTCAATGCGAATTCTTTACGTGGAACTGGTCTCTGGGAACCGAATTTTCAGAGGATTTACTTAGTGAGCATGGAAATGAAGCAAAGGAGCACCTCTTTCGAGAATTTCTACCTGCTCATCAAAAAGAACTTGAGAGGGGTCACCGTACACTTCAAAGACTGCGCGAAATTCATCCTATAGTGGCAAGCTTGGTAGGCACTAAGCCGTACCTTGTAGACGGAATGACTCTGCGTCTGATCAATGGCGAAACCTCTGCGATGCCCAAGACCTATACAGCGTTGAGCTATTGTTGGCCTATGGAGCCAAGAAGGCAGACGTCAACTGGAAGACGGCCACTTCCTATCAGCCCTTTGCTGTTTCAGCACCTCGTCCTGCAACGGGAGACGGCTGATGAAGGCATTTGGTGTGACCAGATATGCATTGACCAGGTCAACAAGGACGAGAAAAGTAGAACGATTACGGCTATGGACGCCATCTACAGGTCTGCCAGGGTCGTGGTCGTTGCACTGGAGGACATCCAGGTTTCCACGGAAGAAGAAATCTTTCTAAGGGCATTCATTGAAGATTATGAAGACAGAAAATGGCAGCCGCTGCCGCCTCCCCATATTCATGAAAGACCGCCGTTTATGGAGAGAAACCCGGTTCTGATGGGATTCTTCTTGAAGATATGTCGGTCTCGATGGTTCCAAAGAGCGTGGTGCGCGCATGAAATGCGCCTCGCGAAAAGACATCGCTTCTTGATACGATGCGAAAGCGACTCTCATACTTTGCTCTCCTTTTCGGACTTCTTCATGGCCTACTTGGTTCTGCTATCGGCTAGCGTATCGCTACCGGACGAAGAAAAACAGGTTAGGCACATACTCAATCAGGTTTTCAATTTCTCAGGTTACATGGATGAGCTCCGTCGGGTTCTGGTCGGATCCTCGAACAAGGAGAAGGAAGACGGACATTACACGCTAGCTTGGACAACTCTTATCTCCGAAACGTTCAAGCTGGGAGCAGGCGGCGACCCAGATGCGCCTGATCGTGAGAAAGACGCAAACTTGGACAAAATGACGATTGTTCTCAACAGCATGGGAAGTGGCCTTGCACTGAAGCGCTATGCTGCTGCGCAAAGCTCACGCACAGCATCGGAAGAACTCTGCCAAGCTGTTCTGTTCACGTTGTCTTTGGCAGCCGGTGACCCAACGTCATTGACGACGAACGGTGATCCTTTTAAACTTGCTACGAAGGAATGTGCGAGTTGGTTGCGACGACCTCATCACACTGATATTGGCTCCGGCGCAATGAGGCAAGAAAAGCTGCCGGAAATGGACCCATTCTTTGTCAAGCTTGATACAAGCCCATATATGAAATGGATCGACCTCGACTTCTTCGTAAGCAGCTCACTGCAAGAGCCTCCCGCCGAACTCCGCTCTCTAGCTGGACTTCTTGTCTCAGAATGCCGAAAGGCTGGTCTCGGAGGTGGATTTTTGGGTCAATTGGCGCAAGGTCCGCTCTACCTGGGCTGGAGAATGGAGGCAGATTTCGAGTTTTGGAATATCAACTTTACCGGCATTATCGCAATATTCCTCTTATTTGGCCCAAAGTGGATGCTCGGCATGGCAGAGAAATGTGGGTTCGCCAGTCCTCATGTGCTTGATGAGATCAAGAGTGCCGTACGCACACATTTCTCAGACGGATTTGACCAAAACTGGCTCCGGGATCAGGAATGGACAAAGTCTGAGTCAAGTCTACATGCTGTTGATTGTTTGCTAAGGATAGCATACTGGCTGGTTGGTTGGTCAATGTCCATTATGCCTCAGACGCATCCTGATCGCTGGACGTGGAAGCCGTACATTTGTTTCTCTGATCAAGGTTTCAAGGCAATGATCTTGTCGCCAGAGAACATGACTGTCGCGGTGCCTCTTGCGCTGTGGCGGATGGGCTACGACCGTCTTCCACGAGTTTGGCTCTTGGACCCCAATTCCGAGGTGGAAATGACTTCAAATGCGTCTGATTCTGGTGTCGGGGATGAGATTGCAATGAGAGGAAAATCGGTTCTATTCGCCAATTTGTCGAACGACGATTATTCAAACCTGCGAAGGCAAGGCCTTTGCACGCGAATGCGGGTACATGGGCCTAAGCAAAATTCTCTCGAAGAAAATTGATTCAAATGCAATCCGGATCGGAAGGCTCTGTCGCAGGGCGGTCCTTAAATTCAAAGGCAGACATCGTCACTGAGATGCTTGCTCCGAGTCACGCAATCATTCCAGCTCGATCCTAAATTCAGAGAGCTAAATGGAAGTACAGATAAGGTTGTTTTACGCAAAGTATGAGAGCCGTTATTATAAACTCGACGGGACTACACGATCACGCCTGATGCTCCTCGTTCACCGCGTGAAGCGGACCATCCTCCCCTCTTCGTTCACAGCTGAATCTCGTGAACCACTTTTCATAACACGTGTGTAATGCCATGCATTGCACAAAGGTACAACTGCAGATGTCGGTAAAGATTGGGAAATGGCTGGAAAACCATTAGTGTCGCACAACAGCCAACGTTAAATATCGCGGTGAACTACCGAATCAGAACGCGACGACAGCTTTTCTTGAACCACTTAGTACTCCAGCGTCAGTCTTAGTCAGTGATATGAACCTGACTTATTATTCTGTCCTCTAGAGCTTGAACAGATTTTGTTTGTTGTTCTCGCAAGCGATATTGATCTCGGATGCCTTAATACCCGCATCGGCCATCCTCTCATTTCCCATGTTTCCATCCTCCAAAAAGACAATTCTTCTCCCAACGGCTCGTCTAAGTCGACCGATATGGTTCAAGTGCACACGAGGGTGACAAGCACTGCCATACTGCGTCGTATGCTTGCCCAGCGACTCTGAGAGACGTGATTGTTCGGCTTCCGTGGCTAAGCCCCACTGCGATCGTCGTAGCAGACGCGCCACCCAAGGCTTCGCAAGCTTGTTTGTGCGACTTGCTGGCTGAGACCCGTGTATTCGCCTGCGTGCCGGCGGCCATGATGTCAGATCTGATCCAGGGATTTAAGAGATAAAAGCATCGAGATGTTGGCGCATTTTCAGCAGTCAAATCTTTTGCGATCTTAGCTTCTGTCGTTTCAATTTTCCATTCAGCATTCGCCATGGACCAAAAAGCTTCTGATCTTTCGTATTCTACACACGAATTTTATGCGCCCGAAGGCCACTACTCGGCTTCGGCGGTTCAGCCGGCACAGGATGAACCGCAAGTAGCAACTTCGACAAGTTCGGCTGCTCAAATTCAGGCGACCGATAATTCGCAACCGGGAGGCGCTCCTCAGTCACAAGGAATTCGACAGGAAATAAAGAGACCACTTCCTGAGACACCCCCGGCATATCCGCCTAGGCCTACGGCAAATCCAAATGCTACTGGCTATGCACCTCCACCAGCTCGAAAGCCGTCCACTTTCGGAGAGGACGATCTGTCCAGTCCCGTCCATTACGTGCGAGATCCTCACAAACTCATCGCATATCTGGTGCCCTTTCCAAAACCTGCCTTCGACGCTGGCAACGACGTCAGCGGTGGAAAGAATGTCCCTGAGAGATTCCTGATCTACACGCCGCCGCCTCCGCCGCTGAAGGCGCCGGCCGAGGGCGAAAAGGAAGCCAGATTTCACAAGATACAGCGCAAATGGCAGGAGGAAGTCCGATCTGCCAAGGCCGACAACTCCAAGGTCACGAGCTGGAAAGGCCTGAAGTCGCGGGCGACGAAAGGCATCAACGTCGCCATGAACTGGACGACGACGTCGAACTTGGATTTCCTGAACCGTGTTCCGGCCGCGAAGGCCGGCAAGAGCCGCGAGAGCTCGCCTGACCAGCACGCCGAGGACGGCGTGCACGAGGAGGACGAGACGAAGAAGACCGTCGGCCTGGAGGAGATGGTGCTCATCTATCCGAACAGCTTGCCCGGAACCGAGGCCGAGATACGCGAGGAGTTCGTCAACACGATGCTGCGGTCCAAATCGAAGGCGCAAAGAGACTCGATCATCGCGACGGGCCTGCTTCCCGTCGGCTTTGCAATCGACGTAAGTCAGACGGGGTAAAACGGCGAAAAGCGACGCGCGCAAGCTAACCTTCCGCAGGTCCTCGCCACTTTGGTATGGCCGTTCGGCGGTCTCGCCGAGATCGACAGCGTCTGGCTGTACTCCTCGATCCGCGGAGCAAAGACCGCTCGTTCCGTCACGAAACGCCTCCACTCAACCGCTGGACCTGGCGGTGCCCAAGACGGCGCTGCTCCAGGCGACACTTCGCAGGACGGTGCCAAGCTCAAACTAACCTTCAGACCATCGGACCGTCTCGACGTTCTGCGCAACTACCTGCAGGCAGAGTGTCACCGGCGGCATCCAAAGTACTTCCCATCTGCGGGTCCCTCGCCGACGGAGACCCAGGTTCTTGAGGCGATAGGCTGGAGCCCAAGCCAGACGGGTGAGACGAAGAACTGGGAGGATGAGCAGTGGGAGGTGACCGAGGTCAAAGACGACTTGAAAGCTACGATGCGCAAAGGTGCGAAAGAGTGGAGTAAATGGGTGGAAAAATACGAGAAGGATCCAGAGAAAGCTCTGAAGAGGTAGAGTAAGCAAGCGACGGATTGATTATGATCTTTTCCACGCAGCATCGTCACTTTGCTATGACAATAGACTACTTAGGGTAATTTTCATCATTTAAAGACCATGTTACCAGTAGTGGCTAGTATAATGCATTCGTTCGGCCCAAAGCATTTCTCCGTACCAGTGTGAGGCTGGATAAATGTGTGCCTTCGAGGTTCGAGTCTATCTCGTCTGGAGGTGAAATGTCCGTCTGCAGCAACATTCCGCATTCCAACATGGGGAGACATTGCTGAAGCAGCGTAGGCTGGCTTCTGCTCAGAGATAACGCTAGGCCACAACCCTGTTTAAGCCGTACTGCGCAGCCACTGAGATCTGCATACACCCTAAGCAACACCGTCACCACCCAACCCTCTGGCCTCGCTCTCCGAATAGAAAATGACCATTCTCCACAACTTCTTCACGAAACCTTCCGTTTCATCTTCCAGCAGGCCTTCTAATTCCTCCATCAATCGTGAAGGTCCTTCGTGCTTGTCCAATGTGCTCCGCACCACATCCCACATCAGCTCCTCCACCATACCCAGGTACTCCATGCTCTTCTTCTCCACGAAGGGTCGCAGACGTTCCTCCACTATCTCAGAAGCAAGTGAGTCCCATTTGATAGACCACTCAAACAGGCCGTCCTTGTCATGCGGGATGCTGAAGGCCAATTGGCGACGTGCTTCAGAGCGCTCTTCATCCGTGAGTGCAGCTGCTTCTGCAGCAGTGTCAAATGAGATGGGGATCAGAGTACGCTTGTTCGCATCGCCTGCACTGCCCTCATCTGCATCGAGCAAGTTCTCCACATCAGCAGCTGCCTTACGCTTAGGCGCCTCCGCAGCCTGGCGGGCTTTCTGTGCGGCTGCTCCAAGAGAGATCTTGAAAGCTGGTTTGGTCGCACCAATCCCCTTTGCGCCAAGCTCCTCAGCTTGTCGATCCAAGAACTCGTCCGCCATTCCACGAGCCTGCGCTTCGGCATTCTGTTGAGCTCTCTTCTCGTTCTCCTCCTCGCGACGATCATTGTCATCTGCTTGGATCTCTCGCGCTCGAATAACTTGGCGGTGCTTAGCCCAAGCTACGCGATCGGCGTAGTATTCGGACGTCTTCCTTCTCGCCTCTACGTCATCGTTCCACTCCCTCAACATTCTCGCCATGCTTGCTCGACTCTCCTCGGCACGTCTCGCCTCATTTTCATCCTTCTTGCGCTCACGCTCGAGTGCTGCTGCACGTGCGCGTTCGCGATTCAGCCACCTTCTCTCATAGTCTAAGTATGCCTTCTCTTCGTCCGCGATCTTTTTCTCGCGACGGCGCTTCTCGAGCTCACCATCACTAGCGTCCGTGTCTTCGTCCACACTGTTGAGATACTTCTCCAACTCATTAGAGTTGCTAACGAAGGACACTCCATTCTGATAGTCTTTGGGGATCTGAACTCCTCTCAAACCCTTCGGTCCGCTTGGAGCCCCTTGAATACCTTTCGGACCAACTGGGACACCATTTACGCCTGCTGGAGCGGTAGGAACCGTCGAAGAAGACCCGGCTCGACCCCCATATCTGTCTTTCGATTCAATCTCTTCCTCTCTCTTCAGTCTCTCCAGGTCACGTCTGTTACTGCGTTCTCTAAATGCCGCAATCTCTGCAGCCACTGTCTCTCGCATCTCCGCAGGAATGTCAGAAAGCTCATCCTCGGTCTGCGCTAGTGGAATGGTGATGACCTCGCCCGTAATTGGATCTTGTGTTTGAGCGGCGTTGTCCTGTGCTGCAATGGCGCCTTCGAATTCGTGGTCATCAATAGGATTAAAGAGACGAGCCAACACGTTGTTGAGAGCTTCGCGTGCGCCATCCAGACGAAAGCGCTTGTCGTCCTCAGTGTCGCCGCGCTGCTGTGCCCAGTTCTCAGCGTATTCTTTAGAGGCGTCATCTACAACTACCTTTTGATGCTGTTAGTAAAGAGATTCGCAAGAAAAAGAAATACACGTGTATGTATAGAAAGGAAAGGCAACGGACCAATAATTTCGCCCTTTCCACCTCTTCTTCCGCGTCTCCATTTTCAACATTGCCCTCTTCGTCCTTTTTCTTCGGTTGCTGCTTCTTAACCGGTACATATACGTCCTTAAGTACCTCTGCTGCGGTCTCCAAACTCTCCGAATCCTCGTACTCGGCGAAGCCAAATGTACAGGGCTTGTTATCAGCATCGATTGCTCTCGTCCACTTCCTCAAGCTACCTGCTGCTCTCAAAATGGACTCGATTCCTGCATCGCCACCACATCCCTCTGTGATGCCACCCACGAAAATGGTTTTCAGAACTTCATCTGTCTTTGGTGGCAGGAGAGCCTGCATGCTCTCTCGAATCTGTTGCCTCTGTTGCTCAAGGTTTCGCTCCATTCCCAGCCCTGCGCGACGTGAAGCACCACCCATACCATCGTTGCCCACTCCACGTGAGCTGGGCCCTCCAGAGATACTAATCCCGTCGCCTCCCTTCTGAGAACCTGAAGTACCAAGCCTTATGACGGATGCGTTCATATCAAACTTTGGCATGTTCGGCGGGATTTGGAAGTTGGGGGGGTAACCACCAGGACGTGCGGGAAGTGGATGCTGGCCAGGTACTATCGTGCCGCCGGGAGGACCGCCGCCAATTCCGGGTGCTGCGCCAGGAGGAGAGCTGGACTGTGGAGGATAACCAGCATATCCAGGAGGGATATTGCCATAGGAACCGGGGGCTGCAAGTTGATTAGCGGAGCTTGATCAGAGTGCAAGATGAGTAAAGTACCTCCGTAATAAGACATTGTGACCTCGAGACTGTTCTGACTTTGACTGTCTAATTACTCATGCGCTAATTGACCACAAGAGTGCACGCGCTTTCGCCCACAATGAGCTTCGTTCGGTGGAGGTAGGTGCTCGTCGCCGGCCTTCGGCCGCGTTCGACTGGCCGGAGGGAATGTTTTTTGATGGCGGCGCAAACTGAACCCGTTAGCTCACTCACGGCTATTGATCCGAGAAAACTAAAACAAGCACGGAATAATCGTGAATGAGAAGATTGAGCGAGACGGAAGCAGCGGAGACGAGGCTTGGAAATAGAATGTGAAGAAAGGCTGACGCACTGAGTACAGACGCCGTCTTGACCAGAAAGTTTCCTGAACCTGACCCGATTCACGCATTTGCGAAACGCATGGTCCGTGCACAAAATCCGTGAGCCTTCGTCTTCCAGCAACTTTGTCTCTGCATGAAAGTTCGCATTTCAACCAACAGCCATCTCATCAAGCTGCTGCATCGATATGTGGTACAACAGCTAGGCGTGTGAAGGCAGTACGCATTCGTCTCGATTCCTCCCGCTCCTTCTGGTCTCAATGGACGTACGCAGAGTTCTAGATGGGCTTTGCAGGAGCTACACAACGCTCTCCCTATCAACAACCTTATCACGCACCGCACTCGCACGACGGCCGTTGAATCCATGGACATGCCAATCATGCCGGAAATTCGCCTCGTACTCCCCGTGTCGTCAATCAGACGCTGCTTTCGCTTCTAGCCGAGAGGGAGAGACTCAGAACAGCCACGACATGTATCGCAGTCGCGACACTGGATTACTCCCTGCACGGAATAGCAACACTGCTGCATCTTCTTCATCGACAGGTGACGGCAATCGGAGTGTGCGAACAAGAAAGAACAGTCCGCAGGGAAAGCCCTCAGAGAGAGCCCCTTCAGGAGTCCGTCAAACTTCCCTCGATGACCTCGTGAATGCTGGATTGGAAGTTTCCCGCAAGGCTCTCTCCAAAGATGAGGGATATGGCTGGCCCAAACCTTCCGAACGTAACCTGATGGCACCAGGTTCGTCGACAAGTCGATTCACAAGCGAGATCCTGTCGTTTCCAACTGCGGTGGAGGGTACCAATACCAAGCCTCCCTTTACGCCGCGCGTTCTCCGCGAACTAGATATTCACGTCAAACCGCGCACAGGACGCTCCTTAGCCGTCAATCCGCGAAATCCGACGGAGCTGGGTGCAAAGATAAGGGCATTGGGTTCTCTTGTGGGAAGGAACAAAATCAAGCGTGATGCCATTCAGCAGAAGTTCCATGAACGACCTGGGTTAAAGAGGAAGAGGCTAGCTCGTGAGCGATGGAGGACATACTTTGGCAATAGGTTCAGGAGTGTTGTAGCTAGGGTAAACGAACTGAGGGCCCAGGGATGGTGAGCGACTGTGGAGGAATGTGAGGCGGATCGTCAAAGGAAGAGAGCCGGCAAGAAGATGAGCGCGAGCGTGGCTCTTCTGTTATGTAGGAGTATGGGCCTTCACCTTTAGAAAAGTTCGCGTCTATTTGCATGGTCGACGACAGACGGTTTGGCATGTCTTGAGACTAGATAGCATGGAGGCGTAGGCAAGACACCGCATGACACAGCATCGCTACGATCTTGTGAAATATCGAAATGCGTCACATATCCCAAGCGCATCCAGTATCATCTTCATTTTCAAAGCGTGATTGGCCAATGCCCTCAAATCAGGACGTTGCATTGTTGCCCCCTCTCCTGAATTGGGACAAGTCCGCAATCGCCGAGTTGCATGTTTGGGTGGCACTTCTGACCACATTAACGTTGTGAAGTTTCTGGCTTCAACAACTACGCCGCTGTTCTTTGTCGCGCAGCGAATAATGACTAGATAACGACTTTGTAATACTGGCGCTTTTCTCCCTCCTCTGGGTCTTTGGAATTAAAAAAAAAAAATCAAGTTCGCGAAAACGGCCAATTGCGGATGCTATGGAGACACGGATATCTACCATCCTCTCCGCAATCTACTTCTTCCTGCTGTCTCTAAACGGTGCTCTGGCAGCTGCAGAGACAGGCTGGAAGTATGGCGATTCTATCCCGGTTACTTGTCTGAACAGAACGATTGATACCGGAGAACACGTACGTTTCCTACCAGTTCGCAAACGCAATCCCGCGTATCAAGCACCACCGCAAGCTGGGAGAGCTAACACCATGTTTTGTACATGTGTAGGTCACTGATTCCCTTGGAAATCTGCAATACATACCATTCTACACGTGTGCCGAGACCTCACGCCCGCTTTCCCTACGTTACGGGGTTTCCGCCACGCAGAACTGCACAATTGCCCTCACCGATCCAATCTACCACCTGTTTGAATTCTACATCCACAACGATGCGCCTCTGACATGCAGAGTTCCAACAAATCCATCGGCAGGGACAGGTATTCCCCGCGCACACATATCTGGGAAAGCAAGACAGGGGGGTCTGGGTCAGGAGGAAGAGGGATACACTCCCTTGGTCATGGCGCTGAGTGGTCAGTTGCAATTGAGCCATCTTCATCTGGCCAATGAGTTGAACCTCGTTGTGCACACTGCGCTCCCTGCGGAGAACAAAAAGTCGAGTCTGGGAAGCATTGATTCTGCTTCGGCCTACTCGGTGTCGCCCGGGACCAAGAACACGAAGCTCATCATCGGAGACGCGGTGACGCTGACCTTCCACACGAGGTGGTATTCCGGCTCGTATCTGCCCATGACAAACTCGATCCAGAAACATGGGTTTTGGTCCACGCTGTCGTACTGCATATTTGCCGCTGGAGCTAGCGCCGCAATATGCATCGCCTATTTCCGCGGGGTAGATCTTCCCAGGAGGTTGAGATGGCATGGTATTGAAAAGCTGGGAGCGAGGCGAGAGAACGGCCTGCCAAAATATAATGGGTATGGGTACACAGGACCGACGAATGGGACCGTGAATGGGTATGGTGGGTACGGACTACCCATGGGAACTGGGAAAAGGGACTGAGAATTTTTCCTGTGTTTCTTTGGCGCTCATTGATTTTATACTCAATTGTGAGTCGTGTATCAATACTAGCACGAGCATGTGTCCGAAAGGGACAAAAAGCGTTGGGTAACTTGTGTTTATGTCATGTATTTTCCTGGCGTTTACGTACATTGGTTTTGCCGGTCATAGCGTTCAACGAACCGCATTTCTTTTTGGAGTGAAGAATTGCTATGAGCACATAATCTGGCAGCTTTCATTTCCGTACGCGGGGGATGTTTTGTGTTGGAGCACAGACAGACGTCACCCGCATTATCGACATCAGCCGCCGCTTAGACTTTGCGAACCTCGTTCGCATTCGACTCATGTCATGTTCCGAATACTAAACCAAATGGGTCGCTTTTGGAATGAATGTGTTGTTCCTGGATAACGCGAAGCAAACGTGAAACGGCCATTCGCTAAGAGGAGCATCCCTTGCACATGAATAACAGCCGTCAATGCTCCGATTTATCTTCCGCACGCCTACATCAGTAGCGCGGCTCCGACTACGCTCATTCACATCACAAGTCCGTGCTGTCTCCTCTAGCATGGGCTCCTCAAGCTCGCATCAGTCAAATCCGTCATGGAAGGTTGAGAAGTACACGCCCAGCGCCATGGAATGGCCATACACTCAAGGGGACTTTGAACGCGACGACGAGAGCCCGGACTCGGAATTCTACAGCTCGCCCAAATTCGTCACACACATCGACGAGAACGCGGTTGAGAATCTGTCCAGATACTACGACCACGTGCTGCCAAAAGAAGGCACGGTGCTGGACTTTTGCAGCAGCTGGGTCAGCCATTACCCAGACAGGATCAAGGACGACTCTCGCCTCCGAGTATTCGGGCTGGGTCTGAATCAAGCCGAATTGGACCACAATCCGTTCTTCGGGCCAGCGGAGGAAAAGAGGAGGTTGGTTCAGGATCTCAACATCGACCCGGATCTATCTCAGGCCTTCGCTCCGGATGTCCAGTTTGACGCAAGCACGTGCACTGTTTCTATAGACTACCTCTCCAAGGCAGTCCAGGTTCTATCATCACTACGCAGAAGGACAAAAGAGAACGGCTCTGTTCATCTTGCGATCAGCAATCGCGCCTTTTGGCACAAAGTTGTAAGGCGTTGGATGGAGGTCAACGAGCGCGGCAGGCTAGAGCTCGTGGGCGACTACTTGTGGTTTTCCGGGTGGAGAGAAGTTGAAATTGTAACCATAGTTGATGTGAAAAGTGACAATGGGTCTGAAAGATACTCGCAAAGTTTTATGGGAATAAACAGCAGAGAGCAAAGTAATGATCCACTATGGGTGGTGAGGGCAAAGAATGTGAAGAGCTTAGGCGAGGAGGCAGTCTTGTAAGTGGATTTCTTTTCTTCATTTGCAAGTTTTTCAAAGCCCAAGTCGCCTCCTGCACCTTCAACACTTAAGTTCAACCATGAGCCTTGTTACTTCAGTGGCTATCTCTCTTTTGCCGCCTCTCGAACTAAGACCAAGGAACGAGAGAGAACGAATCTACGATGTTAAATTCCCGCTACATCGCCGACGAATTTTTATTTCTCTTATTCTTTTGTTCCAAACACACATATATATAGGAGAGATCCTAGGTGATAAATCTTGAGCCGATCCAAGCCTCATATCGGCAGCAAAAGCCTTTCCTGTCGTAATTCAAAGCATCGCATTTCTCGAATTCACTCCATCCTTTCCTGGAATAAATAGGTAGATACATGGTTCCCGTATTGGGAGGGTGGATAGGACTAATTGTGTATTACGACCAAGTACTGTTGCCCGATTGCCGAAATGTCGGCAGAAAAGCTAAATGTATTGAAACCGCCCAAGATTCGGCCAATGTGTATGATATCAGTGAACGGTAAGGGCCAAAGACGATGACTGTCCGGAAGAAAAGAACACAGCCGAGTGATGACAGTTCTGGATATGAAGTGCACTTGCGACCTTCTCGCGTGCTCTAACGCAATCACTACGCCTAGTGGACGTTTGACCATTATTGTGCGGGTTTAATATTTAGATGAAGCACTTATGAGCTTGCTGAAAGTCTCAATTAGCGTATCATTTCATACATTCCGAATAATCTCAGCAGCTACCTTTGCATTTTCATACGTTGTACCGGAGAGAAGAAAAGGAGCTGAACCGAAGTTTTCTTTTCATGTTTTCTTATTTACGTAAAGTCAATATATGCGGCTATTTTCCATACAGATCCTTCTCGACCATGCCTCTACATATTGGGTGGTAGAAGTCCTTGTTCTTTTCGAAGGTCTTTAGCGCCAACTCTCTGTCGCACTTCTCAAGCATCCTGTACAGTGGACGTACGAATTTCATTCGACCAACTTTGCCTAGTAATTCTGCCGTAGGTTCATATACGTTCTTGTCTTTTGCCTGCAAACCCACTCCGAAGAAGCGGCTCACGAGCTCGACATTTTCACTGGAAGCATATCCGTACGTTTTACCCATGAGCTCCACATCTTCAACACGCAGTGGGTTTTCGAAAGTTTGAATCTTTTCAAGGAACACCACGGACTGATTCGCCATCCAGGACTCAATATCGGATGCTTTTGGCTCAAAAGGCACAGACGCTCTATTCTTCCATCGTTCCGCAAGCGCATAGCATGCGTCCACGAGGGAAGTGTCAAAATCTGGTTTAGGCGGATAACCAGGTTTGTAGAACCAAGTATCCCAGTCAAGATCATTAAGTTTTTTGGATGCTTCACTGTCGGATGCGAAGAAATCCAATAGCGTAGCCTTGAATTCGTATGAATCAAGGGACTTAAATTTCCACGTATTGAAGTACTGCAAATTGTTAAATCTAGTTCGTCAAGATTTAAAAGATGGGACTTACATGAGGAATAAATTTATCCCACTTGTCTCTTCCAACAAGCTTCTCTAGATGATAGAGAAAGACAAAGCCTTTCTCGTATGGAATGGATGAGAATGCATCGTCAGGGTCTTGGCCTTTGAGATTGACAATGAGTTTTGTAAATTCGTGATCCTCTCCGTATCTCTCCACGCTATCTTGAAGAGCTTTCCAACCAATGATAGCAGAGAAATCCCGATGGTTTTCACCATGAATACTGGCAGCAATACGCCGTTCGAGATACGTCGTCCAACCTTCGTTTAACCAGAAATGTTCCCAAGAGGCATTACTGACAAGGTTTCCGCTCCACGAATGGGAAAGCTCATGCGCAATGACATCGACGTTCTGCCTATCCTTACTTATTATGGTTGGCGTTGCGAATGTGAAGATAGGGTTTTCCATCCCGCCGTAGGGGAATGATGCCGGAAGGACTAGGACGTTGTATGTTCCCCAGGCATAGGGATATACAATCTTCTCAGCAACTTCCATGAACTTTTCCATGTCCTCCTCGAGCTCCCATTTGCATCCCACAAGCTCTTCCGGGCCGGTGACTACCATGCTTCGAGGGCCTATCGACGCACTAGCTAAATCACCACTAGCTATGGCGAAAAGGTAGCTGGGCATGGGAACAGCCTGTTTGAATGTGTATAGAAGCGTTCCGCTTCCGCCTTCTTTCCCTGGGATGAAATTTGCTGATCCCGTTGGCAGGCCGCTAGCAACAACCGGAAGGGGAGAGCGAATGTTGAAATCGACAGTAGCTTTGACGTCAGGAGTATCCTGGCACGGGAACACAGATCGGGCATGGATAGCTTGACACTGTGAAAACATATAAGGATGTTTCTTGTTCGAAGTTTGCGCGGGAGTCATCCATTGTAACGCAGTGCACTTGTCTGTTGTGCTGAGTGACACATCAATGCTGATTTCTGCGTCTTTGGAATATTCTCGTCCCAGGTATAAGCTGAGAGGGCTTCCATATGGTTCTACACGCTCCTTGACTTCCCATTTCGCAGGGCTTCCATCGATCGAGACCTCCTTAATATCGAGAAAACTATAACGGCGCTTGTCAGGGACATCTTGCTCAAGCTTTCGATTGAAGTCCTCAAAGGGCTACTTTCACGACGCAAAATTCTTAAGAATAAAATGGCAGTGAAAGAAATGAAGCAACGCGGAATTAATCAATTGAGTAAAGGTGAACATACCTGCTGTCTAAAACAACAGTCCCTTCTGTTTTTTCTCTCAGTGCTTTCAGCTTCAGTATCACGTTGCCCCATAGCCTTTTTCTCTCAAAATCAATTTCCAGATTCGCCGTGATGTGCTGCGTCCGCCAGTTCGTGTAATTGCTGAGGGTATTGGGGTCACGAGCTCGGATGATCTCCGAATTTGCAGCCGTCATTATAGGCCGAATCACCATTGGGACCTTCACTCGAGAATATGTCAAGATGGAAGGCTTGAATAGACTAATGAATGACTTGGAAGGGACGCTGAAAAGAGGGGAACGCATTAGGTTACGACGTGGAGGTAAAGATTAATGCAGCTTAAGAGAAAGCTAAATCTGTTCGGGAAGGTGAAGTCTTGGTCACGTGCCATCTTGTAAATTTTGATCACTTACATGCCTTTGGCATAATGAATTTCAACGGAATAAACGGCCAGAAAATGTCTTGTCCTTCGATATCTAGATATCAGATATAATCTACCAAGCTCGCACTTAATTGCGAGACAGATTAATACTGTCCGTGTTGTCGTAACAAGCTCCAATTTGAGCTAGCCACTCGCGCGTCCGCATGCGTCACTCAGACTTTCATCTAATAAGGTCTTTGTTAGAAGCCTCACAATTCTACTCCAACTCCGGCCAATGCATCTTTCGCCCATTGAGGTGCCCCATCCGGATAGTAGCTCGCAAAAAAATCTCTCAAAAACTGTGGATATCTATCTTCTAAAATTGCGTTTCTTGCCTGTCGCATCAGGTCTAGTTGATAATGCACATTATGTATCGTGACCACGTGTGCTCCGACTGTTTCTTTCGCTGCGAGATGATGTATCTGTGCTCTGGTGATGCCCAGCCCACCTTCAGACTGGGGTCTGCATGACATGCATTTGCAATCTGGATGTATGGGTTTGAAGTCATCCGCGAATCTCTTGTGCCGAAGATTTAGCACCCCGTTCGGCGTAATGGCATTTCCGAATCGCTGTCACTCTATTAGAAAACCAAAATGGAGGTGGCACGATAGGGATCATATCATACCGCTGTCCGCGTAGGCCAAACGCAATCAAACATATCAGCTCCCAGCGCGATGGACACGACCAAATCTTCAGGATATCCAACTCCCATGACATATCGGGGTTTTCCTTCAGGTAGAAGCCCTGTGCATGTGTCCACGACTTTGCAATATTGGTCCTTCGCCTCTCCGCCGCTCAAGCCCCCGATGGCAATGCCAGGTGTGTCCCTTGCAATCATCGCTTGACAGCACTCTCTTCGCATATCCAAGTTCAATCCGCCCTGAATGATGCAAAATAGATTCTGCGATTCCGGCTTCTTGTGGGCGGCAATACAACGGTCGAGCCAGCGAATCGAGCGGTGCATGGCTTCCCTCATCCGAGCTTCGTCAGGGGATGTTGTCACTATCACATCATCAAGTTGCATTATAATATCTGATCCGATGCTGTTTTGAAGTGATATTGAATGCTCGGGGGTTAGAAGCATTGGGGTCCCATCGTGAGGGCTGAGGAAACGAACCCCCTCTTCAGTAACTTTGGCAAGCTTCAGGAGAGAGACCATTTGGAAACTACAAAGCGCCATTCGTTAATTTCCCACTTTGTTAATTTTCACATGCATCAGAGAGCCACCAACCCACCACTATCGGTCAAGATGTTGTGATTCCATCCTTGCAATTTATGAGCTCCGCCGATCTTGTCAAGCACAGCCTGACCTGGCTTAAGGCCAAGATGGTACGTGTTGTTCAGGCACAGTCTGCAGCTTGTGTCCTCAAGTTGCTCTGGAGTTATGCCTTTAAGACTCGCTTGGGTAGCCACTGGCATGAAAATGGGCAGGTTGACAGGTCCATGAGGTAGATGGAGAACTGAAGCTCGAGCTTTAGTGGTTGAGCATTTCGCGAGAAGATCAAATTTAAGCGCCGACGGCATAGGACGGGGCAATGGCATTGCAGCAGGCTCGTCAGCCATATTAACAAGGTATCTGCCCGAGTTAGAAGGGCGATGAGAATCTCAAATATTAGTGCGTCCCATTTGGGAAATTTTGAAGATGGCCCGAGCGTGATGCTTAATTTGGCTTCAACATAAGGCTGTCAACGAAGAATTTGATGCAAACTATGCTCTTCCCTCATGTGCATCATGCATCCAGCTAATCCGAATCCCTACGCAAATATCGTTGTTGACTTCGCTCATTAGAACGAGTCGTTAAAATGTACCATCGCCGCCGTTGTTGCTTTTGCAACTTGCTCATGCCTTCAGCCTTGGACATACGTATTTCAGAATCATCCGGCGCTATTGACGCATATTTGTATCTTCTTAAAAATTTGAAGCAGAGCGTAATTTTTACATGGGCTCTGAAAACGTGAAAAGACTTATCTCGTGTCTTTTCTTCAATCCATTTGTAATCAGACATCCTGCTACTATGGCACCAATATCTTCGTTATGCAACACCAAAGCGCAAGTTGGAGTCAGCATCTGCGTTGTTTCAACTCAAACTTTTGACAAGAAATTTCATTTCTCGAATAAAGAATGTTGCGAGCCAGTACGTTTCGGAAGGTCTGTCAGGTGTACACAGCCTCAACGAGTATGTTCAGACATCAACAGCAGGGCAGTAATATTCTTGTTTGTGCAAAGCCCTTGACTCATGAAGTAATAGCACTCCTCGTACATGTTAAAAATCGCATCAATGAGTCATCTTTGACAATATTTTGCTGTTCAACGTAGGAAATATACACGATCCACATACTTTGTCCACAAGCTCCGTGTTTGGTCGATGATTCTGCATGCTCTTATTCTAGGCAAGGAGCGCGTGCAAGGTTTGGTGATGAATCAGATGAGAGGCGAAATAAATTGTTTAAAAACATGGTTCTGTGTCTCCTCTGCAGAGAGGCGTGGTTCATGAACCGAATTTGCCGCACGGAAGTCGAGACATTCGTGACCTTATTGTCCTGCAGGCAGTGAACCAAGCTACACTGGTAACTCCCGCATACCAAAGTTGATTAGCTAGACCGCATAAGAAGACAACTTACTTAGAGTATTATACACATCTATTTCAGATGGTTAATTAGTGGCCTGCTATAGGATGAGTTTTTCAGTCACGGTCTAAAGCAATTACATTTACTATATGAATCTTCATATCTTGTTATGCTGATTGAGATCGATTTGGCGGATGGATAGGAAGAAGATAAAAAATCTGAACACGCGACCATATTTGAGACCTACAGGCGAAGGTACGAAGGAAGAACAATGTCGATAACTCTGTGTAAGTTTGGCATTTTGAAATTATGCTTCAAAGAAACAAACGAAACGACAAAGCCCCTGTTTTGGTCTTCAGTTGGTTTGCTGCAGTCGTAACTTGCGACAGTCATATCAGCCGTCACCGCCAAGCCATAGGTATTGGAAGATCGAGAATTTGTGGGGTTCAGAGTCCTTGGAACAAAATCCATAACTTGCCTACATGCACGTATTGTCAGAACCTGCTTGATACGTTGTGATGGCGTCGATTGTTTGATTGAAACTAACAATCCTGCTTTTGCAGCTCTTCATCGTCATCTGATGCTATGGCCTTCCCATGTCCTAGCTCATATTCAGAGTACAAGCGAAGAACAAGCGTGTGGCCAACGGTGTTCTTCATTGCACTGGAATCTCCGCATCTAGAAAAGTAATGAAATATAGCCATGTGCCTTGCTCTCATAGTCCCTTTCTGAATCTTAGCACGCTCGTACAGCTACAAGTGTTCGCAAGTGACGTTGCGAGTAGCTTCTGGGAGTGAATGGGTATTTGAAGCAGCACTATTCACGTTACTTGCTGCAACATGACTAGCATAGATCATCGCTCCGAGTTCGAATCATGCACGATACCCATAGGACGGCATGAGACTGACAAAAAAAACTTTTTGCTGGTCCTGTCCAGATTCAAATTGCCAATAAGAAGAGAAAAAAAAAACGCGGGACCCGCGTCCCTCGTCACCTGTCTGCGACCGCCAATCTCAGCCGGCGTTGCTGTTATCCCGCAGTGATCCCTAGATTATTGAATTGTTAGTGCAGCACCTGAACGAACTTGGCGACGCGTGACGGCTAGGGTATCTCTGGAGGGGTACTAGATATTCTGCGTTAATTGATATATATACCAGACATTCTATCCATGTATCGGAAGCATCATCCGTGCTCTTCCCAAAGTATTCCAGTATGGCTTAATCCTCGAAGCACGATAGTGTAGACAATATCCTCTTGATTATGAACCGATGCCCTTGCAGTGATGATGCAGCCTTTATTCAACCTGCTTTGACAACCCTGGCCAGCGCTATCTTTCAGGTGCTCTTTCACGTAGCAGCAAACTAGCTCTGCTCCGTTAGAACTGCTTTCGGAGAGGAGTTTTTGCATGAAATATATGGTGATATTCCGACCCAGAGTGAAGCAGAACGTGACGGCACTGGCTTTGAGACCAAACATAAGCCCCTATTCCAAGATGCAAAAGCTTGCTAAGGACCAAAGATCCATGATTGCAATAGTACAGCCCATTGAAGTCCATGCTCAGCGCATGAATGAGAACGTGTCATTTGTATCGGCGTAGGCTGACTCAAAATCTGCGTCAAGCTGTAGAGATGCTTCAACCATAAGATCATCCCGAGCCAATCGTACGTATGTCTTAAGTCATCCCGGAAGACAATTTGCTGGGTTCTGCCGCATCTCCATTCCACTAACCTCCAGTTGCCGATATGAGAAGTTCAATGGCGGCGTCTTCTCAGTCTTTTGAATGTCCAACATCCAACCACTCACCACCAACACAACAGCAACAACAACAACAACAGCAGCAGCAGCAGCAATCACAACCGCCACAAGCACAATCGTCGTCGCAACAATGTCCTCCGCCACACCAGCGCCAGCAACAGCTGCAGAGCGATCACAAGGGCAAGGACCAGCACGAGAACAAGACATAGGTCGGCAAGAATGGGATTTCAACCACGTCCAGTTTGGCCACCAAAGCTGGGTTGGAAGTGAGACACGCATGCGGCTCACCTGGATAACACCGTATTATCTCCTGGACAAACCGCTCTCCAGTGTGTCGGAGCCAATTAGAATTCCGGCGTCAGGGCAGCACTGAATCATATTCGGTAAGTCATCACCCCCTTTCCATTCGTCAAAGGCTAGAAGACAGCGGGGACGACGCGAAATTGTGTACGCCAAATAACAGCAATATGGAAAATATCAGCATAATGCAGAATATGACCTGCAATCAACAGCAGATCATGGATGCTGGGGTGCCAACAGAACGGCGAGAAAGTCCCGGACAGCTGGCAGAGTATTAATACCACATGGGCTTTCAGAAAAGTGCTCTGAGATGCCACGCGACATGGCTCTTCCGACAAACAAGGGCTGTTTGTAAAGCCAAACAATGGCATAAAGATTTAGGCGCCGTGTTCAAGGACCGACCCGAGCAAAGTTGTCTCGCATCATGACTTTGCACGACCAGCAAATATTTTCTTGTCGAGCTGGCTTGCTCCAGAGAAAAATAATCCGAAGAACCTCGACAGGATAGAACAGAGAAAGAGCTTGGGTCTACAGACACATTTTCAGAGAATCCCAATTCTCTCTGGCGCCAGAATTTGCCTAAGTCGGCAGAAAATCCTGTAAAGCCAGGCAAAGATCCGCAACAACAAATGGGAAACGGACTTTGTGTGATTTCCCCTAATGAGGCAGGAGTTTCTTTGCCCAAGGAACTCAATATCTTCTTTGTCCCATGTCAAATTCCAAGCTCTTAACGGAAAACTTCCACGTCAAATTTCGATCAGATTAAATCACTTGCCAAGCTCTTGCGTGATACGAGGTCTTGATCAGTCTCTTCAACAGCATATTGCTAGGCACGCGTGACGCTTTCAATGAGCGGCTTCCCGTTTTCTCTCCGACTCTTTCAAACACTGCCGAGCATAACACGCAATTGAGCATTACTCCTGTTATTCTCAGGCTTGTATAAGCACGAAGCCAATACAGTAGATATGTATTGGTGTCTGGTAAAGGTGTTACATATGTTGCGTTGATTGTGCATCCTTGCGGTGTACAAGGGCCGGGAGTCATATGAGCTCAAAAGACCAATATGAGCGAATGACCAAGCAGATTGCAAGCAACATTCAGGTCACGATTCCAAGGATGAAGTACACTACTCTTCTGCAGCTCCACCAATGAGGAAAACACCAACAGGCCGCAACAATTTGTTCTGTGCTGGTGCTATGAGAAATATTCATGCGCTATTGGAATCCCAAGTATCGCTAATTGCCTTCTATGATCTGAAGAAATCACTTTGGTCATCTTGGTTTACTTCAGTTGCTTCTTGATGAGTGGATCATTAGCAGAAGGCCGAACAGAGGGAAGCAGTTTTCGATACCAAAACTTGGCGCTTCCTGCGAAGCGTGGGACTTCCGGCAATAGAGGCAAGTTTCCTGGTTGCCATAGAGCACCATGCGGACAGTAATCCATAGTTGGCTTGGCCAACGCCATTGGACATGATGTCGAATTGCAGACGGGTGCAAGCAATTTCGTCGATGGCTGCTCGAAGTCATCAGCAACAAGAAATTGGGATAAGATGCGTCGACAAGAACAAAGCATCTCTTCATGTCCAATTCGGCTCAACAGGCCTCATTAAAGATGCCTCGTCGTGATGTGAGCACTGCATGTAGCGGCTTGCAGTTGAATGTGATCCATGCGGCGGTCTCTGAAATTAGACCCAAGGTTGAAGCAGGCCATGGCCATCGCCCATCGCAACTAGATTCATCGAAAAGCGCCCTCAGATATTCCAGCGCTTATTTGTTTTTGGAGAACAGGCTCCCCATCGTTTCTGAAAGAAGTCAAAAGGAAAGTCCGAGTGGCTGGATCAGAGTCAGCCAGTCAACACGCTAGAATCCCCCTTCCTACAGACTCGAAAAGGCCTTTACTTCACTCCTGGTCGCTGTAAATGGACACCTCACACACGATCTGCACTCCTTGAGGATGCCAATGATCCCTCAAGGGTTATCTCTCCATGGTTTCGTTTCCGTAAAGTATACATCGGGTCGTCTGCTGGCTGCCTTATTTAGCTGCCAGTCTTGCCGTACTGCTCATTCATTAGGTATACGCTAATAGGAGAACTAGGGTGGTGATCTTGGACATCAGATAGTTTTGCGCTCGCTGAAGACTCATCGTGAGGAAGAAGAGAAAAGAGAGGTTGAGGCAGTGGCCTGCTCCTGCAGATCACTTAAGTTGTTGGCTCGGAAAATTTATCTTGGCCGGAGCCTGCACTCAACTGAACAACGAGACTAAATATTCAATAAACAGAAGTTACGAAAGTGACTTCATAGTATACTTCAATCGACACAAACATCTAGGCAATGCAGAATGTTCCTCATGGTATGAAGTAACACGCGTTCAGCCCCTCATACCCATTGTCCCTTCTAAGCTAGGAAAGTAATGGCGGCGAGAGCATCGCTTAGTCCATTTCTTCCGAGTCAAACAAAGCTCAGGCGAGGACGCCGCAAAAGTCGGAATGCGCACCTATGTGATGTGAAAGGGGCTCTTTGAAGCCACGTATCCGTTGCGGAAATACGAAATGAAAGATCCAAGCGTAAAAATCTTCGCGGCGCAAATACCTACATCCTCATTCCAGTCTAAAAATAGCGGACATGACATCAGGCACTATGCATATGGTAGAATGGGCTATACACGCTAAAGTCGGAAGCTGTAGAGACTAGGTAGGCGAAATGTTATGGAAAGATCAGCTATTTTACCGTCCAGCGTGTTGACCCTCGTCTCACGACAAGTGCTGATCCCCAACAGACACATGTACCTTCCGCTTGGTTTCGTGGCTTGTGGGAGACGTGAGTGCAAGTCTGTTGAATAGTCCATATTGTCTATTCGGAATTTACGAAAATCCCTCTCTACGACTGGAGAATCGTCGTCACAGCATAAGAACGAAGAAGAACCTGATACTCGTTGGCCAGATGCCTGTACCAAAGCATGATCTCGTCACGGAGCAGAATACAATCAAACTGTCTGCTGAGACTCCACTGCGTTGGTATGTGGACGTTTTATTGTTATGGAATAACGTCCAGTTCGTTTATTTTCCCATGCATTCACTTTTGAAACGGTCGTGGGCTAACATGCGTGGATTCCGCCGCCCGAATTATGTCTTCGTAATTAACAGATTTTGCACGACGACTCTCCTAACACTCTATCAAGGCTGTTGTTTCTACATGGACGGACCGTTCTCGTCACGAATGTCTCGAAGGCGGGTCGTTCCTTGGCAATTACGTCTCTTGAGAATACCAATGCTCCCATTTCTTCCTCCACTCGTCATTCTTCCCACCCCACTTGATCTGACGTTCAATCCATTTCTCGATGACTTCTTGCGACACCATGCGAGCGGCCAGTCTGGCATTTCTTTCCTCCCGTTCCACACGAGCGTCCTGATCTTTGTCTGCCAGCAGCTCTTCCATCATCTCGATTTGTTTCTCATAGTATCGATCTGCAAGAATCTTTTCGTGGTCTTCGTCACTCAATCCTGCAAAACGACCCTTGCGTTCGTTAAGTAGGAGCTGTTCTTGCTTGAGCTCGTCGATTCTTTTCTGGATTTCGGTTTGAGATTGCGCCCACTGTTCCGGGGATGCGGGAAAAGATCTTTGACGCCACTTGTCAAGCGTGCGCCGCTGTTCCTCCATTCGGTTTTTATCGTCAGTTGAGCCAGATCGAGCATATCGTTCCTCTGAAATTCGAAGCTCGTTCTGAAGCTTTTCGATCGTGGCCTTGGCCGCCGATTCCCGTTCGGCTCTTGCCCTTAAATCTTCTAATCGATTCAGTGGCTGTGTTTTGCGCCGGAAATCTGCTTCTTCGTTCTCGAACTGGTCACGCAGTCGGTCGAATTCAGCTCTATCAAAAGCGTCAGGCCAACCAGCTTGACGATACATGGCTTTCAGAGACTCGTATTCCCGGCCGTACTCAGGAGAGTAAAGGCCACCTGGAATCCACTCCAAGGACTTGAATCGTTTAATCATGTCACGTAGGAACTCAGTAGCGGACCGGCTTGGATATCGTTGGAGATCATTTACGTTGGATGTCTTGGGCTCGCCATATGTACTGTGGTCACCATTTGTGAAGAACGGATCCGACGAGCCTTCCAGCTGCCAAACAAGCCACATATTATCTACATATCAATTTAGTTTGTTTGTTCATCACTGTCTTCGAATCAACTGGCCTCACGTGTTTTCGTGTCGAGTACCATGATGCTGCCGTGGTTGCCACATGAGCTTAGCACTGCGTACCATGGTCGGATGTATGGGCCGTTCTCGTCATCCCAGCTGGATTGCTTGTGATTTCCCTTCGATAGCTCCCAATATAGGTGATCAATTCCGTACGTCGGGTCGATGATTTGCTGCTCGCAGTCCGCATCGCCTTTGCGCAGATCCTCCAAAAACTCACCTCCCATAATGAATTCACCATGGTCGGAGCCATAATTCCAATTCGGCTCGGCAGTGACATACGGGATCATCTGGTACAGGTCCACGACGTCCTTGGTAAGACCATATTTTGCCGGCAAAGACAGGTTTACACGGGGATTTGTGTGCGGTGGAAAGTGGACATCCTCAGCGTTAAGATATCGCATGCTGATGAACTGTCGGATTAATTCACTATATAGCTTCGCTATTTCTTGTATAGCCGGACCGGGATTTTCGGGGTAGATCTCACTATAAGTCGAGACATCAACTGGATGATAGACGCCAAATAGTGCAGAGCCTTTGTCGTGATGACTTTGCGCATTCATCTTGAACCAGACTAAGAGCAAGAGAAGACCTAGGAACAAGAGCTTGGGGTTGCAGGGAAAAAACCGTGGATAGTGTCTAGGTTGTGGGCTCTGGTGTTTTTGTTTAATGTCCATATTTTTATACTAGACTTAAAAGCATAGTGATAGTGATGATGAAACGGGAAGTTGAGATCCAACGCGACAAATGAAATTGCTTGCATCAATGCATTTACTAAGAGCCGTTGATCCATATTGTTTAGCCTAATTAAGAACAAGGTACAGGGGAGCACCCTAAGTGGAAAACACGAAAGTCGCATGATTGCACCATGAAAATAGATGACAGGAGCAAATTTACACCACGAGTTTGAAACAAAGTGAACTTGAGTCATTCCAGTCTACGAAGAAATCGTGCATTGAACAAGGCAATCTCGAGCGATCTTTACAGTCTATGTAGCCAAAACAGTGCAGACGCGTGCGAAAGGATACTCGGAAAAGCTAGACTAGGGCCCAGAGTGGTCTTGGGAGTGGCATTTTCGAGGCTTTCTTGCCCGTCTTTAGCCTGACTTCTTTGATGCCAACATAGGCTTCACGCCGAGCAGGATTGCCGACGGTAACACTCCAAGTGTCTAAGCCGTAGTATTGGCCAATCGAGTGTACGAGCCATCGGCCAAAGCTAGCACCTTGATCCCCTTCTAGGGAATCGAAGATGAGCTTCTCTGGCTCCAAAAAGTCGTCAGTTCCTGCCGAAGACGGTCTATCGGATGATTGACCCTGCCGACCGATAAAGACAATGTCATCGTCTTCTGAATCTGTGTGCCCGCACTCTTCCTCATTCTCACGGGCGGCCCAGCTCGCGACGAAATGGCGAATCTCGTTTTCCAGATCCTGCAGAAGCCCTTTCGCGCCTTTGGCACGCTTCAACTTCTCTTTTAGATCCTTGGGAATGGTGCCAGCTCCTTCCACGGTATCTCTTTGGTTCCGCATCTTCTTCTGCGCCGCCTCCCGACGTGCTGCAGATTCTTTGGCAAAGCGTGCATCCCACAGGGGCGCGAGATAGTAAGGCACGTGGTGAACAGGGTAGGTTGGACGAACTTCCCAGTCCGAAGGCAAAGGTGGTTCAGCATGAGGATTGCCAATCAGACGGTCTAAACTGATCAGCATATACAGACTTTGATGCCGAGCAGGCTGTGCATACCATTCTCCCAGCGCCTTCTCTGCCGGCTTCCCTCCTTGCCTTTCAAGAGAGCATCGCGCCGGCGCATACTGTCGCGTTGACTGCTCTTACGCCTAAGGACATAACCTTCGCGCACGGCTTGTCCAGCAGTTATGCCTTCACCATTGGCGGTTGGCCTGTCAGGGTTGTCATCGAGGGGTATTTGCACTGCGACAGTGGCTCCCGAAGTATCAGGAGCAGGAGCATTCGGATCGGAGTGCAGTGAGAGGCCATTCATGGCTTCAATAGCATGTCGCGTCCATGCTGCCACGTCTACAAACGTGGTGTTCTCGGTCGCAATGTGCGTGTACGCAGGTCGAGTATTCACCATGGCGGATATGGTTCAGCCTCGAAACAAAAGGCGGACAGAATGGGAGACTAGAATAGGCCAGGGATGAGCTTTGATGAAGTGAACAATTGGTAAAGAAGGCCCTACACCGGGAAGCGGCCTCTGTGATGGGGCCGTAGGAGCGATGAATGACTGAAAGCTGTCACGATACACGATTAGATCTCCCCGTCATCAGCCAGTGAGATAAGCGTGTGGGGCATTCTGCGATTTGATTGGCGCACGTCCATCTCAGGAATGACCGTTTCCGGAAACTCTGCAACCAAAGCTTTCGACCCGCCGGTCTTCGGGGTGCAACGGGAGCTGTAACCGAACATCTTGTTCCTGAACGCTTCTCAAGGCTTGAATTTGGTGTTCTCACAAGCATCAGATACAACGATCTCTTCGCTTGCTAAAACGGTTTACACTCGTTTACCAGAATCCTTGCGTGTTGATATTGCGCCTCTTGCATGAGTCAAATTTACGTACCTAGGCTCAGTTCTCACAGACGCTGCGGCCAAATCAAAATCGATGCTTTAAAAACATCTTGCGAATTTCCAAACTTGCCGTCCTAGCAGTGAGCCCAAATCCTACTGAGCAGCAGCGGAGGCTTCTCTCACAAGCATGCCATTCTCTCATCACAGCCATTGTGGACAATTCTGCCTACATGCAAAGGATTCCCTCGAAGAAGTAATACAAACGGCGATAGCCAAGGGAATGAAAACGTTTGCGTTGACTGAGCACATGCCTCGTGATTTGGAGGACTTGTATCCGGAAGAAGTATGCAATTGGACAAATCTGCCGGCTGATTACATCTCTTATTCGATGGCGTATGCTATGCACTGACGCATTGGTCCGCGGCCCGACGGTCATGCAGACTTAACTGACATATTGCAATGCAATGGCGTAGCATTAGCTTCTTGAGCCACCCTTATCTCATCCTGGGAGCTTGCTGACGCAATGAATGTAGATTGAACATTACCGTGACGCTCAAGCTCTGGCCGCAGTGTTCGACAACTACTACCAGGAAGCCCAGCGACTAAGGTTAAAGTATGGAGACCAAATACATCTTCCGATCGGATTCGAATCAGAATGGATACGGCCATCTTCCCTTGATTTAATCAAGAATTTGCAGACTAAATTCAAATTCGACCTGTTCGTGGGGTCGGTACACCACGTGCACACGATACCAATCGATTTTGATCGACCAATGTACGAGCAAGCACGGCGCAAGGCTGGCGGGAGCGACGAACAGCTGTTCAAGGATTACTTCGACGCACAGGAAGAAATGCTGCATGCGCTCAGGCCACCTGTGGTCGGCCACTTCGACCTGATCAGGCTCCTGAGCGATGACCCGAACGGTAGCTTCAGACCAATGCCGGAAGTGTGGGAGCGCATCCTACGAAATCTAGACTTCATTGCCTCGTACGGCGGTCTCCTTGAAATCAATTCCGCCGCTGTACGGAAAGGAATGAGAGAACCTTATCCACAGATTGAGATCTGTCAAGCAAGTGCTGCCGGTTATGCATCATCAGTTTGAATATTGAGCTAATTGACGATGGAGCAGGAATTTGTGAGTCGGGGAGGGGGGTTTGTTTTGTCAGACGATTCCCACGGCGTTGAACAGGTTGCCACCAACTATGCTCGGGTTCTGCCATCCATCGAGGCTGCAGGGATTACACGACTGTTCGCGTTGCAAAAGGTTGGAACAACACAGTGTGATGCGCTAAAGGCAGATTTCGAATTTGTCCCGATCGACATGGAAGAGGTCAAGAGGATGTCTTTTTGGACCTCTTGATAAAAATGTCTTGCCTGATGGGCCATTTGGTCCAACATTAGCTGATTTCAGAATACAGTTGATTATCTTGTTTACTGAGCGAAGGTTGCGAACATCTGTGCCGCACGCCTTGCGTTGATTCGGTTTGTGCAGCAAATTATTCCAGACCGCAGACAAATATCGAATAGACGTGTGTGTTCTCAGGATGTTTGCCAGGTGCATATAATGTAAAGAGACACACCCCTCTCTGCACACGTGTGTTGTTGCTTTGAATTGTTGTTGTAAGACATGCAACCTTGGCCAGAGGGCATGTGCCATTCACAAGGCTGTTCCAAACAACCCAATGACTATGCGGAGGCGTGCGAGATTGCAGATAAAAAAAGCAAAGTCTGAGCAGTTGCATTCCTCTCGCGCGTCTTACCGATCTGTGGGGTCGGCCTTCAGATAGTCGACAGGTCGAATTTTCGCTATACACCAATCTCGATCCCAAATAATAGAAATCTGCTTCACGCGAAACTCATATCGTGCCGCTCAAGGGCGTTAGACAACAGATAAACATCTCAAGACCAGAGTCGCATAGTCGCTGAAAAAAATAAATGTTGTCGTCTGCAAATCCGGTCGAATGGTAAGTGTTGTCGCTGTTGCACAGAATGACAGCTGCGCCGTCCTCGCAGCTGCCACGCAATGTCTTGAGTCATCTACCAGTTACGCCTTTGACGCTCTTCGTTCTACTTCATCGCTTCGCTTGTCGAAATCATTTCCGGCTGACTTGCATCTGCACACAGCTTCCCCTTTAACAAAGTTCTACAGTTCGAAGATTCGACGTAAGAACAAACCTTACGGGTGTGCCTGGGGGGTCTCACCGCTCGGAAGTGGCACGGCGGAAGGCTGCAAAGCAGGTCAGACGTTGCTCACAGATTTTTCTGTCCAGATCTGTTGCTGCTATTCCATCCGCATTTCGTCCCTCGATTGACAAGCTGTGGGCATTGAAAATGACGGATTTGAAGGACACAGCCTCCGGCTCCATGTCCTAACCGACGACATGGCGCAGAGGCATGTGTTTCGCAACCTCCATCGCCTTAAAATTGAGCAAAGACATCGTGCCGCCTGCCTTGTCCGCCTCTTCTCGTTGAATGCATAGCGGAGATTCCACCGCATCTGCATAACGCCTGAGACATTTTCAATCTTCGCAGGCTATTTCTGACAAGTGAAGCTGGGGCTAAGATGATCAAACTTTCGTCGACCCCACACTTTTCATGGAAGGCCTCATTTTGGACATCACTTTGCATAGGAGAGCGAGCCCCAAGTCCAGAACAGCGAAACGATCATCGAATTAGATTTCAAGCATCTGCCGAGGAATATCGTCAGCTGAAAAATTGGGAAGCGACTCCACAGCAGGCTACTCTTTATTTTCTGCATTAAGCCCGTGGGGAGCGGACGTCAGCGCTGCCATTTCATCTCAGCTACCCCACGTCAGATCTAGCTCCCGTTCAACGTGCAGAATTTTACCCCCATCTATTTTGTTGAAAGACAACCTCTTCATCAGAACATCTAGCTTTGTCACTCCATAAACAAAACTAAAGCTTAGAAATGGGTGTAGAAAAGACTCTCCTCAAGGCCGGCAACGGCACGGACAAGCCTAAGAAGGGCGACACAGTCACGATGGAGTACACTGGCTGGCTCTACGACACGTCAAAGCCCGAGAACAAGGGAAAACAGTGGGTTTCGGCTTTTCGCTCGCCTTTAAGACACTGACGCTGATCATCTCGATGTAGATTCGACTCGTCAGTGGGAAGGGGCGACTTCAACACGAAGATTGGCGTTGGTCGCGTCATTCGCGGTGAGATGCATACGCGCAATCCGATGCTGTTCGCACGTGCTGAACGGATTCTAGGATGGGATGAAGGCATTCTCGGCAACGAGCAGAACGAAGGAATGACGTTGGGCGAGAAGTCTAGGCTGGTCATCTCCGGCGACTATGCCTACGGCGAACGGTATGTTCATCGTGTGTCGTACTTGACTCTCCGCTAAGCGGTTCTGAAGAGGTTATCCTGGCTTGATTCCCGCCAATGCTGTAAGTCTTTTCCGATTCATGTGCATTCGGAAGCTAACATGCCTTCAGACACTTATGTTGTGAGTCTGACCTGTTTTACCCCGATTTGCTCGCAAAAGTTCGCTTGTGTTGGCATTTACGTCGTGTCTAGCTGACCGAAGCTTTCTTCACCTGCACAATTTGGCACTCGACTCCCCCTTAGGCCTGACTTGTACAAATGCTAAACCATCCAACCTAGCGATGTCGAGCTTAAGGCAATCAACGGAAAGGGCTTGTAAGCTGCTTGAGTCAATCTGACTCACCGCTGCTCTGCAGGTGAAGTGGAGGGAACTTTGTCGCATAAACACCATAAACACGGTCCTTCGTGGTGGGCTCCATTCATTCTGGAGACGACGTTGTGCAAAGAAAGCACATACGGCGAAACTGTTGAATTTAGCTGGTATCGCTACTTAAACCCACTGATGCATCAAGATCGAGACTTTCTTTTGAGTGTTAGAAGCAACACCATCAACACCATGTTGAATTGATCCGTCTCCCTACTAAGCGATAGCGCCGGCTGTGGATTTTGAGGTTATCCTTCCAGTTTTAGACCTTCGCACTTGCCCCAGCCTTCCAGCTCCCTCTTATGGTCTTTCATGCGTTTGCTCTAGTAAAATATCCTGTCGTCGATTAACAATTCCAGCAACAGGCTTTTCATCATTAGGCATATGCTTTCCATGCAGCAGGTGATTGTAGCCAAAAGGTTGGGACCCATTTTGCCGTTTGGATTCGGACAACGCTCCATCGAGCTCATCCTGGATGGGCATTTGCAAGCAAGTTTCATCACGTGACGGACATTCACACCGCAGCAAAAATTCGTAAAACCTCTGAGCAATGCAAAACGATATGAAGATGCGCTTCGAAGTCTTGACTGTTTCCCAGAGCGTCAAAGAAGATCTGAGCGTCATGCCCAATCTCGTTAGGAAAGCTGCGACCTAGCACGTGCGACAACGGCTCAAATCTAACGACACCTCTACAACAGACAAACACAGCAACGTTCAACGTGCGCTGAAAATATGGTATGCTATTTACTGAGCAGTAGAACCCACTTGCAATGCGTACTTTGCGTGGAGGTACGAACGACAAGAGCTCGGCTGAAGAATTGATACCGATAAAGGATCAACCTGAAGAGCGGCAAGCCCTCTCACAGAGGGTTAACGCACCTAGCTACTCTTGCATCCACATTGTTCTCCCCATAGGCTCCTGGTGGATAAGAGAGTGCACTACGAGGCTGATGGATATGAATCCAGCGCGATCCAGTATTCGATGTTTCCGTGATGGCACATGTTTTCGATTCTTTTCCGAAGTCTCCCCGGCTCCCCACCCTCTTCTTGACCAAGACCTCAAACAGGATTAGGAATGCGGTGTGACTTTCTTCAGAATCAAATCCCGGGGGCGGAATGTTTGCCCAACTGTTGAGGCCATGATCAAAATTTTTCTACATCTCAATAAGCTAATGTAGGTCCTACTGGTGGGAGCACTCCACGATGCCAGGTTTATTATCAAGAATGTGTCTACGTCGGCAGCAACAATCCAATGGAGTGCTTTTAGATCAAAAAATCTGCAAAAAACTAGTCCACGTTCTATTCGCTCGACAATAGGTCTGCCTTAGTTTGGCGCTGGAAGATCCAAGACATGACCAGGCAGTCATCCTATCACACAGAACGCAAGGGGAAAAAAAACTCTGCACCAGCATCAGAGCCTGTTGTCCAACCATTAAGCGAAACGTCGCGATGACGCTTCCGTGTCGAGGTCTGGCAGACTCGAAGATAATCGGAATGTGCCGCGCCAAGTCAAGACTGCTCGACATGAATGCGACGCAGATCTAGGCAATTCTCGCCCTGGTACTTGTTCTCCAGACGTGACAATCACGAGCAAGATGGCACAGCTAATCGATAACAAGGTGCGGATCAGCTTCCGGTTTGGCTTAGGGAACAGTCGTCCCCGGGGGCCGCTTATGCTGCGTCCCAAATGCATGCTCTCGATGCCGTCAGAATGCGGCCAAGTCGGAGCGATAATCGGGCTGTGCTTGCTTCTTTGGCCATGCAAGTTCTTCTCGAAGCACACCGTCCCCACTTGTGCACGCACATCACGAGACACTTTGACTTTAAATCTTTGCGCGACCCGCAAAAAAACGTGGGACGGGTTCGTGCCGGACTGGAGGCTGGATGCTTGCAAGGCCAATGGTCGCAGGCCCGGCTCAGACTTTGTTGACCTGGTTCCGACGCGGGAAAGGGTGAGAATTCCTTTTCTGCCTTGTAGCCTGCACGCGCGGCCTGGGGCGCCTGCAATGGTGCAACCTGGGCAGGTTTCGCTCGGACAACATCCGCATTCGGGCGATGGGTCCCATTGCTGCCAAACCCCCAGTTCCGTACACTTTTAGTCAATGGTGGCATGGCTAAAACTGGGGAACCGATTCCTGATGGTTTTCGTTACTTATCGTAGAAGCGTGCAAGTCGCTTTCACCATGCGACTGGATCTCCTCTTATTCGAACAAAGACAGCAAGGTATTCCCGCGCAACTGGGTGTATGCATGCACCCATGCTTGCAGCGCACGTAGCAAGGTACCCGATAGCCCCCAAGAAGGCTTGTTGCGATAGTGTCCGAGTAGTGATGACAGAGGTGGCAGGGGAAGAAGAAAACTACAGCTGTGGCAAAGGAATCTGACCTGTGCCGCTTGCTCTCTGTAAGAGAATATGCAGGACCCGCATAAAAAGTGCATGCCTTGCATCGACTTTTGTTCGCCCTACGCATGGATCGGCTCCCTCGCCCGACCCAACCACGTAACGTCCAAGACGTGGAACGGATGGAATTCGAAATCCATGCTCGAAGACTCTTTTAGCCGCTTATAGTGTCATGTAGGCGATCGAGCGAATCACTACTGAGGAATATGTGGGGATGGTGCGCGCTTTCGTCCACCAGTACATCAGAATCTTTGGCCACTGCAACGTACTGGCAGTAGTCTCAAGCTGAATCGACGACAGTCAGACGCTGTCATTCGCATCTTGAAAGACGTCAGGTCTGAATCGCGACGAGATGCAGGGCGCGGCTAGAATGGCCCTTGGCTCACAAAGCGTGCCCGCAACATTCGGGACGAAGGTGCTCGCCCTCTGTCGCGCGACGGGCAACGCAAACGCAGCGAGATTGATTGTGCGGTCATCCTATGGTGTTGCGACACGTGAATCAGCCAGCACGATCCATGCACTGCGCTTGCGGACTGCTTCGTTGTTTCGCGATCTTGTTCTGACAGCTGCTGCGGTTGACAACAGTCCGCCCTGTGGCACATGCGAGCAGTCAGGAACGCACACGGCACCCATTGCAGCGCGAGCATGTGGATCCAGGTTCGAAATGCCGAAGGACATGTGTGGGCGAGCAAGTCCGTCGTGTGGTTCAGCAAATCGCTCAACAGGCCCACAACGCGACAAAGACGCATGCAGGAACAACTCGCTGGACAGAAGGAATTTTCCTCGCTGCATCCAGCGCTGGCCTGCACGCCCTTCGCGGCCGTGGGCCCGTTGAGCGCGGTGCAGGAACAGAAACGTAAGTCTGGGCCGCGCACAGGATCTGCGTCTTGCCGCACCTGTTCCTGAATCACCTCGTGAGCCCGGCCGGTCCAAGCGTCGACGCCACCGCGCCGGCTCATCTGCCATTGGGCGGATCCGCAATTTGGGTCATTAGGGCGCTTTTAGCAGCCGCCCTTGGGCAATCCACGCATCTCCTCCTTTTCGCTCGTATAAGATTGCTTTCCGCGCACTCTCACTTCCCTTTTGGTCCTTCATTGTTGTCAAGATTCTTCGTCGTGCTGTGGGCTCGAACCTTTGAGCGTTCCTTTCTTCTCCACCTTCGCCTCACAGCGTCCTCTCCTTCAGGGAATTCCCTTCAACAGCAATATCCTTCCTTTTGTTTCGACAAGTCAGGCGTCTTCCGCGGTCGGGCTTGGTCAACTCTCCTTCTCAGACGCGCTTTGTTATTCGAAGAACGATCGTATCCTTCCTTTCACGATGCAGCTTATCACTAGCCTCGCGGTTCTCGCATCCGCTTTCACCTCGGTGAACGCCCTCGGCAGCGCCATCATCAACAACAACTGCGCATTCCCCGTCTACATGTGGGCCGTGGACGCCGAACGCAATCCAAGCCAGCCGACCGTCATCGCCGCAGGTGGCTCGTACTCGGAGCAATATCACGTTCTCTCGTCCGGCGGTGTCTCTCTCAAGCTGTCAACCAGCACCTCCAGCGAATACATCACTCAGTTCGAATACACTGTCCAATCCTTCGCCTCGCAACCATTTGTCTGGTATGACGGCTCCGACGTCAACTGCTCCGGCTCCAACTGCCCATTCTACAACTACGGCATCAACCTCAAGACGACCAACCCGTCATGCCCTACGCGTGATTGCCCCGTAGGCCAGCCTTGTACAGGTTTCTACCTCTACTACAATGACGACGTCAATTCCCTCTCATGCGACGACTCCGCTGATACCATCATGACCCTCTGCAGCGTAAACACTGGTGCCAGCAACGCCGCCAGCTCCCCACAGCAGAAGGCTGCCGCCGCGGCAACCACCACCTCCAAAGCACCAATCATCAACGAGGCGGTCATGACCACCTTCACCACCGCCTACGTAGCACCAACCAAGCGCGCCGTGGAACCAGTTCACCATGGTCACATGCACTTCCACCAGCGTGCCGCGCAGGAGTAGATTGTTAGACAATGATGGTGCTGTTGTCGGCAATGTAAATAAAATGAAAAGCAAAAACAATTCGTCCGCGCCTTCATTTAGTGCGCTGTTCAAACCAATTCAATTCTCAACCCCTCTTTTTTTCATGGGTCTTTACCGCATCCATCGAACATCTGCTTCCACACAAACTCTCTGTCTGGACGGAGTCATGTTATGGCTGCCCGTGGTGGTGCCCGAACATACGATACCTTATAGACGACCTGGTGTTGGGCTTTGCTATTTCATTTTGTTTGCCCTCGAATCAGGGTTCTTGAAGCTCTCAACGGTGTTTGTAGGCAAAGGGACAATGTGGACACAGATACCCCCACACATGTGGCGCTATCCTTGGGTGACTTTATCTGGGTCGACTTCTCACCGTTGTGCTTGTTACTTCAACATTGCTATCGAATCCTACAAGGGTTGTTATCTTGTATACAACTTCTCGGTCGTTTGTCAATCAGATGGCAGTTCCCTCATCACTTTGATCAAGTCTTTTCTTGCCTTATGAATCCCCTCACGATGCTATGATTTGATCGTTGCGCGAAGTCTCGGTGGTGTTTGACTTCGTGTGGATTGGTGTGTACATGCATATCTATAACCTTCTAGACAAATCAAACCCCTTTAGAATCAATACCTGGTGCTCCACTTCACAGTTCCGTTGCATTGCCACAGACATCTAGGAAGAATGAAGACCACCTAGCCTCAAGTGAACATCTTTGCGTCTGGTTAGATCCCGAGCCACTTTGTGCATGCCACGGACAAGGATGTCAATAGGAGGCCGAGGAATGGAGGGTAAACCTGCTTGTGTAGGCCCTATGTTCGACCACGCGTTGTGCGGTAAGACGAAAACATCAAACTACAACGACCGCGTGGCCAGTGTGGACCATCTGGCCTGGCCTTGCTCATTATTATCTTCTCCTCAAAGAACGCGAAATCCAGAGAAGAAAAATAGGTTAATTCGCCGATGCTCCGACTGTGAATAACAAATGATCTTCGGCGAATCATCAAACGGTTGTCCGCGTTTGTGAGACCAATCGAAGCCCTTAAACCCAATTGGGCAGGGCGGCCAGGCTGAACGAGATTTGATGAGGTACGCAATCATCTTGGGAGGTACGCTCTGTAATCTGCCAGCTGGAGACTGCAGCGGGGCGGGCCCTTTGATTTGCGGCCTAGAACAACAGCGCTGTCGTAAGACGACGCATCTCTGCGCTGGTAGAGATCTGGGGTTTGTCTCGTCAGGGCATGGAGAGGACGGCGAGGCATTCTGAAGGGCGACAGCGCGCTCTAGTGGCCAAAGACGAGCTTGAAAAGGGAATGTGGCAGCGGTAGGTGAAACGGGGAGATGAGCAAAAGCCCACAGTACGCAGGGGAGGACACGCAAGCACGGAGCAGCAACGGGGCAGCGTAACGACGTGACGGCGTGACTCGAGAACGACGAGGAGCGGGTAACGTGATGTACGATGTGTTTCAAAAGAGATGCACCGCGTAGCGCGACGGTGTTCCTCAGTATTTTTCTTTCGGAATCGTCGACGTGTAAAGACTCAAAGACTGCGCTGTCGTCGCATCGCAAACGAGGCCCTTTGTGACGCTCATGGCGTCCAGATCACGTGCGCTGCTGCATGTGGGACCGCGTCCCAATTGGGGTGCCAAAGCTCGCGGAGGATTGGGGGGGGTCCAAACATTTGACCACCGATCTCAACGCCGCAACACATCCTGAAGAAACAATCGCATCCTCGACCCTCACACTCGACAAGTCCTGCACAGCCATTGCCAACATGGACAAGGTGCAGTCTTTCTGGAAAAGTTCAACGTATGTCGTCCCTTGTCGTCGAACATGTGCGAGACTCACGCTGACGGGTGATCCCAACTTTCAGCTCGGGGGTGCTGCCTGGCCTGGCCAGAATGCAGCAGTCCGTGAAGGAGCAGCTTGGTCAGGCGGACGATAAAGTAAGTGAGAATTCTCGAATCCCGAGGTCAGAAGAAAGCACTGTTGTTATTGTCGTGCGACATCACATGCGGGAGAGGATAAAGAGCTGGGTGATACCAAGGCGCTGAGCAGCACGCCGCTTCAGCTACTCCTGCGATTTTCGAATCCTCAATCGGCTTCTTTTCACTGCCCTGGTTTGCGTCCGGCCGTCGCTGAAGCTTTGCTTTGGAATGGCCCAGTCGTGGCACGCGATCACCTGCTTACCGCATTTTTATTTAGACCGAGATGCCCGATGAATACATCAAGCTTGAGAAGCGGGTAGACGCTTTGAAGCAGGTTCACCAGAAAATGCTCCAAGTCACGTATGTTGCGCATGACCCAACGAACAGCGCAAGCCACTGACTGGAAACAAGTTCGCAATACACCAATGAAGCATACGATTACCCCTCGAACCTTCGCGAGTCCTTCAACGATCTCGGTCGTACGGTCTCGGAAAAAGTCACCCTCCTTGGCCAGGCAAGCTCACCAGCTGAAGCTGCCGCCGCTATGACTGCACCCCCACAAGCGAAGCCCCAGCCAAAGACCTTCAATCATGCCATGGCACGTGCTGCTCTGTCTGCTTCACACACTCTCAACAGCGCTCCGCACGATGGTCAAGAAGATCCACTTGCAACGGCACTAGAGAAGTTTGCCATTGCCGAAGAGAAGATTGGCGAAGCAAGGCTGGCACAAGATAGTGCCATCCAAGCACGCTATCTGGCGGGCTGGAGCACCACTCTCAACACTCAGATCAAGTTCGCTACCAATGCTCGAAGAAATGTCGAGAACGCCCGTCTCAGCTTGGACGCGACCAAGTCAAAGATCAAAAGCGGCCCTGGCATCAGCCTGCCTGGCTCTCACAGAGAGTCCATCAGCGACGAGGACCTGACCGATGCGCAAAGAGCCGAGATTGAGGCCAAAGAGGATGAATTCGTCGCGCAGACGGAGGAGGCGGTCGGCGTGTTCAAGAATGTGCTCGACACACCAGAGCCGCTACGAAACCTGGCCGAGCTCATCGCCGCGCAGCTGGAATTCCACAAGAAGGCATATGAGATTCTAAGCGAGTTGAGCCCCGTGGTCGATCAACTGCAGACGGAGCAAGAGGTGAGTCGCCACCAGCCCTTTAGTGTTTAGACATGTCTTCTCAGTATAATGACGTCGGTGCGCTTTGCTTTGTTCGCGCAACTGAGAAATGAAAACCTCCTGACTTGTCCCAGGCTACTTATAGGAAGAGCCGTGAGGGAGCGTAGATGTACATTCTAAAAAAGCCTGATGGCATTGTGCTTTTCTAACCTTGTGCTTGACTACAACATGAAGAGGATTTCGTTGCTGTATGCGTCTGGCCTGGAATATGGCTTGAAGCTGAAGGAAGCACCTAGGATAGTGCCGGAAGGCGTTCTTGAATCCTCATTTAATTCTTCTGATAGTCCATAACGTGAGCCTTCTCATTGATCCAGTCTTATCATTCATGCGACGTGCCCTTTGACGTTTTCAAATGCTCGACTTACTAATCAAATGTCGTGAGAGACCCATATCAGTCATTAAGTCCTGCGTTGGGTGGGAAACGATCCGTGCGCTGCAATATAGAGGACGTCTTGGCGCTCACTGTCGTATTCAGCAGTGAGGGCCATCTTAGGATGATTTGAAGCGCACTGACGGATCTTGCAATACGTTTTAACATGATTTGCTGGTCAAGCGCCGACCTCATCCACAGCTTACGAACGCGCGGCTGCCCAGCGCTCGTGCTGGAAAGGACGGATCCAGAAGCATGTCAGCTGCTTCGAGCAGGCTCGCAGTCGTTAGGTCCTTGGTTCGAAGCAACGTCTTGTCTTGAGTAGACAGCAATGGAAATCCCGTCAAGGCAGGATGACTGGCGTGGATGAGCCCGCCCGTCCACGAAGCTGGCACGGCTGACCCAGGCATCCTTCGCGAACCAGGTTCGGGAGCTTCTTTGCAGGTCCCGGCGGCAATGGTCCTCAGACAAAAGACAAGTGAACCGACGGAGAGATCTACCCGGTTGCTGCGCTCGTCACACGGGTTCTCTTTGGAAGCTGCATCTACCACAGAAGCTGCGTCTTTGACTGAGGCGGTGTCAGAGTATGTGTGGGAGGTTCCGTGCTGTCCAAGTTCGGATGATGCGAGCTTCAGAAATCTATTCTTGCCTGACGGCGTTGGGAAGTTCCAGTCCCGCTCCGTCTTCGGGTTTTTCTTTTCTTCTCATTTTCCATTTCCATTTCCTCTTTTTTTCTTTTCTTTTCTTTTCTTTTTTTTTTTTTTTTTTCAAAGCAATGTCTCGACCGTGTCGTTCTCGCGTGTGGATAGGCCCTTCTACTGTCAAGACTGTCTTGTGAGTTTGACTTTGATCAATCAGCCATTTGTCATTCAATTGCCGGCCAACTTAGTCCTGATCTATCTGCATCGGATTAGACGTGCCTGAGGGCGACACTTTTCTGCTTTGGAAGCTTCTTCTCGTCACCAAAATGAAGACGTAACATGGCATCGTGAAAGAGTGATCCGAGTTTCCCGAAAGACTTGGATCTACATCACTCTATGGCTCTCCTTTGGGTCTCTTTCTTGGTCAACCCTGGCAGGACGACACAAGGATCGATGGGACTTCTCGGTGCTTCTGTGACCACGATTTCTGCATCAACGCTATGGCAACTCCCCATCACCCGGTGGGCGGCAAACGCGCTCGTAGCTCAAAGTTCAAAGGAGTCCATACAAACTCGACGTCTAGACTACGCTCATGTTCTCTTTCAAAGAAAAGAAAACATTCGTTTCCCCTTCTGTCGCCGAAATGATTTTCCGGTAAAGAATTTGGAAGCAAATTGAGCTATTTCTGCATATCGAACGGTCCTACCAATAGCAGTCACATTCTGTCTCGTCCACTCAATACCATCCAATGCCTTCTACTTTCGGTTGTTCGCGCGAAGATTGCTCAAAGCGCCTACGATGTCTAGACTGGTCTTGCGATATTGTGCTATCCTCGGCTAAAGTAATGTATTGAAACCTTGCGAGCAAAACTAGCGCACCCACGAGCCAGAATGTTGAAAAAGATGTTTTCATCTGTAGAATGGCACAATATATATTCTGTGGATAACAGGAGAGCCATTTGGGGTTTCTTGTCATCTTGAGCCTTACAACATGAAGTGGCGATGTCAGATTCAAACGAGCTTGGCTACACCATGTCACAACTTGAAACGATCAGTAGTTCGAGAACAAATGGTGTGAACTTAATTTAGCGAGGGAAAATTTCCGGACTCGGATATCGAAAGAGTCTTTTATGCCAACGTGAATGTTGAAATATCCTAATAGGTGGCGATCCATGGTTGTAGACGTCCCTACGACCTGAAAGTGCGGGGGAACAAGGGCTATGATCTGCACGCAGATTCCCCGACTTTTCCCCAGATTTTGAACGCATTCACACGATGTGTGAATGTGGAAGTTTTGCCAGACGGGATTTTGCTCGTCCACTCCCCCCCGCCATCGGTGCGGTAGAAATTCCCTATGAAGCGTACGTACATCCGGGGCCACGATGGATCACGCGGGGATATCAAGGTCTTTGCCATACGTCTCTGAATATATTCGGAAGGCTAGCCGACAACGGGAACCGCTTGCTCAGCCTATCGTCGGACGGTCGACAACCCGAAAAATGGATCTAGAGCCATCAGGAAGAGAACTATTGGGTGGGATAGCTACTGGCTAATCGAGAATCCACCGCCCAGTTCATCCCATCCTTGGTGGTCATGCTGCTGGGCGTGATCTTCCTCGCCTACATCCGAAGCATGTCGCGTTGTAGCAAGAACCGATGAGATATATTGAGCTATCTCGAGTTTTTAGAGCTTAGAGAGCTTTGGAATGTGTTTTCCCTTTCTTGGCCGCTCTCGTTGAGGCTTGTCCTGACTTGCGTTCGGCATCTTTGCTGGATCCCTCTTGCCTAACATAGTCCAGCCTCGTCTCGACTTTGGACACCATGTGGACCGAACTAGCTAAATTTCTGTCCTTTGTGTCCCGACTAGGGGCATTTGCCATGAGCGTGGTATCTCTGGCACTTGTCTCGCTGACACTATCTGAAAGGGACTGGATGGATGGGATGTCCATCTACATCGTGGCTGTCAGCTGCTTGAGCATTCTTGTGGCACTTGTCCCACCGTACCCCAATTTTGTCATCGACTCATTCTTTGCCTTGGCATGGATAATGGCCGCTGTGTTTTCCTTTCTGATAATGGTAATTATGAAAGTCGTTTCTCCAATTCAAGGAACTGCGATAACATGCTTGGCTAGTTCTTGAAATCGACATGTTATGGCGTCGCCGACCCAGGCTCAATTGCAGTCGCTTGTCCCAAGTACAAAGCCTTTGTGGCCTTTTGTTTCTTGACGTTTGGTGCCTGGGCAGCGTGCGCCTCATTCGTAGGTCTCAGACCATGGCTCCATACATAATGCTGAGTGCTTTCCTCTAGGGTTTGCTGCTTTTCATCATAGCCATTTTCAAAAATGCACGTTTAAGAAGTAATCATTACATTCGTGATCCAACCATCTACAAAGGAAGATATCATGGAGCAGGGGCCTTGTCTTCGTCTGGCCCGGCCACTGCTGATGTACAAGCACCACCTCTGGCCAGAAACGCCGGCTTCCCGAATGATCGGCATGCTGATTTCGCAAGTGATACGCCCCAAGGGTCTGCTAATGAGAAGCCCACGGGCTATACCAGTGAGAAGTACGGCACGTATTATGATGAAAAATTTGCAAAGTATCCCTACGAAAAGATTGAACGCCTGCCAAGCAAGGACAATGAAGAGGACAAGATCCTTCCGGTCACAGCTCCTGCAGCGATGCCTAATATGTCTCATAACCAGCTTGGCTACGCGCCAGAGGGTAATGAACATGGTAGATATGAAGAAGAAGAATGGGCCCCGAAGGAGCCGGAGTATATTCGAGTTAGGTACGTGTCACAACCTCACTGGAAATCCAACACATTGATATGAAGGTAGAGGACTGTTTTCCGATTTCATCCTTGCGAATTGGGTTTGGCTTGGATTAGCTGGGATTGTCCTGATGGCTGTTATCTTGCCAATCGTGTAAGCAGACCTTGCAGGCCCTCAACTCCATGAGGTTGCCAAGAGCTCACAAACGCAACAGAATTATATACGGCGTTCCTGCCTTCGCGTATTACGTGCTGGATAATATCCAGGTACCGAAGTCTCTGTACGGTGAAATCACGGCATTCGAAGAGAGCTACGCGACATTCAACATAATGTCGAGCATTCGAGCGCCGTCCGGAATTTCTGCCAGCATAGATCCAACCACGCTGCAGATGTTCAATCCGGAGACCGTGCCAATAAGTCCGATTGCATACATCGACACTGGCAAAATTAAAATCAAAGGCGGCGAGACGATTCATGCCAACAACGGGCAAATACGGGTGGGCAACATGACGGAATGGACGAAGCTCTGGCGCAAGTTTTTCTTCGATCCCGTCATGACTGTCGGTCTTAAAGGCAGTCTAAAGCTACATGTTGGTCCTCTGAAAATATCTGTCGATACCGTCAAGACAGTATCTTATCAGGGCACGTTCCATATTTGCTCGATGCCCGAGAAGACTTGGCTCTAACATCAGCGTAGGGATTCTGAATGCAACTGTACTTCAACTCGAGTACCTCAAGATCCAACCGCCCGATGCTGACGGAGCCAACGTCTTGATTTCATTGCCCTTGGTCAACCCTGCCATTCTCACTCTAAATTCTGTAAGTCAATCGCTTTGTTGTTTAATTCCAGGCCGAAGCTGACGGCAGGTAGACTGCTCTTGTGACCGCTGACTTCACAATTGGTCAAACTCTACTCGCCGAAGCGTTTATCGACAACTTCAACCTGAAGAAGGGGCTTAATTACTTGGACGCAAGAGCAAGGGTCGATCTGGAAATCGTGCTTGGGTTGCTCCAAAACATCACCCAGGTCATCGGAACCGAGCTCCCGTACATGGCAAACGGCATCCTGGTCACCGGCTTGCAGACGACGAACATAACTGCAGACGGGCACTCGTGGCCTTACTGGGTCCGGGCGTTCAGGGGAATCGACCTGTTGGCGGGCATCGAGCTGTCTTCTGTGCCTCCGAGCCTTCTCACCAGCGTCGCGAGCGATGCGATCGCGGGAATCCTGACGGGGACTGGCGGCTCGTTCATAACGCAGGAACCCGGCGGCGTAATCGACGTCAACACGACGCTGATAAACAAGATCCTAAGGAACCTGACGATCATCGACGCGTCGTCTTTGAACCTGTAGATAGAAACAGCCGTGAAAGACAATCCAAATCCCCGTCGACTCGTGCTCTTGTTCCACACGTGAAAATTTCCACCGCAGACCTGAGCAACGCTTTTTTGCTTTCCCCCGTCCCTGAAACCGCCGTTTTCTCGCAAAGCGTCATGCGTCCCGTCCAGGAGCGTGCATGTCAATTGTCTAAGGGAAAATGCCATTCTGCGCAACCCTTGTCGCGCGCGAACTTGACGGGTCCATGTACGTGAATCCGAAAAACACGACGCGTCCCTTGTCGTCTTCTTCGCCAAGTCCTTTGCATGCTGAGACGGGAATGCAGATCAGTTGCAGAGATTTGTACTTGTGCTGTGCAAATCGAGTATATCCCGCTGCAACGGAAGTCCTGGGACGAGATCAAGCGGGAATGTTCTTTGAAAGGATTCAAGCACCGGGAGCAGACTTTGATCTTCTCGCTTCATTTGCCTTCTTGATAACTACGTACCGAAACTGATGCCGCTCTCGGTCTCAGCGTCGATATCTGCCTGAACAAGTGCCATGTCCACCAGTTTCGAGTTCCTACGCAACCCATCTCTCTTCCCTTCCACGATGACGCTACGAAGTCCATTCGAAGACATCTCAAACGCGCCAGTGCCGTCCATCTTCGTCATCTTCGTCGAGTCCCTTGCCCGGGTGGCGGTGTCAACCCTCCTCGTTTTCCTGTTCGTTCTTGGAGCCATAGTACGCGCCAACAAAGTCCCCTGCCACAGCTGGTTGTCCTTGCCGACGGTGAGTCTGAACCCGTCGCGGGCGCCCAGGACGCGCTGGACGTCGTCGTACGACAGCCAAAGATCGAAGGTGGCAGCTGCACTTACCAGGACTGCGTGCTCGTTGACGAGGATGCGGCGCAGTGTGCCACAGGCCAGGCACGCGGCGATGCAGGCGGCGTTGCGGCGAATGAGTTGGAAAAGCGCGTTGAACGGTGCGGCCGGCACCGCCGGTGCGGAGCCGGCGCCGCGGCGGCACAGCTGGCCTTCCTCGACGCAGCGCAGGTCTAGCGATGGGTTCGTGACGCATAGGATGTGATACACGGCCGTAATGTCAAGCAGGCGCGGTGCCGCAGAGGGTGCCTGCCTGGCTGGCAGCGTGATCAGCAGCGTTTTGGACGCGCGCAGGAAGGCGGGCCCGACGAGCGCATGCCACCTTGAGAGAGCGGCTAGCGGCACAGCCAGTGTCTGCGTGGAGGCGTAAACGTGCAGTGCTTCGGCGCGAAGTGGTGAGCTGGCCTGCAGGAGAGCCAGCGGCTGCCATCGGCGCAGTCTCCGTGTCTTCTGGTCCTTGTGGAAGAGTTCTTGCTGGCCTGAGACGGCGTCTTCGATCGCAATGGCGTAGATGACACTGCGCAGCTCGGAGGGCAGATCCATGAAGCGGAACAAGGTGTATCTCGTGACGCGACCACAGTCTACATCACCGTCTCTAGCATGGCAGTCATCGGCCGTTAACGTCGAAATTGACTTCTTCACGGACTGCACGCTGCCACCTTTCGCCTGCTCCCCGCATCGTACTTGGCACACGGGATATGTGCTGATGTGGAAGAACTCGGTCTCCACGAATCTTGCATCGTGGTGATCAAGGCCCAGGTGCACCGACCGCTGCTCCGCCGTGCTGCATTGGCCGCCATATTTTGGGTGAGGGCACAACCAGGATGAGTGGTCGGAGGTGCCAAATAACGTCGTGCATCGTGTCTGTGAGATAACATTCTGGAGTCCATGGGGAGATGTCTTCATGCCGTGTCGTCCTCGTTCGCAAAAGAGCTTCTGTATATCGTCTTGCAAAAGTGAGAGAGGGAGAATCCTATCGCCACGATCAAAGCGAAAAATAGCCAAAGAATCCGACATTTCGTAGGGCTTTGCCTATATTTTTGTCACTGGTGTTGTGGAATCTTGTCTTTGTTGTCGTGGTTTGCTACAACGGATTCCCTGCACGGAGAATGTCGATGATGTGCTGCGCTGGGGATTGCCGTGTGGTGCCACGAGAAGCCGTTTGCGCGGAGACGTCGGGTAACAGGGACGCAATCACTTGAAACAACCACCAACCCTGGCCCATTGTCCAGTCACATGTAGTCGTTTCCGTCTACTGGGGCGAGACAGAAGGAAGCTCTTTATGCCTCCGCTCTGCGGTTCGTGCTCGCCAGATGGAGCCATGACTGGCGTGCTTGCGCTTTGAAGAGAACAAAAGGAGAGACGTGAACCACATCATGCTACCCAATCCTGATCGCCTAGCTCCAAGCTGGGCTCGTCCTTCGTTTTCTTCTTGTGTTTCGGCTTGTAGCCCTCGATGACTTCGCCCTCCGTCTGTTCGGAACCGTCTGGCTCTGGCGCCGACGGCGGTTTGACCGTGTCCTTCTCGACGAGCACGTTGCTGACCATGCCAGCCGACCTGGCCGGCTTCTCGCCATCGCCCCTTTCCAGAGCCAGCTCCTTCATCTTCCGCTCCAGGTCGTCCTCGTCGCCACGGAGCTGCGCGCCGGCCGAGCCCGCTTGGTCTGCATCCCCGGTCATGATGTCGATCTGACCGCCTTCGACTGCGCCTCTGCGCTCCCATGCGGGCGTCTCGATCAGCTGCACCTTGATCCACATGGCGCGTTTTGCGCACACGGCGGAGCACCAGCTCTCGGCACGGCCTCTGTCCACGACGCGACCGCCGCCCAGGATCTTCAGCCTGCCCCCGCCTTGCGTCGTCTTCGGCGCGTTGCGGCAGAAGACGTATCCGCAGCGTCCGTCGATCCGCCGCTCCTCGATCAGCTCGTCGTAGTCGCCCGGAGTGAAGATGTACACCAGCCTCGTGAACTCGGCCACGTCTGAGGCGTCTGGCGACGCGGACGTCGAGCTGGGGTGTGCGGGGAAGTCGATCAGTGTCTCGATGGCGGAGACGATGGCCGCCTCGACGTCCTTCTGGGCCTGGATGAGGTTCGCGTGGTACAGGGCGATCTCTCGGTTGCGCTCGTCGCGCGACTTCGTCGTTGGCCGTTGCTGTTGCGCCGCCGATGAGGACGCTGGCGTCTTCTTCAGGATGGACTTGGGTGCCATGCTGTTCGTAACCTTCTCTTGGTGTAACAGAGAGTGTGGCCTCTTGCGACTAGGTGTGGCGTAAGGATCAAAGCGAGCCGTGGATTTGCATCTCGTTCATGTACCGCGGCATCAACGCGCCATGGTGCCGTGTCGAACAATATTAGGAGGCGTTTTGGTGGGCTAAGGCACGTAGTTCCAGAGCCATCTTTGTGCGGTCTGTCAAGCCCCTCGTTGGCTTCTTCCTTTGCATGGGCCTTTGCACGACCCACTACGCACCCCCCCAGAGCTCCCCCCGCCATTAGCGCCCCCCTCCCCTGTCTGTCGCCCCTCCCGCCCAATTTTTACTGGGCATCAAATCAACATGAAGCACACAGTCGAAACTGCCAAAACGCTTGTTTCGTGTGAGCCCGTCTCGGCCAAGTCAACAGCGAACGTCAAGCGTTGGCATCACATCGGAGAAGAGGCGACGCCATCAGCAGCGTTCGCATCCTCCGCCGTTGTCGTTGCCGATTCTGTCAGCAGAGCTCGACGCCCTCTCTCTGTCTCTCCGCCTCTCTCACCCTCTTGCCCATACACAGCTCGGCAGACTCGCTCGTCTTCAGCTGCCGCCTGAGTTTGCAAGAGCTCATCGTCCTGCGTCCGGCCCGGCATCGTTGTCATTGGTGCTGCTTCCCATTCCCGCCTGGCCGTCTTCCCGTGATCGTCATCATCTCACCTCGATTTTTTTCTGCACTGCCCACTCCGCTAGACTGGGTAGCATTACGCAACCGCGGGCTCCTCTGCTTGGCGCCACCTCCTCTGCTCTCTTCAGCTTGACCTGTCTGGCGTGCTTCGCTGGGGAGACTGCCGCACATACACCTTAGTTGCACAAGCACGGCATTAACACTGCAGTTACCGGTCGCTGCTCATACCGCTTGCCCGTCTGCCTTGCGTCTCCTTTATCTCTACCTCGACTGCGACGTTTCCTTCCGTTCTGCCGTCCTGCCGAATTTCGGACAAAGCAAATCGGGTGAGCAGCGGTGACGAAGCTCTCAAACACTCGCATCTTGGCCAGACCACAACACCACCAGCAACGCCGAGTTCGACCACCGCAACGCCTCGGGAAAAATAGAATACGGAAGGCGAGGAACTGCGGGTTATATGTTCATGCCCGCCCGCACGCCTCCGTCGTCGCCATAATACAATCCCGCCGCTGCGTTTGCGTGTTTACTTGTGCTTTTGCATGTATGTGTGCCTGCACCCGTGTGGCATTATTTACGATTCCCCTCCTTCGCCTCCGAAGGACATTCTAAACAAATCCAATACCACCGTCATTTTCAAACATAACGAGCTACACTGGTGAATTGCTTGCTCAATCTCACACGCCTCATCACTGCGGCTTGGAAAAAAAAAAAAAAAACTCTGGCACACCGAGGAGCAACTCCGAGCAAGCATGGCTGCAGCTCCGCCTTTTAAGGTCAAAGCCTTGTACCCCTACTCCTCGGAACATGAGGATGACCTGAACTTCGCCGAAGGCCAGATTATCACCGTCACTGAGATCGAGGATGACGACTGGTACATCGGCGAGTACACATCCGGTGACGGGTCAACCAAGTCCGGTCTCTTCCCGAACAACTTCGTCGAGCGCTATGAGCCAGCGCCCCCGCCTCGGCCCACGCGGCAGTCACGGCCCAAGTCTGTGGCAGAGCCGACAGCGATGATGGCGACAACTCCCGCTTCCGCCGTCGCTTCTTCGGACGAGCCAGCGCCGCCTACAATGCTGTCAACTGCGTCGAAACCGAATGTCGAAGAGGAGGGTCGCGGACAAGAGGAGGAGCCGGAGGAACAACCGGCTACCGCGTCGAGGAAGAGCGTTGATGCTCCACCACCACAGTCCGGACAAGAATCCACTGCAGAGTCCTCTCCACCAGTCCTCCCGGCCGCCACAAAACCAGTTCCTCCACCTAGCGCCCCAGAACAGCCGCGAGTTCAGGCGCAGCAACCTCCACCAGCGCCCAAACCCGAGCCAGCGGAACCAATCAAAGCGACGCCTGCGAAGAAACCCCCACCTCCAGTAGCTGAAAAATCATCCTCTTTCAAAGACAAACTAGCTGCCTTCAACAAGCAGGGCGCCGCTCCTATCGCGCCATTCAAACCACCCGGTTCGTCGGCAAACGCATTCATCAAGAAGCCCTTTGTGGCGCCTCCGCCGTCAAGAAATGCATACGTCCCTCCCATCACGCGGAATGAGCCACCTCCGAAGGTATATCGGCGCGAGGAAGACCCTGAAATCGCAGCACGGATGGCGGAGGATGAGGAAGCTGCGGAGAAGGCTGGCCTCACGGCTGGGAGCTTAGCTTCACAGCAACAAACTGAGGTAGCTGCTGAGGGCGGTGAGGAAGATGCGCCCAAGCCCGTCAGTCTGAAGGAGAGGATCGCGCTGCTGCAAAAGCAACAACAAGAGCAGGCTGCGCGCAGAGCCGAGTCGAGCCACAAAAAGAAGCCCGAGCGGCCTCAGAAGAAGCGGGCGGAGTCACACGAGGGGGCTGCCGCCCAGGATACGGGCGCCAATGTCGACCAGCAGCCGGAGGGAGCTGAACGCGCGGCTAGAGATCCAGAGGATGTGTCCCGTGAGGCACCCGTACGGAAGACGTCGCGGCCGCCTGCCGTTCCAAGAGATCGGGAGGCTAGCGACGGCAACGAGGCGGATCAGTCAGCTGCTGGTGAGACCACCGAAGACGCGGGGCACGATTCGTCAACGGAAGAAGATGGGAAGCCGCCGCGGCCCACCCCTGTCTCGAAAGCAGCTCATGCAGAGGCTGAGGATGGCGAGTCTACTGAAGAGGGTGAGCAGGACGAGGACGAAGACGAAGACGAGCTGGACGAGGAGACGCGGCGGCAACAGGCACTTCGCGAACGCATGGCTAAGCTGAGCGGCGGTATGGGCATGGGCCCCATGTTCGGACCTCCTGGTGGAATGGTGATGCCAGGCATGGGTGGCATCCCAGCGAAAAAGAAAAAGCCACCTCCGGCGGAGCGGAAGCCCGCAGAAGAGGCTGCCGAGGAGTCGATGGCCAGAGCGCCCATGGTCCCCATTCCTGGAATAGGACTACCAGGTATGATGGCAAGAAGCATGAGTAGCGAGAGCGGGGCTACTCTGGGCAAGGAAGACTCGGGTAGGACGGAAGAGGGCGAAGCCGAAGCCGCTGTTACGGCATCTCAAGGTAAGTTCTCCTTCTGTCTGTGTGATGAGATGCTGGCCTGCGAGAAAACGGTTGAGAAATGCAGTTGCAAGTGTGGGGAGAGTCGCATCATCACGTATCCGGATGAGATTGTCACAGGCGGAGCGAATATACAAATTTGCGCACCGTTCGAGAAGTTGGCTCATCGCGATTACGGAGATGCTGCTTATTCCATAACCAAGGAGGAAGAATACATAACCGGTCGGAGAAGCCAGCGCCAATGGAGTTCAACCAAGAGCCATGGACATGTGCGATCGATCGCTCGAAAACCTCTGGGCCCGCTTTCATCACCGCAGCTGCGTTTCATGCCGTGGTTGCGGCCATGGAATGCTCTTCCGATGAAGGTTCTTTCAGATCGATCAACCATGAATCTGGCTCTTAGTGGTCCACCATGTCGTCGCGTCATGAAGAAGTGCTGTGCAGAATGTGAACATGCTAACAGATTTGACAGCTGCACCGTCCCCACCAGCGACGTCGAGGGCCGCGCCACCGCCTATTCCTGGCGGCCGACCTTCCATGGAGGCACGTGCTCCTCCTCCACCGCCTCCTGCGCAGCAAATGACTGAGAGCGAAGGCTCTGAAGCCGATGATGAGATCGCTGAGAGATCGGGAACAGAGCTTCCCATGCGTGGAGCACCACCCCCTGTTCCAAGTCATGTGCCACAGCCTTCCAACCGCATGTCTATGGATTCTCCAACCTTACCACAGTCACCGACATCGCCTATGGAAAACAAACGCGCCAGTAGGATTCCTCCTCCAATACCCGTGACGAGCCCTACCATGATCCCCCCTGCTCCGATGTCAGCAACGAGTAGGGCTCCGCCGCCTCCACCGCCTACGCAAGCACCCAATTCGAGGCAAGGCACGATAGACTCGACACATCGCAAAGCACTGAGTGGAATTGGGGCACCAGAGTCGGGGAGCGAGTATGAGGGTGACTATGACACGGACATCGCGTCAGGCGAGAAGCATAAGGACGCGTTAAAATCACATGCGAGGGACCCGAGTCTAGATGAAAGCTTGTCGATGGACACTCCCGTCAGGAGCCCCCCACTGCCTCATAGTGGTCCATACTCACCGACGGGAGGGCCTAGAGGCGTCCCCCCGCTGCCTCCGACTGCTCCGCCGGCCTCGAGGAAGAGCGCTGAGCATAGCAGAGCTCCTCCCCCGATTCCGTCGAGGACTGGAGACGACGATGAATATGATCCATTCAACTATGCTTCAACGCCTGCTGTCGCAGCAAGATCACCACCACCTCCTCCTGCTCCAGCACATAGACAACCACCCCCACTCCCTACAACTGCGCCGGCCATGCCTGCACCTCCAGTACCGCCGCGACAGGAGAGTGAAGATGATGATGATGAAGACGAAGACGAACTGTACTCCCAGCCACCTCCGCGAAAATCTGCTGACCAACCGCGCAAATCGATGGATAGGCCGCCTCCTCCGCTTCCACCCCAAGCTCCTCCATCCCACGATAGAGCCCCGCCGCCATTGCCTCCCCAAGCGGCGCCGCATGGTCACTTTGATGCTCCACCTCCCGCGCTCCCGCATGGAAAGGCACCGGGAAGGCCATCTATGGACCAGGATCGGTCTTTTGCGCCTCCATCACGAACATCTACGGATCCCATTGGCCGCCCGTCCATGTCTGGCCACAGGCCTGAGATGGGTGACTTTATCGCGCGCGACATCGATCTCGCAGAGGGCTCGCTCTGGTGGACGCAGCCCAACATGCCACCACCAGCCGTTCAAAATCGTGTCGACGTCGGCTTTGAGATTGAAGAGTCGACCAGTACCAAGCGCGGCGGAAAGACCATCGTATCCAAGGATGTGTACCTTTTGTACCAAGATTACAGCCAGACTGTTGTTACAGCGCGGTTTGACGCAAGCCAGCCACAAGACGCTCACCTGGAGCAAAAGCACGAGCCGCCTCCAAACAAGCTGCGGCAAGACCAGCTGGAGAACTTTTGGACGCGCTACGGAGCGTCCATCTCCAAGACGGCAGAGAAGAGCATCGGCGGCTCAGCCGTGGGTGACGGGAGTGCCCACGCGTTCATCCTCGAGCTGCTCAAAAACTTGCCAGGCTCCCTCGCACCTGTTGGTACGCGAGCTTACGGCGCGCTTGTGTACGCGAATTTGGGCAACGCAACCGTGCAACAATTTGACGAGATCCGACCGGGTGACGTGGTAAGTTTCCGCAACGCCAAGTTCCAGGGAAAGCACGGTGGCTTGCACACCAAGTATAGCATCGAGGTTGGTGGACACGTCGGCGTAGTGGTCGAATGGGACGGCACGAAGAAAAAGCTACGTGTTGCCGAACAAGGGCGAGACATGAACAAGGAGAAGAAGAAGGACAAGAAGGGCAAGGTCGAGATGGAGAGCTATCGGCTTGAAGACCTGAGGAGCGGCGAGGTGAGGGTATGGAGAGTGGTAGGAAGGGAGTATGTCGGTTGGGACAGCGGCCAGTGATTGCATCTCCATGCATGCCTGCTTCTGGCCTACGAACAAGGGAAGGTGAGAAAAAGGAAACCTTGACGATGTGTGAGTCCCTGTGGGCCTGTTGATCGTTTTGGGTGAAACGAGAGGCGAGTTGAAGAGAAAACTGCATAGCTTTGAAACCATTCTTTAGCGTATCATGAGTGGTGGATGAACAATTCAGGCTTGCTTGGCGAAAAAGTAGGCATTGCGCAATTTAAACCTTTTTGTTGCTCCATCATGTTGTTTCTGCTCCCTTGATGCACCTGAATCTCTTGCTGTTCATCTCAAACCAGAGGCACTGCAGAACACGATTGTGCTTCGGATTTCCAGACGTATGTTGTTCACGGCTCGGGAGCTTTTGCCAGAGTCTATTGCAGGCATCACAGAGGCTGTTAGGTTGACTCAAGATCGTTTCAGCACAGCTGACCCAGCTGGTGGAGAAAGAAAAGCCCGTCGAGCCAATTCAAAAGCAACGACGGTCGGTCCTTGGAGCCTTACAGAGCCGTTTGGTGATCAAATCCTGTCCCCGAGGCGGAAAAAAAATGGAAAAGTCTCTTACTTTCGGGCTATGTTCGCTTTTCTTTCTGTCTCATTTTTTTTTTTCTTTCAAAGTGGCATTCACACGTGCTAGAGTCGGATTGAAAGATCAACAGGCAAGTGACGATCCGATGAGGTTGGAGTGCCATGTCACCTGCCCGATATTACGCAGTCCCCTCGAGTGTTCCAGTGCCGTTCTCGCACGCTACAACTTTCCATCTTTTTGGAAAAACAACGGTTCGCTCAGCATGCAGAAAGACCTCGTCGCTCGAAAACGCATGCAAAAAGGTGCCGATGTCGATTGACGCGGTTTTTTGGCATTTGAAGCAGTCGGCTCGCCTGGCTGGATCAGGCTTGCTGCGAATTCCTTTTTTGTCGGCTGGAGCAGCTCGAAAATTGGTACAAAATGCTGCGAGCACAAGGCTTGAGCGGGCCGCTACATGATCCTCCGAGTCCCATTGTCGTCCATGCTTGAACTCAGTTTTCTGCTTTTTCTCTTCTTTTCTCTTGCTTACGTCGAGGGTTGCTGACCTTCCTCTGTTATTTATGGTTTATGCTGGTCGTCTTGTTTCCGTCCCAAAAAAAAAACAAAAAAAAAAACTTACGTAATGTTCTGTTGGACTTTGCACCACGCGCTCTAGTTCTAGCTCAGATCAAGTGGACGCCCTGGATCTCACAACGTTCAGTTGTCGAGCAGGCCCGAAAGCTGTGTGGATAAAATAGCTGTCGGAGCTCATGGAAGGATGATTGACAATGTTGCTAAACCCGGTGATTTGTACTGCAGAGGCTTGGAAAGCGCTCGCTGAACCACGGACGACGTTAGAACTAGTTCTAAAGCAATCACGCAAAACGAGGGGCAAGCCCTTTCGTGGACTGAAAGTGTTGCTCGCGCTTTGTCGGAGCCACAAAACGACGACTGCAGTCCAGGCAGATTGTCCTATACAGTCAAGGGTAAAAAATCGTGTGCGATGGGCCTCTTCGAAAAGAAGGGCAGCTAGCAGCCGCTGTAGGTGTTCCCCCAGTGCAGCTTTTTTCCGCAATTGGGTATGGCAACCCGACGTCGTCGGTCTCGTGACTTGACCATATATATCGACCGGTTCTTCGATTCAACAAGCACCATAGCAAGCGTAGCATAATTCACCATGGCTTCGGATAAACGGTCTTATCTCATTGTTGGTGCCGGCGTTTTTGGCGTTTCTACTGCATACTACCTCATCAAGAAGTACCCCAAGGCTTCGGTCACCATCGTCGACCGTGATGCCTACGATGCCCAGTCACGGGTGGCAGCCTCTTGGGACTGGAACAAGGTCGTGAGAGCTGACTACGATGACATTGTTTATTGCAAAATGGCGCTCGAATCTCAGGACATCTTCAACAATGACCCGTTATGGAAGCCGTATTTTCACCAGACTGGCATATATTGGATGTGCCGCGACGACTACGCCGACAAGGTCGTCGCGAATTACAAGAAGCTCGGCCGCGTTGCGGATCTACGAGCTGTGCCCGTCGAAGAGGCAAAAAAGCTTTACGGTGGCTTGTTCAAGGATGCCGATTTCACGGGCGTCAAGGCTGTGCTAGTGAATAAGACGAGCGGTTGGGGCGCTGCTGGGGACTGCTTGCGAGCCGTCACTCGAGAGGCAGTCAGATTGGGTGTCAAGTACGTGACGGCGGAAGTGTCCTCGTTGACCTTCGACCAGCAAGGACGTTGCACTGGCGTCAAGACTTCGGATGGCAAGGTCATTGAGGCTGCACATGTCATTCTCTCCACAGGCGCATTCACACCCAAGCTACTGGAGCAGAGTGCCATGGCAACCGGGAAACTCGACCTTCGTGCTGGTGACAGGATCACAGCTGCTGGAATCACCACCGGCATGGTGAAGCTCGAGGGAGACATGCTTCGCAAATTCGCGTCCATGCCCGTGGGAGTGCAAGGGTACACCGCGCAGACAGGCCCGTTCATAGGCAGTCTTCCGCCCACTCCGGACGGCGAGCTCAAGTGGTGGGGACAGACGATCTTCAGGAACACGCAGGAGATCTATCCCGGACGGCACATCTCCATTCCTCCCCCCAGGCAAGACTACGCGCAGTGGGAGATTCCAGGTCGGCTGAGGAAAGACATCGAGCACGCGAGAGACGTCTTTTACGGTTCGAAGAGCAAGAACTGGAAGATGGAGAAACACAGAGTGTGCTGGTAAGCATTGTTTCCATCTCATCGATCAAGTCCCCACTGCTGACCCTCTTTCCCTTTTTTTTTCCTCCTCGCAGGGACGCTTTCACAACTTCAGCCGACTTTATCATCTCCCCTCATTCCGCCGCCCCCGGTTTGTACATAGCTACGTGCGGCAACTTCCACGGATGGAAATTCTTCCCCGTGCTAGGTAAATATGTCATCCAAATGCTGGAAAACACCCTGCCCTCCGACCTGGCAGAAAAATGGGGATGGGACCGAGACCGCCCAGACCCTTCTGCCAATCCGGACTGGCCTCGCGCCGAGATGGGCCATATCCTCAACGTGCCTGAGCGTGCCAAGCTATGATGCATGTGCGTAGGATGAGACGACGACAACGACAACGGCGAAGACCACGTGCTTGGCGGAAAACGATGTCGGGACGCGAATGAAACTTGAGCATTTACAAGACCGGCGCTTGCTGATGTTTGGGAAAGCAAATGGCGTCCGTTCGTGAGCAATAATTTTTTTTTTCTTTTTCTTTTTGCTCGTGCATCAAAAGGCAAGCAAAAAAAAAGGGGGGGGTTGGGGCTTTGTCGACAGTTATCGTGGGAGCGACGACGTAATAGTCAAATCATAGAATTTCTCGTTCTTGACCTCGCGTGCATAGTCTTGCAGAGTAGAATAACGTGATGCCAATCTCGAATCTGAAACTTGACCCTCTTGGTTGTGGCGAGTCTCCCGTAAGGACGTGCGATGGCCTGGCATCGAGGAAAATCGGTCGTCTTGCTGAAGTTCGCCCGCAGCGGATAACGTAACTTCACGACAGAAGCAGGAGACCGGTTTTTTTTTAAAATATATATATATATATATATATATATATATATAGCAGTTGTTTTAAATGCTTAAGGTGTACTCGATCGGCTGATAAGGAGCTACGCGAGACAATTTCGTTTTGTGACGTACGATATGATATACTTTTTTTTATATATATAAAAAAAAGTCTTTGCAATTACTGTCAACTAAGACGTAACACGAGACAATTTGGGAGAGAAAAGACGTTCTTGACATGGCTAGTGCAAAGTCATGGCATCGAATGCGTTGCTTTACCGTTCAGCAAAGTTCCGGCAGACCAAACCCTTTTGTCACCGACGGAAAAATTGTCCCCACGCCCATCGCTATGTATCGAAATGCAGGTTAAGAAACATGGCGCCTACCACACTAGCCTTGGGTTCGTCGTTCCGCAGGCCAGCCCAGAGCAGAACATGATGTCCTCCTTGCTCACCTCGCCGGCCTTCGAGTTTGGCATCTCCTGTCGTGCAGGATGTATCTCCTTCTTTGCCGCTTGCTCCTTCTTGTAGTGCTCGGTCACGGTCTCTCGCACCTGCGACTGGAAATGAAGGGGCCCCTGTTCCAGCCTGGGGTGAAGCTCTCCGTTGACGAACACGCCGGCGTTCAGGTTCTTTTGCGCAGCGTCGCACAACGCTTTGTCTTCCGACATGACGCGCTTGTAGATCTCGTCGACGGCTTTGAATTGTTCCGGCGTCGACTTTGTGTTCCGATACACTTCATAGCGCATGATTGACGAAGAGGGCCCTTTGGGAACAAAGCGTTGAATCATGAAGAAGTGCGGGCTTTGTAGCATGTCAGCCGAAGATACGTTGAAAAGACAGCTTGTTGACTTACGAGACGTTGGTGGAGACGTTGGGGAAGTAGTACGTGGCAGCAATAGTGAGGCCTGCCTTGGCTTGCTCTTCCGTCGTGCCAGGGCAGTGAATGATCTTGGTGCCTTCGGTGATGACAGAGTAGGCCTCTAGGTTGGCAACAGCGGGTAAATCTGGATGTGTTGTTGCGCAATGGTAGCACTCGTTGTAGTTGTCAGCAAGAATCTTCCAGTTGTAGGCACCTTCCATTTGCCACGTGTGATCAAAGACGTAGTCATCAAAGTTGAACATCTTATATCGTTCCTGGCGGTCAATACCCTCGAAGTCATCTTCCCAGGCTATCTCAGGTGTTTTCTTCGCGTCAAGGTTGATCCAGATGAAGCCGTTGCAGTCAATGTGGACGTGAATTGGAAACAAATTATTCCTGCTGCGGTCGAAGTCTGGCAGCTCTTGATAACCGGGTGCCTTTGCGAGATTACCACTGAGACCGTACGACCACCCGTGGTATTTGCAAGAGAATATGCTTGCCGTTCCTTCATCTCCTGTGACCACGGGATAAGCACGGTGGCGGCACACATTATGGAATCCGTTGATGTTTCCCTGTCTGTCGCGGCAGAGAATTATGTCAAAACCGGCTATATCATATCTAAGCCAGTCGCCAGCCTTTTGAAACCTGACCTTGTGGGTTATGAGCTGCCATTTCCTGGAGAAGATAGCTCTCCGTTCCAGTTCGTACATCTCTTGAGAGGTGTACCAATTTGATGGCAGAGCCCTGATGGCATCTTTGGGCTGTTCGGCCGACGAGGAGCTCCAGTAGCTGGCAAGATAGCTGCGCAAAGCTCGACTCATGATGTAGCCAGTCAAAAGAGAAACGGTAAGGTAAGCAGTAAATCTCTGAGGATCTTCAGGAGTGAGCATTTCAAAAAGTATGCACTGAGATGTGGAGGACGAAGTTAAATCAGACAGCCATATAGCTGTTTGTCACAACCACGTCTTGCCTTATTATGGTAACGTCTTATCATAGCTGTTCCGAATGCAACATGCAACTGAAAACCCCATGGAGAGCGACAGTCCAGCAACCCCACCACTAGTTCAGCCCTTGGACCCTCGTCAAAGTCCCTTCAAATTGGACAGATATCCCAAGAGCGGATGTTCCTAGTCTCGCCGTTGCTGCGACCCTTTCCGCGAGAGACGAAAAAAGAGTAGATCTCACGTCGCCTACTCTGTGCTGGGCTAACTCAGATGCTAGAATCCTGAAATGGGATGCCAATACCACAAAACAAATGACGGCAACGCAATGGTGGCCGGCTCCCGCTGAGAAGCCAGCAAGGTCATCTTGCAAGAATGAGGATGTAACCAGGGTTCTCGAGCTACGGCGGCGATAAGCGTCTACCACCAGCGCGGCGACTGGTGGCGCGGAAGGTGCTCGCAAAGCTAGGCCATGCTGGCAGATCAGCAGTGCGACTAGGGCATCTGACGCTCTGGAGAATCACAGCTCGAAACAGACTGATCGTGCGCCGAGTGGATGATAACTCGTCGGTAGCGTGCGTGTGTCGTTGCAGTCCCACCCTGGCGTCTCCAGCACGTCTGTAATGGAAATTCGATCCATTTTAGGAAGGATGGACCATGCACGTGTCTGATTGGACCAATCTGCTTATGTAAGAGGTCGACCGGCCAGCTTCGCACTTGTTCTAGAACGCAGATGAACGACATCGCAGAGTGATGTCGAAGCAGACACGCTTGACTCTAGCGGCCAAATGAAGCTCATCGTTGTGACAGAGTGCGTCCTACGTGCAGCACGCCGTGGAGATCTCTCCGGGATTCGCGAGCGATTCTTGACGCAAAGCTTCCACAATGCGATCTTGGACAACGGAGCCGTCAGACGAGTTGGACAAAGAATTCAAACCATGCATTTGAAATTCACTATGCTATCATGATAATTTTGCCGTATTTAGATACAGCCCGAGGCGAAATGAGGAGCTGTTCTTGCTCGCTTGTACCCCAAATAACTAATAGCAACACAAAATCCCTTTGATCAACTTGCCGTCTCCGTCGGTGCTAGAACTCTCTTTTCCAAGGGCAAATCTCTCAGTCTCGTCATGGCCGGGTCGAAAAGAGGCTCAGGAGTCACTGTTGCCGCAATCTTCGTCCCAAAATACTCGATCTCCACGTTCTCGTTCTCACCAATGCTGGCAGGTAACCAGGCGTACGCAATGGGCTTACCAATAGTGTAACCGAACGCTGCGCTGGTAACATAGCCCACGGGCTTGCCCCCATGGAACACTGGTTCCTTCCCGAGCGGCTGTGAACCAGTCTCTGCCGCAGTCTCGGGCGAAATTGTGAGACAGCGCAGTCGTCTCTTTGCTGTAGCCTCGGATTTCCCTTCCAGAGCTTTTTGACCAACATACCCCACTTTGTCTTTTTTCACAGAGAATCCTACGCCAGCCTCATAGGGGTCGTGCTCTGTGGTCATATCGGTACCCCAAGACCTGTAGCCTTTTTCCAGGCGCAAAGAGTTGAACGCCTGTCTGCCACCAGCAATAATACCGAACTCTTCACCTGCTTTCCAGAGCGAATCCCACAGTTTCAATCCGGTGTCTGCGGAAGTGTAAAGTTCCCAACCAAGCTCGCCAACGTAAGACAGTCTCAAAGCCAAAACTGGGACACCTGCGATGCTGGCCCGTTTGCATCGGAAGTAGCCCAAGCCTTTGTTTGAAAAGTTGGCTGTCGTGACCTTCGAAAGCACATCTCGGGCTCGTGGACCCCACAGGCCGATGCAACATGTCGAACCAGTAATATCTTTGACATACGCCCACTTGCTTGGTGATCGCTCAGCCTGTCTTCGGGCTTCCTTGGCTATGTAAGCAGTGTCCACAGGCCCATTCACTCCAAGTTGGAACAAATTTTCTTCAATCCTTGCCACAGTAATGTCACTGCGGATACCTCCGTGCTCGTCAAGAAGCAAAGTGTAGGTTACGGGACCGGATACTGGGCCAGGCTTCTTTGAAACATCGCCAGTGCAGAGCTGCTGGACGAGATCAGCGGCTCCGGGACCAGAGACTTCGAGCCGACGCAAGGGCGTCATATCGTACATTGCAACGCTGGTCCTAGTCTTCCAAGCTTCGGCAGCCGCAATCGGAGACCAATATCGAGATGACCAGGCATCGCGCTTTGCGGGCTGCCATTCGGAAGGTAGTTCCTTCAACAGCGAAGCGTTCGCTTCGTACCAATACGGACGTTCCCATGCACCTCCTTCCAAGAAAAACGCACCGAGCTGCTCTTGGCGGGGATAGAACGGGCTGCATCTGATCTTCCTGGGCGACTCTTTGGGTTGCAAGGGATGGAGAATGTCGTACACTTCCACAAAGTTCTGCTTCGACGTTTCCTCAATGTATGAACGAGTAAGTTGGACGTCTTCGAATCGGTTGAGCTCGCAATCGGCGAGATCCACTTCGCTCCCTTCGTTGGTTAAAACTTGTGCCACTGCCCTTGCAACACCAGCAGAATGTGTCACCCACACGGCCTCTGCAACCCAGAATCCTTCCAAGGTCGGATGTTCTCCAACAAGGCTTCCACCGTCGGGGGTAAATGAGAAGATGCCGTTGAAGCCATCCTCAATCTCACATTCTCTCAAAGCTGGAATCAGCTTCCGACACTCCTCCCAAGCAGGAGTGAAGTCTTCGAGGGTGAAATCCAGCCTTGACGGCATGTTCTTCTCGTCCGTATTCTCAGGCGTAGGTCCGAGACTGGCAGCTACGACAGGCATGGGTTTGTGCGCGTACGATCCAATACCATATTTATCGCCATGTTCCCTGAAATATAAATCTTGATCTTGATGTCGCAGAATAGGCAGGCTGGCGCCGTTGGGCAACGGATTATTCCGTTGTTTGACTGATTCTAGAGGAGTCGTCTTAACGTATTGGTGAGCTAGTGGTAGGAGCGGGATCGACAAGCCGACCATTGCACCGATCTCAACGCCCCAAAAGCCCGCACAGGACACTACGATATCTGCAGCAACGGCACTGGTCTCGCCGCCATGCTCGATCTCGACACCTGTGATGCGATTGTTGCTCTTTTCGAAGCCAATGACACGCGTTGATCTGTTCAATATGGTGAGCAAAATGCGAATGGCAAGTCCCAGCTGCGCCGATACGTACCCAAGATATCGAACGCCCTTTTCGCGGGTACGTTGTATTAGAACTTGGACGGCTTTTGCGGCAAGTGCAAGTCCGTCACTTGGAATGTGAAAACCGGATAGCACGGCGTCTTTATTCAAGCCTGGATAAAGCTCGAGACATTCCTCAGCGCTGAGCAATCGAGTCTCAATTCCCCACGATTGTGCATAACCATGCTTCCGCTTGAGCTCTTCCACTCTCTCTGGTGTAGTGGCAATCTCAAGTCCTCCTACTTGATTGAAGCAATCCATGCTGAGGAGCTTCTCCACGGTGTACTTCGCGAATGCCGTCATCGTCTTGCTTGGATTGGTTTGAAATACGAGTCCGGGAGCATGGCTGGTGCTACCACCGGGCAAATCCAATGGGCCTTGCTCGATAACAGTAATGTTGTCGCCCCATCCTCGCGAGACGAGCTCGTCCGCAAGATTAGTACCGACGATGCCGGCACCAATGATGACAACATTGGGCGGAGGCGGTGCGGAGCCCATGGTGACAGAACACTTGGGAAAGAATCAACTATGGGAGGAAAATGTGATCGAGAGCGAACGCAAGATTCGATAACGACGAGCAGAAGCTCGTGATTTAAGACCACCGCAAGCCTGTTGCAAAGACCTCATGACAGTGCACTCTTGAAAGCGTGGACGCGCACACCATTCTCGTACATAGCTCCAACATCTCGCGAACCCTGCGTACGAAGACAAAGTATGCTACGAATTCGGTAGCTCCAAGTCGTTCTCTCCACTTGACGTCTGGGTCGAGCCAAAGATAGCCCGATCGCTGCACTGTGTTTTCTTTCCAAAAAGGGTTTGCCAGCGCGTTGCGGGGTCAGTTTCGTTCTGCGGTCCCCACCGTGGCCGACATCGTGCAAACATTGCCACCAGCGTGACAAGCCACATCTTTAGACTCAGTAATTCGACAACACTTAAGGCCTAAAGGCGTGATTGAAAGACTTGTGGGTCATGTTATAGAAACGAAAAGGCTACAAAATTTCAACAAAAGTCTATCAAATAGGGCTGAAAGGCAAACAGGATACGGCAGAGAACACCTGACTTGTTGCAGTGGGCAATCCACTGATCTACCCATCTGAGCGTCTAAATAGGCCTCACTTGTTGAACTGAAATTTAGTGACGAATATTCCTTTGTATAGCAAGTCAAAAACCATACGAACGGAGAAGGTTCGCTGGAAGTTAATCACGTGTTTAGCTTGAACTGGGCTTAAACCTTTTACCAACTTGTCCCAGTAATAGCAATACAGAGCATGGACGACCTAACAGTAAGAAACCATACCGACAGATATACCAGTATATGCCATCTCTTGGATCTGCCCAATAACTCACCAATGGATCCTTGTTCGCTCATAGAACTAATGCTCCACAGGAACATGAACAAATGACTCTCATGGACAGGCAGTTGCACTAATCCAGCCTTGGCTAAAGTCCACATATATAATAGCCTGCAAGGCTGAGACCGTGATGTGATTATTGATCGGGGATGCTCGGTCCGACCTAAACAATCCGACGTTTTACGCGAACAGTAGCACCAGCCTCAATGTCATGGGTGCTGTGGGAAAATGATTTCCGTATGTCAGTTTCAGAGAAGCTACTTGAATCTCCCACTCGCTCCCCGCATCCCCAGCGCTGGTGAAGCGCTTCCACTCCACAATTACGGATAGCGGCATCTCGGAACCTGGCACAAGGATGCAGACTCGGAATTGTTTGGGCACCCTTTAATACATCGGCTTTGGCATCATGAGTGATTCAATTTACCCCTTTTTCACTTGATAATACGCAGGAGATATGGTCCGAGGCGCAAAAACAATATTCGCTGGTGTGGGTGCGCTAGGAGCCTTTCTAGGGGCAAAACAATATTCAGAAAGCCAGCTCAAGAAGAAGAGATGGACGGTTCCAGAGCTCGCAGCAACCGATGCTTCAACGGATGTGCTCATTGTCGGCACAGGTGCTGCAGGGCTTCTGGCCGCGTTAAGAGCGAAGCACCAGGGCCTGAACCCAATGATTGTCGAAAAATCTGCAAAGATCGGAGGCACAACCTCATACTCTGGAGGTGTGATGTGGATCCCTAACAGTGGTTTGAATCTCGGGGTTGAGGACAGCAAAGAGGAAGCACTAACGTATCTGAATGCCATCATTGGAGATGTTGGACCAGCGTCAAGCCAAGCCAGAAGGGTTGCATTTCTCGAGAACGGTCCTAAGATGATCCAGTGGATTGTGAAGGAAGGTCTGAAGCTCAGACCTCTTGTGGGATACCCGGACTACTTTCCAGATAAGCCAGGAGGCAAACCAAACGGTGGTCGAAATGTGGAACCGGGCTTGTTCAATCGCAACGAAGTCGGCGAGTGGGGACAACTGATTGACAAGCAACCAGTCAGACCGCCCATACCCGTTTTCACGTTCGAAGCTGTGAAATTGTTCCGTGCCAAAGTCAGTTGGGATGGTTGGTGGGCTGCAACGAAGGTTCTAACGTATAGAACTGGTTGGGAGAAACTGATGGGCCGCGACCCCGTAACGTTGGGCCAGAGCTTGATCTGTCAGTTGCTGAAGATGAATTTGGAGCAGGGCGTTCCAATTCATCTTCAAACAAGGCTCAAAGACATCATAGTCGAAAATGATCGCATAAAGGGTGCTGTTGTGGAAAAAGATGGAAAAGAGATTACCATAAAGACTGAAAATGTCATCTTAGCTGCAGGAGGCTTTGCAAGAAGCAAAGAACTTCGCACCAAATACCAAAAACAGGTTGGAGAAGCCCTATGGACGAATGCAGTACCGAGTGACACTGGGGATGCCCTGTCTTTGGCCTTGAAGCATGATATAGCCACTGCTTTGTTACATGGTGGGTGGTGGGGTGTCACATTCAGAGAACCTTCAACAGGTACAAATTATTGGAGTCTTTTTGAACGCGGACTGCCGCACAGTATCATCGTCGATTCCAAAGGACAGCGGTACACGAATGAAGCGCAGAGCTACAATGCGATCGGTCTTGAGATCTTGAAACATGATCTTGAAGTTCCTTCTATTCCCTCAACGTTGATCATTGACTCTAACCATAGGAATCGTTATATGTTGACAACTAAGTTCCTTCCCGGATTTACACCTAAAAGCGCAATCGACAGCGGATTCATCACCAAAGCGGATACTATTCAGGACCTTGCAACCCAACTCGGAATCGATGCCGCAGCACTTGAGAAAACGGTGGAAAGATTCAACGGATTCGCCGAGAATGGCAAAGACGAGGATTTCCATCGCGGTGAGTCTGCGTATGACAAGTATTTTGGCGACCCTGCGTACACCAAAAACAGAAATCTGGGTACAATTGCAAAACCTCCTTTCTATGCAGTCAGAGTTTGGCCGGGAGATCTAGGCACCAAGGGCGGCGTGTTGACTGACGAATTTGGGCGCGCATTAAAACAGAACGGGAAAGTTTTGGAGGGACTTTATGCGGTGGGAAATAGCTCAGCAAGCGTCATGGGAAACACGTATCCGGGGGCTGGTGGAACTTTAGGGCCAGCGGTGACTTTTGCTTTCATCGCTGCAGATCATGTTGCGACCCGGAGATGATAGGGCTACGATGCTTCAGGTTCAAATTCTCTAGTGAATGATTCATCAAACGCGGTAACACTTTACGATCAATTGTGATCTTTGTCTATTGTGTCCGGGTGAGTTCCGAAATAACGTGATGGTTTCAAAAGCGTTCCGACAAACTCTCTACTTGCAGCAACGTATGTGTACGAACAAAAGGAGAGAATTTCGATTGAATGGTCTAGCTCACCAGTCCGCGTAATACCACGCCTGATTGACCACTAAAATTTGATTTAGACGACGTAACCACTCACTCTCAGCACTCTATCATCGCACAAACTCATCCGTTCGGCGCTTACTACACCGGATGTCTACTTCTCTCATGCCTGACTCTTCTGCCCTTGAGAGAAAGAATCAAACCGTTTGGGAAGAGAAGCCCAAAAGCTCGATTGCTACCCGGACCAAAAGGCATTTTTCTTTTTGGCGTTCTTTTTGACTCAGCCAAAAAATTCGGCATGATCCTTAGCACAAATGAATACTCTTGAGCTTATTCTTTTCTGCCTCGTTGCTGAAAGCGAAGTCAAGCTATTCTCAATGACAAAGTTAGCTGCGCGCTTGAGAATGAGAGGAGTGGCAGTTCAGAAATATTCACATCAAGCAGCGCCGCAATAATAACACAACCTATTGATACCCAACTTTTGATGTTGGCTGCAAGCGGATAAAATTTGACTGTGACTACCTTTAGCGCACCAATTCCCCAACTTTCAATCTCATTATGAGTTCTGCAAGAAATATTTTGGAATACGGTATCCGCTTGTACGATGGAACTATCAAAGCAGACGCCATTGTTCTGTCGAACGGTTTTCGTGCAAACGCGTTTGTCGACCTGGTGACGATTGCTGGACATGGAGGCAACACACTAATCGAGCATTGTGCTCATGACAATAGTCCGGAGGCGTACAATTGCATAGTTTTGAATGGAATTACTAGTATTTTTTTTTTTACTATTATTCTTGGATAAAATGCAATTGCTGGACACACTTCCGCAATGGTCTCAGAAAATACTGTCAACTTCGCTTCGCGGGAACTTCAAATAGGTAAACGTGGAGATGCTACTCAGGTTAAGATTAAATCCGAAGACGAAAAGATTTACACGACTCAGATCAAAAAGATTTGGAATCGACAGTCTGGAGCTCAGGGTGTGATGGAACGCTAGAGGAAAGGATCAGAGTGGAGTACCACGAGCTATCCATATTCACGAGTAAATTTTTGGTTTTGGATAGATTCTACAACTTAGAGGGGGTTGATACTGTAAAGATTTGAATTTATTTTAAATTTTTTTGGTTTAGATTAAAAATTAAGGTCACTGTTGTGATCCGGCCAAATTAAGAGGTGGAGAAACGGGTCTCATTGGCACGAGAAGCTCTCCATATCGCATTCATGTTGATGGTGATCGTGATCGGGTTGCAGATGAACAACGTTTCAAAGTACCGCTAACAGTCTCGATGTGATAATTTTGAATCAAATCCATATTTTTTTTATGAATTTAGATGGGAGACTTAATGAATTACATACATCTCTGAGTTATGTCATGGCGTGATCGTCTACGGCAATGTTAAATTCATTTTCAGTGAAAAGATTCCAGACATAATCTTCGGTTTGGATGTAATCTTCTTCAAGTCTGAAGTTGCCAAATGACGTTTGAGCTTGATTTTCTTGCATAGAACCATGTTCTGCGCGTCGAAAAACCGGTGCATTATCATGATATGAGGTGATCTCATCGACGAGCCCAAAGCTGGCCTGACCGTAAACTGCCCGGATTTTGAGAACGCGCTCATACATTTTTTCTAGTGTCTGCAAGCAATTTTGAACTAATGTGACCTGTGGTAACCTGTGCAATAATGATATTCGGCACTTTTGCCATGATGAAGCCAAAGTTGATGCACCAACGGAGTCTCGTAATGGTGCACAAGTATCAGCCAGTAGAATAACAAGCGCTGCTGTCCTGATGTAATACATGCTATACCACCAGGCTCCGTACTCAGTAGTTGCAGCGTAGTGCTCAGTAAGGTCAACGAGGTCGACCGCACTTCGCAAACAATTCACAGCACAGCACTGCGCAATTGACGTCTCAAGAGGTATGACTTCTGATCCAAGTTGTCGATTCCGTTTTGAAGAACTTTTTACTTTCTTTGAGGTATATGACCTACAAAAGTGAGTAAAACATGGCCGGTAGAGCAAGATGCGCAGGTGAAGATATCTTGCACGAAGAATGTTTGATTGCTGCGCCAGTTGGGTAGAACGTTGTCGAACTTCTGTACTTTCTTTTGTCCAGCTCAGAGCATCTGGTACTTCTTCGGCAAATTCAGATAGCTCTGCGTCCAGTTCGATAAGTTGATCAATGCTTCCAAGACATCGCTGAAGATCTGGCTTTTCGGTCTCGTTTTCACCGTAAACCTTAGAAAATATTTTGCCGAGAGTTGTGTACAATTTAGCAGCCTGGACAAAAAAGGTGATCGTGGAAATCTGACCCGGAGGCTGTGGAACGTTCTTGTCTAGATATTCGTCATCGATAGCAGCTGGCAATGCGACAGTTGAGCCGTGACGCAACAAGGCTGGCCGGCCCAGTGTTATACTGACAATCAGATCCAAAATTGAACAGCTGTGCCAAATCCTTTTTCTCAATTCTATCTCGACAGGTTCGAAACTGTCTTTTAGTCTGTCTTCAGCAAGATGAAGACCTAAACCTTGGGCCAAACGACACGCAGCACCAATGGCGCTCCAACATCTTGTTGGATAGGTTGTGAATTGGAATACCTGAGCCAACAAGAGAAGAGTTTGAATAACATAAATATTGCCATCCTCAAACATCTCCAGGTCAAATTGGCTTTTTGCCCTCTCTGTCAAGCTGAGTGAAAGTTTAGTCTTTTGGGCAAGGGGCAGATCGGAAAATTGAACACCTAGCACCATCATTGCATTGAGGGCGCAATGAAAAACTGATGACGAGAACCCACAACTCTCAGAACCCCCCAATCCAAGTCGCGGGCAATTTGGTGGCTTGTGGGCCGACGCAGGAGCCCAAAGCTGCTCATATGCAGCCATAAAGGTGGCTCGATGTATGTATGGGTAGACATGGTAAACTTTATTCCAGTATATGTCCAGTAGATGGTCCGCTATTGCTCTGGGCAATAAAGCAAAGATTTCAAGTGAAGCTTGAGATGCAGAATTAGTAGTCTGAGTTTCGTCAAGCTGAGTTCTTTCTCCTTTCGGATTGAACTGAGCAGAGGCCGAAGAATGAGAATTGCGGGAGGTCATGTTGTAAAACAGCTTCACAAAGGACATTGATGAAGAGATTCCATAAAATTTCTCGCCCGTATTTAACGACTCTGAGCAAATGTTGTTACCTCCCATTCCATCGACAGGACTGGAGCTGTCAACAAGTACTGTTCGTGTGGGGGCCGATTCGGAATTTGGCTGATCATTGACAGCAGCAAATACAAGAGCCTCTTCACTGTGTGTATTACTATCAGAATTTTGAGCAGACTCTTGATTTGCAGCGTAGTCTTCGAGATAATTCTGGCCTGGAAACTCTGTGGGGTATGCCCTTCTGGATGCATCCCGCGAATGTCGGATCTCTCCTTCGAGTTCCCCAATCTTAGTCACGAGAGATTCGATGTACTCATTCGTCTCGGCGAAATGTGGATTTGGCAGCCTGTACACGCACCGTTCGCACCGCTGGGCGCAATTTTGGCATTGCGGCTTGATCCCGTCGCATCTGGACTTGCGATTGCGGCAGGATTCGCAAGCTAGGCTGACCTTTCTCCTCTTTGCTACAGATCTAGCTTGACAATCAAGAGGCACTTCAGCAGACATTGACATGCCTAAGAGGTGTTTGCTCGGAAATGAATGCTGACCTATAGAGCAGTATGTGAAGAATCCATAGATTGAGCGCCCAGAGAGTAGAAGGTGCCAAGGTAACCATCAAAATTTGTCAAAGAGTACAGAAAAAGTAACTAGAAGATTTTGATTTAGGTCTGATGTCGGAAGCGATTCGAATTGAGACTGACGCAGACGAAGAACATATGGAAAAGTTCCGGGGGCATGGTCCGGAACCGTCCCGGACAGCCGGGTAAGCTCCGGTGTTATCAACGAGAACTCTTCGATCCATACACGGTATTCGCATCATTGTAGCTCGTTTGCCCACGAACCGAGGTTCGAAACATTATCGAGATCGTTGAGAAGTCCAATGCAAGCTCTGGCCAAATGGCTATGGAAATTTCCAAGGCACTAGATGCCGATTGGGTGCAAAGATGGGCGGAGTAATCGCGTAATCCGCAAATCCCATCCACATAAGAGCAGAGCGACTGCTCCCCAAAATCAAAATGGATGAAATGAGGTTCTCATATCACTTTATTCCAATCTTGTTTCAAGATAACTCAATATAGGAGACACTGGTGGCTTAAGATCATGAATAGGCTTTCAGCAATTAGTTCTTCAGCGCTTCAGCAGATGGTTCTGAAAAAGACAGCACAACCAGCTCTTCTTAAAGTTGATACTCATCACCATTACGTGCCTGATTTCTATGCCAAAGGTACATGAGAAATTAAACATGCTCTTTCGCCTTATAAAAGCCTTCTTGCTAACAAAAGGATAGCCGTGGAAGATGCGGGAGGTATCTGTTCGGCGTCAACGGATTTAGAGCTTAACACTAATCAAGCAAATTGATAGGAGATCCCAGCGGATGGGCAACTCCAAATTGGTCGAAGGAGCATTCGAAGGAGATTATGGAACGGCTTGGAGTCCAGACAGCAATTTTGTCGGTAACAGCACCCGGTGCATGTATTTTGAAGGGACAGAATTCCTACGATCTCGCCAGGAGACTTAATGAATACGGCGCTTCCTTGCGGAATGAATGCCCTGAAAGATTTGGATTTTTTGCGAGTTTGCCAAGTCTTCTTGACACCGAAGCAGCTTTGGCGGAGATTAAGTACGCGATTGATGTTCTGCACGCCGACGGTGTAACTCTCTTCACCAAATACGGTGAAGGCAATGTTTATCTTGGCCACCCTTTACTTCAGCCAATCTGGGCTGAATTAAATCGCCGCGAAGCTGTCGTGTTTGTCCATCCTTCCTCACCCGTCGATACGAACAGAATAAATGCAAAAATGCCACAGCCCATGATTGATTATCCCCACGAAACGACTCGGGCCGCCATGGATATGATCTTAATGGGCACCCGACAAAAATTTCCAAAAACCACGGTCATACTTTCTCATGCCGGTGGCACCCTCCCATACCTCATTAGTCGAGTTATAACTCCGTTGAAACAGGTTCCCGATACAGCAGCCTCGGTCACGCTGGGTACAACATATGATCGGGCGATAGCAGATTTGCGCAGCTTCTACTACGACCTAGCACTCTCATCTTCCAAACATGTGTTAGATATGCTACTGGCAATGGTACCTCACGACCACATTTTATACGGGGTATGTGAAATATTCTTCGAGCATTCTCATTCATGTCGCGATTATTATATTGCGCATTCAACTAACAGCGCTAATCAAAGAGCGATTACCCATATGCACCATTACCAGCATATTCAGCTTTTCGTGACGAACTGGAGAAGTATCCCATGGCCGATGATATACGGAAGGACATATATTCTGCCAATGCGATCAGATTAATCCCTAGACTTTTAAAGCTTAAGCAGAGCATGTAACAGCCCAGAACGCATAAGCTTTAACAAATATACTGAGAAGCAGCTACAATTTGAATTATTCTTTGATACTTTGGTCTTCAGTAAAATGAATGCCTTGTGTACAAAGACACGGTCAATTGCACAGAGGTCAACACAAGGAGTTCAACTTGTGAGTTTTGAACGCTTGCGCCATCAACATTGCGGAAGACTATTTTCTGGGAACTCGATTTTGAATTAAAGCCTTTAATCAAACACCAATAGAACGTTCTCAATCCTTCAATGAATCTATCTTCCGCCAGAAATTTCTCCAAATTTGTTGGTTCAGTCGTTGTGCTCATGTGTCCTGAATGTGTATGACAGTAATAGACTGTATATTAGACAACCTCCATTGCTCAATGTTGCCATGGGACTACAAGATGTAACGAATCACGATCTACTCCCAGTCCATTTCACCAAGACAAAATAATGATGGTAGCTCAGAAACTGCGTCTACAGCCTCGGAGTTACGTTTTATTTTAATAATTTTGTCTCCAGCATGCTCACGCCGCTTATTCTCCCAGCCGATGTACTATTACAAGATCATAATATGTGAGAACCTTAAATATAGATTTAATATTATACATTGTAAAATTGGGATAATATTGAATATTTTTTTTTATAAATTAAGAGACATTATGGTCCCTTCAATTTTAAATAGACTATAGATTAAAAATAATTTTTACGATGTTTTACTAAAATTTTTCCTACATAAAATATTAGGAATAGGAAGCCACTAATGATGATCTTCTTAGTATAGCCTGCAATAGAGCTCAGTTCCATGGTGATGAAGTATGTCGCAGATAGTGACCTAGTGGAATACCGCACCAACGATATGTCCTTATTTCCTCACTCAAGAAATTTGGGTATTCGAAGCTCAAGTCGCAGCTTGCCCGTCCTTTTGATTGTGTGGATTCTTGACGAAGATGTAAAATTTAGCTTTCAAGGCAGCGAGGGCTGACTTGCAAGGTATTTGACGAAACAAGACATCATCAAAGAGAACTATGATGCATCTCGTAATACCCTAGGCGACCACTGGAGCTCGCTGTATCCTCGTTTTCAAACGCTTGATGATAGCCAAAATGATACGGTGCTTGAGTTCTTCTAGATTTCGACTACTCTTTGGCAAGATATTAGTGGTCTCCATCGCGAATTGGAGCCTATGCAGCTAAATTCATGCGTAGAACAGAAGCTTGTCTTTCTGGAAAAGGTAATCGGATATTTCTGTGCCAATAACAGCACTGATGATCGCTTTATCAATATTCTTCCGTTTTCCGACACTCTGCAGTGACAACAATGCCTCGGACGCAAATACTCATTAATGCAGACTACGATATTTTTCTCTTCCACACATTGAGAATACATCACTTTCGATGGTCAATCTTGGACCCCGCAATGGAGACACCTGCTGACATCCGAAACTCACTTCGAAACTTGCTTGCCATTTTTCAGAGGACGTTCTCTTTAGGCAGTAACGAGCTTCGTGATAAATTGCAATGGCCGCTTTTCTTGACTGGAATTGAAACAGATGGCCCCATATATAGGGATTGGATCCTTTACAGCAACAAGCACTTGAAGCGTAGACTCTTTGTATGGCTAAAATTAGGGACTAGTCAATACCAGTCTAAAATTCTCTTTATTGGATCTGAATATGATTCTTGCGAGTACTGCTGCCGCCCAAGAGATTACGAATGCTTAGCTTAAAAGTGGATTCAATGTGCAAAACTCCATGATAGAACCTTGTGACATTTATGCAAGATTAAACTCAAGAATAACTACGCCTCCACTAAGTACAATTTCGTAGGTCGGCATCATTCCTTCATTGAATCGTTCTCCGGTTGAATGATTTGTTGACGTCTCGCGCAGAAACTTGAAAACCGTGAATAAGGAGAAGCACGGCAGCCCTCACTACGGTCGCCAGTTCTGACCAATCGGAAGCGTACTTTGAAGTCACGAATGGTTTCGCTTTCCATTAGAGAATCATGACGATCACAGGCGGGATCACAGGCGGGGTCAACCGTGTTTAATGCGCAGGCAAAATAGTATCTTAGATCCTGCGAATAATCTCAAATTTAACTCCCGCCCTCTGTTGCCCTTTGAATTGAAAGCTCCTTGGCCATCATGCAGCAAGTAATTGTCGACTCTATCCGTGAATCGGACAAAGATTTACGTGATATCAATCATAAGGTCGATACGTCTATAAGCAAACTTACGGACAAGTCCTGCCTAACAGCCACGTAGATTCACAGCAACCCTGAGCTGGGCTACAAAGAGTTTCTGGTGAAATTGACTTCTTGAAGACAGCGACAAAAATACTGACGTCGTTCTGCAGGCTCACGATAATATTGTTGCTCTCTTGAAGTCCAAAGGTATTGAGGTGACACCTCATGCTTATGGTCTAGAAACATCATTCGAGGCTACCTTCGGTCGTGGTGGCCGCCTTGTCGTCTTCAATGTTGAGTACGATGCGCTTCCCGAGATCGGGCACGCTTGTGGGCACAACTTAATAGCTACCTGCTCACTTGCCGCCTTTCTGGGTGTTGTTGGTGTGATGAAACAAAACCAACATGTTGCTGGTAGAGTACGTGTGCTAGGCACACCGGCTGAAGAAGGAGGAGGCGGCAAGATAAAACTTATTGATCGAGGAGCATATCATGGTGTTGACGCTTGTCTCATGGCACATCCCATGTCTGGTGCCATGTTCCCTCCTCAGTTGAAAAACATCGCCGGTATCGCTTATGGTTCTTGTGTTGCTAGCGCCAAGTTTCGGGCAACGTTTTCTGGAAAGCCGGCACATGCTGCTGCCGCGCCTCATGAAGGGATCAATGCTCTAGATGCTGCAGTTCTTGCATATAATGGAATTTCAATGCTAAGGCAACAGTGTCGCCCTTCGCAGAGAATCCATGGGATTATTCTGGAAGGAGGCGAGAAGCCAAATGTCATTCCGTCCCGATCACAAATGGAATATAATGTCCGCAGAGACACACTAAAGGAAACAAAAGAATTACAAAAAAGGGTGATGCAATGCTTTGAGGGCGCAGCTGTGGCGACAGGATGCCGATTAAATTTCGAAGAGTAAGTCGTTCCACCCGCCGTACGTACCTGTTCGTTGGGATTTAAGAACTAATCGAGAGCAAGAACAAACAACTATGCTGAACTGATCCCAAACCGAACCCTTTGCGCAGCCTATTCCGACTATATGCTAGAACTATCTTCTCCACAGCTTCCATTTGATACTTCATGCGATATTCTGGAAAGTCAGCCGCCGAAAGGTTCGTACTCTACAGACCAGGGCAACGTAACGCAGGTTTGCCCTGGTATTCATCCAATCTATAGCATTCCAGTAGACGGTGGTGCTGCCAACCATACTAAAGAATTCACTGCTGCTGCCGGGACAGAGGAAGCGTATCAACGCACCATCAATGCAGCAAAAGGGATGGCTGCAACTGCTTGGAAAGTGTTAACGGATGACGCATTTGCTGATGAGGTTCGAAAGGAATTCGAGAGATGGAGAGCAAGCAATTAAGTAGAATATCTGTCACTCTACCTAAGCGTATCATGCTTGCATTTGAGTTTTGAAGAATGCCAATAAGGTCTTTTGAATTGAATCAGCTAAAAAAAATAATGCGAAGTATTCAAGCAAACAAATGTAAAACCGTAAGAACAAAATTAAAAAAAAAAAAAAAAAAAAAAAAAAAAAAACGCCGCGATGCTGAGAGAAAGCTGTGTGGAAATAATCATAGGAAAGGTAACTTGAACTCTAGTGTAACGTTTCGTGAGAAAATTTGAGCATAGCCTTAGCTTTCCCAAAGGTCCATGCTTCTAAATATACAGAAAGACAGATTCAAGTTCTTTTTCAGAGTCTTGTGCGAGTATTAAAAGAAGAGCAGAGCAAATATTCCATTATTCAAATGGTGAATTTTCTGCATGACGCATACATCAAGCTGAATGTTTGAAGAGATACCCCATTTGACAACAATTTTTAAGTCAAATCAACGGGGATGTCGAATCTAAACTCGAAATTCTGTAAATGCTGAGTCTCCAGAAAACAAATTAGATTCATGTGATGTTAACGTAGAGAATCACAATTTCAATGAGAAAGTTTCGACAACTCAGTTTCGCTACAGTCCTTACAGCTGTTTTGGTGAGCCTTAAAAACTTCCACAGTCTCCAGGTCAGCGTTTGGGTGCTTTAACGCTGAAATACTATCCACGTTAAAGACGGTAACGAAATGTGGTATTTCCTCTTTTTCTGTCGCATCTCTTACACAAAAGTCTTTGATGGCTTTCGATGCAGACTTGATACCTGGGACTCCCAGCTTTGAAATTTCAACAAGCTGATTCAGCACGATGAATTCGAGCTCCAGTTTGAATGCGTACACCCAGGAGTTCAGGAACAACTTCAAGGTATTGTAGCCGAGAAAATCGATGACTATGATAGCGATATCCAAGACCAACACAACAATCTGAACGAGGAAGAGGAGAATCATGGTTCGAGTCGTGGTTCTGGGATTCTCGAGTCCGAATCGGGCTTTGAGATACTGATACGTAGACCATATGTATATGAACGAGATCAAAGTTTCTTGAGCAAAAAGAGAGAGGATGGTGATTCGCTCCATTGGATGAAAAACATCATTCCAACGAGCTTTCCCGGCCAAATCTTTTTTCGCCGACAATGCTGCCATTCCTATGGAAAGAGCCGCCATGAATGGTTCCATGATGGTGGTATTGAAAATGATGATGTACAGTATCCATCTCCGAGTCTCGAGAATTAGGTTTAAGCGCGAATACAGTGTTAGCCCAAAGCCAGTGACCATGCACATCCAACCTCCTTGGGCCATTAGTTGCACAACGAGCCATGGAGTCCCTGAGACCAGATAATGAAGCATCTCGGCTATAGCACGAATTGTAAGGCCCCTTGATGTAGTTAGCTTTAAGTAACCATATATAAGCTACCATTGTCTTTGCTCAAGTGGTTAAGGGGAAGACTCCTTCATGTGAATCCTCTTAGGCTCGCCAGCAGAGCTCAATCCGTTGTGGTACATTAGAATAAACCCTTCAAAACGTGTCAATATTTCGCGCAAGATCTCTGTTATTTTACCACTTACTACCAGGTTGTGACAAGTATAGCCCAAAAGTATAGCCCTCGGAAGCGTTTGAACGTCACAAATAGTCGCAAGGTCAAAGGAATGCTTGACCACACAGCGACAGACGTGAATGCAATGAAAACGCTTCAGTAAATAATTAACCTCGTGTGATGGAACAGAACAGAAAACACTTGCCCTAATGCTTGGGTAGTGCCCCAGGTAAGGTCTGTAACTGCCATAGTAGTCCAGGTTGAAATGGATTGAATCTCAGTTGTTCAAAACAAATCCTGGATTTGTACTCTTATCTACCGTAGAAGTATCGAGCAAAAGATAGAGACTCCAGAGAGAAAGTCAGACGATGAAGATGAGCTCAGCAAGGACGAGAGAAATCCTAGGTTTATTTATCCATGTCGCCATGGACTATCTTCGCATAAAACTTATATGGATGCAGCATGGTCTACAGTTTGAGCTGGCTAGTACGCCTGAGTCAACCCGCTATGCGTCTAGTAAAGGTTTCCAAGAGCTCCTTTTAACAACTTCTGCATAGCTTGACCGTACGCTGAGCACGAATGGGGCCCCTAAAGCGGCAGTCCTTGAGATAAAGCTGGTGCTTACTTCATCTTTGACTATACCACAACTAGATAATAATGCTCGCATTTTGAGTTAAACGTCAGTGTTGGCATTCCGTTTCCGAAGCTGCGCTGCACATATGCAATACCCTTGTTCCTTGTGCATTTCTGCAAGCTGCACAGAGTGTATCTGTCTGTGTAGCGCTTTAAGACTCTGTTCCAGGCGAAACTGTACGAAGGAGCACTCGTCCGTTGTTCAGTATTGTGTTCAAGCTTGCGAGACTTTGAGGCGTCATTTGTTCCAACTGCCTCTCCGAACCCCCAGATAGATAGGATAAAAGCAGGTGTTCGAAAGTATCCCGGTAGCACGTGCAGTTGAAGAAACAGTTTTTTTGATACTGAGCCCACCTCATCAGGAGGACTTTTCTGATGCAGATGACCTTGCGAGCGGAGCAGCGCTGGTCCCATGTTTCGCTTTGCCGCTTCTGCGCCATCGTCCCCGGTAACGAGCTAAGTTTAGGCAGCGCCGCAGTCGTCAGGATGTTCCAAGCTCAGCTCGCGGGCTTACTACGCTGCAAGCTTGACAACTCGTCAAAATACAGAGGACGGCAAGCAAATAACAGACAAACTCTCGTTACTTTACCATATCTTCTTCAGTTTCTCTACATTGAGTGGGAACAATGAGGTTCTCCGCGCTCTTTGCTTTGGGCGCAGCTACGTCCGCTCTTGCGACTGTGCCCCAGCATCTGCAGCAGGCTCCTCTCGTAGACGAAGAAAAGTTCTTGATTGAGCTTTCTCCAGGTGAAACAAGATGGATCACTGAGGAGGAGAAGTGGGATCTGAGAAGAGTGTGTTACAGGCCCTTCATGGCTTGACGTCTCTACCATGGAGTGCGCTAATCCCAATTCCTAGAACGGCATCAACTTCATGGACATTTCGGACACCCAGGACCTGGGCATGACTGTGAAGAGCAAGAAAGAAGTCCAATACCCATCCTCCGTCCGCCATGCGAAGGCCATCTCTCCGCTGCTCAAGAAACTAGACAAGAAGAATATGAGAGAGAACCTGGAGACCTTCACCAGCTTTCACACACGATATTACAAATCATCCTACGGCGCACAGTCATCGGCATGGCTTCTTAGCCGCGTGGCAGAGATTGTGAACGCATCAGGTGCTGCCGAGTACGGCGCAACCGTCAAGCCTTTCCACCATCCGTGGGGGCAGAACTCCATCATCGCCACTATACCTGGCAGGAGCAACAAGACCGTTGTCATCGGCGCGCATCAAGACTCGATAAACCTATTCCTACCCTCGCTCCTTGCTGCCCCTGGTGCAGATGACGATGGCAGTGGCACGGTGACGATCTTCGAAGCCCTCCGGGTGCTCCTCACGGACAAAGACACCATCGCGGGGAAAGCCCCCAACACGATCGAGTTCCACTGGTACTCTGCCGAAGAAGGTGGCTTGCTTGGAAGTCAAGCCATTTTCAGCGCCTACGAAAAATCCGGCCGTGATATCAAGGCTATGCTTCAGCAGGACATGACTGGGTACATCCAGAAGACGCTTGACGCAGGGGAACCCGAGTCCGTTGGCGTGATTACTGACTTCGTCGATCCGGGGCTCACAGAATTTATCAAAAAGGTTATCACTGCGTACTGCGACATTCCGTACATCGAGACAAAATGTGGATACGCTTGCAGTGACCACGCAAGCGCTAGTAAGGCTGGCTACCCCAGCGCATTCGTCATCGAAAGCGATTTCAAGTACTCTGATAGTAAGATTCACACCACTGAGGATAAAATCGAGTATCTGAGCTTCGACCATATGTTGCAGCACGCGAAATTGACGCTTGGATTGGCATATGAGCTTGTTTGGGCCAAGTTTGATTAGATTTCGGTACCAAACGACGAATTCATTTAGGGAAAGTTGTAGTCTACTATGTAGCATACCCTGAAAAGTATGAATGAAGAAAACTTGTGAAGATAACGGCCATATTTGCGAGGCTGAATTTCAGCCTCAGGTGATGATGAGCTCAAGCGTCGGACTATTTTAGCTCCGCGTAGAGCTTGTCAATGCCAGAAAAAAATATTTCCCCGCAGCAAACCGAACAACACAACACCAATTCTGCACGACAACGCCTTGCGAGATGTTCTCCGTGCCAGGTTGGTCTATTACTGCACCGTTAAAGACTCAAACGGAACCGGTGAAGATCCCCGCGCTACCTACTATTCGAGCTACAAAGTCAAATGAAGAGGCATCAAAGAAGCGCAAGCGGAATCAAGGTGACGCTGAGGACTTGAAGAGCAAGAAATTGAAGCCCGAGAAGAGGACAGATAAGGATGGTAAAAGCGATATTTCGTCTGAGAGAATCAATGAAACTACGGGGCCGACTGGAGTGAAGGCAGAGAAGAAGAAGAAGAAGAAAGAGAAGGGAAAGGAGAAGGCTGCACTCAAAGGAAAGATCCTGACCCAGGATCCGGACAGAGACATCCCTGAGAAGGCAGATATATCCAAAGCCAAAGAGAAGAATAATAGACAGTCAGAAAAGGAGGATGTGAAAGTTGGTGCCGAAGAAAGGCTTGATCAAGCGCACTCGAGTGAGAAAAGAGATAAAAAGGCTCGAAGGAAGGAGAAGAAGGCAAAAGAGGCTGCGATGGGGAAGGAACATTCAGCTGGAGCCGACAACCGTCAAGAAGTTACTCAAAGCTCCAAATCTCTGTCTGCGAATACGACCAATGATCCCAAACTTACGGCGACTTCAACAGCTACTCCGGCCTTGACACCGCTGCAAGCATCTATGCAATCGAAACTAGCCTCTGCGCGCTTCAGATACTTGAACGAAAAGCTCTACACAACAGCATCAACCGAGGCACTGGAGATGTTTAAGAATGAGCCCAAGACGTTCGAGGAGTACCATTCAGGCTTCCGACGACAGGTTGAAGTGTGGCCCGAAAACCCAGTAGATGGGTATATTTCGGACATCAAACGGCGAGGGGCAGTAAAGTCTGGCCAGAAGGGGTCGAACAAAGACGGGAGACCGCTCCCAAGAAGCCAGGGCGTATGCACAATTGCGGATCTGGGATGCGGCGACGCAAAGCTAGCGACCGAATTGCAGAAGTCGCAGGACAAGCTCAATATAAAGATTCTAAGCTACGACCTGCACAGCCAATCTCCGCTCGTCACCCGTGCAGACATAGCCCATCTCCCTCTCCCGAATGGTAGCGTCAACGTTTCCATTTTTTGCCTTGCCCTCATGGGCACAAACTGGCCGGATTTTATTGACGAGGCATACCGCGTCCTGCATTGGAAGGGAGAGCTTTGGGTAGCGGAAATAAAAAGTCGATTTGGTCATGTGGGGAAGAAATCGGGCGCTGGCAAAGTAGTCGACCACTCTGTCGGCAACAAGAAGAAGAAGCCGCGTTCGCGGATGAGCGAAGCAGAAAAGCGTCGCGAAGACGAAGTTCGCAAGCATGAGGACGAGACCCTCGCGGCAGAGGTTGACGGCGTCAAAGTCGAAGCAGACGATGACGACGAGACGGACGTACGAGCATTTGTCCATGTTCTCGCAAGTCGAGGATTTGTGCTGGACGAGGAGTTCCAAGTGGATAAGAGCAACAAGATGTTTGTGAAGATGCGATTTTTAAAGGCGGCACAGCCAACAAAAGGAAAGAATGTGTCCAAAGGAGCAGAAGGATCAACGTGGAAACCAAAAGGGAAGAAGTTTCTGGAGACAGGCGGGGAAGTCGACGAAGCGAAGGTTCTCAAGCCATGCGTGTATAAATTGAGATAGCGAGCTATCGTTCTCGTTGGGCAGTATAGGATGAAATTGAAGAATGTTAATACCAAGAAACCCAATGGTCGAGGAAAAACCATTGCTACAGCGTAAAGATATGCTGAATTCACGAGCTCTTGAAGGTATAGTACTATTCATTCTAAACGGCAGCGATGGTGTGTCTTTTAAGCACTGTGTGCCGAAATAATGACTGAATCTGGAAAAAAAAAAGAAAAAAAAAACAACTCTCCCAGAAAGCTCCACTTCGCCAATCAGAGTTGGATAACCTCTATTATACAATCTTTGCGCACCCTTTCTTGTGCCTCTCTCTCCATCTGTAGCGAGGTCTCGAGAGCGCGGAAACGCTACTATCGCGCTCCTGAGACGGCTCGGCATGTTGCAACAGAATCGTCTGCGATCACGTATCATCTTCAGCGTCGTGTTTGGTGGTTTATCCACGTTGTCATTGGGTATGCAGATGTATGTCGTCTGCGCCACCCACATTAGAATCTGGCGTTGATGGGCCTCCTGCCCACCCCAACGCGGCGTGAGCCATCACGTCAATATTGACATACAGCCTGCCTTGGTCATCATGGTTCCCGTTTCATAACTTTGCCAGAGCCATGCTCTGCAAAGGAACCTTTACGGCACGTACAACAGATTCAAAGGAAAAATCTGGGCTCAAACGGAGGACCCTTTTATCGCCCCTTAAGTAGGCTGAAGAAGAACTAGAACAACGAAAAGACGAAGAACAAAAAAAAAAAGCAACCACCACGCTGAGCTGCCCGCCCCAGAATAACGGCAGTAGCGTGGGTCTTCGTTCCCAGGGAAGCCTTTTAGAAACCCTGGTGTTTGTTTCCTTTCTGGCACCAAGAGAGTAAAAGGGCCCAAATGATCATGGAAAGCCGTGTTGTAAAAACCCCTAAAAAAAAAAACACAACTCCAGCAGCAAAAGCCCCGTTTCTATATCTGTTGATTTGCGGGAGGATGACGATGCCGCAAAAAAGGACGAGAGCCTGCGCGTAACGCGGTAGGTTGCTGATAAGCAAAACGTGGAGAACGGGGGGGCATTAAGAAAAAGGAGAATGGAACACGAGCAATGCTACATCACCGTCACGCCAAAGAGAAGGAGAGAGAGAGAGCAGAGAATTCGCTTATCAAAAGCCTCCCCCAAGATTGCCTCATCGTCCAATTTTAGCGCGCCATGACGATTGCAACAAAAAAAAACCGTTTTCATCTTACCGCCTCTTCGAAGAAAAAGAAGAAGAAGAAAATAATGATGATGTTGAAGGAAAGAAATTTTCTCTCTCAAAGGAAAAAAAAAATTTTTTTTTCTTCTCTTTTGGGGACTTGACCGCCCGTTGTCGAGGCGGTAATTTGCTTAGATGATGCCCAACAAAAGTGCTTTAGGTATGATCGTTTCTGTTGTATGGTTTGCCCAAAGTTACATCCATGAGCCCGCCGGACAGAAGGCCGCGCTGTCTCTCTCTCTCTTCCTCACGTGGGCGAAGAGTCTGGCTGCGGATACGGCCGTTCAGTGGTGGTAGCAGACGATGCCGGCGGGCCCCGTAACGAGGCGGGTTACGGTCGGACGTGGCTTTTAAAAAAGGGAGCGGCGCCCGCACGCTGCCAGATCCGTTCCGTCATCGTTCTCAATTATTGTTCTTGGTTGCGCCTCGGACCTAATACCGGGCACAGACTAGCGGAGCAGAGCAGTCCGAACTAGATAGCGCGGGTGTAGCAGCTCGTCCAGCTGGGCCTCGACTGCGTGCGGGGATAATCAGAGGGGGGAGAGAGCGAGAGAGAGACAGCAGCCTGACGCTAGAGATCGGTTCTGATTTCACGGCTTGAAGGATGATGGGTTTGGCAAGATCTCACACGGAGCAGAGGCCGTGAGGAAAAAGGGTCCTGCAATGACAACCATTGGCGTGCGCCACCCTAGATCCTCGGTGCGGAATGTGTGGGGTAGAAGAAAAAAGAGGCGCCTGCAAAGAGCGAGAACCAAAACGTGTTCCTGAATTCCCTAGTCTCCGCCGATGCGAAATCGATCGGATGCTTGCTGCAGCCCAGCAAATTGGCGGATAGAACTTGGCATGGCAAGGTGAGGAGAGAATAATAGGAAGCCGTCCCAAAACTAAAGGGACAGAGACCAAAGGCTGTGTCGAGTCCATACGATTAGCCCCCAAGAATTTTTTTTTTGTTGGCGAGAAGCTACTAGCTGCTGACGGCGATGATGTATTCTTCTCACTCGCGCACAAGCTGGCGTCACATGTGTGCGACCACCACGCGGCCCGGTCATCCTCGATCATTGGCAGACACCCATCTCGTTTTTTTTTGAGGTGGTTTGTATAGCGAAACAGCTGGAATCACGGGCATGCGGACATGTAACATACATCTTGCATGTGACAGTAGCATTTGTTAATAGCTGCTCAAGGTGGAAATGAAGCCGGTGTTGTTTCTCGAGGGACGACTCGCAGGTCGAGACCTGTGACGTTGAACCAGGCTCATCCTCTTTAAGATTGCGCACGATAGCGGCTGCAGCACAATGTCTCCAGCCATATGTAAGGTCGCGAGCTTCGGGCCAGAGGAAGATAGTGCACGCTATACCCTGGCCCGCATTGATCCTAGCCCAGCCATGAAAGAAGAGCGAGCCATGGCGGTCGCCTTCTGATCACTGCTCTCCGGATAAACGTAGACGTACCGCGTTTGTTCTCGCCTTGGGTACGGCGACCATTTGCCTGTGAATCTAATCTAGACTGCCCGCCAAACTGACGTGACACGGGTGTGGGGTAGCCGTTTGAGTCAGTTCGAGAAAGGGGGCCCTTTACGAGACGATGATATCACCAGACCAGGCCCAGAAGAAGTGTTTCCTGTTGGGGGAAGTCGACGAGACGACGCCAGCTGCGGCCGGAAACATGCCAAACCTGGTGTCGGAGAATTTTAGCGTTCTTCCTTGTCCCCTTTCCGTCGCCTTCCTGGTTTTGCATCCCAACAAAGACCCATCGGAACCAAGAGGAGTCACGTCACAAAAGAAGACATCGGAGACGAGCTGTCTTTAGGAATGGAAGGGAAAGAAGGGGACATGGAGGGAGGGGCAAAACAATTATCACATGTCTATCGCTGACCCTTTAGCCCCGTAAGCGTTGAAAAAAAAAGTGTCTGTTCGGAAACGCACAGCCAGAATTGCCCCATAGCAATCTAAGATTTTGCTTGGTCGGAGTACCCTCGGGCAATGGATGGAGAGAGGTGATGGTCTTATCTCCTCGCATCTCCACACGCTGGGCTTACGGCAGCTCGGTACCGAAACGATGTGACCTGAAATGACTAGCGGCGGCGACGAGGAGTAGGAGGAGGAGTAGTGGGAGAAGAAAGGAAAAAATTTCAGAACGGAGCTTGAAAAGAAAACGATGGCTTTCCTTAGCAGGACTGCAGAATCGTAGTGGTGGTTGTGGAGCCGCGAGACGTTGGTACGTACCGACTCGCATCAGCGCAGCCGACTTCACCCGGCTGATTCAGGATCTGCGCACGTGTTTAGGCTGAGCGATAAGTGCGATGTCGCAAAGGGAGATTATTGACGGAGCGTTCCACTTGCAGGTGAGTCTTTGCCGGTGGAGACGGACGCTCTTTGGCCGACAGATGAGGCTTTGGGCACCCACAGTTCCAGGCAGCAGGTCGGCAACGTGTTTTGCGATGCGACAGAATGGCCACGAACGGAATACCCACACGCAGAAGAAGACGCGGAGACTCATGGGAGTGGTCCCGTCCGACACCAGGATTGCGTGCGGAGATGGTCAGCAAAAAGAGAGGGAAGAAGGGGGCGTGCGGCCAGGAGGGAGACTTGAGACACGCTCAAGGCAACACTCAGCCGTCGTCCTGACTCCCGCACACACGCGCACACACACGTTCAAGTACATGCGGACCGTACACGCATCCTCTTGCCTCAGCCACAGGCACACAGGCTGGGGGTGGGACTCGCCATCGACTCGGCCGTTCCGGTTCTAGAATCGGGAGGTTTGCTTCCACGCCGCCAACCCAAACGGGCAGCCTGAGCCCATCCGCAGCCGGCGACCGACCAAAGGACGCCGTCCAGACGTCCGCTGCCTCTGCCGCCCGCGACTGGTGTTCTCTTCCTTGCACTGCAGCAGCGCCCGCATTCTTGTCTCGCTCGTCGCGCGATCTGACGTGATCGAGGCGGTCACGGAGCCAGCCCCGTGAGCACGATTCCAGCGCCCCCGCGTCTTTATCGTCGCCTCCGCCGGAGATTGAATTCCCTGGACCGTTTTTGCCGCCGGTTGCAGTAGTGGAGCAGTAGCCCGAGTCGAAGCAGCAGCAGGAGTTGTGGCCGCGTTGACTGAGTCGTACCTGAGTCTGTGTCGAGAGACCGGCGATCTGGACTGAAGAGTCAGTTCTGGAGAGCGACTTGGTGGCGATCGACCACTGGCGCGTTGCTCTTTTACACACGGCTTGCGATCGGCCGCTTAGATTGCAGGTCGAGACGCCAGCATCGCGCTGCACCAGCTGCTGCACCAGCGTCAGCGAGCGACCGACCGACCAAGCGAGGCAAGCGAACGTGCGCGCGTACGTGCAGCGAAGCAATGCAAAAGCAAAGCAAGGCGAAGCAACAGGCAAACGATAGCAGCCAGCCAAAGGGCAGAGGCACGTAATTAGGGCGGTTATGTGGCGCCCTCCTCACTTCTCCTCGTCTTCCTCTTCCTCTTCCTCGTCCCCCTTCCTGAAGCGCAAAGCCACACATTGCCCCAGATTGTGCCCCCACGCAGCCTGTTTTGCGACAAACTTCCCAATTTCACCCCGACCTCTTGCACCCAAAAGGATGGTAACATCGACTGGAAACGAACCCCAGGCTGGCAACCCCCCCTTTTTCCACCCCAGGACGGCGATGATGCGTCCGTACGACCTCACGCATAGCTTCGCCTACCTGCGCTTTGTAACCCCGTATGCACCGTGCGACTAGAATAGCAACGAAGAAAAAAGAAATCCCGTCAAGAAATAAGGGGGGCCGCCCGAGATCTCCACACAGATCGAGCGACGAGCCACACGCAAAGACGCTCCTGGCCCCGTACGTGTTTGCGTTTCGTGCGTGGTGGTGCTGCTTCATTGGTATTGTTTTTTTTTTTTTTTTTTTCATTTATCTTTCCTTTCCTCCACCCCCTTCCTTTGCGTGCTTTTTGTGGAAATCTGGGGGTGCGCAGGTGTATGGCTGGCAGCAGGCGGTATCACAAATGACAGCTCATAGCCGTGCGGCGCGTAGACAGTGGACGAGTCGCATTTGTTTTGCGCTGCTCCCGCCTGAAAAATCCTCAGCCTGTTGCTTTTTTCCTGGCGCCTTCCACTCGCTTCTCCGCGCTGCATGATGTTCTTTTTGCGTCCTACGTGTGCTCTTGCTGCCTTGTGTCACATTCGTTCTCTCATCTGCTCGCGGCCGCGTGTCACATCCTCTTTTGCGGACAGGCATCCTCCTTTCACTCCGGCCGGCGACGAGCTGACGTTTGTCAGCGATCCCGGACAGGGCTTCTAAGCCAAGTGCTTGCGGCGCCAGAGTGACAGCCAACGCTGAAGCTGGTATCACTCGCTGCTACCCCGGATATAATCGTCCAAAAGCCAGATCCATGCCGAGTGATTCTCCACAAAGAACTAATAAGGGCGCTATCTGGAAGGCGGCCGATCGGCGCTCCAACGCTGACTGGTGGAAACTAAAGTAAGAGAAGAACAGCGTCAATGGTGCTAGCAAGACTACCCCCGACATTGCTACGAGCATCATGATTTCGTTTCGCGATTGCAACCGGAGTCGCCCGCTTGACGTAGCTGAACGATAAAGCTGCGCCAAACATGGCGGAGTCATCAGAAGGCGAGAATGGGAGGTGTGGATGACACCCCAGGGCGAGAGTCCCGCCGTGTTGGGATTACGAGAGCGAGCGAACAGAAGAGAGACACACGACGGACATCGCCCGACGCTCTGCGTTGTCTCGGTGCCAACAAGAATTCGTTTTTTTTTTCGATTTGCCGGGGATGCCTTCGTGTAATTCCATGACTTGCGTCGAGTGACGTCGCGCGCCCACTCCCGCCTACCGCTCACCCGCTTGCGATCTTTCTTTTCTTTTTGCCCTTTTGTTCCGTTTTGGCTGCCGAAGCTGTGTTTCGCCGTCCACGCCAACCAAGGGGGGGGAAGGAGGCGCGAGGTTGGCGGGGACAGCTGAAAATCTCGCCATCCATCTGGCGAAGAGGCTCAGCAAGCATGGCCGGATAATGTCCGCGGTTAATGAAAAAGAGTGAAATTGTACCGAAACTGGCCGTTCCCGCTTTTTTCTCGACGCCTCGGGCAGATGTGCGCCTCAGTGCCGAGGCGGGCCCGCCGCACGACGACACTCGAGCAGCGCACGCACCTCGCCGGGAGAGCACGTTTTGTGGGTATTTTTGCTCGTTGGACTTTTGGCCTGGCCATTTTGCTCGGGTTTTTTATTTCTTTCCCCCTTTCATTACACTGGTATTGCAACCTTGGATGACGCTTCCTGCCCTTTCTCTGCCACTCCCACCCTGGCCCGGATGAAGCGACTCGAGTTGTACAGATCGCGCCTCCGCTAAACCGGGGTGTTTTTTTTTCATGCGCATCAAACAATTTTCTCCTTGCGACGGGCGCCGTGATCATTGGGGGTACTGTGTGCGTGCATGGATTTTCGTTTATTTTACGCCTGGAGGAGGGCGTGAGAGAGACACGGCGAACGTGAGGCGAGTGCCTGAGAGCGACACAGAGAGCAGAGTGCGAGAGGGGAAGAGCGAGATCGTCTTATCAGCACGTTGTAGAATTTGGCTGGCATATCGCGAAGGCCGCTGGCAGCCAATCGACGCAACACGTCGGCTCTGGGCAAGATGCTTTCCTACTGCGGGACCGAAACGAAAGAAAAATAAGGGTAAGGGAAAAGCGACGGCAGCGAAAAAGCCTGGTTCGGGCTTGTCCATGGACGGTCTCACAGTGGCAGGCTGGCCGTGGTGAGTGACGGCGGAAGTGCGGGCAGCAGCATCAGCGGCACTGGTAGCAGCCAGCAGCAGCAGCGGTGATGGGTAGTGGACGGAGTGGGCAGAGGTCGTAGCCGTGGAGTTTCGCAGTCGTCGAGGTGACAGCAGTGGGCCAGCATCCGGATGGACGTGGTACGCGCTGGGTGCTCAGAAACACCCCCACACGTCGTCCCTCTCTCTGGCCCTCCCCCCCCCCCATCATTCCTGGCTTCCTGCCGAATAAATCCCAATTCTTCCCCCCATCGATCTTCCTCCACAAAATCCACCACGTCAGCCTTGGGCTATATTATCACATGCACTCCCTCCCTCCCATTCCTCCACCTGCTTCCAACCTGCTCACCTCGCACCCTCCCCTTGGTTCACAGTCGCCAGCTCACTCTCCATCACAATCTTCATCCACTCGTCCACCTTCCGACAGTCCGTCCCTGTCCACCGTGCGATCTGATTCTTTCTGTCCTGTCAACTCTTCCACTCCGTCGTCGTCGACCGCAGCCGCTGCAGTGACTACCGCAGGCTCGCACCACGACATGGCCGCCACGGCCAATGTTAGCCTCATGACTCCTGCTCTTCAACAGGCCGCCCAGGACGCGCAGTCGCAACCTGCAGAGCAGCGACAGGATCTTCCTCGACCTTACAAGTGCCCCATCTGCTCAAAGGCTTTCCACCGTCTCGAGCACCAGACCCGTCACATCCGCACCCACACTGGCGAAAAGCCACACGTCTGCCAGTTTCCAGGATGCACCAAGCGATTCAGCCGGTCCGACGAGCTCACCCGCCACTCCAGGATACACAACAATCCCAATTCGAGGCGAGGTAAAAGCCAGCAGGCCGCCCAGCAGCATGCTACCGCCCTCCACGCGGCCGAGGAGGCGGCCAGGAGTGGCCTCTTGGGTAACATGCCACCTCCACCCAAGACCATCTCCCGCTCGGCGCCAAACTCTTCGCTGACCTCGCCCAACGTCTCGCCCCCTCACTCGTACGTGCCGTACCTCCAGACTGGCATCAGCAGCTCACCGTACAACCGCAGCGGTCTGAGCAGCGCCGGAGGCAGTCCCAATGCACTTCAGCGGCCGCTCGACAACGTCAATCTTCTCGCGAACGCTGCTTCCGAGCTTGAGCGGGAGCATCGCTCCTTCCCCAATCTGCCCCAGCTCAGCCGGACCGCCAACAACCACCAGTACCTCAGCCACCCGTATCAGGTCCCCTCGAGACTGCCCGGTCTCGCCCAGTACTCCATCTCCTCTCACTCGCACTCGGGCTCGCAGCCCATGTCTCGCTCTCACTCTCACGAGCAGGACGACCAGTATGCCCACCGTATGACCAAGAAATCGCGGCCCAGCTCGCCCTTCTCCACAGCGCCCCCTTCGCCCACCTTTTCGCACGACTCGACCTCTCCTACCCCGGATCACACTCCGCTTGCCACGCCCGCGCATTCGCCGCGCCTCCGCCCACACGGCTGGAGCGACATCCAACTCCCGCACCTGCGCAACTTGTCGATCCATCCGGCGCCCGCACTTGCGCCACTTGAGCCACAGACGGACCACTCGCCTCCCTACGTGCCTACAGCCCCGTCAGGTATGCGTCTCTCGGACATCATGTCCAAGACCGAGGGCGCGCAGCGCAAGCTACCCGTACCCGCCGTGCCCAAGGTTGCCGTGCAGGACCTCCTCAACGCGCCAAGCGGCTTTTCCTCGGGACAGTCCTCCACCACGGGCTCCGTTGCTGGCAACGATCTCTCGGAACGTTTGTAATGAATCTACTCAGAACATAACCTGGTTTGGATCACGCGGAGTTTTCTGGGTCCTGTCGTCTCGTCGGCACCTTTTTTTTTATCACGCCGGGAAATGTCAGCGTTTGATTCTTAAAAAAACGTGTCCTAGCTTTCTGCGCTCTCCCTTTTAACCCCCGGGGCTGGAGCGGCGGAGCTTTCTTTTGTTTTTGGGCCGGGCTTTGGATTTGGGAACGAAATAATAGACATACGGGTTTTTACTGGGTACTGTGGTGCAAGCCGCTACATAATTGCTTTCTCCAAGATACCTCTTGCAGCTATAGAATTCTTTTTCTTTGTCTAGGGTTCTGGTTAATTTTTCGCGGAGGGAACTTTTCACAACTGTTGCGTTTTCTAGCTCTCATTCTCCCTCTGTGTGTCGAGAAAGAGCTCTTCACAGTCATGTATTCTTACTTTGCTCGCTTCACTGGATCCTCCCCTGACCTCATCTGGCGGGCAAACGGAATCACCAGATAGCGTACAGCAATTGCGCTAATACAAGAGGAAAATCCACACCACGACCATCTCATTGAATGGACTTTTTTTTCCTTTCCTTCCGTCCAGACGCGAATGTCCTGCACGACATCGAGTCCTTTTTCTCCGTGTCTCTACACACACCAACCCTACACCGCATGTTTTTGCGTTGTCATCGTGTATCCCGCCCCCGTCCATACCCTAGATCGTTTAGCTCGATATTGCAACGGCATCATCAAAATCAAGGCAGATAGCAACATGCTTTCGCTCCGGGGGGCGGACTTCGATCCGGATCATGTCGATTCCAACAACCTCGATCGTTAGCGTCACATCTACCATGACACTCACTACCGGGACGGAATGTGGCGCGACTCGTGTGAAGTTGTCGCTTGTCTGGATAAACACATCACCCCATCATACTAGGGCGGAAGGGCCAGGCCCTGGCTGAAGGCCAATTCTGCTATCCTCACTCACGCAATCTCGGGCCGGGTGCACGAAGCCCTCACTTTTTCCGGTCTCTCCGGGCCTCCCGTGCCCCTTCCCCTCTCAAGGCCGTCGCCATTAGTCCATTGAGCGACCAGAGCCCGCAAATTGGTTCCGTGTGAGTCGTTAGGTGCCTGGGGTGCATGGTCGCTACCACCGATATCTTTCTTTTACCCCGCGGCTTGTCCGTAAGAAGAAGGAAAGGTAAGTAACGCTTTTCAAGCGCCTCGTGTGCTTGATGTGTGGGGTAGATGCCGGCGCCAAATTAAGTCAAAAGAGGGAAGCACTAACTAATTGGAGTAAAAGAAACAATAGTAATGATAATGATAATAGATACTTTGGGTAGGACAAAGAGCGTGCAGCCGGTCCAGAGTTTTTTTTTTCTTTTTTTTTCTTTTGTGCAGATCGATCGCAGGATTTCCCCGCTGGGGGAAAAGTACGAGTCGGTACTCACGAGGCCGGTCACTCCATCGTCACTCCACGTCCGCTTTTTCGTCGCGCGAAGACGAAAACCGACGGTTCTGAGTCCAGCAGAGAAAGAGTGGAACTGGATGGAGACACACATGCATCTGGCCTCTCTCTTTGCACCCTGCATGTCGTGTAACAAGAACCCGAAACAAAAAGTCTATTGACAGCTGATTCCCGTGATGGTCACAGGGGGAGGGGCCAACCCAGGTCGGTGATCTCTTCTCTCGACCTGGCCAATGTACTGACCTGCAGTCGCAGAAGCTGCGATCGCTAACCCTTCTTACTGGCTCCACACTTCATCTTAAGGAAGCTGAAAAAAAAATTGATCCTCTAATTCTTTCGATCGGACTCGAGTCGTTCGCGCCGCACCCAAGATCAGCTTGTAGCGCATGGATCGTCTCAAAGCGGATTTTTGTTAAAAGAAAAAAAATGCCGGGAAAATCAACCGAGTTTCCCCGGAAATTGTTTCCACCGACAGACTACTCCACCTGAACCCCCCTCTCACATACCCCCTTTTTTCAATTTTGTCTTTTCTTTAGTGCAGATCGAGGTAAGACAGTTCGAGCAACGAGGGGGCTGGCGCGTGCTCGTATGAAGGACAAGCAGAAGAAGAAGAGGAAGAGGAAGGAAGAACTTGACTCAGAGGGGGAATGGGAACAGACGGAGTTGATAAACACATAACACATAGCATCAAAATTGTGTGTGTGGGTCGCATATATCTTATCTAAAGGTGGAAAAAGGGGGGGAGGTGCCCGATCGACTGGGCGCTTCTGAAGGATTCTGAACATCGTACATCTCGCATACTGTCGCCGCTCTGTGTAGGTGTGAACCGTGGACTGCACATTTTTGGTGTGGGGAGGACGGCACGCGAGGCTGAGGTTAACACGTCGAATCACCAAGACACGATTTGGATAGATGAGGTCTTCACCTTCCTGGACGCAAGAAATCCATTTCAACTTGGCATTGTGATCTGGTCGAGCGCTCGACGATTCTCATGGAGAGTACACTGTCGGACCGTTCACCTCCTGCCTATCTCCCCCGTCGACGCAACATATGTCAGCTCGTGTTTTTCGCACACGTGCGCTCCGGTGTCCGCCCTCCTCCCTTTCCTACCTGGCCCAAGAAACGTGTCCTATCTTTCTGCCAAGCTTCCATGGATTTGCGTCATCGGGGTTGAATGTGACGGAGCTGCCACGATTTACATGTGGTCTCGTCGAACGCGTCCTGACGATGCCGGCTGCTGATCCCGCTCGCCTCGAAGGATACCAATTGAAAGGAGGGGGATAAGGTCGCTCGGCGAATGGTTCTGGTGTTCGGTCCGAAAGAGGTGAAACGTTTGCTCCGAGGTAAAGCGGCTGTCTGGGGGTTTTTCAAAACTTTTTCTGCCTCGTTCCTTTCAGCCTCGTCAGCCCAGGGTTTGGGGGAAAGGGTTCATAACAAAAGGCGAATCCTTCAACCTAGCCGAGCACGTGCAAACGAATAAAAATACTGCGCAACGGATCAATGGTGTCCTTGTCGACAATCTATCGGTTCTAGGTCACAGCCATGCCCGTGTCTTCACGTTTCTGCTGGCCAAAGAGCACAATGGCGCAAGGATTGCGAGCCAGGGTTGGTGTACGTTTGGCCTGTCTCGGGCTCGAACGGTTGGATTGCAACCAACCTCCAAGGCCTGGGACCAATGTTAAATGCTCCGACGATCGTCCTATGGACGGGACGAGCCGTGCTGTGCGACATCACTTCAGAAGTATCGTGTCTGTGCGATAGGACGAGCAACAAGGGAAAGCAGGAGTCAGTATCCCGAAGCGATCAACCTCGGCCATAAACGAAGACAAACAGCGGCCGAGACGGGGTAATAGAAACGTGGCCACGATGCCCGGACGCAGAGCGCGGACAAGGACTGTGATAAGTATGTGTTGCCTTTGATCGCGGGCGTGAATATCCTCGCAACGTCCAGCATTTCATGCAGGACAAGTATTGCTATCACAACCAGAACTTTCTTTTCAACGTGCTCGGCACCCTCAACCTTTCAGGGCTTTCACTCGAAAAAAGGACCTTTGCCGAAAGTCAAAATTTTCGACCCATACGGGCCCCCTTCCCTTTGCTTCGTCGTCGTCTGCATTGTGCGTCCACATTCGAAGGAGAATTTGCCGGCGTTGAGACGACCTGGAATGATTACGGGGTAAAGGTTTAATTCATTTTGGCCGGGCCTGGAGCGCCCTTTTTTTTTTTTTCTTCTCTAATGCGTGACGAGGTCTTTCGATTCGAACATCCGCGGAAGTGCCCTGGATTTAATTCAAGCTCTGGAGCTGTATCGGCACGTCAGAGTAAGATGGGCGCACGTCGTTCGAGCCTTGGTCGGTGCAATCGACGCGACGGCCGTCGTACTTCCTGCTCGTCGCGAATAACCGAAGCAAGAGCAAGGCACAGCTGGCAGTCGTCCGGCCGACGTCGAGGAGCTGCAATTCGTTCTGCTCCTCTCAATACCGACCGAGTTACTTCGCTGCCGTCCGGTCCGCAATGAAGCACGAGATGTGCATTATCATTCACATGCAGAATTTTCCCGATTCGGGCATCTGTTCTTGGAGAGATGCCTTGTCATCGGAAGTTGTTCTGCTGATACGAGAATCGCGTAAGATTATGGCCGACGTTGATAATACCAGCCACGCTTAGGAGTCATGGCAGACGCAAGGGATGCCCAACTTTGACAATAGAGTAGTTGGGCGTCAGGCTACCCGCGAAAGATTTCTCAGGTCAAAGATAAAAAGCGTGGAGTGTGAGTCCTCAATGCATGTCGTCTCCACAATTCGCCTCCACGGCCTCCGCAGATATTTCTCTCAGCGCGATAGCCACCGTGAAAAAAAAGGGTACAATACCAATGCGCAAGTATGTAATGATGGGCTCATATTCTAGCCTTGGTTCTGTAATTATCTTAAGCGACCCAACCGTTTGGTTCTCACCGCTGAATCCGCTGAAGATCCTGCTTGCGCAGAGATTCGGTCGGTTACATGCTCCAACTTACATAACCGTAACGAGGCAGTCGAAGCTAAATGGACAAACTGAACTCCACTTCCCGTTTTTCAACCTAAAGGGCGAAAACCACGCCAACCAGAATGATCTTTCATCGCAGTCGTCGTTCATGCTAGTGCGGGACTTTCTGGAGTTTCGCGACCTTGCCATGCCCTTGCGAACGCTGTGCGCCCTTAAAGGATAATTGTCTCAGACATCTTATGGAGGTGGGTGTCACGACATCGTTAACCCCCACGCGTGAAACGCCACCTGTCTTAAAGGAGGCACCCGGCAGCTTGGATTACCCCGGACTCCTCATTCAAAGTGCAAAAACAAAACAGGATCTCATGCGAGACCTTCACCGGGATCGCGGTATTGTGGGGTTTGAGATCGGAGTCACGGGCCGGCGTCATGCAGGCTTCGAAAGCACTTGCGGATTCAAATAATCCGACTTTTGAGAACCTCACTGTTGCGCCCAGCTGCATTCTTTATTGGCATATGTACCTGTGAGTCATTTCTCCATGCCAAATGAAGCCAAGGCGAATGTGCTGCTGTCCAAATTTGGTGGTCGTCTTCAGCATCGTGATGATTGTCTCGTTCCGGACTTCGTCCTCAGGCGGAATAGTTGACAGTCGAAGGAACATTGGATGACGGCAGTGTTGCCAATGTTTGCTTACTAATCTTGCTTCACGGGGCCTTAGTCAGATTGAATAAGCCGTCCTCGAAGTCGACATCGCCGTAATTGTATTCGTCGTCCGACGGCAGCGCCTCGTCCTCTGAATCGGCGATTTCTTCGAAGCGTCTTTTTCCTATTCGCACTGGTGATGACAATACGGGAACTGTGACCTCCGAACGCGGTGTTGGTAACTGACTTAATCCATGCTGCTGTTGATCAGCTGACTGAAAAGCGGCTTTGTGCCCTTATCCGTTACCATTTCGATAGTGAAAGGAACTACAGTCTCGAAACGACCGTTTTCCTCGGCGGAAACACCGTTGATCTTGATGAGTCCGGCATAACGAAGCCGTCTCCATCGCTCAGCCAGCTCGGGATCAGGCTGGGTCATTGGATGTGGAGGGAAGTCGCGAAATAGCACGAGCTGCGTCGACACGCCATGATCCCACTCGATGCTCGAAAGCGTGGGCAGCAGTAGAGCTCCTGCGCCGGATCGGATTCGCAGTCTTGTCTGCTGTGTCATCAAGACGACTAAGTCGTTCACGGTAGCCAATCTTTTCAATTTCGAGATCAGGTCTCCCATAACTGCATACTTTCGGTTAGCAGCCCACTTTGCAATCTCGGACTGTTTCTTTGACTGCTGATCATAGAATTGGGAGTAGGCAATATCAAATACGGTGGATATGGAGTCTATGACGATAAGGGCTGTGTTCACGTCGGCAAGGTCGGATGCTGGGTGCGTGAAAAGAGTCACGAGATGGGCGAGATCAGTGATCATATAGTAATGGAATCGACTTGCTTGCTCCTCAAGCTCTTTTGTAGTGTATTCACAGACAGGTGATCTGCGCAATAGCATCTTTAATCTGTCGAACACTAGAGGGGACCCGCAGTCTGAATGTTCAGCGTCTTAGCTCTTCCTGCGAGACTGCTGAGATTTAGCTTACCGATCCAAACAACATGATAACCTTTGCGGAGAGAGGAGACCGCAGCTTGTAGACTGCTGATGTTAGCGTAACTTGAGATGCGCGCGCAGGACTTTACCAAAATGTGGTCTTGCCTGAGCCAGGCGGACCATATACGTCAACGACATGCCCAGGCTTCAAACCTTGGACCTCTGCTATGTCGAGAGAGCGGGGTGCCTTGCTCAAGAGGGCATCTAGACGAGGTAAGCCCGTCGATATCGTCTTCGACGGTGCTGCCCGCAGCTTTTGCAAAGCTTCCGTTGCGGACACTGTCGGCAATCGGTCTGGATCATGTAAGCGAATTTGGCAGCTCTCTGTCAGCGAGTGCACGAGTCCGTACGCGAGGATGATGGCAACTGAGAGCTGGAGGCGCTTTTCCCTGCCATTTAGCTCACGCGAGGATGTCAGGTCGATGTGCGCGTGCGTCGGCGCGCAGACAAACAGATTTCCGCTCTTCGCGGTGTTGCGTTGCGTTGCATTGCTAACCCGGCGTGGAGGAAACGCGAAGTCAGGTGCACGAGCCTGCGGTCAGCTTGTGAAACAGGAGCAGGAGTCACGACGACGAATCCGCCCAGGGAGAACAGCCATCGTGAGACCGATGGTCGCGGCACCGCGAAAGAAACTTTGCGAATTAACTGCTGCAACACGTACGCTTTCATACTTCAAGACAGTTTGGACCATCGGCAGGTATATGTCTTTTGATGATGTGCTGAATGCGTCCCTAGCGGTGACGAGAACGTAGAACTACGAAAAGCACACGTTTCAGATTCCGACATTTGCACACACGACTGGTCGCGCGCAGGATGTCCTGTCCCTCATCGCTGAAAAGCGCAGGCGAAATATTTGGCATAGATGAGGAACCGGTCGATCTGCCACCAGGTTACTACATCTACACGGCCCTGATGATTGGGCTCGTGATAGGCATCCCGCTCTTGTACCGACAGCTTTGGTTAGTAGCGTGGTCATTATTTCGACACTTCCGCAAGCCACCACATCTTCGAGGAGGGCCTGAGGGCTGTCGTCCAGTCGGCAGACCCGGCCACAGGAATCTCAGCAAGGACGTCAATCAGAGTCCGCGCGGTCGTGGATCTGCTGCTGCATCTAGCAATGGTCAGGTCAAGCCGTCCTCGGGTGCGGTTAGGGCGCTCTTCGTGTATCCTATCAAAAGCTGCTATCCGGTCGAAGTGGACGAGGCCAAAATCACTCCGATGGGATTCGAGCACGATCGGCAGTTTTGCTTTGCGACCTGGCATGAGCCTTCTTCGACGGGAGGCAGTGCAAAAAGCGATGCGCCCAAGAAAGGCTCCTCGGCCTACTGGGATAGCACGCCGCACTGGGAGTTTATGACCCAGCGGCAAAACCCGTCGCTCACTCACCTGAGGACTCAATTGTGGCTACCTGATGAGAAGCTTCCTGATTACGACGAAGAGTCGGAGGTTGTGAAAAGCGGCGGCGTGCTGCAGGTGTCCTTTGAATACTCACCGCCCATGACGACTGTCCGAAACATTTGGTCTGTCCTCCACGCAAAGTTAAGCACCCTCGATCTCTCTGCCAAACCTGTGTGGAAATTTGAGGTCCCGCTCAACCCTTCCGCTGAGCAAATCCGCGAGCGTAGGTACGGCACGGATAGGGTCCGCATATGGAGAGATGAGCCGAGCGGTATCAACATGACTTCGGAGATTCCAAAGTATGTGCTGCAAAATCTGCGGGCGCTTCTATTCGACGACATCAAACGGAACGCGCCTCACAAGCTCACGCGGATGAAGAGCTTGCCCGAGCTACGGCTCTATCGCGTTGACAGGAGCAAGGACCGCGAGCTGTACAAATGCGCCCCGAAAGAGGAGCAGCTTGGCTACCAATCGATTATCGGCTATCAGGATTCGTACCCTATACACCTGCAGAACATGGCCACCGTCGCGGACGTGGACAAGCAGCTGCAGGACGCCAAGGCGTTCACGCCGGACGCACGGCGCTACCGCGCCAACATCTACGGTTCGTTTCCCAGTCTCCAGCCTAAAATGCGCGTTCGACTCACCACAGAAGCAGTGTCCGGCCCGCCGGCCTACGACGAGGACGACTGGACCCTCGTGTCGATCGGAGACAGCGACATCCACGTCTCCTGCCGCACAACCAGGTGCAAGCTGCCCACAAACGACCCGGACCTGGGCGTGCTCGGCTCCGACAACCAGCCGTACGCCTACCTGACAAAGAACCGCGCCATCGACGAGGGCGCCCCGAACACGGGCTGTCTGGGAATGATGGCCGTCCCGGCCAAGGACTCCATCGGCCGGACGATCAAAGTCGGCGACGCGCTCAAGGTTCTGAAGAGAGGAAAGCACCGTTTCGTCGCGGATCCTGAACCGGAGGCCCAAAGGCCGCCGCTTTGAGGCTCGTCAACCCCCGGGCGCTACGACATTTAGCGCCTCGTGCTCGCGTTGGACTTTTCTGCATGCGTGACGAAACGTCTCGCGATGACCCCCAAATGTGTACATATGTAAAACATGGTCTTGCCCGGGCAAGATCGTAGCTGACGTCGTCCAATGTATCACTGTTCCGGAACCTTATTCGTTTCTCGGCAGCATCACGTTCTATGCAGGCCAAAGTTGGAAAGTGAAATTAAAATAGATGGTCACACACATATTTTCATTTCAAATTTACATCGTTCAACACAGATTTTCATGAAAGAGAACGCAAAGTTTTCAGCCCCAATATTCACATCTAATGCATATACATACGTACATAGACATCGGGACGACATCGATGCCATAGGTTAGACTTCCCTGCGCTTAAAGGCTCAACGACCCAGACGATGGCATTCTAGACAGCAGGTTCCGCTGGCTTCGTCGTTGCTTCAGGAGCGACCTTCTCTGGGTCACTGTGACTCACTCCGGGTGTAGCCTCGGAGCTCTTGCGTGCCGCTGCGCTCTTCCTACGAATATAAGCCCATTCGGCTCTGTCAGCATCCTCGTCAATGGTGGCAGCCGTGACCTCTGGGGTTTCCTCGTCCTCGACCTCCTCGGGAATAATCAAGTTGAGAATGACAGAGAGGAAGGCAGTAACGGCGAATCCCGTCTCCATGACCAGTTCGATGGCGTTGTAGAAGCCCAAGAGAGCGCGGTTGTCACCGTGGTAGGTGAAGACGTAGGCAAACCAGCTGTAGCAGGAATGTTAGACAATTCTACAAAGACTGGGGGGGAAAAAAAATAAGGTAATGTGAACGTACGTATCAACCAGGGTGGCACCAAAGCCAATAGACATTGCTGCAGTCAGGATAAATCGATTACGACGGGTGAATGGAACAGTCGAGATGATACGAATACCAGAGATGGCCACGGCGCTGAAGAGAAATGTGGTCATTCCTCCAAGGACAGAGCTGGGAATGGCAACAAGTGCGGCGGCAAACTTTGCAAATATCCCCATCACAAGAAGCCAGAAACAGCAGAAGTAGCCAGCAGAGCGGTTTGCACATCGCGTAAGTGCAATGACACCGTTGTTTTGGGCGAACGTGGACATCGGAGTGATGGTGCAGAGACCAGCGATAATTCCGTTGAGACCATCTGCAAGCACGCCGCCTTGGATACGTGAGTCGAAGAGCTTGCCATCGACCTCGAGACGGGAGACATCGCAGGTGGCGGTGATGTCGCCAATGGCTTCCATGGCCAAGACGATATACACAGCTAGAAGTGGAAGAACGATCGGCCCGTACACACTAAGCGGAAAGGTATGAACCCAGATGAAGGAAACTGCCGGGGCGGAGTCTATACCAGACCTGTCAAAGTATCCGCATGCGGCTGCGACTATGCATCCGATGAGGAGGCCGAAGATGACGGCGCAAGACTTCATGATGGGACTGCCGAAGCGTTCGCAGATGATGATGCTCACGAAGACGAGGAAACCCAATCCGATGAACTCTGCGCTTCCCCATGGTAGAGGGCGGGGAGCAGCGATGTTCGGGCACAGCGCGAAGAAGCCGTCTGCAGGACGGGTCGAGCAGGTGCCAGAGCCACCAGCCCAGTTGCTGAATCCGGAGCTGATCAGATTTATACCGATCAGGGTGACGGTTGGGCCAGTAACGATTGGAGGGAACATTTTCTTAAGCAGTTTCGGTGGACAGAAGCTCATGAGGACTTCAATAAGCGCACAACAGCACTGAGTACCCAGAATCGCGCCTAGACACGGGACAGTTAGTTTTGCACACCAGAAGAACTTTGTTCCTTATCGCATACCGTATCCCTTCGGACAGGGGAGGGGGTTGCCATCAGCATCTGAGGGACAGAAGCCATTTGCGTACATTTGCGCGAAAGCACCTGTCGCAACGGGGATGGTTGCAAATGAAGTACCGACAACGGATATCAGGCCGGTTCCGACGTAGTATGGAGACTTGTAAATGTGAAATCGGGTAATCTGGATGGAAGACAAGATTCCGCAGACGATCAAGGAGGTGGACACCAAGTACTGCTGCAGCTCCGTTGTTAAGTTGGCGCCACTGCTAGTAGACAGGATGATGGGTGGAGTAATGATGCCGGCCAACATAGCTAATGCGTGCTGGAAGCCGAGCAACATGCCCAAAAAGATCGGCATTTTGTCATTCAAGCCAAAGAACGGCGCGGCGCGGCGCTCCTTCTTCATGAAGGGCAAGTTTGGCTTGAAAAGAAACGCATAATCATAGTCGCCAATTAAGCCATCCCTGATGAAAAATACGTCAGCCACGACTTGCAAAAGGCTTCTCCGTTAGTGGGTCAGAACGAACTTGGTTGTGAATTTCTTCACAATCTCTCTGCTCCTATCTGCAAAGGACTTTTTGGGCGAAGTATCTGGCCCGATCATGTCAGGCGAATCATCCTTGACGTCCATGTTGGCAGTCGACATCTTTGATCCGCTTAGACGAAAGCGTGCAAAGAAAGCGCGTGTCTGTATGTGCGTGTGTGCGTGTGTGGATACGTAAGAGTCGGAGAGAGCCTTTCGAAGGTTGAGTCGAACTCTTTCAGAAAGGGTCCGAAGGAGTTTTGCCCTTAGCGTATCCAGATGGAAGAGCTCGTCAAGCTGTGATATATAGCTCTGATCGCTTCGCGACGTGGTGCCCAGCACCTAAGACTGTGAGAGCGATTGGCAACTCTTCCTATCCTTTTTCTTCTTTCCAAGAGGCGGGTGGCTGTTGTCAAGCGAGCAATGGCGTGGTTTTGCTTGTTGATTTGCCAGAATAGAAGCTTGGACAAGATGAGCTCCTCAAGATCTTGATAACGATGCAGCCTTTCGTCGCGTGTCGAAGCTCGAAGCTCTCTCGGCAACGATGTCGGCCTTTGCTGATCGCTTCTCCCCAAAGGGCTGAGGCGACAATTCTTATACCGTGGACGAGGCGATAATTTTTCTCTTGCCTCCACGACGCCTACTGCGCCCAGCTTATACCCAAAACGAAGTTCCCATATAGGAGCTGGCCGAGATTCTTTCCAATTTTGGAGCACTGGAGATAAAAACCTTAGGCGACAAGATGACTGATATCGTGGGAGCTGCAACACCACCAATCACGACGGGCATGAGCTCGCGTGCCTCATCTGCTTTGTGGCTACTTTTACTTGCGCACTCTTATCAAACGCCTCTCATTGGTCCAAGGTGGTAAGCCTCGGGCGGAACTGGCCGCACTCAAGGCTCGAATCCCGTGGCATTGTGCCGTTTAGCCTTGCTCCGATAGCTTGGTCCTGCAGCTCATCAGGCCTAGAAGCATCGTCGACAACTCGAGAGGAATTGTTCACGCCCACGGGCCTCGAGCAAAAATTTATGCATCCACCTTGGCACGGAGGTGTCTGTCGATTCACGGCGAATTTGTCTGACTGATGCGGATGTTCCGAGGCAGGGTGAGCGAGCATGACTCGTGCCAGTTCCAGTACTAGCATTCGCGCGATGGGTGCACGATGGACGACGACTAATGAACCCAATGTCTAGGGGGGTATGGGGTGCTGTTGCGACGAATTCTTTAGATTCGTCTTACCGTAGATCTCTCGTTTGCTACTCTACGAGCGTGTGTGGATTTCATCGTCTGATCTGGCGAACGTGCAGAGAAGATCACCCGCGTCATGATGCTGTGCTAACTTACTGTGGCCTTCGCGGCACGCTTCGCAAATGAACATAGAAAGCCCCGTACACCTTCAGAAGGGCTGTGATTGAAAGAGGTTCGAGCAGAGATAGCTTGCTGCGCGCTGATTGGTGCTTTTTTTTGTCTCCACATGTCCTCGATTATGCTCGTTACGAGATGTACCGATACCCTTTGGCGATCCACTACTGGTCGCAAAGTTTGTGTTCATCATATTTCTATTGCGCACCGCGAACGCGCGAGGTGCTTCACACGTGCAGGGAGTGATCAATTTGCTGCTTAGACGAGTGCTATCTTCATTCGCCATCCCCACGCTTTGATCCCAGGAACACAATACGGCACTGAGGTGTTCGAATTCTCGCCATGCGCTGTTCATGCCTGAAGCACTTCACAGTGTCTTGATTTTGGAAAACGTCGTAGAGAGCTGACATTTCAGCCACGCCGCCAAAGTACATAGTTGTCGCAGTGGTCAACGGCGACCTTTTTGGCTGAGGCCGCGCAGATCGACGGTTTGACCTTGACAGCGCTATAGCAGCTGTCCGCGCTGGATCCGAGCGGAAATATCGAGGTCCACATGAAGCACTGCGCATGTAGTAGCAGGGAAAGTTTCTGGTGCTTCACGCTACGAACATGAGCATCTACGGTGTCTTCGGGTCGCGCCTGACGCGTTGTCCGTCGGCTGGCGACAAGAAGTCTACACGTCATCTTGCTCCTGCTTGAGCAGGCGCTTCCATCTCGGTACCGATGAGCGCGAGGCAGGAGCAAGGGAGCATCAGCAGTTGCTTGGAACAAGCTGTTGACCGGGTCGCTGCGGCAGAGGCCTTGACCTTGCCGCGGCGAGGCAAGCACGACGTGCACAGTTACGTTTGGCGGCAGCAACGGCGGCAGCGAGCCAGTGCGGCAAGGAGAAGCACCGCATGATCGAAAGTGCGTCGCCAGAGAGACATGACCGTTTTGTTTCCCTGGCCGCGCGTAGCATTTGGCTTTGTCGGAGCTGAGCCAAACGTGCTTCACTGTGCCGTTCCTCCTTCTTTCTTTTTCCTCTTTACCAGCTTCGGTACGACGCCTGCTGAGCTACCAACGCAAGGTCGTTGCCCCACACATTACCTCACGTTTCTTGCATGGCATACGTCCAATCGTCCAAAGCCTGCCGGTGTCAGAAGGAGAAATCGATGGCAGATTATCGGGGGGGCTGCACTGAACCGCCATCCGTTGACACGGCGTGCTCTTTTTTGCGTCTTCAAGGCTGATGTCATGGCGGAGTTGACAGCGTCATAACATCTGATAAAGTTATCCCTGGTGGGCATCCACACGCGGGTGCACGACGCTGAGGTCACATGACTAAACGAGATTTCCCGACATGAACTTGACTTCTTGATAAGAAACAGGGGCTCTCAGGCCCTCAGAATATCAGTTTTATCACGGCTCGTTTCTCAGGATCCGGTTGATAGGAGATGACGGAATCCGGAAGCCGTGTAAGGCGGTTGTCGCGTGAGGTGGTGTTGTTTCGATGGATCCCTTCATCCGCATAGCGTCTCAACAGAGATTGGCAAGAATCGCAGGCTGGAAAGAAGATTCAACAACTGCAAGCAAGGCCCGTTTCATATGCTACCGAGCTGCCGCTCCGACGGCCAGAAACAACAGCGTAACGATTGCGTGGACGGAGCGCAATGTCTGGGGCGGCCGCCTGGCTCACGCACGTGCTGCGGCCGTGTGTGGTACTGGAAGATGGTGGGGAGTTGCTAGGGCACGCTCATCGACTGTAGCAACTGCACAGCATGGTGCAGAGCAGCAGTGGCAGCAGCCGCGGTCGCCAGGACGGGTGGCGCATGCGAGCGAGACCGAATGATGACCAGCTGTGTGGACAGCCTCGACGAGCGCAGCTAGCTGGTTGTGGCCGGCCGCGAGTGTTTCGTGCGTATGGGGCAGGGCCCGGCTAAGAACGCAGCAGGAAGAGAATGTTCCTGCCCACTTCTAGCGGCCGCCGCGTGCCTTGCAGCGACCGCGTCCCTGGCCAGCCGAGGCCGTTGAGCCTTGCCGGCGCCCCGACAGTGCGCCGCCAGAAGCAAAAGAATCCAGCACGCAGTCGCAGCGCCTTCGCCTGAGCAACCGGCGGACGGCCGCACCAGGCATTCCTCGCCTGGGCCCCGCGCTGGAGGGCAAGGAGCAGCAGTCTCACACATGATGATGATCCCATGCTGGGTTTCAGCAGCGGGACCTCGGAAGCGAGATGCGCTGCCTGAACACCGCGTAAGGTCTGCCCCAACAAGCTGTTCCGCCGCGCGTCGTGATTGGCTCAACAAAAACCCGTCCAGCTCCATGCTCCAACCGCCGGCTGCGCGCTCTTTGCGCGCTCTCACGCCGGTCCATGGCCCTCTGCGTTGGATGACCACAGCATTATGCTTCTTTTGCTCAACGCCTGGAATCCCGCTGGGACTGTCCCCCCGCAGCCACTCGCTCCCATTCTTCCGGCCTTGCTGCCCATCCAGACCTGTCCTTTTTGCGCCCGGGTTTTTTTGTTGGCCGTTGACTAGATCCATGATTCGCACTCCGTAATCCACCTTGCCTCTTCTCGCCATCCATATTAAAAGCCCTCCTCTCCGCCATTCCGCTACTTGCTCTTTCCTTCTCCTCTTAGCCGCTTGCTCGCCAGTGTACTCCCCTCCCAGTTGCCATTGGGGCTATTCTTCACACGTTCATCATGCCGTCAAGCCAGCCTTCGGCAGGCGAGCCTGTCTCGCAACCGTCGGCCGCCACCTCGTCGAAAAACCCAAAGTACGATCCTAAGAAGCCTCACATCACCGACATGCCCATTACCTGGTCGAATTGGTACCAGCACGTCAACTGGCTGAACGTCACCTTCATCGGCTTCCTCCCTCTGTCCGGTGTCGTCGCCGCCTTCTTCACGCCACTCCAGTGGAAGACGGCTGTTTGGGCCGTCGTCTACTACTTCTGCACCGGCCTCGGTATCACGGCTGGCTACCACAGGCTGTGGGCACACAAATCGTACAACGCCACCTTCCCACTCGAGCTGTTCCTCGCCCTCTGCGGCGGCGGAGCCGTCGAGGGCAGCATCCGGTGGTGGGCAAGAGATCACCGCGCTCACCACAGATATACCGACACCTCCAAGGACCCCTACAGCGTCCGCAAGGGCCTGCTGTACAGCCACCTCGGCTGGATGGTCATGAAGCAGAATCCCAAGCGCATCGGCCGCACCGACATCTCCGACTTGAATGAGAATCCGATTGTGAGATGGCAGCACAAGAACTATGTCTGGGTTGCTCTCTTCATGGGTGTCGTCTTCCCATCCTTGGTTGCCGGCATTGGCTGGAACGATTGGAAGGGTGGCTATGTCTACTCTGGCATTCTCCGCATCTTGTTCGTCCAGCAGGCCACCTTCTGCGTCAACTCGCTCGCCCACTGGCTCGGCGAGCAGCCATTTGACGACCGCAACTCGTAAGTTTTGCTCCCCTTATATGGATCCAGACGAACAGCATGGCTAATTAAAACGCGTTGCAGACCCCGCGACCATGTCTTCACCGCTCTGATGACCCTCGGCGAGGGCTACCACAACTTCCACCACGAGTTCCCGTCTGACTTCCGCAACGCTATCGAATGGTATCAGTATGATCCAACCAAATGGTTCATCTGGACTTGCAAGAAGCTTGGCCTGGCATACAACTTGAAGCAGTTCCGAGCCAACGAGATCGAGAAGGGACGTGTGCAACAGCTGCAGAAGAAACTCGATCAGAAGCGCGCCAAGCTCGACTGGGGTGTGCCACTCGAGCAGCTTCCTGTCATGGAGTGGGAGGATTACGTCGAGCAGTGCAAGAACGGCCGTGCTCTTATCTCTGTTGCCGGTGTAGTTCACGACGTCTCAGGTTTCATTGAGGATCACCCCGGCGGACGTGCCATGATCAACTCTGGTATCGGAAAAGACGCAACCGCCATGTTCAATGGTGGCGTGTACCTACATTCAAATGCAGCGCACAATCTGCTGTCCACCATGCGCGTCGGCGTCATTCGTGGCGGTATGGAGGTCGAGATCTGGAAGCGCGATCATAACACAGCCAAGGACGCTATGTACATCAAGGACGAGAACGGCAACCGTATTATCCGCGCTGGCCAACAGGTCACCCGAGTTGCAGAGCCTGTGCAGAGCGCTGGTGCTGCTTAGATCCATCAAGATTTCTTTTTTTTTTCGGCTAGCTTTTTGATGTTGATGAGACTATGTGTATATATGTCCTATGCCGAGGTCTGAAATTTTTTTTTAAAGAGGCTTCGGGAGTTTCTGTATGGCGTTGGCGACTGCTCCTTGTAAAAGCGACTTGTGGGTGGGGAGAGACAACCCAGAAAACTTGTTAAGTTTTCGTGCGTTCGCTGCAAATGAAAACAAAGTTAAAGAATGAATCGACAGCTTTGGACGCTGCACGTGTTGCAGACTGGTTTCCATGATGCGTAAAAACCGTCTATACTCGAACATTGAGCTCTAAAATGGCAGAATTGACGAAATTGACACGGTCAGAAACCGTGCGACGTTTTGAGTTTGAAATTTCGAATAGATTTCACGTGCACAACTTCAATTGCCCTGCTGCCTTGCTTGTTTGACCACCTCCAGCCCCAAACTATTCAGACGACGAAGAACTCAATGATAGGATTAGCAGTCACTGTTGTAGGCAACGCGTAGCACGCGAAGAGAAAGAGGAATTTCTGAATGTTTTCATCCTGAGTCTTTTTACGCGAGCTTCTCCCGTGACGTGTTCAACACGTCTTGTTTGAGGACACACGACCTTCACATCAAAAGACTATGCCAATCAGACGTTCGTTGAAACGGCGGCGTGTCGATGATGGCTCTGGAACCATCGCAGAAAGCAACGATGGTGAGCGATCTGCTAGCCCACTCATGTCGCTTCAACGCGAGGTCTCGCCTCCACCAGCGAAAACGGTAGCGGAGCAGCGCAGGACGGCGCTTGGTGATGAGCCGAAGGACAGGGCAAAAGATGAAGGCGCAAAGGAACGCGAAAGCTCAAGCGCTGCAACGAAATTCATGCCCACGTGGACGTGGCCAGCAGTGTTGGCAACAGACAAGCCGGGAAAAGTTGCCAAAGCACCGTCCGAGTCGAAGACTGGGCCGGCGGAGACAAGTCGAAGTGAGGAGCAAGGAAGACCAACTCCACGGGGCGGCCAGAATCCGAGGGCAAAGCTGATCGCGTCCCCAATACAGCTGACGCGAATTCGCGATCTTCCGCCCTCGCACAACGTCGACACAGTGTCGCTGCGCGACATCCTAGGTCACCCCCTGCTCAAGGAGTGCTGGCAGTTCAATTATCTGCACTCCATCCCCTGGATCCTGGAGCACTTTGACGCCGACGTGCGTAACCTGGTGTCGTTGAAGGTCGTGCACGGGTTCTGGCGCAACGACGACGGGCGCAAGCAGAGCCTCCAGGAACAGGCCGACGCCGCCGTTCGATCCGGCGCCCGGGTCCAGCTCGTGGCCGCGCACATGCCTGAGATGTTTGGGACGCACCATACCAAGATGATGATCCTCTTCCGCCACGACGACCTCGCCATGGTGGTCATCCACACCGCCAACATGATCGAGCAAGACTGGACGAATCTAACGCAGGCCGTCTGGAGATCGCCGTGGCTGCCGCTACTCACGCACGACGGCGGGCATGAACGCGACGACGACGACAAGGGCGAGGCCGAGGCCGAGGACGAGGCCTACGAGATTGGTACGGGCCAGCGCTTCAAAGCGGACTTGGTGAGGTATTTGAAGGCGTACGAGTCACGCACGAGGACCTTGGTTCGCGAGCTGAGGCGATACGACTTCAGCAGCGTCAAGGCGGCACTTGTTGCCAGTGCTCCAAGTAAAGCGTCGCTTGATGGTGTCCAGGCTACGAAGACGACGGCATTCGGATGGCCGGGCCTAAAGCAGATACTTTCGCGCATACCTGCCGGCGTCACGGCGGCGCGAAACACGCCCGTCGTCAACGTGCAGGTGTCTTCGATCGCCACCCTGACGGAAAAGTGGATACACAACCTCCAGGACGTTCTGGCTGCTCACGCAAAGCCGCCGTCTGCGGACAGATCGACGGCTAAGCCAAAGTACCACATCATTTTCCCTACCGCGGCAGAGATCCGAAACAGTCTGGACGGGTACGCGTCTGGGGCGTCGATACATATGAAGCTCAAGAGCGCCGCCCAGCAAAAGCAGCTCCAGCTTCTCAGGCCGATGCTCTGCCACTGGGACGGCCCCGGCCATGACGCTGGCGCTGCGACGGGTGCTGCGAGAGAGGCGTTCAGGAGCCGGGCGGCGCCGCACATAAAGACGTACGTTCGCTTCAGAGACTCGGCTTGCAGCGAGATAGACTGGGCGATGGTCACGAGTGCAAATCTGTCGCAGCAAGCCTGGGGCGCCACCCAGGACAAGGACGGACTTGTAAGGATCAGCAGCTACGAGCTTGGGGTTGTCGTCTGGCCCGACTTGTTCAGGGACGACGACGGAGGCAAAGTGATGATGGTGCCTACGTTTGGGAAAGACACGCCTGCGCACGACGCTGCTCGTGACGACGTGCGTGGCGTGGTGGGGTTTCGCATGCCGTACAGCCTACCGCTGGTCCCGTACCGCAAGGAGGAGGTGCCATGGTGCAACTCCGACACGCACGCGGAGCCAGACTGGATGGGCGTGGTTTGGAACACCAGCGAGGGTCAGATGTAGGCGGCGGACGGACCCCAAAAAAAACATGGTGCACGTGTACAGCTTACGGCTTTTTTGTATTGTGATACCCCCGAGAGCTTTACGTACAAAGGACGACAAACGCCCTCCTCTCTTCCTTTCTGTCCCCCGCTTCTCGTCTACTCCTTGAGGCCGTACTTCTCCTTCAGCGCGTTGAATCGCTCGACGTACTGCTTCTTCGCCTCCTCTGCTGTGATGCCTTCGTCGACCTTCTTCTGCCAAGCGCTGCGCTTTGCCTTGCCCTGCTCGCCGCATCCAATCGTTAGCAGCTGCATACACACACAACACATACGCCACATCTCCACCAACGCCAAGAGAGAAGAAGAAGAAGATTCCAAAAAAAAAAATGACGGGGGAGGGGAGGGGAGGGAGGTGTCATACCGTAAAGTCGAACGTGCCCGGCTTTGGCGCCGCGTTGATGTCCTCGCCGTTGGCGATCTTGGCGAGACTGTAGAACTGCCCCCCTTGGTGTTCAGCGTGCTTTCTGGAGGCGCGTCAGCGGGACGGCCCAACGTACCTCGAGCTTGTCGGCGTCGGTGCCGCCCAAGAGCTTGCCGGCGTTGGCGTACGCGGTCTCGAAGTCAGACATCGGGGCGAGAGTTGAACGTGCTGGAAGGGTGGGGTTCGAAACGTGCGTCTGCGTGTTCTTTTCTTTCTCTTTCCTTAAAGTTTGTGTGTCCGTGGGGAGGAAGGAGGAGGAGGAGGAGGGGAGCTGTTCGTGGTGGCGGCGGCGGCGGTGGTGGTGGTGTGGGGCTCGTTTTGGTGAAGGTGGGATCCGGCCTGGTGCGTCTAAGATGGAGAAGCGAAAAAAAAAAAACACGGTTGTGGTTTGTTCTCCTTTTTGTGTCCGCGTGGTGTCGACGCGGGACAGATCGGGAGCCCTTTTTGAATGTCGGTCAGGCGTCCCCTTGTGACGCTTTGGCTTTGGTGCGGCCCCTCTGTTGTGTTGAGCCTTTCTCACTCTGTCGATGCGGATGATGAGGGGCCTCTAGTTGGGCACGCTCATGTGGCCATGACGTTACCGCTCGATGTGGGGTACCTCAACGGAACCTTTGCATAACACACAGCTAGCCGCAACCTGCCCACCGCGAAATCGCGACAACCAACAGAACGCCTCGTGCTTGAGCCGAACAGGCGTCCGACTGCCGCCCCCCCCCCCCCCATTTTCCGCCATTCCGTTTCATGTCCCAGCGACGGCGTGGCTCTGCTGCCGCTTGCTGGTGTAGTCCTGCGGCGACGACGATGGCTGCTTGACAGACCTCACTCGCCTCTCCACGCTGTCCGTCTTCCGGCACGAATCTCGGCCGTCAAAGATCGCAAACCGCACAGAAGCTCAGAAGCGAGCGTCTAGTGACAGCTTGTCTGGGCCAAAGCAACGGCGGCGCTTGCGGGACGACTGTAGTTCGGAGACGGGAGGATATCGAAGTGGAAGACGCGTCGGACCGTTTTGCTCGTTCGCGAAGCGGGCTCCTCGTCGCGGAAACTCGGTACCAGCTGGCCCACAAGGAGTGTATTCAACTCCATGTTGTTCGGCTTGAAGTTCACGAGTGCCATGTTCGTAGTGTATCCTGTCCGCGAGTGACTCGACTCGTACCGTACGAACGAAACAAAAATGCGCGACAGCTTTGGAGGTAGAGCGCCATTCTGCGCTTCAGCGCATTGCATGACGGTACTACGGCGTGATGGGAGGATTCCTGTTCACATGCGTGGAGCTCAAAGCAAAAGCCAAGGCGAAGGGCAGCGCAGAGTTTTTTTTTTCGACAGGGCAACACCGCCAGGGATCAGACGTTCTCGCCGATAAAACTCTTGTCGTGACGAACTGAATGTAAGTGAAAGAGGGATCTGGAGTTACTGCGAAGGTCGTTGTCAGTTCTCATGTCCGACGGAGAGGTTCGGGCGTGTGTAGGAAGCTATGAAACTCGCGAATTCCAAAAGCCGGCGGCCAGGCAATGATTGCGAATATACATTTGCAGAGACCAAGATTTTACTCTTTTAAGATTGGAGAACTATCACAGTCACCGTGAACTGCCAACAAGGTCTGCGGATACATCCAAGCCCATCCTCCGCCTGCGTCAAACGATCAAAATATTTATTGTACGCTGAATCGGGGCGGTGGGTTCATTGAAATTTGATCTACGCTTCAGAAAACCAATAGGGACCCGACGACATAGAGATAAAAGGATCTTGGTCTGCATAGAGTATCTCTTGCCTTTTGGAAGGTCAAGTTCAAAATGTGGCCCAGATGATATGGCGTGCTCGACGAAGTATGAAGGAGTTGTCTTCATTCATCCTCGCTTACCGCGTCAAAAGTTACCGCGAAAAAGAACAAAATCAAAAGTGGTACTAGCATTTAAGAACGTCCGGCCTATTGAACGGGAGAGTGAAGCTCGACTGATTAGGCAGAGCGTCGAGATCGGCGAGGGTTTTCAGAGGCTCGATGAGACTGTTCAAAGCCATGATCTATGCATGTCGAGCCACGCCGCAACACAGCGTGCTGCTCACAACATAAGAGAGAGGCGTTGAAGGAGTAGCGCGGCTATAAAAAGGTCATCCTAGAAATCCATCAGACACCTTGGGAGGCGCTTCAGGATTGCAAACTCAGGAACGCGGCGAACTCCGAAACGGATCACTGGGGTTGCCAAGGACTTTTGCAGGCCTGCTGACCGCGCAGACGCCGTTGCCGCCGCCGCCGAGCCTCACAGCACGCGAGAACTCTTTAACTATTACTCGATCGCAACCGCTTCGAAACCGCTAGAAACGTAAACCTTCAGCCAGACTTTGCTCGTCTTACTCGATCAGAATCATGGCTTCCACAGGCTCCTTCCCATCGTCATACTATTCTAACGTGCACATAAAAAATTTTCTCTTAATTAGAGCCTTGAGCGGGACTGTGGCTTTTTGAGCGGTGATCTCATCGCGTTCGTGTAAATGCTTTCCGTTGAACCACGTCTATAAAGGACAGTGCGAAGGCTGCTGGCTGCTGTAGAAACAATCAGAAAATACAAATCGAATCCAGCAAATAGAACGTGCTTTTTTTTCTTCGGACAGATAATCGGAGCCTTTAATCGCCTCAACTTCTTTACTCTCCACAGCTAGACGCATCTACAAATTTCGAGCCCGTCTCTTAAAAGAAAACAAATCACAACAGACATGTCCGCTTCAAGGAACCCGCTCGCATCCGCGCCACAGGATGAACGCCGCACATCCACATCATCCCACTTCTCAATTAACGGTGCTCTCCGCTGGCTAGCAGATAAGGTCGTCGACAAGGACGATCAGAGTAGACGGAGCTCATACGAAGGCCTGATGCCTTCACCTTACGAAACAAAAGCCGAGTATCAGAAGCGAATGAACGCATACAAGACACAGGCATTCTGGTAACCACCGTCGAGTGGGGGAGAGATGTGATCCGGTATCACGAGCGATTGGGAGGAAAATGCAAAGCGAAAAGGAAATAAATTATCCCCGGATGACTGGTCATGACCAGGGGCTATTGATGATACATAACGTCGCATAGCACTATATACACATGAAAAATCTAATGCGTAATGAATCGTTCAGGCTGGAAGTACCGACCCTGTTTTTTTTTTCTTTCATACAGACATCTTCATCGCGATCGTTTTGTGAGGGTTGTACCCTTTGACCTCAAAGTCGCTCACCTGCCAACCGTCGATGCTGCAACCAACCTCGCGCTTGATCTCCAAGTCGGGAAAGTCTCTCGGTTCGCGCTCGAGCTGCACGTTGAGCGCCTCGACGTGATCCAGATACACGTGTGCGTCGCCCATGGTGTGCGTCAACGTGCCGGGAATCAGGTCGCAGACGTGGGCGAGCATGTGCGTCAGCAACGCGTACGAGGCGATGTTGAACGGCACGCCTAGGCCCATGTCGCACGACCGCTGATACAGGATGCAGTGCAGCGTCCCCTTCGGCCGCGGACCGTCTGCTGAGCTGTCGCGCCGCTGCCTGTGGCCCGGCGTCGCGAAGGAGACGTAGAATTGCGCGAACATGTGGCAAGGTGGCAAGGCCATTTTCTTCAGGTCGGCGGGGTTCCACGCGCTCAGGATGATGCGCCGATCGTACGGCTTGTTCTTGAGCTTATCGATCACGTCCGCGAGCTGGTCCACACCCTGCCCCGTATAATCCGTATGCGCGTCGACGTACTCCGCTCCGAAGTGACGCCACTGGAAACCATATACGGGACCGAGGTCGCCCTCTTCTCTGTGCCCGAGACCGTTGGCGTCGAGGAACTCTCGGCTCCCATTGCCGTCCCAGATCTTGATGCCCTGTTCTGAGAGCGGTTTCGAGGACGTCGAGCCTGCTATGAACCAGAGCAGCTCTGCAATGACTGCGCGGAGGAACACGCGCTTGGTCGTGAGAAGGGGCAGGACGGGAATGGGCGCTTGTGACGGATCGTCGGCCGGGCGGGAGAGGGAAAACTTCAGCTGAGCTGGTGCGAAGATAGAGTATGTTCCGGTGCCAGTTCTGTGATAAGACTCGGTAAGCGAGACAGTACGAAAGCGTGAGCGTTCGAGCCTACCTATCAGGCCTGTGTTCCCCGTTCTCCATAATATCCCTGATCAAGTCCAGGTATTGATACTCTTCATGCCTCTTGGCAGGTTTAGAGATATTCGAAACATCGTCATTCTTCTTCGCTTCTAGCGCAACACCTGGCCCACTCGCTGGGCCTGTCTCAAATGCGCTGGGGCTCATTGCCGTTCGCGCTGCTTAGACTTAACGTGTGCACTCCTTGTAGTAAATGAATCAGGAAAATGGCGAGATTTTGCATACGGGTACGCAAATACAAGACAAGAGACTAGATATTCTTTCGTCAGTTCACCCTAAAAAAATACTGCGACGTAGACAGGGGAAATCGCACGATAATTAACCCTTGTGGAGATAGATTGGAGGCGGCGCAATTGACTACCGCTTTGTGAGGAAATGAAGGGAAGAAAAAACTCACCTCAATAGAGGGGACAAATTCTCAGACAAACATTGTCTTCGTATGACCCGGATTGATGTCTTGTAGTTTTGTTAGATATCTGAGATCAGAAGGAAAAGCGGGACACTCACGACGCGTGGGACGCGAACGACGCAATCACGCTAAAATTTTGGTCACGTGATACTCATCTGTGACAAGCTCTCGCTACAGCAGGTCCTCCTCGAAAGTGGCATGAAGGATTTCACAGCTGTCATCATGGATGTAGACAAGTCCAAAAACAAATTACTTACTGTCCTTCAAGCGAGAGGCATCCCCCTTGGACTAGACGATATTCAGTGGGCCTTTGATGCCGATGTTACCAGGAAAGAAGCCGCAGCATGGATTGAGGAGTATCTCAACGAAGCTACGCTATTAACCCGGGAGGAAAAAGAGCTATACGATGCTATTGGAGAGACAACAAAGCTCGAATTATCCTCCAGCTCCCACGAGGTGGTGCCTCTGCTGGACCGCGACATCAAGGAGGCAATCGCGGCGTTGAAGTCGTCGACGTCGGCGATCGAGAATCACGCGAAAGCCCTAGAGACGCAAAAGGAAGTTTTGCTGCAGCTGCGAGGTGCCCATCCCGCCGCGAGAGGACCGCCTCGTGGCGGCGCTGCGAAGTATGCGCAGGAGAAAAGCAGTCTGAGCTTCGCGATCGAGGACCTGTCGTTCTCGATCACCGAGCAGCTCAAGGAAGCGGAGACGGAAGCCGCAAAGTCACTTTACGCGCTCAAATCGTTCAGCTCGGAGCGCTTGGCTGCCGACGAGCAGGTGCTTGAAGCGCTGTCCGCCGTCTCTGGTAAGGCCCTCTCGACCACGGGGCCTCAAGTCAGCCACGCAGAGTTGGAGAAGTGGCTCCAAGCCCTCGCTGCTCTGCGAGCCAGCGAGGTCAAATCCAGAATAAACTCCATTCTCGCGCCGGCGGGTCCGATTGCGAACGAAGAGCTTGGCGACGAAGACCTGGAGCTTCAGGCGGAACTCGAGACGCTGAAGGATGAGATCGACGCGGTAGTCCACATGGTCATTGGGCACGAGCTCCGAAATCCGTTGATGAAGAGTGTCGAAGCTTTCGAAAAAGGTGACCGTGCAGGTCGCCAAAGTTGGTCCCGCTATCTTCTATCCATGCTCGAGTATTTGGTGGCTCAGCTTGACGGGGCCAGCACACGAGTGTCCGAATTACGCAGCTACAGTGACGCACTGCTTGAAATCAGATCAATTGTGGCAGCTATCGAAGAAGAAAGTAAGACAAGAGATGAACCAGCCGTTGCGTCGACTGCACCCAACCTTACCGTTAAATCTCCCGCTCTCTCCTCCGCACCGCAGACCCCAACTAGCTCGATACCCTCCGCTCTGCGACGATTAAACATCCAGCCAACGGAGGGCCTGTCCAAACTCGACACGCTTGCGTTGGCTTCCTCTGCGAAGCTGCAAGCGCAATACGCTTCCACCGAGAAGATCTTCATCGATACTCTGGGTAAATCTCTCGATCCAAAGCAAAAAGATGCACTTGCCATCCTCAAGCAGCTGTATGCCACCTCACATTTCGGCTCGATCCATCTCATTGACGAAGGTCTGGAAGCCAAGATATCCGGTTTAGGGAAGAGGATTGACGAGCTGGCACCCAAGATAGCAACAGGAGACTTGAGGTGATGGAAACACGCATGTCGTTTCTTTCCTGTGATGATACATTCTACAAAGTTGCCCCCCCTCCTGCTGAGGTTGCGCGCGTTGTATCTGAGGGCGATTATAAATTCGTGCTAGATTTGAGATGAGAGAAAAGTTGTGAATACAAGCAAGTATTTAAGTGTGAAACAGATGCTTGCTACTAGTGATGTATGCCATAACGAAGTTCGCAGGACACAAAGAAGCAGAGATGCCGTAAAGCAAGAAAAAGTTATGCTGAGACCATCATTTTTCCCATCCTTTCCCCAAAAGAGCTGTTCCCTGATCGAGTCACCAGATCAGCATTCCCAGGACTCTTGTTCGCCAAGGTATATGGACCGATATCTGTTTCTTGGTATCCGTCTGCGTACAGGGGAAGATCAAACGCCCATAGACCACATTTATCGTTTGCACAACTCTGATATATTCCCGAATTTGTCCTCGTCCGACACGAACGCCAAGAAAATGCCGCCCATGAGTAAGATGAAAAAAAAGGGGAACTAAGCCCAAAAATGCCCATGTGATTGTGCCCGCGAAAGTTCGCGTCCGTCCAAAAGACCGCTTCAGGGCATATACGTTGCAGAGATGCGGATATCTGGGTGACGTGTGTGTGTGTGTGTGTGTTCACCATCCACGGCCCTTAGACGCCACGATCGCTGGCATTATAGATGTGAAAGATCTAGAAGTCGCATACACTGTCAAAACTCGCTCGACGACAGAAGGGAAATGGGGTATCGATGCCGAGTAGGCTATGTTGAAAAGACGTGAGATGAAGAATAAAAAGCACGCATGTGAGAATGTAGTGCTTTGTTAGATTCGTGAGGATCGGTCGAACGAAAGCCGTTGTGTTAATAGACCGTAGTGTGGGCCCCAACCTCGAGTTGTGGAATACGATTAGGAATATAATAGGATTTTTCTTCGAGCTTTCCATGGCCATTGCTGTAAATAGGCGGAAGTCCTAATCCACTCAGGCCTGTTGTTGGTGTTTGCATGAAATCTGATGTCGCTTGTGAAGATAGCATTAATGAGCTCTGATTCTCCATGCCAAAGGTGTCGACCGGGCCACCTACAACGGATGAAGCAGAGCTCACCGAGTGGCTATGCATGGGGGTTGGCTCCATAGCGTACTGATTGCCACGGTAGCCGCTTAGGCTATTAGGATAACCCCCACCCAAAGATCGGTTTCCTCCTAGGTTCATACCGTAGCCCATGTTGCCTAAATGACTGTAACCACCAGGACCGCCAGTTCCGGCGCCGGCACCACGGCTGGAGGCTGAATTCGGTCCTTCATTTGAGTAATGACTTGGGCTCCTTCCCCGAACAACGACTTGCGAGCTTGCACGCTCCGCTATCTTTACCCACTTTGGCTGTGGTGAATCCGGGCGTCGAATGTCCGCATACAACTCGACAATTAGATGATAGTATTGTTGTTGAGCTCGTCGTTTACCATTATTCGCCGTAGCGGATTTGAACTGGATCCTCTCGAAAGTATGCTGATGAGCTGTTGGTGTGGTCGGCATATTGCTGTGAGGATTCGAAGGATCGGATTGTTGCATGTCTGGGTCAGGTTGTGACTGGAGAGGGAAATATGGTGCAGGTATATGGCCACTCGAACCTATGCCAAACATGCCATAGTGTGGGTGCGGGTCTGCGTGTGGCAAATGGCCCAACTTTCCACCAGGCGGGGTTGGGCACAGCTTAGTGATCTTGATGGAGTTCTGAGGCCCCTTGTCGCGCTTGGGAGTGTGCTGGACGAGCTCGATGACCTTTCCCCCTGTGCCATCCACGCGGGCCGAGAGAGCCATGGCCATGGCTTGTACCTGCTTCTGCTCTCCATTATACATCAGAACGTGAGGCTGATTCGAGAGATGTGGCGTGAGCGTATAGGAGCATTGAACTGCAAAGTAATTTCTCCTGTAACATGTCCAACAGCTGTCACTGGACAAAAAGAAGCCCTTTTCGATTTTAGCCTCAATGTGCGGCTTGACCACCTCGCTCTGAGAAGCTCCACTGTAGAGTTCGTAGAAGGTCTCTTGAGACGAGAACGGCGGTGTCTCTAGGCCCTGAGTCGCTGGCGACGCGAAATTGCCGGCTGAACTAGACATGGTGAGATTGCTTGAGGGTAGTAATCTATTGGGCTCGCTTGTGTATAAATAGGACCTCCCGAGATAGTCGTTCTGAGCACCGGCTGTAGCTGCTGGGAAGTACTTTCCACCACCGCTTAAGTTCTGGTATCGATCACGAGCGCTTGTTGCACCATTCGGTGACACAGGATTACTACTGCTGAATCCCGACCGCTGTGATGGCAAGAAACTTGATGTGTGCTCGGCTCTGCATGTCTGAAATCAGTACGATAACTTGTGGAACGCCGAATCGAGATACCGCCGCGGGAGATACGAAGAACTTACGAGCGAGTTTGCATGCCGCCAAAGGTGGTCGGCAAATGGAACGTCGTAGAAGAATTCGCCGGCAGAGCCTGGGCGTGAACAAGCGGGTTGTGTATATTGGAAAGGCTCAAGGGTGAACTGTAAGAGGTGCGTTGGCTGCCCGTGAATGAATAGGCAGCTGAAGAATTATTCGATGAAGGACTGGTTGATATGGAACCCGAGCTTTGCTCCGGTGGCGGGTGGAACCTGCATCAGCAATGTATTAGCCTCATCCTGAATGCTGCAGCGTGTTGACAATCCAGCCTTGCGAAGGTGCAACGACCCAGCCAGGGTCACACTGGTGGGCGCTGATTCCGACTCCTTGAACTATAATAATGCAGGTTCGTCTTGTGATCATGGCACGGACCGCAACGTCGGTTTTTGTCTCTCAGATGGCAGTCCGAGTATTCGGGCTATTTGTGTAACTGGCAATGTGTATGCAGCGTCTACATGAAGACGTATGAAGCATTGAAAATCCGATGAGCAGGACTGCCGTCAGATTTTCGACAACATTTGCGACAGACACGGCGGAGCAACAGATGAGAGAAGAGGAATGCCCTCGAGGCCCAAAACAAAACATCCAACAAGGAATGGTCTACTTACGCAGGATCATTGGTTGTCGATCGGTGTCCAAGGTGTCTAGACAAGGTCGAAGGCTGGTGATGGAGCTCGGTATCCCTGCGTGGAGACTCTGGGACCCCGCCGTTGGTGTAGGAAATACCAGCCTGTTGGCTCAAATGATCGATGCAATCGGTGTCTGCGGGCAGGGAATAATTTTGCGAGTACAGTGCGCTCTGGACGATTGCTGCGAAAATGGTCGGTCAGTACATTGTCGCTGGCAGGTAAGATGCGCGCCGCAAGCGTGGCACGGTAACGGGTTCAGAAGAAAGGTGCGAAAGGATTTGAAGACGGATTGGGTGGCAGGGTAACGAGGTTACACGAAGCGTCGCTTCTTTCGGGGAATGCAAAGCGTGAAACTTTGCACCGGCGGCCAAAAAGGCAGCAGGAAGCCAAAGATAAATAGCGACCAGCGACAGTGAAAGCATGATTCGCAAGAAGCCTAACAGCAGTCCACGAGTGGAGCGATCCAATTTGAAGGATTTCAGGTGTGTAGATGCTAGGCCAGAGCGGATCCATGCCAGGCTTGGATGGAGGGAAAGCGTGGACTTACGTTGGTTCATAGCTTCATGCGCGAAATGCCTGTCCGCGTCCAGTGGCGTCTGTGGAGATGATGAAGGCAAACTTTCGACAGTCGAGAGCGTCCCGGATCTTTCTCCTGGCGCTGAAGGCACGACGTGCATGTCCTTCTCCGCGCCAGCAAGAGAAAAGAAAAAAGCTTGCGCCGCCTGGGTTCAAGTCGCCTCTCGACAACGGGCGCTTTTTTGATCGTATTTTTCTCGTGCGGTCCGCTGCGATTCTTCCCACTGCTTCCCGGAGATGTCTTGAGCCCAATCTTGCGCTCTTATTGGGGCGTCCGCTCGCTGTCCCAATCAACGTCGATGGCGAGGTTGTGCTTGTCTGCAAACGGTAGGTGGAGACTCTGTGAGTGCGGCGAGGGTGCAGCCCGCAAGAGGATGCGTCAACAACCCTGCTAAGATCGGAAAGTTTGATCAACAGCTAAGAGCGGCCGCTAATGGCTGTCAAAAAGTCGTTCGCGCCCCACGGTAGCTAGAGAAAGGTGCGTCCAGAGCACGCAGTATCGCAGCACTTGCTCTCCGGTTGCGCTGAATGTTGAAAGGCGTTTGATCAGCTTCAAAACATGCGGGGCTGGTTTGATTCGGTTTTGCTGAGGCCGGCTGAGAGCCGACTTCGAGGGAGTTCGCGACGCCTGTGGGAAGCTGGTAGGCCTCGTTTCGGATGTCCGCTTGAAGGCCAAGTTTTCTGGAGTCGCTGGTCGAACAAAGACTTTCGGCTCGACTTAAAACGTTGTCACTTGTCTGGATTGTTTGTCAACTCTCGAGTCGGTGTGTGGAAAACGTTTCAGCGCGCGGAAGCTTTGCTCCAAGGACCTGGCTAGGAAGGAATTAAGCCGGCACTCGTGGCTGCTGCTCCGTAGATCTGACTGCGTGGATGGAGCCTGATCGGCGGCCTTGCAATTGTACAAGAGCTTCTTGGGCCGTTTGTAGCGGCTACTGGCGGTTGCCCGATGAATGATGATAGATCTGAGGGGCGAATTGTTGTTTGTCCTGGACCGACTTTCACATTGATAGCCCTCAGCCTCTTAGCCGAATAGGTTTTCAGGGCTGTTCTTGTACGTGGAAACCGTATTGAGTCTGGCAAAGATAATAAGCCGGTGCAAAACTGGGCAATGATGATTGAACTAGTGCTCGGCGTAGGGAGTCTATCAAAGTGATGCTTAGGTCAAGCAGAAACAAAGGACAATGGTGAATGCGAGGCCAGCACTTACTCGAGTTTGGCTCGTGTCAGAGGGTTCAACCGTGAGGTGAAAATGTTCGTGTCTATTGGAGGGGTGAAGGCCCCAAGAACCAGAATGAAGAAGATATCTGGTGATCACAAGTCGAAGCAATTGGATTAGCTTCCAGATCAACTACCCGTCCCATGAACCACGACCTTTCCGAGTCAAGCCAAGATCCAATTTTTTATGCTTCAGCTTCAAGGTCCCAGAAACCATCGAAGGTGATGGCTTAGATCTAAATCGGCGTTCTAACAGCACGGTAGCATTGGCAGCCTGCAGAACGACCGTTCCCAAAATGGCCAATTATTTACTATTCTCAACGGTGTTGACGACACGGAGAACTGGCAACAGACCCAGAAAATTTACCTCTTCTCGTAGCAAACCTACAACCCTAGCCCCCTGTCGGTCCACTCCAGAATCATTCTATGCTCCTGTCTCGTGCGGCAATGCAGGAACAGAGTGAATGGATGAATGACCTGAGTCCCCGAAGCGGAATATGCCAAACCACCCAGAGTAAGCCCGGGAGTTCGGTAAATGCAGTGTTTCAATGGGCTGCTCATGAACAACGTGCAGAGCAAGGAATTTATCAAACTGTCCCATCCTTGCTATAGTTTACGGGCATGCCAGAGAGGTATTGGCGAAGCTTCGATACTTCTTACACCTTAGGCGTAATCTGGTGCCGGGGATGGATTGCGCTAGGGACGCGATCGGCCTGATCCGCTCTGTTCTGGCTGCCGCAGAAACAACCAGAGCGTCCAATCTAGGATCGAAACAAAGGGCGGTCAAAGTGAGCAAGAGGCGCCTTGTGACATCAAAGCGCCCAACAGTCTAGACTACGAGCGCCCAGGGCTGAGAGCTTCGTGGGACGAGACTGAGCAACCAAACGCTCCGAAACGTGGGAAGCGCAGCTAGATCTCCGAGATGACTAGGTCCAGGGCCACAAGCCGCAGGCTTTTCGGATCTCAAATGGTCAACCATTGCAACCTCACATTCAGGCGCAGCCAAGTGCCTAGCGAGAGACCACAAGTAGTAAGCGAAGGCAGCACTACCATGCATCGCCCTGTCCGCTGCCGGACCCAACCACTCGGGCGCATGCAAGTCGGGAAGCAGAAAACAGCAGCAACCATTCTACTCCCTTGATCGGATGGGGCACATGACATTACAAGACCATTGCTCTTGGTGTAAGGGCTTGGAGCTGTCCAAACGGTCAGGCCGCGGGGGGCTGCTTTGGGCAACCGAGCGACCAAGCGCAGGCGAATTTTTTTTTTCGATTGCCTTGCATTGGGGCGGCCAGGGGGCCGGTTGATAAACGAATGGCAGGATGGGCGGATGTGGCAGGCTGATTGGAGATAGGATGCGGCAGCAACGCAAGAAGTGACGTGCATTGCTGAGCAGACGACGTACGAGACTCATTTCAGGGAGAGCGGAGGATAAGTGAGGAAGATCGTGATTCGCGGGGTGGGTGACTAATCCAAGAACGGACTAGCGGCGTCTTAATTTGTGAGCAGTCAGATCAACCACCAACTCACATGGCTGAGCCGCATTCAATATTTTCCCCATCACAGGCTTTGTTTGCATTCTTTTTTTCTTTTCAAAGAGGTGCAGACTCGTTTTGAATCGGATCGCTCACCGCCATTTTCTGGCATTGCGAACTTCTCCGCCCTGTCTTTGGTTGGTTTGGAACATGGGAGCCTCTTCGGCCTCCTTGCCTCATTGCTCTGCATCCATCACAGCCTCCATCCCTCTCTGCCTCTGGCCCCTTCCCTCCCCCCTTACAGCCCTCTTTTGCCCGTTCTTGAGAGCGGAGCAGCGCGTGGCCGAGCATCAGCTGGCTTGGCGTTATCTTCCGAGCGTTATAACGGTTACATGGGTGAACCACCTTTGACCGGACTCACACCCGTCCCGACCTTTCTTTGTCCTCCAGAGTACCGAATAACGTTTGCGAATGGTCCAATCAAGGCCGCTTTTCCCCTCAAAAAAGTAGCGCACTTCGAACAAGTGCCATGTGCTGGTCCCGCCCACGCGTGTCAGGGCGTCCTTGGACGTACTAAATCTCGATCTTTGCCCTTCCTGCAAGCTTCCGATCAAAATTATTTGAATTTTTTCTTTGAGTCAAATTCGTGGCTAGGAGCTCCGTTCCGATGCCGACGGTATGTTTCCAGCATCACAATCTCGCTCTGGGCCAAGTAAGGGCCTTTATTGATGACCGCTAATGCTGTTATGGCAGCACTAGCTGACCCAGCCTTCGCATGTCCCTCGAAGACTCTCGAAACGTAAGACAGCGGGCCGAGTCGGCTGCTCAGGATGTAGCACAATGCCATCCAAATTTGAGGCAAACTGCCGCCAGTGGCGATGATTGGCTTTTCTTTGGTTCACCACATGACACACGACCACCACAGCGGTACGGGCCGGTGTGGTCTGTCGCAGCATTCGTGAATGGCCCAAGGAGAGTCGCTGTCCAAGGTCTAATCTGCCCTTTCTGACAAGGCCCAATACACCCGAACAGCGCCAGAATCGAGGGCAACAGAATCGATCCGCGCCTTCCCACGAACACAGCAGCAGATCGAAATTCCTTCTCTTTCGAGTCAATGTATGCAGGCTTCCGGCCGTTTTCAGATCACGTCCCACCACTTTACGTCACGTGCAATTTCGGGAATCCAAGTGGGCGGCGTTGAATTACATATCGAAAAAGGGGGCTGGCGGGGAAGGGTATCTGCATTTCTTCCTTGCTTGCCTGCTATAGCAGCACACTTATACCGCCTCCCGTGGTGCCGCGAAGTCGAGTGCTCCTCCATTTTGCCAATTTTTCTTATCTTTCCTACAGTCAAGACACTATGAGAAGTAATATCGTGACCTCGCTGGAAGCCAGTGCCTCGAATGCAGAACCAGTATCGTGCTCATGCCCCTCAGATTGGGCGAACGTTGCTCTGGCCCGGCCCACTTGTCAAAGATGGTACCAAACAATCACTGCTGCGCCCTAAGGCTCGTGGCTCTTTTTTGCACAAACCTTCTCACCGGTACACTAGTTGGGGTCTTTCGAACATTGCTCATTCCTACAGCTCTGCCGGCACAGCGGAAGCGTACAGCTGCAAAATTAAATGCCATATTTGCATTAGCTGACCCGTTTCGCTGCGAGTCGCAGACATCTCTCTCGCTTCTGTTGTGGCTACAATCATTTCATCACCTGTCGTTAGCCGAATGCAGTGCTATCAGGACAACACTCAGGAGCTGGGATGTATTGCTTGACCTGGACATCTCTTATCCGACTCCGTGAATCAGGCGATTCACAGCGTAGTTAGATGAGATCGCACAGCATTCTGCGAACCAATGTTGTTCGGATCTTCACTTCGCCCCCAACCTCCCCTCTGATGTTTAGAATAAGACACGGAATGCACATCTTAGTCCATGCAGGAGTTGTTTAGATGATCCAGCGCACGCGGTGCCAAGGCGATCACCCCGATGGTAGAACCAGCTTTAGTATGCCCGACCTACGGTGCATGGACTCTTCAGTCTCTACATATGAAAGGATCCGCTCCACCGGTAACGTTGAGCACGACTTCGATGTAATATCTTCTCCAACCAAATGCGATCGACTCGGGAAGCCACCTCGAACACTGGTTTGAGAGATATTTGTCAACAGGAATAGGAGGATGGCAAAACTTGTTCCCGCACACCTAATTACAATGCTGGTTGTTAAAACTGCTGACTGGCGCAATTAATTGACCCAGTGGACGGGCTAGGGTGTTTCAGGTCTTGTCATAGTCTCCGAAGGATGGCATTGCCTTTGGTCGTCTGATCCTCCAGATTTTTTTGCTCTTCCGCCCTGCTTTTCGGGGTCGACAGCTTTTCCCACTCCAGACAACTGTCGAATGTTTGCTTCGTCCAAGTTCCTTCCACTGGAATTTCCGGTCGGCACGAATGTCTAACATCGCCTTACTGGCTTTGCCCGAAAACCAGGTCGAAACTCTTAGGCTATCGGAGCATGTCGCACTTGGTGTGGGATTGTACTTATTCAAATTAGGGGGCGATCGAAGTCCGTTGGCTTACAAATTTTCTGGATTCAACGCAAGACCTGATTTTGTACGCTATGGATTTGCAATTCAATCGATCGGGCATCATCATAGTCGAAGCGCTGAATGTCGGCGTAGAGCGCTACTTTCTCTACATCACATTCCTACAATTTTCTTATGGCCCAGAATTTCAGCGATGATTTTGCCAATTTTTTTTTAGCAAGCTAGCTCCAACGTCCAGTAATTATCAACCTTATGTTGCTATCATGAATTTATTTGATTTCAGTTACGCTCTCCGATCTCCTCTCGTAGCAGGTTTTAAAGGGACGACCATCCCAATATATTCCTCACCTTCAGGGCGGATGGTTACTTCGAACACGCCGTATCTTGCAGCGGAGTGTTAGACGATCAATACGGAATTCATTCGTGTCTAGTTTAAGCTGCCTTTTCAGGGGAGGCGAATAAGGGGAGAATTCGCTTTGAGGAGGTGCTCTCTGTGAAGGACAAGCGCCCATCGCGTCCGCATACGCTCCCACCGAGGGAGCGATGTCTGAATGGCTGAAGACTTGTTTTTCAGTCTCTAGAGCCAGAAATCTCGAGACTGACGCTGCAGTTACCGTATAGACGACGTCCAAATAGATTCGATTCCCCTTTTGTCCTGCCCATCGGATCTGATATGTTGGGCTGCTGTGAGTGGATCACACCAGATCCCATAGGCAAACCAGCCGAACATCCGCTTCCTACACGTGGCACGCTTGAGAGATGCAATACATACATGCCCCGCGTCTTATGACTGATTTCTCGCCCGGAGTGTGTATTATGCCTCGTGTATACATGTGCAAGCATCGTCGTCGCCTCATTTTTTTACTGCTAAACTAGATTTCGTGCAACTATTTGAAGCAGCCCATCTCACCGCTTCTCTGTCCTCCCTCAAGTCAGTGACAAACAAATCCGTCAACAAGAACATTCTCGTTCCTTCCTATAGACATTAGGAAGCTCGCATCGTTTAGTCGTCCAACATGTTGGAGAATGACTCATGCCCAACCCGTCCTTTTCCCCTCGGTGTCTTTTTCTCAGCTGAACTTGACCACGCTTATGACGAGCCCTCTCGCGTGCCAATCGCAGCGATTGGCTACACTACCCGCCAGAATTTGACATCGAGCTAAGGCAGAATATGAGTATCGATTTGGATTCAAGGAGCCCAGACATTCAGTACGCGACCAAGGAATCTAGAAAGCCAACACCTGTTCCGCATACGCACACCGGGGCAAAATCAGCCTGTGAAAGAGGTGATAGCTTCGGGTGAGGAGGTGATCTCGCCATGCATGCACTTGCGCGATTAAACCGAGAGGATGCCAACAAGACGTTCTTGGTTGGATCCATCTCATTATGCGGGATTTCAGTCTTTTTTTTAAGCTGCGTTGGGGCTTCGAACTGAAATGAGAGAGACAAACCGTATCTGCTGAAATGTGTGTTTGTAGCTTGCCTTGAAGGGAAACTACATTCTATCAACTGCAAGGTTATTTGACCATACAATTCACATTGCTCTAGCTGAGTGCCGTCACTGAGACCGAATGTTGCAGTGAATAGAGAGGAGGAGAAAGAATAAGAATTCCCCGTATTTTATTTACTGACTCCCTCTGGCTTTTTTTTTTTTTTTTTTTTTTTTTTTTTTTTTTTTGGGAATCTACTAGTGCAATAAAGTAGGCTCTGTCGTACGCTCTGCCTGTCTGTTCCAGTCATTTTATTCAATTTCAATACAGGAAACAAGTGCAATGTCGTTTCTCTTCACTAGATGCTTGAAGTAATATATATTATGTTGTTGTTTTTGTTCTTTTAGTAGACTTTTAACGTAACATTTTGCAAGGTATATTTGAAGTTACGGCGATCAAGTCCTACGCAGAGAACACCAATGGAAAAGAGAACTCTGAAAGGAAAAACAATGACTTGATATGTGTTAGGACAAGTTCGAGATTTCACTGTTTCCAAGTTAGAGTTGGAATGCGCCACCGTTCGGTGGTGTTGATGCCACGGCCCGCCCAGGGTCGCAATCCGATGTCATAGCTCTCAACGTTCAACGCTAGAACTATTCCTCGATACGACCACAATATCTAGAGGCAAGAGGCACAACGCACGATGCCGTGGTACGATGCCGATAGTTGGCTCAGCAGGGCCTGGGGCCCCTACTTGTCTACGATCATAATAACTTTGATCATAACCTTGACAGTACCCATCGTCCTGCACCTGTTTCTTTACAAGTCACGCACCATCACCACCACGCCCACGTTTCTTGTTGTAGGACCTAGTGGTTCCGGAAAGACTGCACTTGTGACAAAAGTACGCCACTCCTCCGTCACGACATGTTTGTTCAATTGTTCTCTGACGTTGCGACCAGCTCGAACGAGGCACCGCAGCGTCAACGCACACCTCTCAGGTTCCTCTTACGGTGAAAGCCAACTTGCCCAACTCAGTTACGCCATCCAGCGCCAAATACCGCAGCGCGAACGACTTCGAAGCAAAGCAGCCGAAATCAGTATTTCTTCAAGACACACCCGGACATGGCAAGCTGCGGTACCACGCGTTCTCGTCCATATCCGCACTCGCTTCCTCTAAGTCGGCTAGCGCGCGTAACGTCATTTTCGTCGTCGACGCCGCAGACCTCAGCGCCGCCAGCGCCGGACTAAGAGAAGCGGCCGAGTACTTGTATGACGTCCTGCTGTCGCTGCAGAAAGCGTACGAGAACGCGTCGACGAGCAAGAGCAGAGAAGTGCACTTTTTGATCGCAGCAAACAAGATGGATCTGTTCACGGCATTGCCTACCGACGTGGTCAAGAGGAGTTTGGAGAGAGAGTTGAGTAGCCTGAGGGAAACAAAGGCACGAGGCATCTCTGCCGTGAGCACCGTTGGAAATGGTGAAGGATTGGGCGGAGAGGCGGAAGAGGAAGAGGACAGGAGTATATTGGGGGGCATGGCGGAAGGCGACTTCAAGTTTGCAGGCATGCAAGAGTACGACGTGCACGTCGACGTTGTCGGAGGCAATGTAGTTGGCGAGGAGGGTCCCGGGGTCGACGGCTGGTGGGAATGGATCGCGCAGCAAATGTAATAGTCATCTGCCCGCGCAACCGTCCCCATTTATTGAACTCTCAAATGCACGGATGACACACGCCAGCGTACTGTCTGGCACACACCGAATTTCACACAATAGCCGCAACGTTGCGTCGCTCTCAGGAACATCCTGGACCTAGACGTGTTCTTTGCTCCTTTAGCAGCCGACCAAGTCACAGCCGTGCGTTGCCAGACAATGGCGATACCGATGATTTCTCGCGTCACTATAGGCCCTATGAGATGCTGGAAACACGTCCCGCCACCGGCGGCTGAGAAGATGCCCTGCCTCCCCTGAGGTTTTCTCGTTTTTGGACTCAGCTCAAACGGAGCCTGGAATGGCGATGGCATTCGGAATCGGAGGAAGACGTACAACAAAGACGACGAGAATCCTCGGATGCAGGACGCGGACGTACGTGTGCCAGAAACAAGACGTCTTTTGAAATCGTGCCTGCACCCCAAAGTGAAGCAACCACCACATGTCCATACCCCGTGCTTTCGATCGGGGCCAAAAGTAGCAATCACAGGTTTACTTGTAAGGATAAGACTCGAATGGCTCATGAAATTTGTCAATGACCGCTCCCCTGAGGCTCGTCCGCTGGCAGATCACGACGATGGAATGGCTAGGTCAGCGCAGCGCAAGAAATTGCTCGTGGCAGCACGAACACGGCCCAAGGAGGCAAGACATAAAGTACTCACTTTCATGTTTCGTCGAATGCTGCTAGGACAAAATAACAGAACTCAAAGCACGCCATGCAACGACGTCGATAAAGTATACCGAACTCGCACTCTCCTCATGCTACGATACGTTTGTCCAATTCCATGTTTTTTGGCACCTTTTCCCCATTGATCGTGATGCTTGCAGCCCATATGCACAAATGACCACCCCGTGGGCTTTTATATGCCATGCATGCATAGTTTCGTGTCTTCATCCCGCTAACCCGTGAAATCTACCCAATCTCAAAAATATAAAAACAAGAATACGGCCGAGCGTTGATTCTAGTCGTGCGATTGCGATCGTCACGTAACGGCGAACATGCACGGGGGGGCCATTGCAATCAAATACGTTCGTTCTGTTAGCGAAGTTCATGCCAGCTTCTCCTGCAGTTCACGAACGTGATGCCAAAGTGACTTCGCCCTTTCGGAGTTCATCTGCGAAGTCGTTAGTCATTCTATTTTCTCGTGAACGTGGCTTGAAATAGCCACGGAAGATTACCTTGAGTTGAAGTAAATCAAGCCCGGCGTCACCGGCTTGCGCGCCGGCAAGTCGTCCCAAGAATACAATAGTCTGTGCCTTGGGCTCCATGTCCTCGCCAAACTTCAATCCTTTCACGATAGGCGAGTTGAGCACCACTCTTTGGCTCCCATCGGCCCTTAGCAGAAGTCTTGCGTGCACCTTCCTCTTGTACTTTTTCTCCTCTTCATCCTTGACCTCTTCACTGGCGGCCTCTGGTGCATCCATGAGTTTGACCTGTCCCTCCTCGGTGCCAGCACTTGCTGGGTCCGCAGAAGGCTCCGAGATGTTCAACTTGAGCACACCCACGCCACGTTCGACCCACTTCTTCTCTGCCTTTTCGAACTGATACAATTTCGCACGCTGCGTGAACATGGTGGTCTCGCCCTCCTCGCCAGTCTCAATGTGTTGCTCATAAAACCGCTTGTCCTTCTTGACCTCACCCTCGACCAGATGGTGCGGGCTCTTACGGCCGTTGTCGTCAGCGCCGCCTTCGTCGTCAGAGTCACCTTCTTCCTCCTCGTCCGTGTCGTCCGAAGCCCCAAATGCTTTGGCCGGCTTGCTGCTCAGTCCTTCGATGGTCGGGCCTGATCCGCCGGCAAAGGAAGTCAGTTTCGATGCGCTTCCTAAACCAGAGAACGCGCTCGGCCCACCACCAAAGCCCCCGCCTAGTCTCGATGCGCCAAGAGCGCCAAAAGCTGATGTGGACGACGTATTACCAAATCCAGAACCTGTTGCTTTGCCTGCCGCAGCGAAAGCGCTAGGTTGCGTGGCCGGCGTAGCGGATTTCGAGGCCCAAGGCGACGTCGAGCCCGATGCAGCACCACCAAATGGCGATGCTGACTTTGACGCTGCAGCGCCAAATGGAGACGTCGTAGCTGAAGCGAAGGATCCAAAACCCGAGCTCTTGAATTTCTCATCTGACGTTTGAGGTTGTGCACCATCGGGCTTCGCTGCTGGTTGGGGAGCCAATGCACTAAATGGCGATATAGCAGACGTATTAGCGAACCCGCTGGAAGGTGGAATCTTTGACGCCGTGGCTTCAGACATGTGCGTTCCTGGCTCCGGACTTCCACTGTCCCTTGCTCTTTTTGTCTTCCTCTCGTCCGATGGTGTCGCGACGTCGCCGGACACATCCGTTGTCTTCGCCTCGTCCCTAGACCTCTTCCCTTTCGGACTCGTCAGGCCGCTCTGAAGCTCCTCGTTCGTCCGCTCGGCAGCCGTGTCCGGCGTGCCAGAGCGTTCTGATCTCGCACCGTTTGCCGGCTCCTCAACCTCTACGTCGGCTCCTGGCACAGCTTCCCGTGATCGCTTGCGCACATGTCGCGTGCCCTCTCTTGCGTCGTCCGTGTCGTCGTCGGCGGCGTGTAACTCGTCGAGGCTGCGCTTCTTCTGCACACGCCCTCTTGTGTTGGCGATGGAGGTTTCTCGTAGTTTTTCCCTCACGGGCTTCTCGCCACCGCTTTCGTTGTCGCTGCGGCTGATATCCTCCTCGACAGGCACGTTGGTGGGATCGGCCGAAGGGGTGGGCGACTCTCGGCGAGTTCCAGTTGCAGGCGACATCGTGATAGCGGGCAAAGTGTCCCGTCGGGCGACTTTTCGTCCAATCAAGGATATGCGTTGCCAATGAGTGTCGTTCGACCACTCTTCTGCGGCCGAGAGCGCTGTGAACAGACGTGTAGCGTCAAGGGCGAGAAGCGAAGGGGGAAAAACGACAGCGATTCTCCGGCAGGCGAGTCTCTCAAATTGAGCCGTTCGCTGTGTGACGCACAGCCAAAACGTGTCGTAGCAATCCGCGGCACAGGAAGCGTGGCCAGCACGAATGTCCTGGCGTCCCCACTACCGCGGCAACGGAAGCGAGTGTCAGCTGGAGGAGAGGTTCGCTGTCGCTGGGCCGGGACGGGAGGATTGTTCAGCGCCCGAGCGAAGAGTGCTGGCAGCTAAAATAAGCTTATCGACAAATAGAATCGTCAAATAGCGTTCCGACAAGTCTGCATGCGCGGGAAGAGTTTTGTTTTTTTTCCTGCTGCTCGGGTAGGCCCAGGGAGTTTACGAAACGAAACGGACTGAATGGCTGCCGGCGACGTGGACTTGGAGTTTAAGCAAAGACCAGGTCGTGGTTGGTTCGTTGGCTGCGCGGGTGAAATTCGATGTGAGAGCCATAAGAGGCCTAGTGGGGCTCAACTTGCGCAGTCGAGAATGAACGAATTTGCGGACCTGGCCAAGGGGAAAAAGAAAAGAAGCAATGTCTCGCGCTGGCATTCGGAAGAGAGGGCCGGATTCGAGTTATGTGTTGGAGCCATCGTCGCATTCTCTTGCTGTGCAACATTGGACTCGTCGGTGAATATGAGCGACTGGGAACGCTGTCGACGCAAGAGACACAACGAGCTGGGCAGCACGTCGATCGCGACGCCAGCCTACGTGGACGAGCAGCAGTTAAAAGAGAAATTAGATCTATGATACATTTTCGACGGAGGATCAACGGCGGTGGTGATATTTTGCCATCCGAAACGCCCGGCTCATTCATACATGTTGTCCCATTCCCGTCTTGGCCGTCTACGCTCTCTTCTTCACCTCGAATCCACTCTGCTCCTGGAGAAACTCCCTCCACGTCTTCAGGCCCGGGTGCTCTGCTCGCAGCTTCCCTATGTCGACTGCGTATCCGTCGCTCTCGAACCACTTGAACATGAGTCCAACGTCGGGCACGAACCAGAAGAGCAGCCGTATCAAGAATTCGAACGTCAAGGGCATGCTGTAGCCGAACTGTTCCTTGAAGATGCGGTCTCCCTCCTCAAAGGTGAGTTCATCGCCAGCAAGGCCGATGCCCCGATGATTGTACTTTTCGGGATCAATCAGAGCCTGCGCGCCGAAATGCCCAATGTCCGAGCCAGCGATCAGTTGTAGCGGACGGGTGAGACCAATCTTCCAGGCAGTGGGGAAGATCTTTCCAGCCCAGCCAGGCTGCAGGTTGTTCATGAACGCGACGGGCCGTAGGATGGTCCAGCCCATCTTGTCACCTGCCTTGTCTACTAGATGATGTTCTATGTTGTGCTTGCTGATGAAGTGTGGAACGTTGGTGGGATTGTCGTAAGACTTGTCGTCGCCTCCACGCTCGACGCTTGTGTAGACAAAGTGTTTCACACCATGAGCTAACGCTCCGTCGACGACGGCCTTGCCATGCGCCTCTTCGATGGCAGTTGCATTTTTGCTGCCTACCGGTGGGAGCTGTCGCACGTGTCAATGGCAATCAGCAGTCGTGGCTTCACATCGCTCGCGCAAGCATCGTCTTGCAGCAGCAGTGTCTTCGCGGGATCAGACTCACTTGCACGGCAAACACCCCCCAAATCTTGCCTCCCGCCACCTTTTCTGCTTCCGCAAAGATTGCAGGAACATCGTTCATGTCGCCCTGCACTATCTTCACGCCGCGTGCCTCAAGCTTCTTTGCTGAGGCGGACGATGCGTTCCTCGTGACCCCGAGAATGGTGAAGCTATCGGCTTGCGGCGACTCCAGCAGGGCCATGACGGTCGACCCGCCTTGCTGTCCAGTCGCACCAAATATCAAGACATTCTTAGACATGACGGTTTGCTCGGTTGGATGCGTGCCCTGTTAGGACCAAAGCTGGGTAGCACGGCGAGTACTGAAAGGATGGACGAGGACGTCACAATGAGCGAGATGATTGAGTTGAACGGAGAAAACAGATGTCAGATTGCGTCTTTTACAATTGAAACTAACTGCGATGCTATTGAGCGGATTTATAGATTCTTTGTTGCGTGAGGTTCTCAACACAAGGCGTCTGATCCGGTTTGTCGTCAAGCAAGAGGCGGCGTCATCGATGGGTTCGCGCAGCACTCGGTGGCCGAGCGAGCAGATGACAAAGCAGACCACAAATCCACTCACGACGAGAGACGGGATTTCCCTGACGAAAAAAAGCCAATTCCAACGAGACCAAGTGGTTCGTCTAAGAGGAAAGAAAATACGGTAACAATGATCAAAATTCAACAAGCCACTGCACCATTTCTCTACCCAGTGTATATGACTAACCGATCCGAGGCCAGGGGGCAGTTGTGCTGACAGCTGTTCCACAATGGCGCCACAACCTTGGACTAGATGCGCAGTACCATCAGCATTCCCTTTTCACCACATGCGATGGCGGATCCGGATGAGCATCAGGAGCTGTGCAGAATGGATCTGAGGATCGCCAAACTCCGACGTCGCGATGTGACACTGGTTCGGGATGGTCAAATGACTGTGAATTTGAGAAGCGCGCTCCAGCGATGTTGCCCAGGTGGAAAGATGAGGCTCTGCTAAACTTCGAAAGAATTACTCCTCGATAACGGTTGTGCAAACTCCTTACTTAACGGAGTGACACCGTCCTCGGTTTAGGATTCAGGTAAAGTACCTTGACCCGAAAGTACCACCTCGTTCCAGTCCAAATCTGAATCCGATTCAAAGTTCGGAAGCACGGAGTGTTCAAGTGTCCATTGCTCCTTTGGGTAAATCGTTCTTGAAGGAAAGAAATTTTCAGCATCCAAGAAACAGACGTTGTCGGCCCCACTTCAATGAGCTTCAACTGATGCCAGCTTCTTCCGCGGCGATGTGACCAAGGTCTCACTTATGCCGACATTCAGACCCACTTGTTGCGAACTGTGGTGCCCCAAGCTCCAAGTACTGCCTGATATCACTCTGCCTCAATACTTCTTGACAAGTACGGCGCGGGGCTGATGATGTTGATAGACGAATGCTCCCCATACTCCCAAAAACAGAACCGGGGCACTGAAGGCTGCATGCTGCAGAAAAGAAGCGTCTGAGTAAGGAGGTTTCACAAGGACTACTTCGTACAATGGCACTACCTTGATGGTTTCGCCCAATTTCGTATACGCTCGCTTTCCGTAGGTTCGCCACGTACCACTGCTGATTTCGTTACGTATGGGGACCTTTCGCCGTCTGTCACTTGTTTGTCCCCTGCCTTATTCAAGTATATGGTCCTGCTCGGTTGCGAGACACTGAAATGAGACATGAGAAAAGAAATTCTGAATTTGCTGTTAAATATGATGACAGTAAGTGTAGCGATCCGCTGTGTACCTCCAGGACGTCATTCTCGCAGCGGCAAACTTGTTACGACACATCTGAAGGACAGACTCAAAGGGATTCACTACCCGTATTTGACGGAGAGCTACGATTTTCTTCGTCCCATTTCTCTTTACAGTTTGCTGTACTTTTCCCTGACCTCCTTAATATGCTGCATGGCGCCCGGATTCATCAATCTGCTTCCACCATCAACACTTATATCCTCCCCATTTACGTATCGCCCAGCTCTGGAGGCTAGGTATACGGCCACGCCTGCAATGTCTTCCGGGACGCCAAGTCTGCCAGTCGGGTTCGACGCACCTGCAACATCAGCACCGCCTGCCTTCTCAATAGCAGGATTCGCAAGGCGTGTGGGAAACCAGCCAGGGGCGATTGTGTTAGTAGTAATATTGTGGGGGATGTGTTCCAGGGCGAAGTGCCGCGTTAGATGGTGGGCAGCCGCTTTGGATGCGCCGTAGATAATAGCGCCAGTCTTTCCGACATGCGAAACTATGATGCCGCCAACAGAGCTGACGATAATATTGCGGGCTGGATCGTCCTTGGTTCCTGCCGCAACAAGGAAAGGTTGCATGCTGTAGCAATATTAGAATGTCAAACCCCCAAACGCCAACAGTCAGGGCATTACTGACACGCGCGTGACATTGAAAACAGCTCGTACGTTGACGTCTAGCGTCTTTGCCACTTTCCAGTCCTCGAACTCCTCAAAGGGACCTCCCCACGACGCTGCTGCGTTGTTCACGAGGATGTGGAGCTTTCCATCGGGGAGCATCTTTTTCAAGTCCTCCCCCAATTTCTCGACTCCAGCGAAGGTGCTGACGTTGGACACGATGTACGAAGCCTTGCCTGGCAGGCCAAGAGCGTTTAGTTTGTCACAAGCCTCCTTCAGTTGCGCCTCCTTGCGCGACGCGATGATCACTTTCGCGCATCCTGCCTGCATGAACGCTGCGCATATGTAGTACCCTATGCCCGAAGCACCTGCATTTCACAACCACGTTAGTCTGTATCATGTAAGGGCAATATGACGACTCATGCCAAGCTCTTTGCGGACTACATTCTTCAAAGGCGTACCTCCGGTCACGAGCGCTACCTTGCCATCAAGGCGGAAAAGCGTATTGAAGTTGGGTATCTCTGCTTCCGTTGGCATGATGGAATTAACGAGAAAATGCGGTTCCTGTTGAACGAACCAAAACGTCACGATAGGTTCTTAGCGGAGCGAAACATCTGCGACAGTAATATACAGATCTTGTTCAAGGACAGGAGATGCTCTTTTTCCGAGCATGTCGGTCAGCTCGAGGCTGGTCAACCGAAAACGTGCGGGGATCTCGGCAAAGAATGAGACGCAGTGCTCGAATGCCCCTGGGTGGGCGTTGGTGCCGTGTGAACCGAAAAAGCGACTCTATTTCCCATGAATACAACACATATCGACTTGGACCTCAAGGCACTGGATCTAGTCAAGGGCAGGGGCGTGAGCGGGATGAAGCAGCGCAACGTAGCGGCACGAGAGAGGCCTCGTTCTTGACACGTGACCGTGTCCCATGTAGTTAATGGTTGTTAGCGCGCGCATGTCTCTTGCACGCTCTCGAGCCCCGCGGTAAGTGAACGCCGAAAATCATCAAACACGACCAGAAGGTTCCATTTTGCAGAGAGAGCACCAGCGTTGGATGAGCTTTGGACTGTTGCCAGTTGCAACTCGCGTGCGCCCCTCATGGTTGCAGCATGCTATTCCAATGCAGCGAGCTTTTGTCCATAGATTTTCTTTTCCAACCGTTTTAGACCTGGTTACGCAGTAGCGTTAAACGACTTACACGACCAGGTATCGCTTGTAACTCTTGACCTGAATATTTCACATCTTGGAGCACCCATTTATTAGGCGTTAGAAATGCCAACGCCGGAGCAGGTGTCGGAGAAATTAAAGGCGCAGGGTAAGCTGGGATCGACTCGAACTCGAGGACGACAATGCTAATATCTCCAGGCAACGCTTGCTTCAAGGAGGAAAACTATAGTGAGGCGGAGCACTATTACACTCTAGCGATCCAGCAGAACCCGTCCAACCCAATCCTATGGACAAACCGTGCGAATGCAAGGCTGAAACTCGGACACTGGCAAGATGTCATAGACGACTGTCTCCGTAGTATTGAACTTTCGAAGGAGAATCTCAAAGGCTATTACTTCCTTGGTATGCTGTCACGTTGAAAATTGGCGTCGACAAGGCTAACGTGACGTGTGTGCACTAGCGCAAGCACAGTATGAGCTACAGCATCCGAATGAAGCTCTTATTTCGGCAATGACGGCCTACGACATCTGCGCGCGAGCAAAAACGCAAACAAGTAACGCATTCTCAATAGCACAGTTCGTGCTCAAGTGCAAGAAAGCGAAGTGGGATCTTCGAGAGAAAGAGAGGCTTCGACGGCGAAACGGGCTACTTAAAGAACTTGAACTCAAGTTGGAAGCAGATCAGCAGGCGGAACTGGATGATATAGAAAGGCGACGTCAGGCTGGTGAGATAGGCGAAGTAGGCGCGGCGGAGGAAATCTCGGAAGTCAAGGAGATGTATCAGACGAAGATCCATGACTTGCGGACGGCATTTGCTAACTCGGATCCAAATAACATGGAGAAGCGTGAAATTCCCGAGTATCTTATCGATCCGATCAGCTTTGAGATCATGCATGATCCGGTCATAACGAAGACGGGACAAAGCTATGAGCGCGCTACAATCGTAGAGCATCTCAAGAGGAATCCGACGGATCCCCTGAGCAGAGAACCGTTGCGCGTTGACGAACTAAGAACGAACGTCAACCTGAAGAAAGCTTGCGACGAGTTCTGGGAAGGCAGTCGAGGGTGGGCTTATGAATGGTGATACCCTCAATCTGAACAACATTTACCCAGAAAGTTTCGTTCCTTATATATGCATCTCGCGTTCTTATCCCAGCTCCATCCCATGGTTCTCACGTGAGCTGCAGCTCTCGATTGAGTTGCACAGCCCCACTCTTGCCTTGTCGTTTGCATCGCGATACAGCTTATAAACAGCCTTGTTGACATCTAATTGCAATGATTCAGAGGCAAACGAGACAATGCCCACTCAGCAGGATTCGCGATCGCTCGCCGCCCTTCGGCGGCCGGAGGCATATCAATATCACGCGCTCGATCTCAACTCAAGGACCATACGCCTGCTTCGGCTTGAGTCCATTGAAAATGCCACGGAGTCTTTCCGAATGGCGGTGAATTGTCGCACCAGAAATCGAAGCCTTTCTGACCTGGACGTGAAGTTGTACAAAGCCGATCTCAAGTTCTACAAGGACAAGCACGTCGCGCTCGACGACGAGACGCTGTGCTGCAGCTTACATGTATTTCAGATCACGAGCGCCCCTAAGTTTGCCGCGCTGTCCTACACCTGGGGTGAGGATGGTGTTCTCCACAACATCTTGGTTGACGGCAAGCTATTAACCATCAGGCGTAACTTGTGGACGGCACTGCGAACACTCAAGACACACGGAAAGCCCAAGGAAATGGAGACGTGTCCAGAATACCTCTGGATCGATGCCATCTGCATTGATCAGGCCAATGTGCCCGAACGAAACCATCAAGTGTCGCTCATGCAAGAGATATTCGGCATGGCCGATTACGTTATCGCCTGGCTTGGGGAGGCGGACAAGCATTCCAGTCACGCAATCATGACTTTAGCATCGCGAGCAAAGCACTGGCATTTTGCAGATGAGAGCAGAGAAGACCTCAGTAAATTCGAGCAAGACCTGCCCGAGCCATTTGAGTTCAGCCGATCCCTCTTCGTGAGACCGTACTGGTCGCGCGTCTGGATTGTGCAGGAGTTTGTGCTACCCTACAACGTGATCATGATGTGCGGTACGATGACCTGTCGATGGGATGAGCTCGAGATCGTAAGTAAAATCATTGCCACGCCGCGTCAAAGATCCATTCAAGCACCCGTATGGATGTTGTTCAATCTTCGACATGAGTACAGGAAGATCCGACAGCGCTATATCAAGCCGCGGACGCGCTTCTACGACATGGTCGGCCTGTTTCGAGACCACTGTTGCAGCGATCCACGAGACAAAATCTTCGGCCTCGCCGGCCTCTTCGCGTTCGACGAGACTTCTCTCGAAGAAGTGACCGCTTTTGTAGTCGACTACGAAAAGACCCCAAAGGAGGTGCTCTTGACTTTTCTCAGACACGTCTTGGGTCTCTTTGGGCAAGTCAAACCGCCAAATCTGGAACATTACATCATCTCGCTGGCCATAAGGATGGGCGTGCAACCGCGTTCGCTTCTCGACGACGCGTTCATACTATCATTGCTCGCCGACGGTCCCCTGGACTATCCGGACATCTGGCGTGGATTCATGAGTTGGGAAGCCATGAACGAGTGGCTGAGTAACCATTGACAGAGTGTAGTTTTTGTCATGCCTCTGTCATGCTTCTCATATACTTCTCTCATGCTTCTCTTAGCGAATCAGGTCAAGGGAGACTTTTAACGTGAGAGATCGTTCAAACCCTCGAGCGGTTCGAGGTTGCCGCTCGGATTGCGTGCTTTCGCCTGTGCTGAAATAAAGTTGTGCAGTAAGGACGAATAAGAATCGATAACGATTTAGTAAGGAAGTCAGTGCTGGTACGTTGCGTTAAAAAGAGATCGCTTCTTGACATGCATAAAGTCATGCTACGAGTTAGATCCTCTCGTCAAACGTTAGCTGAAAGTTAGCCCGAACTTTCCGTCGATGTTATCTACAAAGGCTTCGCACTTCTTCACGCCCATCTCATCCCTGCACCAGCACAGGATCGATCGGGCCCAGAATCTACGACCCTGCGTGTCGCGCTGCTGCAGTGACTCGCGCCTTGCTAGCATCATTGATACTTTGTACAACGGCCACAATAACATGAATACTCTTAGGGTTGGAACGTCTTCGACCTCCTTCTGCGCCGGCTTTCCTCGGATTGGCAGCGTCATATGTCCGTATATGGAACACAAGACCTCCTCAATCAGCTGCATCACGCGCAGCTCGCACCGGAGCTGAGTTTCCAGCCATAGCTCTAGATCGTTGTCATCTTTTGCGGATGCGATGAGCACGTCTATCGCATTGAGCGTGTGCGCATACAGCTGTATCCTTGTCCCACGCGTCAGGTTGTACCTTTGCGCGATCAACAGATTGCTGGCAAGACGCATTTGTGACGGCGCGCCGGGCAGGTCGTAGAGAGGCTTAAGCCAGCCCGGCAACTGCTCTTTTTGACACTCCTTGATATCTTCTTCCCATATAGGCGCCCGCTCAGCCAGCCACTGCTCGATTTCTGCGTCAATGATTTCCGTACTGGTAACCATTTTCATAGCCGCCATAACGAGCGAGTCCTGGCTGTTTGTATCCAGCTCCGCGGTGCGCCATTCTGCAATCGTGTCGGCAGCCTTGTATAGCAAAGACAGGACTTGATAGGACATCGTCTTGGGTCTAACAAATGCGTCCACTGTACTCAGCGGTATGGATGGTCTGTTGCCAAATCCCATGCAGTTGATCAGCATTTGTATTATAATGTGCATGAAGAGCTCAGTTAGCTGTTCAAGGCCACTCGCTCCACCGCTATACAAGCTGTTCAGGAGAGCAACAGAGCCGTTCACGTGTGCCTGCCAACTTCCTCCGTGCGTTAGATACGGTGTAGCTAGGATCTCGTACGCGCTGAGCAAACAGATGGATGACAGCGTCTGTAGAGGCGGTAAGGATTCAGGCCTGGAAACGTAAGAACCGAGCAATTTTATCGTCTTTCCGTATTCTTTCGAAGCCATCTCGGCAGCATGTGTGGACTTGCTTCGACCCGCGAAATTTGCGAGCGACGTCGCCCGAAAGGCGTGATAGATGCAAGTGCCTGGCTTCATGTCGTCAACGATACGAAGGACGAACGAAGCAAAGCCAGTCTTAGGCACTTGAGAGCCTCCCGGGATGACGAAATCAAACAAGAAGCGCTTCGTGGCTAAATCGTAGATGGATTGATCCAAGTCCACAGGCGGGGAACACTCGGGCACGCAATCTGTCGTCCTCGATGCCGGCGAGTCGCAGGGATCGCTGCTGCTGCTGGTGGACGGTGAGGCGTGCGAGCTGCTCGTACGTTCTTCGAGCTTCTTCGCGCGCGAGCGCCATTTTCGCTTTGCCTTTTCCGCTGTCTCGGTCGTTTGGTTCCTTAGCAGCAGATCGAATTCATCTCTGTACGTGCATTCGAAGCCGCCTTTGGTGCAGCGCTCACAGATCGGTTGTCCTTCGTCGCACTTTGATTCAGTCAGGAATGGATTTTTTTTCACTTTTTTTTTTTCTCTTTTTGTTGGCGCTGGCGTGAATGCGGATACAAACCTTGACTTTGCGTTGCCTGCACTTGTTGCAACCTTTGCTTGGCCGTCCTCTGAATGTCACTTGCATAACCAAGGGGCGAAGGTGAGTCTAGATTGGCTGGCCGAATGTGAAGGGGCTGTTTGAGTGTACCTTATCCACAAGGGCTGATTAAGTAGATCTGGAGCGTGGCTCGAGAAACGTAGACGGCTTCCCGCTAAAGAGTCGCAATCAATATTCCAAACCGGACGGAATGGTACCATTAACGCAGGAAGGGCATTCCGGCAGCTTCTGGTGGCGCGACGGATAATTTGCGCGGCGTTTCCACTGCCAACGTGACTTTTCGAGAGAGAGGCCGTGGTTTGTTTGAATTATCCCACTCCGGCGAACGAGCTTGGAGTAGATGGATTCATGATAAGCTAGTGCCGAGTATCTACCATGAGTGTGGCTTAGAAGAATCGACAAGCGGCGAAACAGGCAAGCTTTGCTGAGGATGCGCCAAGAGGTTTTCGTCAGCACAAGGCTGTGGGCTTGAAACTGCGCAGACGACGATTGTCCATTGGCCCGTCCGCTTGTTTGCCTTCGGTGCCGAGCTCGCTTTAGCATCACCGACGGCCGTTCACGCATAGTTCACTACGCGCGTATTTTGTTATGCTCGTCGCTGGTGTGGGGGCTTTCATTCCGTGGCTATGCCTCGCGTTAACGCCCGAGTCAACCGACATGCCGCACTCTTCCAGCTCTTCTGCGAAGGGGCAGATACTGACCAAATCCGGTGCATTTGTTCACCCGCAGGAACGGAGATGGACAAGGCTGGTCTCAACGCTGCTTGAGATCTTCCGGCGTGAGAGGAGACGGCCAGCGATTGGCCAATGGGCGGCTTGCTTGCTCATCTGGAGAACGTATTTGCGTTCCTGACAAATCGTCCTGCGCACATATCCAGGCAATTCCTGCCACTTCATACGCGTAGCTCCCGGAACATCGAACCGTCCGACGTACAGGAGCCAGCTGGCGCTGTCTTCACGCTTGTCTGGGTCCCCAAACACTTATGTGCGAAGCCTTAGAGTCATGGAACACTTTGGCAGGCTTCGTATCATTGGGACCTTGTACAAGACTGAGCCCGAGCACTCGTCTTTCTCTATGGCCATCTGTAACTTGATTCATTCTGCTGTTTAAAGATCGCGTTCACGCCCGTACGCGTTCAAGCAACGAAAGTTCAAAGACTGGCTTGATCTCTTCATCCTCACATGAGCAAAGATATAGTATCGTAGGCGAAGATGCTCTCATGTACGTGAGAACCTCACATGGCTGTGCTGCTTCAGGTAACTACAGCTGGACCTTCCAACCGATATACTTGACAGCCAGACGCGACCACCTTAACATCCGCTGTATTCAACGATCATAGCATTCGATGTATTCGAATAGCCAAAAACACAGCAAGAAACTTCCTTCTCCTGTCTTGACAAAACCATGGACAGCGCCGTAGCGAGGCACCTGCACGATTTGAATTCAACGCGATCAGTAATGACCTAGTGTACTAGCTTTTTATTTTTTTTTATCTCTCATTATTTGGTTTTTCTTTCGAAAAATTCTAGACGAAAAAGAAAAGGATTTGCTACAGAATTGTAGGAGTCGAGACCACTTCAGTTGCTACTTCGGACTGCTATAATGCATGAATGTTGTATTTCTTAGAATGGGCCCTACTGTATCATTTCGCTGCATCAGCAGACACAACGCTGGTAACAATCGAAATTGAATTTTGTCGCGGCTTGTCTTTGCCAGCCGCCAATGACCCAGAAACAAGAATGGACCCAACACGTCGTCATTTTTCGTTCGTTGGATGAATCGCAGTCTCCTGCCGCCAGCGCAGCCTGGCCGCATTACTTGTGATTGAAATCGTGGGAGGCGATGCTTTTCTTCGGCTTCGCCCGTTCTTCGACGTCTCGTCCGCCTCTGAAGATCTGTCTGTGCATGACGCAGTTTCTTCCCTGAATCCGGCAACCGCGCTCACCGAAGCACGTTGTATGCCCTCGTCGTGCACGCTTCTGCGCCGAACGTTCTTGGACATCTTCTCCTGCCGCCGCTGACTCGCCAAGAGCCTGACTACGCGCCAGAAAGCGAATAGAGTGCGGTGCATCATGGTAATCGCCATTCTGGTCCCACAGTAAAGGACGAACAAGACGGTCAGCACGTTGAGCAGCATCCAGAAGGCAATGCATTGCGACCAAGCGAGGATCTGCGGATGTTTCATCACATACAGGTCCATGAGCTGGACCGCCGGATGATTGACGTCCTTGATGTTGAAGAGCAACATGATCATGTGGCGGAAGATGTGGTGTGCAGCTCCGTACGGATCTTCGGCCATTGTAACCGTTTACGATGCCGAAGCTTGTGCTTTTGAAAATGTGTCCGACGCGGCAAAAACAGTGAGGTAGAGGTGCTCTGTAAGTCTTCAAGAAATCCCAGTCAGTTGTTAGGCTCTAAAATTGTTGGAGCGGATGGGAAGCAATCGCCATTCACTAGGTGAGCGTCAAGTCTTTACGGGAGTTTGCGGCTCACGCGGGTGACCAGATATCTGAGGACCGTCGAATATAGTGGCCTGTGAACGGTGCCGCTGTTAAGAATGGATCTCTAACAAGACAATTTCAATGTTACGCTATTGTCCGCAAAGTGGGAGGTCGTGGCACTGTCTATTCGGTCGTTCCGAGGAAGCCAAAACGGTTGAACGCACCAAAGGATCAATATGTTTAAAGCAAATGAGATATTTACCTTTTCCTTCACTTCTCTTATTAAGCGAAATGAGATGTTCATGGTCATTAATCAAGTCTCGTCTAGCTCTTTCCTAAGGCTCAGCGCGCAGACTCTGCACAGCATCCGATGTCATTCCCTGCCCTAATAGAAACAACCAACGCCAAAGTCCAAACTTGGGGTCTAACTAAGACACCAATATTGAATGTTTCTCCAAACTTAGTCCCCAGATAGTCGACAACTCTTATTCATCTTCTCGAGCCAGCCCTGACGGATAGAGGACTTGCTTCCGCCGCTGCATATGCATCAAAGCTGAACAAGGTTGTGAGATAAAGCCCGATAAACCTGACTATCTGGTCTGCGAAACTCTGGCCCAGTGCCGCGCCGTTGCCCACTGGTCTCGAGGGTGTTGAGCCTCCTCCGAGTGTGTATCCCTTTGACGAGAAGCTGCTGGATTTCGCGGGGCCCTTGGCTGCCTCTGCGGAGGCCTTAGCCACGGCAGCGCGGAGGGCCGACGGATTTGCGCCCCGGACGGTTTCAAAGACGGATCCGTTCTTAAAAACGAGGAAGGTGGGCATTCTAGATCACGCAGTCAGAATCAAGAAGCTACCACGCGATATCTAGACTTCTGGTGTGGACTCACGCGCTAACACCGTAGCGCTCGGCGATGTCCTGGCTCTGGTCTACATCCACTTTTACAAATGCCACTTTACCAGGCTGTGCATGCGACGTGGCGAGCTGTTCGAAAATAGGTGCGATCGCCTTGCAGGGACCACACCATTCTGCGAAGAAGTCGACGACCACGCACGTATTTGAGGATAGCACTTTGGAGAACTGCGCCGAGGATGAGACGTGGTTGATCTTCGACATTGTGACAATCTTCGGCCTCAACAGACGTTCGTCATACGACTCTGTCTACGTTGTTGTCCCAGCCTGCCGCTGGAATACTAGTAGGAGGAATAGCAGTAGCAGCAGAAGAAGAAGGAGAAGGAGAAGGAGAAGGAGAAAGAGAGCACAATTGTGAACACGTTCGCAGTTTCCCGTTTCCAAGAGCTCGAAGCTCGGCGATGATGCGGAGGAAGGCGGCACCTACCAAAGAGGAAAGGCTTGCATTTTTGCCTTTCGTCTGCCGAAATGGGAAGGGGCTCCGTCAAGGCTCTGTGCACACTGTCAGCCGTCCTCTCACTGAAAGTTGATATGCATACATGCATACGTTCATATACGGGCACAGATACATAGGTAGGTAGCCCTGCAACCGGAAGCGTGTTCCATTGTGCTTTTTTGCTGTCCATCAAAACGTCGTTGTTGTGTTCTGGACTATGTTTGTGAAGACGGACGGAGATGACCTCGGCGGAAAGTTCGGCCTGAGGCAGCATTGTGGCGCTTTTTCTGGAAAGCTTTCGGCTACCTTATGATTCCATCTTTTTCTCTCCCTAACGATCCTAAATACAAAATTTCCAAACCTCTCCCATCTCATCCTTCTCTCAATTCATCCTTTCTTTCATTGCCATCAGGACCCCATTGGCCTGTCTTCATTAATACCTTCTGCACATAATCACCTTTCACAATGCTGTCATCAAGATTGTCGCGGAGCGTAAGTTCGAATTTTTCCCTTCTTAAAGCAAATGCATCATCAAGTGCATGCTTTCATCAAGGTCGCATGCTCACCTTTTCCATTAGATACTGCCCCGAGCTCAGTCATCTCTTCGCACATCTGCCGTGAGGGCGCCATTGGCTGCGCAATTCAGAAGGGGATACGCCGATGAGAAGGTCAAGGGCCATGTCATCGGTATCGATCTGGGTACTACCAACTCCGCCGTTGCGGTGATGGAGGGAAAGCAGCCACGCATAATAGAAAACGCTGAGGGTCAGTCTTTGCCATTGAAAACCTTGATGAAGACGTTTTGGAGCTGACTTGTGATGATGCAGGTACGAGGACGACACCATCAGTCGTTGCCTTTACCAAGGACGGCGAGCGTCTGGTCGGTATTGCGGCGAAGCGTCAAGCCGTCGTCAACCCAGAGAACACTCTCTTTGCCACAAAGCGTCTCATTGGCCGCAAATTCACTGACGCTGAGGTTCAACGTGACATCAAGGAGGTTCCATACAAGATCGTTCAGCACACGAATGGTGATGCGTGGGTAGAGGCTCAAGGACAGAAATGTAAGTTCCACCAGTAAAGTACGGACATGGTTGAGCATTCTCTGACACAACTCTAGACTCTCCATCGCAGATTGGTGGTTTCATTCTCGGCAAGATGAGGGAGACTGCTGAGGCATACCTGGGCAAGAAAGTGGAGAACGCTGTCGTCACCGTGCCGGCCTATTTCAACGATGCCCAGCGTCAAGCAACCAAGGACGCGGGTCAGATTACTGGTCTGAATGTTCTCCGTGTCATTAACGAACCTACTGCCGCTGCTCTGGCCTACGGTTTGGATAAAGAGCAAGACCGTGTCGTCGCTGTCTACGATCTTGGTGGTGGTACCTTTGATATTTCCGTCCTTGAAATCCAGAAGGGCGTCTTCGAGGTCAAGTCAACGAACGGTGATACCCACCTTGGTGGTGAAGATTTCGATATTGCCCTCGTCCGACACCTGGTTCAGCAATTCAAGAAGGAGTCTGGCATTGATCTGTCTAACGACCGCATGGCCATTCAGCGTATCCGCGAGGCTGCCGAGAAGGCAAAGATTGAGCTCTCCTCTTCAGGCCAGACGGAGATCAACCTGCCTTTCATTACTGCTGACGCGTCCGGACCAAAGCACATCAACCAGAAGATGACCCGATCCCAGTTAGAGGGCCTTGTCGGTCCTCTTGTTGAGAGAACCATCGAGCCTGTTCGCAAAGCGCTGAAGGATGCTGGCCTGCAAGCTAAAGACATTCAGGAGGTTATTCTCGTTGGTGGTATGACCCGTATGCCCAAGGTTATCGAAACCGTAAAGAACATCTTCGGGCGTGAACCTGCCAAGTCCGTCAATCCAGACGAAGCCGTCGCCATCGGTGCCGCCATCCAGGGTGCCGTCCTCGCTGGTGAGGTCATGGATGTTCTACTTCTTGACGTTACTCCTCTATCCCTTGGTATCGAGACTCTCGGTGGTGTCTTCACCCGTCTCATCAACCGCAACACAACCATCCCCACCAAGAAGTCCCAAATCTTCTCCACGGCTGCTGATTTCCAGTCTGCTGTCGAAATCAAGGTTTACCAGGGTGAGCGTGAACTCGTCCGTGACAACAAGCTCCTTGGTAACTTCCAGTTGACTGGCATCCCGCCTGCGCACCGTGGTGTACCCCAGATCGAAGTTACCTTCGATATTGACGCTGATTCCATCGTGCACGTCCACGCTAAGGACAAGGCTACCAACAAGGACCAGTCTATTACCATTGCCTCCGGCTCTGGTCTTTCGGATGCTGAGATCGAGGCCATGGTTCAGGACGCTGAGAAGTATCAGGCTCAGGACAAGGAGCGCAAGGAGGCTATCGAGGCCGCAAACCGTGCCGACAGCGTGCTCAATGACACTGAGAAGGCTCTCAAGGAGTACGAGGACCGCCTCGACAAGGCTGAGAGCGAGAAGATCAAGGAGAAGATCGCCGGCTTGAGAGAGGTCGTGTCCAAGGCCCAATCAGGCGAGGGCAGCACTACTGCTGCCGAGCTCAAGGAGAAGACTGATGAGCTGCAGAACGCCTCGCTTTCACTCTTCGATGCACTACACAAGGCTCGCGCCGAGCAGAGCAGCCAGTCTAGCGAACAACAGCAGCCTGGCGCTGAGGGCGAGAAGAAGCCATAAGCGACAAGCACTAGCTTGACTGGTTTTCTTGTGCAGCCAGCTCACTCCTTTGCCCTTTTATCTATCTATTCCGGTATAAAAGCTTTTCCGCTTTTTCGATTCTCCGCTACTATTACCCCGGCTATTTAGCTTGTACTTTTGATAGAATTTGCTGCTTAGTTTGCTCCGTTTGGCGCGAACAACAATTTTTGGAACGGACGGGGTGTGTTCACATATTACATAGTACCGGCGAGTGGCGTACTACCTACTACTTGGGTGTGGCGGAAACTTCTTTCACGCGGTTTGTGGGCTGGGAAAGGGCAAAGGAACCACCAAAAATCATCTTTTCTATTCTCTTCTTGTTGTAGTAAACTGTGGTTGTGTCACATTTACTGCTGGCTCTACTTCGTGGGGTTTGCAGATATCTCGATGTGTATTATATACGGCATAACTCGCAGGATGTGACGCGAGATGAAAGAAATGTAGTCTCCTCTCAAGAAAATTAGATCCATTATCACAAATAGTTCTCGTATAGGGGTATGGAGTGTTGCAAACGTGGAGACGGAGCTAACATCTGAAGAAAACTACAAATGGCTTGCATACAGCTGCGTCTTCGCGTCTCTCAAAGTAGTTGAAGTGGGGCAGCGAATTCGAGCTTGAAGTTTTCGTATAGGCAGCCTCGATTCATTGTACGATGTGCAGTCATGTGCGAGGTGTAGCACAAGAGAAACATACACGTATATAATGAGATTTTTTTTTCTTGCTCTGGACCCCCATGCCCGATAGTTAGGCCTGGCAAGACTGATAGTACTCCGCATACCGTTGCTGCGCTGCTTGTTGTTGTTTTTGAAAGAGTGGTGGTGGTGGTTCGATGGGTAAGTTCATCAGAAACTGCAGCATCTATGCTTCCATTTTTGCTCACACAATCTCAACGATGCCCGTCCATGTAATCGTACGTTTCTTTTACGTTTGTAAAAGTGTTTGATTAGAGTATACGTTTCCGCAAACTCTGTTCGGCGCGCATGCAGGAGATGCTTAAGACAACAGAGGAATTGTTTATTGCTTGGAATACATGATTGTTTACATACGTTTAGTCGTACATTACTCCCCCAAATAAGAATCCACTCAAGCAATCTGGATACCTCGTTGATTGCTTTGTATCATGTTCGTCAATGTATATCTTCGACAGATGAGACAAAATCAGTAGCGTTCCCTGAAGAAGCCTAGACGAGATGCCCCCGTTGTACTCGCGAAGCGCAAAGGAAAGATCAGCGCCGAAAGATGTAAATTCCTCTGTCATGGGCTTGAATTTGGGGTTCTTGAAAGACATGCTGAACATTCTTGGCGGTGATTTCGACCGCCATTTTACGAAGCTCCCATCGCCAGCTTGACCGGGAGGAGCTACGTCGTACACCTTGCGCACGATGACATGGAATTTTTTGTTCAGACAGCTGTCTTTGGCCGCACCGTGAAACTTGCCGTCGACGTTCACCTTGAGATTTTTTGTGCTGGAAGAAGTCTGCAAGCGCGCGCAGACGTGAAGGTGTCTAGTGCAAATCTCGGCGTTTCGTCTTCTTCGAACAGGTAGGAGACCCAAATCTCTTACAATAGCATGGCATCTGGCTTGGTGACCGAATCCGGTTGGCTACCTTCATTCTCAACCACGCTTTTACAGTCGTCCATGGAGAGGAACTGGATCATCGCCTTGACTGCGGCAGGTTCGTGGTCATTCAGAACCATCCTGTACTTCCGCCCTTCCTTCAGATCCTCTAGCTTGACGATGTGCACTTAGAACAATTTCGACCGTCTCAAAGGGAAACGCGCTTCTAAAACTGCAGACGCGAACCATCTGGACCGCATGCAAACGATCGACTGACGTACTTTCGCTCAGTAAGGGCCACTCTTGGCGGTGAGCTCGCTGTGATCACCGATCTTGAGCAGCCTTAAAATATTGCCAGCAGCGGTCTCGGTCAGGGGAGTTTTGGCTTACGCTTCGAGCACTTTTGATACGACTTAGTTCTTCCTATATCGCCCTTTGGCGTTGAGGGTTTGGAAAATGTACTTTCAGGGGAGATGGGAGGTTTTCCTTGTGAACGTGAGATCGAAAGAGGGCCGGGGTTTGGTTGCCTTTTTGACTTTTTGGTATACCTTGGCGCAGGGCTTGGGGGGATTTGTTCGCTCGATAAAAGTGTACCGCCTCTGCTAGAACAGTCCGTCACATCGTTGTTGCAATGCTCTCTATTCTCGGTGCAAACATTCAACATGGTGCCAAGGTTCCGAAATGCAAATTGAGCATCGTACTCATTGCCCTGCAGTATTGTGACGAAGAAACCTCAGGTGGGAACGATCACCCTGCATAGGAGCAGTAGCTAAAATCATAGAATGTGTCACAATGTGATCCCAAGAGTCCGGCATAGCGATAATGATCTCTGAAATTCCACGGTAAGAGATACAAATCGAGAGACTAAGCATTCAGTCAATACATCATATTCTTGCCTCCTTATTTGACGAGGACTCATAGAATAAGTAGATCGTCGCCTCCCCCATTAGCCGGCCCATGTGCACCATTACCCTGCATTCCTGCTGTGACAGGCTGGCCAACGAACCCACTTCCATTCGCATCACCTAGACTCATTGCAGCCATTTGTTGATTCCCCACACCGGCGAAATACATGTCCGCTTCGTTGAGTGCAGCCTCTAGGTTCCCTGTTGCCATACCATTGTTCACTGCGCTTCCAGGGGATAGGTAACTCTGCGGCTGCTGCAGCATGGTAGTAGGAGATGTGTTAAGCATTGCGAGTGATTTTCTCGCTTCTTGCATTCTCTCCTGGGCTCTGTAGGACGGAAGAGTGTGTTTCTGAAGAGCCGGGCTATCTTGTAATTTGCGAACGCGTGCCGACCGAAAGACTTGCCGCACAGGTTTGAGATATACTGTTGCGAGAGTTCCAATATTAAGGCACATTTCATCCAGGGTCGTTGGGTCGAGTTGCTCGGCAGCTGCAGTGATTGCAGGTTTCTCGCCTAGAACAATGTTCTTTGCGATCATAGGATCGTTTCCTGAGTGCGCAAGAAGCCGCCAATACATGTATCCTCTATCCCTAAGATCGGGATTATCTGCCTCGTCCACGACTTGCTTAAGCACTTTCATGACTAGATCTGCGCATTTCGTTGGCCGATGCAAGAAAAGCTTCACTGAAGCCGTCAATAATGCGAGCTGCACATCGACTGGCTCTTCCTGCCATGTAAATAAGAAATCTTCCAGCAGCTCGTCACTGTTCTCAATACGATCTGCGTATTGTCCGATGACCCAGATCATTGCAGCCTTAGCTTCGGGCTCATCGAGCGAGTCGAGATTCTCGCAGAGCGTGCTGATAATGCTCTCATATTGGTTGGGATACTTGCGGAAGATGTTGCGAATAACGACAGTGGCTTCTTGAACAATGTAGCTTACTTTTGTGGCAACGAGTTCAAGAAGTGTATTGATGCAGAGTCGTGCAGCAGGCTCAATTTTTATTGCGAGTTTGCCGATAGCGCGAACGGACTTTCGAACAAAGTCGACGTCGATTTCAGAGGCGTATCTGTTAATCAGGATTTAGCACTTCCCTCATGCTTCAAGTAGGATAAAGGTGACGTACTCTCGCAGCTCAGTCAAAACCTCTTTAATGTTCTTCTCTGTCGCCAACATGAAAAGCAATTCTAGCTTCGTAACTTTAACATAGATCGGATCATTATACTTGCAGAAGAAAACTCTGATGTCATTCCTCAAAATTTCCGGGCGGCGCTGTAAAATCAACAGTGCGTTCCTGAGCGCAAGATATTGAATCTCGGGGCCTTTGGAGAGAAGTGTAACGAGTGGTGGAGAAAGCTTGTTGCACAGGGACGTGATCACCCTCTGGTCCGAAATGTAGTTCATGAGGTAGAGAATTACCCGTATGCAAGTAAGTGCAACGGCAGAATTGCTGTGCGAAAGACGTGGGGAGATACGCTCTGCGAGAAGGGTCGCCTCTGCAGTGTCTTGCGGGACGTAGTTCATCATGGCTTCGAGAATATACGTTTGGCCCCATCTGTAGCCTTATTAGCAATTTTAATAAGAAAGCGTCATGCTAAACATACTCTGAGCAATCTGGCAGTATTTGGACGATTTTGGAAGCGCTGGTATAGTCGATAGTCAGCTTAATCGAGCTGCTTCTCTCCCAAATATCCATTAAGCTTGCTAGGGCACTGGAGACTACGGTCGGATTTTCATCCCTCAGCATTGAGTTAAGCCGATCTATCAGATCCGATGCCTCGACCATGCCTCTATCGTGATCATACAGCTTTGCGACACAGAATGTTGCCGTCTTTCGCACGTATGGGTCAGAATCTTTTAGAAGATGCTTAAGTGGCTGAACCGTCGCCTCAACGTATTCTCGGACGTGAATATATGATATTGTTCGAAGAGCAAGTGCGCGCACGAGCGGATTTGGGTCTTCCATGTCCTAGCATTCTCTCAGCACAATACCCCTATGTTATTTGTTTAGACCAGACACACTTGAACAAGAGTTGGGAGAGCCCGCAATGCAATCTCTGGCTTTGCCCGCGCGTAATTAACTAGGTAAAGAAAGCACCTGCGTATGGATTTGTAAGTTAACTCCTACACCGCACAGAACATTTAAGTCCTTACATTTTTTTAATTTCCAAGCTAGGTATATTCATGCAATTCACAACATCTGAGAACAGTGCGATCATGTCATTGTTGCTCATAGTCATGTTTGCCACTATGCGCTTGAGTGCGATCTTCTTCGCAGAGTGATTCTTATCCTTCCTGTTGCCTTGCTGCAGCTCGGCGCGAAGCTCAGCAACCTTGCCCTATTTAATGCGAATGTTAGCAGAGGGCTTTCATTCTGCAGTTATCGGTAGTACGTCTTCGATGGAGGCTAAACAAAGGGTGGCGGATTCAACTACGATGATATACAAATTCCAATCAACGTGTGCGATTAACATATGATTGAATAAAAATGAGCAAAAACGTACTCTTGCAAAGAGCTTTGCATCTTGACCTCCCGAACTCATGGCTGGCTAAGTGATTGTGTCACAACATATGCGCTGGGAGGTGGAGAAAGAAGTATCGCGAAGGACGAGTGTATCAATGACCCTATCGAAGAGGAGAGCAAGTAGGGAGGCGGTCAGCACATTGCTGAGGAAGCGAAAAATGCCACAAAAAGGGAACACTAGAGATTATTTCGCCCTCAAATTGGGTGGAAATCAAAATCGAGATTGTATGAAAAAGTCTGAAGAGCTCAGGAGCTCCGCTGAAGAGTGCCGACGTTGTCGGAGGGAGCAGCGTGAACTAACTGTAGTTTCCGCTCGTATGCTGATCCTGGGAGCTTGTGCTGAGGCCACCCTTACGTTCCGTCACAACATCCGACGTGCATCATCAGAAGTATTTGCATCACGCATCAAAGGGTCACGTTCAATCAGAATGGCTACCCAAACACTGCTTGAATCGCCTTCGCCTCCAAGTTGGGTAGTGGAACTCAACTCTACGCCCTCGGCGAAGCCAAAGTCTATTCTTCCAGATCCGCCCGGTTTCACGTCTGGAACACGAGTATGTTCACGATTTACAGTAGATCATCAACCATTCCAAGCTAAGGATATGAGCTCCAGAAAGACAAAAACACCAAGAACCAAGCGCCATCCCGCAAGCCCCCCACGGCAGCCGAACGCGACACTCTCAAGCTGAAGAAAGCATGGGAATTGGCTATTGCGCCTGCCAAGCAGCTGCCCATGAGTGCCATTGGCATGTACATGACTGGAAACTCGCTTCAGATATTCTCAATTTTCATGGTTTTCACACTGTTTAAAGCTCCTATAACGGCTTTGATGAACATTCAGAATACTTTCAGTAAATTAGAGACGGAAGGGACGCGAGGGGAAATGTGGAAGGTCAAGACTGTATTTGTGCTGTGCAATTTAATGGCTTTGGCGTTGGGCGTGTGGAAGATAAATAAAATGGGTTTATTGCCGTATGCTTCCCTCTTTATTCACTTAGCTTTATCGATATCACTAACAGTCTTCGTAGGACTACTCGATCGGATTGGCTAGCTTGGGAGACGGCGAGGGAACCGCTAGAGAGAGCATACCCGGCGTGGGAGACATAATCCCAAATTACGATCTAGAAACTGGTGGTGTTTATACGAGAGTTGCAATAACTATTATGAAAACTTCTTGTATTCTACGTGTCTGGAGCAGAAGAGACGAATATATGACTTCTCTGTGGGTATATTTGGCACGGGCGGTGAGTTGGAAGACTCTGAGCAATGAAAAAAGAGCGTAATAATCAAAATATGTCGCGTTTTTCGCTGCTAACTCTGTCATCTATCACAGTTGTGCGCTATATCTCCCTTGTTAATAGTTGTCTGCACCGTCGAGTAAGACACTTGGCTGTTGAGCTTAGTTAGATTGGCCGTGAGGGAGGCATCCGAGAAAACTTTCAAATAACAATGGTCAAACGAGGACCGAATCGTTTATGACCCGGTTGTCAGTTGTTTCTACCAGTTAAAAATATGAGCGGCAAACTTGAAATCTAGCTTTGTGATTCCTAGCACTGCTTCTAGAGGTACATTACTGTGACAGAAGTCGGAGCGAGAAATGAAAATGGATTCGTGAGTCGTCTAGTTTGACGTTCGCAAGCATCGAGGGTGACATCAGCACTGGACAAAAGAAATCACTGCCAGTATGTCAAGGTGATGCCCAAGCAATTACCAGTCGGCGAGAATGATTTTATTATGCATAATAAGATGCAATTTTGCTTCTTCGCATGCATTCAAACGTAGTCTAAAACAAATATCGAATTTTCAGTTCGATAGTTACAAACATCTCTGCAGCAGAGTAATTGCTCTCTGTGAAAGGATCATGTGCGTGCTTTTGTAATCTTTTGTGGTATGAAGCCTTGCAGCGTCTCAAAAATCTCTGACGATGGTATCTTCTCCATATCCCAGCAGTGCCTATGGACAGTTCCCTCATCGTAGTGTTCGGGAATTCCCTCAAAGAAGCCACAATCCTTCTTTAGTTTAGTTGCGAACTCTTGGTGGTGTTTCTTGCTTCTCCATCCGCCAAAAACAACCCACTTGTGGCAATCGGGTGTGGTGTCGATGGTCCAATTACCAACGTAGCGCCATGGTTTCGTTTCTGCCTCAATTCTGTTCAGTAAAGCGCGAACCTCATTGAAGTACATCTGAGGATGGCCGTCGTACTCCTTGAAGAAACAGCGCGACACTGTCATCACGGGCGCTTCAAGTGGTAGCGTAGATATCTTGTCAATGGGAACCAACTCGTGCCATTCAACTACACTTAGTCGATCCAGGGCATCAAAAGCTTTTGTGAAATTGGCAGATGAATTGATAGCTCTGTATGCTTCGAGTGAAGGAAACTCCACCATCTGGAAGAATGCCTCTGGCTCTTCCATAGCGGAGTAGAAAACACATGGTGCTCCGAGATCATCGCGAATATGTGGAAATGTTGATATCAAGTCTTTAGAATTTGGAGCGACGCCGTCATTTAGGCGTCTTCGAGTCACCGCAAGAATTGCCATTGTAGGGGCAGGTATAGGTAGACTTGAATTGGCCTAGCACGAAGGACTGCTGGGCGAGGCAAGAAAGGCGAATCCGGCTCGAGTTGAACAACAATGCTTTCAGCATTGCTAATTCATGTCACGGACTAGAGTGATATCATATTAGAATCACATTTAAAGTCATGACTGGCACGTGATCGGAAAGGACATCCCGCTGTTGCGATAAGAAGCCTTGATATCCCGCTGGCGGCATATAGGCACTCCGTTGCGCTTGCTTGAAATGTACTAATCAAAGCCTACCCACTCAACAGGGCGAGATCTGCAGTTTTGTCATTGATATCACGGCACTCATAACGCATCGGGTTTAGAGATGCCCCCGTTGAAGCCACCAAAGTCTTCAAGATTGAACATGAAAGCGGCATCAATGAATGTACCGAACGTATGACCCACACCATAATCCAGGAGCGGCCCCGGAGACATGCTCCATTGCGGAGGAGTTGTTAGTCCGAAGGCAGCATTTTGATGGTTGTAAATTTCTGAGTCCGGTGTTTGCTGCTCGGATAGGCCAATCCGATCTGTGTCTTTGGCGAGATCTGTTATGATCTGCTCGTAGTCTGTGCGAACTGTCTGGATCAGGCCAACATCGAGAGCTCGGCATCGCTCCGTCATTTCGGCGTCGAGCACTCCTCCATCCCGCGATCCTTGATCATTACCTCGCTCAACCACGTCCAAAACATTCATTTTGATACGTTCAAAAATATCACGATACTTTTGAGCCGCTGATGATCGTTCAGACATGACATAGAGCATCAAATTGCAATCTGAAATCGCATCCATAACGTCAAGGTAGCCAGCAGGAGCAAGCCAAGCACAATAAAGCAGTGTTAACCCTGTCGTTCGATCAGTCCTCAGGTTATCAACCAGTGCGAACCTTGTATTACCGCATAAGAATAATGATTGTAATGCCAAAGGCGAGCAGTCAGCCCTGCGAGCTCTATTCAGACGTTTGTATGCACCACAGAGCCCAGCACAGGCATCTGCGCAGATGCGTAGATACTGCATATTGAGCTCCTTCTTGGAGAGTTGAGAGTATAATAGAAGGCGAACGCATTTATAGTATGGTATCAACTATGAAAACTTAGCGTCTGGACACGAGTGATGTGAAATATTCCATACAAATGCGTCCACATCACTATGTGGCCCACTGGAGTCTACGTTTTCGTAGTATTCAACTGGTATTGCGTCTTTCCATGCTATTAACTGATCCAAGAATCCTTGAATCACGATAGGATTCGCCGGTGATTTCCTATTTAGCCGGTAGATAACGTGCTCAATTTTGGACTCAATCATTCGAAGCCTGAGAAAGTGAATGAAGGGAGTCAGAGTTGAAGGAGGACGTGCCGGAAGTGGGGACCTATTTTGGGCTGCTTGATGTATGCTGATTATATCGTCGATATGCTCATCGATATCAAGCGGGAACTAAACCTCATTAGCGTTAAGCTGACTGAGAGGAATTGATATTTATACCTCAGCGTCAATATCGCCGTCTGATATAGCTGGGGGTCGTCCAAGAGCTACTGAAACTCCTCTATCCAGATAATAGCAGGACCAAAAGGCTCGCGCATTCAATTCTTTCTCAATCGTGATTTCATCATGACTAGACTTTCGGTGTAATCCAAGCTCAATGCATTGTCGTACTGCTAGACCGGCAAGAGTCCATGCTCCGGGGTTACGGGAACCTCTCAAACAGTACAAGGCCAATAAAAGCAGAATCTGAACCGAACGTATGTCTCTTAATGCCAGCACGAAATCAACATGCTGAAGAGCGGCTTCGTAGTGTTGATCCGCATGAAAATCGCCAGGTTCTCCAATCTACTTACGGTCAGCCATCGTGCGGTCATGTTCCAGCCGGTTTGCTCGCCATTACCGCTTCTAGAATACGGCCGCTATTGGCATAAACAAGATGAAGAATACACAACTCGAAAATATTTAGGGACGAGATTGGCTTTGAATATAACTTCCTCAGCCACGGAGAGTGGATTATAGGATATTGAGTTGACAGGTGTTTCACGTAGCCTTCGATTAATTTTAACGCCATATCAGGCGGTGCCAATTCAGCCAGTCTTGCACTGGCGACCAACTGATCAAAAGTCTTCGTGCAGTCTAAGTCGTGATGAATCACGGACTTGAAGAGGCGTCCCACAGTTGCGTCAGTACCGGAGTTGATAATGGCATTCCAGACAGGGTCTGTAGTCGTAGCAGGAAGACATTGCGAGCTTCTAGCCTCGTTGTCGTCCAGCATGTAACTGTCCCGACGAATTTTGAGTCGTCTTTCTTTCCAGTGATCAACGGTAACATTATCGTGAGACTCTGCAAGGAGTTGCTCCAAACCGGCAATATGTTCTTCAAGCGCCTGAATGTACATACGTTTCTGGTCCGGTCTTGGTGTTATATGCGCCTTATATTGGCATTGTAGACCAAGTCTTCGGCACGTCGAGCACGTTTCTTGGGCTCCGTCGCATTTCTGCTTTCTTGACCGACATCTCAAACATGCGAGCGCAACTCTTGTGCGTTTGGCCTTCGGTGCACCGAAATTGGACGGCGAGACCGCTTCCGTTGGCGACATAGCTCTGGCAACTTTGCTCATCTTAACAATGGACTTGTTTTTTGTCCTGAATTCATGAGAAATTCGGTCCGGAAATCAGCCCCAACAACAGATCCGGCAACCATTGTTACTTGTATCAACAAAACATGGAGGCGGATGCAGATAAGGGCGGAAACACGCATCCATTCGAGTCATTTGACAAATGAGAGGCTAGTACCCGGTTTAAAGTTGAGCTGGGTGCTTGTGGGGCTCAGAGCGATGTGCGATAAGGAAATCAGGGCAAAATTCGAGACTACCAATCCAGTCTGTCAACTCGACGCTTCAGTATATGTTGAGACCTAGTCATTCATATCTACGCCAATCAGTAGCAAACAATTCATTTGCGCGTGTGTGACGACTTCTGGTCATCAATGTTGATCCATAACTTCCTCGCAATCTGCGGCGACACCCCCAAATAGTTGTAGCATCACCCAAAATGAATTTTCCTCCGTTAGCAGTAAGCTTTCCGTACAAATGCACATTTGTGTCGCGATGAGATATGCCTTTTAGTTTCCAGCTTTACACGGAACGTTCAGTCTGGTTGAGCTCACGAGCAGAGCGAGACGATCAACTTCCGTCCTCCTCGATCGCCTCGTTTTTGCATGTTGAGCCCTTCCTCTACCCTACCTAGCCCACCTTTCAGTATCTCCAACTCTGGTATTTTTATCGCTCCATCTTCTAGCAATCGATTTAATGCTGTTGCGTATTTTTCGGAAGACTTGTCTAGAATGAACCACTTCATCTCGACGTTTTGGACACTGACATGAGTCGGGACCACCGCACCTTTTGGCAAGAATGACAACGGTGCAAATCGTACAGGCGATGAGAGTGAGAGAGCCGACATGCAATACATTGCGGTTTCTGGCCCTACGATATCCACGCCCTTGTATAGTCTATCACCAGCGATTGACCGAATCTCTGCCACGATTTCTTCGTTCGACTTCCCATCTCTGGTAATGACAAAGCGTGCACCCAGACTTGAGACAAGATTTTTTGTTCGCTCAGAAGCCACAGCAATAATCTCAAGCCCGCTGTAACTTGCTATCTGAATCATGAACTGGCCCGTAATACTCGAACCCCCCCACACAAGGAGATAGTCTGGTTGCGATACAGGTAAACATTGTACGGTTTCAAAGATAGGTACATCTAGCCACTTCCATAAGGTCATTGCAGCTGTCAAGCCACATACACCCAGGCAAGCCGCGGACTCGAAGCTAAGGTTGCTTGGGATTGGTTTAACGGTATGTTTAGGTGCGATAACGAACTGCTGGAAGCAACCCGACCTGATGTCGCGGTAGTACGTGCCTGGCAAAGACATCAGCACCGCAATGTCTACGGGATAAATCTCACTCACTAGTCCAAACCCTATCACCCTTCTTGAACTCATTCACGTTGTCGCCAACTTGTTCGACTATGCCTGACATTTCTCTGCCGGTAATCTGTGAACTTCTATCAATATAATACAAAAGCACGTTGATTTGCTTGCCATACCCAAGGAAATTCAGGCAAGCAAAAGTTCCAATCTACGGACTTCCAGTCGATCGGATTCAGACCAACAGCGCAATTCCTTATAAGAATCTCATCTCCGTTCTGAATCTCCGGAACTGGAAATGCCTTATCCAAACGATAAGTATGTTCAGCTGGCACGATCAAGGCCTCCTGTTTGAGAGGAACGAATGTTTCGGCAACCGTGGACTGAGTTATGACCTTGATAGATTTCTCAGACAAAATCGAAGAAGATTTTGAAAATAATATGGTTTCCGTTGCGGGAGATTTTTCAGGCACAGACTTGTCCCCAGGTTCTGAAGAAAAGCAAGATCTCAAAAGCCATTTGAACTGTTGTAGCAGCCTCATCTTGTGGGAAATGACAGCACAAAAGCTAAGACTCAATACTTGGTGTGCCCATCATTCATATACTATCCACGTCTGATATATTAATGCGAGGCACATAACAATTTGCTACGATCCTGGACCGACAAGGCCGACAAGGCTGAAAATCACCCATTCCGTTTCGGGAGTGTCGGCTCAGACCTTCCCGATGCACACGCATTACGATTTGTCGGTTTTCGTATTCCGATCGCGTCGATTACAGGCTACGAAACTCCCGACTCACATGGACATCAATTTTCTTGCTGGAAAATAATCTCTCCTTAATTCCACGATTTCTACCAAATCATGCCAGGATGCTCACCATCTGCTGGTTTTCACGGAAGAAATGCCATGAATCTGCGAGGTCGGGCTTATACAACATTCTCAGGATAGTTTCTTCAGAAAAGAAATTATTAACTCTTGTTCGATATGTATCCGTTTTATATGCGATTCCGAAAATAGTCTTAAGTATATCAGAGCAGGATATCTCACAAACTTTCTACGTTGTGTGTTCCATGTGTATAAAGAAAGAAGTTCATGTTGAAAATTTCAGCTTATGCACAGCAGAGTTTTGGCTGTTTAAAGAGGTACGAGCCGAAGCTTTTGTAGTGCTTCTACCTGCAGAATTATCTTATAAGACTAGATGTTCTTGCACTAAAAGTTATTCAATACACATTGTGCACAACGTAGGTTGATGTTTTTGAATTATAAATATGAACAAGTGAACGTGGAGCTCAAGCAAGAACTCCATGTTCTCTCTTAGCCCTTCGAGGGGAGCTTTCTAGTATATGAATATCATTAGATGGAAATAACACAGAAGTAGTCCTCTTCCTCCCTGAAAATATAACTAATTCGCACCATTTGTAATTGGCTGAATTTCCGCTTCGGAAACAACAGGCACTTTGCTCACGTCGATCTGGCTCAAAATCTCACTACTGATAGGTTCGACATGCCCATTGACTCCGTTCAAAGATTTTAAATCCTCTACTTTATCCCATCTTAATTTTGCAGCTGGATGGTCCGGTGCAGCAAGCGGCTGGCCAGGTCTGTTTTGCATATTCTCCCGAAGTGTGCCTCCAGGAACAGGATAGTCTTTCCAGTAGATGCCGCGCTTTTGTAACTCTGGCACCAACAGCTCGACCAAATCCTCAATGCTCTCGGGATTGCACATGTAACTGATGTTAAATCCGTCTATGTCGCCTTCGGTGAACCATTGCTGCATCACGTCAGCTACTTGCTCCGGAGTTCCGACAGGCATGGGTCCAAAGCCTCCGAGACCAACGCGTTCACCGACCATCCTTGAAGTCCAAGGTTTGTCGTTTTGAATCGTCTTGAAGTTGTTGAAAATGCCTTGAATTCCGGCTTTAGACAGCTCTTCATCGTCGAAATTGAATGGGGTGTCCATGTCGTACTTCGAGAGATCGACGCCGGTGAGAGCGCAGAAAGAGGACAAGCCACCTTGAACACTCGCATTTTTCTTGTATTTCTCCCACTTGGCTTGCGCCTCTTCTTCCGTGCGACCAACCACAGGGCATAATGAGCAGAAGAGTTTGATGCTGCTCGGATCACGGCCAGCTGCTCTTGCCGCATCGCGAACTGACGTGCTGTATTTCTTCAGAGCTGCAATGGTAGGAGTGCCACAATAGATACCCTCAGCATGCTTGCCAGCGAAAGTGACACCAGTCTTTGATTGACCTGCCTGGAAAATTGCTGGGGTTCGTTGCGGGCTGGGATGTGTTTGGTGGTATCCACTGAACCTATGGTACTTGCCTACACAAGAGCTTGCATGTTAAAATTATGAAAGCAGAGCAAAAAAGAGTGAATATAAAACCATCTTGAGGAGGGGAAGAGTCAGACAGTCAATAATAGTCTGACTGCTGTGCTGACACTCCATCCCACGATAGTGTCGAATAATAGGCCGTGGGATAAAAGCGATTTTTCTTACCATTGAAGTCGATTTTGTGAATTTTGCTCGGGTCGTAAGCCATCTCTGGTTCTGAGCTCCAAACTTGAGCCCCGTCCTCCCAACTTTGTTCCCAGAGCCTGAGCATCAGGAGCTATCAGTATACAGACCAAGTTTGCCATGATCAATTAATCATACCTGTAAACTATCTCCATATATTCTTCGGCCGCAGCATAGCGCTCATCATGTGGCACGGCATCCTCGATACCGAAGCATTTGGCAGGAGCTTTGCCGAAGGAGGTGACGACATTAATGCCTGCACGTCCGTTTGATATATGATCGAGAGATGATAGGGTACGAGCGACTGCGTATGGGCTAAGATAACTTGTACTTTGTGTGACTGCAAAACCAATAGACGTAGTTGCTTGCGCCATCGCTCCAATGAGCGTCACAGGATCCAACATAGCAACCCAAAGGCCGCCTTTGAAGGTGGCATCAGCGGATGCGCCGTAAGTCTCATGAATTCCGTATATGTCAGCGAAAAAAATGGAGGTGATTTTGCCCTCTTCTGCTTTTTTGGCCAGCCAGATGTAGTAGTCCAAGCGGTCCTTATGCCTGGACAAGCTCTTTGGATCTTTCCACTGTCCGATTGCCATATGACTTCCCGTCGAAGTATTGTCGATGATGTTCAGCTGCATCATCTTGCGAGGTTGTGTATTAGCCATGGCGGGGGCTTCAGCAAGGTACTTCGAGCGCAAGTTGTCAAATGTTATCACGAGTGACTATTTCACCTGGGCGCAGCATCCCATATAAATCTTCAGAACACTTGGCGATTGGCCTTACACCACTACTGTCTACAAGGTTCTCAGTCGATCCTCTTACTCATCTTTACGGCAAGTTCGCGGCAAAGAGGAGAGGAGTACATCATAGCAGATATTCCATAACATGAAGAGGCCGGAGAAGACGAACCGGTCGTGCATATCACAAGCGGCGGAAACTATACCAGGTTCATGCTAACACTCCAAATGTGGGTGATTGGAGCACACAAGCTTTACATTCAAAAGCCATGTGAAGTCTTGAAGATGAGGAAAGGATCCGGTTGGGGCTAACCGGCGTCGGAGTAGAACTATGTCCCTAATGCACGTGCTCAACTACGGCCTTGCACATCTAAGCCTTAGATGGTCAAGCGTTATCAGTATCGTTGGTGCTTCGGCATATCCAATGCCGCGCTTTTGTGTTTCGCGTCCATGAATCCTCATGCCAAGCATAGAGAAATATGAAGGCAATCGAGATAGGGATGGGACTTACCGACTTTACATCTTCGTTGTCTTCGACGGTAGAGTGCGTGTTCGAATCAACACCCTTCGAGAACGGTTAGAGATCGAGATAAGGACATGCGCTTTCGATATCTTCATAGGACTATAAGAGCCTGGCTATACGAGCTTGTTGACTCGTTGATTAACTTCCAGTTTTGAATGAATACAAACCCTGTGGAAAGCCATCCATCATGATCGATTTCAGGAAGATCTACAAGCATCCCAAAGAATGGTCCTTGTACAAGGACATGACAGTGACCGCATGGAGGGTCGCCATTCTGGCTTGCTTAGGTGCCATGGTTTTTGGATATGACACTGCCTGGTAGGTTGCAGAGGAAACTTGATGATCACGCAAACAGCTAAGCTGCGAAAAGGTGGTCTGGTGTCTTGGGCATGCCTGCCTTCACTTCGCGCTTTGGCGTTTACAACCCAGCGACGAAGAAATATGTCATCTCTGCACCGTTGACATCGTCAGGTAAGCTCTCAAACCTCCTACTGATATGTGCATTACTGATCGTAAACCAGGAAGTGGAATTCCCACGGCTGGAAGGATTCTTGGTTCAATTGCTACTCCGTACATAGCAGACTGGCTTGGACGCCGTTGGACGATGCTTGTCATGTCTATTCTGTTCATAGCAGCGATCATTGTTGAGGTTACTTCGAAGTCTTTCTGGCAAATCGTTATCGGACGGTTTTTCAATTATATTCCTATGGGGATGGCAGGCGCGCTCGTTCCCGTTTACCAGGTATGTGATAGGAAAATCAACAGAGTATATCAAAACTAAACAGATCGTAGGCGGAATGTGCTCCTCCTTCGACTCGTGGTGCTCTAATCACGATCTTTACCTGGTTCGTTGACCTTGGTGCCTTGATTGCATCTTGTATTGTATTCAGCACTCACACGTGGAGAGGCGAAGGTGCATACAAATATGTCATGGGAATCCAAATGGCCTTTCCGCTTCTCATCATCGCCGCCCTTCCGTTCATTCCGGAGACCCCACGTTTTCTTTGTATGAAAGGCCGTCGGGAGGAGGCGATCACAGTCATGAAGACGCTTAGGAGGAGCGACGAACAGGCTATTCAAGAGATCGACGAGATCGAGGCATCCCTGGAGCGCAAAGTAGAGACTGGGGCGTGGATCGACCTTGTACGCGGATCCAATCTGCGCCGTACGATTATCTCTATTACCATCCCTTCGATCGAGGCATGGCAAGGCCAGAGTTTCATGGGAAACTACCTAGTTGTTTTTTTGATCTCACTTGGCGCAACAAATCAGTACATGTTGTCGACTTTGCTCCAGGCTGTCTTGCTAATTTGTGTGACGCTGACATTCTGGATGTCTGATCACATAGGCCGTAGGCCACTATTACTTTTTGGCAGTGCAACTATGTGGATTACTTTCTTCATCGTGTCCGCAGTCAGTGGACATGACACTACAGGTATTTCAGATACCCGCAAGCAAGTTGCTGTCGGCATGCTCTTCATCTGGGCGATCGCATACGCAAGCACTTACCAGCCAGTCGGTTATCTTGCACCAGCGGAGACGCCCACTACAAAGCTGCGCTCAAAGACCGCTGGTGTAGCATACTTTTGTCAGCAATGCGGCGGACTCATCGTCACTTTTGTCGCCCCATACATGCAAAACGCTGGATATGGTAATATGGGACCATATATCGGATTTTTCTTCGGAGGAATCTCATTTCTTGGCTTGGTCTTCGTCTACTTCTGTTATCCTGAAGTCAAAGGCCTTTCTGTCGAAGAACTCGACGTCCTCTTCGACAAGAGGCTGCCTACGAGAGAGTTCGGCAAAGTTCCGCGAGGTACCCATGCCGTTGCAGAGCTTATTGAGGGCCATCCGAAAGAAGGATCCCTTTCTGATGCAGAAAAAGCCGTGGATGACAAGGCTGCCGGTGTTACAGTATCTAAAGTGTAGCGCATAAGGTGGAAAGGGTCAGAATGGCACAGTTTGAATGTTGATCTGACTTCGCGCATGCCTTCAAACTCCTTGTTGGCTTTTCCCTTTTAGCCTCAATGGATGGATGAGATAGTATCAGCTTTGGTTGTGTTGGCTTGAGCAGAGATGATGTATTACAATGCTAATGGTCTGCCTATAGCTCTGTACATCTACCCAAATCTCTCAAAAAGTGTCCAGTATTTATCGAGCAAGCCCAATCGTGCAAGATTTAATTGCCCGCGATGATGCTACAGTATCCAATTCTATGCAAAGAAAACTTCGTTGGTATAACCTTTTACATAATACACAACTTCAAGAGAGGCGAGGTGGAGGCATCGTCATTATCCAGATCCTGATGCCTTCTTCGGTTCATCTTCTGACTCCTTTGACTCTTTGTCCTCATTTTTCAAGTGATCATGCTGTCCTGTGAGAGTGTGCCATGCACTCTTTAGGAAGCCCTCGTTTTTATGCTTTTCCTTCTCCACCTTGTCCTTGACATCGTTTGCAGCATTGCTCTTTTCCTTGGTGATCATTGTCCGCTTTGCTGTCTTGTCACCCATCTCATCTGCCAGCATTTCTACAATAGCACGCTGATTAGCAGACAGATACTTGGGCATTTGAACTTTGAATTCCACTCGTAAATCTCCTTTTGCCCCACGTCTATGACCAATCTTCGTCATGCCCATACCATTGAGCACAATCTTCTCCCCAGAGCCCGTACCCGTTGGAACTCGTACACGTACATTGCCATCGAGTGTCGGAACTTGAATTTCGCCGCCCAGAATAGCCGTTGTAAGAGGAATTGCAGCGGTATACAGAATATCGGAGCCTAATCGCGAAAATTTGGGATCAGGAGCTACCCGAATATGAACGTAGAGGTCGCCCTTCATGGCGCGAATCTTGTCTTGTGTTCCAACTTGACCAGTGAGAGGGTAATCTCCTTCCTGTGCGACTTTTAGGCGCATGCCATCTTCAACTCCGCCAGGAATATCGACAGTAACGGAGCGTCTTTGTCGCACTGCGCCATCACCGTGACAGGTTCCGCATTCGCTGCCGCGAGGTACAGTGACACCAGAACCACCGCAAGAACTACATGTAGACGCCATCTGGAAGCCCTGCTGCATGAAGTGAACCTGTGTGCCTGTGCCATCGCAAGTCATGCATTTGTCCTTCTTCACACCTGGTTTAAGACCAGAGCCCTTACAAGTTCCGCATTGCGCCAGAGGTGTGATGAAAATTTCTTTGGTGGTGCCTTTTGCAGCATCCATGAAGGATATGTTCGCTTGCACATCGATATTATCACCAACAGCAACGTACTCTTGCGGGCCCCGCGAAGTTCCTCGAGGTCCTCTCCTTGCGCCACCTGTAAATGCTCCGAATAAATCATCGAAATTAAATCCTCCGGCAAACCCTCCACCAAAACCTCCTGCCCCTGCTGCCCCGCCAAAACCCGCAAAAGGTCCTCCCGGGCCGAAAGGGTTTCCGGCACTGGCGCCTGCGTTTGGATCGAATCCACCGTTCGCGTCAAACGCTGATGAGCCATAATTGTCGTATGCCTCCCTCTTTTTGGGGTCAGAAAGCAATTCGTAAGCTGCTTGGGCTTCCGTGAACTTGTCCTTGGCCGACGGATCTTTATTGGTATCTGGATGATACTTCTTTGCCAGCCCATAGTATGCCTTCTTGATGTCGCTTGCCGATGCGTCTTTGCCCACACCGAGAATTTTATACGGATCTGATATTGCTCGTGGCTGGGGTGATGCGTGGAAAAGACGGCTCTGCGCTATCGAAGGAGCCCGGTGCTGATTTAGGCGTTGGCTGCGAAGATGCGCCCTTGAGGATTGCTCATGACCTCTCCATCCTGTGTGCAAGGAAAAAGATCTCCTCGTTGTTCTCTGCGACGCTTTTGAAAGCGAGTTCTCGGAATTGAAGTTGTGACATGCCCGCGACGCAGTCACTGCTCGAAGGGGGATGGGCGCCTTCAAGGGCAGCCCTGGTGCTAATAGACTCATGATTGCGATGGGAGAAACTGTATTGAGCGAGCAAAAGATAATTCGGAAAGCCTAGAAGGGGTATCACAATGAATCATGCTGCGAATGGGATGTGCAAAACGTACGTCCTAGAAAGTTCGAGCAGGATTTCCCAATTAGAACTTTTGAATGTCGGATGGTCTGTGCTCAGCGCAGATGTAAAGGACGCCCCACACGTGATTGACCAATGATTTCTTGGCAATTGAGGTCAGTCATCTTCGAATGCTTCAGGATCAATCCTGAGAAGCGACAAGAATTCATCTAACGTAGGGAGAATCATGAGCTTCCCAATGCTAGAAATCTCGAACAACAATTTCGACTGCCTGATACCGATTTGATCTCGGTCTTGTTAAATCAAGATGGCATTGGAGCCTTGAATCCTTGTTAGACAACTAGGCTTTTACCAACTTGTGTCAATGTGGCGATCGAGGTCTGGATTACTTTGACGTAGGTGAGTAAGTTCATTCAAATATTGTATAAGTTATTACTGTGTTTGCCGGGCGCTTGTCATACGCATCATTCAGGATTCGTTATTCCCTTTGTTTACCAAGAGCTTCGCGATTACAAGAGGAAAGGGAAAGACTATATATGGAGACTAAGATCAATTTTCGATTTTGTTATCGCATTCATAGTGAACTGTGTGCTCAATTGATATTACGGCAAGATTAACCTCCACGTCTAAGCCCTCGCGTAAGAGAATGGCCAATATGCAGCCTGCTACTGTGATTGACTTGAGCTGTGGAGCGAGGGTTTGCCACACGCCTTCGAGAATGACTACGTATTCCATTGTCTTCCCTCCTGAGAACAATTTAATTCATACCGGTCAAATCACATCGTCGGCACGTAGCCATGGGGAGAGGGTTTTTGATGACCTAGGAGACAAAGGAGTGTCCATTCCTTCCCTCTTCCACGACATCATTGCTCCCTGAGACCCAGAGAGTCTCTATATCCTGCATTTTTCTCTGCGATACCGAAAATTCAAGCAACTCGCCCGTCGACACGTCTGAAATCTGCCTCTGTCCATCCGGAAGCACAACATGCAAATGGATAGTGCTGGACTTAGCTGAGCCCATGGTCTTCAGGAAGAAAGATAACCTGACAAGATCTCCATCTTTGACCCATCGAACATGCGCAACCGTTGCTCCATCTTTGGTGCAAAGCGGTATCATGGCATCCAATTGGGAAAAAAGACTGACCCGCGGCTGAAAGGTGACAGCCTGCCACCCTGGAAGTCTCGGTCGAACGCCGGCAACTTCAGCAAGGAATTCGTATAATGGTGCACTACCCCATGCGTGGCAATCCGAGCGCTGTGAGACGGTATCTTCCAACCAGGTAGTCATGCCAAGCGATAACTGCTTTCTCCATGGCTCCCAGAAGGAATGAAAATGCTGATTGTAAACTCTCCCACCAACCATTGACATTGCACGCAGGACGTAGAATGACATAGCTGTAGACGCTGGTGCAAATTTTTCTGAAGTAAGGCAATCATGTAAGATCTGCCGGCCCTGGGTACCAGATGTTGCACCGCATAGAACTGCCCAGACTTGATTCGTCTGGCTCAGATCGTTGTAGCTCCCTTTTATGGCAGCCAGCCCGTCGGTAAAGTATTGGCCGTTGAAGCAGTACTTTTTAATCGCCATCACTGTAGATCCTGCGCGAGTTTGGTAAGACTCAGCAGTGCCATTCTGCCCCATTGCTTTCAACAGGGTTGCAAAAAGCTTCAAGCTGTATGCATACAACGAATTAGTATACGTCTGATAGCCGGTATGGAGGGCTGCGGGGGGTATTCCCATGGGTCTCCATGACTCAGTCCAGTCTACGAAATCCCATTGTGGGACCTCTGGGTCAGAAGTGCGAATGAGACCAAGCGCTGGGTCGATACGACGAGCGAATGTCTCGAAGATAGCGCAGCAGACGGGTAAGAATTGGCGCGAAAATTCCACATCATTGAAGTACAGGAAGTGATCAACAACCATGCATATCCAAAATAGTGAAAAATGGGGGATGATCTGTGTCTGATGAGACGGTGCTCGGCTAGCAGTTAGCCCTATACTCGGGGAGAAAGAGTTGTGAAGTTGAATGATAGCTTGACGGGCGAGCTTGTCATCACCAGAGATGCAGTAGGTAAAAATTGCCGAGCTGCGGACGTCCATCGCGTACTGCAGCTGCTCATAAAATGGACAGTCTTCATAGCAGTCGTGCATGCAATTCCTGAGCGTGCGAACACTTGTTTCAAATAGTTCATGGTATAATGTCGCCTGCCCATTATCGCCAACGTTGAATTGCGCAAGTACTTGAAGAGGGTAGTGGGTTTCAACCAGGTCGATTCCATGCATGATTAAATCGGATGATGGGTCGACGTGAATGTCCAAGGCAATGTATCGTAAGGTTCGGAAGTGGAAGGGCGAAAAGTGCTCTTGTTCTTTCTCGTTCTTGTGATAATGGAGGGATGCGGATGCGCTGCTCATCCCACCGAAGATATACTCGTCCGCGGGACCAATAAGTTTCTTGGTTATGTCTCTTCGGTTGCTTTTGCAACGCAGGTACGGAACATACTCTGGCGTGTCCTCGTAGCACTCAGAGTATGTAATTCGAATCTTACTTCCGCCGGATGTTGGTCTTGAGAATCGAAAGGTGAGCGAAGCAGTCAGGTGGTTCTTGCATCCAAGCTCGACGTGATGTACGGTACCGGCTGGCAAGCGTAGAATGGCATCGTGTTCCACGTTCCCCTGACGTAGAAGTATTCTTTGCCAGTGTTCTTTGCATACTTTACTGGAAATGTTATGCAATTCTTCAAAGTATGACGGCTTCCTGTCAAGCGTATCTATCATCCGTTGGGTGAGCTTCCAAGGCGTCGATAGACCATGTGAGGAGGGAAATTTAAGCACCCTGGCGGGCACCCACATCAACTTCAAGTCATTTCTCTTGTCTACTGTCTCGAAAATGTGTAAGAATTCATCCTCGGCATTGTTCACTGGCAAAATTGTTGACGTGTCAATAGCGGTTTCCCAGGTCGCATCGCTCTGTAAATTGATACCCAATCGACTATGGTCGCCCACATTGCAGATGAATAAGCCAGCGTAAGGTAGACGAGGAAAGCTTGTGGCATATTGTGAAGCATAATAGAATCGCAGCACCCGAATGCTGAAATAGTTGCAGCCTAGTCTCAGATATGGTTCGATGTCTAGTTCATCATAGAACCACATGTGCTGGTCCCCCTTTACAGGACCGGAGGAGACAAGACAATCGTTGATATAGAGCTTATATCTTGTATCCGCTGAGATTTGGATGTAGATAGGACTGGTAGGACGCTCGTGAAGCGTAATAGACTTGCGAAAGTGAACAAAGGCACCAGCTGAGACTTCGTTGCTTTCCATCCAATCAGGATGCCAGATCCAGGATTTTCCGCTTGTAGGAGAACTCATATTTCCATGCTTCTGCTGTTGATACTTCGAAAGATTGCAACATCAATTTCTCAATCTGACATTTATCGCGTCAATTCATAAGCTGAACCTACACAGGATGTCTATAGCCCCCGAATATAATGCTATGCTTGACATGTCGAGCCCAATTCCGCCGGACCGTATAAAGAGGTATCCACAATTCTGTCCCTGCGTCTTCATATTGGGGCACGAGTCAGCTGTTTGATTGGCCATCTTACACATGTTTCCGGCATTCCGCGATGAATATGTGATGAAATGAAGGCCTCCACCCCCACGTTCTGCCTTACAGCGTTCCTACGTTGAAGGCCTGAGCCGCCACTCCGCAAGGAACCCCGCAAGAGGCGTCGAGCTCCTGAGAATATTCTTTTGTGAGATCGCATGATGAATTTTAGCGTTCCCCATGCCAAAACAAATGGTGTCAGATGCGTCTACTGGAACATCTGGAGAACAGCCTGCTGAGAATCTAGATGCGGAGAACGCTCATTTCATGCATCTTCAAGAACGAGTTTGACGTCGGGCCAAAAGGGGCCGGCTTGATCATAATGGATACTCCATTCTTCGTCTCGATAGAAACCTATATCTTGAACAGTAGCATCACCACTAAGTAGAGCATCACCGCTCGTACACAGCCATCTTTCCCCCTCGGCAACGCTTTTCAAAAACAACACATCAATCCTCAGCCCGTCATGCACCGATTCAAACAAAATCTCGTGGCTTCAGCCATGCCACAGAGCAGTGTTGATACAAGCCATTGGTGGCGGTATAAAAATCTACGGACGCTGAATCTTCTACTGCTTGTTCCGTTGCTGTCTATCTTTACGCAAGGGTATTTGAGCTTCAAACTCACGAGTGTGTCACGCTAACTCGTTGAATAGATTCGATGGTTCGATGATGAATGGTCTACAGGCGGTAGAAAGTTGGCGTGGCTACTTCGGCGAACCAAAGGGTGCCACACTCGGTCTCTTCAACGCTGCTTACCCTATCGGTGGACTTTGTGCCATTCCCTTTATTTCAATCATTGCTGACACCCTGGGTCGACGCAAAACTCTAGCTCTTGGCGCCGCGATATGCTGTGTTGGAGCTGGCCTTCAATCTGGTGCGTCCACACTTGCCATGTTCGTGGTTGCCCGAGGGTTTCTAGGCTGCGGCACAGTCTTCTTAGGCTCATCCGGTGGCCCTCTCATAGCAGAGATTGCCCACCCATTGCAGAGACCTACAGCTACCGCCCTTTTCAACACCTCTTACGCTCTCGGATCCATCGTCGCTGCTTGGGCAACATTCGGAACCTTCCGTATTAACGGCAGCGCTGCTTGGCGTATACCGTCGGCTTTGCAAGCTCTTCCATCAGTCATCCAACTCTGCATGCTACGGTGGGTACCAGAGAGTCCACGCTGGCTTGTCTCTAAGCACCGCGACGAGGAAGCACTTGCCTTCCTGGCCAAATACCACGCTGAAGGAAATATGGACGACCCTATGATCCAATTCGAGTACAAAGAAATTCAGGACGCTCTGGAATACGAGAAGGCCGTTGATCGAGGCAGCTGGATCGGTAACTACCTCGACTTTCTACGTTCACCAGGGAACCGGAAGCGTCTCTTCATTCTGGTTTGGTCTGCGTGCTTCGCGCAGATGTCCGGAAACGCGTTCATCTCGTACTACTTATCGCCTGTCCTAACTTCGGTTGGCCTTACGACTAGTCTTGAACAGACTGTTATCAATGCTACTCAGCAAATGCTGTCTTGGTTCTCAGCCCTCTACTTCGCAACACTTCCCGAAAAGCTTGGTCGTCGGACCCTCTTTCTTGGCTCGGGCTTGTTCATTTTTATTTGCCTCGTCGCCATTACTGCAGGAAGCGCTGTTTTCGCTGGAGACCATGCGAACAAAGCTGCGGGAGGAGCGGTAGTGGCTTTTCTATACCTCTTTTCGCCGGCTTATAATTTCGGCATCAACGGGAACTTGGGTCTTTACATCACCGAGATCGTGCCATACAGTCATCGCATGCGAGGTCAAGCACTTTTTCAGCTTTTTTCTACCTGCTTCAGTCTTCTTTCCACCTACGCAGTCCCGGTTGGTCTGCAGAATATGGCTTGGAAGTTCTACTTGATCTTCATTCCATGGGTTTTTATTGAATTCTTTGTGGTCTGGCTCGTATATCCCGAGACAAAAGGCGCATCGCTCGAAGAAGTCGCTCTCATCTTCGATGGTCCCAGTGCGACAGGCTTGTCTGTCGAAAACGTTCATGATGTAGAGTTGGCGCATGGTGCAAATGGGAAGTGCGAGAAAGCAAGCGCGCGAGTTGTTGAGCTCAACAAGTAAATCCAGTCAATACGAAATTAGCCTTCATGGACATGAAGATTGGTGGGCAACCTGTGGTGCGCATGGAGAATTGATTCGACGTTAACACGATGGGGTGTCTGCGGGAAGGCATGTTAAGTATTACTGTGGCGTATTCCTCCTTTTCAGCAGTTATTCGTAACATGTTTTGGCCACTTAGCTTCAAAAGGACAATTCACTTACAATGCCATTTTGTATGATGTATTGAATTTACGATACATAATGCGTCGTCCCGCAAACTTTGCAAGAAATCTGTGATAAACTTGCAAGTGTGGTCTTGAAGTAATACCAAGAGTTTGACTTTTTACAGATCTCCCCGGTCTTCAAGTTTAAAGAGCAAGTTTTCACGAAGAATTATTACTAAGCGCCGAGTGAAGTTTTCGACACATTAGAGATGTGAATCTTCTGAGTATTATTCTTAAATTTCATCTTAAGAAATATCGAAGGTCCTCAAATTTCTACGGGCACTTCGCTCATAAGATTGCTCAAAACATTGAGATAGTGTGCCACGTCAGCCGTGTCTTTGTCCCAGAACTTAAGCATTCGAATAACTTTCGCCACTGAGGTTGCCCAGCTTGAATCTAGCAAGTTACTTAGACCTGCCAAACACGCGCCTAAGAGAACCAAGGCGCTTCGAGTGCATGAACGAAGCATAAGCCAGGTCCCATGATGACGGTAGAAGAAGCCGCCTTCGTTTTCATTGATGCGTTGTACACAAATTTCGAAGCCCTTCCGCGCTAGGTCTCGAGCCTCTTGACCAGGTCGCATATTCCCTTGAATGGCATCCACCATGAACGGCCAGTACATCATTTCATAACAGTCAAGCAAATGGCCCTTTAGAATGAATCGGAGCGCGCGGTGGCTAGCATCGTCTTCTCTAGTCTCGTCGTCGTTATTGTCCAGCTTGAGGATCCCGGGAAGTGACTCCTGCCTTTTATATTCGGTCAGCACAGAGAGATTTTGTAGGTTGACCACCGGCTTACCAGCTGCTTGCCTGCTCCTCAAACTGATGGACTGAATCGATAATATCAGCAGTCGACGTCTTCAAACGATCGTGTTGATAGACAAAATTGAGAATGCGGTTCCCTAGACGTCGTAAGGCGATCTCAGCCAAATAGTAGTACCATGATGGCTCTCCATGCGACAATAGGCTTGTGGGAGGAGACGGGAAAAACGCGGGATATGTCAGGTCAAGAAAGGCGTCTTTTCCAATACCTAACTCTAGACGTAGCTCCCTGATACGATATCAGAACCTGTATATGTAAAGTACACTCAGTACACGGACGTACAATTCTGATTTGAAACAAGTCCAGTATATGCTATTTCGCAACTGTGTCTGCTCGCTGTCAGTGGTATCATTGCCATGGTTATTTGGCACGCAATGACAGCAAGCTAGAGCCTGCACAAACATCCTCCACGCTTCAATAGGTCTCAATGTTGTCATCAAATATACCCCAGCCAAAAAGAAGCATTGAGCGTTGACAAAGCTCTCGGAGGACATGCATGTCCACAAGCGTTTCTGGGCTGCAAGGAAGAAAGCCTCTGCTTGCTGAAAGTGGTCTGACTTGCGAATGGAATGCGTCTCTGGGGAGACCATTCCGAAGGGAGTTGTTATCGTTCCAAGGGCAAATATAAGGAGCTATCAGAGTCAACAAATGGAGAGAGGATAGGAGATCTCAAGATATACCAGCAAAGAGGACTTAGCATCCCAGCCAATGCCATTTAAAAGCAATTCTGCCATGTCAGCCTGAACTTTCTCGATCACTAATATCGGATTGTAGATGTGTATAGTCTCAAGAAAGGCCTGCAACAGCCCCGAAGCGGCTTCAGTTTCAAAATCCGACGTGGTTAACATTCTAGAGGTTGTGAGGTTTAGGGGATAGGACAACAATAGTGAGTTCAGATCCACACATTGCTCAAATCCTCTTTGATCAAAGATAGCCCAAGAGAGAATAGATTCTATATTCATGCGATAGTGGACAGATGACTGCGTCCTCGCCAGTGTAGGGGATGCGAGGTCTGTCTCTTGGTATACACGGGGCGAATGGGGTAGCGCAGCAGTCAGATTAGCGGTCGAATCAAGGCTCTTCGAGCGCAAAAGTGCTTCCAAATCATCCAGTCGTTGTAGGATCGCCAAACTTGCAGCATCGAACCTGAACCTTTCATTCAGTCGAAGTCGCATCCTGAGAGGACATGTTGCTTACGTTGACTTGTCTTTAGTCCGATAGTTGCATTCGACTCCAAGATTTCTGCACGAGGTACATGCAGGCTGCTCGTTGTCACACTTGGTTCTCCTTTGACGACATGTTTGGCAAGCTTGAACTGCTCGTTTCCTTGGATACGCGGGGCGGCTCAGTGATGGGGACGGTTGACGTTTGGGCATGGCCAATCAACTCCCAGGCGAAAGAATTGACGATTTCCGCAGATGCTGAATCCAACAGCATACGCTTTTGCTGGCGCTTGAGCGGATATGGGTGTTGGAACAGTTCAGCGGAATTCCGGGTAGTGCGTATTCAAGCACCAAAGCCAGGAGACGGTAGCGTCGACCGCGGAATTCTGGAACGGACTCGGCTCGCGACAATGCAGCACGATCAATCTGCTCCACAACCGACACCAACAGTGCTAGATTACCATCTCGGTCTATCACTGCTACGTTGACTGGTCTTCCTGAGCCGAATGCTGCGAGCGCGGTCAAGATTGCTGAGTCAAGTGCGCCGAGTGCGACATGTTCTAGGATGGGTCAAGCAGTAGTATGTTATACGAGGGCACGCGATGCTGGCCATGTGGACCCCTACAAGGAGTAAAGAACTACGCAATGCCATAAAAACTGTGCCGAACTTCTTGAAATACTGTTAAGCCTGTCATTGACACTTTCTCGGCCGGCTACGCTCCAATTCTGTCAATCACCATGCACAAGTCCAACTTTCCACTTACTCCGCCCTCCCCGTACGACCCCTTCAATGTGGAAGAAACACTAATCAGACTCACCGAGAAAGAAAAGATTGATTTGTTAACAGGTACAGTAACCCTTTGAAGCAGTGACAACCTGACTTGAGCTTACAACCAGGCAGGCATTGATCACTGGCACACAGCTGGAGTGCCGCGACTAGGCGTACCCTCGATCCGAGTCTCGGATGGACCAAACGGAGTACGAGGGACGCGATTCTTCAATGGCCAGAGAGCGGCCTGCCTACCATGCGGCACAGCGCTGGGGGCGACGTGGGACACGGAGCTTCTACAGCGTGCCGGCGACTTGTTGGGAGAAGAAACAAAAGCAAAAGGCGCTCACGTACTTCTCGGTCCGACCGTGAATATGCAACGTAGTCCACTGGGAGGTCGTGGTTTTGAGTCCTTCTCGGAGGATCCAATCCTTGCCGGTAGTTGCGCTGCCTCCGTTGTCAGAGGTATACAAAAGACCGGGACAGCAGCATGCATCAAGCACTTTGTCGCGAACGATCAAGAGCACGAGCGGATGGCGGTCAGTGCAATTGTAACGGATCGAGCGTTGCGGGAGATTTATTTGCTCCCCTTTCAAATTACTATAAGGGAATCGGCACCAAGAGCTCTTATGACTGCATATAACAAGATTAACGGAACTCACGCGAGTGAGAGACGTGAATATATCCAGCACATTCTCAGAGAAGAATGGGGCTGGGAGGGCCTCGTAATGAGCGACTGGTATGGCACATATTCTACAGCCGAAGCAATTAATGCAGGCCTTGATTTAGAAATGCCCGGGCCGTCTCGCTGGCGTGGCCAACTACTCAGCCATGCTTTGCTCTCCAAGAAGGTCACACGGCACACACTGGATCAAAGAGTCCGTGAAGTACTTAGATTCGTTACTCAAGCTGCAAAAACGGGAATACCAGAAAATGCACCCGAGAGAGCTCGAAACGTGCCTGAGACCGCCGAACTGTTGCGGAAGCTCAGCGCCGACTCAATGGTGCTGTTGAAGAATGAGCATGATGTCCTGCCGCTCGATAAGGCCAAGTCTGTTGCCGCCATTGGTCCAAACACGAAGAATCCAGCCTTTTGTGGCGGTGGTTCTGCGAGTCTTCAACCCTACTACGTGGTGTCTCCCTTTGAAGGCATGATGAGAAAGGCACAAGATGTCCAATATGCCGTCGGATGTGCGGCGTACAAGCTACTCCCATTGCTCGGACCGCATCTCAGAACGAAAGACGGAAACCCAGGTGTTACGTTCAAAGCTTATGCCTCACCGCCAACCGAGGCAGGAAGCGAGCCAGTCGAAATCCTCAACGTACTGGACACTTACATATATCTATCGGACTATTCGCATCCGCGACTTGTGCAAGATCTCTGGTGGGCTGAAGTCGAAGGATATTTTACCGCTGAAGAGACTGGCGACTTTCAATTTGGACTAACCGTGTATGGCACCGGCAAGCTCTACATTGACGACGAGCTAGTAGTCGATAATGAAGCGAAGCAACGCAGCGGTGGCAGTTTTTTTAATGTTGGTACTGTGGAAGAAATCGGGATAAAGCGCGTTTATCAGGGCATGACGTACAAGCTGAAAGTTTCTTTTGCTAGCGGCGTAACGTCGAAGCTTGCTAATCCCGATGGTGTTGTATCGTTCGGCGGTGGTGGTATCAGGATCGGAGGCGCCAAAATTCTCGACCCTGAAGAAGAAATAAGAAAGGCGGTACAGCTTGCCAAAAGCGTGGACCAGGCTGTCCTCTTCGTTGGACTCAATTCGGACTACGAACAGGAAGGCCACGATCGTCAACATATGCATCTCCCGGGCCTGACAGACAGACTGGTCCAGGAAGTAGCTGCAGCAAACCCACGTACTGTCGTGGTCGTTCAGTCTGGTACGCCGGTCAGCATGCCATGGGCCTCTTCGGTTGCCGGGATCATTCAAGCTTGGTATGGTGGCAACGAGACTGGCAATGCAATTGCGGATGTTCTCTACGGTGACATAAATCCAAGTGGAAAGCTGCCCTTGTCTTTCCCAGTGCGCATCGAAGACAATCCTGCATATTTAAATTTTTCTTCGGAAAGAGGCCGTGTGCTCTATGGTGAGGATATTTTCATTGGATATCGATGGTATGAAGCCACAAAAAGAGAGCCGCTCTGGAGCTTTGGATGGGGATTGTCCTACACGAGCTTTCGCTTTTACGATTTGCTGGTCCTAAACGACAGGCAATCAAGTCAACTTGTGGTCAAGGTTTGGTTGGAAAACACTGGCAAAATCGATGGCGCAGAGGTTGTGCAAGTCTATGTCTCCCAGCGCTCTCCGTCGGTCAGAAGGCCGTGCAAGGAATTAAAGGGCTTCGCCAAAAAGTTTCTCAAAGCGGGAGAGGCCGCCATGGTCGAAATAGTGATGGACAGAAAATACGCGACTAGTTTCTGGGACGAGGAAAGAAACATGTGGATTGAAGAGGCAGATACATTTGATGTTCTGGTAGGAAATTCTAGTGCTGAAACCCCTTTAAGAGGTAGCTTTTCCATCGAAAAGACAAGTTGGTGGTCTGGCTTGTAACTAGATTTTTCCAATTGGCGACGATCATGTAAGAATAATACATGATCCTTCAAGAATACTTGTATTTGCTAGCCAAGTTTTGAACCATTTCGATGAATAGGTCTAAAACGGCCTCAGTTTCTTATGCGTAGACTGCCATGAAAAGGAATTCAAACCAGCTACTTCTCGATTTCCTGATAACGAGATCTTCCCGGTGATATTATCATGTAAATTTACACTGGCACTCACTTCGTAGCATATATGTAGGATCACGTGTGATCTCGAGTTGTTGAAATGTCGATACCATCCATCATTTTGAAAAGGGAACTTGTCTGCAGACCCTTATATTATTTCTCATTGTCTAATCTCATGCCATGCAGATTCCATAACAAGGAGAAGCCTGTAATGCAATTCTTGAAATTTAATTGATCTCAAAGCAGCCAGATCAAGTTGTCCTAAATATGTGATTCCGCCTCCTGTAGTTGAATACTAGCTCGTAATTGACATGAATTCGTACAGGAGAATCAAGTCGAGCAGAAAAGCATGAGCATTGTCGATCCAGGGCGATATTATCAGAAGATTTGAAACTTATTTAGCGACTACATGCGCCAGCCGCTTTTTAATAGTAAGCGTTGCTAGCCACTTTGAAGTCGGATGTTTCAAGAACGCTTTCGACAATGTGCAGGGATTTTGACGAATACGAGAATGGTCATGTGCATCAGCATGACGATAAGGCACATTACCACCAGATTCAACTTTGCAACTATTGAGCGTTGAGTAGAGAATTAAGCTGTGGCGTGGTAAACAGCCATTTTGCTTCTCCCAATCTCGAACCACCGGCTGGGAGAGGATGGCCGTCAAAGATAGCGTCATCAATATTGTTGGAGATGAGGAGCAACCCATGACTGGAAAATCAACCATATCGATGGCACATGTACATCGCTCCTGGAATCGCGAAATCGAACAAAATGTTGACATTTCATCGTCGAATGTTTTGAGAGACAGAAGTCCAGCCTTAAGTACGAAGCCACGATGAAGCACATCTATCTTTCAAAAGCCAACCTCGAACTAACTCATTGCGCAATAGCTCCTGAAGAATCAGATTCGAACCAACCTGGTAATGAAGGAGCTCTATCAAACCGCCGTGTTCATATAAGCGCTGCCCTCAAACATTCCTTTTGGAGTTTTCTCTCTTTCGCGCCCGTGATGCTTGCATTCAACATAATCCTCGACGCTCACAGGGGCACGGCATATCTCATCTGGAACAACTTTTTTGGATATTTTCTCTTCGCAATGGTCGTCATGGCGGCGTGCATAGTAGTTTGGGGCTTCATTTACGGGCTGTTCGTCGTGCCGTTATGCAAATGGTTGTGGCCCAGCTGGATGTCGGATGAGACCGGTCATGATAACCCCCCGAATGCTCAAAATACCGGTCTGGCCGTAGAAGATCCAGAAAACCAGATGCCAATTGCAAGCCGGAATTGAAAATACTTTCATATAGGAGAATGGATCGCATCATAGCAAAAAACGCTATGTATGCGTCTACACTGAGCAGCTTGAACATCTCTTACGTGTCGCAGGTATTTCTCAAGTCGCATGTCTCATTTTATTTTCAGACAGAGGACCCGTACAGCCATCAAGTTCTTTTTTTTGCCACCATGGATCCTGTATTGCACAGATTTACAATCATGACGTGCTGAAATCACTTGCCTACGACTATCGTTCCGCTAGATCACTCCAGATTTGATGCTTTGGGTGATACGTTCAACAATTTAGAAGATTATCGTGCACAATCGACCCCTGATGAGTTTTGTATCAGCCTCCAAACCGATTTGGCCTCTCTTGGAGATTTTCATTGATCGTACAACAGTCGAACTGCATCCTAGACTTGAACCGAATTGGTTGGTCGCTTCTGTATATCAACAAGTCAAAAAGTCGAAAGAGGACGAGCAAGTTTTCCAAATTTCAGTTTAATGCTTTAGACCTCGAAATCAACCTCTAAAATGTATAATGGCGATGGCGTGCTTCTTAGTCGAAGCTTTCCTTCCAGCTAAGCGAGCTGGTGTTGCTCAGAATTCGACACTGAACATAGTGCCATGAATCCGCGAAATGGTCATGTTACAAGTTGAGAAAAACATTCAAATATGTAACGGAATAATGAGTTATGAGTTAAACGGCCAGTTTCATCATACATGAAGTCGGGCTGTGTGGAAAACCAATATTTCTTGTCTGCCTCATCCATGCACGTAAGCTCAATACTCTACAGAGGAGCTCTGATTAAGACTCCTTCTTTCTATTCAAATCTCGACAAGTTAATTTGCACTCCAAGTCACCGATCTTCGCGAAAGATCACGATCCACATCTTTCCCGTTTCATGGCTTCCTTCACGATGCTTCCGCAGAGTTTCGCGGTCGGATTGCTTAGCACCGCCATGGCTCTTCCAACTTCGCTGCCGTAAAGCCCAGCCATGAAGAAGCAACGAGAACCTTCCTCTTCGAAATCGACCCTCGTCCATTTCGACCAAGTCGGCTGTTCTGCTTCGTCTGGGACAACGATCACAGAACGTTCGGACGACCCGAGATCTTTCGCTACGCCCCAAAAGATAGCGGCTCGCTGCGTCCAGGCCTGTGCTAGTAGCTTTTTCTGCGAAGGCGAAACTGCAGGCTCCCTCGACGCCGGGGAAGCAAGGGCAATGGCAGTGTCAAGCTCCTTCAGGGCTTGCACAAGAGTGGCTCGAATCTCGAGTGCTTCCTCTGACGCGGGGATTGACGCCGTCGTAAGCGTACCGCGATCTCCGTACATCCATCGTCGTATTTGAGCACGGTTGTTCCACGCACTTGCGTACATAGGCTGTTCTTCTATAACGGCATCCAGAATCTCGAGCGCTTTACGGTACGTTTCCCGCTTAGCATCTCCATCTTGACTCGGACAGGCCTCGATGATTTTGACAGCAGCAATCTCCTGTTCCCTTAAACGAGCCAGAAGCTGTGCGTCTCTGATGTGAGGATCTGACGGCAGTGATGGGTCTACTGTTATTCTCGGCGCCTCGGGCGCGGATTCTGGATCAAAGACCGCATCGAGGACTTTGGCGTCAGACGTGGTGAGTGTGAGAGCAATCTGCGGTTTCGTCATGAGGACGTATGCTATGTTGATACAAGCGTCGCTTTCAGATTTCTAGACTGCAGGAGTACTATGAGAAGATGGAAGGGAGACAGAGGGGAATAGTGGACGGCGTGGAGGAGAAAGCAAGAGGCAATATATGCCATACAGACCAGTCACGTTACTCGGCTCCATCCTATGACAAGCGTCTACCAGCAGGACGCCCCGAATGTCAGCATTTACTGCGATCCGCGACGTGAGGTCTAAGTACAGTGGGTGGGCGGTCGCAAACTACCTGCTTTTTGTGGGTCCATCTGGCAGGGTCGGGCGAATTCCGCGCCCTGCCGAAGCTAGCCGCCAGCCTCGTCATACCCAGCGCTCTATTCAACGGGCATAAAAAAAACCAACGAGATAAAATTGTTATGATAACAGATATGTAAGATGAGGGATCCACCGTATCATTGTGCCAGCGTCAAGCGGGACAATACCGTGTGACTAGATACATCAGCTTTCTTGATTTGGTGGCGCGGATCCGTAATGTCGGTAGGTGGTTGTGGTTTAAGTACGACGCTGTCGACTATTTGAGGACCCGTCGTCGTATCTCTTGTATCTGATTCCACTCCTCCCGTGAAACTTGGACAGTTCATCCTTTCCTTCTTCTCGTCGTACTCTTGACTTGTCGAGGCAAGTGATAATGAGTCCTTCACCAACTGTCCTCACGTCCAGCGGTACCACACTACCTCTCTACTCATCCTCTCCAGAGTCGGATCACAGTCTGACCTCCACACACACCGCATATTCGTCTTCGTCCCAGCCAACCTACAAAGGCTATCACCACATAACGTGGTGGGTCGGTAATGCTAAGCAAGCGGCTTCATACTACATAACACGTTTCGGATTCCGCCCTGTCGCCAAGTCGGACCTTACCACAGGCTCTCGCACAGTTGCAAGCCATGTCGTCGCCTCAGGAAACATCAAGTTCGTGTTCCAGTCTCCCATACTAGCCAGTAACCCTAGACGGGGCGGGCTAAAAAAGGAAGATAAGCTGTTGGAGGACATGTACGAAAGCTTGGAGCAGCACGGTGACGCGGTCAAGGATGTTGCTTTTGAGGTCAATGATGTACGAGCTGTATACGAAGGCGCAATCGCTCGAGGAGCCGAAGGAGTTCGAGAGCCGTGGACAGTGAAAGATGAGTTCGGTGCGGTGACAATGGCAAGTGTAAAGACGTATGGTGACACTACACACACCTTTGTCGAGAGGGACGGCTACAACGGTCCATTTCTTCCTGGTTTCAAGCCTGTCGATGAAATAGATCCGATCATGAAGATATTGCCCGAATGCCCCTTAGAAGTCATCGACCACTGCGTGGGAAATCAGGACTGGGACGACATGGAGGACGCATGTGACTTCTACGAGAAATGCCTTGGTTTCCACAGATTCTGGTCGGTAGATGACAAGGACATCTGTACCGATTTTTCAGCCCTTAGGTCTATCGTCATGTCATCGCCAAACGACATTGTCAAGATGCCTATAAATGAGCCTGCAGAAGCCAAGAAGAAGGGGAAGTCGCAAATTGAAGAGTAAGCGCTCCTCTTTTGCCAAGCTGACCAAATAACCTAATCGCTTGCAGATATGTCGAATACAACAACGGCCCAGGAGTTCAGCACATCGCCCTCAAAACGCCTGATATCATAACAACCGTACGCAACATGCGAGCTCGCGGTGTCGAGTTCATCAAGGTGCCCGACACATATTACGAAACCATGCGCGAGCGCATAAAGTCCAACACGCTCAGGTGGAAGCTCAAGGAGAATTTCGACGAGATCCAGGACTTGAATATCCTTATCGATTTCGATGAAGGCGGCTATCTGTTGCAACTTTTCACGAAGCCACTGATGGACAGGCCGACGGTTTTCATTGAGATCATCCAAAGAGAGAATTTCTCTGGATTTGGGGCAGGAAATTTCAAGAGCCTGTTCGAGGCGATCGAGCGGGACCAGGCAGCGCGAGGTAACTTGTAGAGACCATCTTGAGAGGTTGCATTGGAAGATGAAGAAATATACGTGTAAGCCGCAGATGCTTTCGTATTTTGCTGCATCTGGTAGCTTGGCGGCTTGGTCTCCTTAATATATGGGCCTTCGCATCCTATCTAAAATTAGCCATGTTTATTTGTCAGAACTGTCTTCATGTTCGCACCATGTGTACTCCTCGTTCACCACGTGCCTGACGAAAAAGTTTACCACTTCGTGGCCGGTTCAAGAGTGACCTGAGCTTAAAATCAAACTATCCAGCTTCTTCTCAACCACAGGCATCAGTTCAGCTAATTTATTTGGGTCCCTCATTACCGTTGTGACTTCATCCTTCAGGTACGAAAGCTTGCTCTTGATTGTTTCGTACTTTTCTTCCCGCGCCGTGTACTCGCGAATCACCTCGCCTGTTTCGAATTCAACAAAGACTCGCGTATCCCTTATCCGGAATAGCACGCCGTCAAGACGTAGAAAAAAACGTGACAATAACAGAAGTCGCTCCGGCATGACGCGAATCTTGCAGGATAGCATGGCGATGCCGTTGTCGGCAAGCTCATCCTCGTAGAGCATCACCTCATCAAAGAACAAAATAGGATCTGGGCGGGTGAGAAGTCCTATTGGGATAGCCTTTTGGGAAGGAGTCAGCTCCGGTGCAGACGAGGTGGTGCCCATGTAGTCAGTGCTGTATGACCAGTCAAAAGGCTTGATCACTTCCTTGATGTCCTCGTGCACGTGTTCACTACGATTTCGTGAATCAGTAAAACAAGCATCTACCATACACGACATTTCGACCCACCGTGTTTGCTGCCACTCCTTTGAATGAGCGACCTTGAGCATAGAACTGCCCTTCTTATCAACGCGATCAAGGGCATCGAAAGAATTGAAATTGATGCTCCATCCGCTCTGCATATGCTCAATTGAAATCGAATTGTCTCCAAAGATCATTTCGGGCGGTGTGATTCCAAGCCTTTCCGTCATCTCCTCAATTGGTCCCGCTCGCGAAATGGGAAGCTTGTGGGTAGTGATCTTAAAGCCGGCTTGCGTGATTGACTTCCCTTGGTCCACCTGCGGGGGGGTCTGCGTTCTCCATCTGGAGGCTGCCATTTCAACTTTTCCAGATTTATTTGTCGGATCAGAAATAGGTTTGCACGTGTGACTAGGCTTTTTGACGTGTAGCGGCGGCGAAGTTTCAAACGACGCGGGACGAGGACATGACGGTCCTGCGCTAAGCCAAATGCGCACTAGTGTCGTTGCCATCCCAACTACCAATGTTTATCAAACAGCAACTCTGACCCCAACGACAATCTTTCCTTCTACAAGCTCGACGAACTACTAACCAGTCCACTTGCCCGCAGGAAATCAGCGAGGAGAGTCTCGCCTTCGCTTTCTTTATCATTCGCAGTCTTTTTCTCAGGATATTTATTCAATTCTTTAAGAAAATGACTGCGGCTCTTGAAGAGCGTTTCGAAGCGATTACTTTGCAGGATGAGCCGGACTCGGATAAGCAGGCTGGCTATTCGCACAAGTCAAAGGTGTGAAAGGGAAACATCTTTCTGGACGAGCGACGCATGATAGCTGACAATATGAATATAGGGTTCTCTATCTGCTGCCATCTCAGTCTCTGGCCTAGGGGCAAGTACGAATGGACTGCAAAATAATTCCTCGGCCGCCAACCGCCTTAAGCTTCCTCTGCAGAAATTGCAGGCTCTCAAGAACGCCACAACGAGCAGCGCGGCCCAGAGCACTACCACCATAACCAAAGTCACACTGCCTTCTCAAGCAGCTCAGCATCCGGAGAAAAACCACGCCGTCGTAACGACAACCTCTACGATTCGCATATCCGACGAATCGGGAGCAGTCAAGCGCTTCTCGGAGTCGCCCTTATTTCACAACCCCCCAGCTCCGAAACAGTTTCATTTGGGCATGTTTGAAATTGGCAAAGCCTTGGGAAAGGGCAAGTTTGGGCGAGTCTATCTCGCCAAGGAACGCTCTTCAGGCTTTATATGCGCGTTGAAGGTGCTCCATAAGTCGGAGCTCTCTCACGGTGGTGTCGAACGTCAAGTCAGACGGGAGATCGAAATCCAATCCAACCTTGCTCACCCCAACATTCTTAAGCTCTACGGTCACTTCCACGACTCGAAGCGCATCTTCCTAATCCTGGAATTTGCAGGGAAGGGCGAGCTATACAAGCATCTGCGGAAAGAACAGCGCTTCCCCGAATGGAAGGCTGCGCAGTATATCGCACAAATGGCGTCGGCGCTTAAGTATCTGCACAGAAAGCACGTCATTCATCGGGACATCAAACCAGAAAATATCTTGGTGGGCATCCACGGCGAGATCAAGATCAGTGATTTCGGATGGTCCGTCCACGCACCGAACAACCGGCGGAAAACCATGTGCGGGACTCTGGACTACCTTCCACCCGAGATGATTAAGCCAGGTTCGAGCGATAATTATTACTCGGACAAGGTTGATCTGTGGAGCTTGGGTGTACTGACGTACGAGTTCCTCGTTGGCGAAGCCCCGTTCGAGGACACGCCTGTCATGACGCAGAGAAGGATCACGAGGTGTGAGATGACTATTCCAAAATTCGTCAGTCCAGAGGCCAGAGACCTGATTCAAAGAGTACGGTTTCAATTTGCCCTGAGAAAAGCCAGGTTGTCGAGGCTAACGTATGTGACAGCTACTTGTTCTTGACCCGGAGAAGAGAATACCGCTCGAAGAAGTGGAACAACATCCTTGGATTGTGAAGCACTGCATCAAAGGCGAGAGGGCGACCATGAGAGAGTCCGACTCCAGCAAATCCCGGAGTAGCTGACATGTCAAAGAGCTATTGCCGTTACAAGCATGAATCATGTACAGGGGACCGGCGTTTACTTTTCACCATTTCAGTTTTGGGGGGTGTTGAAAACGGTAGCAGGAGTTTGAGGGCACTTTAGTGCCTTTTATCGTCTTATATTTTTGGTATATCCGGACCCATTAACCCGGGCTCGTGAAAGGTGTTGCCAACGAACGCCATGCGCTATGCAATTATCGCAGTATCATTTACGTCATACCCATAACAAAGAGAAACTTTTTTGCAACGCATCACTCAACTTGACCTCGGTGCTACTGTCCCAACATCTGTTAATGCCACACTTGTCGCTGGCAAGTTCGCGGGCGCGCTGTCTAAAGCCGGGCTTACCGGCCTACTTCGCTCCAATCTCAAAAAAGCTATGTTCTCTCTCAACGCCACATATTCGCTGTCTGCATACCCAAGCACCCCTGCAATCTCTGTTGCTTGCAGTCCTTTGATGCGTTTAATCTCTGCCGCGGAATAGTTCACCAGAGCACGGCCAACTTCAAGGGGTTCGCCTTCCCAAGTGGGAGGAGTGACAGTACCGAGATCCTCTGTGGACTTCGACAAAGACGATGAACTTGTGTGCGATTTGTAAGGGGGCCGTGTAGTCATCGACGGTGTGGTGGTAGACGAGGATTGTACACCCGTCGGAGGAGAAGTGATGCGTTTGACAACGAAGATTGCCACGGCTTCTTGTTGAGCGAACGTGCCCGACACGTCTACAACGCCCACAGGAAGAAGGCCTGCTTTGTCTGCGATGGCCTTGTGCGCACCTTCGTCAATGTAGATTGCACCGTGGGGACGCAAACCGTGCAGAAGCCAGAAGTAACGGTCTCGAATGGGATGTGGATCCGGAATGAATCTCGTATGGAGCGGAGGAACTACCGTTGCGTCCAGGGCTGGGGAATTAGAATTTGTTGTTGGCGTCGCGATCGCATCGGCTGGAATCGAAGTTGGAGGGTCAGCTGCTGACCAAGTCGAATTCGCTGAAGGCGACAGCGAGTTGTTCAATAGTGCCTCCTGGGCAGGAGTCATTGTACCGCTTCCACCCAGGTTGCCTGTGCCACGACGGGCCATCTTCTGTGTTTCCACATATTTGATGATGCTCCTAATATTTCCGGGCTTGTCGCTCTTCGTAATCACTGTTGTGACACCAGCGCTGGTTGCCAGTCTTGCTGCCACGATCTTCGTGCTCATACCTCCAGTACCGAGTGCGCTACCTTTGCTGCTGACGTCCGCATCCAGTTCCGCGATGTCTTCCACGACCTCAATGGGCTTCGCGTCAGGGAACTGGCGGGGATTCTTGTCGTAGAGACAGTCCACATCGGTCATGAGGAAGAGATAGTCTGCATGAACCATGCCTGCGGTTATGGCAGACAGCGTATCGTTGTCGCCAAACTTGATCTCCGTGACTGAAATAGTGTCGTTCTCATTAACGATGGGAACAACGCCCATGTCCATTAACGCTATCATGGTGTTCTGCGCATTCTGCCAGTGCGTCCGATCTGCAATGTCGTTCCTCGTCAACAAAATTTGCGCAACTGGCTGGCGCATATGCCCGAAAAGCTGGTCCCACAGACTCATTAAACGACATTGACCTATTGCTGCTAGAGCTTGCACCTGAGGGAGGTGTTTTGGGCGCTTTGGGAGATCCATACGCCGGAGGGCAACACCAATGGCGCCAGAGGAAACGATAACGACACGGTGACCATCTTTGAGCAGCTTAATCGTTGTTTCTACTATGACGGATAGGATTGAAAGAAGAGGCTCGTGGGTAGATTCGCTCACAATTGAGCTTGTGCCTGTGAATTGCCCTTGTTAGCGTATCACAACGGTACCCAAGAGGATAGAAATTCAATTACCGAGCTTTATCACAACCGTAAGATGCTTTTTCATATTTCCTCTTTAAATCGACATCAACATGGGTGGGAAAAGGTAACATGTACAGCGACGCGGAGATTCTATGACTCTTTGTAAACTTTTGGTTCCGAGTGCGGAGTGCTCGTCCGATCATGTTCATACCTCATGCATTCGCGCTTTGCAACGACGCGGCGCCCTACGAATTGGCATCTTCGCATCAATTTTTCAACACACCGCCGCGGCGCCCCGCTGATCAACCCTTGACACTTTATTAGTCGGCTGGAATTGCACTAGATAATTCGCTTGCCTGTGTGTTCGGTGACCTGAACAGGCGAAGAGACGCACCCAGCTTTGCACAGAGCTGCCGACATCATGCCGTCAGTAGAGGCATCATTGGACAAGGCCGCACCTTCAGCGTCGCAAATACCGCCAGAGCCATCGTCTCCTTTACCAAATGAAAGCCATGCATCGGCTCCAGCACCTCGTCTCCGCTCGATAATTCCTAACGAGAAAATCGATCCTATGGTTTACACGTGGTCCACCCTCTTTAAATGCCTGGTAGGGAACTGCACCGCCAAGGAGCGCGAACAATACCTCACAGCGCGAGATATCGCAAGAGAAGAGTCAGACTGCAAGCGCTGCGAGGACTTTCGTGATTGGAACTTCAAACACTCGCCTACGGTGCGCTTCCTTCGCGAGCAGATTCGGACCGTCGGCCCAGATTTGAAACCCGAGAATGTACACTGCATGCGCTGTCCGTGGGACAGAAAGGGTGGTTTCGATCTGAACTTTGGGATTTTGCTCTGCGCAAATCATTTGACAACGAGAAAGAGGCTGGAGGACACGCTGGCGCACGAGATGGTTCACGCGTACGACTACTTGCGGTTCGAAGTCGATCCCCAAAACCTGAAGCACCAGGCTTGCACGGAGATTAGGGCGTCGATGCTGAGTGGGGAGTGCAGATTCCTAGAGGAGTGGCTGCATCGCAAGCAGTTCAGAATCACAGGAAAGGATGGGATGGGCCAGTTCCAGGAGTGTGTGAGGAGGAGGGCAGTGCTGAGTGTAATGGCAAGAAAGGAGTGCAAGGACAAGGAAATGGCAGAGTCGGCTGTTAGAGATGTGTGGAGCAGCTGTTTTGGTGACACAAGACCTTTTGACGAAGTTTATCGGTAGTTGCAATTTGTTGTGAAGATGTATGGCTTCATTCCGCATAGCGTACGGCGTTGGTGGAATATACAACGATAAGAGGATATGTAGAGAGGTTATTCTTTTTGTACTTTTAGCGAGCTTCACTTGCTCCGAAAAGCAGATTCCACTCAAGAGCAAGCGATTAAACGGTAAAATGAGCGTCGGATTCGTTTTTTACTGAATTGTACTATCCTCTCTTTACAACAAACATCTTCTGAGCATAGTACTCGTACTCGTTCTTCCTCCGAATTCTTGCTTTCTTTCCAAAGAAAAACATTGGCACAGCCAACAGGCTAAATGCCACGCTCAGACATCCCAGAAGAACGAACGAGTTATAAACACCCATTCCGTCGAACCACGGCCCAATCGCAAATACTAAGATAGTGGCCATGATATTACGCACAAATGCTACTCCGATCAAGGCATCAGGCAGGACGAGCTCATACGCGTCCTGCAGATATGTCAACGCAATATCGCCGGTGCCACCAATACCAAAGCCAATCAACGCGGAACCTATCGTGGGGATGATCCAATGCATACCTTCCGCGGTACAAAGGCCATACATGAAAACACCGACAGGCATTAGAGTTCCGGGGAGAATAAATAGAACCAATCGCATTTCAGGCTCATAAAGACCTCCATTCCGGCGTGCTAGTCTCACGATCGCCCAGTCCACGATGGGCCCGCCCCAGGCAACACCGATGATGGAACCAATGGCCGGCGCGATATTAAGGTTTCCGACATCGGCTGCGGAGAAATTGTATGGTGCGTAGGGATAGATGTTCGACGTAGAAACGGCGACGATACTCAGCGCTGCGAGGCAGAAGGCCCATTGCAGGGCGGCAAATGCAACGGCTGGGAAGTAGTACAACAATGCAAACGGTTGATACAAGTGCCGTGCCCAAGAATAATGACTCACCGAAGTGAGAGTGTACATGGCATATCGCCGGCCGCGAGAGCGCATGGGAATGGTTGTGTCGATTTCAACGAGCCTGCGCCGACTCGTAATTTTGTTACTGCCGATTTCGAGAACGATGCCCTCATCGATCTCGTCCTGCTTTTCCTTGGCCGACTTTTCTTCGGCAGAGGCGTCGATGCTAGCGTTACGTCCTGAAGGGACTTGCGCATTGATACCATCGTCCGGAACGTACTGCGTCTCTTCCAGGAAGAAGATCAGCAGCACGCTGATAATGCCTTGGAAAATGGCTAGATACCAGAAGGACCAACGCCAGCCTTGTGAAGATATGGCGATGTACCCACCGGCTACGGGGGCAAGGTAGTTGCCGATCGTTGAGCAGAAGAAAAGAAGTCCATTCAAAGAGCCTCGCTGGTGAACGAAGAACAGATCGTTGACCTAGGTCCGTTTCAGCTAGGTGGTACAGCAGTGGATGGGATAAAATGAGAATCATACCGTCATTTGAAATAGAGACTCATTCACGCTTCCTGCCAGGCCCATGAAGACATTCGACAGCATCAGATCAGGTACGTTCTGCATTCGTGCAGACCAGATGTCCATTCCGAATATGATGAGTGACGTGATGATATAGACAGGCCTGCGACCGTAGCGCATCGCAAACGGAGTGAAAACGATGCAACCGATGCTTAACGTCGCCGCACTGACACCGTAGCTGTTGTTCAGCGTGCTGTAACTGAAGCCCAATTCAGAATTCATATCGGCCCATAATGGCGGGGAAACGGTGAGGAAACCGTAAACCATTATCGCATAAAGGGACAAGAGCGTCATTTGCACGGTTTTCCGCCATGCTGACCAGTTCTTCAAAAGCATCCCCCGTCAGACTGCTGCAATGTGAATCTGAGTGCGCATATCACGTACCAAAGGGTCATTTGGATCAGAAGTGGGTTGCGGCGCGAGTACAACTTGCTCATTCTCGCGGTCGCTTAACCAAATCGTCCCAGGAGGAAACTGAGCGTCGTTGACCAAATTCGCTTCAACACCTGTCATCCTGTGCATTTAGTTCGTCTTGCGTTGACACATCGCACGACGGCGAAAACCATATCTCTTTTGTACTCCATCTTTCCTCCATGCTTGCCCCACGCTTGCGGACAACGGTGCTGATAAGGATGTCTGGGTATCACAGGTAGTTGATAACTTATCGGCCACTTATGATGTCGCTCGTCTGGCGACAGCATTTGATGTTGACATCTTTCGACCTGCGTATTTTGTAAATTTCCGTGCAATCCGCGGACTCCAGGCTCGCGGATCAAAGTCATCTGATATTGTCTGCTATACTTACCCAATTCGGCAGAGCATGGTTGTGGAAACATTCTCACGCCGATGCCTTGGTAGGATCCTCACGATGGAAAGAAGACTGGTCAGATTGAAAATGGTGCTTGCGAGTGTCAATGTCAGGTCTGCTTCACACTCCGAGGATACATTCAGAAAGCCCCTGGTAGATTACAATGGCTGGGCTTAGGATTTCATTAGACAGCATCATCAGTCCTAAAAAGTTCAACGTGAACATTATACAAGGCAAAAAATTCCTTCTTCCAGCGGTTCCACTCTGGATTGCTTCTGTTCAACCTGCGCGTGCAGAAATTCTCACGTAGCTCAGCCCAGGCCAAATCACTGCCCATCTCTGAGCTTATTATTGCCATGATTTGACACTTGCGCCAGGCCACAAACTGCCAGCCATTGGTGGTTTACGTGTATTCGAGACTGTTGCATAGCAAGCTCCTTGACATGCAACCTAGCTTCGTTGAGTGTTGTCGGAACTCTGAACGGCTTGCGTTTTCTTCGTATATCAAGCCCTTCCCATGGACAAGAACCCAACCGCCTGGACGTTTAACTTGCTGCGCCAGCACCACAACCCCATGACACGCCAATCTTGGCTGGGGTTTCCACATGACATGCATGTCGGGGGGGTTCACAGGGTCGAGATGCCGCCGAAGCGGTGTGAACGGTGCTGGTCGATTGTGAGAAGCCAATTGAACATTCCCTCGACGATTGCGTCGTGAAGCACAGAGAGAAGACGGCCGTAGTCGAGTGCTGTTCGCGAGAGCAGCCATGAGCTGCAACGCCGCGGTCTGGAAGAGGACTCGACTGTGCTCCCAAAGGGCAAGAACTGATGAGTCGGTCGCAATCCGTATCAAAGATCGGCTGAGACCCGTTATGCGACCGCAAGGTCCGGGCCGTTAGCTGACCAACACCAGGAAAAATCCAGGTCGTGAAGAAGCTCTGGAAACCACTCGACCTCAGCCAAAGCCGCTAAGCCCAAATCGGCCGTTGCGCGGCTAATTTAGGGTCTTTCGTCACAGCTCCGCGGCCTGTGATTGGCTGCGCGACGACTTGCTTGCCTGCACCACACGCCTTGTGCTGCGTGCAGGCCTGCAGCCCACAGGACGAGCTGCCTACATATCCTTCAACGCTTGGTTCGAAGCCCGCGGTGCTGGCTGGATTCTTTGATGGTGATTGAAAGTGTCTTTCCCGCTGTCTTAGTCCGAGCCAGCCCTGTGAAGGCTTGATTGCACCATATCGAACACCTGTCGGTTCGAGTTCGGAGGTACCCCACCTTGGACGGCGTGCCAGCGACGACATCACCACCACCATCGCTAGTGGGACCTCCTTGCCGTTGGCCACGAACCTGAATCGCAGCGCACAAAGTTCCCCCCTGTCTTGACAACGAAGCAGGCTGGCGACACAGCGGTCACGTCTTGTCGGGTTCCTTCCAGCGACTGCGTGAATTAGCGCTTTGCCAGCAGAGATCGCAGTCTCGACGCTCGGGCACCTCTTTTGCGGCGCACGACCACCACCAACCACGGCGCAAGACGCCAATCTTACCTCCCTAGCCAAAATTCGAGGTCTCTCGCGCCCGATGCCCGATTCTTGAGTACATGATACCTGTCTTCCCGCGGATCTGAACAGCCTGGACCAAGATATACGAGCCCTATTCCAACAGCTCCCTCCACGACTCCGCCTGAGGAGTCGTAGGCAGGCAGCGAGCATCCCAGCACGACCACCACAATGGCGCAATCGCCCATGTTATCATGCCCTCTAAAACAAACTAACGAAATCGACTGGATATCGCCCCTCAAGGCCTACATACGTGACTCATATGGCGACGATCCGGAGCGGTACTCGGAAGAGTGCGCGATGCTCAACAGGCTGAGACAGGACATGCGCGGCGCGGGAAAAGACAGCGCTTCCGGGCGTGACCTGTTGTATCGGTACTACGGACAGCTTGAGCTGTTGGATTTGAGGTTTCCTGTGGATGAGAACCACATCAAGATTTCCTTCACCTGGTACGTTTCCCCTGCTTGAACATGCTCTTCCTCAGGCATGACTCTGGCCGAAAGATGACGTTTTGGCGAAAAGCGGATGCTGAATGAGTTGCAGGTTCGACGCTTTCACCCATAAGCCGACGTCGCAGTACTCGCTCGCCTACGAAAAGGCGTCAATCATATTCAACATCTCCGCCGTCCTCTCCTGCCATGCTGCTCTGCAGAATCGTTCCGAAGAATTCGGCCTCAAGACAGCCTATCATTCGTTTCAAGCCTCAGCTGGAATGTTCACCTACATCAACGAGAACTTCCTTCATGCCCCATCCGTGGACTTGAGCAGGGACACGGTCAAGACGCTGATCCAGATCATGCTGGCCCAGGCACAAGAGGTCTTTCTAGAAAAACAGATTTCGGATAAGAAAAAGGTTGGGCTGCTGGCCAAACTAGCCAGTCAAGCGGCGTGGCTTTACGGGCAGGCCCTCGAGGGCGTTCAGGAAAATGTCACGAAAGCCGTCTTTGAACGGGTCTGGCTACTAGTTACCCAGGTGAGTTCTCATACCTTTCCGATTTTGCAGCACTGATGATGACATTAACAATTTGTGCGAAGATCAAATCAAACTACATGTCCTCGTTGGCGCAATATTACCAGGCCTTGGCTGACAACGATGCTAATGCGCATGGGGTTGCAATAGGAAGGCTCCAAGTTGCTGAGTCGCTTGCCCGTGAAGCAAATCGCATCGCGAACTCCTTTCCTTCCTCCGTGCCTGCGAGCTCAAATCTCACGTCCGAAACAGGCCCCACTCTCGCAGATGCAACAAAACGCCATCTAACGGCCTGCTCGGAAAAGCTGGCCGAGTTCGTCAAGGATAATGACTTTATCTACCACCAGCCTGTGCCTTCGGAGGCTGGACTTGCCGCTATACCGAAACTACCTGCAGCGAAGGCGATTCCTGTAAGTGAGTTGTACCAGGGACAGGATATTCAGCGGATTATCGGACCGGATATTTTCCAGCGTATTGTACCGATGGCGGTCACAGAGTCAGCGAGTATGTACGACGAGGAGAAGGCGAAGCTTGTGCGTGGTGAGACCGAGCGTGTAGAAGTTGCGAATGATGAAATGGCCGCATCATTGGACTACCTCAAGCTACCAAGCAGTCTGGATATCCTGAAAGGCGCCAAAGATGGGGACATGTCCGTGGACACGGAGTTCAGGAGGTGGTGTGAAGAATTGGCCGGTCACCAGGGGTTCTCAGCAGAATTCGATGAATTGAATAAGATTAAGCAACACGTCAATGAACTGCTAGAGAACAGCATGAAGTCGTTGGACATGGAAGAATCCGTCTGCGAAAAGATGCGTTCCAAGTATGGCGACGAATGGACCCAGCAGCCTTCCTCTCGACTTACGGCGACTCTTCGGGCGGACATAAAGAACTATCGTCAGGCTATAGAAGAGGCCAGTACGAGTGACGCTCAATTGTACAGCACGCTTCGCCAAAACGAGAGTGACTTTGACGAGATGCGAAGCGCAGGAGAAACAGATGAGGCCGACATTCTGTATCAGCGAGCACTCATTAAGGCAGGCGCAGCGAAGATCAAAGGTGATGCGAGTGAGACGCTTCTAGATGAAGATTTTGACAGTGGTCCAAGCGTTGCGGAACAGATCGCGGCCATTGAAGAGCTGCTGAAAAAACTGAGAGGGTTAAAGAAAGAAAGGGAACAGGTACTTAAGGATCTGAAGGAGAAGGTATGAATTTTCCCCTATACTTTTGAGCGGGAATCAGAGAACTGACACTTGGGCAGGCGCACAATGATGACATATCGAATGTTCTCATTCTAAACAAGAAGTCCATATCGAATCAGGACAGCCAGATCTTCAAAGCGGAGCTCGAAAAATTTCGGCCGTACCAAAATCGCATCCTCCAGGCGAACCACAAGCAAAATTCTTTGTTAAAGGAAATCACACGCACGTATGATGCGCTGCTGCAAGACAAACGCGTTCGCGCTGAGCATAGCAAATTCGAAGCCTTCTCTCGCCAGCGCAACAGCGCCCTCGCGAAATACCGTCGTGTATATCAGTCTTTCAACGACCTTGTTACGGGGTTGAGCAGAGCCCAGACATTTTATGCAGAAATGAAAGAGACTGTGGAGAGTTTGGCTAAAAATGTGGAGACTTTTGTTAATAACCGAAGAAGCGAGGGAGGACAATTGCTAGCAGCGATTGAAAATGCGAGAAAGGAAAATCAGAGTGGTCTGGTAGATTGGGAGCGGGAGAGACTGGCCCAGCTGGTAGATCGTATGAGCGTGAATAACCCATCTTCTGGGAACTCGTCGCCGGGGCCGAGGGGTCCCATGTCCGTAAGTTCGGGATCCAGTGGAGGACGACCAAATTTTGGTAATGCACCAACATCGCCACCGCAATCACAGATTGTACAACAATACGCCGTTGCTCCAGCGCCTGGATCGTCACAGTTTGGACCGCCCTCTGGTGTCACATCCCTCGGCACAGGATATTTCCCCCGTCAGAATGGCACCGGTATCTCTTCCCCACCGGCGACAGCTACGCAGCATGTAACATACAACCCCGCGAGCTGGGGTCCAGTATCACCACCTCCACAGCAGCAATTTTTCTCTCAAAACATCAATCAACCCGGTGCTCGGTATTCACAGCAGAGCATGCCGTCGTACACGCCGCATCAACAGCAGCCAGTGCCAAGTCAGGTTCAGCCCCAACAGATGCCACCTGGATGGCAACCACCGCCACCGCCTCCTGGGGCCCCCCCCAATCAGCAGGACATGAACTTTGGCATTGGGGCTGGTATGCAGAGTTATCCCAGTGGGCCTGGCGGCTATTCTGGAAGCGTCATGAGACACCCTCCCCAAGGGCAGTCGCATTCACAAACGGGCATGCAGCAGCAGCCAGGAAGTGCAGATCCGTGGAGCGGGCTAAGTGGATGGAAATGAGAGAGGTCCAAAGAGTCGAAAGGATGAGGAGCTAGATTATATTTCTTTCTCTTTTATTTCTTTTTTTACACGCAAAATGGGAATGGAGAGGAGTGTAGCATTCTTGTCGACTTTCTGTGTCAATTTTGACCTTGAACTTCTTCCAAGCGCTCGCTAGGAGCTCTCTCATCTTTCCCTCGTCGGCCAGTCTTTTTCTTTTGACTGTTTTGACGGGGAATTCATGCATCGCAAAAATTTTTACACGGGCTCGGTGAAGAATATGAGTCCCAAAATATAAACGGGAAACTAAATGGAGGAAGGCGCCCATCCTCATAGTCACGACCATGCGCAGTGTAAGATGACAGTTATTGTTTCTGGCAGCATTGCTGGATTCTTTGTTCTACTCGTGAAAGCAGCGCGACTCGTCAAATTCAATCTTGTCTCGCGCCGGCAATATTGATCAAAAATATGAGGCGAATTGGCCATACTCTAGAAGTTTTGATTCAGGCATCTGTCCGAATTCAGTGACGTAGGATACCTTAAGGTCAAAGTTGGTGGATCTCCACAGCTTGAACGTGGTGTAAATCCTGATCCAACAATGCTTGGGCACTGTGAGTTACCTGCTTGGTACGAAGCTTGACTTATGACAAGCTTTTTCGCGCCGAGACCTCAGCACACACACATGGTTCATTAAGATGCGGTGAGCACATACTTCATTTTCGTTGGTAATGTTTTTTCCAACTGGTGTAACATCCGTGTAGGAGCAGGAGCCTTCGGCGTTAAGAAACAGTGACCCGCACCCGGTCTCGGGCCGGGAACGGCTCTTCACCCTGTATGAGACCGCATCGTGCTTTAAGCTCTACTCGATGTTAGGACATAGATATTTAAATTCATAAATTAAGCCTTGGAGGGAGACATGGGATCTTTCTCTCTCTTCTTCTTCTTTTGCAGCGTTATCGACTCGTCATGACCGAGGAAGAAGTAAAGGATAGCGCGCCAAAGGATGCGACCGATGACATACGCACATGTCGGGCTGACCAGGATAGGCAGACAGGAACAACAGAGAAGGACGAGCACAAGATTCAAGCTACGGCTACAGCAGCGACTTCAAAGGTGACAAATGAGAGCGATAAACCATACTCGGCCTTCTCCGGGCGGATGAAATTCCTCATTGTTTTCATGACGGGCTGTGCAACCTTCTTCTCGCCTCTCTCTGGCCAAATCTACTATCCAGTCCTGCCGATTCTGACGGGCGCCTACAACTTGTCTCAAAGCGCTATCAACGTGTCCATCACCACGTACATGATCTTCCAAGGCCTCGCACCTAGCTTCCTAGGCACCTTCTCTGACTCCAGCGGCCGCAGACTGGGCTACATACTCGCGTTTACCATCTACACCGCTGCCAACATCGGACTGGCCCTCCAGAGCAACTACGCGGCCTTGCTCATACTGCGTTGCCTGCAGAGCGCTGGCAGCAGCGGCACGGTGGCTTTCGGGTACGGCGTGATCGCAGACATTGCCACGACTGCGGAGCGAGGGAAGTACCTTGGTCCCATGATGGCTTGCATCTTGACAGCACCAGCATTCGGACCAACCATCGGAGGTCTTCTGACGGAATATCTCGGCTGGAGAGCCGTTTTCTGGTTTCTCACCATAATCAGTGGCGCCTATCTGGTGCTATACATCATCTTCGTTCCGGAGACGCAACGCAATATTGTTGATGACGGCAGCATCGTGCCGCAGCAATGGTGGCGGCAGTCGGTCGTGCAACATCTCGCTGCTAGACGTCGATTGAAGTCGCTGGGCGCCGACGAGAGGGAAGCCTATCTCGCGCGGCAGGAAGAACTTGCTCGAAAACAGCAGGAGATCAAGATTCGCTTTCCCAATCCCCTGAATTCGTTTGTGATCCTCACAAACCCGGATGCGTTTTGCATCATTCTCTATATGGGATTAGCCATGTTTGCTAACATGGTTCTGATGACGAGCACGCCAACTGCGTTTCCTGGATTATATGGCTTGAACACCTTGCAAGTCGGACTCTGCTTCTTGTGAGTGCGCATTTGCTTAAAAGACGTACACGTAACCACATCCTGCTGACTGATCCATCCAAGACCTCTTGGCGTTGGCGCAGCCATAGGCGCCATCATTAATGGTCGTGTACTCGACTTCAACTACCGTCGCATCGCCCAACGACTTGGCTTTGCGGTCGACCGAAAGAAGGGAGACGATTTGACCAATTTCCCCATAGAGACTGCCCGTCTCCAGTCCGTTTTCTTCGCTCAAACGCTGCAAGTTGCCGCATACCTGTCTTACGGCTGGGTTCTTGATCGGCACGTCCACCTTGCGGCGCCTCTCGTTATACAATTCATCATAGGTTTCTGTCTAGTCATCGTGTCGAACTCGCTTAGCACGCTGCTGGCCGACATCTATCCAAAGAACGTCTCCACCGCGTCTGCGGCGTCCAATCTATTTCGCTGTCTTCTTGGCGCGGTGGGTGCCGCCGTGGTCGACAAGATGTTGAGTGGGATGGGCATGAGTTGGGCATTCATGTTTGTGGGTTTGATGTTGGTCGCTGCTACAAGTCTTATTGTGATTGAGTTGAAATGGGGAATGGGATGGCGGCAGAAGCGGTGGCGAGAGGCTGCGGAGAAGAGTGCCAAAAACGACGTGGAAAAAGGTGCGGTCAAAAAATAAGGCAATAAAACATTCTGTAATAGTTGTTCACTTACTTGTCGTTCTTCCCCTCTTCCTGACAAAGTCTATGGTGTGACCCGGGTCTTAAAAAACTCCAATCTTGCTGGCATAGTGTTTCTCTTATGTGAAGTGTAGAAATCAATTGTAATTTTAGTTTAACAATGCATCATCGGTTGTACTCTAGATTAGGGAATGGTACCTGTGAGGTTGAGTATGAAAACCGGAACATCATCATATTTTCGTTAGCTATTGCACAAATGGGTATCAAGCAGCACACAGTAGAACCTCCTACGCCACAAATGCTCAGCACTTTTTTCGTCGTCTCTTCTTTATCCCGAAAGCTACGTCTGCCGGTGACTTCGTTCTTCGACACTCAGATTGGAATGGAGACAGGTCTGCGTTTGATCACGTTCCGAAGTATCCATGTGAGCTGGATCCAGCGCTTGGGCCCTGACGTCAATATTTTCTTTCGAAATCTGTTCTGAAAAGCCAATTTGAAACCCAGACCCGTTGTCGCTATGCGGAGCGGCCTCTTCATGATGTTCGGCGTGTCTTTGTATCACGAGTTCCAAATCATCAGTCTCGTGAGATTTGGTGCTCCGTGTGAGGCCAAATACCCGAATCTGCGTTCCCGCTGGCGATATTTTGAATGAGCGTTTTGGTTCTGTGGCGTGATTCGACACGTTTGGAGTGTGTTTTGCAGAGCGGTCGCGACTGGGGACCCAGTACTTGAGGCGAGAAATTGACCCTTCAAGCCAACGCGGAAAAAGCGGCCGGATTATCGGCGCGCACGCGCAGACCTATTGAACAAGTAAGCGCTGTGAGCCGCCGAGGATGAGGCAAGTATCTCGATATTTCACTTACAATTGCTAGGCAGGCTTCGATTTGGCATGTAACAAAGACTGGGTACTGCCACCAACTCATATCCGCATCTCCAAGGAATATCTTGTACATGTAATATATCCGCGCCATACCTGCCCCGCTTACCACGTATCCAAGACCGAAGAGACCAGCAACTATTAGTCGTTGACGTCGTCTCATCTGCGTCCGTAAGACTAAGGGCATAGGTAGAGTTGTAATGACAAAATCTAGGAGGCACTTGAAGACACTGAAAGTGACGGCAATTGGACCCTCCGGTTTGCAGTACGCCCCTACTGGTCCTGTGAGCTCCCAGTAAAATTGGATAGGTCTAGGTCAAAGTCAGTCGAGACCAAATTATGCGTTGTGTTGAATCCGAACATACTTGCAGAGAAATATTTCGAAAAGCAGGAACAATAGATTCGTAACAATGTTGAAAGCTACCGTGGCGTGCAGAGCCATTCGAAACCAATGTGAACCGACTCCTCCAACAAGTCGATAGTAAAAAATCAGGAGCGACATGGCAATGCAGAAAGATTCTAGAATAATTATAATCTTTGCTACAAAAGACAGTCTGATAGAACCTTTCATCTCGGTCAGACTGAACGCTCGTAAGTGTTAATCAGACAGGACGTACCTGACGCCATTGTTAACGGTATGTCCCAAATGTGTCTATTGAAGCCATAACTATGGACTCCGATGTATGTCAAAATGTTCAATGCGAGCATTAGAAACTAGGACTTGTGAGCTCGCATTGTTTCTCATCTTATGTATTTTCCAGCTGTGGCTGCTACGCAGAAATTGAATGTAAGAAACAGGACTTACATATCCAACAAGGATAAAGACATCATCCCATCCATACCAAGTCCTTACGAATAATCTTTTATAAACTCGTAAAGTAATGAAGACAGTCGCGATCCCGAGAAAGACAGAGTTTACAATAACGACTCCATTGCCCCTGGTTTGAGGATGTTCATAGTTCGGAGGAGGAAACTTCGCCAGCTGCTCGGGCGGTGGGTAGTACATTTCTCGATCAAGTCGAGACAAGTTCAGTCTTCGCGGACATTGTGTTTCTGCGAGGTAGAGGATCGGATATAACAAATGCGAAGCACGAAAGCAATGCGCTCAACGAATGGGAGAATGCATCAGAAGACCACAAGAACTTTACCTCCGAAGCCAGCTAGCTGCTCAGACCAAGTTTTAATTCGCGTGGTCAAACAGGCCAGGTGGGTCTCAGCGACCAGCAGAGAAAGCTTAAGTTAAGTTAAAGCAAGGAAAAGGCTGACATAAATGGTATAGATTGAAGCCAGCGAGTCGAGGCGCGTGAAGTCTGTTGATATTCTGCATTGCCGCGAGTCATACATTCGAGGCAACAAAGCAGTTAGTTTCATCTCAACAACTGCGAGAGCAGGAGGCAGCTCGATAAAACGCATTGGAGTTCGTCCTGAAAGTTCTGGACTAATATCTGACTATCCGCATCTCCAAGCATCGCTTGGATTATCTGAATAGGGTCGTGCGTCGAGCGGGCCGCTGATTTAATGATCGTATAATTAATTCACTTGTTCCTAGCCCGGATTCTTTGCGCTCCTCCGTCGACATGAGCAGATCTAGACAATGCACCAAGCTAAGTGGATGCATGGCTTGGCGGGTATCGGCAGCAGTCGAGTCCAATACATGCTCATAGCCGTGTTCCTCAATGCGCAAAACATGACGGAGTACGGTGCCAGGAATTAATGCTTCCAAGATAACTAGTGAAGTGAAAGCGCCTGTGGTTGTCGAAACGTGCTGGCCTCCGCGGCTCCGCGCTTGCTGAATGATTCGTGTGATGGAGGTGAAATCCTTGCCGAGCCGATCAATCTAGCTAAAAGATGGAGCGGCTCCGCCATGAAAAGGAAAGGCTTGCAAGCCCCATATCTAGTGGCTCTTGAGACCAGCTGAGGTTGCGTGCTAGCATCTCTTGGGACTCATAACGAAGGGAACGAGGAAGATCAAAGAACGTGGACTTAAGGGGACTCGATCGAATGTTCGGAGAGAACGAAGAGCCGATTCCCATCCTAGCCCAAGATCTCGGACTCCATGTCTGCAGAAGGGTGAGAATGGATGTTGGGACAGGACTTTTGGCCAGGAAACGCCCTACGACGTGCAGAGAGGTCCATCGCGATTGGAAACGACCAGGCGTTGGCGGATGCCCGTGCGACCGCGGGAGGCGCCAGTGTACTTATCACCTGCGGCTTCACGCATCCACCACGCACTTTTCTTCCGTCCGCAATCGCAAACAACTCGGTGGCTCTAGAGTCAATCACAAGAGCCACGATCCCCAGCCTCCAGCTTTAGGCCACGCAGCAGGTGATGCACGGTTTGCCATGGCGCGACCTCGTGGACAAAGAACAAGGCCGTTGTCAAACACTCGAAGCCAAGGCATCGACTGTTTCTGAGTTGAAGACTGACTCTGCGTTCATAATCTACATCTTCCGCCATCCTTTCAACGTTCTAACGACGCCGTGTAAGCACAAGACCGAATATCGTAAACGCCTCCAAATCTTGTAGCCGAAGATTTTGGCGCCACATCAGCCTCCTCTCTTTCTACTCTGTTCCGAAGACGGACAGCAACCTTTAACAACCTGCTTTGCTGTGAAACAGCGCGAATCAAATCTTGATACATTTGTAGGAGAAAGCACTCAAAAGTCAGAAAACCAGCAGGCAGGACGACAACCAGGCTGCAAAGGCCAGTCCACTTAAATTTTCAATCAACGCCATGATCCTATCTTTGTAATCGTACAACCGTAAAGTCACATCACCCATTATTCTCTACGCAGATCATCTGCCTGAAAGACTTCCCAGAGTGCTTCTAGCACCCTGGCTAATCTTCGAGCTCACCCATCTGCCGCTGGAACTCATCCATTCCGGAGTGGTGAACCACCTCTTACTTCCGCTCGCCGAACTTACAACACTGCTTCTGCCCTCCCACTTGTCGCTCCACTTCAACTTGCCTTCGGCAATAGAGTGAATGGCATTGATGACCAAGAACGCTGTGCTACCAATAGCACGGAATAAGGCCAGTGCAGCGACAGACCACAAGATGAACTTCAGATAAAAGTTCTCTCCCGTCGACGTTTCGGAATATGCTTCGCTGACTGACATGGCGAGAATCGCGTTGCAGACAAGCCAAACAATGACCATGTACGTGCGGACCGCCCGATAATAGTCTTCTTGAGCTTGCGCTTCGGATATTCCAGGCTTGGGAACCTCGACCCTGTCGCGTAGCTTGCGCAGCGCTTCATGATAGCCGGAGTCGATATCTAGTTGCTCGGACGGCATGTCCAGCTCGACAACATTGCCGCTGCCTTTGCCTTTCGCGGCGCCGAGATCAGTGTTCAGAACGTTGTCTCCCTTCGTCCCCCAAGTAACATCGTGGGCGTTGCAGAATGCATACACCTGAAGTGTGCAAATATAGCTCGGCAAAAGAGCAAAGTACTGTGCTGACGAGGTGAACATGTGCCATGGATCAAGGTACAGAAAGCTCATCAGGAAGTAGATGCCGATGGTGCTGACCGTGGAGACGATCATGTTGGTGAAGATGTTGTTTCCGATCTCGAATTTGGTCTTGGGATCCTTCAGCTGTACGACGACGATGTACAAAGCCGAAAAGGTAGTGTAGGCCATGATTATACCGTATACGATCATGCTGGACAAATACATCTTCTTCGCACCTTGTGGGCGATTACCCATGGACAGGATGAATTGCACGCAGATAAGCAACACACACGCATACCGGAGTATTACGAAAATGACTTTGCCGATGTTATGACCGAATGGATCCATCTTGGCGTCCGCAAGCGAGCCGGCGATGAAATAGAACGTCAGGTAAAAGTTGGCCAGTGAGAAGAAGGTGAACAACAAAGAGACAAACTGGTATACGAATTCAATGTGGAGGAGAATCTTACGCCAGACGGTGTGATCGGTTTTCCAGATCTGCTTGAAGTGGATCAGGGAGTACACCGCAGCGAAGAACGCTCCGTTCAGCCAACGACGACGTTGGGACACGAATTCGGGCACGGCATCTGCGTTTGATTGTTATTTCCCAGAAAAAAGAGTGCGGGAGTCAATCTTTACTCACCTGGAACATCAGTCTCACCAGTAGCAGCTTTTACGTATTTCAAGACCCATTGCTCATTACGCTTCGCAACTAGCTCCCAGCAGAGAATGCGGTCCTCCGCAAGATACATGTTGGCCGTGAACACATCCGCATCCTGGCCGTGGAGTGTTTCGCCTTTAAAGTATTGGCTGAGAGGACCGTGACCAGTTGAGTCGTTTTGCAGCGCGTGATAGCGATATGCGCTGAGCGCACCTGGCAAGACGGTAATGTAACCGAAAACCGATTCCAAGGGCTTGTCCAGGATGTTCGACATCTTGTACTCAAAGTTTTGCGACGCTACCAGTGGGTTAAGCAGGCCGAGCCACGCCTTGCCCTTGCCAGCCTTGATTTCCCCGGCAGCACCGGCAACACTCGAATCGTTGTCAAAAGCCTTCCACAAGTGATAAAGAGACGTGGCTCCCGGTTTTGTGCCCACGTCCAGCAAAATGCAGATATTTGGGTTGAGCGCCCGCCCAAAGGCATTGAAGAACCAACGATGGGAGTTCAACTTCTTCTGGTTCTTCTCTTTCAGACAGAAGATCATCTGGCAGGGCACAATGCCTTTCTCGGCGCCCTTGAACTTGAGATCGGAATCGAGCGAGACTTGGGTCGTGTATTCGTACACGTGAGCGGTGACCTCTTTCTGGTTGACCAGGTTTTTCGCGATGCCGTCCTGATACACACCCATGGCAGCCAGGACGTCAAGAGTTCTCGGATGCACCTTGTGTCGGCCGTCCGAGATGATGCATACTACAATCTTTTGCCAGCCGTCCTTGCCCCACGTTCGCGACTTTGCGCGCGAGCAGAAGTGCGATATGTTCCGCATCACGTTGTGCATCGTGCGCGTGAAGTCGATTTCGTTCTCGTTGTACATGGTGATGCAGATGAACAGCTCCGTTTCACGCAACGTGCTCCCGTAGTTCTGTCGCAGTTTGTAGCCTCGTGCCACGAAGTCATCCGGGTCGCACGTTACGGCCGTGTATCGCATGTGTGTGAACTCGATGTCGTCGCGCCGCGGGAGGAAGCTGTAGAGGATGGTGGGAATTTTACACTCCAGGATGAGTTCACCGTTCACGAGGCGTACCTCCTTCCGTGTCATGACCGCCTGTCTGACACCCCGTCGCATCTGTTTGCCATCCGGCGCAGGGCCATAGTGCTCCGTCTTCTCATCGTACAAATCGTCCGTAAAAGTTGATTCTGACTGGAACGATTCTGGTCTGTTAAGGTCTGGTCTACTTTCGCTGTCTGGGCCAAAGACATCGTCCGGATCACGGTCCTCATCAATGGGTATAGTCGCCGCACTGAACGATCCCGTGTTCGATTCCCTCGAAACTGGTCTTCCGCCAGCGAAAAGTGGCTGCGGAGGTAGAGGACGTCTCGGACTTCCTCCGTACTGCGAGGCTGGCGTTCCCGGTCTTGGACTACCATTAATATGCTCTGGCTCATAAGGCACGCTCGAAGCAGGCGGACGTGGCCAAGCATTCGCGGTCGACTCTACCGATGGGGACCATGAACGCGTCGGCGAAGTTCTGCCTGGTGACATGGGTCGATAACCGGACATGTAAGGAGGAGCATTGGCAGAAGGCGGTGGGATTTCTGGTGCCGTGTCCACGACAGAATGCGCTCGTGAATGAGAGGTGTGCGGCAGGGATGTCGTAGATGGATGATACGAACTCTGAACTGGTGTAGGACTGCGCATTGTCTGTGGTAAGTTTGATGACCTAACAGTATTGCTGACGCTTTCAAAGGGCAACACAAATCTGGCAGTCTTCGACCTCTTCTTGTTGGAAAAAGAAGGGGAAGAAGTCTCCGAGTTATGCAAACAAGCAGCAGTCTCCCCCATAAGCTTATTGGGTAAGTTAAACGCGCTTGCTTCAACGAACGCTTCTGTTGACAGGGCGTTTGCTCGCTCATTCTCATAAGCATGTGATATAAGCGATGTTGCACATGTTGAGTGGCCTGCCATGCGGGAGGACTGAGTAGGAAATGATTGTACTGACGGTCTGTATTCTTCATGAGATGTCAACAAGCGCATGGTTGAAGCGTTGTTACCATTCAAGTCGACATTGCTGTAGCCTTCCTCGTCCAGTGCAGCAGAGTACGAGGGAGGTCCCGAGTACCGCGGGGGTCCGTTGGATGCCATTGTCGTTGTTTTCTCTGGCGATTCTGGTGTGAATCCGATGGTGAGAATCGAGTCGACGGCGCTCCGGTGAGGTTTGTTTATTCCATGCCCTTTGAGAGTGAAAGAATGGCTGTCAGACGTAGAAATGAAGCGTCTAAGGAGGTACAATGAGTGCTTTAGGCTTATTTCAGCTTTGCGGTAGCGTTCGGATCCGCGAGTGGATAGTGTGTGACGCACGACGGAGCGTCGCGACCAAACAGAGAGGCGTTGTCATGGCGACGGGTAAAGTCACGTGATTAACAAGCGGCTCTCGCGCCCTTTTGTCGCACAGCCAACGAGTCTCAACGCAGCTCAGTTTTAATCAATCGTTCACAAAACCTTGAAATGTGGGTAGCACTTTTGGAGGATCTTGAGGTTGTTAAGAAGGTCGCATACGATCACGAGCCGCGACCTCACAGGAGGTCAGAGACGGTGGGCCAGCAGGGCGACAATAGGCGGATGGCTTGCGTGTCGATAAGTGCATTTTTTTTTCTCCACGATTCCAGCAGCACATGAGCCGAGAGCGGTTTTTCGAAGATTCTGCGCTCGCTCATCCATTCGTCGGGGGGATCTATACCATGCGCCACCGCATGAAAAGGCCTTGTCTCAATTACATTGATACCCTGGGGAGGATCATTCGCGTCCTCTCGGTAAGAAGCGATCGAGGAGCAAGAAGGAAGCATGCCACACAGCGAACAGCGCATGACACTTTTGGCTCTGGTTCCATCTCGACGGCAACTTGATTGAAGGCAGCAGGAGTACTCCGTATTCAAGACTCGATCCAGGAGGCAAAGCTAGTCTTTTCATTTAGGGGCCAAACGGACCACCAGGATCGATTCCACCCAAGCTTACCAACGCGCTTGTTCTCTGTCACGAGTGTTTGGCAAGGGGTAGTGGAGATGAGTCTGTGCAGATCACACAAAGAGTCTTCAGGCCGAGCAAAGATCCTCGCTCGCACCAGCACAACTACATCCAGCATGCACTGGCGCCCGACGTTTCCGCTGGCCTTTCCGGGCTATAGCCCCAGCAGTACGGTCACACAAGAGCGACGGCCTTGAATTCGTTTCTGTGTGTGTTGCGTTCGTGTTGGCAGCGAACAGGAGGCGAAACACGAGTCCAGGGGAGCGAATGTCTATTTCTGACCCATTGGGCCCATGCTAGTCGAGCCAAGGCCGTTGGATTTTGTAACGACCAGACGCACAAGGCGCTGGGCCTCGGACCACAGACAACCCCAAACACCTGGCTAGGCCTCTTGCAAGCCCCCAATTTCCCGATTTTGTGTGGAAACCGTTCATGCAGCGAATCACAAAGTCTCCATTCAGGCATCGGCCTGGCTTCGACCGGTGAGATCAGCACCCAGCACGAGATGGCGGGCTCGTATCGTGAAGCCGCCTCGACTTCAACGCTTCTCTCATAAGGACGGTCTTCCCTGCGTCCTCAAGCTTGTTCTGGTTCCAACATATTGATCGCTCTTTCTTTAATCCCCTGCGGGTCTTTCTTCACTACTTTCGTCTCTGTACTTCTCGCTGCTCTCTTCTTACTCCACCTTCATTGTGCATCTGCACCGGAGAGCGACCCAGTTCTGATCGATATACTTTCGCAGGAGAAGCGCATATCCAATAAAGACATCATGAAGTTTTCCATCATCCTCTCCTCCGTCGCAGCTTTTGCTGCTGCTGCCGTTGACCCTCTCACCGTCACCTCGCTGAATGCCGCTCAGGTAATCCAAATCGCCGCGATCTGCAAGATGGACAACGCGAATTGCTAATGTGCATGTGACAGTCTGCGGCCTTTTTCAGCGCTGAGCAACAGCTCATCCAGTCCTTGACCAACGGACCAGATTTCACGTCCATCCTCCTGGAGGTCGCAACTGAGACTGCTGCTCTCGCCGCTTTCACCTCCGCCGCCGCCGCTCTCACTGCCGGAGTCCCAACTGGCTCTGCCGTCATTGACGCCGCAAAGTCGCTCATCAGTGTTCTCCCATCCGGTGTCGCTTCGTACTACAACAGCATCTTGTCCGCCGAGCTTTCGATTGCATCCTCTGTTGTGAACGACAAGGGGCTAGCCACCGGTGGCTCTGCCCAAGGCGTTGCGACAACTGGCGCTGCAACTAGCACCAGTTCTGGCAGCGGAGCTGTCCCAACCGCTGGTGTCGTAAAGGCTGCCGGGGTTGCTGTGGGCATTTTCGCGGGTGCTGTCGCGATGCTATAAATTGGCAAAAAGAGGAGAGTGGTCTGTGGCGGGAGAATCTGGAATCGAGTGTTGAAAATGAGGCTAATTGATTGCTCATTGCCTTCATTATGCTTATTCAGCAGCAACGGCATGCTAAGTGACTGGTATCTGACGCAATAAAACATCAGCAAGAACCATTGCGGATTGTGCAGTTTGTTTCAGCCCCTATCTGAGAAATGCCGTATTCAGGGTCTCGCAAGTAGATGGGGGGGCTAGCAATGGTTGTGATATTGCTATTTCCTGCTTGTGAGAGAGCACAATAGGCGCTTCTCTAATGGAGTCTCCGTCCAACCGTGCTGGCGAGCTGTTTCAAACCTCAGCAAGCACAGCGGTTCTTGCTGGACGCAACAAGTAGAAGCAAATATATGTGACTTAATTACTATACCATGCACAGTCTGGCGGCGCCGCTTCGTCTTTGTTTTCGAATGGATCCGCGATACAGATGGAAGTGGTAGGCAGAATTCCGAAACCTTGCCCTCTAAACTTTTGAAAACAGTCTCGTGAAAAATCACACTCTCGATTGCTTTCGTAAAAGAACAGACCCCGCACCTAACTTAGACTTGGTTGCTTTATTGCCAAAGTCCCAATGCGGGAAAACACCACGCTGCTCAATTGAAAATCTTGGAGAGGACTGGCATTTACTTACCATGGCGTCCGAGGTGTCAAATTTTTGAGTCTTGGGATTAAGTATCTCGCCTCTAATGGTCTATGTACAAGGAGTGACTCGTTATAACATTGTATTGAATAGAGATGAAACATTATCATGGCTCGTCAGTAATCTGCACGCAGATACAAACTGCGTACTAATACCCTAGAATATACTTTACCCATCCAGCAGCATCGTCAGAATATATGTCAAAGTAGTCGAGATGCTTGTTGACATCAAAAGGCCCCGGACCTTGAGCTGCACACACGGGATCCGCAACGTCACAGTAACTTCGTAGAATGCTGCTGAATTTGTTCAAGTTGGCGAGTTGATCGCCGCTTCGAGGATCGTTCGAGTTGTACGGGGCACCCGATAGGACGTTATATGGTTGGTCAGCGACATGCTCAACGTCGCCGAAGAGCAGCGCAGCCTTCACTTTTTGGGCGAAATCAGATCTTGTTGCACTTGTTCACGGGATGTAGATACGTACGCTGATTGCCAGGACTGGTTGATGGATCAATGCCAGCATTTGTGGCGACTGTGCAATCGCCGCTGAAATAGCCGCCGCCGCCACCAAGAACATTCCCAGCGACGTGAGCACCCTGCGAGTAGCCGCTCAAGACAAGCTTTGAATTCGGGCACCGAGCAGCATACGCTGTCATCTGAGCTACGCCATTGGCGCTGCCTTCCGACACGGACTCGCAGTAGCTGTTGCCGGGCGTGTTGTAGAACAAGATGTCCTCGTAGTCGCACGAATCGATTCCGTAACAGATGGCGCCAGCCAGCTTGCCCAGTCGTCCAGGATACGTCTCATTCCAACCTTTGGACAGGAAGATGTGAACATCGGTGCACGGCGCATCCGAGGACTGCCGTTCCTCGACCGCACGACGGAAGAGCGAGGGAAACGGGAAGGCTGCCACGGCAGAGGCACCGGCAGCAAGAACAGAGAAGCGCATCGTGACAAACCAGCACAGCAAACCTACAGCAGGAAGAACGGATTTTTCAAGAGGAGAGACAGAGAGGAAAAATAAGGAAAAAAAAAATAAAATGTCTGCTTGGACATCGGTGCTTTACCAAGCCTCTCTACTTGTCTTGGCCGTATTCTCCCCAGTTTTCTTTCTCCACCTAGCCATGGCACCTTGATACAAGTAGTAGCATCCTGCAATGCGGAAGTTGTTTTGTTCCACATTTTATGACCCACTATGACGGAGGTCTAAACCAGAAATAACGAGTAATGCTGATCGTACTATACATAGTGCTACATGAAGCAATGGCATTGCACTTTAATGTGAGACGAGAAATTCCTTATTTGATAGCAGTGACTCGCAAACTGTGATCAGGTATCTTCCGGCCATTTGTAGAAAGTGTTTCATTAAAGACCATGTTAGTACGGGTTTCCCCACTCCAGCCTCTTGTTTTTCTCTTATTTATCGGAGTGATGACTAGGACTCCTGCTGTGCAGTCCTCCCGTCTCCATTATCCTTCAATCGATTTTTAACCAATAAGAATTCTCCAGAACTTACATTCATTAAGCTCATATTTCTCTCCTATAGTAAAATCTGGCAATACCTTATCTCTCCCTTATTAAGGGTCGAGAATATCTAGCGCTGTTATTTGCCCCGTTGAAGACAACAGGATCGCCTCTCTTTCATCAACGAACAGAGCCTGTCTTGGTGCGAGAATGTGAGCATGACCATTGGGTAGATGGACAAGTTCGTAATTGTATTCTTCATTCTTGTGCTTGAATATAGCGTCCAGCTTAGTTCAATAGGACTGGAGAGGTTGGGATATCGGGCATGAAGTCCTTTGATAGGGGCATAATCCAATTATTTTGAAAGCTTAGAGTACCACGTTGAATTCACATATAGCACAAAAGCCTCTCGTACGTTATTTTTGAAACAATGCTCCTGAAGAGAGAGGCCGAAATGACGTAGGGATAGAACTGACGGGATATGTGAGCAACACATGGTGATTGCAATGGGATGAATCGATTCCTAGCTTGACGAAAACCTAGAGTCAACTGCTATCAAAGCCTCTATTCCCCATAAATGGACCAGTTTCACCTTGACGATGAATGAGTCATTGATTTTCGAATCTTTCTGTTCAAGTGAAATTCCAAGCAGACAGCGAGATGCTTTGCGTATTACTCTCGCACCGATAAATCCAGCTTTCTTTAAGGCAGAAAAAAAATGATCGCTTCATTTTGACTATTGATCATCAACTTCTAAAGCAAAGAATAACTTAGGACGGAAGATACTTCTCCGGAAGCTCAATTATATCATTATCATCTCGTCAAGCTGAAGTTCTGATCTGCTGAAAGAGAGGCTTTGATGGACCTTGCTGCGTGATATCTAGACTCAAGCGATCTGAACTCGGCCCATCTGTCTACTACTACTAGAATTTTCGTGCCTTGACTCTTCATGCTCATCCTCGTTGTAGTTCTTGCCCTCGCCTCAGGGCTCGTCCTAGCCATATTCCTTGCTCTTGCGCCTACTGCATCGTTCAGCTTCCTCATTGCCACACTCTTCCGCTGTAGAGTACCTTTTGATTTGATTCTCCAAAGTTTCGCCAGATTTTGCCAACATCATGTAACTCTCGCCCTCACACTAAGAGAGCACACACGAAAATGCTCCCAGCCATCGCAAACTGCAAGTCCCTTTCTAGCAGGCTTCTAAATTCATTATCACAATGATTGTGAGCAATGAACAACAGTGCGTCCAAGACGAGAGTGGCGCATTTGAGTCGCGCAAAAGCTATTTGTAGGCTTTGTCTGGTTCTCCTGAAGGCCTTCTTCGCACGCAGTTGCTTCTATAAAGACTTGTGTTTCGTCGGAGCCACTTTTATTCCATGAATGAACACCGTTCTTAAGAAGAAATTCTGTCATTGCGGTTTGTTTGGATCGCAGCGCTACGATGTGTTTTGCTAGCACTTCTATGGCCCTCTGGCAGTTCATTGTCGCGTGGATCAGTTGTGCATAAATTGATCTGCTTGGTTAGTACTTGGAAAAAGCGTGGACAGAAAAGGCATATCTGATCAAACTTCGCTCACTACTCAAATTTAAGTATTATTCGCAACGAATTGAAGTTTGGGTTAAGGAATGTTATACAGATGGGACTATGCTCGCAGGAAATATCCGATCGAATTTAAGGGCATTGAAGCCAATTGAGCTCCATACAGACCGTTTTGGGTAGTTTGATAGCACCTCCTGACACGACTCTACGCATCCGATGAAAGCCGTGTAAACTTCGAACATGTAGTATAGCAATAGACTCCATAACGTATCGGAGGTAAAGAGCTAACCTTATACAAGAATGCACATTTCTCAGAGAGGAATTTTCCCCGTTGTGGAGTGGAAATGAATTACAATGTACTTCAAAATTCCTTGAGGGTGCCAGCAAATGACTATAACGGGAAAATGGACGAGTTCTGTTTACCCCCAAAGGACGGAGACTGTCTTCAACAGTCGAGGTCTGGTATGTAGCTCAGAGAAGAAGTTACTCCAAGAAACCAGAGAATCTTAAGGAGAATGGCAGCAAGCTTGTCTCTATTATAATGGAACTATAACATTCATTTGGACTTTGAGTCCTTTTCTTGGTGAAAGTAATCTCGTCGGTTAAATGAGTGGCGTCAACGAAACTAAACACAGAAATCAGCTACATAAAAGAGCATTCGGATCATAGTAATAAACGAAGAGTTCAAAGACTTAAATGCAATTATTCTTTTCCGTCACAATGCAACCAAGATCATGGACAGAGGAAAGAGGGAGTATTATAAAGAGCAAGCAGATAATCGCCTTGCAGCCTGGAAGCCTTGGCGCGCTTTCTTCCCCGACGGAGGTGGGTTTCCTTTTTGGTTAAGTTAAGCTACTGCAAAAAGAACGAATCAATCCATCCTTTCATTGCAGTTGCAATTGCTTTCGAGCAGCCCACAGGCAGGCCATCATTGCCTGTCTCGCTGCAATGTCAAAGCCTACATCGCCAACGGCGCAATTGCTGAGGAATTCACGCCTCTTTTCTCTACCTCAAGCGCTGCCTCGACCTATAGTCGAACAACCTGTCGCTGGCGGATTCTTCAGATCGTCGGACACTGCAACGACGCCGTACCCATTGCGACAAGCCATCATCACGCCTAATTCATCAGCTAGCCGCGGTGACTGGGGTCTCAAACGACCGCTACCCAAGCGCATCGCTAACAGATCCTCCGAACCAGTGCACACCGTCGTTGCTAATGATACCTATGAAGGCGTCACCGAGTATCACTCCGCAAGCCCACATGTCAAGACACTTGAGCGGTTCCAGGAACTTAATATTGGCATGACTAGGCAAGACCGTAAGGCAGGAATCAGGGATGTGAAGTTGAGTGCTATGGAATCGAGTCTAGACTTCACCGATCCAGAGATTGGAAGGGACAGGAGGTGGAAGTTCGAGAATGGACACGTGAGGACAATGACGCCAGCAGAATTCGATGAATTCTTGCGGAAAAAAGTCGCGGGTAAGAGGGACGAATTCATGCTTCAGCTGCAAGCTCGTGTTCATCGCCAACAATTGGTCGACATATGCGAGAAGGAGAAGGAGGCTATGGAGACTGGGTCTTCGACTGAGACCCAATCTCTCGATCCAGATGCGTATGCAGTGAGAAAGACTTTTATGCAGTGGGTGCTTTTGATGACAGATGCGCAACTCACTCAGTACCTCCAACAACTCCGCATTATTCTGGGCACAGGCGAGCAAAGACAGGTAGGACCGGACGGGTCTATACCATCAGAACTTGCCGATGAATTTCTCTCTCTGGCCATGGATCCCGGTGGACAAGTCTCAGAAGGAGATCTGCAGACGCTTGCAGCGTCTACTTTTTCTGCCGCTTTAAGCCACACACTGAAAACGAAGTGGTGGTCCCGAGATCTGGAGGAGGACTCATCACATCAAGGCAATCTGTTACGCCAGAAGCTAGCAAATGCCCAAACGCCAAAATCTGGTCTGCCCGCAGTTGGTCGACCTGCCATCGGTCGCGCAGACGCCCAACAATGGCTCAAATATCTTGGCCTGGCTGAACAACATGAGAAAGAGTTTCTCCGCTCGTGGATTACCAAGGAATGGGACCCGAAAGGTGAGATTCTTCAAAAGTCACTTCATCAGCTCCGCAACGACATCACTTTGGAATCACCATTGAACAAGCATATTCGCGAGTTTCTTGACATGCCCCCCACAAGGACATCAGCATCATTGGCGACGCTTCCGGATGGTTTCCCGGGTGCAAATTACGCAGCAGAAAACACTTTCAGTCTGTCTACACATCCCACCGCTGGTCTATCATACCTTCGCACCAATAGCATACTGCACAACCATCCCATCCTTGGCCCTCAAAGATCTGATCCGCCGGTCAAAGCGCGATTCATTGCAAACAAGCACGATCAAAAAGGTAGTATTGCGGTTGGTGTTGCAGGCTTTGTGGCAGAAGAGCGAGGTGAACAGAAACCAGATGTGGTAACCAACGGCGGTCATAAGTTTGAGCGCCAGATCAAGAACGTATACGTAGAAGGCGATGCCCGGATTCACTTTGAGCTTGGCGAAAACAGGGACAAGGAGGCGGTCCGTGTGCGAGATGGACAGCTAGATCGTGGTGCAGTTGACTGGAAGACTGCGCAGCAGGAACTTGCTAGTAGTCATCTTATGAGCGTGCTGAAGGCACATGGAAGGAGAAAGGAAAGACATGATCCGGCCTCTCCTGCTACGCGGATTTCATCTCCAGCAAGAGCGAAGCCGCTTGAGAATCAGGCGGTCGATGCACTGAAGACACTTCGCTCAATATTGCGCAACGGCGGACAATCCGAGTCTTGATCCCCGAGATCAGTAGAAGGTGGGGATTCGGTGGGGCGGATGTATATTAGCTGTTACACACTTGCTGTTTTTTTTTCGTTTGAATGTGTCGAACAATCTAGATGGCAAAAAAAAAAAAAACATTGTACAAAAACAAACCATCAGCGCACTTTCTTGCCTGACAAAGTTTTTGGGTCATTCTCGTGACGAAGTGACGTCCTTGACTACGTTAGGAAGTTGGGTCGAACGGCTGGAGTTAAGCATTGGTGATATTTTGCGTCCGCCGCAGGCTACGAGCAAAGTCCTTTGGAGAATAAAGCCTCGTCCTAATCTGCCAACTGGCGAGGACTTTTCCTCCTGTGACTTTCCACCGTTAATATGAACGTCTGTTTGGATTACTCAGTTCTCCCTAGGACCCGGACAGAAAACGAACGTAGTAGGATGCCCATCAGGGTCCGTGGCTGACGGAAAAACCTCAGCCTTTGCTTGTTGTTACCGTGATGTCCATCCAGCAGAAGGAGGAGTCGCTAAGTTGAAGATCAGGATATTTCGCCCGAATCTCTCACAGTGAAAGCGGTAACTTGGATGTTCAAGGGGAGCATGACACGGCCTCACTTTACCACGTGTTTGTGAGCTGATATTTTAGCCACCACTTTGAAGACCGCTGCGAAAGTCCAGCTTGGCTATTCTAGTAACAGCTCCCACCTATTTTCTTTCTTTTCTTTTCTCTTTTTTTCTTTTCTTTTTTCTTTTCTTTTTTCTTTTTTTTTTTTAAAAAAAAAGGTATTATTCCCGACGGAGCCTATTCCCATCGACCAAAAGTGCAGCTTGGCCCGGCTATGAAGTGGTCAACGACCGAACTCTCCGCAATCGCACCTGTCAGCATCTGCGTCACCAAGATAGGGTCGGCCTGCGGGGAAGCCGAACCTTCTTGTTTGTTTCGTGCATGAGCGTCTTCGGAAGCACAGGAAAGCGGAAATTGGTGACAATGCAAGATCCGTCGCAAGTAAGCTGCCGTTCGCATCTGGGCTGAGCAACGGGAATTCGGCCATTGGCTGGTAGCGACCAAAGCCTTGCGCAGCTCCGCGATCGCAGCGTCATCCTCGACCGATATCGGCCGGGTTATTGTGAAAGTGGATGTGATATCAACTTGTGTTTTCACCAAGAGAGGATAATTTCAACCTCTATACAAATTTTTTCACACTGTGGTTTTTCTGGGCAGGAGCCTGAATCACCTTGCAAGATGCCTGGAGTTGTGAAGGGACCCCAGACCCTCTACGATAAGATCTTTGATGCTCATATCGTCAACGAATCCGAAGATGGCACAATCTTGCTCTACATTGGTGAGCTCGGGTAATTCGGTAGTTCTCCTTCGGCAGGAGCTGACAATGTGCTACAGACAGACATCTAACACATGAGGTCACCTCACCTGTAAGCCGTGTTGAATCTCCGTCAGCAAGCTCGTGTACTAACTCTCACCAGCAAGCTTTCGAAGGCCTGGAGAAAGCCGGCCGTAAAGTTCGCAGAACAGACCTCACTCTTGCCACAGTGGATCACGTAAGTTTTTCTGCAAACTTTCAACGTAGATTGTGCTTACGGTAGATGGCAGAACATTCCAACCACGTCACGGAAGACGTATAAGAACGTCGACACATTTGTCGAGGAGGCTGACAGCAAGCTTCAATGCATGACGCTGGAGGAGAATGTGAAGAAGTTCAACGTCACATATTTCGGCCTGGGTGATAAGCGACAGGGCATTGTGCATATCATCGGTCCTGAGCAGGGCTTCACTTTGCCTGGCACCACTGTCGTATGTGGTGACAGTCACACCTCGACCCACGGCGCCTTTGGCGCGCTCGCCTTCGGTATCGGCACATCTGAGGTCGAGCATGTCCTGGCGACGCAATGTTTAATCACACAGAGAAGCAAGAACATGCGAATACAAGTTGACGGCGAGCTTGGTCCGGGTGTCAGCAGCAAGGACATTATCTTGCACATCATTGGCAAAATTGGCACCGCGGGCGGTACTGGCCATGTCATTGAGTTCTGCGGTTCTACTATCCGCGGCCTCAGCATGGAGGCAAGGATGTCCATGTGCAACATGTCTATTGAAGGTGGTGCTAGAGCTGGCCTGGTTGCTCCCGATGAAACCACCTATGAATACCTAAAGGGCAGGCCACTTGCACCGGAATACGGCAGCGCCCTATGGAAGAAAGCTGTGGCCTATTGGGATAGCCTGAAGTCGGATCCTGATGCCAAATACGATGCTGAAGTCTTCATTGATGCCAAGGACATTGAGCCAACTGTTTCTTGGGGCACATCGCCTCAAGATGTAGTTCCAATCACGGGTGTTGTGCCAAGCCCGGACGACTTCAAGGACGAGGCGAGAAAGAAGGCCTGTGAGCGAGCCCTGAAATACATGGGCCTCACTCCAGGAACTCCAATGCAGGACATTGTGCTCGACAAGATCTTCATCGGCTCATGCACAAACGCGCGCATTGAGGATCTAAGAATTGCGGCACGAATTGTCAAGGGCAAGAAGGTTGCAGCGAATATCAAGCGAGCTCTTATCGTGCCTGGTTCGGGTCTCGTTAAACAGCAAGCTGAGGCGGAAGGCCTTGACAAAATTTTCGAGGATGCTGGCTTTGAATGGAGAGAAGCCGGCTGCTCCATGTGTCTGGGCATGAACCCGGATATCCTGTCTCCGCAAGAGCGTTGCGCGTCGACGTCAAACAGAAATTTCGAGGGTCGACAGGGTGCTGGAGGCCGTACGCATTTGATGTCGCCGGCCATGGCCGCAGCTGCCGCCATTACCGGTAAGCTTGCTGATGTTCGCAAGGTTGCTGCCGGCATCCAGCTTCCATCCGTTGCTAAGGGATCACCACGAATCGAGGTTGCGGAAACAAGCGACATTGAATCGGATGCCGACCTGGAGAACTTCACTGACGTTCCAATGGACGGCCAAGGCGCTTCGAAGTCAACAGGAGCCCCAGCCACTGGTGGCATGGAGAAGTTTACTCAGCTGAAGGGCAAGGCAGCCGCGATTGATGTGTCGAATGTCGACACGGATGCTATGATGCCCAAGCAGTTTCTCAAGACAATTAAGCGCTCAGGTCTCGGCTCTGCACTCTTCAATCCGTGGAGATATAATGCAGACAACACGGAAAACCCAGATTTCGTGCTGAACCAGGAGCCTTTCAGAAAGGCTAAGATCATGGTGTGCACTGGCCCTAACTTTGGCTGTGGTTCTTCACGAGAGCATGCGCCTTGGGGGTTCCTTGATTTCGGCATTAGATGCAACATCGCGCCGTCATTCGGCGATATCTTCTACAACAACTGCTTCAAGAACGGCATCCTCTGCATACGAATTCCGGATCAGGCGGTTCTCGAGAACATTGCCGAACACGCAAAGCGAGGCGAAGACATCGAGGTCGATCTGCCTGCGCAGGAGATCAAGGATGAGGCCGGCAATGTGCTGGCCAAGTTCGATGTCGAGCCGTTCCGAAAACATTGTCTGGTCAATGGGCTTGACGACATTGGTCTGACAATGCAAATGGATGACAAGATCACCAAGTACGAAGCTATCCGCTCGAGGGATTATCCTTGGCTCGATGGAACTGGATACATGAGCAGGAACCGCAAAGGTCCAGTTGAGGTGAAGGCTGTCCCCGTGCCTAAAACGAATCGTGGACAAGAGCTCAGTGAGCCCATTGACTGGTAGACTGTTCCAAGTGGATGCATGCCGCAGAAATGCAGTCAAGTGGGATGGAGGGATCCATTATCCGCGCTTAATGACCTTTTCTCGTGATTAACTTCAAACCTCAGGAGCCGGTAGGGGCAGTAGTATGGCTGTGTCTGCCTAATGTAGCTTAGTAAATATATGCTATGCGTGTACGGCCTCACATTGAAAGGGAACTATACGTACAGAATTCAACACGTAGCTTTCTCACCCTTTCTCTGCATCGCATGAAATAGCGCATGGTTGCATCTTTCTGCAGTCGAGCCCTCCGACCCGTCGCTCTTACGTGGCTGGGGAACGTAACGCATCAAGAAAGCCGTACAAATGTGCCGATCAGCGACAAGAGGATGTTGGTGCAAGAATGCAGCCCCACGGCCTAGACTTTTCTTCCCGTAAGCCAAAAGCCGACGTGTGGCGTCTGTGTCATGAGTCGAGGTCTGCGCTGTGGAGTTGGGAATATACTTGCCGGATGCCGCTGGTTCGGCCTAGTAACTCGTGCTGCTCGGTCTAGATCTTTTGGTTGCAAGGTTCTGTAAGGTGACTCCTTGCACGCACGACATGCACGGTTTCGCTTTCGCAATCAGATTGAGCTATGTACCGAGCCTTGGTTTACGTGTCTGTGTTATTTTGTGTTTTTTGTTTTTCCCGTTCTGGATGCTCGTTTGCCTTTTGCGCGTCCGAGCCGCTTCTCGTCAATGAAAAGGGCTTTCGCACGCACCATGACCTCCGCTTAGAGGCGACTAGAAAGCTTTCTAGTGCGTGTGGACATGCGGGTTGAGATATGCTCAAAGGTACTTTTTGTGCGTACAGACGGCTCAGCCTCAGTATTTTCTTTTTTTTTTTTTCTTTTGTTCCGATCACGATTTGTTTCGTTAAGCATCATGCATCTCAACGACTAACGCCCTCGGAAGTATCTCCGAGCAAAGGGCGGCATTGACCAATCACAAGGCGTCCGGAGCTAAATGCGGAGAAGCCTCTGGCTAGTCTGGAAACAGCTCGTCCGATCTTTGCAATTCAACAACCGCAAGATTTTCAACAGTGGCAAATTCGCAGTGTCACTTCCACTGGCTATTTCCACCGCGTCGAGCGCTTATCAGCAACGGATTTAAGAACAGAGATCTCGATGCTCGACAGTTCTGTGGCAATTTCTTGGTACCTCTGGCGACGATCTGGATCCGAGGCGAAGAAAAGAGGCGTGAATTACCGCATGTTACAGCAGAATGGCTGACGAGTTTGCATTCAGCTCTTCCAGAGGGCTTCCGTCGCGAAGGTTCCTCAATCGTACAGTCCGGCACGGGTCGTGAATTGGGGTGTATTCTGTCAAGCGAGTGGAATGTAAGCAAATTGGCAGGACGCAACGGCGTGCCCGTTGATGCGCAATAGTAGTCGTGGCCGCGTAGCTCATTCGCCACGCTTTTCCCAGCATCGAGATTGAAGCAGAAGATCGAATTCTTTGGATTCCCATCATTTCCGACGGCCCCAGCTGGGCAGGGAAGACGGGCGTCCATGTGCCGGGCTTGTACACGCCTGCTCGACGGACTGACACAGCGTCGAGGAGACAAGCCCAGACGCTGAATGCGTCTGCTCTGGCGACATCTGGCAAGTCATTGGGCCAGACGCTTCTTTTTGGCTAAAGTAGTCGAGAAACGCCGTTGACCGTACCCTTGCGAGCCCGCCGCCATCATTTTGCATCCTTGCATTTTCACCCAAAAATCGGAGTAGGTCCCGCGAGTCGCCCTGCACTTGCGTCTCGGTCCGCGGGCGTCAAGATTTTTCGATTGAGAAAGCCGTTCGCGACCGTTGCTCCAAGTCAGCAGACGACGCGCTTTCTCCGACCTTCCCACGTTGACTTGACAGTGCTCTTTTACCACGCTACCTGATGCACAGCTGTCTGTGCATCCCTAGCGAATCCCCTCTCCAGATTGTTCGCAGACCATCCGAAACCCGGAAGCGCGCGAACGACCTTCGTTTGCGGATTCAATACACGTCTAGCCCACTGGTACGCTGGCTGGATCATGTGGGCTTGCTGCTAATCGTCGCATCCGAGGCAAGACGCTTTTTTTTTCATGGTGGTTTTGGGACATGTCTTCTTGTAGGTCATCGCTCTTAGAACAATACTCTCCTCCAGCGTTCAGTGCTCGTTTGCGAACGTGCGATAATCCGTCCAGTCACTGCTGCCCGGCCAGCCTCAGCTCACAAGCTGTCGCGCTGTCGTGGGGCCATCAAGCTCGGCCACGGAGTTCGCCAACTGTGTATTTTCGCGTTATGAGAAAAGGAACAGTCTTTTAGGACTACCCGTCTTCTTGCTCGTAGCGCCTCTGTGCTCACTGACTTGATCACACTGTCGCGCTGACATGAGCTCCTATCAAGCTATACGCCCACGATCTTCTAATCCCCCCACTGAAGACGATGCTTCACAGCGCTCCAGCCAGCCTGCGGAATCGGCTGTCTCTGTGGGAAAAGGTAGAAAGAGAAAAGCGCCTGCCCACGTCTCCCAAAACGCCTGCACTAACTGCAAAAAAGCCCGAGCAAAGGTGAGCGGCCATCATCCCCAGGATTTAGCGTGTGATGTGGTTGTGTTAATGTGGTAATTATAGTGTGATGGGATCGAGTGGCAGACGTGCTCGCGATGTAATAGCAGAGCCTTGAGCGATAGTTGCCAGTATGAAGTTCACGTAAAGACCGCGAAGGAGGAACTCGTTCGCCGAATTAAGCATCTGGAAGGTACGATTGACCAGATGCAGGCTGAGCTCAAGGAGAAGGACACTTGGATACAAACGTTGCGCGACATTTTTAGCCCGGGCACCAGAGGATTCACGATCCTTGAACAACTCCAGAACGACGGCGATTCGTACCAAGCGCTTATCGACACGCTTTCCTCGCTACCAAAGGCATCCAGACATATACCGGGAAATTTACAGCTTCTTCAAGGTTCTGACTCTGGAGACGCCATGGACACAGACGATGATAACACATCTCGCTGGACTAGTGTCACGCAAGACGAGAGTAAGATTCATCATCTGATGGCGCTGTACTTTGCTTGGGTACATCCGGTGCATATGTTTTTCAGCGAACGGCACTTTTTGGATAGTTTCAAGAACCGCAATGGGGTGTACTGCTCTTCCGCGTTGGTCAATGCAATCTGTGCGATGGGATGTCGCTATTGCGAAGATGTTACGGGAAGTAAGGTTGCAATAACGCGTCTTGGGGACCGATTTACTCAGCAGGTCTGGGCTGAGTTGAAACTAGAAAAGGTCTTGACTCCGCTCTCTGCTGTCACTTATGCTATAATGTTCCTGGTTGAGCTCAGCGCAGGAGACGCAAGAGCCGCTTCTTCGCACTTGCGTCTGGCTACAGACTCACTTCGAGAAGTCAACAAATTCGGGTGGTCAGAAGAGGCTTTTCAGATCACGTTCTTCGGCATCAATGCTCTTAACATGTGAGGCTGCATAGACTATGTTAATATGTGATTTGCGGCTAATGATTTTAGCAATTGGTGTGCTCTAGTGTATCAGAAACCGCCCGCGCCTGTTCTACAGCACGCCAAAGTTTTTGAAAACGTGGAACTTGATCGTCCTGGTCAGTCGTGGCGCCATTACAAAGTTGAAGGAGATGCGATAAAACCGGACATAGCATCTCGTGCCTTAGCAACAGCTAAGGAGTCTGCTAAACTCTCCATAATCAACCTCGATGCGATATCCACCTGGTGTGGAGGCCGTGGTCGCGTCACAACGAAACACATTTTAGGGCTTTACGGCAGGTATCTCTCATGGAAGCAAGAGCTTCCTCCTGCGCTGTGTGAGAAGACCTACGATCTACAGGACTTTTCAGTCGAAGGAATTCTACCTTATACCCTTCTACTGCAGTAAGCTCTTCACTTGCTCTGTGTCATGTTGATATAGGAGGCCTAATTGCGCTTAGCATCACGTATTGCGTTGCTATTTGTCAACTATTCAACCCGCTCCTCGAATGTCGTCAACTACCGAAAATTGCCAAGCTTCAAATTCAAGCGATCATAGTACGAAGTGCTCAAGAAGGTTTAGGAATTTGCGAAAAGTTCGCGAAATGTTTCAACAACCGCTATCAGTCACCTTTGCAGGCGTATTGCATGGTTCACCTGGCAGATGTGATTCTTAGGCTCGATAAGCAGAGCGCGGAGAGAATCATATATTTTTGCCTCAAACAGCTTGGAGAAGCGCTACCTGGTTTCCCAGTTGTGGGTCCGTTACAGTCCATGTTTTGCGAATCGGTGCTTGCGTGCGGACTAGATTTGCCCAAGGATGTAGATTTGTTAATGGGCGGCCGATCATGGAAGAGCTACTCCAGAGAGGATAAGCTAGGTTGCTCTGAGAGATTGACTTATACTCAGCCAGTCGATTTGTTGGCTGCGGCAATCGACCCTTCTCTACCCGAAACTTTCAAGTCAGAATGGGATGACTTTATGAAGGATCATGGCAGATGGGAGCTCGGCGATCCGGAGAGGAGACGGCCTTCAAGCACTTCAACTTCCACAGGACCAGAGACACGATCTTCGGAAATGAGAGCGATGGATATAAGCTCGCTCATGAATCCTCGCATATAACAGAGCATATTATGCTGATCGAGACAAGCATGATGAGTAGTCGTATAGTCCGTTGTTGTCAAAGCGTCAATACGAAATTCTGGCACAAGTGCAAAGGACTGACAACTTCCTCAAAAGGTCGAAATCATACTGGCGTGTTAGAGCTTGAGCAGCCCTCTGCACAATAATTTTTCTAGCGCCATCTGATGGCTCAAAATTATCGGAGTAAACTCCCTAGTGGGGCCGCCACTAAACAGCGCTAATATCAACAACGACCCACGGTTCTGCATCACGGAAATCACTAGCGACCATCTTTTCGCCACTGATTTAATTCGGTGTCAGTGCCAGCGCACCGCTCGAAAAGTAGATCCTTCTCCTCGGAGTAAATTTTCTGTGGATTGCTTTGCAACAGCAGGCCAGCTGATATCGATGGTCAAATTCCGCCGCTGGGTTTACTAATCTACGAAGATATCTCCGACTGCTAAAGCAGATATTGCGGCTTCTCACTCCCTTTCAAAGGATCTTTCATTTCCTCAAGTCCGCTCGATGCGCCATAAGGTAACGACATCGTGCTAACCGTTTTGTGTGAAGCACTTGCAAGAGGCATCGCATATGTGCGCGCCTAATTTGAAGCTACTTCGTAATCTGTTCAGCTCGCCTCCGCCGGTACGGTGAGGACAGTAGCAAACTCCCGTGCCCGTTTTAAGACACTAGCTGCATCATCCACAGGACTTCGTCCTAGAAAATGTACTGCTCCTGCTTCCGACGTGTATGTTGTGATCTAGGAGAAGCCGTTCTCCACTTGTCATGCATACAGCGATCAGCCGCAATCATGGAAGAGCACTTAGAAGTCTAGATGGTTATCCTGAAAGTTTGTTTGAATCAACGTAACATCCAAAAGATTATTTAAGTTACCGTAGAATAACAACACTATTGTAGACGAGCCCCTTCTGCCGCGGCTGCCGGCACGGTCATTGAACAGGCTGAGGAGGAGCCTCCGCTGGAGTATCAATTCGTTGGAGTCTGGGGTGCTAGTTCCACCCACAATTCAGGCCATCCATCCAATCGGTCGCTGGGTCGAAATCTGGACAACCTTCGCGCGTAGAACCTGCTTCCACTCAAGGAACTAACAATATGATAAATCTGTACCCAAAGCTTTTTTGACTTCTTGCACATACTTGAACTTGATTGAGCCTCATTCCCTGCAACAACAGCGTTGCACTCCGTCGCGAAAGGGATGAAAACAAGCCAACTCGCCTCGTCTCATCAGCGAGACCGTAAGAGTCCTCCTGAACCCCATATTCAAGCTATGGCTCGAAAAGAGCTGAGTAGCTGTGACGCAAAACACATCAGAATCTGCTTTTAGCTACGATATACTACACCGATCATCACACCCAAACGAGTTGCTACAAGATAAAGAGCGAGTAATTATGATGCCTGCTTCTCATTCTTATGCCGAGCGGTATGTCATTTGCGCAATGAAGAATCACTGCAAACATAGGCATCAGGAAACCTATCCCTCGCCGATGCTAACAGACAGACTCGGAGCTCTCGGATCCAGACCTTTACATTTTTCTCCATCCGCACATTCCTCTCAATGACACAATGCAATTTCACGAATGAACGAAAGCACAGTCTGTGTTTTCAGTCCTGCCTTGATCCGCGACCTCGTACAACGCGTAGTGGTGCCGATCTCGATTGGGGCCAATAGCCGTGTCAATCGGCTTCAAACCACCCAGATCGCGATTTGCAAAGCTCAATGACCGCTTTAAAAATAGTGCGTATCCATCTGCCTGGAAGAGACGTCCCAAGGATTCAACTTCACAGTGGAACCCAAGCAGACTGAGGTTTGTCTTTGTGACTTGCAAGTCCAGTCCTTTCTTACAACCGACCTTAAGCTAGGTGGAGCGCACGAAGATACAACCCCCCTTGACGCCATTCACCCTACCCACTGTATAAACGAGTTCAATCACAGCAAGGTGAAAAAGAAGCGCCAGGATGAATCAAGATGAAGAAGAGAGGAAGAGTGAACATCAGCGGACACATAGCAAGGAACGGGGTTGCCTGAAGACTTCAGCCTTGATATCAGACAGTTCGGTAGCGAGCAAACACTGAACTGTCCATACAAGAGAGGGGAAGAGCGTTTAACTTCGCGTGACTTTTTGATCTGTTGCATACATGTGAAATCGAAGCTCAGGTCAAATCGGCCCGAATTTCAAGTGCGATTCACGTTCCGAACCAAAAGACCACAGTCGCCCAGAAAATAGAAAGGCTTTCGCAAACATTGTCGACGGCCACCAGCAGATGGGGTCGAGGCAAAACCTTTGTAGGAGACATGATGAATATCATATTTTCGTGACCTTCGGTCGCATAGACGTGCAACAAAAGGACAATGAACAAGATTGTTGTGTCTAGATGTAGAGTCGAACAGAGTAAAGAAACAGGCGTGAAAGAGAGGCTTGAACAGGACAAAAAGGGCGGCAACTCAGAAGAGATTTCTTGAGGCCGAGAGAATACATGCGTGTCGGAAAATCAACTGACACCAGAAATGAGCATTTACGGTCTAGGGTTAAAAATACGGACTATCAGTCCGCGAAGGGTATCTTGCCGAGCTCGTACTCCCCGAATCCTTACTTACGGGAGTTCTTTTCTGAGTTCTACTTGAGGTACGCTTTGATGTGCGTTTTGTAGCTGATTTCGTAGCCAAAGTATCCCATTCTTCATCCTCCTCACTTGCTGATGCAGGCCCATGACGATCGACCATTGTTTTTTCCTTATTGACTCCAGATGTTGTATCAGCGTGAAAAGCCTGTAGAGACATCGGTGCAGACACCTGACCAAGCCTATCTATATCCTCGCTATTGTTTAACCTGGAAGCACGTCGTTTCCCTGTTACGTCTGGTGAGTCTCCAACGATCTCGAAGCCACCCGGCTCTGCTTCGGCCTCTGAATCTACCAAGAAGCCGCCGCCAGTATGATTAGGGGAAAGTTGACCGCTATTGAGAACATTACTGTTGCGTAGGAATCCACCTCCTTCAACGTCTTCGTCGTCATTTATAGTATTTGCCTCTCTTTGAGTTAGAGCATGTCCGTGTCCCGACCACGTTCTATCATCATATTCATCTTCGTTGTCTGTGACACCATACTCCTGCCTCATCCTTTCCCGAATTTTAAGTCCACGATAGAATTTCCTCCAAATACGCAAAACGATTTCCTCTCTTTTCTTATTTTCTTTTTCTACCCTGATCTTTTCCTCTTGTCTCCAAGCATCAATAACCAATTCAGCACTACCTTCTGCGACAACGACTCCCGTAATCACAGGCACAGCTCTTTGCTTTCCAAACTCGAATCCTGTACACGCATCGGCAAACTCAACACCCAATTTCTTGCAAACCTTTGCGATGCCCCGGATCGGGATGTGCACCGCGCCCTTAGGCACCATAGATGGTACGTAAACGTCGATGTTGCCAAATCCGTTCTTTGGTATCACGCCATCGGGACCAATCGGATCTGGCACAATCCACTCGGTTTGATACTCTGCGTAAAGGCCTTGTAAAGGTTTCTCTCCATTGTCTCTGGCTTGATCTTCAAGCTCGCGCTTACGCTGCAGAGTTACGGCACGATAAGGCACTTGCTTCAATGGCTGCTCCCCTACTTTGATTTGCCGGCCTTCTTTATGCCATGTCTCCGCAGTCTTTGTCAACACTAAGTCAGATCGCTTATAGACTGGTTCGGAAACTGCATTGTCGCCCTTCCCATGGTGAAAGTGCTTGACGGGCTTTGCGCCCGGCCGAAGAGCTTCTTCGCGCCTAAGATGGCGCTCGAGCACGAACTCCTTGGATTGTTTATAGGCCTGTAATGTGTCAGGGGCTGCGTTTTTCTTCCCATCAAGATCAGGCTTAACAGGAACAAGATCTGTCCCATCCTCTATGTCGTCCGCAAGAGTTCTCTTGGAAACGGGACGAGTATAGCCTCGCATCACTCGCTCGAACCAGTCATACTCTTCATAAAAAGCGATTTTTCCATTTTGATTGTACACAGGCAGTTTCTCGACCGAGATACGAAAGCCTTTTGTCCGACCAGGCCACTGCCTCTTTCGGAGATAGCGAACTGTGACGTCTTTTGCTGTGCCATCCGAAGAGAATGCTATGACATAGCAAATAACTTGCTTAGACTTCTCTGCTGCGGCTCCACGGGGCTCGAAGTTGGTGAGATGATCCGGAGATGTTACCACGTGAGGGTTGAGGAGGGTAGACACAGGAACGTATGTGTTAGAGATTGGAGAGAGGACTTCAGTCCAGTAAGTAGGATAAAGTAAGTCGCGATCAAATTGTTTCGATGATATCTGTGTTTTCGAGAGATTCTTCGGTGTAGGAATGTCTTCAGAATCTGTTAACGAAGCATCGCTACTGCTGCTTTCGTCGGCATCGAGCCTTATTGGTCGCGACTTGGCCCCTTTACTTGCTTTACTTCTCTGTACTTTGGGACCTTTATCTATCCTGCTTGACGAGACATCCGACTCAGTCGCCCGGTTATCTGAGGTCATTCTCGTCGGCGTTTCTTTGCGCGGGTTCGCTTCCTCAACTTTAGACCATCCAAAGCCAGTCGGCTGCAAACTTGCAACAAGTCTCGCTTCGATTCCCAAGCCTCTCAAGAGTGCTGTGAATAGCTGCGCACCAACGTCCCTGCTACCTTGACACTTCTTTGCGCACTCTTTGAATTCATCGAGGTCGGCAATACGTTCGCCGTGCCTGCATGGGTCGTGTGGTCCGTCATTGAAAGAGTCAATTTCCTGCCTCAACTCCCACAGACTGCGATAGCCCAATTTGCGAAGCGACGGCGCCGTGACTCTGAAGCGCTTCTTCCAGTACGCAGCCAGATACTTGAGAAGACGAATAAGTGGATCGCTTCGCGCACTATCCTCCGACTTTTCGGCGTAAACTCCCCAATCGCGTGTCTGTTCTCTGCCCGACTTTTGCGCCTCCTTTCCCGTTTTCGGTTTCTTTCCCTTGCTCTTCTTTTCCGGGGCTTCATATCCCATTGCAAGCCTCCATCTCGAGACTTCTCCCTTTATAGCTTCAGGAAGGCTGTTGAGGAGGACGAGCTGAAGTTCCGCATTATTGATCCAAGAGTTTCTTATCGTGTTGTGATACAACAGGAATTGTACGTGCATACAATGTGTCATCCACCTCGCTTCCCTCATTTTCTTCGTAATTGTTGCCTTGCCACCATGCTTCAGCGTGAGTCGTGTCGGCTGAACATCGCCCGGTCCTCGAACGGTAATTTGTAAGTTATCTGCAATCTCAGGGATAGGAAGCTCTGCTTCGACTTTTCCATCTCCTCCAACGTCTTCAAACTCAAGGTCGTCGTCTGAGTCAACAGAGGCTGCCTTCTCGCCTCTTGACTTGTGCTTTGCCGTTGAAGTGGGAAGTACGTCTTCAAACTCATCTCCGCTGGAATCATCGCTCAAGGATGACTGTTCGTCCGACAGTGCTTCCAGAAAGGCTCTATTCTCAGTTGCAGATGTTTTATTCCCGAAGTTGCTGTCTAGAGCAGTAAAAACATCCGTATTTGTTTTGCGTGAAGCCTCTATTCGCTTTCGTCGGCTTGAGGCTGGAGGTGAGGGTGAACGGAGTCGTTTGCGTGGGAGGAAGGGCGGCATCATATACCATGAGACGCATATCGAGGATGGGATGTATTGCTAGAGACATCTATCAAAGATTATTTCGGATTCTATGCTGCCCGCGCTGCGGCACAAATCAAGGTCTCGCAATGTTCAGAGAACGAAAAGCTCCGATCCGGAGGTGGCGATCGATGAGGTCACGGCGTCTGAAAGTCCTCGTGTACGAACTCTACTCGAAATTTATTTTCTCGCCAGGCTTCGACAAAGACAGCCTTTGTGTACACTCGCACTTTTCATCGTTGCTTGTTGTGGCAGGAAAGCTACGAGCACGGTCTAGTCATGAACGTGGACTCTCTCATTCATGGATCGCGTTTCGTAACGTTGACGCGGTCTCACATGACCAGATTTCTCGTATCGTCTTGATTAACGTGAAAGAACATGATAATCAAATAGAGCGGTCTATATACCAGAATGGACCTTTCAATCTGTTTCAGATCTAACTATACCGCAGACAGCCAAGACGCTTTACAATTGTCTCCTTCCGGTTTAACTGAATCACCAGAATTCTTACTTGAATTCTGGAATCACTTGCTTCCATTGCGGAATATATTGTAGAGCTTTTTATGTCCTGGAATGGCAGTGGTCGCCGTATTTTTGGATGGCAATCAGTGAGTCTTCGAGCCCGGCGCTCAGAGCGCGTTGCAGAGGCAGTCTGATGCAAATATCCAAAAGATCACTGTGTAAACTGTGCACTGATCCTTATAGATGCGATGACATCAGGAGCTTCGCAGACGTACCTGGATGTCTACAACATTCACTCGCGCGGACAAGAACGCCAGTCACAACTTGAAATTACCATGAACTGGCCTAAAGAGACTTGATGGTTTTCTGTGATTTACAGTGAATTTCATGTGCAACTGACTGCATTTTATTCGTCAACACAATGGGTAAGAGAGTTGAATAAGAGCAGCACGAACACTCTCTAATCACAGTGTAATCTTAAACATTAATATTTTTCTCCATTATTTTTGGCCTCCCCCCAGTAATCCAGATTGCTTCATATCTGAATATTGCTGAATCTCAAGGCATCGGTTGAACTGGCGCAAACGTTGCTGTCATGGAATCACAGATAGCGCCAGAGTCAGAGAGCGACGATGATTCCCTGTCTTCTACCTACAGCGCCGCTCTCATTGATCCAGATATTGAGGCCGTGGCTCCCAACTCCTTCATGGACGTTTGTGGCGTTCTGATCCCGCTTCCTGTCCCGAGAGGCTGGCTTGAGATGCACTGTCACAACTGCAACGCAAATACAGACGAGGCTGGCAACTACTTTAGCGGAATCTCAGGCTTATGGTCTCACCTTTCGCAGTGTTGTTCCAAGATTGGAAGTTTGCTTCCTGAGGACGGCTACGACTATGTTAGGGCCTTATGCGTCAAAAGAGAGCTAAGCAATGAAGAGGGTGAGGCTGTTCGCGCCAATCCAACCCTTATCCCTCGGTTGGGTCCTCGCGGTATTTTAAGAGGCGATGACGATTTTGTCCCAAATACATACGTGGATCCTGTCGCCAAAAGAGATTCTAACCTAGATCTGGACCATCTGTACTCCTGTCCCGTGTACGTGCGGCACGGTGGGCAATGGTTAAAGCTCTGCTGCTACAAGTGTAAGGCTGTTAAAGATGCTGCCGGCCAAGTTTTTGAAACCTTGATGCCATCCGAGAGCATATTCTTCTTGAGCATTACGTGGAGCCTCCAAGTCAATATACACAGCTGATCAAGATGTGCACGGCTGAGGCGTTAGACTTGTCGGATATTCAACGGTTACAGAGAGACGAAAAGGTAATTCCCCTGTGCGAACGCGTGACGCAAGAAGAGATACTCAACGCCTCGCCCGAAGGATCTCGCGAAGAGCCCAGAAAGCCAGATCAGCGTTGCGACGCAGGTTCAAGGTGGGGAGAGTGAAGGGAACTTGGCTACCAAAGGTGATGAAGCCAATGGAGAAAGTAAGCTGGGTTCTGCGTCCACGGTGAACTAACTACAAATCTTAGAAAAAGAGCGGATCACCTTCGCAACATGGCAGAGCGCTTTTTGCAAAACACGCAGAAACTCCCTCTGCGTCGGAGACACGCTCTCGGAGTTATCCACGTCCGAACCACCTAGTGACAGCGATGCCGCACCGCATCGTGGGGACGGAGTCATTTACATCGAAGACGAAGCTGTGTCCTTCGTCGTTGTCGGCGACACCATCCAGCATCTCGAGTGTTGCCCCATCTACATCCGTTGGCATGGGCAATGGTACAAGTGCTCCTGCCCGGAGTGCCGCGCCAACTGCAACACAGCTGGCGAGTACTTCAAAGACTTCGCCGAATTTTACGAGCACGTTGAGCGGTGCGATCCTAACATCAGATTCGCGCCTAAAGAATCTCGATTCGAACGCTTTGCGAGATGTTCGGAAAGGGTAGGGGAGGACGAAGTCATAGGCGTTGCAGAGGGAACGGTGGATGTAGCGAAAGTGATAGCAAGCATTTAGAATTTAAGCATGTTGTCGGTCTCCATCGGAGGGTTCGTGATTCAGCGTGCTTGTCGCCACGAAGGCGAAAGATCTCGAGCCGAGCGCAACGACAGAATGAGACTTTTAAGCAAAACCCCCCCCCCCCACATGAATTCGGGCAGAGGCCTTGTCTATTTTGTTCCCTCTAATAAGATCTGCTGTTCTACAGATGGCTCCCTGGAAAAAGCTAAATTTGGGCTCTCGATCCGGTCGATCGGTTGTTTACCAGCTGACGAGGCTTGAATGCAAGGCAAGGACCGAAAGCACGTGTGTCTTGCAATGTCGAGCGACCACGAGCTGGTTCAGGTCGTCTCCAGATCCGATCCCCAGCTCAATCATGAGGAGCCCGTTCTCAGCGTGCCTAAACGTAGGATCCCGCAGGCACGCGTTTTGCATGCGATGGTAAGATACAGGTCCGCACGCAGACCGTACGGTCGACGTTCGCACTGGAAAGTCTGCCGCACGGTTGGCGTGCATCCCTGCAGTATGGGGGGAGCGTGGATATCCGCAACGTCAGCGCATTCTTTTGGGAGCTCCCCGTAGCAGATCAAATCTCCTTGAAACCAAACAAATGCACATGTGGCCCAACGACGCATAGCCCCGATCCGCTCTACATGCTCACCGGAACGTCATTCTTCTCCGTTCACCTTGGGATACGATACATGCTGTCCGTTGGGTGTGCGTTCTCGCTAGTCGAAGGGCACTAGCTGCCATGAACCACCCCGCAAGCGCATCTAGCAGGACTTCCTCCACGCCCGCCAGCGACACATTGAGACCGCGAGTGCGCAAACTTATCTCCGGACTTGATGATGACGAGGACACTGGCCTAGATGCTGGCGGCGTCACGAGCGGGCGGGTAGCGTCGCCGCGGCATTCGAGACCGACGTCACCACTTCCAACCAAGCATCCGTCGAGGACGAGTGTTCGCGACCCCCCACGAAGCACCTTCAGCAGTGAGGCACCCGGAAAGCGATTGCAGAGCCCGGGTGGCTTAACGAGTCTATGGGGAGGCAGCTGGTCTAGCTTGCAGGGGCTGGCGAGCAGTTTCCTGGGCGGCGAGACTGCTGGCAGCGCTGGCAACAGTCGCACAGGTAGCAGGAGCAGACCCTCTACTATGCTATCATCTAGTAAGCCCAGGAGTGGAATACCAACCGAATGGGGCCCTTCCGAGAGCATCCAGGTTGGCTCGGGAACCAATGAAGAGAGGGACGCGCTGATACGAGCGGCAAAGCGTAAGGAACTGTTGCGGGCGAATGGACATGGCATGGTTGATGCGAGTGGGCGGCACAAGAGACGCACTTCAGATGACTTCACGGGGTTGACAGGATCAGTGCAGCCTAGCGAGGACAATGATCGCGACGCGCTAGTCTATCTCCATCATGTGAAGCCAAACGACACGTTTATCGGTCTCACCATAAAGTACAATTGCCAAGCGGCAGACATCAGGAAAGCGAACAGACTATGGCCGAACGACCCAATACAGTCACGCAGTACCATATTGCTTCCTGTGGACGCATGCGGCGTGAAAGGCAGACCGGTTCCAGGGCCGGAGCCCATCATTGAGGAGCAGGATCTTCTCGGGGACCCCAGCGAGACCATTAGTATGCATGAGAGTCCAAAAGAGTCACCTCCAGACTTCGTCAATGGCTGGCACAAGGCTTTGGATCATGAAGACACGGCACGGCCGTCATCCTCACTTCCCACATCATGTGCAGGTTCGACAGCGGGAGATCCGCTGGAATTGCATTGGAAGCACGAGTCGTGGGTGCTTCTCCCCAGCGAAAAGGAGCCCGTTGAAATTGTGCGGCTGCCGCGTAGGCATCTGGGCTATTTTCCGCGAGCGCGGCGAAAAAGCAATCCCTACTCGGATTTGGGCACGCCGCGCATGACCCCCACCACCTCGCTCGACATACCGCGCATTCCACCTTCTCCGGGTTCCGCGCAGTCGGAAGCGTATGCTGCGCTGCGGCCCTCGCCTTCGCGACGGCGCTCTCACTCCAACGCGCACTTCCCATCGACGAGCCTGTTCTCCGGCCCAGGAGGCATTGGGAGCCTCAGCAAAAATGCCAGCACCATCGGACCAGCCAAGGACCGACTGAACGAGCTCCTGGGCCCGCACCTCCCTAACGTGGCGCCCCCGCCGCAGCAAACCGTCTTCACGCCTTGGAATCCAGGCATCCGCGACGAAGATCTCATGAGCTTTGGCGAAGCTTCCCCAGCGATCCCAGTCGCAGACGCAACGCACTCGGACGGCCTGTCCAGCATCGACTTCCAGGAGATGACGGGAAAGGTTGAGCGATGGGTCCGCAAGACGGTCAAGAAGGCCGGGAGCGCGTACGCCGCGAGCGCGAGTGCGAGCGCGAGCCGGGGAATCCAGGGGATGGCGGCCGGGAGCGGCGTAGGCGATCTGATCGAGCTCACAGACTCCTTCGAGATCGGAGAGGGCAACCGGAGTGACGATCTGATCGATGTCGGGCACCAAGGCGAGGGGAGCAGTGCCGCAGAGTTTGGGGCCGAAGGCATGAGAGGGAGGAGGATGGTTCGGCAAGCGAACGCCCATACTTCGGACGACGGTCGTTTGAAAGGCGGGAAAGGCGACTGAAGGAGATCGCCGGATGCTCAGAGAATGATGGGAATCAGATTTTTTTTTTGCTTTCCTCAAATGTTTCTTTAAGCTCTTGTGATCTTCTTCATGAGCCGTAGCCGACACAAAATCTTTGTTTCTTTTTTCCAAATGTTTTTTTTGTCGGGATGCATCCTTTAGCGACATTGTTTCTGGCGTGCCTACGAGCTCTCTGAATTGTACACAGGGATTTTATCGAGTGGTCGGGCGATCAATTGGCGACGTATATTACAAACACACACACACACACACACACACACACACACACACACAGATCATTCCTACGATTAGAGCACAAGTGACCCGCTTCCTGGCCCGTTCCCAATGCCACCAATCGCGACGTACCTCGAACGTCCCCCCTCCCAGATCCGACCCGTTCGCCGTCCTAAGACGACTAGAGCGAGAAACGCAGCGGGAGACGACGCGCCGCCGAATGAACGGCAAGACACACGGTAGTAAGAAGGGTCGAGGGTGTCTTGACCCATCACCGCGTCGGCTGGGGACCCAGAGACAGGTTCGTCGTTTGGAGAGCGGCAATCGCCGCATGCTACCGTGTCGGGCCGCCGTCGCCGACGCCGCATGCGCCGTAAAGGGTGCCTTGCCATGCTGCTCGCCGCTACACCGCGCGGTTGAGTCGCATGCAGGCGCGCACGCACGCGCGACGCAGGGCCAAGGGCGGACCTCGAGCCGGGGCAAGGGCGCCTTGGGACCCATGGTGGCGATCGCGGACGATCCCTTTTGCGAGCGAGGACGGGCTGAGAGGAAGCGGAGTGGTTTGAGGCGGGAGGACCAAAGGCTAGAAGGTACACGGTTGCGCGGATGGGCAAGGACGGCCGGGCGGCGTCGTCGGGGGCGACGAAGGCGCATTAGGACAGCGCGAGCAGGCAGTAGAATAAGGGGTGTGAAGGGAAGTAGGAGACGCAAAAGGAGAAAGGGCGACGGGATGTGGGGGAGGGAAGGGAAAGGGAAGGAGGAAAGGCCCGGATCGTGAAATGACGCCTGGCAGGCGCGCGACAATCGTAGGGCTGCACGCTCGCGCCTTCTTGCGCCCAGAAGTGCGAAGCGGCGACTGCTGAGAAAGCAGTGACGCCGCTCAGAAACGAACGGACGGCAGAATTACTTGTTGTGGATTGATCTGCGGACGGGGTTGATGGCCCGTCAACGACGACAAGCCGTGTGAACGTGATATCCCCAGGAAATAAAAAATGATGAGAAAAAAGAGAAAAGAACAAGGGAGAATAAGCTTTTCGTATTAGCTATAGTCTCACAGGCCTGGTGCTCAGCTAATCCTGTGCGCATTTCAAGGAACGCAGGCGGGTCACCAACCCGCCCATGTGTTCGGGAGATGCGCGAATAAGGAAGGAGTAGGAGGAAATACAAGAATACACTACCGATTTGGTATCATGTCCTCCCAGAAAAAGACCCAAAAAAGGCCAATGGATTTTGCCAGGCCAACCGTTCAAATCACTCCGTTTATAGCTCGGTAGATGACCCAAAAGTATGCTCATAGACCCCACTTTAAATATATTGCGAAGAAAAAAAATTTTTTTTTCCTCCTTTGGGGGGAGAGCAAAGCAAGAGGAAGAGGGTAGAAAAGATTAGTAAAAAAAAATAAAAGGAGAGTTCATTCACCCGCCGTAGATATCTCTTTTCTTCATGCGTCGAAGCGTTGATGGTCGTGAACAAGAGTCCAGAGGATGGTCCGTCATTTCTCCAGAGTTGATGATACAAGTTCCTTAATTCAAAATGCGTTCAGAGGGTTTCCGTCGCCATGTATGCCAAAGAAGTGAAACCTAGCATTAGCTCGTCAGCCTTGTCCGTCACATGGAAGTCAAAACGTGGGATAATAAATTATGAAAAAAAAAAAACAAGGACCAAAGAGATAGAGACAGGGGCATCACATACCAATCCTCCACATTAAGGGTCGTCGGCACAATCGGGCCGCCACCTTTCGAGCTGTTGCTTCCCGTCTCGTCGTTCCACGCCTGCTGGCCACCCGCAGCCTGCCCTACCCCACCCATCTGCTGGGCCCATGCGCTCGGATCATTCTGATGCTGCGGTAGGCTGACCACATGTTGTGGGTTCATGGTCGCCGATGGTGCGTCCAGGCTGGGCTGTTGCTGTGCCATGCTGAGTTGCGGGTCCACGTTGGCAGCCGGGCTAAAGGTTGGGAAGGCGATGTTCGAGTCGGCAGGGAAGAGCTGATCAGGCTGGAAGTTCTGCCACAAGTCTTGCGACAGGTTGGGCGTGTCGCGCGTCACTAGGAACAGCTCGGGTGGTGTGCCAGGTACGGAGAAGGATGGGTTGAACGGTGTGGTTGGGCGCGTGTTGGTGCGCGAGGCGGATGCGCCGAGGAAAGCGTCGGTTGGCTGACGCACCAGCTGAGGAGAGTTGGTGGTCAGCTGTGGCATGCCATTCTCCTGAGTAGCAGTGGCAGCAGTGCCACTGCCGCCCCCGCCGCTAGACGTCAGAGCTGGGGTCTGCGGTCTCGACCTCTCGTACGACATTTGCTGCGAGGGTGGCCCGTTGGTGAAGCCAATATCCATCTCGTCGAACTTACGCTTCTGGGTCGTGTCCGTCGGGGCTACAGCACCGTTCGCTCTCGAGCCCGGATAGCTGCCGTTGTGTTGAGTCTTCTTGTGCCGCTTGCCAGCAGCCTTTTGCAGCCTCTCCTCGAGAGTCTTGTTGCCGAGGATAGACTCGAACAGCGTGTGCACCATCTTAGCAACTAGCCAGACTTTGGACACCTCCCGGAGCGCGTTCATGCAGACCTGCATGCGTTGCTCTGTAGCCTCGACGATCTGCCTGTTGGTGGACCGCATCTGGTACACGTGCATGATCAGGGCGGAGAAAAGCGAGTAGACGATAAATGCAGGTGTGTAACGAAGCTCGTTGTGCTGCGACAGGTTATCGATGATGGAGGTGATCATGCCCGCAGCCTGGTACGCGATGTTGCGTGACGGGTACGCCATCTCCTCCTGGTAGCCGAGCGAATTGGTCTTGGGCGAGCCAGCAGGGGGCATGTGAGCCCTATGCAACAAGCAAAGAGTCGTGTAATAGTTTGAGTGCAGCAGCGCCGCCCAGAAGTGATGATTTTTCTTGTCGTATTGTATCTCCTTGGGGCAATGCTGTAGCCAGTCGGCGAGCGCCATGTCGCTGTGGGTCAGGTCCATAGCCGCCGTCCGTTTGAACTTGGACGCGACCGAGTACTGTTGAGACAGCACGATACCCATAATGTCGCACAGCTTGACGTAGTGGATGAAAAACTGGACGTGCACGGGATCTGGCGGATACTCGGACGGCCGGTCGGGTTCGTCTTCGATGAAGTCCTCCTCGCAGATCATCTCGACGTCGGCGTCCTCCGGATTGATTGCGCAGGGGCGTCCAAGCGCTACGGCCACCGAACGGTCGCGGGAGAACAACGTCCACCATATGCGCTTCCACAGCCGCTTGTCGGCCCGGCTCAACTGCGAATTTTCCACGCTCCTGTGCATGCCAGAACCCTGGGCGACGGCAACAGCGACGCGACTCCAGTAGAACACGTTCTTCGTGACGTCCTCGGGGCCTTCCCAATACCAGCCCATGAGCGTCAGCGCCTGCACAATTGTGACCCGGTCGTCTTCGTAGTTTGCGTCGTACAGTGCCTTGGCTCGCTTGTAGAAGGTCATGGCGGCTGGGGTCGTGGAACCGCTCGAGTCCATCAGCTGCTGGTTTGTGCAAACGCGTGAGCCGGCCAACAGCATGGCTTGCAGCAACAAAAGGGAGGGTGGGTTCTTAGGGTCGCGGTACTGGCGCATGAAACGAGTCTTGTTAATGACAGGCACGACGGGTGCGACCCACTTGAAGAAAGCCTCGATGAGCTCGTCGCATAGGGCGCGCGGTGGTAGCAGGAAGGCACCGCGCTTGTGGAGTATGTCAATCTCCATGTTGTCCAAGTCGTTTGCGCGCGCCTTGGCCCCGCGAACGTTATCCGGCAGCGGGTAATGGACCACATCGCTGGTGCCGTACCGGTCGTGCACTAGAATGGACAGGTTGGAGGACTCGCCCAGGTACGCTACTCTGCCCGCCTCCTTGATCGGAGCCCGGGCAAACTTGGGTTTCATGAATTGCACGTACGTGCCATTGTGGGACTGCTGCTGAGCTGCATATGCCTCCGACACAGTGGTGGATGGTGTACCGTCCAGCGGCTGTTGCATTAGATTCGGCTTGCTCGACGGTTCTGCAGACGTTGGCGTTGTTCCTCCCGGTGAAGTCGAGCCGTGCTTAGACTCGTCTCTGCGAAGAAATGTTACAGTCAGTTTGGTGAACATTTGTGGAAAGCACCGTTTTCTAGACGGGAGGCTGGGAATACTCACTGCTCTTCATCCTTCTTCATGCTTGCCGTCTTCTTTCTCTTGGGTGTTGGAATCTTGCATTCGATGCCGAACGCTGTGCAGTTTGTGCACGGCACGCCTAAGCTCGCGGCGTCGCATCGTACCTAAGACGTACGGGTGAGCTAATCCGTTCAACATCATCCAAAGGTCGGAAACCGTTGGGTCGCACGCCTCCTCAACGCTCTTCGTGCTGGGCGGAGGTAAATGAGGTCGAAAATTTCGTGTGCAGGACGTTTGCATACCTTTCGTGCATGACATGTCTGTATGCGGGGTACGATTAGTAAACGGCTTCAGTGTTATGGAGATTGCGTCGTCATGTCTTTATTTATAATTTTTTGCTGTTCTGTGGTCCATCCTGCCTCGGTGCCGAGGCAGGATGGTGTACAGGACTGTGTATGTAAAGGACGCTATGATTTGAGCGACAAACTCACCTCGCAAGCTCGCGATGCGCGCTGCCTAGTTCGCGTTTAAGCATCCGTCAGCCTTGTGGACTCAAAATATAACAAAACAAAAATCTTTGTGTGTTTTTTCTCCTTTTGTCTCCTTCTCCTTCTTCTTCCGCTCTGTACATATGTGGCGATCGTTACGCCTGGGTTGGCTCTTGGGCGCAAAGGCCTGCTCACCTTCTGAAACTGGGATGGCTCGCACTCTTCGAGTCGTGCGAAGAAGCATTATTGGGTGTTCCCACCATGAAGGCACTTTGTGTAGCCATGATGACCAAAAGAGGGCGCGGTAGGATGTGATCAAGCGCGGCGGGAAGACGGAGGAACCCGCCAGGTAGACGGCAGCATTCACAGGAAACAAGTGGGCGGCAAATCGAGAAGAGACTGGAGGGCGAGGACAGGCGTGCGAAGAGTTTTGCGTGGTGAGGCACGAAGCCTATACGAAGGGAGAGCCGCGCGCTCGTGGGTTGTGCGTGCGTACGTCTGTGTGCGCGATCGAGGATGCGGGTATGGGGGTATGTGTGGAGGGAGGCTGGCGAGAGTGTGTATGTGTACGTGCGTGCGTGTGTGTAGGTGAGTGAGTGAGTGGATGTGTGTGGGTGTTTGAGAGGCGTGTGAATGGCGCAGGTGTTGGTATGTCGACGGGCAAACTCAAGCCGCTGGGGGCTTCATCCCCTGGAGGCCGGTGTGGGCGCGTGTGGGTTTGTGGGCTTGCGGGCGTGCGGGCTTGTGAGCGTGTGGGCGTGTGGCGGCGTGCTGGCCACAAAAAGAGTCGAACAATGCACAGCGGAACCAGAAGCACAAACACCAGAGAGGTCGGTGGTTCTTGCAGGCCTGCACTCCGCTGTCCATCACAAACTGGACGACCTCGATCGCCTTGTTTGGCGCCCCTTATGGCCGAATTCCAGACCAAGTCCTTGCCCAGGGCCAGAGTCCACGAAGACGTGGTTGTAGCCCTGCGCGTGGCCATCACCATGGTCCTCGGCGGCGACTGTCGCCGTCCTCGTCAGGACTTTCATCGCCATCGCTACCATCGTCCACGTTGGCCACATCATCATCTTCGTCGCTTCCCCCCTCCGCGCTTGTCAAGGGCGGCCCAGCATGTGTTCCTCTTGGACAAGAGGACGGCGTCATGGTGGCCGTGTCCAGCGAAGGCTGCCTGCAACAGGTTCACGCACAGAAAACCCCCCAATTGACTTTTCACCCCCCAGAAAGCCCCCCATCAAACCCGCAAAAGACGCAAAGGTGGCAAGCCTCCGTCGCTCCACTGCGCATCATCTACACGCCCCGTAATAGTCCGTAGCCCGCAGTCCGCAGCCCGTAGCCCGCAGCCCTCAGGCCTGCAGCCCATCATCCGTCGCCCATCATGCTCTGCGCACCCCTCCAACCCCGGCTCCTGGTCCGGGCCAGGCCCTGGCAGGTTTGGAAGTAACCACCCGGCCAGTGATCGCCGTTTCCCTTTCCTCGCTATTGCCCCGTACTCAGCTTTCTGTACAGAAGGAGCGTTGCAGTAACGTACCCCTCTCCCTCTCTCTTTCCCTCGCCCTCCGCCTCGCTAGATTGTCACTTCCTAAACCCTCTAACTCTTGATTCACCCACCCAGACCCTCACGCACACGCGCACGCACAACGTTCAGTCCCACGCAGACACTCGCCCTCGCGATCTCGTGTGCCTTTCCTTCCTATGCTCGTCATGCGTTCTATCGCTCGTCCAATCTTTGCGGTGTGCTGACAGAGCGACGACATCGTCTATGCCAATCTAAGCCCGAAGTCTGACAGCCATCGTGAACCCCCAAACATGACAGCATACGCAGACTCCAGAAACACTTCATCGCCACGGATTCGAACAAAGTTGGCCAGCACCTGCGCTCCAATATAGATCCGCATTGGCTGACAATTCCTGGTCTTGTTGCGCGCTGTTGCTGATGCCTGTGTCCGGCCGGACCTGTCCGGGCAAGACGTACCGTAACAAACCGAGTCACGCTCTCTGTCCTGTTTTTTTTTTTTTCCACCCGGCCTGCCTGGTCTCGTTCTCCATCTTTACATCCACGCCCGTCACCGCTTGCCCCGCCTTTGCCGATCTTCAACCGACCTCTCATTGGCTCGTTTGCTCCAGATTCTTTGATGCAAGCCGAGGCGTCCGCGTCTCAAAACACCATGGCACGTGCGCTCCAATCTCATATAGTTGCTGGAATTATTGAATAACTGAACACGGAGGCCACTACATTTCTCGAAGGCTTCCTCATTCGTCGCGACATGCCTCCCCAGGCCCGTCATTAGTCTCCGTCAGTCTGCATGTTTATTATTCCTCCTGCTGCTCACTTCCACGGTCATGCCCTTGCCCGCCAAAGATGGTCCGTCGTCTCATCATGTCGGTTGACTCGGCGCCTACCTTTGTGTTTGGCACTCGACACAACTAGATAGACGGCGGTCGCCAGCCTATCCGGCGACTCGGGTAGAATCTGTAATCACCAGCTGTGAAAAAGGGAGGAGTCAAGGAGAGGGCAGAACTGAATTCATTGATTCTGAATCGTCTACGTGGATTGTGCGATTCGGGCTTGAGCACAACCTGCGATTCTTGCCTGTCTTGCGCTGAAGAAGGTACCGCTTCGTCCTTCTTTGCTCGCCTCTCATAAGGCGTGCCAAGCGAATGCAAGAGCAGATCCGGCACCCTCTCGCCTACGCACAACAGACCGCGCACATCAAAGATTGCCAGATTTCGCCAATGCCCTTACTTGTTTCATCGCCAGCTGGGGGGAAAGAGGCGAGGGCAAGCTTGGGTGCGGAAGGGGATCTGACGTGTGAATAGCCCGGCCCCTGGTAACCCGCACGTTTCTGCATCCACAAAGAATGCACGCTTCATACCCGCGACTCGTGCCTCTTTGAGCTCGTGCGCCGTCATACCAGCGCCGCACCTTTTTGCCCGCACAAGATGCTCACGCCGCGACCCGCACTCTATACGAGAATTAACCTTCCGCATCTGGCTCCGGAAGGAATTACGCATAAATGGTCGACTCAAGGATGTTATCAACGCCGACGGCTGCTTTTCCTTTCTAATCTATCTCCTGAGTCCTTGCAGAAACCACTCCGTGCGCCTCGACTTTCCGTTCAAATCCTCTCTTTTGCTTGTGTCTGCGAGCCTCTTGACGTTTTCAGATCGGCGAGTGCGGGCACCAACTCTGCTCCCACGTATCAAAATGAGGGGTTGCCGTCCAAGCGAACGTGTCGGTCAGGGATCTTAGAGCCCCGTTGAAACCAATGGGGAACAAAGCGTGGCTTCGGAGAGTACTAGTACCTACAGTACAGGACTTTTACATGCAGCTTTAGATGTGTGGAGCGAACGCACGTCCGGTCCCCGACATCATGGCCCATCCGGTCACCGGATCTGCACGTTATCACTCTTGTCACCGCTTGCCCTGTCCAGCATCGGCAGCAGCAGCAGCACTTTGGCGCGGCGCATTAGGAATGGGACTTAGCGAAGCAACAGAAATCACCATGGTACGACATCATGGCCTGGTGATTATGACGAAGGCAAAAAAAAAATTAAAGAGTGCTAGGACATTGGTTTTCGTGAAAGAATTTGCACAAACAAACATTTTAATTAAGACGAAATGTCGATACGTAGACGAATCCACGATTTTTCGGTTCGTGGTGCCGAAATGAACGAGGGTAGATCATTGATCGCCCTACCGCATACGCAAAAATCCAAAGCGCTGCCTTTTGACACCTTCGTCTTAGGGCAGGATGCCAGCATACACGCTGTGTACGCCCGGACCGGCAGCATGGCCACTCTCGTTGTTGCTGTTGTCATCATGCAACGTCGTTCATCGCTTGCCCATCGCCGCTCCACGCACGTGTGCGACGCTGATGAAACCCTTGAGTGTGGACCTCGAACTACGACGTCCCGGCTCTGCGTGCCGCAAACGCCTGAAGCATGACAGCCTGCTGCTTCGCCGTCATGAACGCCAACTGGGTGCTCCCGGCCCAGCCGGCCCGCACGTCCTCTTCGCTCGCCCACAGCCAGGCTCGATGCTCATGCTCGTCCAGCCTGACGCACGCACCCACGGCGGCTACCTCGTCGCCGCCGACCGCCACCGCTTTCGCCTCCGCAACATCGGCCTCGAACATGATCTTGTTCCACCAGCGCTCGCTCCTCGGCTCGCCCGTCGAGAAGCGCGCCGTGCTCACGACGCGCACGAACCGGCTCAGCGTCAGGCCCGTCTCCTCGCGCAGCTCGCGCGCCGCCGCCTCGAGGATCGTCTCGTCCGTGTCCTCGTCCACCGCCCCGCCTGGAACCTCCCAGCACCCGGGGAAAGTGTCAGACAAGCTGCGCTGCAGCAGAAGAAGCTTAACGGTGCCGCTGCTGCCATCGCGCGCAAAGACCATCGTCGCGGTCATGAGCACGTGCGTATCCATATGCGCTTCTAGCCACGTCTTGCCTGTCACGTCGTACGCCGCCAGTGCCGCGGGGAAGGTGAATGTCTTGCCATGCAGAAGCTGCTGCGGCTGCTGCTCTGGTGGCGTCATCAGCGAGCCGTCCTTGTTTCTCTCCGAGCGTTTCGTGCGTCCTCCGTAGTCAGATTGACGCGTCGTTGCGAGTGAACCGTCAGTCGTGCCTACGTGTTCGCCACCTTCGACTTGGCCATGTGAAGTACCCTGCGTGATTGTGGCGGCCCAAGATGCCGTGTCGTCGTTGTGAGCATCAAGCATTGGCCTCCTCGTCATCTCTCCCTTCGTAAGCCGAGTCACGTCGTCTTGCGATACCATTGTGACGTGCAGGCGCGACATATGCCCGTGCCTTGGCTCTGTGTAGCAGAAACGCGAAGACGATTGAAAGGGGCAAGGAGCACCTTGCAGGCGGGTAACAGCAGATTTTGCGCCTTGAAGCTTTTAAACTTTGTCAACCCGAACACGTCGACACATCGCTAACTAAGGTCTTTTCTTCGAATCAAATACTTCTCTGTTGCCTACGTGATCAGGCTGCAACCATTTCAATTTTTTTTTCTCTTTCATTATTTCACTTTATTTTCTCACGCTCGTCTTCTGAGAATGTAGCGTGGCCGGCGACAGTCGCTGATCAGCCGTGCAGGCTGCAATGCTTACGATGCGTTCAAAGGCTCTGGCATGAACAGGCGACATCTTTTCCGGAGGGTCAAGTTGAAATGCGATTTTGGGTTGAAGAATGCCCGGCTCGTGGCAGGTTCCTCGTTGCATTGGTGCCTCGTGGCGAGGCGTTGACCCCATGCAGTTCTTTCGTCACGCGTTTAAGCTCTACGGCGAAAGAATGGCGACCGAGCATTGGCAGCTTCTGAAAACCAAAGAAAAAAAGGTCAGATCACGAAATATCGGGTCGCGAGTTTGAGAACGGGATAAAAATGAAGACCGTTGCGTGTGAGAATTCAAGAGCGACATCAGAAGGCTGCCAGAGGAAGACGAGCGGCTAGCCTAAAACGGCATCCCGAGTGGGCAGGGCTTTGGACGGACATACTCGAGACGGTGCGGAACGGCCTTCTTCAGGTCGTCGCCTCCCCAGCTTCTCCACAGCAGGAATTACTTGTATGGACGCTAGCAGTGTATAAGTATCCTTGACAGCCGCCGCGATGGGCCAGAAGAAACGCATTCAGATCACATCCGACGTCACCGCAGACACCGAGCACTTTTACGAGCGCGTCGAGCACCCCAGCACAGGCACGTCAAAGGTTGTCGAGCACAAGCAACCAAGGACTTCGTCCAGCTCCGTGACCATCACCACCAATCCGTACGTCGTCGAGACGGACGGGTCACCTGAGAACACGCGGACCAAGCAAGGCGCATCGGCCACCGTGGAATTGGAGAAGAAGGGCTACGACACCAGCCAGCTATAGGAACACCGTCGTCATCAACACCGTCGCCGTCACTGTGGAAACCGCCATGGCCACCAACGGGACCACGCAGAAGCTCCGCGTCGTCATCGGCAGCGATGACGCTGGCGTGGGCTACAAGTCCAAGATCCACGCCGACCTGAAGGCGGACCCCCGCGTCTCGGAAGTCATCGACGTCGGCGTCAAGGCCAGCGAGGATAAGACGGCGTATCCGCACGTCGCCGTCGACGCTGCCAAGCTCATCAGCGAAGGCAAGGCCGACCGGGCCATCCTCATCTGCGGCACCGGTCTGGGCGTCGCCATCAGCGCCAACAAGGTGCCCGGCATCCGCGCCGTCACTGCCCACGACAGCTTCAGCGTCGAGCGCGCCGTGCTCAGCAACAACGCCCAGGTCCTGTGCATGGGCGAGAGGGTCGTCGGCATCGAGCTTGCCAGGCGCCTGGTAAAGGAGTTCCTGGGCTACACGTTCGACCCGCACAGCGCCAGCGCGCAAAAGGTCCAGGCCATCATGGACCACGAGAAGAACAACTTCGCCATCAGGACCTGAGTCTGAATTAGGCCGAGGTCAATTTTTTTCTCTCTCTCTCTGTTTTCCAAGGGAAGAGTGGGAGGGGGGCGTTTGGGTCCGCGGGCAAAAAAGGGGGGTGTTTGGCTTCGAATCCGATACCACTTCTTCTCTCGCATGAGAATTTCTCATGATTTTTTTTTCATCCCCCCCTTCTTACATACGCTTCTCTTTGTCGTGCATTTCGCGCCGCTGAAAGGGTTGTAGAGAAAGTGTGTCGGCATCGATCTACACGTTCATAGTCCCTGCGTGTTAAGAAGAACCATCCGTGACAGAATTCTGGTAGTTCCCCCTCATTTTTTTTCCTCTTTAATTTCTGCCTTCCGTTAAGTTTCATTCATCTCGTCATTTCATTTCTCGGTCATCATCAACTTGACACGTCTAAATGTGAAGGCTCTTCCCCTTACATCTCCCGGTCACGCAAAGCCCACATCTTGGATAGAAAGCTGTCGCTTCCACAGGCACTTCACATGCGATTCCTACTCCGAACCTAGACTACACCACATGATCTCGCATCCGGCGGAAAGCCCACGCGGCACCCGGTGCCACCCGGAATCTGGGGAACGGTGGAAAGGAAAGAAACAAATAAAAAGGATCTCTGTTCATTCTCCAATCAGAAAAAAATATTGCTGCCTCTAACCCCGCATCAAACATTGTCACGATCGACACGTGTGGTAGTGGAGACCTTTTTAAGGGCTGCACCCATTCCCTTCCCCGTATCCCGTCACACGGGTCAGGACAAAGACGTGGAGAGGTCTAGATTTGGGCAGCGAGGACGACGCAAACGCCCGCTCGCACGCGTACTTTCGGACACAACGAGGGCCGCGCCGTCTTGTGATTGGCAAGACATGATCGACGAGCTGGACCGCGAGCTGCCAGGGATCCTGTTGCTCATCCTTCCGATGGCTTCCTCACACCCCCTCACCCTCTCATTCGGCCCCCCCCTCAAAAAATCAATGATCGCACGCTGGGATGTCCAATGTTACAGACGGGTCCTCGCAATCTGCTAAACCACCCTCGCAGCGGGTGATAGGCGCCGTTTCACGAAGCAACGGGGATGTGCCCACGAGCGCGCGACGTTGAAAACGAGACACGGTCCTTGCATCCAGCTCTGCTGTGTTGTACGCACATCATCAGGTCGTCCCCTCCATGCACATGCATGCATGGAATATCTGGGGACGAGCTGGTCTGATCCGGCTGCTCACTTCGCGTTCGCGGATCGGAGTGCTCCACTAATCGTTGCTGTTCGTGCTCCTCGTCCCTCTTTTTTTTTTTGGCACGCTGCCGGTCAGCTCGTGAGGCGCGTGTATAAAGAAAAGCGGTCACGCCTCGCGCGGTGCCCAGTGGACACGCCTACGGCGCAGAGGTGCGGTCTTTCGCTTTCCGCGGAGTCGACTGGTCTGGTCCGCCCTGACGGCAGCACGTACGTGAACGTGCGCGGCTGTCTCGCGTCGTCTCTTGCTGCTGGAGGACTGCAATGATCGACCGCGCGCCGGGCTTACTCCATCCGGGTCTCGCTCATGCGACCTTGGGTGGTGCGCGAGTCGCCGCCGCTGTACGATGACGAAAATGGAGCGGAGCAGGGACGCGTACGGGTAGACTTGTGCGTTATACGGACGGCAGCGTCACGTCCGGTTTCCGATCCGGGCTGCTTTTGGGCTGAGATGGGCAAAAAATGTCGTATGGGGACGTGTGGGCGCACGTCTCAAGATCGCGCGGCTCTATGCGGTAGTTGCCTCGGAAGGATGCTTGGGGGGGAGAGCGAGGTTTAGCTCTCAACCATTCAGCATGTACCACGCACTCGTGTCTAGACATGGCCAAAACGCACCGCAACGAAAGCCCATTCTCATCCTCCCGCCGAAAAGACCACATCCCTGTGGTGGTGTGGTATCTACGTTGCCTGACGGCAAACATGCTCGTTTGGGAGTTTATTCGCGCTGCCCGATGAAGGGAGCACCCAATCTGGGACTGCTGCATGCTAGGCTGCACGACCGTCTTCCACAAGTTCGGATGAGTGAACGATCGCCGGCGAATATCACGACCGCAAGAACGGAGGAGCGGCTTGGGGCCTGCTCACAGCCTACGGGTGACGTGGTCTCGTCAGTGGTGGTCACACCGTAAGCTTAGTCCGTGTCCGTCACAATAGATTCCCTGACGTCTTGAGGGTATTCATAGTATCAATGCAAGAAACGGAGTCAGCCGTTAAAGCAGATAGATTGTTATCTCAAGGGATTACACAAATTCACGGTCTCGGTCATGACCAACGGGTTTGAATTCTTTAGGTGTGCGACCGGGAATGATATTGCCAAGGTACGGCGTTCGTGAGAGACGATGCAGACATGTTTGCTAAGGAGAGATGAGGGCCCATTCCACCTAGCTTTTCTCCACGCGTAGAGTCTATCGGATTCGGTGTGTGCCTAGCTGTGGCTATCTAAGATGGAGAGCGAGTCCTCAGAATAGCGTGTTGCAGACAGCGCCGCCGCCATCACACCTGGGCAGGAGTAAGCGTTTGTCGAAAACTGAACGTGAAAATCAACAACATGTCAGACTCTCAGTCGTCAAGATGTCCCATATTTCGTTAAAATAAGGCAACATGTACTCCGTTAATGCTACATTTGTTACAAATGAATGCGGCTGTCTCAGTATTTTCAAAACAGACTATAAAACGGATCGCATATTCTCCCATCTTGCTGCGAAAAGATCATTGATCCTCTCGTCCTTACTCTTGAGGCCCTTCTCCAAGTACCTCGCCCATTAGCAAAGCTGGATTGTGCGCCCGCTCAACCGTTGGTGTTTGTTTCATTGTAGTTTTTGTCCGGTCTTCATGTGAAAATCTTCTACCAAGTCAAGTGTGGTGGCTTTTTCATCAAACGCATCAATTGAAAAGGCAGGCGTCCTTGCCGCTGAACCATTTTCATTTAGGTGCTGTATCTGAACCTTCGACAGTCGAGCTGGACTTAAGAGTCTTGCCATGGCTAAATGCGCTAAATGGTATCGACGCATGTTGCTTACGTTGTGGCATCGTTATGAAAACCTGGTCAAGCGGTCTCTGTTCGTATTGTCTGAATGTAATAATTGGCAATGGCCCTGTGTACTTTGTGCTGCTTTACTACGTGTCGTTTGGCATTGTCTCTTCTGTCTTGTAACTTTTGTCCACATCCTGGGAAGACACATATTACGATTCGGCTTTTGTTATGCTTGAGCATGTGTCGATTAATATCCTTGGGACTTTTGGCGCGGTGGCCGCAAACTTCGCATTCATGACGGAAGCCATCCTTGTAGTGGTCATTATGCGTAGCTTCATGACGTCTAGGCCAAGTTATTAAATCATTTCATACATGGATTCCTTTTCATTACATACCGTAGACCCTCAGCGTTTGCAAGCAATTTGCCACAATGTCGGCACTGCTTTAGCTCCTTACGCACGCCCTTCGACGAAGTCAACGAAGCCGCTGATGATTGACTAGCGGAGTATTTAACCCCCGGGCGAGGACCACACCAAGGGTTCGCAAATTCTTGCTGCGATGAGTTTGATATAATTTGGTCAAAGTGACTTGTCACATCCAAAAAGGAATGTTCCCGTGGATTAGTTGGACCACAGAAAGTGATTGAGCTCGCCGTATTTCGATGATACACAGAGCTCGTTTCTGAATCCTGCATTGTCCAACTCGACTCTGACGGAGGAAATGGAGTCGGACCCTCCATGGCTCCTAAAAGTGAGCTCGCCGGGACAACTTTGCTCTTGTAGCTTTGGTGTATATTGTTTGCTGCTGATGTCGATTGAAGACTCGAAAATCCAGGTACGTAATTATGCCCAAAACAGCTTTTTTGGTCCGGTTGAAATCTTGGAACAGGAGAAACACCGTTAAGCACAGGGTCCTCGATATTTAGTGAAGACGGGTAAGAATCGTCGACGTTAAGCGTAGATGGGAAAAGTTGGGAGGGATCTTGGCGATAAAATGGTGTAGTATCTACGGGAAGATCTCTTTTTGACACTTCCACGCTGAGCTAGTTTTCCGTCAGCATTTTGGGCAACCGTTGGCTTCTCAGTTCGCTACTGACCCCATCGTCAAGCGTTGTCCAGTCGGCCATGTCGTGGGGAAAGGACGAATTGTCAGAATTGGAGTTCACAAGGAAGTGGTGGCTATTTGCAAGATCGGACATGGTAGAGCTTTTGCAAAAGTTTCGTTGGTAAGCGGTGATCAGTCTCCAAACAAGACGGGTACAGCCAACAGTCACTGCAGAAGCGGTGAGAACGTAGGGTCTGCAAGTCAGTACCGAAAACCCAAGATTTGAATTCCTTCTTCAGCGACGAGGCTGTCGAAATGGTTTAGTCGATCGACGGTTCTTTTTGTAACGATGGTTGGGAGAAGAAGACATCGCAGAAGGCCATCAGTTCACGAGGTCAAAGTCACGACCTTCTACCACAGAAAGGCAACCAAGCTAAGAGGCCATACCCAGTAGCGTCCATTTTGGAACAAAATGAACGGCCGTAATTCTTCCACGTTGTAGGCATACCAAGGCAGGGAAAAGGCGTAGCAAGACAACATGATGGCCTCGAAACGCTAAAGAGTTTGAACTTTGGTGGCGTTGCAGAAGACAATAATACAATCTCGAGAGCTTCTCATGCCGTTTAAAGCATGCAATTATTAGCCGACGGCCTGCCGTCTCTGCTCCTGCAGCTAAGTGGCTTCTGCAACAGAGCATTTTCGGAAGCAACTATAAGCCGTCGCTTAACATTCCTGCACAATGTGGCGGACCTGGTGGATCGGAACCCATCAAACCGGATCAAACGAAGGAGTTGGGGGTGCGTACAAGCATGAATTGACTGATTGTGCGCCGGAAATGTGGTGCGCGGTCCTGACCGGCAAGCGTGGTCTCTGGAGGTGCGCAGGCTACCCATATTGAGCCGCATTGATGATAAGAACATGGGATTTTCCGGCGTAGACCAAACTGAGCAGTTGGGAGAAACTTTGCGCACAATAGTCTCTGGTGACATTTGCACCCGAAGAGCATCTGCGCTTCGTCTTTTCAACCCTGAGATCGGTGTACCTACTCAACCACGTCGTCAAAGTCGCGTTCCTCTGATACGCCAAAACGTCGTTCAATACCGGGGGCCAAGATATGGCAGAACTCCTGCCTCGCAATGAACAGAGTGTGCGCATTCCTTGCTGTTTTCGATTACTCTCATGAAGAGGGAAACTCGACGGCAGCCGGCGCTCCTCGACCAGTGAGCCCTAGAGACAATAAGCAGAGAGCATCTGTACCCGTTGCTCATCCAATCATAGGAGTGTTACTATACTAGCTCACGTGACATAGGGTATCAAAACGTATTGTGAGAGAATCAGAGATTGACATTTAAAAAAGTCTTGGGTGCAGTCAGGGATACAAATCGTCGCCACAAAGAGGTTAGGAGCCTGGTGTGAACGGGAAGAGGCCTCGGTAGCAGGATTCGCAGGCAACTGAACGTCGCCAAAGAATTGTCAACCACTGTTCTTCATCGGCGACCTCAGGAAGATAAACCTTGTGATTTGTTTCCTCATGCCGCGACAAGCATCCGCCTGGTGGTTTCCATGCAAAAACTCATCGGAAATTATTTGCTAGACCGCCCCAAGGCCGAGTAGAAACTCCGCGGAACAGCTTAATATTCCTGGATAATGCATGACCTCAAAGCAGCACATTTTCATTTGAATAATGGCTCGTCGGAATTTGGGTGGATTTGAATCTTCATAAGAGTGGAATGGCCGATTTTTTGTAGTCTGTGGTCTCAATCCACAAGTGTCTATACAAGGTTACTCTTGGTTTAGTGATGTTACACGAATAACAAAATCGTCGTGCAAGAAGGAACAAAAATCGGAACTGGCCGTCAAGAAGTCGAATTTGGGAGGATTTTGCCTTTGAAGACGATGATCATGAAGGATAAGTCCAGTTCAAGGACCGAAGTTGAGATTTCAGAGCGCAACTTAACCCACTTGGGCAGCGAAAATTTAAAGCAGAAACAACTGATGACACCGTCTCTTGAAAGCCACGGCGCATCTCTACGGCTATCTTCTCTTCATCTGTCGATGCTAGACTGGGCCATCGTGGCAACTGCCTTAAATGACTGACAACACACATGCATTATGACTGCTCAGATGACTACAAATGAACCAAACAACCAGTGGAAAAGGCCCAAGAATCAAATTAAAGGCTAACCTTCTGAATGCAAATCAGGTAACAACCTAGTGAAACATGTACCTCTAATTTGTCGACTTTGCATGCGTACGCACATTTGCAGCTTATAAGATTTGTTCCCAGTAATATCAAGGCGTAAATTATACTGCAGATAAAGCTCGCTAACGTTATGCGTGTTGGGCAGCAAGCACGTGGGCTTCACTACCGCTCCCACTTTACCAGTTCATCCCGCGCAAGCCATGGCAAAAACAGTCTTATTTAAAGGTTTATGGCTAAAGAAATCTAGGCTCATGGAACTCAAAGTTTTGCTTCCTCTCTTTTTCGGTCGCTTACGCTTGGAGCTATGGATCTGCAGGCCGTTTGCCGAGCAAAGCTAACAGGCAAGCTGCATTCGCGATCTGCAAGGGAGGCATACAAATAGAGATAAGCATTTGTGACGATATCTTGCTTCAGATTCCGAAATCACAGGCTACGCCCAAACTTACAAAGTCCTCATCTGCGACGACTCGACGCCAGCATTGAGTCCGAGCCATCATGAACAAAGAATATAGCGAGCCCTTCGTCGAGCAGCACGGCATTGAATACAATTCAAGAGCATACGACGATCAGGATCCTTTTGGTCATGAAGCGGGTCATCAAGTCAGAATTCTCAAACCCACCGCCCCAAAAAATTCATGACTCATGTGCACGAGCTAATAATGTTGAAAGATCAAATACAAGACGCTCTCATGGCAGCTTGTCGCAGTGCTGATGATAGCCGAGATTGTATCTAACGGCATGCTGTCCCTGCCATCCTCTCTCGCCGTTGTTGGCATCGTGCCGGGAGTGATTTTGATCGTGTTCTTGGGCATATTCGCGACGTACACGTCTTACTTGCTCGTGCAGTTCAAGCTTCGTCATCCCGAGGTCCATTCCATGGGAGATGCTGGTTATATCCTTTTCGGGCCGGCTGGACGGGAGCTGCTTGCTTTTGGGACCATCGTCTTTGCCGTCTTCGCCACTGGGGGCCAGCTTCTCGCCGGACAGATCGCGCTGGCCGCGCTGTCGGACAACAAACTGTGCTTGATGTTGTACACGGGCATCTTTGCCGTCCCAACTCTGCTCCTCTCGTTCCCGCGCACTCTCGACGGCTTGTCGTGGATCAGCATTCCCTCAGTGTTAAGTATTCTAATCGCCGGAATCGTTGGTATGGTCGGCGCAGGCATCCATCCAGCAGTCAATCATCACATCGACGTGGTGAAAACAACGTCGTTTTACACCGCATTCATAAGCATTACCAACCCAGTTTTTGCATATGCCGGCCATTTCATGTTCTTTATCTTGGTTTCTGAGATGAAGCGGCCTCAGGATGCGATGAAAGCAGCTTACACTCTGCAGGGATTTGCCACAACCTTCTATGCTGTCTTCGCCGTCGTCTGTTACGTCTACCTCGGAAATGGAGTCGCCAGTCCTGCTTTCAGCTCACTGGAGACCAAGTGGGCAAAAGCTGCATATGGAATTGCCATTCCGAACTTCTTGATCGCGGGGTCGTTGTACGCACACACGGCTGCAAAGTTGATTTTTGTCCGTCTGTTCCGCAAGAGCAAGCATTTACATTCGCACACTTTCCTCGGGTGGGGAACCTGGTTTTCTCTATGCTTGATAATGAATGCTGCCGCATTCGCATTGGCGGTAGGAGTGCCAATATTCAATTATCTGATTGGAATCGCCGCATCCTTGTTTGCTTCATGGTACACCTATGGAATCGCGGGAGCATTCTGGCTCCACGACGCTTATTATGACGGTGATGGACTCCACACGTGGATCAGAAAATGGCCAAAGGCATTACTGGCTACGGCTACATTCGTTGCCGGTGCTTTCATCTGTGTTGCTGGCACCTATGTTACCATTCGCGGTATTGTAGATGCTTATAATACCGGCAGTGTGGGAAAACCCTTCAGTTGTTGATTCGAATGAGGGTCTTGCGAAGCTCTCATGGACGTAATAGACAGAAACCAATAGTTGAGAGAAGTAGGTGAAGGTGGAGCTGTTCGTGTTTTTCTAAGCCAGTAGTTCTTGTTCGGTTCGAAACGTCGAGATGGGTTTGTTCTACATTCTGGCCTCAAAGCCTGCTGATATATTACATGGCGCAATCTTATGACATTGAATTGTAGATTCTCTTCTGTGCTCAGGCATATTTGATTGTGCAAAACATCCATCTAGTACTCACAAAGCTGCACCCATGGGTACGAATCCATCAACAAAGTTCAACAAATATTCGTGATGGACCCAACGTTTTGCAACGATTGGCAGGGTTGGGAAATAAGTGAACCAAAAAGACAAAAGGAAAGGTCCACCGATACATGGTTGACCAGAGCAAGTGATAGATTATCTAGCCTACTGACGACATGCTTGGTTGTATTTTGAATAAGTCAAGACGGTCGATGTGAATAGTTGCCGAAATCGGATGCGTCCTTGGCTGATACTACGACATTCGGTCACCTCTTCAAACCCCCCATTCTTGTCCGCAATTGCTGACAGTTGAGATGATCGTTCTTAGGCGCTTTGTCGAGTGATGAGCATTCTTTGCGCAGCTTGCAATTCTGTTCTCGACGGTAATTGGTTTCACCGGGCGGAGCCCCCATAGGCGAACTCGCATACGGGGTGCTCGTATTAGAACCTCCAAAAACGCGAACCTTGGATGAGTCCGCCGGGACTCTTGTTCAGCGAGTGAAACAGACATGGCAACTTTTGCGTTCGTTCTAAATTCGGTGCGCATCTCGTGGCTCGCGTGCTGATGTGGACCAGGAAAAGCAGCTTCAGCGCGGCTTCATACGCGGCATTTCGGCCGACGTATCCTCACAGCCTTTACCAAACTGTGCTGTGCTATCACCGGGGGGCAAAGAATCGGCTTGTCGACCTTGGCTGTGGAACAGGTATTGTGCCTCGATATCTCTCGAAGGAGTTCAAGCAGGTCATTGGCACCGATCCCTCTCCCGTGATGATTAAGAAGGCCCGCGAGTCGACCCTGGAAAGCGAATATCCAAACGTCGATTATCGACTCTCTTCCGCGGAGTCTCTCCCCTTTCTAGAAGACAATAGCGTAGATATGGTCGTTGCAGCCCAAGCAGCGCACTGGTTTGACTACTCGAGACTTTTCCCTGAGCTGAAGCGAGTTTTACGTAAGGAAGGCACCGTGGCGTTCTGGGGCTATAAGGACCACGTCTACATCGGATACCCTGAAGCCAGCAAGATCATGCTTCAATATTGCTACGGGAAAGATCCGGATCGGCAACTGGGGCCGTATTGGGAGCCGGGACGTTCCATCACCGTGGAAAAGCTCCGCCCGATCAAACCACCGCAGGCAGACTTTGATGACGTTCAACGTGTCGAGTACGAGCCCGATTCCAGAGGCAAAGCTGCGGGGGAAGGCACGCTGTTCGTTGAGAAACAGATGACGTTGGCTCAGAGCATGGAATACATTCGCACGTTCAGCAGTTTCCACGAGTGGGCGAAGCAGCACCCGGATAACAAGAAGCGGAGTGAAGGTGGCCAGGGGGATCTGGTAGACTGGATGTACGATGATATGAAGAAAGCAGAAGGCTGGACAGATGAGAACATGATGCTGGACATCGAATGGGGAAGCGCGCTCGTCATGTGCCGAAAGGTGTGATCATTTCTACTTCACAGTATGGCTCATCTTGCCACCCGGTTATTACAGGAACCGATTTTGCAATCCTCATCAGCGGATACACGATGGAAGTGTGATTGCAGTGACAGATTCCGCAAGAATTTTTGTTTTTAAGACTTTTTTTTTCATCCGAGTCCTGCATTATGTAGCATGAAAAGCTGGCCCGTGACGGCCAGCTTCATTTATTAATTGTGTGCCTCCTGGTGGCAAATAACAAGAGTCGGCCGTTCAATCATGTCCATGTTGTATTATACATTTGCCAAAAGAACGCTCCCTAGATTTCGTGACTACATTTGGCGTGAATAGAGAAGACAGCGACTTTCCTAAATCTAACAGCACGTTCATTCATGATGGTCATATCCCATTTCGCAAAGAAGAGATTGCTGCAAAATGAAGCACGGATCCTGACGCTTAATCAATCAAACAGCATTTTTGACGGCTGTAAACCGCTAACATGGCGGCTCTCGCGTTCGTTGTCTTCTTCCTGGACTCCAAGAACGCCCATGGCCCAGTGAACTCGTGTACCTTGATGGTCTCGAGGAATTTTTCCTGAAACATCGGCATGATCGTGATCTGCGGTAGTCTGGTTTCCCATCGGAACGTGCCAACGGCCCAAAACGCGTTTGTACGGAGGACCTCGTCCTGCTTCTGCAGCCTTTTCCCAAGACGCCTCGCAGCCTTGCGCGATCATTCCGATGGACTTCCACCCGGTGCGCAACTCGACATTGCGAAGAAGGCTGATTAACCACGCCCGCTGGCCAGGGTCTCGATATTGCACTCCAGCAAAAAAAAGAGGAAGCCCAGCTTCGCATAAACATGCTCCAAGATTTGGGTTGAGGTCAGGTCCCATCACAGGCGGCACAATCCCTCCAACGATTTGTCCTATGCGTGTGGCATACTGGCTAGTCTGCTGAGCTGCGACCTCCGCAGCCATCAACGCAGCTGGTGGCATGTGAGGCTGGCAGCGCTGGAGAATGATACATGCCATGTAGTATAGTGCCCATATTATACCAACATCATGCGACTTGTAAAACAAAGCTGGGCCGAATGGAGTCATTGTCGGAGGATGAAGGTCCGCAGGGAGCGGTTGGAAGTGTGGTCCTAGGTGAGACTCAAAAGTATTCAAAGCAGCCTTCAGCTGAGCCCACTCAGCAAGTGCGCTTTCCGTAGCAGCATCCAAGTCATAATCGCTCTTTTCAGACTTAGGACTGGGTGTGGAGTGTGCCGTATTTGCTGCATACGAAGACGGCATTTTAACAGTGGTTGGAAGAGGTGCCATTCCGTAGAAGCTAGGGGGAGCAGGAGGAGCAGGACGCTGGCCGGTGGAGTGACGATGAGGATCGCCCATGGCCTGAGAAGAAGACTGCATGGGGGCTTGAGAGCTGAATGGGGAACCTGCGGAACCTTTTTCAAGCCCTCGTTCGTGTTTGAAGTTTTGCGGCGTGTTCAATAGGATGGGATCTTGATGTGCGGGCATTTGGTTAGGCTGAATCAGGTCCGGCGACACCTGTCCGGATAGCGTACCAAAGAATGGATGGTTCGGGATTTGTTCATGACCTGTGGCAGGAATTGGGCCCTGACCGATGCCAAATGACGCTCCGCTTTGGTAATGAGGAGGGTTCTGCATGTGCATTGTTGGGTAGGGTGCTGATGGCTGCCCTGTCACAGAAGCTGATTGCATGAACGAAGTATTCGGAGTCCGAGATGCCGGAGCATTGGATTGAGGGGCTGGTGGTGGAGGCCCAGAAGGCATGCTCATTCCTGGCGGTGGTCGCCATTGACCTCCGTTTGAGTCCATGACCTTGATCTTTCTACGTCGATCTCTAGCATTGAAATCCGCGATTCTGGCAAATATGAGGATCAAGTGGTCATGTGTTCCATAGATTGCGTCGGATCGGCCCATACTTGCGCGGGGTGGGCAATCGGTCCATCGGTGATAGTCGAGCCTGAAAAAGTGATTAGAATGTAACGAAACTTGGATTCGCGGGCTGGAGCCTACAATAATTTATTGCCGCTCAAGATGGCTTGGTAGACATCCTGTCTTGCGTACCACCAGTATAGATCCTGGTATAGTTCGTACTTTTCGGGATCAAAGGGTGGTGAAGCTTTTGCACCTCGTACGCCATCGTCATCGTCGTCCAACACTTGGCCAAACTGCTCCACCTTGACCTCGCGGCCCATGAGAATGCTAACAAGACTCTCGTCAATTGTAGCACTCATACTTTGAGCGCCTCGATCAAGAAAGTCATGGCTCTGGTAGAATGCATATTCATCCTTCCGAAAAAGCTGTTGTGCTTTGTATCGTCTTGCCTCCTTGGCCATGCGCTTGAACGGGATGGATTGCAGCAGCTGTTTGGCACCGGCAAGGTGACTGCTCCATTTCAAATGATCAGCGGTGAGAACCTCGTAGAAGCCCAGCAATAAAGTTGCGGCAATGGTCGTAGGCAAAAGTTTCTTGTTCGCATTTCCAACGTTCTTGTGTATGCGTTTGATAGCGTATGCGTAATGTTTGTATGAGGGCATGCTGGAGGTGCCTTGAAGTTTGGAGATGTGCAAGCTTGATAAGGCAAGCATGGCATGCAGCAAACCTTGGTTGAAGATTGCTTTCATCGGCAGCGTATACGTCCAAATACCCTGCTGATGGCCTGATGGAGTCTCGTTGAAAAGCGCCGAGGGATTGCGAGGATGTCTTTCGAAGATGGATAAACTGGGCCCGGTAGCAAAGATGAAGTGAGCAAATAACCTTGCTGTTTTCGGATTCCCTAGTGGATTCGCATGCTCTTCTGCTCTGTAATGGTCCAGCATGCCGGAATATAGGAAGGTGTCATATCTTCGAGCGCTTAGTTCGTTCAGATGATCTTGATGCAGTTTTCGCATCAGGCTTAACTGCTGAAAGGCCTTTTCGGGAACGTCTTCCATCTCTTCGTCAGACTCGACGTCGTAGTAGTTGTCCTCATAGGTCTCAATTGCGGCATCTTCCAGAAACTGCGCTGTGGCTCCGGCGAGGCTGTGGCCTAGAAACTTGGCAGCTTGTGGACCAGGGGCCGTCGTCGACGTCGCTGAGCCAAGATCTGGTATTCGTTGGATCAATATCGTTCACGCTGGAGACATCCAAATGAGAGGCGCACTTACCACCAACACCTTGCGAACCGGCTGTCGAACTTGGTTCCGTTGCGGGTGCCCATGCTCTCTCTTGTGTGTTGACAGGTGGTGCGGCTGAGGCGGTCTCATTCGGTCCCCACCAGTAGACTTGACCTTGTCGCAGCAAAGGGGCGTTGTTGACCGACTGTTGAGAGGGTGTTCCGGCAAAGAAAGATGCGAAATCTTGCTGAACGGTCGAGGCGGGCGTGGGAAGATCACCGATTTGCTGGCTAGGTCGACGATACTGCTGAGCCGGCAAGTCGCTGTGCTGCATCGTAGCGTCTAGATTGCTTTGTAGCGATGGGTTTGCCAGATTCGGAGGAATACTGTGGGTCGAGATAGGGCTTTGGCCGTAGGCAGGATGGCCGTATTGGGGTGTAGGCGGTGTCCAGGACGGAAACTGTTGTGCGTACGGAGAAGGTACCGTCAAGCCGGGCACATTCTGCATGTACGGTATGCCAGTGTTGGGTGGACTGAAAATCGGCTCGCCGTTCTCACCCATCGCGATAGGTTGGCCTTGAGGTAATCGGGTTGGCATGAAAGCAGCCGTGTCAATCGGTGGTGGCACTGGCCGGTACTGACCCATGGGCTGCGAAGCAAGCATGCCATTGTGAAATTGAAGTATCTGACCGTCGTCGGCCAGTCCTCCCCAATCCGCGATTGGAGTTTTCCAGTTCAGTCTCTGGTTATAGCCTTCGCAAGTGCGCTTCGACTTGATGCAGTTTTGGCAGATCGGCCTCTCCTCTCCACACTTTATTCTGCGCTTGCGACACGTCAGACATCCTGTCTTTGTACGCTTTCGCAGTTTTGCCGTACTTGTCGCAGGAGCAGTCGCGGGCGTACTACCAGAGCCTGGTCCGCCGGTTCCGCCGCCACCAGTCGAGGGTGGATGCGATGTCCCTTGTGCGTCCATCCGGCGGTAAGCAACGTGGGCGCGTCGCTGATCCAGACAGCGACGTTGTCAGACACTCGGCTCCCTGACACAGTCTTTTCTTTGATTTTTGACTAAATTTGAGGGCGCCTAATGCCGTAATCACAAGGCGACTCGGCAGAGGGTGAAACGTCCTGAATACATCGGCAGTAGGCTGATAATGATGCGAATAATGTCGGTGGCCCTCCAATGATCAGAGCCAAGTAGCCCGAGGGAAGTCAGTATATCAAGCACTTGAGCGGTCTCCCTCAAGACGCGGTTCGGGCGAGCTTCTGAAAATCCACAGCTGAGACTCAGTGCGCGTGGACACCACACGATTCCGATCCGTGTGGGGATTCGAAAAGAAAAGGTTCAGCAACAGGGGGCCGTTTGGGTATTTCAAGCTCTCCTAAGCTCAGTGGATTACGCCAACCGACCAAGACGGTTGGTCGAAGATCAAACGCAAGGGTATTTGCCGTTCCCGTGGTTAGTGATGGATGCCGGACGGGAAGACAGCTGATCGACGAAGGCCACGAGCGTCACGGCTGAAGGAAAGCAGAGGCGAAAAGAGGCAGGGAAAGATCCGGATTATGATGCCCTGGGCGGCGGGCGGTGGAGAGGAAAATCTGAACAGGAACAGAGGCCCGGAGAGAAGAAAACACGAATGGCAGTCGTCCGGGCAGGACTAGATGGGGGTCGAGCAAGATGGAGGTCCACAGCAGCACCGCACAAAGAACGGGACCGCGCGTGGTCGAAAAGGGCAAGGCATAACAGCATCGGGAGAGCAAACCATCACCCCATTCAGAGCCCCTGATGCGCCTTCTGGGCTGTCTTGCCGCACGCCGGCTCGCAGGCTCGTTCAGCTTCCAGCTCTAGCTCGAGACGGCGGGCCGTGTGGCTTTCTGGTCGCACGCACAACTGGCCTGTCTTGCGCCGGCCAACCCTGCGCGAGGCTCAATTGGGGGCCCAGCATCTTGGAAAGGCCCGTAAGGCTCTTGGGCGCGAGGACGTTGCTGCTTCACACGCCTCCGTCGACGGTGCCGCTGCGCATGAACATATCCCACATGGACGAGCACACGCGTTCTGCGACGAGTCGAGCCGTGCGAGCCCGCACATGGATCGGAGAAACGTGAAGGCATCGCCGCAGCAGAGCCCGTGGTTTCTGGTCAACTAGCGGCAGTGAAGGCCAATGAAACGGCTGGCAACAATACAGCCTGCAGGAACAGACAGAGACAGGCCTGGTGGAGGCACCTCGCCCTCTCCATGATCACGCTCCACTGCTCGGCCTAGAAGGGGCCTCTGTTCCGCCGGCCATCCGCCCAGGATCATCATCCCACGGCCGGCCTGCCACAGGCCTTTGCGAGCTGAAAGGGACTGGCAGAGGGATCCGTCGATTTGACGTTTCCATCGTCCTTTTATTAGAACGACAAGCCTTGAAGATGAGACCAGGGGGGCCAGCTTGCTTTCGACAGGGCAGCCAAGTCGCAAAGATCAGCCAAAGCCCAGCACGTACGGGCCGAGCAATAATTTTGGACCAGATGCTTGTCGATCAACAGAGCTTAACCAGCACATCGGACCTCGCTCGTCGAGCTTTTTTCAGTCTTCGGGGAATGTGCACGTCGGCCGATTCTGCCTTCGATCTGCTTGAACCGCGTCGGCAACACCCACACACCTCCACATCCACACGCTGGGCCTGCCTTGTCGGCCGCAAAACGCACCAAACAAGGCCAGGAAAACGTGGGAGGGCTTTGTGCGACCCTGTCCAGAGTGGGACGGAGCCGCCGACATCTAGACCAGATCGAGCCGGGGTGAACAATTTCCTCCCATCTGCTGTGCCAAAAGCTGGAGGCTCTTGTGCCACGGGCGGATCGAGCAACGAAGCTGCCGCTCCAGCCCTGGGTTTGCCGGCGAGCAGTATCCAGCATGTTGGGAAGCTTGAGTGGAACGGCGGCAGCTATTTCCCTCATTGGGCCACAGCAAGACGGAGTTGTTGACGTGAAGCCGTGCCCCGGCTTGTGCATGGCCGACTCTTTGCTTCTGACCCTGCAGCGGGCAGACGCGACGGCCAGGTGAACGATGACATAGAGGTTATCAAAAAAGGCTAAATTGGAGAAACGCCGTAGCCGTGGACGAAAGACATCCAAGGCTGGTAGAAAGACGCCCATGACGTCGCCAGCTGAAGCCGCGCTCCCGAAGCAGCATCGACAGGAAACCAAGGCTTTGATCTAACATAAGGCCCCAGAGCACGCGGCTAGTAGCCTTGATGGCATTGTGTTTGGATCACTGCCTTGAGCCACACTTTGCCAGCAGCAGAGCGGCCACGGTTGGAAGGGGAAACGCGGGCGAATGATATTACGTCTGCCCGTGTATTTTTCTGCGAATGGTGTGGTAAGGTGCATAAGGTGGGTGATGCATTTGCGCATTCGTGCGCTGCTATACAGCCAAGGTCCACACTCGCTGTCATCCGCGGCTGCAATCCCTCACCCACCTGTCTACCCACCCTCCAATACCACCTATGCGTCCACATCGTCGCCTCCTCCTCTCTCCTCACCAAGATACCACACGGTCGCGGAGAAGCGGCATCAGCCTGGTAGCCCAATGAACAAGAACCCCCCTCCCCCCCCCACCCCTTCTTCTCCGGCGCACTCGGACAGACTTCAAGCCGAGATATCGCTTCATTAGCAGCCTCCGTAGTATCTTTAGAACCCATACGCTCGTGCGCATGACGGACGGAGCAAACGTGCCCTGCCACCACGCGAGCACCATGCCAGCCAGCTACGCACAGGACGCCGCACGCACACGGCTTGAGATCTTGCGGAGACAGCCCCCTACCCGACGACCATGTCGCCACTCACCCATCTGCGGAACCAGGTCCAGGTAGGTTTCAGGCAGCCTCGCAGCACGATCGCCGCTAGGATCAGGTCTGCAAATTGATTTCCTCAACTGTACATTGTTCGTCCTTTCTGAACAGCTTGTCGTCCATTGTACGTGTATGGATGCGTGCTGGCTCTCGTTTCGGTTTAGCCTTGCGGTGGTGCTGCTTCGACTCAGGCGCCTGCCGCCATGAGCCGGGGCTAACAGGACGCGGCAAAGAGATGCAATAGCAGTGCTATGAAGAAAGGTTGCTCCACAGACCGGCCGTAACCTTGGCCGCCTTCAAATCAATTTATGTTTGCTCTGAATAATGCTTTCATGGATTGCGGGCCACCATTGCGATCGTACGGAGTAGGATTCCACCCATCCCACCCTGCCTCTCCCTTTGCCTGCGAGCAAACGATACAATCACTCTCTCGTATGCGGTCAAAAACCTCCTCCCGCTACCACAAGGGAGGCCGCTCAGTTCTTTCTTTGGCTGAGTTTGCCAGGTCCAACCAGCTGCGTGGTTTGTTTGGCTCACCGGAGCCACCAAGCGAGATGGGGAAACGATCAGTTGAACGAATCGAATGAGCAGGTCCACGCGGGCCAAATTTCGGATCTGATTCATCAGACCCTCTATCTAATCTCAGCTCCAGGAAACAAATTTTTGGTCATTCCATATCCTAGTACTGCAGCACACATAGCCCTGCTCACCTCCCTCCAGCATCGAGACATTTACACCTGATAATTCTCGGAGCTCCCGAGCCAGCTTCGTAAAGGATGATGCTCGATAGCGCTCCCTCGATCTTCTGATAAGCGCGCAGGACGAAGCATGTGAAAAAATGTGCACGGGGTGTTCGACTTCTCCAAAGGCGTCGCTTTGTATAGTCTCGTTCTTGACCATCTTCCAGAGGACCTACATCGAGATCTTCCTATATCTTTTCTTCATTAGCAGCCCCTGGAGTCGAGTGCATAATAATCAGGTACGAAACCCTTAAATTTATAGGGATGATGTAAATGGCGACGACGGAGACAAGTCTTCAATTTCGGTTACGCCAACTCCCCCTGGCTCTTGGAGGTAACGCCAAGCCTTTATCTGATCACATCACCCAACGTCACGTTCGCCATGCTCCAAAAAAAAATTAATTCTTTTCACTTCTGACGTCAAATGGCACGTAATCGGGGATGCGGAAAACGCGTCCTGGTCTGAATAAACGTTTTGCCGCGAATCGCTGACGCTTTGACCAAGCCTGTTCGACCTCGTCCGTCCGATGAGGACTACCACCGAATCTTAATTTCCCTCGACCGGTCAACAAAGTGCGCTGGCTGGACTTGAAAACATCGGGCTCACGACGCACATCTCTCGTATGACTGTGCACTGCCGAGCCTACGTAGCCGTTTGCATTGTTACTCTTTCTGACCTAGACGGTGCTGTGCACTGCCAATCTCTGGTAGCAACAATCTGTCTGTCTCAAGAGACGTCTCGAGCATCTGAATCACAGTGGCTACGGAATGATAGGTTACTGCCTAGATACCAGCTCGATCAGCTTCCAACGCTTTCGTCCCGCCGGAAGCGGCGTGTTAATGTATGTATTTTATAGTCTTCGTCTCTGATCCCTTCTGCTTTAGTCATCTCGATCGTTCATTCTCCTCATTTCGTACCCATACTATCCCTCACATTTCATGATTCCCATGTACCGAAGAGATAGCGCAAATTTCTACCTTGTGCCATGACCACAGCTTCAGCCGCCCTCCTCGAGATTGTTAGCCGCGGACGTTCGGGTACAACAGTGAGCAATCTCAAAGGAGAATTTAGGACATTACGCGTATGGTGTATGTACTTTATGACGACCAGATCTCATGAACATTCTATTTCTTTTTGTTTTTTGAATAAAAATTGCGTGACACAGTATTGTGTCGACTGACAAGGAGAGCACATTTACAGAGCGAGAACCTCACTTAGTTGAAACTTCTAGAACGCTATCTGACCACATGACTTGAGTGTTTCCTAGAAAAACTCTGTAAAATGGAACAGAGTGATATCCCTCCCGTACTTACGCTGACTTCATCTGGCAGGACTCGGCGCACTCTAAGCCGATAAGGCGGACATATGAAGTTAGGAGATAAGACGAGAAATTACGGCCATGGATTCCTTGCTGTCAATTAACATCTCCAAAACTCAAGGAGCATGCGCACTAATCTCATCTTTCCATTTGATTGCCTCACACCCATTAAATGAATGTAGCTAGTATCGATTCACCTAACGCAGCAGCGCTTTGTCTATATCGCATATCAGGGAGGAGAAGGAGAGAAAGAGTTCTCGGGATTTCTTCTAGCTTTTTATGTTAGCTCATGCTTAGGCCTCCAGCCCCGCGTTGACAGGCTCGTTCTTCCGCTCCCGCTACAAAGCTATCAAGAAAGGACAAATATCTCTCAAGTAAACTTTTCAGAGTTCCCAGGGACCCGTCGATTACCCTTGGAACCTGAATCGACTCGCCTCCAAACGTCCCAAACCTTCTCTTGGAGCCACGTTTCGCCTGCGATACGAGTTCGTGAAATCCTGCAGTATCGTGCGAATACCTCTCAATTCATTGGTTGCTACGCGTCTAGGATCCATACGTTAGTACGTGTTCTCCTATGCACCATCAGAGTATAACAGAGATATGAAGAGGAAAGTAGATCAGGAAAAGTGGAAACGTACTGTTCGATGCCGGCCATCAGCTTCTGGGCTTCCTCTGCGCTGAGCGCGCCTTCCGGTAGCAGCGCAATCGTCCCCTTAATCCAAGCCGTCGCCTCTGTCGGAAGAATCTGAAATAGGCCAAAAATTACACCGGAGGCATCAGGATAGCAATCCTGGGGAAACGTGTACATCATGCCCACCAGCAGTCTCCTGGTTAATTCCTCGCCCTTCATAAGCGAGATCTTCTTCACAGCTTCCACAACAGGGGCAGGTGTTCTTCGATCGCCATTCGCGAAAGAGGAGTACGGCTGATCAGGAAGTCCATACGAGAGGAAGTCCCTCAAGAAGTGAAGAGTCGCCATTAAAGGCTCCTCCTTCAGGATCTGCAATGTATTCGTTGCCGCTTCAAGTATATCAGGCATAAGATGTCCGGGAATCGCGCGAACGCTATGGTATAGTAGAATATCCTGGCTAAGACGGAAGAAATCCTCGATAACGTCCGGGAGCTCCTCTGGAGCGATACCACTTAGAGCGCGTAAGAACGTGGTGGCTTGCTGCTCAAAGAACTGATACACTGCTTCGGGGAAGCCGGGCTGCACTCCCTCGGCGTCGTCATAAAACTCACGCACGATGCTATCCGTGGCCCATAAAAAGCAACCCTGCTTTGACTGCGCGAAGCCAGCGCGTAGCTCCTCTGCCATTTGCGGTATCAGCGGGGCGATGGATGTACGGTAGGCAATCACCATGTGCCGCCAGCAGCGGCATACCCGTTCAAGAACGGGTACGCTGTCAATGAACTTGCGTGCGATTTGGGCAAGATAGGGAAAAATCTCCTGGCAATACTTGACAGCCGGATGTTCTTGTGGCTCGGGTACGTATGGTTGAACCCACTGGACGAAAATGGTGAGGAGTTGTAGCCGATCGGACAAATCAAGTTTGGTTGCTTTGTCCGTTGCGTTCTCGGCTAGTCGAACGATACCCTGAACGACCGGATCAACGAATGCCTTCATTCCAGGATAGATTTGGTCGATGGGCTGCTTTGCTAATATTGCCGCAACACCTTCCGTGATCTCTTCTTGGCTATCCACCGAGAGTTTGTCTAGCACAGTCGAGTAGAATTGCTGCAATTGAGCAACCTCGCCTTTGAGCAGGTCAGCACATTCGGTACAGAAGAACTTGAATGACAGCGCGGCAGCCTGCAGCACCTCTTTCGAGGGATAATTGAACGCGCTGATGATGAATTGCAGCTGATCTTGCAACGTTTGTGGGTGCTGTGCGGTCCACTCCGTGTACCGTCCGAGTACCATTACCGCTTGGAATCGCAGTTTGGGATGATCTGGAATCTGAACGATGAGCGGTATCAACTGAGGCAGCATGACATTTTCATCCGGTGGAACTTCTCGCCCCATTGCGCGTAGACTGAACAAGGGTGCTTCCAGCTCTTGCCAGTGCGGTACTTTGTTTGCCGTAGCTTGCGAAGCGTACTTGCCAACCCAGGCATGGATGAGCTCGTATGGTTTCTTCAAGCACTCCGTTGCGCCTAGCACCTCACAGCAGTCTTTCAGCACGTCACCCATTTGGTGTCTGAACTCGCGAAACTTTTCTTCAGCCTCACGGTCGCCCTCGAATAAATCTGCTTCATTGCCACTCTCAGGCGTTGGGAATTGTAGAAGCTTTATCATGACGTCCACCAATTTTGAGTAAATTGGAGAAAGCTCTTTCTTTGCTTCCTGGTAACGTTCCAACGTCAAGTACTGTTTAAGTTCGTACCAAAACGAGAAAGTATGCTTGACCGAGTCCTTCTCCCAATCGAGCGCAGCCGTATCTAGCAGGCACTCCACAAGCGGTTTCAGCAGGGTCGGTTGTCGCGCGACTAGCAGGACCCAGCTATCGCCGGCCTCAGCAAAAATCCTTGCGATTCCGGTAAATATCTCTGTGTCCTCTTCTTGAGCAGAGAGAGCTAGTTTTGGACGTAGAGTCATTACTTGCGGCAGCAACTTCTCAATGGCCTCTTGATTTTCGTCTACATCGCGTGTTTCTCTTATAATCGTGCACAAGCAGTCTACTGCTGCATCGAAAGACTCGGGTGCTTCCAGCGCATGCATTAGAACGGAGAACAAAGGTGATTGGAGGATGTCGACCAAGGGTATTTCTCGCGTCCATGAGTCGATGGCTTTGATCAAATCCGGATCTTGCGCGGCGGATGCTGTTTTCCAGTTAAAAAAACGTGCTCAGATTGACAATATGTGCTGCAGAGTTCCACATACGTGATGACGTGCCATAATTCGATAGTAGTTGCAGAACCTGCGGGGCGTTGTCTTCCAGTAGCTCCTTCGTCCTGTCGACAACTTCTTCTTCCTAATATATCGAAATTACGTATTAGACACTGCACCGCAAAACTCGTGGACAAAATCTTGGAGAGCTGAAGTTCGAGGACACATCATGGAGAACAACAAAGGTAGCAGCAGCTGTAGTAGCAGGAGACTAGGAGGCGCTGAACCGACGAAAGCGAGGAGAGCTGGTGCGCGGCCGAACTTATGGTGTTTATTTTGGTGGTGGTTGAACGTACTGAGAGGTTGAACTTGCGTCCTTCCGTGACTTCCTCTGGAAGGATCTTGAGGAATTCGAGTATGCACGATATACTCGTGGGCTCGTTGCCCAGAGTCTGCATGACGAGTGGGAGAACATCGCGCCAGCTGGTCATGCGGATGGCCAGCTGAGCAAGGCAGATGTTGAGTTGGGTACGGATGAGCTTAAGGCCTTTGCTATACTGCTTAAGCAGGCTGAGAACCGAGTCGCGCAGGCTAATCTGTGCTTCTTTGGGTATCTGCCGGAGATCGTAGACTATCTGCGGTGAAGAAGCATCGTGTTAGTATATCCAAGCAACAAAGTTGTGGTTCTCTTACTTTGCCCTTCAGCGTTGTCGCTGCGAAGAGCTTGATCTGAGGACTCAGGCTGTCCGTCTGCAGCATCTCAAAAGTCAGGCTCCAGGCTTCGGGCTGTCAAAATCACATCAGTGGGACCCTTTTTCAAATAGCCGACGAACGCACCGTCTTCTGAAATTTGTCCAGGTAGTCGACCGCCTGCTCTTTGGTGGCTCGGTCTACATTCCCCTGCATGGACTCAACAGCTTGTATGATCGGGCCAAGCACCGACTGATTTGCGGCGCCGTTTGTGGCCATGTTCGACAGCCGTAGCAGAATGTGAATGAACAGGCGGCGTCAGTGGGGAGGCGAATTGACAGGTGAGATGTCGGAGTAGCGGGGGCGCCTCGGGCGAAGGAAAGAAAGGAAGATTAGTAGAGAGAGAAAGATGAGGGTGTTTTCGAGAGGAGGAAGGAGCGACTTTTGCAGCGCAAGACGTGAAGGGGAGGAGCGATAAGTAATGGTAAAGTCAGTGGGTTGTAGTATTTACAAGGATTCCATGGAGCAAAAGCAGAAGCGCTGTGACGCTCTTTCCGCATGGGCTAGCGTAAGGCAGCGCTTGTCTCTGCTGCCCACTTCCGCTCCTGCCCTTCAAAAAACTCGCCAAGCCAGCCGAACAGGGAAAGCTTAGGTCAAGGAAAAATCAACGCCCCAGCCCGGCAACCGCGACCTCGTACAAACACGAATACACGTTTGCGGAAAGCGCAACGGACCTTAGCATTGCAGCGCCGCAGTTCAACCTTTGTATGTGCTTATCTTGTATGCCCTCGCGCCGAACAAGGGGCACAACGGGTCACTGACGTCGCGTAGGCCTGTTTGCGAGCGTGCGGTCCACCCGTGCTGTACTCGAGCGCATTTAATCTATCACCATGTCAGGACGACAAGGCGGCGGCAGGCGGGACAAGGTTCTCATTCCGCCCATCAACTTCATCTTCAGACTCCTCACGTCAAAGGCCCACGTCTCGATATGGCTGTACGAGCAGCTGGGCTTCCGGATTGAGGGCTACATCAGGGTACGCTTCATTCTGTCGCATGATTCCGACCAAAGTTGAACAGGGACGCATTTCTAACATATATACACTGTCCGTAGGGATTTGATGAGTTCATGAACCTGGTCATCGACAACGCAGTGGAAGTTAGGCAGGCGACAAAAACGGAGGAAGAGTCGAGACGGCTGCTTGGCCAGATACTTCTCAAAGGCGACAATGTATCATTGATTCAGGAGCTACAGGCATGACGACTTGCGTGCCAAGGCAGCGGAGGAGGCATAATCCACCAATTACGATGATGGTGAGGCTTTAAAAGGGCGAGAGAACTTCATCAAGTGTGGCGCAACCAAGATGTAGAAAATGGCGTTTAGAGTAAGGGACATTCCATAGCAGGATATTGTGGTTTACACACCATTGGTCAACTCTGCGTCGACGGCGGCGCCTGTCGCCGGAACACACTTCCATCTCCTGCAATAACGGCGTCAAGTCGGACATCTGTCCCGTCCATGGGTATTTCCTTTCCTGCAGGGAGCAGTTGATCCACTAGGGAAAGACCAACTAGGAGAGAGAAGACAATCAGCCCCAGAATCAAGAAAGAAGTGCGTTTGAATCAATTGATCGTCATCAACTCAAACCAAACCCCTTGAAAATGAACTACACGAGGACGCAAGACGAGGTACATACCTTTCCAAGGCACTCTAGCTCCCAATCCAGCTTCCTTGTTGCACCTCTCGAAGAAGCGATCGTAGAAACCCTTTCCCCGTCCGAGCCGTCCACATGCTCTATCAAAGCCCAGTCCCGGCGTGACGACAACATCGACACCCTCTCCAGACTGACTTCCCAGCGGCATGTCCACGGAGCGGCCGCATCCACCGAAGCAGTTCGCTCTGTGCTGAATAGACTCCTCGCTCGGCGTAGGTATGCCCCAAGCGTCCAGTGCCAGCGTCTCGAAGTCGTGAAGCGAGGCCAGCTCAAGCATGTCCATGACCATTGTCTTCTTCGCCGGCGAGCCTGCATCTGACGACTGAGAGGCGGCGGGCACCGAGTAGAAGTAAGGCACGAACACGCGTTTCCCAGCGCCCAGAGCGTGACGCACGATCACGGGCGTGTGGACCTCACCGGACGGCATGGAGAGGTAGACGCTAATGCGCTTGGCTCGCTGGTACTCTGGCTGAGCAAAGAGCGTCTTGACGATCTTCGAAGCTATCAAATAGAAATGTCCGAGTCAACCTTTCCGCTCGCAGTCTGAACACACAGTGTGGAGATAGAACGAACACATGGATATGGATGCAAGGGGATCGATGCCTACATTGAGCTGCTACACTATCCTTCTCGACGCTGGCCAGAGTGGCCTTCAAAGCTTTACGCAACTCCTTCTTCGCTGCACGTGTTGCTGCCATGGTTTGCTCGTTGTTGTCGTCCTTTTGCCTTGTACTCATGCTTATGACTCAACGGTTCGATAGTGAGAAGCACCGGCCAGAGGAAAGGTTTCCCCCCTCACATAGCGAGATCACGAAGAGGTCATAAGTCGAACGGGATGGTGGTCGAGTCCAAGATTTATTTCGCTGGTGGATCGGCCGAGCTTCCCTCACGCAGTGGACGAAGGGAAAGCAGCTGCATGTGGCCCCTCTCTGTGCCCCGCTGATTGGACAGCGCAAAAGTGGTACCACCTCCGCCGTGTCAGGGAGGTGCTTTCCCTACATCCCTGCAGCATGATTTCTTGCAACTTCAACTCCGACCATCGCGAATCTTTGCTTTCAAGGTGGTTTCTACGCACATCGCGCCCCTTTGTCACTCTTTTGCAACCAACTGCCACGCTCCTTTCTTTCTCAGCCATTTGACTGCCAATGCGCCGTCCATAGTAAAGCCCGCGTACACAATCCACACGCACTATTCAGAGACACAGACACACACGCGCGCATACACACACAGGCAGGCAGGCGGGTAGACAGACAGACAGACAGACAGAAAGAGAGAGATAGAGAAGCTTCTCATCCAGACATGCGCCGTGCGGCTGCTCTGCTAGTTGTGTGCGCAGGGATAGGCGCTACCCAGACTCTGGATGCCAGTGTTCTGACAGGGACATGGACGACCAAGAGTAACAGCACGATCACGGGCTCTGTGAGTGATGCTTGCATAATCTCTCCTGTGGAGACAAACACGGACATGTTCTAACACATTCATATCCCCAAGGGCTTTTATGATGCTACGCAGGACCGGTTCATTGAACCCTCGCACCCGGGCATCTCTTACTCCTTCACAAACGATGGCTTCTATGAGGAGGCATATTTCAGGGTTGTGTCAAATCGTATGTCCCTACCGGTAGTTGGTACAAAGGATGGCCATAATGCTAATGTCGTGCCCGCAGCGACGTCGCCAGAATGCACGTCTGCCATGTTGCAATTTCAACATGGCACATATCAGCTCCTAGCCAACGGATCGCTTTCATTGACACCCTTTGCAGTCGATGGCCGTCAGCTTGAGAGCGCGCCGTGCAAGAGCAACAAAGCCACATACTCAAGATACAACCAGAGCGAGCTGTTTGAGGTACATGCGACTTGTTTCTCTCCATGCAACACATTTGCCTCGAAAAGCTAACGCACCTGCTCAGCGTTTCTCCCAATATACCGACCCATACCATAATATCCCACGTTTGGACCTCTACCAGTTCAACGGGGCGCCATTGCCACCAATGTACTTGGTTTACAAGCCTCCCCAGATGGTCCCAACGACGACGTTGCACCCTACTTCAACGAGCTCCGCCACAGCGACAGCAGCCAGCAGCAAAATGCGGAGAAGTTTGGAAGAGGGCATCAGATTGTCGCCGAAAGAGAAGAGGGTGAACAGTGGCTGGCTGGATGCAGACAAGTGGTGGTGGTGTGGAGTCGGCATGACCGGAGCTGGGAGCCTACTCTACTTTTTCTTCTAAAAGGGGGACAGCTGGCGTTGTTTATGGTGTTTGGTACTTAAGCATTAGCGAGGCGCAACTCTTTTCCTTCCTCTGGGATCCACTAGAGAGAGCATGCCTGCATGTGCTCCTATTTAATCTTGATGCATGGTTTAGGCTGGCGAAAAATGTCTGCGGCTCAAATGACTTCCGGTTATCTGGGCTACGCGGCATGCCGGAAATGGCTCTTTGGATACATCTATTCCGCGCTTCGCATGGGATGGCGGGCTGTACGATACAATTCGCATGCATAGTAAACATGATTCGGTCACAAAGAGCCACATAGAGTCTGTCTACGCCCAAGTGCCGGCGTAAAACGACCAAGACATCTAGCACCCATCCCAAACTTGCCCTTTATTCGAACATTTTGAAGCTGGCGGCGCGGGAGAAGAAAACATGTCTACCTACCTACCGGCGTGTACGACAGGTCAAAAGATCATGACAGGAAGACAAAAGCTAGTTGCCTTTTCCCGTGCTGGTCAAAGCTGTGCTCATGATAAAAGGCCTAGAACCAGAAGCCTCTTTGCGGTCGTGAAGCCGGTCGAACGGCACAACTTTCGACAAGTGGCTACGCAGTGGGGAAAGTCTCCAGCAGCGTGCGGACGATCTATTTGCGAGAAACGGCTAACGTTGGCGGACCAGGAGGGCAAGAAGGACGAGGAAAAGAGCGGCATACTACGTGCTCGGCGAAGCGAAGTCGTTGACCGCAGTAAGGACGTCCTCTCTGCTTCTCTCTGTCGAACGCGCCGGGCTTTTCAGGTGCTCGCCAACGGTACGCTGGGGCTGCGAGCGAAGCTGGGTGTTGTTTCTTTGGTTTCCAGGCCGAGATTTGAGACCTGGTGCTCGGGCTGCTCGAACGCCAGAGGCCAAAAAGCAGGAAGATTACAAAGGGCGAAGAACCCGAAGCTGTGGAATCGCTCGACGATTTTATTAGCCGCTGGAAGAATCAGGAGATTGCGCGGTACGCAAATGCACGACGGAAACCCGCGATGCGTTTGCGCTCGATGTAACCCGGCGTGCCGTTCTTCAGATCAGTAATCGTGCCGCGTCGAAGATGAAAAAAGGACGTACGTATACCCGCTCGCGTCTCTCAACCTCAACGCGAATTCCTCTCTGGTTTCCGTGCTCCCGTCTCAACAAAGTCTCTCGTTGAGTCAGCCATGAAGCCGAGTTTGTTCGCCATAACGTTGTGTTTCGTTAGGCAGCGACGCCCTTTCAGCTCGATGGGGCATGGTGATGGGCGCCACACGAGCTCAGCTGACTCCGTGGTGCAGACGTGTCGCTGCCCCGCACCTTAACGCGTGGTTTTTCCCGCTCGTATCTGGCAACGTCAAATCTGCGGCTTCACGGCAGCACGCTATGGGATCCTCGCACTCGGAACGGCGAAAAGATGGACCCGGAGCGAATTCAGGGAGGGACTGGTCAAGCGAGGCGGTCATATATAAAGAGGCAAGCTTCTGCCTGATCCAGCACCGGGCTCCCATCGTCCATTCATCCCAGCTCTTCTGCTCGTTGACCCCCGAGCCCCAACATCTCAAACTACTCTTGAACGTTAAGACTTCATCCTGACCTCTTTTTTTTCTCGAGCCCGCAAGAGCCCTCTGTTCAGTCGGCATGCCAGAATCGAAAACCTACACGGGCGGCTGCCATTGCGGCGCAAACAAGTTCTCAATCCCCATCTCTCCGCCGCTGGATTCTCCAGAACAGAACTGTATGTGCATGAATCCACCCTCCCCCTTTCCCCCTCTCGTCTCCATGGCAAAATATGGACTAGCTTGCGCCAGTGATGAACTGCAATTGCTCCATCTGCGCACGCAACGGCTACATCTTCATCTTCACTTCCGAGGATGCCTTTGACTGGGTACGCATGGCCCACAGCCCCCTTCCTTTTGTGTCAATGAAGCTCAAGTGATGCGTCGCAGAAATCTGGCGGCTTTTCCTCCATGACCGAGTACAAGTTCAAGACCGGGAAGTTTAAGCACTACTTCTGCCCCACGTGTGGAACATCAGTCTGTGTAAATGCAGAGGGCATGGGAGTAGGCTTAAATGTTCGCACCATTGACGACATCGACGTCGGCAGCCTGAAGATTACCAAGACGTATGATGGAAAGAGCATTTGAAGTGACTGAGCGACCGAAGGCCAGAAACTGACTTTGCAATTTACATCTGGATAGCTTCGCGAAGTCGGCGTGGACCAGCCGCTGTGTCAGGTACATTCGCTCTAAATGAAAGGGTTTTTTTTCTTGCCATATCTGGCTTTCATACATTCCAGTTGTCTGCTGTGAAGATCAAAAGGGCCAGCTTGTGCCTCACAAACAATCCCACCAAGCCGAGGAAGAATTGAAATGCGCACAGCGTGTATGCCAGCGTGTCTTCACGCATGGGCCCAAACCAAACCAGCCATAGGTTGATCAGCGTGAAATTCGATGACTCCGTGACTCGCCCCTCCTCGTTCACCTTGATATCCAGCAGCCACAGCTTGTGCATGAGCTTCATGACCCATTGGACCGGGGGATGCAGCGGTCTCTCCTTCTCAAACACGGCCGTCGATGGCTCCATCAGGCCAGTTCTGGCATTGAACTTTGGCAGCCTATGCCTCGGACACGGCACCAATCCAAAAAGCTGCGGACAAGAATACACAAAGTTGAAAGCCTGCGGCACAAAAAGCAGCCACAGTGTCTTGCTGAAGTGCCCTAAGATGCCGTCGATGGCGAAGATCATGCCAGCAAAGTAGCAGTACGTATCGCCAACAAAGACGCGGGCTGGGAACTTGTTGTGTATGAACAACGCAAGAGAGACGCCGAGGAAGGGCAGCAGCATGTAGATGCTGAAAAGGTGCGAGTCGGTGGCCGGGTGTGGATACGGTGTGAAGGGGCTGAGGTAGAGCATGTCGTTGAGGAGGATGAGGAGACCGATGATGATGGACTGGAGCACCTCGATACCGTTTATGCCGGCCAGAATGTTTATGCTGTTTGGGCAGAAGATGGCAAAACCGGCCATGTAAGCGTAGTAAATCCAGCCTATGGAAGACAGTCAGCGTCCGCCGTTTTCAAAGACGAGTCGCACGGAACGTCACGTACCGAGATTGAATAGTTCGCCCAGGTAGGGACGCAATGGGATGGGAACCACGACATGGGTGACGCCAAAATCGACAAAGTAAATCACCAGCATCGGGATGGCCGACACGGCAGGGATGAGTACCTTGTGTCGCCATCTGATGTCGAAGATGTCATCCAGCAAGCCCAGTATGAACGTCAGCGCCATGGTGAGCACGGCGGACAGGTATGATGCGAGCTTGTTGTGCGGGAACCGGTGCAGAAAGCGTCCCGTTTCCACCTGTTCAACGTGGAGGATGACGTCTCTGTTTCCACCGCCCGACGTCGCCGCGACAATGTCCTTGTAGAAAGCCGTGGGGATGAAGAGCAGAACGATGAGAAGATAGACCAGTGCGCACACTGCGCCCATGGTTTCCGGTCTGTCGCGCCCATGTTAGATGGTGTGCAATGGAAGCAAGCGAGGTGGAAGCGGAGAACGACGAATTGACGCACATCTCGACCTTACGGGCCTTGCTCATGTCCTTCCCCTTGAATCCGGCCTTCATGAACGCGGGCCCGAGCCATCGGATCAAGCAATACGTGATGCTGAACCCGATTCCGCTGTAAGCCAGCGAGGCGACAATGGGATTGCCATCGCCGTTGAAGCTGTTCGACACGATGGCGACGCCGGCGCCGAAAATTGCGAGAAGACTGTGGCGTTCTTCTCGTGTGAGCTCCGACGTCATGGTCACCTGGGCGTTCTAGAGGATAATAATGATAGGATGCCGGTGTCCATTGTCGGAATGAGAAGGTGTGCGAGCGGCGGCCACGACAAGCCAGGTTTGTCGATTGTTGCAAGCGTGTCAAGTTGCCCGGAGCGGCGTCGCATCCCCATGGACGATCGCAGCCTTGCCGGACTTGCACGAAAGCGGCAAGGCGTCACTCTGGGGCTTCCATGAAGTATGAGTCTGGTCTTTGGTACTTCTGTCGGTCGCGTCCATTATCATCGATCCCGCCATACCAGTCGAGCGGCTGGGAATTGCTGAAAAGCATTGCAGAGAGGGGCTCTGAGAGGCTTAGAGACTACGAAGAGCTTGGAATCCGAAGACGTGGTTACATTTCGCCAAAAAAAAAAAAGGCTACTCAAGTCGCGCACCACGTCTTGCCGGAGCCCCAATGACAAGCAACCAAAACTTCACGTCTTTTGAACAAAGCCATCGCGATGTAGTCCTTGCGGTTGACTTCAACCTCTACGGCACTCGCATGGCGACGGCATCGGCCGATCACAGGGTCAAAGTCTACGACCGCAAGGACGACGCCTGGCACCTCGTGGACACGTTTGGAGCCCACGACGCGGAGATCACGGACGTATGATTTGCTCTCTCCCTGTCATTGTTGCCGTTTTCGCAACGAGTTCAAAAGACGGCTACATGTATGTGACCGATCCGCTGACTTTTGTCTCTCTCAGATCAAATGGAACGGGCCCTACATGGGCGAGATCATTGGTACGGTGGGCGAAGATGGTCGCTTCAGACTTTGGCAGGAGGACGTGACCGAGATGCCAAACTCCGGACGACGCTTCAAGTACATGTTTGAGACCACAAGCGACACGCGCGTGCCCTTTATGTCTCTCGACTTCAAGAACATCGCCAACACGGAAACGTACGTGGCGCTGGCGACGCGCGACGGGTTTCTGAAGGTCCTGGAACCGGTCGACCACGACAATCTGGCGGGCCAGTGGCACACGATGTGGGATCGGTATCTGTGCAAGACGCCGGAGCGGACGGAGGAGACGTCGTTCAAGGTCAGCTTTCACCACGAGAGGTTCCCCTGCTGGACCGCCGTGCGGGCGGGCCTGGATCGCAGAGCGCTGAGTTTGGCCGTCACGTGCATGGACGCCGTCAAGATCTTCCGCACCGACAAGGACAGACGCTTCTACCAAGTTGCGGAGCTCAAGAACGCGCGCGACCTCGTCCGGGACGTGTCGTGGGCGAACGGCTCCATGCGAGGTTGGGACGTGATCGCGACGGCCAGCAAGGACGGTTGCTTGCGCATATACGAGCTGCACGCCGACGCCAACGCAAGCTTGGTCACGGACAGCTTTGGCTCAGGCTCGATCGCGGAGTCGACCACGTTGGAGAAGAACGCCAACTCCGTGGCGCACGAGCACAAGGTCGGAAGGAAGCACCAGACGGCGCTTTCAGGTATCGGCGCAGGGCTACAAGGGTCCTCTGGCGGCGATCGGGATCAGCGTGGCCGGCAGGGCGAAGGTGCCCCCAAACGTATCAAAGAGACGGCCACCATGGTCGAAGAAATCAACCTTCACCGTGGTGCGCTTTGGAAGGTCGCCTTCTCGCAGTCTGGCAAGTCTTCCGTCCCCCTTTCTTTGCCAGCCGTCGCGGTCAGGAACACTAACACGTGCCAGGCGACGTTCTAGCCTCAACAGGCGACGATGGCACGGTGCACACCTGGCGGAGAGCCTTGGACGGGCGTTGGCACGAGTACGCCGAGGTCGATCTCGCTTCCGACTAAAAACTGCCCCTCGACGATTTGTCGAGGCCAGACGGCTCAAGCTCAGCACCGTCGGCCATGCATGAGAACGTGCAGCGAGTCCGCCGTGCTCACCCTAACGACCAGTCACCTGGCGGAACCGACCTCCCCAGATTCCCCGCCGTGCCTCCTGCAAAGGCTGCAACCAACAGCGCGGCTCCCGTCCTGGGGGCTTTTGTCGCGCCGGAGCTTGCGTGTCAAGCATCTCGGCCGCCACCAGAGTCCAAGCTCGCGATATGTGAGCTTTGCTTACCGGCTCTTGAACGTCGGGACCTTGGCACGCAGACCGCCGCCTTCCGGACATCCAGCATCGCAGCGAGAGAGGCTCAAAAGGGACGCGCCGCGGTGATTCCGCACGAACGGGTTAAGTAAGGAGGAAGAAGAGGGGGGGGGAGGAGGAAATGGGGTGATTCACGTCTCAGGGGTTTCAGTGCACTTTCTCCTTCAACTTGTTTGGCCAATTCCGATGTTGGCAAGGACGCAACTTGCACAGGGGTGGAGCGGAGGAGGCGGCGACATCGAGGACACTGCTGGACCTCGGGCGTTCAGCACAGAATCTGCAGGGCGGTCGATGTGACGTGCGTTTCACGTTTCTGCTCTGCACTTCTTTGCGTGTTTGTATTTGAAAGTTCGGTTTTCTGATTTTGATTATTCCTTAGGAAAGTGGGTCAAAAAAAATTCAAGCAGCAAAAAACTACAACGACAACAAAAAATTCGTTTATGCGCTATGTGCTCTGGTCTTTTGCCCATCGTATATGAATCAGAGCGCGTAAGACTCCAGAAGAGATGCTCGTTGTTTGATTCCTCATTTCTCTCCGCCAATCCAATTTTGTGATGACTCCTGTAGACATAAGCCCCATGGGGAATCCATGTTGATATTCAATCCCCCCGCAAAATATACGTTTAAAAAAACACTTCTCTGTAAGGACAGCAAGTCAGATAGCAACCAATCAACAGAATTGACAAATGTGGGTATAAAGTAAGAGAGAGGCGCAGCTCCCAAAAGAAAAGAGATATTTGCGGGCGCGATTCGAAGGTGAGAGAGGCACATCAGTGCACTTCGAGAAGTTTTGAGGTAACAGATATGAAGGAGATGCCTCTCCCACGCAATGTCAGAGAGAAAGATAAACAAGAGTAATTTGAACCAAAGGTCGATTATTATCCACTTCGCCATTGTGCTTGGAGAAAAGTGTTCGCCAGCGCTTCTAATCGAGGGGTTCGTCAATTCGCATCTTCGTACGACTTCCTCGTCCTCCAGGTAGCGGGATCCGCCTCTGGAACTGCGACATGTACAGAAGAGATTCTTATCATACAAATGAGAAAGATTTCCCGAGTAGGAATAAGCCTCTACCGCATGGAGGTCAGAGGGTACCGGTAGAAAATGGTATGGACAGAAGAGGCCTCCGTGCGAGGGTGGGTCATGAAAACGTGGCGTCGAAAGTGGAATCGACTCGTTGCGTGAGACTGGAAAAAAAAAATGTCCGACGATTGGATGTCGATCCTGATGGAGAGTGTCACGTATGCTGAGCGGACACTCGCTTGATGCGAAAGACAATGCCTACGCTCATGGCAGACACGTTTCCTCAGCGAGAACCCTCGCTTTGCTTCGTTTGGGGAATTGGAGGTTCGCAGAGAAACGTTTCCCCGGCCGGTCGTTTCTTGCTTCCCGTGGGACGGGGCGAAGAAAAGGCCGAGTCAGGAAATGACGCGCGAGACGAAACTAGGGAAGCTGACTAGCCGAGAGCATGTCGATACACTTTGTGAGCAGCTTGCTCGCTTCGTGCAAGAGCTCCCATCTCGTGTTTGAGAAAGTGTCCCTCATGAGAATGAGCAAGCCCAGACAGGCATTGCGGTTTTGCATCTTCGACAGATCATCAGGTGCTCTGACGCCACCCACGCGCCTCAGGAAGCCTTGCATATCATTGACAACCTCCTCGTGATTGCTCAGTTTATACATAGGCTGGATAGGGCCGTCCAGCGCGTAGCCATACGACCACACGATAAGAGTGGCAAAGTACAGCACCCACGGCCGATTGAGCAGATAGTCGTCTCGCGCGTTGTACAGGAACTCCGGCTTGGCCATGGCACCGCTGCCGTCTTCTGGTACGAGAACCTGGCTGAGGAAGCGCAGTGCATAGAACGTCGCGTCACGGGCCCGTGCGGTGGGCGCCCAACCATCCTTCATCCGCCGCTGCGCGCCGGCGTAGTCCTGCGGGGTGATGCTACGACCGAGCAAGCGAGTCGCACCGGCGAAGATTTGGCAATCCACTATGTCGACATGCATGGCCATGTGTGCAAGATGGTGCAGGACCGTCCGGCTTTCGAAGATGTTCTCGTCGTCGGCTCCCTTGCTTGAGTAGTATGGATACTGCTGGCCTTCGTTCGCCTTGGCGTACGAATGGTCCAGGTCGATCTTCCAAAAGTCGAACGCTCGCGTCAAGGAGCCCCTCCACTTGTCCCTCCCGCCCAAGGCTTGCGAGACGCCCAAGGAGCTGACTTGCAGATCTCGCTGGTTCATGTGCCAAGATACGCTCAGAAGGCCGGCCATCAGAATGGTCCGTCCGAACGAGTTGGTCCGAACCGGCTCTCCGTTCAACGTTTTCTTGAGGCCGTCCAGGAACGTGGTTGGCTTGATTCCGTTCTGGTGCAAGCTCTGTTCGACTCGGCCAACCTCCGCGCTGCTCGTCGCGTTCCACAAGGCCTCGTCGCAGGGCAGCGGAAGACGCATCTCGTGCGCGACCATGACCGCCGAGTGGCCAAACATGGTGGCATGGATGGAATCCATGACAAAAGCCGCGAAGGCCGCCCGACGCGTTGCCTCGTTTGTGATCCATTGGTTCCACCACTCGTCTGCAGTGAACTGATTCGAGTAATGCGAGGCCCCATTTACTGAGCCGTGTCTGCTTGCGGAATGGCTATCGGTGCCGCTTGGCGGGGAGTCGGCCGACGATCGCCCTATCAACGAGCTGCCGCGCCTCATCAGGGTCAGCGTCGTGGCATGGTGGATGTGCGCTCGCTCGTGCAGCGGCCTTGTCGAGTACATCTTCTCAAAGATCTCAAGCAGAAGCAGGGCCTGGAACACCCACAGCTTCGCGGGCGGTCGAAAGTCGGCATCCATGAAGATCTCCCAGCGCAGATGCCAGGCGAGGAAGGCGGATAGATCCGCTCCGTTCTGCGTCATCTCGTAGCCGTAAGTCTTTTCCAGGCAGGACGCGCCCAGCGTGATGATGACCAGGAGCAGGAGCGGAGGGCAGTTGTTGGCTTGGAATGTTGGCTTGTGCAGGATGGGCATCTGCGGGTGGAAATGCAGCCAGAAGGACGCGATGTAGGTTTGCATCATGTTCAAGCTCAGCACGTGCCTGTCGTTGTTGCGGTCGCCGTCGAGCAGGTCGTCGCGTTTCCTGACCGGTGCGTGCGCCGTGTCGTTGAAGCGAGTGTCGATAAGGTAGAGAAGTTCCTGTCGTCGCTCCTCCGACAGCGCCATCTGCTGCATGTTTGTGTCGATGAGATTGCTGACGGCCATTTGGTGTCCTTGGGGAGGCATCGCCTGATGCAAGGGCCCGCTGAACATCGTCTCCTGGCCGAAATAGGGGGCGTTCATGCCGAAGCTCGCGTTCGCCACGGGGTTGGTGCTGCCGGGCTGAAATCCGGCCATGGGCGAGGTGCCAGAGCCCACGTTTGGATCGCTGAACAGCCAGGCAGCAAAGTCGTCGGCCATGGCGAACGGAGATCGGCTGTAGCCTTCACCACCGAAGATGGGCACGGCGTACGTCGGCGTCATTCCCTCCATGAAGGTGTCCGAGACGGCGCTCATGTTCGTGGTCATTTCCGACGCCGACGAGGTGTGACCTTGCGAGTCTCCGGACTGAGCCTGGCTCATGGTGGCGTACGCGGGTTGCGGAAGCTGAGTGAGGGGTGGGAAATTCGAGTGATGTTGGAAAGCGCCGGGAGACTGCGATGGGTGCGTCGGACGACTGAACTGCTGGTTGCTGTTGCTGCTATTGGTGGCGGTGGAGGTTGTGGCCGCCTGTGAGTAAGGAGAATATGGCTTGGCGTAGCTCTCGTTCTTGATATATTGCTGTTGGGTTCCGCCCGAGAAGGACGAAAAGGTGTTTGAACGCTGGAGACCTGTATTGACTGGACGGTAAGCTATGTCGACGGGAGGCCGGCTAAGATTTAGGGGCTGACCTGGTTCAGAGCCGGAGGACGACAAGCTTGGATCCAACGAAGTGGAAACGGAATGTGAGCCGGCGACAGGCGACTGCGTGGGGTAGTTCCTGTCAGCACCCTTCTGCATGCACGAGATGGATCCAGAAAAGGGCGGGGGAGTAGCTACCGTAGGTGAATTTTGCTGCTGCTGTAGTTTCTTTTTCTGCGCCGCCATGGCGGCCGTGACGATTGGGTTGAGGTTCTGCATGAAGTTCTCCTTGCGCAGCAGCTGCGAGCCCCGCGCGGTGTGCCTCTCCTTGTGCCGTGCGCACAGGTCCTGCCTTACAAAGGAGCGGTGGCAATCTGGAAAGTCGCAGTGGTAGATCTGCTTCGGGTTGTCTGTCTCCCAGCCTTTGCGTCAGTCGACGTGTCTTTCTTGCCCGTGTCTTTGCGATGGGTGTGCACGCATTGCCTGCTCGCTGCACCAGCTGCTACCGCCAGCGTGCCTGGCCGGCGCATTTAGCTGCCTTGCTATGCTGCGGCGAGGGGCGAACGCGCACATGCAAAAACGCAAAGAAGATCAAGCGAGACGAGAGGGAAGGGTGGGCGGTAACGTACGGTTCAACTGATGCCTGTACAGGTGCTCGGCCCGTGAATAGCTCTTCCCGCAGCCTTCGTGCGGGCACTCGAACTTCTTGTCGAGGCCCTTGCGACTTCTCCGTCGCTTCTTGGAGTTACCAGTGCCCTCTGCACTGTCTTGCGCGTTTGGGTCGGCATCGTCGGAATTCTGGCCGTCTCTGATCCTTCTCCTGCCGCGACTGTCGTCGGTGGGGGAGGTTGTGCCGAGGTTGGGCTGTTCCATGTCGCGTCCCGTCGTCGATAGCTGCGTGAACTGTTCTCGCACCGCGCCAAATTCCGAACTGAACGATGGCATGGACTGCACCTGCGCCGTCATGGCATGTGTGCGAGGATAAGCGGCGGGGACGCTGGACGATTCCAAGGGAGGGGCGTGGTGGTGGTGGCCGTCGTCGTCGTGGTCGTCTTCGCAGCAACGGTCAGAAGGGCTGCGGCCTGGGGGTGGCGGGCAACAGGTGCGGTGGTGTTGGTGGAGGTAGTGGTGGTAAGATAGCGGGTGTTGTGGATATCGGCGACAGGCGAAGCAGCGCTGGGGTGGACGAAGCGCTCATGCTATTCGCCCAATGAACCCCGGACGAACGCTAGCCGAAATAGGCAAAATTAGCACTGAGGTGGATAGCCGACGACAGTAAAATAACGCCGCATGCAACGGCAAGCGGAGGACGACGAGAACGAAGAGAGGGAGCGAGGGGAGCAAGACGGTGCGTGTGTAGGAAAAGCTGGAGCCAAAGATGGGCCGGGCAGAGTGAGCGGGCGAGAATGCGGTGGCCGGCGAGATGTGCAGCCGTGGTCGGACGGAGAGAGTTCGACAAGCTGCCAACCCGACGCCCCAAAAGAGAGACAGAGAGAGGGTAATTAGACAGAGGGCGAGAGAATTCGAGAGCAGCGAAGCTCCGGGTGAACCCATTCATGGGAGCGACACCTTTGGGCGAGACACCCACCAGCCAGCAGCGGGCCGGTGGGGCAGCTCGCGCGCGGACACAGGCCCTACGCCCACAGCCCAGGGGGCCCCCAGAGCCAACCAGCCCAAGAGGCCACACAGGCTGAGCCCCAAAGAACTCCCAGAACGCCCACCGGCAGCGCCAGCAGCGCCAGCACAAAGCACACGCATCCACGCAGCTTACCCGGCCCACAGACGACGAATGGCGACGAGCGACGAGGAGAAAGGTAAGGAAGAAAAAAAATTTGCTGCCAGGCGTGACTGGTGTGCGTGCTGCAAGAAAAAGCCTCTCGAGAAGATGTCATTCTTCATCTCAAAAGAACCCCATCCTTGCCGGAAGCTTTCTCCTGGCAGCTCGATCCTCGTCAGAAGCGCCATCACACACCCGCTCACACACACACACAGACGCCCGCACACAGGCGCGCGCGGCCGCCCCTCCTCTCCCAACCTCCCCGGCCAAGCGCCAACCAGGAGGGCAACGCTCGTTGTTCAAAACGTTGACTGTGTGCGTGTGTGCGTGTGTGCGTGTGTGTGTGCGTGTGTGCGTGTGTGTGTGTGTGTGTGTGTGTGTGTGCAGAGGTGTCTGACGATGACCCCGGCCACGGTCGTGCTTTGCTGCTGGTGCTGTGGGACAGGCGGATGAAGGGGGAAGCGGAGGCGGAGAAGAAGAAAGAAAAAAATAAAAAACTGAATTTACTTACAGTTGGTGACAAGCTGCCCCCGTTCCAGCAGTGCGTATTGACAGACCGCAAGTAGTTAAAATAGAAATATAACCAAAAAAAAAAAAGGGACGTCGCTCGCCCGCTCAGGTCTCGTTCTGCGTGCGTGTTCGATTCCGTCAAAGAAGAAAGAAGACGTGGTCGTCGAGCGGCTTGACGCGGCCGAGGAGAAGAGTCTTCGTCTATACTCTTCTCCCCACCAGCAGGATGTCCAGCCACGTGAGCAGGCCGAATTTCTTGCTTAAGCACGCCAGCCGACGATCCCCAAGAAGAGAGGAGAACCGATTATAATTGGCAGGCTGCTGGCGCCCGGTGGCTTTCGCGGCAACAAACCGTCGTTCAGCAATAAATAATGACGGGCCTTCCAGATGCACGTTCCGCCAGATCAGGACGAGGGGTCGGGTGGAGGGTCCGCCGTCCGAAGAGGACGGTATCGGTCTGCGTGGGTTTTAGCTAGCTAGCTCAAGCCTTCTCCGGGCAAAACAGAAAAGGAAATCAATAAAAAACGTACTTGTATATATGTGTATGTATATTTTTCGGGGGGGAAATACGGACAGAATCGTGTTCAGGCGTCCAGTAGCGTCTGCGTGAAGAAGCGGCTTTCTGTTGAAGAGACAGAAACCCGCAGTGGGCTCTTCGTTATTTTTTTTTTTTAACGTGCGCCAGCCGAGCCGGCATGTACCATGCAAATTCGAAGCAATGTGCAAAAGCCAGTGAGCCGTACGCCGGCACGGCGCAACGACAAGACGTTTGGAAGGACGAAGAATCCAGCGGCTTCAGCGCTTCGACGGCGCGCGCTCAGGACGTGGAGAGTCCAAGAAAGAAGGAACGGGCAGAAGGCGGGGCAGGCGTCGATTGACAGATACAAGCGTGCTGTTGCCCTCGCGTGCTTGGGGAGGTTGCAGCTCGTCAAACATCTATGTATATACGACCTGGAAGCCTTCGCGCGATTCTAAAAGCCCGGTCTGGAGAATCACCAGAGCGAACAGCGATCCTTCGCCCCCTCCTCGAGCAGCAAATGAAAAAAATAAAAAAAATAAAAATAAAAATCTGGCTACGGCAGCCCGATGGCGCCGAAATGACGACGGAAGTGGGATCACGTTCGAACAAAGTTGAGCACAGTGAGGAGAGCAAGAGTGTGTGTGGGGGTGCTCGATGTTGGACATCCCGCGATTCGTGGCTCGTGTCAGGCCTCGTCCAGCCACAAGCTAGGCCCGATGCGAGCGCCCGTGGTATGCGTGCATTAGCGTGCACAAGTGCCACATATGCACTTCTCGTTGGCCCATCACAACCTCCACCATCCATCTCCTCTCTGCCCTGATTCTTGATTATCTGCAAAGCTTGTCTCCGTCTTGACAAACGTCATTTGGATGGGCCTTCTGCTCTTGTGCTTTTGCCACCACCAAGAATACGACGCCTCACTCTCAGCTGAGGCCGAGGGCCAGCGACGCAAACATACGCACAAAGAGAGAGAGAGAGAGAGAGAGAGAAAGAAGCGATCGTGCCTAGCTCTCAAACACACCGTGCTGTCAGCAATAATACCATGGCGCTGATCTGTGCGTGCACCGTGCCCATCTTTATCGCGGCAGCAGTGGTAACCCACTTAGAGCCGTGACATTGATCCAGTGACGGATCCCAGCTCGGGACGCCAACCCCTCCTCCCCCTCGGATCGCGAGCGCAGAGGAGAAAGATAGCGTTGCAGGAAGACTTTACTGTGGAGACAGGCACATGTTTCGCGGCGCCCAAAGGGCAGGTCCCTGTGGCCCCTCCTACCTGTGCAAGAACTAGGCCCCGGTCCGTATCGTGGCCACATGTCGCCTATCTGCCAAAGGGGACGAAGAATTTCCCAGTTCCGGCAGGCATTCTTCCAGGTGCTGGGCCCAACCCTCGTTGAAGAACAGCGAAAAAAAAAACGATTTCTCCGAGGGCCTCGAAAGGAGAATAAATATTAAAATAAAAAGTAAAAACAAAATAGATGAAGGAAAAAACAAGATCAAAAAAAAAAAAAACCTGTGATGTCCCCCGGAAAACAACGACATGCGACGTTCCGTGCTAAACGAACGACCTCGTGGTACAATACTTGTACTACTTTCTTGGGCCAGACTAGCGGCTCAACGGGCACCAAAAAAAGGTCACACCGCACTGCATACCACTGCTTTTGCTCTCTGAGAAGGAAAAAAAAAACGGGCTTGGGGTAACGCGGCGGTTATATTGGAGCACGCTTCCCATGTATCGATGAACTAGGCATCTGCTGGCTGACCATTCAGATGACCGTGGCGCGAGGACGACGTAGAGACAAAGACAGAGAGAGAGAGAGAGAGACACGGCGCGCGTTCGCGAGAAAAGAGAGCCAAAGAGCCAGCGAGCCAGAGAGAGAGGCCGTGCGCAACCTAACAAAAAGCCCGCATGAAACTCCGCGTTTTCCTATCTGCAATCAATGTCAGAACGAAAAGCCCAGCCTCTTCCAGGGCGCCCGTGCCCGGCGACGCAATCGATACGTTTCAACGTTCAGGGCGCATTTTGATGATGATCACGATTGAAACCCCTTCCTCGGGCCCAGCGCTGCCGCCCGAGGAGGCAGGTGGCTTTTCTGCTCGACCCTACTTGTACCAGACTCTCCCGTTGTTCCCGTCGTCCTGACCACGGGACAAAGGATTGGCCGCCCAAGCGTAGTTGTGGGCGTGCCTTGTGCGCCGGGAAAAAGATTCACGAAGCGGCGTCGTCGCGCTGGAAGAAAGTGGTAATGGATTGTTCGCACGGCCACAATCGTCCCCAGCGAGGGACAACGTAAACTCGCATCGACTTTGTAGCTGTGCGGCCCCGGGCGATTGGGAGCTTGTACCTTCCTACTCGGTAGCAAAGTCCCGTCAGTCGCAAGGCGAAGGATGACCGGGCCTGGACGGCTCAGGTCTGAATCTCCCAGGTACAACGTTCGGTGGGTTTTCTTGATGGCAAACACCTCCCAGACGAACGTCACCCTGCACATCCGTCGGCTTCGTGCGGGCTTTGCCATCCTTCCTTTCGTCCTTCGTGGCGCCGTAATGAAAGCGGCGCCATTATTTTGGATATTCTCGACACTGCTTGTGTAGCCTAGACTCGGTGCGGCTTATCGAAACGATGAAGCGGCGAACGAATACAGCACCCCCGTAGCAGATCGGATGGAGAATCCCGTCCAAAGAAAGAAAGAGCGTGAGGAGTACGGAGATACTCCAAAATGGCTGGGCAATCATCCCCGCCCCCCTTGCAGTCGACCTACCGCCGCTGTGGTAAATCTCTGTTAGGGCTGCATCCGCTTTGGCGACGCAAAGATGACGGTGTCTGCCGCGGGTTCGAGGCATCAGCGAGCCGTTCATCGTGGCAGATCCCTTCCCCAGTCGCGCTCTATGGTGACTTCGATAAAGCACCACTGGCCACTCCTCCTGCCGAGCATCCGGCTTTGCGCAGGCGATAGCGAGGCGACGTACCAGCACGCTGGGACATCCTGGTTCCCCCTTCTTCTCTTTCCCAATTTTCCTCATTTTCTTTCGTTTCTTTTTTTCCCTTCACCAGCTTACGAGACATTTAGCCCCTCTGGGGTTAGGAGGGTGCGCCTTTTTTCTTCTTCTTCTTCTTTTTTTTTTATCTTTTAAACGCGCTCGAGTTTTGTCCAGGCCATGTGTGCGTTTGTGTGTGTCCAAGTGTGATAAAAGCTCGCGCAACCGAAACTGATTGGCCGTCTTTGCGCGAGGCTCTGTTTTTCGTCGACCTTTTACTGCTTTTCTGCGCCGCCTCTGCTGCCGAACCGCTCCTCGTTAACCCGTTTGTTGAATAAAAATGACGTTTCGCGCCCCACGCGTTTGTGCAACAGATCAATACTTTTATTCAGATTAAACGTAATGCCTGTAGCACGTGTCATTGGACGTTCATTTCGACTGGACTAGGCTGAGAATTCGCCGCCCACCCCCGCCCCAACCCACCTTTGTCCAAATCTCCCACTTGTCGTTAATCTTTGGCCATTGTCAGCCGCCGCCTATCAGCCCGACCTCTCGACTGCTCCTCTCCTGCTCGCGACCCCCAACTTTTTTGCCATCCGTCGCACATATCGCGTACTTCAATCACAGGAGGCAAACAGCGTACATTCGATTTTTCAGGTAATGCAATGCTACGACAATCAATTATCATTCTCTTTTAGCAAATTCCTGCGTCTTTTTAATTACTCTACTTTATCGTCGTGTCTCGCGGGGTCGGTCGTGATTTGTGTGATTCATGCCAGTAATGCTTCTATGTCAGCGATTGACTTGGGCGTGTCCGTGAGGTTTTCCAGGCCATCCTTCGTGACAAGCACATCGTCTGCATAACCGTTGTCATCAGCTTAATCTTGTATCCTCGAGCGAACCAATAGCATCGTTTTTTTTTCTTTTTTTTTTTAAATATTGCTCTTACCTTCGATGCGGACGCCTCCTACGGCCCAATACTTCTTCAGCACGTCGGCGTCGATGTATTTGTTTAGCTTTGGATCCTTCAACGCCGGCTCGATCATGAAAGGGCAGAAGTAGATGCCCGGCTCCACGGTGATGACGCTGCCCGCGGGGAGCTTGCCTCTGACTCTCAGATATCGGAACATCGGGTCCTCGTCCTTGTAGTTCGGATTGCCGCCGCAGTCGTGTGTGTCCATGCCGAGATAATGGCCCAAGCCGTGCGGGAAGAATGGCACGCTGACCCTGTTGTCAAATATCTCCTTTGCGTCGCCCTTCAGGATGCCTAGCTTCAGCAAGCCGGCAATGGCGATGCGGTGCGCCTGAGCGTGGACGTCGTCCCAGACGACGCCTTCCTTGATCATAGCCATGCACTCAAGCTGCATCTGCAAGACGAGAGAGTAGATGGCCTTGGCTTCGGGTGTGAACTTACCGCCGATCGGGAAGACGCGCGTGATGTCCGCGGCGTAGCAGTGATGCTCGGCGCCGGCATCGACAAGCACCAGCTGCTTCCCGTCCAGGTTGTCGTCGTTCTTTACGTAGTGCAACGTCGCCGCGTTGGTTCCGGATGCGAAGATGCCGGAATACGCCTGTTCGCGGCAGCCCCGCTCGATGCACACCTTCAGGAAAAGGCCGTCCAGCTCGCGCTCGTTCTTTGCAGTCTTGGACGCCTTCATGACAGCGACGTGGGCCGCCGTCGAGACTTCGTTGGCGTGCCTGATGAGGGCGACCTCGTACTCGTCCTTGACCACGCGGCAGGTCTCGATCGCTTTGCGCAGCAGCTGGACGTCCGTCTGGCCGAAGCTGAGGAAGGTGATGTGATCCGAGACCTGCTCTCCGATGGCATAGATGGTGGACTGAGACAGCGATTTTGCGTCCGCAAGATGTGGGTTGACCTCGTCGCTGGTAAGCACGGCATCGACGTCGTACATCTTGATGGCCTCGTCCGGAGTTAGAGGAAGGCCTGACCAGATGACGTCGTCGGGGTCGATCGGCGGGATGAACAACGTAAGCTTCTCCTTGGACATGTCGTATGTCAAATAGGTGTCGGGCAGCTGGCATCCCGACAGGTAGTAGAAATAGCGACGCTGTCTTTCTCACTCGTGAGTCCTACACGGCACGGAGCACGTTCACATGGGTTGCATTGTACCTGAATGGAGCCTCTTGATCACTATCCTTTGTTCATTTAGCGCTTCAGACGTATCTCATTGTGTTGTGCACAGCCATCCCTACCTCGTTGTACTTTTGCTTCTGCCCTTCCAGATAAAGCACCCCGCTTCCGTCACCACCGTTGGCAACGATCCATTCCTTCACTCTCTTCGCGTGCGCCTTGGCAGGATACTTGCCATCGAGAACTTTGAGGTCAACCGTCATGATTTCTCGAGATCGTGTGAGGTCGCGTGTGTTGTTACACAGGTGCCCACAAGCGTTCGGCGTTTTTTTTAAGCTTTTGCAACCTGCCGGACCCGTTATGGTGGGGCAGCGGTGGAATGCTGGCCTGACTGGATGGGGAAATATGCAGCCTTGCCAATGGCGCTCGCGCATATCAGGGGACGTTATACTGTGACACGAAAACATGTGCTAGATTTCTAATTTCGCTTCTTTGTGTAATGATGATATCGGCCATTCATAGCTTCACGATATTATGCCTTCCAACACCATGCTAAAGTAGCAACCTCGAATAACGTTTCAAAAACTCCGCGCTATATGCTGTCGTAATCCTTCTAAACATATTCAAAGCCTCCCTCTCTCTCTCTCACAGCGGTCCTTCAGTCTTTCCATCTGTTGAGAAATTTCTGCATGTCCCCGGAGGGTCCGGAAGCAGCCGCAACCGTGTTTTCCATCTGACTGAACGACCAGGTGACGGACTCCGTGACAGTGGATTGGATGCTCGTCTGCGGGGGTAAGAAAGTTGTGGCGAGAGTGTACGGGCTCGTGGGGTTGATCGGTGTTTTCGTCTGTTTCGTGATCTTCGTCGGGGGCACCTGCTGCATGGACGCGTATCGAAAAGGTCCTGTCTGCTCCGCGAATGGAATCGCAAAGGAGCCCTGTGCTCCCGTCGCGGCCGTTGTCGCGGCTTGCCCGACGTTGTTCTCTGTATCTGGCCCATTTGTGCCTGACACAGTGCTCATCGCCGTGATTACGCTGGCTGGGAAGCTGCCAGTCATCCCGGTCAGGGAGAAACGCGAGGAGTAATTGATCACCGTGCCACCGGTCGCCGCGACAGAGATCATCTTGAGAAAGCTGCACCAGCGGTCAGTAGCTTGATTCTTGCGCTTTCTTCTGCTGGCGTACTATGCATTCTCGGGCGTGCTGGCGCCAATAGAGGCGTCGACGAACGCTTCTGCAGAATTGCCCGTGACGGCGAAGGTGCCGTCGGCGACCAGGCTCGCCAGCTGGACGATGGAGGAAGCGTCATTGCCGCCCGCGCACAAGAACAGTTGGTACGTTGTTAGGTCGGAAAGGGCTGGCGCAGTGCCTGAATCTTCCCATGTTACTTGGAGCGACCCTCCGCCTGCGTGCGATGATCCTGCTGCCGGGCTTGTGAATTTCACATCCGCAATGGCGAAGCCAGCAAAAAGAGGGACGCTGAACAAGCATAAGAAACGCATAGCGAGCTTGAGGCGCGAAGCGCCAATGTCTGTATCGGAGGATAGAAAGCCGGTATCGTGGATGCAAATGTTTGAGAAAGCTGGCGTCCAGGGGCGTAAACTAGTCCAGGCACAAGGCATGTCGCCAAGAGATTTTGTCCTAGCATCGGGTCCTATGCTTTGAACTTATCCCATGTCGAACTTTCCTTAGCGCGTACGACGCCAATCTAGTTGTATGTTTAAACACAAAAAGAATCTGCAATGACAAGTCTCATCTAATCACGTCAGTCTTGCTACGCAGAGGCATCGTACTTTTCACCTCCCACACACGAGCTCTGGAAACGTCAAGGCTAGACTCGCCATGGATTCGAGAACGCGTCACAACCAAACCCGTCATTCAATCAATCTGGCCACTAGAAATATGCGCCTCTGTGGAATGACGATTTCTCTCAGGTGACTAGTTTTCCGAGATAAAACCAGAATGTCCCACGTGCGCAGCAAACAACGGCTTGGTTTGCGTCGACACCACGGAGCAGAAACAGAACACGAATCGCCTGCACCTTTTTTAAGGGTCGAACGACTACGAAGCGAAGTGACTCTTCTACCTTAACAAGGATGTTCATCGCCACCGGGAATTGCCAGCATGCGAAACACATATTTGTAGCTACCTAAAGTTTGACCGGAGAGGCGTGTGATGAAGCCGGATAAGCCCAGCATCTTTGACGTCGGCTCGGATTGATTCATTGTGCACGAACTGTGCACAATCTTAAGAATTTTTGGCTGCAGTCCGACTGGTTTCATCCGGACTAAGCTCGAATTATCGCCGTCTCCGTAGCCCTCAACGAATGCAAAAGAGCAGGAGTTTCAGTGTAAGCTTCAGTATTGTCTTCGCTGCTCAAAGACTTTCGTCCTTTGGAGCCGGTAGATTTACCGCCTGTCTACTGAAGTTTTTCTTTTTCTCTTTCATTTTCTTACGTCTTGAATTATTTCATTTTATATGAAACCGGGGAGCAATCTTCTGGCTAAGGGACAGAGTCATACTGCGCCTCTCTTTTATTCGCGCTGGATTTATATCACTCTGTACAAGAATCCTAGCTTCATATCCAACATTGTTATCATAGTACGTACTTCCGGTGGACGGGAAGTGTCTAACCACTAACGGCTTTCAACGAGTCTCATGTGGTCGGAACAAGGGTGTTGCGGCCTACTGCGAGATGCGAGAAATTTTCTCGACGGCGGAACACCATGGGTTTCGAAATACGATCAATTTTCTCCTCCTCGACTTTTGGGCTGAAGACTTGGGGAATGGCTCACATGTTGTGGAGACAAACCCACTAAATTAGTGACAAGACGATGTCGCTATGTGAGTGAGATAATTTGGCTCTTCCACAATTCCGTTTAACTGCGCAACATCCCTATTTCGCTGCAGGATCGAGCAAAAGGTATCTCGTCACCTGCATTCAAGAATTCCGTGCCAGTAGCTAATGCTTAGCGATGATGCAACGTGGACGCCGCGCGCTGTTTTCAGCACTGCATCACATAAGTGGAGCAAAAATGCGGATTCTTGTGGAGGCGCACAAGCCAAGTGCTTCTGACAGCGTTCCCCACGATCCCACGCGGGAGATTCCCACAGATTGGTTTGTCAATGATTTTTGAAACTAGCCCGACGGCAGAGGCGCCTCATTACGATAGTGACAAACATTTCCAGGTCCGTGGGATCGCGCGATCTCGAGAACGACTGGACTATTGGCTTTCATGACCGGAAGAATGCCAGGGTTCACACACCACAAAAAAGTGAAAGCTAAGCAATCAGGTGCTTTACGAGCCATCCAATTACTCCGGGTTGACTCTGATGTCTCACAGACGGGCAGGGTGAATCTCACATGATGTTACCACAACTGACAGCATTATGTTCGAAGGTGTGCCTGAAATGCTGCCAATGCAATCCTCTCATCTGTAGTCCATTTTCAAACCAGACATATTGATGCCAGCGGATACGAACGCTGAGAGCACAGCCATGACGAGCTTTAACACTCTCACCGCCTTCAACGTTATCTCCCTCTGGCGGCACTCAATAGGAGCGGGAGTAGAAGACACGCTGTGACGTCGCCCGCTGTGGCATCACGAACTTTGCCACTCGTTCCAGCTAGGCAGGCGATCGTTCCGTGCAACTGGTCGTGCAATCGAGTGTGGCCGAGCCATGCGTGCACCGGTGACACTGCCAACCTTTTCAATGTGCACCTGCAGGATCGATGGCGGTAACCCCTGGCTGTGGCCACTGGACAGAGCCCTTAAAGGAGTTCTCATGCAAGCCTCAGCCATCTGTTGGTCGCCCTTTCGTAAGGGAGGAGTGCAGCGTGTGGTCAATTTCCAAGGGTTCTACTCAGACGAGCGGTGAGACTATGCGGCCGCCTTTGTTTCCAAGCAATGAGGTTAGCAACTTTTCTTCCAGAAGGATAGCCGCTCTGTCGTACAGTGCCGTCGCAGAGCAAAGAGGAACTTTAAAAGCGTGACGTCACGATACTGTACTGTACACGATGAGGAGAGACCGGTCGATGGCGCCTCCAGACGCAGATGGGGACAAAAAGCTGGGGGCCGAGGCCCGTGCAGGTATCCTTGCCTGCATGCCTGGTTCTGAACAGGGCGGCCACGTGTGCTAAGTGCGGACCAAATTGTCGATCTCTGTGGGCAACGCCAGTGTCCTGCTCATTCTTTGATTTCCTTAGGTCATAAGCAAACGAGGTATGGCATGTGAAGGCATGGAGACAAAACCGGGGAGTGCATCATTCGTCGCGCTCTCTTCAATTCACCTTCTCCCCGTTTCTCCTTGGGCTCACCTCCGCGTAAACCTTTCACCACTATCGGTGCGATGATGTACAGAGAGGGTGTAGCGTAGCCGCGAATCGCACCTAGTCTGCGGGCCGGCTGGTGCACCCACCATCCAACTTGCTCAAGGGTTCATTGTTTTGGGCGCGAGATGAAAGGTGATCGGCACGCCAATCTGGCCCTGTTAAACATACCGCATACCAAGGTCAGTCGGTTTTCGGTTCCGTCTGAGATGGCCCTCGAATATGACTATGCACCACCTCTACCTCAGTAGACTACCATTTGTGATGCATCTCGAGAACAATCCGACAAGTTGGCGGCTGTGTTACTAGATTCAGTGCTCGAACGAATGGAACCAATCCCTGTTTCTCACACCTAATTACGTCGTTGGATGCTGGGGAAGTGGAGAAACGAAGCGCAGTATATTGTTTCGTTTCCTTTGCCTTGCGCCACGAAATAAATCATGGACCTCCTCTGTCTATTGATAGCGGGCTTTGCAGGGGCCTTGACTCGCGCAGAATCGTCTCCAGTAGCCACGGACATAATCCCAGTGGAGCAAGGTTGACATGCCGCAGAAGCGCTTGAATCGCCACATGATTTGTACCAGAAAGACCAGGGTGAGCGAGACGGCCAAGAGCAAAAGTCATCTAACAGATTTTGGCGTTGATCTTTGCGTGGTTCTGAAATCCAACCGATCGTTTGAGTCTTATCTGGTTCCTTGTGAAAAGGTCAATTGCATTGTAAAGTAATCAACAGGCAGTTCGTGTGACCAGCTTAGTGCTGGCCACGTTTCGATTTGTTTTCATGACGAGAAAATATGCCTCGCATTTGGCCTCGTAAATTAGCAGAATAATAATGGCAAACACGATCTGTTGCCTTATTCGACTCAATATTTGGTGGCAAAGACCTGGCTGCGGCAAACTCTATGCTACCCTGCTCTAAGCCCTTTCCGCTGCGGCCATTACATTGTTCCCTCTTCATGAAGCAGAGGGCTTGGAGTCTGCGAGCTGCTCCACCTGAAGCCACCGATTGCCTTCCGATAGGCAAATTCTGCTGATGAGGCGAGGCAATTTGGGGAGAGGGCCAGGAATAGGGAATCCAATCATGCCAATTTTCGTTTGCGTGTTTGTCAGCCGAGGCTTTTCTCATCTCGATTTGGAAAGGATATGGGAGGATGATTGGGACCAGGACTCAGCTTCGGGCCTCCGGACGCTGTAAGGTTTGCTTGTTCCTCGTTTTTGTGATGTATCACATTTGGCGTTCCGCCAAAAGCGGTGTGCTGTTTCATGACGAACTAAAATCCCGACGGCAGAGGCGACTATAGTCATCCTAACTAGGATAGAAATCCTTTCTCCCAGTCCCTCAAGACTCAGCCTTAAAATAAGCCTTGCTGCGGACATCTCTTCGCTTCCCAGTAACTGTCGCCTAGTTAATGTACGCCACTATGCCAAAGACAAAAGCGGTCCTGTTAAGATGTTGAGCAGATCTCTGATTCGTTGTCCAGCTGAAAGAGGGAATAAGAAACCATGGTGACGAAGCTATCGATGCCTGAACCCGGTAAAGAGCCGCAATTAAAAACCAAAAGGTTTCAAAACTTCTTCCGTCATCTACCTGGCGCCGTACTTTATACCCTGCATGAAGCTCGTGACAGGAAGTCACCGGTTTCCCTTACTGGGGGTTGAGCTTACGAACTGTTGATAGAGACGAATGGAATCCACGACCTCGTCCGAATTAGTGGGTATTTGAGCCCGAGAACCATAAACAGTACAATATGGTTCGTGCCATACATGGGTGATACTTGTTGCAACCTATTGAGGACACCTAAGATCCTGAGTTAGCATGCTAACCCTTGGCGAGCGCGTCAACGATGCCAACCCGCTCTCCTATTCTGTCAAGAGGCGATCAGCAATGAAGTTTCTCACTAATCTGACCTATTTTAAGTGGCTTGAGCTGTAAAAAAGTGGGCGTTTTATGACCTTCCTGACCCTAAAAACCGTGCCCAAGTGCTTCTCTGTTGCAAGCTATTTGTGTTGCAGAGTTGATACAGTAACCGCACCAAAGACGGTTCTCTTATAGCCCATCCACCTTCAAGTCCCTTTATCTGACGATATTCTCTACACGAAAATTAAAGTAAAGATTGACTGCATGAATGCTGGAAGGTTTTCGGAGATGGAGTGTGGCAATCATGCAGAGCTGCATTTTCGGCATTTGCCAGCGGCTGACAACCCTCCCCAAGTAGCGCATCAACGCCCGCAGATTATCGACCGCTCAAAGGAGGCCAGTAACCTCGATGATTCCACAAGAAGCCCTGAATACCAGAACGCCGGGCAACTTGAGCTTGAAGAGCCCATTCCGAGTTATTATGATGACAAGAGACCGCCAAACATCAACGAAGATGAGGACGATGACAGTTCTTGTCGAGCCCAGCCTCACAGCCTTGCTCACTTTGGCTCGAAGAATTCAATCACGACTTCTTTCTCGTCCACTGCAGCAACGAGGGGTAAGGGCACACGTGGAAGGTCCTCAGATTCATCTTTGTATGATTCTGCAGAATCAGTCTTCCAATGGAACCGCTCACACGAGCTCGAAAGGCTGCCATACTTGTCCAATGTCCCCACTGAACATCACTTTTCAAATCTATCACACAATTTTTTGAAGTCTAGCAATTCAACAAGTACCTCCTTTAGAGAAAGAGACAATAGCCTTACCAACAAGGAGCTAACAAGTCGGCAAGCAGAGGTCAGATGTGGTCAGCACCAAACGAAACGGCTTCCTCCAGATAACGCTTCATCTAACGGTGACAATGATTATATCAACATTATAGGGAGCCCCGGCATAAATGGTTCCAGTACTGTAGAGAAGAATGACAGCTTGAAAAACCAGGAGGACAATCAAGTACGTCGAGAAACCATAGAAAGGCCCGAAGACCACGATCGCGGAAGCAGAGCAAGAACTCTTGGAATCCTTTCTAATAATACTGGTTATTCCGGGGCCAAAGATCCGGAGACGAGACGTCATGAAGCGATTCGTGATGAACGGGGCAGGTACTCGAACACAAGGAAAGCTGTCATGATCATTTCCATCATCGTGGCGATCCTCGCCATCATTGCAATGATCATTCTTCTCGCTCAGATTGAAAGTAAAAGAGGAGGTAGAGCCATTTTCATGGGATTCTCGCTCATTGTCGAAGTCGCTGTTGCCGCCGGCATGGTAGGTCAATTTCACTAAGATATGATTTTTCATCAACCGTGGGGCAAAATCTTGACCTTTCAGCAGATCGCGTGGGACAGCAACAAAGTCGAAGTCCTTATCAGTATGAACCTTGTCTTCGTTTTCGGAATCTTCGTCACCGGCCAGCTAGACACTTTGATCGGCTCCGGGTAATACAATGAATCATTCTCAGTAGGGGGTGAGGGACTTTGTTGCCACAGATTAAGCGTCCATACTGGCCCCGAGCTTCTTTTTAAATGTAAGATTTTAGGCACAAATTATAGGAAAGAAGATCAAGATATCAGATGAAAGAGAATGGACGGATAAGACTGACAAGCTGCGGACTAGTTCATGAAAAGATCTCATAGTGCTGAAACGTCGGCGTGTAGGAAAGGAACACTATCATTTGCACGATTCCTTTTGTATCCTTATCATTTCGACCTTTTGACTGTCTTGTGTAAGCTTGAAATGAGAACTTTTGTTGACGACTGTGATTTGCTCGAAGCATTGGCCGTCTTCTCTCCGTCTTCTATCCACATAGAAAATTAATAAGGCATGTGACGTCGCGTCCACCTCACGCGCTAGCAGGTCACGTTCGACCGTGGCGAAATGTTCCTTTTGGACCGATTCTCCTAATTAGTTCAACGCACTCAGCATGTGAACTCAAACAGTACAGTCAGTTGGCATGTATCTACGAATTTTGATTTGACGATTCTATAATTATCTTCCGTTTCTCTTCCTCAACGGCCATGGTGAAGCTGCAGGCGGCCACCGTTTCGAACCAGGTCGTCCACACTAGGAAGAGGAAGCGACAACACGCCGAAGGATGTGAGCATAATCCAGTTAGTATTGATTCGGTAAAAGAACCGGAACGCGTCTCAGAAGAATTCCCGTCGAATCTGTCGAAGCCAGCGTCAAGCAAAACGGCACAAGATGGGAAGAGGAGCCGAAAGCCTAAGAACGCAACCGATGCCACTTCTCCACCCGAACTTGCGCGACACGATTCCTCTACTTTAGTGGAAACGTCTATACCATGGCCGGACCATTTTGCGAGGTTATCTCAGTTGCACCGAGCATTGAACATAGTCTACACGTTTTGTTCCTCGCGCAAGTCTTTCGCCACTACGCTCGACAACATCCGATCGTCCGTCGAAGGGCATATCAAGCGCACATTGGAAGTAGAGGAGGTGGCACAAGTAGTAGCGTTGGTACCAAGATCAATCAATTTCAGCTACGTTGATGAAGCCATGCTCATGATTAATCTTATGGGAGCGGACGAGACCTTCAAAGGTGGAACGGGAAACCAATTCATCCTGCCCGAGCAACTGCGTGAGGGCGCGGAAAGCGAGCGAAGGGAGGTACTTCTTTTTGAATTTGTCGACGGCGACCTTAAGCGCCAGGTGCAGCATGCAAAGACGGGCGAGCCGACGAAAGCAACTCAGAAGCTGCGAAATGAACGCCTGAAAATGCCTGTCTTCAGCCAGAAGCAGATGCTGAATCTGATTGAGAAGCGGAACCTGAAGTTCACGTCTGCGGTCAATGCTTTCCTAAACCAGGCAGACGAAGAGAAGATTGACCCGGTTCTGAAGCTTTTGCAAGAGAGTCAACAGTATATCCCTAAAGTGACTAATAAGGCAATCAACACGGCGGAACTTGACAGAAGTGCTCCTCTTCCAGCATGTATTCCTGCAGAGAGAGCTTCAATCTCCCAAATCATCTCAGAGATCAAGTCGTTAGACTGGTACAGTGGTCAAATCGTACCCGATGGCCACAGAGTGTTTGATCCTCAACCGCCAATTTATGGTGACCTTGTCTTTCAATTATCCCAAAACCTTGTCGATGCACTTTACAACACCAGAGGAATCACACAACTTTACTCCCATCAAGCCCAAGCAATCAATCATCTGTACGACGGTAGTAATGTGATAGTGTCAACATCAACGAGTTCTGGAAAATCGTTGATATACCAGATACCCGTGCTACACGAGCTAGAGAAAGATCACAATACCAGGGCAATGTACATATTCCCTACTAAAGCGCTAGCGCAGGATCAAAAGAAGAGCATGAAAGATCTCTTGCGGTTTATGCACGGACTGGAGCAAATTATAGTCGAAACCTTCGATGGAGACACGCCCATGTTTGAACGAAATAAAATCCGCGAGGAAGCGCGCATTATTTTTACAAACCCAGATATGCTGCACATCACAATTTTGCCACAGGAAGATTCGTGGCGTAATTTCCTGCGGAACCTCAAATTTGTGGTCGTAGATGAGCTCCATGTTTACAACGGTCTCTTTGGTGCTCACGTCGCGCTCATCATGCGCAGGCTGAGAAGAGTATGCGCAGCCGTTGGGAACAGACACGTTAAGTTTATATCCTGCTCAGCAACGGTTGCCAATCCAGAGGAGCATATGAAAACCATATTTGGTATCGAAGACGTCAAACTTGTAGACTTTGACGGATCGCCATCAGGCCGAAAGGAATTTCTTTGCTGGAATACGCCATACAAAGATCCCAAGGATCCAAGCTCTGGGCGGGGAGATACGTTTGCTGAGGCTGCAAAGCTCTTTTGCCAGCTTATTCTAAGAGGCGTACGCGTTATTGCTTTCTGTCGCATTCGTAAAACGTGCGAGATTCTGCTTACCGCTGTTAAAAACGAACTGAACAGTCTGGAGAGACCAGAAGTTATGACTCGGGTTATGTCTTATCGAGGTGGCTACACCCCACAGGATAGGCGAAAAATCGAGAAGGAGATGTTCGAAGGCAAGCTTGTAGGCATCGTCGCCACAAATGCCCTCGAGCTCGGCATCGACATCGGTTCCCTGGACGCCGTGATGACCGTCGGCTTCCCATACACAATCGCAAACTTGCGCCAGCAAAGTGGTAGAGCTGGTCGACGGAACAAAGACTCACTATCGGTGCTGGTAGGCGACTCCTTTCCGACAGATCAGTATTTCATGCAAAATCCGGATGAAATATTCACGAAACCTAATTGCGAGCTGCAGGTCGACCTGCAAAATATCATGGTTTTAGAAGGTCATATACAATGTGCTGCTCACGAGATGCCAATTCGTCCAGAGGATGACCTCCAATACTTTGGGGAACTCCTGCCTACCATTGCAGAGGAACGAATGCGCAAAGATGCTGATGGTTTCTATCACACCAACGAGAGATTTTTGCCTCGACCGTCGAATTACGTCGCTATACGTGACACCGAAGACGATCACTTCGCAATCATCGATACGACGAACGGGCGCAATGTTGTGCTTGAGGAACTTGAAGCATCAAGAGCATTCTTCACAATCTACGATGGTGGCATATTTCTGCACCAGGGAAACACATATCTCATCAAGGAATTCTCACAGGAACGACTGATGGCGAAGGTGGAACGCGTCAAGGTAGACTGGACAACGCAACAGCGTGATTTCACAGATATCGATCCCGTAGAGACGGAGGCTATCCGCCAAATTCCAGGCTCGCTGTCGAAGGCTTTTTATGGACCCATCAAGATCAAACAGGTCGTCTTCGGTTTTTTCAAGGTCGACAAGAAACGCCGCATCCTCGATGCTGTGCAAGTCGATAACCCACCCATCATTCTCTTCAGCAAGGGCATGTGGCTCGATGTCCCAAAAGCTGCGATTGAGATCCTGCAGAGCCGACGACTGAATGTTGCAGGTGCTATACATGCTGCTGAACATGCGATTCTGAGCTTAATGCCAAATTTCGTGATCTCTATGCCAGGGGATGTCCGGACTGAGTGCAAAAACGCACTAAAAGAGTTCCAGAAGCGGGAAACTTCGCGGAAACGACCTGCTCGGCTTACGTTCTACGACGCTAAAGGTGGCGCTCATGGCTCAGGCATCAGCACAAAAGCCTTTGAATTCATCGATCTACTTTTACGTCAGGCGGCTGAGCGCGTTAGCTCATGCTACTGCCAAGATGGTTGTCTGGAATGTTGTTGCAGCGAATCATGCAAGGAGAAGAATCAGGTCATGAGCAAGGCTGGCTCGGAGGTTATTCTAAAAAGCTTGTTGAATTGGGACATCGATATTGATGCTCTGCCAATGGGTGAAGAAGAGAGAGTGCCAGCAGGCGTGGAGACTGTGGTACCAGCAGAACCTGTGAGACCTAGGCCTGGACATAAGATAGACATTGTGGAAATTAAAAGAGAGGAAGGTGGCGTAAAAAGGGTTGTGGTCGGCGTTGTGGGACATGAAACAAGTAACGACGACAAGGATAACGATGATGCGAACATATCGGTAGCCAACTGTCGCTAAACTTCTACAGCATCTCAACCATGAAGGGGCACTTCTGTATGTTGACGAACAAAGAGTATGTTTCAAGAAAGTCAAAGCCATGGCGAAACTGTCTTTGAGGAGACCTCATTCCCTCGCTGCCATCGACATTATGTCGGCCATTTTTATCTTTGACACTATAACACGAGGCTTGTACCGCACAGCATATCCGTCATTGCCAAAACTGCTTGAATATTCTGTTTGAAGGGCTCATGCCGCTATAAGGTTAGCTCAAGATCTAATGTGTATCACTCAAGTTAAAGGTAGCACACTGATGAAATGAAAAGCAGTTTGACTATTGCTCCTTTCTCCACACGCTTTCCTTTTTGACGTAGCCACCAAGCAAGAAGTTACCCTTCGCAGAGCCAATGAAAAAGTCCCTACTCTTGATCAGCCAAATAACGAAGCTTGGTAACCACCATCCAAAGAACTGCCCCACGCCATGACGACTTCCAATGGGCACAATCTGCGTCGGACGCAGATCGGGCTTAAAGGGACGATCTACGCCGGCAGTGGGCTTCTCCGTCCCTTGCTCGGCAGCACGAAGATCACGTCGAAGATTCGTGGTCACGACCTGCGTCATGTGAACCATGGTCAGGATTCCACCTTTGAACGCGGAGGAGCATTCGCCAACCGCGTAGACGCGAGGTCCGGCGTCGTCGACTCGAAGGGTCTCCGGGTTGGTGTTCAGGTGTTTCGATGCGGTCAGTAGCGCCGGTGGGACATACGCAGTGGTTGGCTTGCCCTGGAAAGCAGGTATGTAAATGTCAGCTTCCAGCACCTGACCATCGCTGAGGTGCACTTTGATCTTGGGCTCGCCTTCCTTTGCGAACAAAGCTCCCAGTGTTTGACCTGCGTCCGGTGGAGTCGTCTCGCGAACTGTCTTTCCGTACAAGACGTCCACTCCCAGCCGTCGAAGGTAGTACTCCGCTCTGGTCGCCGCCTCTTCGCTCAGAGCCGGCAGAAGTTTGTTGCTGTTCGTCACGACGGTGATTTTGATTTTTGCATTTGACGTGGAAGACGATGATGGTTGGAGAGAGCCGCTGAAAAATTCCGCCAGTTCTCCAGCGCATTCGACTCCGCAAGGCCCGCCTCCTCCAATAACAATTGATCGAGCATTGGGCAAAAAGCTTCGAAAGGAATACAATGCTGCACGCGTGTTCTCTGTGGATGGCTGAGCCGTTAAAAGCGGGCAAGGTGCTTTGCTTCCCGAAGCGAATACAAGTGCGTGATACGTGATCTGCTGTTTAGAATCTCCTTGGCCAGCATAGCGAACGATTCGGCCAACGGGATCGACATCAAAGACAGAGCCGTGGATAAATTGGAACGACTCCTTTGGATACTCTTTGAAACCGTCCGTTATAGGCAGAAACATCCTGCTGTCAGGAGCGGATTTCTCGTCGACTATTGCCCTAGGGGCGCCAATCACGAAGTAGAAGTCCGGCGAGGAATTGATCAGTATAACGCGGTATTTATTGGACAGCTTGGGAACTATATGCCTGAGAATGGAATGGGACTGTAACAAACCGGCGTAGGAAGCCCCAATCACGACAATGTTTTTTTCTCCCATGGTGAAACGATTTTGAATGGCTGATTGATTCCGGGAAACTCATCTGCGTCCAGACGAAAAGGAGTGATGCAAATCTGAAAGAGTTGAAATAGATATAGCTCCTTAGCGTTCTGTGGGGCCCCGGATTCTGATCCAAGTCCGTATGATAACCTCGCCGGCTGCAACTCGGCCCGGGCATCTTCTGGAGAGATGAATGCTCAAGTAAAGGAGCCATGGAACCAATGGCTGAGCGAGCTTCGATTGTGCATTAATCAGTAGCAATCACAAAGCAAGGGACGGCCCCCGGAACATATAACGGACCGAGCCTCCATTAGTCATCCCGAGGCTTTAACACATTGACCACGTGCGGGAAACCAGAAGGAGGTTGAATTCTTTGTGCTATATTTGTTCGAGATTTTCAAGCTCTTCTCCCTCCTCCCACGACAGGACGCTGCGCAGTTTTAAATTCGTCGGTGCTGGAGTGTACTATGGAGGCCGAGCGGAGAGAATGATTGAACATGCTGCGCCAGATTCTTGATGCATGCCAACATGTAACATTTTTGTTTGCACTTCAAATTTATTGGAGACGTTTACAGTTGTCATCGTCTAACCACAAAAGTTGTTGCGAAGCTGTCAATCACGATGTCAAGAAGTGCAACAGGCGCCAAAATCTCATCTATATACGCGCCTGCTTGGGTATCTCGCAGTCAAATCTTTAGCATATCTCGCACAAGTCTACAAGCTGTCCTCCCGCCATTTGCTCCTCACCTTACTCCAACTGTCGGCCTCGGCCTTCCCACCTTTGCTCTGCATGCCCAGTCCCCTCTCTACCCACTCTTTGCTCCCCATCTCGCTCAGCCGGCTAAGTGCGCGCGCAAATGCAAACCGCTCTTCGTCGCCTGTGAAAATGCTAGAGTTCTTCAGCATCGTCATATTCATGCCCAAGTCATCCATGAGACTGCGCATCGCATCCGACACGTCATGATGCTCGTCATTGGAAGGTATGTCGCCCTTGCTCTGAGAGGTCGAGACTGCTTCTGCGACCTCAGACTTAGAAAGGAAGAGATTCTGCAGGGGCACTGCGGAGGTCATTACGAGCTTGGCCTGTTAAAAGTGCTTAGGATCTAAAGCCAACAGCGTATGGTTGAAAGTACATACCCTCGATTCGTACACAGCATCGATGAAGGTGATGAATCTGCGTGCCCAGTCGCGGCTCTTGTGGTCCATGCCTGGAACATCCGTTACGATAAAGGCGTCGTAGCTGCGCATTAATTCTAGATAGTCCGCCGCGCCCGTCGCCCTTCCAATGAGCTGTTGGAATGTGAACCGTGCAGCCTTGCCGCTTGCAAGCGGGACCTCGATCTCTCGGCCCCACACCGTGTGCGTAGCAGGATGTGGAGGGTCGTTTTCAAAATCGCCCAGATACTTGAACCACTTGTCCGCGTGCGTCTTGGCAGAGTTGTCCAAAGGGTGGTGGTAAACGCCTGAAGGTGGCCGCGGGATCTTGCGGTAGTCGGTTTCAGAGTCCAGGTTGATGACCCGGAGTTTCTCCTTGAGCAGATTGATACACGGGATGAAAGACTCTCTCTGAATGCCATTCTTGTACAGGTCGTCGGGGTGCCGATTGCTCGTCGTAACCATGACAACGCCGTGGCTCATAAGCGACTCGCATAGTCTCCTGAGAATCATCGCATCCGCCACGTCTGTGCACTGAAACTCATCAAAGCACAACACGCTGCTTCGGCTTGCAATATCAGCCGCGACGAATGGGATTGCGTCGAAGTCGTTGCCGTACTTCACTTTCATCTTATGCAGATCTTTATGGACTTCTTGCATAAAATTGTGGAAATGAATGCGTGTCTTCGATTTGATATTAGGCGGGAGGGTCTCGAAAAAAAGGTCCATCATCATGGTCTTGCCAGACCCAACATCGCCATACATGTAGATGCCCTTGGGTAAATTTTCAGGTATCTTGGTCGTCTCCTTTTCCTTCCCTTTGCCTCCAAACAGAGAACCAAAGAGCGACTTTTTCCGGGGCTGTAGTGATTCAATAGTGGGTTGAACTACGGTGGGTGGCGTGTATTGAGCTAGTCGGTCGTGTAAGTCTTGGAGGTCTTCTATAATTTGTCGCTGATGCTCGTCATTGCGGAGTCGGCCAGATTGTACGCGTTCGTCGTATTCTTCTAGAGGGCCATGCGTTTTGTTCCTGGACTTTGTATCTGCCACCACGGTCGCTAGGCCTCTCGCGCCTGTACCAACACAAGGGCTCGCCCAACTGGCGTGGGCCACCAGTATTCTTACATTCCCAGCTCTTGTCCTCGACTGCGCGTGGAAGGCTCGCAAGCATCCGCGACACAATAAGGCCCTCCTGTACGTTGGTCTTGCGGGATTTCTGCTTAAGGCTCGAAGCACGCGAAGGGCATCTCTTGAGGCCATGCTGGAACGCTCGGACGTGCAAATACAAAATGCTATATGGAACTGCTCAGAACTCTATACAAAAAATTACGCGGTCCGAATAATTGGACTCGCGAACGAGAGACAAAGGGTGGTCTGAAGGTACCTGGGGTATGACGAAGTTTTAGTCCCGCCAACTCGAAAACGGCTGGTCACGAGCCGAGGATTCCCGAATAGTGTTGCGCTTGACGCCGATGCGCAGATGTGACGCCTCGTTCGACTTTTTATGCATTCTACCTTTGCGCGCCCCAAATATTCTTCCATTTTTGATGGCGAAGTGAAGCATGGCTCTTTACCATACACTCGTTGCTGCCCTGAACGCTGCTCTGCGAGACGTGACACTGCTCTCATTCCCGTCGCCAGAACCGTTGATCGAATCCGTCTCCTCTCCATCTGAGAAATGAGGACATTCGCTGGATCTGAAAGCTAAAGATAATGATATTCAACTTTCTGCGTGACTTTGCTTATGATAATGACTGCGCATACGCTGGCGTAACGCTTTGCGGATTCTTAAACAAGTCTCCTGGATCATACTTCATCTTAATTCCCTCTAACCGCTCAAGGTTCCCACCCCAATACTGTCGTTGTGCAGACTTCAGCTCCGGATCGACATAGCCTGGATATATGCCGTTGTTCTTTCCGCTACCAATCCCCGACTCCACTATCTCATTCACAGTGCGGATGAATTCTTTCGACGAATCTGAAACTCGGCCAAGTGAGATTGCGTACGACTGACAGTATATCGTTGCCTCTCTGTGTTGGAAGGCTGTTGCATCCACCGGTACTTCATTTACTGCTCCACCCGCTAGATCGAAGATGATGAACCACATGGGTGTTCCCTTTTTTGCGGAATCGAGGTAAGTCAAGAGTCTGTCGATCGCCCCGGCCTCAATTTGTTGGCTCTTTTGGATTGTCAAGCTTTTGTGATAAAAGTGACTCGGACGGCCTAGGAGCTTGGAAAGAAAGCGCCCACCTGCCCACTCTCTGATCAGGCCCAACCAGTTGTCCTTGTAAACTTGGACGCTGATTCTGGTTGTGGGTTCTCGCCTGGTCGATTGTAACATGCCGTTATGCTTGAAAATCCGTCTCAGAGATCCACTGCTCCTCGCCCGTTTCGGTGCCGGCCGCTTTGGCTTCGCGTAAATGAAACGCTGGGCGAAGGGCTCGAGCTTAAAGTCTTCTTCGCTGCCGAAATATGTGCCCGTGATGTTCATGCCCAGCGTGGTGATGATGACCTGCGAGAAGATCTTCCAATTTAGCGACGGGTCCGTCACGATGGCCTGCCAATCCCTTAGCGAGCCGGACATGGACGAATAGCTTCCAGACAGCGAGCATGAGAACTGGACAGCCTCTTGCGGAGCTGGCCTGGTTCGAAATTTGAACTCGACTACGATTCCAAGGCTGGACGCTGCCCCTCGCAGCGCAAAAAATAAATCCTTGTTCTTTTTGGCTGACGCATCGACCAATCTGCCATCTGCAAGAACGACAGTCATCTCTTCAATGTGGTCAAGGGTTGCTCCCCAAAGGCGGGACGTAGGGCCAAGTCCACCAATGGTGGCATGTCCGCCAATTCCGACAGAGGGGCATGTCCCGTGGGCCATCGCGCGCTGGCCATTTGCGTATAATTGCTTGGTTACGTCTTCAAGACGAGCACCTGCACCAACGGTGGCGATCCAGGTACTGTGGTCTACAGAGACGTATTGGAAATATTTCAGGTCTATCACTATGGCGCCATCCATGCCTCCGAGGCCTGCACTCCATCAGTATCATCAGGAACGACGACCTAGGACGTGACTGCTTACCGTAGTTACCGTAACTGTGGCCACCACTTCTAGCTTGGACATTCAACCCGTGTTTGGCGGACGTCGTTACGAGATCCTGAATGTGCTGAACCTTTCGAGGAAAAGCGATCGCGGCTGGCTTGACACTGATTTCTAGATTGCAACCCACAGTTGACGTCCTGTACGAACTCTGCTCCGGAAACGCAATGCACTTCCTTTCGCCACCTACAGCGCGCAAAAGGTCATATCGCAGCGAGTGACGTGAGGAACAATTAGACGTAGAAGCAGAGTGTGGTGTAGAAGAAGGACGCCTAAGCAACGACTTAACCATATCGGCGATGTTGGAGTGCGCTTTGCTCGTAGTAGGGCTGCACTGTCATGGAGACGCGAAGGCAACCGTCCCCTCTCAGATTTTGAGGAAGGAAACGAAAGATAGATAAGACGATAGTTGAATTGAAGTCCAGTTGACAAGCAGCTATACGGGCAATACTTTTCCATGTGTTGTTCACAGGGCTGAGAAGCTAGTAATATGCGGCTTGATGCGGCTGAAGCGGCTGTACCTCGTTCGAGAAGAGCAGCTCCGCTTGCTAGCAGCTTGGTGTCGTGGCATAGAGAGAGCATGATTATGCTTACACCATGGTCGTGTGAACGACCGGGACCCAACAGACGCGTATTTACGATTTTTGCGCGGGTTTAAGTGTTCGACGGAATCCGGCTCGTTTGATTGAACCACTCCTGCATCCTCTGGTGTGACATATCCTCTGCCCTGCAAGCTTACGCGCATCTTCACATGGCCTTGCGCCCGTACGCCCGTTCGCCCGTTCGCCCGTTCGCCCGTTTTCGTAAGCATGCGTGGGTTTGTCTTCAATTGATTCTTAGCAATCTACTGTGTGCAAGGCTGACACCGGCTTATTCTAGAACTCACGGACGGTCCTTACGAACGTTTTCCTGTAGGAACAATTCCGCAGACGTTCTGCCAATTCCAGGCTAAGAAAAGTCGACGTGTTCAAGCACATACGAGATCTAGCGTACAGCCCAAGAGATAAATATTCTTGGCTAGGTGTGAGAATGTCGGGTGCGGCTGAGCGAGCGGTGGCCAAAATCGGACAAAGCGTCCAGCTCACAGCCTTGTCATTGGTGTGTCGCACTCTGAAGGAGCAAACAGCATCTAAGCCAAGGTGCAGCCTCTGTCGCTGTGGAGCGATTCTACGCACAGAAATATAGACGGGAGCGTTGGGCGCAGATGGAGCAGCCGAAATGATATGCCCGTAACTTTGCCTCTGTTTCGTGAGGGCCATGATTCACAGCCCTGTCTGACCACTTCGTAGCGACTAAGGCACAATTCATTCGGCACGGGAAAGGGCACAAGAACCGTTATATGTTTGTAGCAGGCAGGAGGCCGAGGGGTTAGGTTCTAAGTTAAACGAACCCTGGCTGCGTATCTGCTACCACGCTGTTCACTGATAGCCACAGAATCCTTCCGAACTAACCCACGTAAAATGCCATTTATCGACATATTTTGACCATTGTCAATTCCCGAGTTGTGTAGTAATGGGTCTCCCAAACTCTGAATCGAAATGTGAATCTCCAGCTAGGCCAATTGACTTCAAGCAGACGCACTATTTTGTGGCAGCTCTCTGGCGTCAGGGGGACACAGATTCCATTCGGAGTTTTCCCGTAGATAATAGAAGCTTGGAAGGATTCACTATCGAAACAAATGGGCGGTGTTACCACGTGTTGCAGACAAAAAGGCGACGGTCGGTCAAAGTTTCTTTCCGTGTGCCATACGAGTCCTTTGTTATGACTGTAGCCTTTGACTTCATTGGGTTCCTTGGTAATACAGTCTCTTGCACATCTAATGCACGTTCATCGAGAACGCATATCTCGAATAACCCATATCAATTGAGACGTGTCGCCACACATGCAGGACCTCAGTAAACGTACAGCGGCGCATTCTACCGGTTATGGATTCCTGTTGACCATTCTTGTCCACCGCATTTGGTGGAGGCTTATTTCCTAAGACACCGCAAGCTGTGTGCAACGAAACATTGAATCTGTTCATTGTGATCGAGATCATTACTATTGTTCGAGTACCGTCAGACATGCGTTGAATGGGAGCATCTGCAAGAGCAGAGAAACAAAGACTGTTACATCTCATTAGAGTTGCATGTGCACTCCTAAGGTCAATGTTTTCAGCCATGCGGAGCACAATTAACCTATGTGGGGTAGTGCTTTACGTCGAATCTTGAGTTTGAACACAGTTACATCAAGGAACAGCAAGAGACATCCGCGGGGGAAGACATGGAGAAGATTCAAAGGAGGAATCCAGCCCTCGCCACGCGCGGCGACGTTCGCTAGGTATGGCATTAATTCCTTGGCTGGCGACTACTGTGAGAATACGCTGAAGCCTTCCCAACGAGGAACGATTGTGTATTCTGCCCAGAGTAAGGCTATCGTGCAGGTCCATGATCCAGGGATAGATGCATGCAAGGCAGTGAGACAAGTCTATTCGCTAAACTGGACTAGGAAGCGAGCAGAGCTCGGATTCGGAAAAGATGCGTCGTACGGATGCTCGTGGAGAAACGATATACGACGTGGATCGATCTCATAGTAGCAACCGTCCGAAGCTTGGAACGTGGGATGAATTCGTGCTAGGTCTCGTGCTGAATTAGCACAGAGCCGAGCATACAGATCGAAAAGCTCAAGGCATGCTGGCAGATCGCCACGATGTCAGCGTCAAACCGAGCAAGCTAAGTCAAAGGGTTCGAAGAGATCCTATTAGCGTGCATTCTCTTGATCAAAAGAATGCAGGTCGTGCCGGAAAAGTCGCCGTGTCTCTTGTTCCGATTCTTCGAAGTGGGTACGGACGAGATGCAGTGCAAGAGAGACGTGGGCGATCCCTCCAACCTGAGCCGATACGATAGTGCGTGGAGTCAGAGCCGCGATTCGCCGTGCCTGAAGCCTGAACCCGGACGACGGATGGGGATAGTGAGGAGACAACGACGCGCTTATATTGTCCGAGCAAAACATTGAGACCTTGGGGTCGGCTTGGGCAGAAGGCGACTGATCAACGTCATGCCGCGACGCCTTGCTGCCCACAACTCTGGTGGGCGAAGGCAAGCAAAGGCCTGCCTGCGCTTCCCTGCTTGAAAAGCATCACGGCATCGTTAGCTCGACATCGAACAGCGCCCGACGCATGCTCGGAGTCCTGATGCTCGTACGTCCCAAGGGCCCCCGCCGATCGTTACTCGGAAAGCAGCGTGGCGCAGGCGTCTGCACGTCCACTGGCTGCTGTTCATGCCCAAGAGAGACACAGTTGGGTTCTGGAAACTCAAAGGGCGCTCGTGTGGCCGGAAGCCGAGCCTGACGGACGACAATAAGAAGCAGCGTGTTCTCGCAAGCGGTCGAAAGCTGTCCTCATCTGAGATTGATTTTTTTCCGCACCGTGAAGCGCGCTGCTTTCTTCGCCTGAGGAGTCGCGGTGTGACGATTTTGAATCATACGATCCAGTTTGCGCTGCCCCGACCCCTGTTGGCCGTCGACGCCTCTGACGTACACCCGCCGGTTGTCCACCATCAAGATTTCGTATACATTCTCTGCATCCCGGCGTGCCTACGCAGCGATCTGGCCCTCCTTATCATTGCCGATTCCGAAACTTAAAACCCTTGGCCTGGACCACGGGAATATTCTACAGTTCTTGCCCGCTTCTGCTTCTCATTTTTCTTCTCCAAGCCAGCCACAGGCCTTGACACCATGTCTCGCTTCCGGTCCACGTCGGTGACTGTCGAGGACGAAGCCCCGCAGCGATGGGATCGTGAGAAGTTCGAGAGGATCAGAAATCGTGGGGCATACGAGCGGGATGACTTCCGCTTCGACGAGCGTGATCGGTACGGCCCGCGAGGCGTCGTTCGCGACGTCGCTGTCGAAGACCGCATCGACCGCCGCGGGCCTCGCGGTCGTTTCGACGAGGACTTCAGATACTACGAGGAGGACAGACTTGCACCTGGCAGGAGGCGGATGTCCTTCTTGGATGAGCCTGTACCTGCCGAAGCTGCCCACCGCGCACTTGCTCCATACCGGTCACGAGAATATGTCGACCCTCCGCCGATGCGACGGCCAGCACGGCCCATGTTTGTCCGACGACAGAGCAGTTTAGATACCTTTGACCGACGGCCTCTTCCTCGCTACGGTGACGAGTACAGGCTCCCAAGTGATGTTCCTATTCCACTTCCCATTCGTCGGCCCCGCTCTCCGCCTCGCCACTACTACGATGACTATGAAGAGGTCAGCTACCGAGACCTGCCCGCACGCGGAAGAGATTACGACGAGTATCGCGACATAAAGATCAAGCGAGAGAAACGGAGCCGCAGCAGGAGGCCTGCCTCAGTGCAATCTTCCAGCTCGAGTGAATCCAGCTTCGAGGAAATCACGGTACCTGAGCCGCCAAAGATCGGCAAAAAAGGCAAGACTCGGATGCCGAAGCGTCTGGTGCACAAGAAAGCGATCATCGAGATGGGCTTGCCCTTCGAGGAGGAAGGGGATTTCATCATTGTGCAACGAGCGCTCATGAAGGAGCACATCGATACCATCATCGAAAAGTCGAAAGCATACAGAGAAGGTACTACCCAACGCCCTCTTCATCCAAAGAAACGAAGCCGGGAAAGCTAATATTGATGCAGAGAAAACAGTTTTCAAGTATACAGAAGATCGTGACGACTTCAAGGAAGATGCAAAGAGCGAAAAGGCTGAGGAAAAGGTCGAAGATGAGACAGTCATCAAGAAGACCACCATTATCGAGGACGTTCCTCCACCACCAGCGCCTCCTCCTCCAATGTCCGTCCGCGCACCATCCCCAGCTAGAACCGAAAAGAGCACCCGTTCGCATCATTCTCACCATACACACCATTCGCGCCACCCCGCCGAGGAAACAAAGATTGTCGAGCGGGAAACGGTTGCCGAAAGCAACCACATCGGCGGGCCCCTTACCGTTCTTGCCCCGCAGAATAGACACAGAGATGAACACGATATCCAACGCGAAATTCGCGAGCTCGAGCGGGAACGCCGGCTGCTCAAACTTGAGCGCGAGTCTCGTGACGGCGATTACGAACTCATCGAACGGGTGGACAGATGGGAGGATGGACCGAGACGCGATCGGGCACGGAGTAAGAGCGTTATTCGCGTGGAGAAGGATCGGAAGGGTAGGTTGGCTCTCGTGAGGTCGACCCACTGAACTACGCGTACAAGGTGGGTTGAATCCTTGACTTGAGATGCCAATCTGGCTTTCTCAGATCTGCAGTCGAACAAAACAACATACGCTAACCCCCGTGATAGCACGCAGTAGGGCTCCAAATCCGAAGTTGGTCGCTCTGGCCATGTCGACACTGGCTTAAAGATATTGGCCTCCTTGAATTTATCTATTTCTTTACCAAGACACTTCTTAATCAATGGCGTTGTGTGCTCACTTTGAACACATTCCAGGCAAGAATCTTGTTTCCGTCACGTTAGCGAGGGATCAGCGCAGGAGCCATCTGGTGCATGTATACTGGGAAGCTTCTGCATAAGCAAAGGCGCTTGGGAATCTTTCATGTTGGCACAAGAAATTTGAGCAATCGCGTAATACATGATTACGAAGTGTACGATATCCTACCGGCAGGAAGAGAATGCTATGTAATTGGAAACATGGTTGTATATCAGTTGATGCTCTCTTGTTCTTTGCAACAACCACAAACGCACGGAAAACTGAAGTGATTTACAAAATGCCCCAAGAGAACGAATTCGAGAAGACTTGAGCAGTTTCGACAGAGGAGTCATCACACATCCGTACGCTCGCAGAGCGTATTTTCTCCATGATTGGAATAGGTATCCAAGTCTTGAGTCTCTCTCGTCCGGCTGCCTTTTTTTTTTGCTGTAGTGTCTTACACGAGAGCGTAGTCACAGGTTAACACGGTAGATTTTCCGGCGTAAATCCCATTTCTACAGCAAGTTTCCGCTTTCCCTGCGGGCATATGACGAGAGGAAATAAAGTGAACGCCACGTCGAGATGCTGTGGTTTCAGAGGGCCAACACGCTACCGCATGCAGCCGCTGCGCACCACCGAAAACAAGAATACAAAGACGGGCCGCAAGTCACCGGAATAGCAACCCAATGATGAGGATGACGGACGTTCTATCCAGCGGTAGAGCATCTCCGCACACCTGCTTGGCAGTCTCGACTTCGGAGAGGTCATCTTAGTTTGCAGGTGAGGTTCTGGGCGTTCAGATTCGTGCAGACACGTCCTTTCACACTGCGGGGCGCAACTTCATTTTGACCAGCGTAGCTATTATCTAGCTACACTTGAAACGGAGATCCGAGAGCGCCAACGTCGACCAAGCTGGCATTGGAAGCGGAGGGGCTATCAATGAACCCTCTCGGGCTTCTCTGAGAATAAGTATATTTAGACTCTCTAGCTTAGGGAGAGACACCTGTCAATTTCAAGTGATGAGGAACAATCAAGGATTCAGTATAGGTTGTGTGCTCATATCGACAGCAAGAGCAATGACACCGTGACATCCACGAAAGATGTTGCCAGGTCTTTCTTTTTTTTGTTCCTTTCTTCTTCCAAGGCCCTTGTTTGTCTCGACGGCTGTGAACTGTGTTGGTTTGTCCACCATGAGTTTGCGAGGTAGCATCGTGAGGGTGAAATGACTTTTTCCTTGGTGAGCATACGTCGAAGCTGAGGCAGGGAGGTTAAAGGAACACTCGGCCAGTCTATTTTCGGCAAGATGAAACGCGATCCAAGCGGCTTCTCCTGGCTGCCAAGAGAACGCCACAGGGTGACGAAAGAAATTGCGGGAGCGAAACACCTTCCTCGACTTCATCTCGTCCTTGAGTAAATGATCGCACATCTGTCACGAGATCCAATCGTAGGAAAGACTTGGAAGAATAAAAAAAAAGAGCTTGGATCTGATGAGGCTGTTGGCGATGAAGGATGAAATGAATGATCGTGTGGCATTAGCCCAGCGACGGCGTTGACTACCAGTGCGCCCAGAATCTAATCTAGCTCAGCCAAGAGGCGGAAGCGAGGCTGAAACACAAGAGCTGTCAGCGGAAGAGGTTGGCCTTTCCACAAGATGCTCCACAAGAGGGATGGACTCGCTCTGGAGCGAATCCAGATCCACGCAATATGTCCTTGTGGCCACTAGCTACCGATTACCCCCACAAGCTCCCAGAGTGTTTCTATTTTACTGTGCCATTTCGTAAAGGGGGCATTGGCTGCGACGTCGATGTGAGACTGCGGCTGATGATACTTAACCATGGCAGTCCCGCCGTGAACGATTCGAAGGACATGCAAGCATCGCTGAGCTGATTGTTTGTCGTTCGTTCTACCTCTTACAAAGCCCTATCCCTCGTTTGAAACGTGCGGAAGACACTGTGTGTCTACCTTACATTCGTTTATCACAAAAGCCCACATTCGTTCGTTTCTTAGACCTTCCTTCAGTCTCTTTAGCTGCCTTTGTTTGCAACAATGTCTGTCCTTACGTGCTGGGCTTTCGCAACGATCTTGGCCTTCCAGGCCGCGACGGCACCACTTACGCGCCGCGATCTGTCTTGTCCTGCGTCCAATGGCACGACATATACCTCGGGAAGCAACACCTGGACGATCGAATGCGGGATTGACAGGTATCTCGGCGATATGCCAGCACCGAACGGTCTTCATGCGGAGACGCTAGAAGCTTGCATCGATCAATGCACTGGACGCGAAGGCTGTATTCTTGTCGACTACGTTCCGTCGGCCAAAGCATGCTACGTGAAAAGCTCAGTCGGTTACACTATCGCGAAAGACACCGTAGTTGGCGCACTACTCGTGACACCGTCGACGGGCAGCAACCTCGTGGCTTCCGCTCCTTCTCCCTCTTCCACCTATTCTGCGAGCACTAGCTCTGGCTTGATCGGCGCAAGCTCTGGCAAGCGAGGTCTTTGCTACAACAACGCTGCTCTCACCAAGCTCTTCGGAGGCTCTGGATCGAAAATCACCTGGGCGTATGATTGGGCTCAGACAGCCGGACCAGATCTCAACAGCGGTCTAGTCTACATTCCAATGCTTTGGAACAATGCCGCTGACCGCGTCGCGTCTTGGATGGCCAACGCGAACGCGGCCATCGCCGCAGGCGCAGACGCTCTTCTAGGCCCGAACGAGCCCGACCTGGGCTCCCAAGCTAACATGGCCGTTAGCGCCGTCGTCAGTCTCTGGAAATCCTCCATGCAGCCCTTCGCCGGCAAAGTCAAGCTCGGCGCTCCCGCCGTCACAAACGGCGGCGCGCCCATGGGTCTCACCTACCTCAAAAACTTCATCGCCGCTTGCGACGGCTGCACGATCGACTTCTGCCCCATCCACTGGTACGACTCGGCCACCAACATCGCCTACTTCAAGAACTACGTCGCGGACGCGTACGCCGCGTGCGGGAACAGGCCGATCTGGATCACGGAGTTCGGCGCCAGCGGCAGCGAGAGCGAGGTCGCCACCTTCCTGAACACTGTTCTGCCGTGGCTCGACAGCAACAGCCAAGTCGAGAGATATGCGTACTTCATGGCCGCGGCGAGCACGGACGGAACCTACTTGGTCAACGCGGCGGGAACTGGCCTGAGCAGCATAGGGCAGATCTACAATTCAGCATAACAAGCCCGATCAATGATGTGCATGCTCTGACGAACGCGTGTAAAAACTTCGATTCTTTGTATATAATTAGCATAACGCGTAGTGGATCTAAATCTACCGACGTGAAGAAAATCGTTAGATGGAAGCCAAAACGATCCCTGCCAGCTCAATGTGATCTACGTATCTAGGCGAAGTGTAACATCTATCCCGGTGCAGCAGGCCGCCTGGTGCAACGGGCCAGATCCCTGGCTACTTTGTCTTGTAAGCTGTGATACAGGCGCATTTATACTTATACAGCGATGAGCGTATCAGATAGTATAATTTAGCTACCCTGTTATTCTAGTACACCTCTAGAATTGAATATTATACTTATGTCGTTGCTCCCCGACCCAGTGTATAGACAGCTCAAGTTTCACCCAATTTTTGAAACTATCTGTTGAAGGTGCACCGTGGAATTTTCCCTATCTTTGATGGCCGTATGCGATGACAGACAACTACAGAGCCTTATTATTAGGCTGAAAGGGTTAGACCAGCCTTGTGGAAGCTGGTGCCAATCGATTCATGCACTGTTGCCACGCTTGTCGGTACCTACCCATCAGCCCCGCCTATTCTACCTAATTAGAGCTCTTTAAAGCTACGAATAGTGTACATGCCACGAAAACTCCATAATTCGTCTGCTTGTGGCGTGGTTCTGTCTCTGAGAGCGCCGATTTCATTGTGGTAGTCCAAAATCGACTTACCATGCCACTTCACACCGTTATCCTCGACATCTCTGGTCGCACAAAAGGCTACTCTTGAAATCTCTTCATTTTTTGCAGTCTTTTGGCCAGATGGGAAAGCTGCAGTGACCGACATGAGGATAGTCTATATTTTATCGACGCTGACCCTGAAGTATTCTAACATATTTTAAATTTCATGCGACGTCCGTTGAAATTTCGGCTGTTCTGGACTAGAGAGACAAGTTTCGACTACCCTTATACAATAGACTTGAAGCAGAAGCAGACTATTTCCTTCTCCAGGATCTGCGCTATTGGATACGAAAGAAACGGTATCTTGATGCTGTTAAAACTACTATTGAAATCCAGTCGATGGCTGAACCTCAGCTCGCATATGGCAGGAGTTGGAAGAGAAGCGAAGCGGACACGGAAGTACAAACTTATTTCGCCCACTACTCAGGAGGGAAGTTCCCCCTTTGCCCACTTGGGCTTCATGACGGACACCGGCGGAGCTGCGATTATATGCATATGCATTCTAAATGCGCTGAAATCAAACGAGTTCATGGGCCATAATATGATGGCCCGTCTAACAAAGTTACTCTGGTGAGCAAGACAGTTCATTTTGATGAGACCGTCTGTGTGAATGAGGATTCTTTGAGATAAAGACAGTGCGCATATCATTATTCCAGAGTGAAAAATAACAGGAATAACGACTATCTTGCTCTAGCATCATGACGCCAGTTTCTACCGAGCGAATCTGCGATCTTATATCATTCGCGCCACTGGTGCAATACCTTGTTCCTCGCTCAACCGATCCATCCAAGGTGCGATAGGATCCAGTATCTCGCTGATCCGCGGCGACTTGGCGCGTGGCTCAGACTCATCTTCTACTGCTACTGCTGGACATGCCTTGCGCTTCCGCCCACGCGTACTCTTGCCAGCGCTTTTCCCGGCCTCCTTCTCAGCCTTCTTAGCTTGTTGCTCGCCTTTTCGAGCCTATATTTCCGCCTTCTTCTTTTCTCTCGTAACCTTCTTATTTTATTTTGCTGTCTTTTTAGCAGTAAGCTCTATTATTATCTTAGCTATATCTTCCTAGAGCATAAACTTTGCCCTTCCCACTATACTCAACTTTATAGATCGGCGCTTTTTACCCTTATTGTTAATCTGTACCAGGAATTCATTTTGTCCCTGTAGGATGGCATGTTCTGCAAAGCACCGTTAGGCAGCCTCGATAAACTTCTGTTGCACTTTTTCTTTATATTCTTTATTTACTTTGTTATTAGGGAGTCGTTTATATGTGTTTAAGAGGGATGTGAAAGCTTCTACTAATACTAGTGTTATAGGTGTTATCGGTACCTCATTGAGCATGTAAGAGGTTGTTTCTATTACGAACCTAGGAAGTCTTATGCCAGTACCTAGCTGGCTTTATCCATATTAGCTTACAACGGTAGTGGTGTTATAATGAGGAATTGGGAGAGAAGGCATGTGACGGGTGCTGAGGATTGAGGTGGGACTGCGCTTGACCCTGTCAATGGGCCAGGTTTTGGGCCCATCTATTTTTAGCTGCTCGCGAATCCTAGTCCATTTGGCATTGGTGTATGGTAGTCGAAGACAAGTTCCTAAGGAGATCTGGAAAATCGACAATAAGATTTGGTGCTTGAGATTGTCTATGCACATGTAATTGGGTCTAGCTGTAAGTACAGTAATGTGGGGTCGTTGCCCTGCAGGGGATTCCGATAATAAGACGATCAGTTAAGTTTAAGTTAGTGGATAATTGCGACGTCACGGGAACCAATGACACCAGACGATGCTAGATGCTTTACCTACCATCTTGCTTCTCATTCAATGTAACTCTAGTGAGCTATTATCTTACGCCTGATATACCTGCTTGGTTTAGATTGAACTTGCGTCTATGGACACAAGAGACTCGCATCGTGTGGTTCTCCAAGTTTGCGTCACTGACCTGCCTGGCTCTCCTCAAAATCGACACAATGTCCTTGGGAATGCGTTCTGCAAGCAAATCTTGAAACGCGACTTCAACAGCCAAATCCAAGCACCAAGCTATGATTTTATGCATATACCACCTAACTTTGACACGGAGAAGCCGGTGCGACGATGGTTCATATGCGACCTGAATGTCAACAGACGCCTTAACAAGGAGCAAGTGTTGGAGCTTCCACACAGCGTTTACTCCGTAAGTCGGCGCAACAACGAGTGGTATGTGCTTACAGGCGTGAGTAAAATTCGAAACTTAATCTATCATTCAGGAACTTTATTCCTAGAAACCATTACGTCGAGAAGGCAAAGGAGTACTGTGCAACATACTACTGGGGAGGGAGGCAAGAGCAGGACATGGCAGATACACTGAGAGTGTCTCAGATATCAAACAGGGGAGAGACAGAGAGCACTTGAAGCCGTCAATTATGCCTGCATTCATATAGCTGGTATCAGACCTCCATGGCTGTGTGGATATCATGGAGTCTCTGGTGGTGTTTCTCCTCGACACTCTGGACAATTTTGGTCATCGTCGTCCTCCTGGAGCACATGTTCACGCTCTCTTTGCGCAGGAGGACATAGAGCACCACCAGATTGCACGACTGTTTGACATCTGGTGTGATGTTTGAAGCGGAGGGGATCTTCGCCGCGGCTCACATGCGTAGGCGCGCAGCGGAACCGAGCAACGACGTCGTAACACATCTATTGAGGAATTAGTATGTAGCCGGTAGTGGCCTGTAAAACAAACTTTGCTGCAAGAAAATTTCTGGCTTGAAATCTATTTCCTAAGTGAATATATGTCAACTCGGAAAGCCAACCATAGCTAAGTTCACCAGCATTCATTGCGGACCCTCGGCTTTCTCATTTGAGTCTAACCTACAATAGACCTATTTTAGGCGGTTTCAGTCCTCTTTACGGACCAACAATCTAAAGTAGCAACACCTTCCTGTTATAGCCGATCACCGACAACTTAGAATGTCGAAACATTCACTGTCGAACCCCAGCCAGCGATAAAGAAGGCTCGCTCTATTTCGTATGTAATTTCATCTTCTAGAGACTCTACATCAACAATTGTGATCGCTTCTAATTGCCTTATTGATCTAGTGCTGTCGAGCCACTCTATGCCGTAAGAGATCTTATTGCGAGGTTCACCAGGCTCTTCTTCAGTTGGCTTTTCAAAGTGCTCAACGGTGAGCTCTAGAGGACCCGCAGAGTAGAAACTTGGGGGGGGGGGGGCATCGGTTTTGGTTCTCCCAGACACCAGATGCCCTTGAGCTAGCTTGGTGTGTTGATTGACTAAACTTGCTGTTGATGTCGATGCCCTGCCGAAGGCCGACGAACCGGAGCACGACTGCGAGAGAAGAGATTCATGCGCACACGCGGCGATGGTTCCTGGTGCTGCAGAGTTCTCTGGCAGCATAGTTCCTTGTTGAGGACTTGTCTGAAGGCAACTATTCTCTGCTCTAGTATCTTCGACGCCCAGAGTTGGCGTTATTGATGTCTTCTTCTCAGGAGGTCTCGCTAGAATGCTCGCGGTAGATATTGATTGAGCCAAAGATAGAAGAGTGCTCTTATTCGGATTTGGACACGTGACCTTCTTTCACTTGAGAATATTCTCAAGATTGGTTTCTACCAACTATCCAGCATGATATTGAATCTCTCAACTCTATCGCTTCGGGTCGTCTGCCCCAGTAAAGATGCTTGCTATCTTTGCAACTACTTCATCCTCATGCATCATCAAAAAAATGCACACGCCCCGATGCCATGGCAAAATTTACACCGGGTGGAGGCTGCATGTCCTGCCCGCTCTCCAAGATCTCGGGAAGAGCACAATCTCGTAGCAGTAGAGAAATTGGATTTCAGCGTGGATTTTTGCTTCCGTTACCGTTTGCTTCGCTCGCTGGACGAACTGATTCTTCGCATCCTGTTGTTTGATCTTCAACAAACTGCAAACCTGCTGAAGATCGCGCTGAGCATGCCGCTAGAGAAAGAAAACCCCCGAAAAGCTTCAGTGCACTTACTTCCACAAGCTGACACCACAATACCCGGACATCCCGCTACACATAAGAACAGTCTTACAGGATTATGCACCAAGCTTCGCTTGGAGATTCTTTGGTAAAGGACTCATCAAGCAAAGGGCCATCATCCATATAATATCCGAAGTCGCCTTCATCAAATTCACAATAATTGCTATTCCACGAATCTCCAGAGTTTCCACCAAACCCTTGACCAAAAGTATGGCTGAAACTACCGCCCTGAGACTGGGTCACCTAGTAGATCTCAGCAGCAAGTCGAGTTAGCCTCATGGCCCAGGAGACGATGTCGTCGGCACTCCAGCTAGAACCCTGTGCGTTCTTCGACGAAGAATTTGAACTGGCGTGTCCATTGCTATGGCTTTCGCTCTGTGCTGATGGCTTAGTTGAGCTATCTGGACTGCGGCGCTCCGTACCGCCTGGCCCTCGTGCTTGCTCTCCAGTATCTTACGTGATTTTAGACAATGTCTTCATTAGGACATCAAGTTTGCTGGAACTCACCAGTAAATGAATGAGCATTACTTATGATCTGGCCCGCAATTGTCTTCATTACATCTAATTGCGCGTGCAGCTCGGCCATTACCTGCAATTCAATTGCCGGCACATCATGATATCGTGCATGGATCATAGCAGTTTGCATCCGCCCTCCTCTCACTCTTACAATTTTCAATATCCAGCGCACAATCTACTGTCAATGGACTGTCCCTGTCAAGGCCTCTTATTCCGCGATGGTATTGTTTTGCGCCCGGCAAACCTCCCTTCGGGTAAAGGAGTGAGGTCCAATGACGTTCCCATTCAGGTAAATCACGCTTGGCCCGTTCGTTCAATTTCCTTTCCGAGACGTCGTCCCATTTTGTCGCGACTATAGTAATATTCCTGAGGCCTGGGGGACCACAGAAGCTCTCAAGTCATTTGAGTATTTTGATGTGCTCTGGACGGACTCGAGCCGAGGCGATGTCGGTGACGTAGAGAGGCTAAGCTCGCAAAATGAATCTGTGAAGAGCATACGTGTTACGAGCAGATCAAGGTCATGAATGCATTCGCCTTGACTTGACGGGAACTACAAGACCCACGATTTACATACTGGATGGATGCTGGGCATGCGGACGCCTTATTCAACAGTGCCCTCTCGATGATTGCCACGCAATCCACGGCTGCAAGCTGACTTACAGACTGTCGACCAATCATGACTGAATGAAGCCCATTTTTGCTGTCACGTAAGTAGCGAAATGTATGGAACAAGCAACGAGGCTACTTCCCAATGCTTACTTCGCTCCTCAAGGATCTCTTGGCGAGCCGCAACCGGCGGTTTGCATTTCCTGTATGCCTTCCTACTCAGTCATCTTCGTTCCTCAAGGCTCCTCAAGCAAATCGCCCGGCGGGTTGCGCTTCCTGTCCGTTCGCCATGGTCACGGGGTGGATTCCAGTCTTATCACGTGACATCGAAAGCCCCAACGCTGCACCTCATCCGTTGAAGCTGCCGAAGCAGAGGGATTCGTGAGTATTAGCCAAATAATGTTAAACCGAAGCTAAGTTGATGCTTAGCTAAACATCACTGGCTGGGTCGAAGTACTCTAAAACTTCCCGTCATTCCCTACCTCGCACCCATGCTAGTACATTGTTCTATGGACGTAACGCCTTCAAAGTCTAACACGAAGATACTCATAGCTATAGCTCTCAGTATATTTCTGTACATATAAAATAGATGTCTTCAATTGTTATAATGCAGGGGTTAGCTTCAAAAGCGGAAACGGATGGCGCCAGCATATCGATAGGGAGGCACGTCACCTACGCGATTGAGCTTGTTATAAAGTAGAGCCTGGGAAAGAAGGTGGCTGTAGAATATAATAAGTCAATGTATTCGGGAACACGTGTTTATGAGAGCTTAGGAGTTAATTCTGGCCCGTCGCGCCAGTTGGCCCTTTGCATCGGGATGATGTTAAGGCCGCTCCAGCGCATTAGAATAGAACCAGTTCTAAGGTTTGCGTTTCGCTCGAAGACCTAAGCGCTCAGGCAACCCAACGTCACATCTCAAAACTCAACGCGGAGTGAGTTCCATATATTTAGACACTTTCCCGTTCACATTATCTTCTCCATTCTATTGTGAAATGCAATCATTTGATTAAACTGCTGTACTGCAAGTAGTTACAACAGTCAAGAGATCTCTCGAAGCCTTAAAGCAGCAACGTAATATTCGTCGAATCATCATCATATACCTCGGTCGAGAATGAAGCTCAGCACTCAATTATTGGTTCTCTGCTCGCTTATGAGCATCCACGCTTTGGCTGCACCTCGACCTATTGCAAAGAGTGAGTCCTAGATTTTTTTTCTCTCTGTTGGTGAGAAGTACTTATGCACTATAGCACTCATTCCAAGGCAGCCGGAACCGAAGGCCGCACCGCAAATGGATCTTGGGCAGAGTTCAGTTCAAACGAAGCGACCAGACAAACGCACGAGAATCAATAGCCTATGAGAATATATACCTCAAGGGAGTTATTTCCAAGGAATTGGGGATATTCTTAGTTCGGCTTATTTTATCATTGAATAGGCCGAATCGGAGAAGAGCGAATGACGACTGGCTTTTTTGATTTTTCATCAAGATGTGTTCGCGCATGATGAATATACTTTACGGTTGTTACATGCAAATGGAACATGTCAATTGCGTGGGAATTCATGGCTTGGCGCTCCACGATATGCATTAGTTGAAATGGTCCAAATACATGTCAAAATCGCTTCTGCTGATTGCGACTTAAGCTTGTCAATCAAAGTTTAGTTTTTTTTGTCCCAAAGGGATGTTCCGTTCCTCAATTTCAGTTCTGGAGCTGTAACTATCTCGCGCTTCGTGTAGGTGCCACCTTGTTAGTTCTTAGATCCTGCAAGGCCAGTATGGAGCCAATGGGCCATGCTTTTGGCTGGCGCTTGCACGCGCATCTGCGTGCTCTTGTACCAATAGTCAAAAGCCAATCTTGAAACCGCAGAATCCTTCGACTCTTAAAATAGAATTTAGAAACATGACATCGTCTGTAGGACAAATCAAATCTTAGTCACGGAATCTAGACGCCAACCGCACGATAGAATGTCCACATTGCTTGACCTAGCGCGAGATTAAAACGGTCTTCAACGGGTCAGCGACTAGACGCTTGTGGGATCGCTAAGCTTCGCATACAATACGTTCAAAGATCCTGCGTCGAGAATGAGAATGGCATCAAAAGAATCTTTTTTTTGGTGAATTCGCGTTTATTAAAGCATTGACGACATTATCTAGCCAAAATTTTCGAATTTCAGGTGTTTAGATCCTTCGATGCGGAAAACGTCAGACACGGAGTTCTACAGTCTTTCACTAAGTTCAATAGCCCCTCCCCCGTACTCGCCTCGCCCTCAACTAGACGAGGTAGCGAGAAACAATCTCATCAATCTGAGCGACTCCTATGAAAAGAAATCTCAAAAGGAACCTAAGCCACTGATTAAACGATTGAAGACGAACTTTATCTCAGCCACATCAACCACATTTAGTCGAGAATCTCACTCATTTCGCTCTTATTTTCGGCGAGCTCATAGGTATCTTACGCGTCTTGTAGTCAACTGGTGGCTTTTAGAGCTTATCAGCTGGGGTATTTCGGCACTGAGCATTGCGGCTATATCATTCCTTCTGGGTTATTACGACGGCCGTGCCGTGCCCGACCAGTGGCCACTCGGGATCACCCTCAATACCTATATTTCAGTACTAAGTGGAATCTCGAAATATGCATTGGCATTGCCTATTGATGAGGCAATCGGACAGCTAAAATGGCACTGGTTTGCGCGGCGTCCACGACCTTTACTGGATTTTGAGCGATTTGACGATGCAACAAGAGGGCCGTACGGTGCATTCGCGCTGTTTCTACACACCAAAGGAAGGTATGTATTTCTAATAAGATATTCCATTGCTTAAGTTAAGAAATTGCATTTTTTTCAGGTCCCTAGCCTCTTTGGGTGCAATCATAACCGTTTTATCGCTTGCTGCTGATCCATTCTTCCAGCAGCTGATCAGTTTACCTAAAAGACCTAGTGCATACGGCCATAGCACTGTGCCAATAATGGTCGATTTCAAATTAATGGATGCAAGCTTCCAGAATGGAACCGATAGTACGGAGTTTGGAGGCCCTGATCGCTTGCTTCAAGACGTCGCTTTGTCCTTCATGTTTGACAATGGCACAGAGAGGCCATTATCTGCGTTCTGTCCCACTGAAGAGTGCACATGGAGACCATTCGACACGTTAGCGGTGTGTTCAGCATGTGCTAACGTAAGCTCAATGCTCACATTTGCGTGTATTGAAGAGACGGGGGAATGGAGAAGCAACGACACCACTATCACAATCGACCAGACCAATGTCACTAAGACCACGTCATGTGGGTATTTTCTCAATGCAACGACTGCGAATCCAATTCTTATGTCTGGCTATGCGCTTGATGAGTCTTCAGTCGATGGAATCGGTGAGATTTTGTTAATGAGAAACTTGAACCTTCATGACGTCAACATTGATACCACATATTGGGGCGGATCGATCAATTTTGCGACTCATGGTTTTCCGATCGTTGACTATATTCAGGTCACTGGCGAGAATGCTGAGTCTGTCTTGCGAAATCAGACACCAGTTGCACGCGAATGTGCCGTTCATTGGTGCACAAAGCACATTATAGGCTCATACAAGAACGGGAACTACTCAGAAGAAGTCCTCTCCGAGAGTTATGACTCCTCTGTCCCTTTTGACCCTCTTTATTGGGGATCAAACATGGACTTCTACTATTTCAAAAACATCACCATCCAGCCAGAGGATTCCTCGACAACGTTCAAGGTTCCGAACTACACCGCATTAACTACTATTTTCTTGTTCCAAGAATATATGCCGGCTTATCTCACCGCCGAGAATACTACTTCAACTCCCTTTCTGCGAATTAACAATTGGGTCGGAGAACAACCGGAATTCCACAAGTACAATTTCAATCCATTCGCGCCTCCTAACGATGGAGCTGAATACTTGAAACGATTAACGGACACCATGACCAATGTCATCAGGACGTATCCTGAAAGTTCAGAAACTTTTGCAGGAAGTGGAAGCGTGGAAACGTACATTCATGTTCGATGGGGGTTTATAGCTTTTCCTATGGTCCTAATTAATCTGACTCTGGTCTTTCTAGTCGCTGTCATCATGGAGCATCGAAGGCACAAGGAAGTTGGGATCTGGAAGACGTCTATAATTGCAGCCATGACAAGTGGTTTGGACGAACGCGCAAGAGACTCGTTTAAATCAACGAAAGATTTGTATGACGTTTTTGAAAGGTCAGTCAGAGTTAAGGTTGGCCTGTATTCGGATAGAAGCAGCAGGAGATATCTTCAGGTTGTACGCGAGACCGAGAATGGATAAGGGTATTACTTTTCGCGCAGAATGAAAATAAGTCTCCATTATGATGTGCTACGTATTTTGCAATAAATGCTGCTGCTGACTAGCTGCCTCGTTTGTAACTACACTCGAACAGTCAAGCCATAAAATTGTGCCTTGCTTTCAACCATATTAGAGCGGCATTTGTTATGACTATAATGCAATCTATGTTATTTCTCCAGTTTTCTCGGAAACATCTCGCTTAAAAATAACACATGGCTTCGTTTTATGTGTTTTTAGTGCTCTCGCAGGAATTAGAGCGGTTACTACGCGCTGAGGCTGATTTGTGGCCAGCGCTTAAGTCTCGGCGTGAGTTTCCTGACTTCTACAGTTGATATTCGTGCTGTGCTGATTACAAGCTCAGCGTTACAGTGCTCAGAAGTCGTCCTATACAGCATTTGAATCATTCAAAGAGGAAATAGTACTCAAAAAAGAGCCTGGATTCTAGCCGATGCAGAGTCGGGCCTGCACTCGGAAACCACTTCTGACGCTATCATATACGGTTGCAATTAGGGACAATCCACGCCTATATTCTCTGAAATGAACTCAAGAGAAACCACGCCTCAGCAGAAAAGTTCGCTAAAGGAGAGTCTAATGAAGGTTTTTCACTCAATCACAGCCTTATGCACCGATTGGTGGCTGGTTGAAATATTGAGTTGGAGTTTATCTGCTATTTGCATAGCGACCATCGCCGCTATGCTTGCATCTTACGACAATAAGCCGCTACCCAAATCGTTGCCATTAGGAATCACACTGAATGCATACATCTCAATGTTGTCGGCTGTTGCTAAAATGGCCCTTGCTGTTCCATTGGAGGAAGCACTTGGAGCGCAGAGGTACCTATGGTTCTCAAAAAAAGAAGCTCAACGCCCACTTATGGACTTCGAGAGATTCGACGATGCAGCACGAGGACCTATTGGCGCAGTGCGCCTACTATGCCGAACTAGAGCAAGGTACGTTGTGCTACATGAACCCAAGATATTTAATATGGTTCTCAATGATGAAATAGGTCATTTGCTACTATCGGTGGCTTCATATTTCTTCTTTCTCTAGCTCTTGATCCCACCTTTCAACAACTAGTAGTATTACCGAAAAAGCCATCTCTCGAAAACAGAAGCAAAATCCCTCGAGTAGTGACGTTACGAAAAGCTAGTATACAGGAGAGCAATGGAACGGAAGGCCTTGGCTTTAATGCAGAAATGGACTCTGCCGTTTCAACATTTTTTGTATCGCACTACACACAAAAGCCGATTTCCTTCTATTGTCCGAGCGACGAATGCACATGGCCAAATTTCCAGACTTTGGGTGTATGTGCTCAATCAGAGGACATCTCACACCTACTCGACTTTGGCTGTCGGGAAGAATCTGGGGACTGGCGGTCGGAGTACGTTCAGGTGATATCTGGTACTCGCCCTCCAAATCTTAACCGAACGTCTTGTGGCTGGTACTTCAATATGACCAGTGACCAACCTATGTTGATGAGTGGGTACACTCCAGGAGAAACATCACTAACTGACAGTGCTCTCATAATGCGGACGCTCAATCTTCGAGACCCGTATAACAATAATGTTTATTGGAATACCACACTCATGTTTCCACAAATCCCTGCACCGATCTCCAATTTCGCAATCGTTGCATCCACTGATGCAGAGTCTGTTTTCCAAAACAGAACGCCACAAGCATACCAAGTCAACATGCGATGGTGTATCAAGACCATCGCTGCGTCGTTCCGCGAAGGTTTACTCGACGAGAAAGTGGTTTCCACTTTCACCAACGATACACAAATACCTGATCCCCTTATTACCAAATGGCTGGATAACTCCTACTGGGACTACACATATACAGAGAATATCACAATCACTCCGCCGGACCAAGGAGACACCTTTGTGGTCTTGAACAATAGCGCGCTTGCGGCACGTTTTGTCATGGATAACTGGACTCCCAGTTTTCTCACGCAAACCAATATCTCGACCCTTCCGTTCCTACGGTATATGAACGACTACGCACCAAGTGCATTTGGCATGGTATCAGAATCAACAAACGCTACGTCATGGATCGCGTCACGCAAGATACCTGATGTAGCACAGGACATGGCTGAAGCTATGACTAACTCAGTCCGCAACAACGGGCTCTCGGCGGAAACAATCCTTGGAACTGGAGTTCCGGAGATCTATGTAGAAGTTCAATGGGCCTGGTTTGCGTTCCCCGTGATTCTTCTCGTCATGACGCTATTCTTTCTCCTTTCCACGATATGGCAGACTGCTGGTTCAACTAGTCTGTGGAAAAGCTCAAGTCTCACGGTTCTCACGCATGGGCTTAGCTGGGATGCAAAATATGCGTTGCGAGATCTTCGTACGATGCGAGACATCAGGGAAAAGGCAGCAGAAATGCATGTTTTCCTAAACAAGGAAAAAGAAGGAGGAACCTTGGACATTCACATTGAGCCGGCCTCGTCTGGAGACTGGGAAAAACAATTTGCGGCTAGATATCTTTCCATGGCATAATTCAACTCTATACTAATGATTCTCGTGAATATGTCACTAATTGGCGGCATGTCACTCTAAGCGTTACATTGACTGTGCTTGTGGCAGAAGCTCAGGGAGCTGTTGTCGTCAGTTCACGGCTACTTTGATTCCGCAGATACAAATCATACAGAGCAATGGACGAAATAGCCGGAGCGTTGATTAAGGCGTGAACCTCAACTCTGGCGTGGGCGGTTATTTCAAGCGATCCAATCGGATCGAAGGAGTAGCGTATCTCGCGCGCCTATCTTGCATATAGCTTGTAACCACCTTGCACTCTTTCTTAATGCAAAGCCTCCAAAGTTCACAGATGGAGAGAGGCCTTGCGACATACCAGGGCCCTTGGAGAGGCGCAACGAACTTGAGAAAAACCTCTCTTCCCTCTATTATTTTTAGATCTTGAATTTCCGCCTCCAGCGCTACCACAAAGCATCTTACTGGCACGTCTTTGAGCTAGATATTGACGTTCTCGTCGTCATCACGCAGAAGAATAGCATGAATGGATTTTTTCTGCTGTTTCAAGGCCCAGAATTGTTTTCTGCGAGCCAATTGCAGAGTCAAGATTGAAGCGATAAGATCTCTGCTCGCTCATGCGGCTCAGAAATTGTAGCTGTGGAGCGCTTGGTCATTTATGCATATTACTGATGACCGCGACGGCTCACGAATGCAGTTTGACCAATTTACGCGACTGTCCTGCTTTCTTCGATGCGAGACTCATGACTGTTACTGTTCAGCGTTTTCTTCTTCTACTGGTGCTGTACAGTAAAACGTCTTCATTCTACTGCTTAGTTTACATATTTGACTGTCGCCAACGACTAGTCAAGAATTGACTGCTTGGCATTTAAAGTACTTCAAATGTCTGAAAGAGAGGATGTATCGCACAGAACTCAGGACAGTCGTGTCCAAAGCAACCATGCTTTCCATAAACCGTTCCCGCCACTTCCGCAAGAGGCCATGTTGGCTCAACAACAACAACACATATTGGCGGCACATGTCAACTGTCAATTGCCAATTCTGCAGCTACCTGAACCAGCAACAATTCCACGATCATTACATGCTCCACTTTACACTCAACATTTGCGTCTTCCACAAGCACCGTTCACACCTTCTCAACCATATGGCTATCTCCTCCCATCGCCGAATAAGTCCTTTTACTCGAACAGTCCAATGGAGCCTCGAAGAGAAAGAGTTTCGTTGCAAACATACACAAACCCCCCGCTAATATCACACTTTAGTCAGGCGTCGATTGTTTACGAGCCACCAATAGTCCTCAAGATAAAGGACTTTATGATCAAATGGATAATAGAATGGTGGTTGTTGGAAATTGTCAGCTGGATTTTTGGAACTATGTGCCTTTCAACAGTCATAGGAGTATTACTTTTGACGGACAGTCGAGAGATACCTCAGTGGCCTCTTGGACTCACAATTAATGGCTTTCTTTCAGTATTCTCAGCTTGCGCAAAAGCTGCCCTGATTCTACCGACCGCGGAGTGTCTGGGACAACTAAAGTGGTAAGGCACACCAATTTTCGAGACTGCAACAATGCTTACGCCCCCAGGAACTGGTTTAAAGGCGGTCCACGCTCTATGATAGACTTTGAAATTCTCGACACAGCTAGTAGAGGCCCGTGGGGCTCCTTACTGCTATTGCTTCGCTCTCTCCGCACGAAGGGACTGTAGGTACCTGTTAGAGAAGTATATTGGACCCACTGTTGATGTTCTCAGATCTCTTGCTTCAATTGGAGCTGCAATCATCTTGCTGTGCTTGCCGCTCGATCTATTCTTCCAACAAGTTATACAATATCCCAAGGTCTGGGTAGCGATATCATCGCAGCCGGTTGTACCTCGAGCTTTCACTTATATACCACCTGATAACTCATATAACCAAAACGGCACGAGACATTCGGCTCCTGATTTGACCCTCCAACAAGTAATGCAGCCGTTTTTCTACTCGAACGGGACCACGCCAGATTTGGACATGTCATGCCCCACTTCTAACTGTACATGGGAGCCATTCGATACCCTTGGGGTTTGCAGCTCCTGCGCTGAAGCTAGTGAACTACTTGAATTCGGATGTGTTTACACATCGGCAAATTGGCTGACTAGCGTATCAGACTACATGGATGGGCCGTCACTATATCCAAATGCTACCCAATGCGGGTGGTTTTTGAACATCACAAGCTCATCTCCAGTTCTTATGTCTGGTTACACAATTGACCCGTCATCTCTCGCGAAGGGTGAGGCTTTGGAAACAAGGCTGTTCCCACTCGTCGATGCTCTCACTCGGGAATCGTTTTATGGAGGTTCTGTTCATTTTTCTGATATGCCTGATCCTCTTCTTGATGTTTTGATTGTGGCGACACCGAACGGAGCGTCGGCAGTATACCAAAATGCAACACCAATTACCTATGAATGCGCACTTCACTGGTGCGTCCAGACTCTGCAGACTGGAAAATTTTCCGGACAGTTGTCCCAAAATATTACTCAACGCTTCATTAATCAGACTGCTGTGCCATGGCCTTGGACTGTTCTGCCAGATTATGACTACTTGTATAGTCAGCATATTGTCATAACTCCCTCGGAGCTGGATGACACAAGATCGGAATCGAAACAAATGGTAGATGGAAGTGATGATTCATATGGACTTTCGAATGATACTATGCTATCAACAATCTTCTTGATGGATATTGTGGCCCCGTCATTCTTTACCGCTCAGGATCAAAATTCGGAATCTGTCGTTAAATACTATACGCTTGACACAAACGGGGCTCGAACGCGCTCAACAAATGCTAACCCCTGGCTTGAAGAAGGTATTACGGTGCATATGGACCGAGTCGCTGAAGCTATGACAATTGGCATTAGAAACACACCAAACGAAACAGGACAAGTTGAATACGTTGTGGGAACATCGTGGGAGGAACGAGTTCATGTGGAGGTCAGATGGCCCTGGTTGATACTGCCGCTGGTTCTGTCAGGAATGAGCCTTCTTTTCCTAGCGTCAACAGTTATAAGAAGCTCTCGTGACGTAGACGAGGTGGGAATCTGGAAAAGCTCTGCGCTTGCGGTGTTGTTCAATGGTCTAGGTGACGATGTTCAACGCAGTGTTGGGCCAAATGCACGCATGGGAGAGATCAGGCTGAAAGCTAGAGAGCTGTCTGTGAAACTTGTGCCTGATGAAGAAAAATGAGTGTTTGAGTGCTGATGTGCGCTCGGGAAAGAGAAGATGAAAATAGACAAGCGATATTTATGTTTGAATCGTTGCGCAGATACGTAGATATTTACTTAGCCTTATGTATATAGCAAGTTCGGTCAACTTATTAAAACAAAGTTTAGCTGTTCAGATTCTTCTTCCGAATTCTGCTACTGTGGGAATTGACTTAGGATACAATATCAGAGCTTTAAAATTTGTGCCACGTTCACTTTATTCTTACATGTAATATCAATTAAAAAACACAATCAAGAGAAGCGAAATTCGCAGCCAGCGCGAATGACATGCGATCCTTGAGAGCATGGCAGTTCTATAATTTAGTTTTGCCCTCTTCGCGTTGGGGCCGTCCATCGACGATTTTGACCTCGTTCTGTAGGCTCTGCTTCGCGCTTGTTCTGGCCTCGCTGGGTGGGATTTGCTTCGCGTTTGTTTTGTCCACGCTGTGTTGGTTCAGCTTCAGCTTCACGCTTGTTCTGACCACGCTGGGTGGGATCTGCCTCAGCTTCTGCCTCTCGCTTGTTTTGTCCACGCTGTGTTGGTTCGGCTTCAGCTTCACGCTTATTCTGACCACGCTGGGTGGGATCTGCCTCCGCTTCTGCCTCTCGCTTGTTCTGGCCACGTTGAGTTGGAAGCGGAAGTGGGCTGCGTTTATTCTGGCCACGTTGCGTGGGTAGGGCCTCTGGCTCTGCAAACGCATGCCTTGGTTCAACAAGTCCAATTATTCTTTTTGTCACTGTGCTGCGTTAAATGACTTTGACAATGACACCGAGATGATGGTGACTCACGTGATTCCGACAAGTCATCCCGTTTTAAATAAGCATTCAGCATACCACCACTAGCAATGATTGGGGCGGAGTGGACAAAAGCTGAACAAAGGGCATAGAGTACAAGAAGAGGTGAAGAGAAATGCATTGCTACGAAGGTAGGTTGAATTCTAAAGATGGTTTAATTTGTCGCTGTCGTGATGAGCAAGTCGTGGTTATAGGAAAAATGGAGTAGGAGGACCGAATTCTAAATACAACGAGCTCGGACTGCCAAACGATCGAGTTCAATCATTTCGCTGATAGATCGAACCTACTTGGAATCTAGGGTTACGCTGACCTATAACCACGGCGGCAGTTATTCTGGCTCCAATTCGTTCATGCACATCGTTATCACATCTAGCTGTCTGCGTATGCAGAACATGAGCCAACCGTACAGCACGGAGGAGGTGGTACGCAAAGAAATTCAGAATCCACAGCGTTTACACATTTCACCGCTATGGTGAACACGGGAGGAGTCATCAGACCTATGGCTTCGTGTCAGTTACCGCTGAAACGTACATGAATGACAAGCGTGGGTATATTCCATGCAGTCTGATAGGTAAAGGTAGCGATGACACATGAGCAACAAGTGATCGGAGTGGACAGATGAGCAAAAGGGAGGTCGTGATCCATACAAGCGATGACGATCCCGCAAGTTTGGGTCAGAATAATGCGGCCCCTAACTGGTTGGCTAGAGGTGCACCGTTGAAATCTCAGTAAAAAGGGGGAGAGTTCCACCGATTGCCCCGAATTTGATATCTTTATGTTTGAACACCATTAAAGCATCAATCCAGTGGAGTATTGGATTCAGGTACAAGGACCGCGGATCTGGTTCGACCAGGGGAAGGGTGCACACCACACAGCAAAAGTACTTGTGCATGCAGCTTAGGTGTTTAAGGAATCCATGACGAAATGCGCTGAGGTTGCTAGCGTCGAAGTCTTCAGAGGACTGTGTCGATTGGACTGCGTGTATTGAAGAGCAGCGACTTTGATTGGCCAATGCTTTCTATCCAGCGCTTCGCAAATGGAGATGAAACATGACTAGGTGAATCTTTCGTAAGCTAAATGCTTGGTGCAGGCACAGTTGATTGTGGACTCACAGCAACCACCATGAAGCAAAGGCAAATTGTAAGAGCTAAGGTCAACTTGTTAGACGGGAGAAAAGGACATTGCAGTGAAAGGGAAAGCCAGGTTGAGGACATACTTTCGGCTCAAACGAAGTTTCGCTACGCCAATCGTGCCCCAGTCGTTGGTCGTTTGAGATCGAAAGCTGAAACCCGTATCCGAATTAGTGTTAGCGCAAGGTCGGCAATCTTTGCTAGCGCCTAACAACTGGACTACAGGCTCACAAGTATGCCATTTGAGAGAGCATGCGTCATTGCCCAGTAGTAAATCTGCACGTTATGAGTATAATGTTACAGATGATATCAAAAAGACATGTGAACGTACTGTGTTCCTGCAGCATGCTATCGTGCGCTCCCGACTCGAAACTGTCAGCCGCACCATGTTAGTTCGAAATTCAGCTTAGAGAACCGAGCTTTTTGGGGTTGCGCATTCCGAGCTTGGTGCCTGCAGCATAGTTCAATGTCTGAGTATCCAGAGCTTGTCTTCACCCTTGTCCAGCGGTTGCGCATTGCAAAAATGCATTTGTTGCCACCAGTTCTAAGTTTCCGGGTGAACGAGTAAGATAGATTGTAATAAAGCTGAAATCATGCCTAAATATACGCATGTGTTGAGAAACTTGTAAGATGGTCGGAATGATCATCCTCTTGTAGTCCTCAACTACTTGACATTTTTGAAAGATGCACAAATTTGTATTCGGTCAGGACGCATTCCAGTTTGCATAGGGCGCTTCCGAGCCTCTCCTGTATGTAGCGGATCGATGCTGTGTGATCGAAGCGTGGTATTGTCATTGAAAAGACAGCAAAATGATCCAGACTGGTCGACAGGTCAACTTCCCAAGCCTCGACATATCCGTCCGTAAGTGCGCTGGATTCGTGCAGGCGCCCGTTCGCTGCGTGCACACAAAATTGAACAACGTTGCATATGTACGTTTTAAGGGGAACCGAGACCTCGTGACGAGACAAAGTCAGCTGGATCAAAGGCAGGATCGTTTGGTCAGCGTTATGTCTTAAGACGTCCGCTAGCCGCCGACCGAATCGTCGGCCACCGTCTGTGCTGTCGCCAGACGATGGAGACTTTGAGATCTCTACATCTGACGACCAGCTTGCTCATGCTTCTGCAACGCCCCAATCCTTTGTCCTCGCTCTTCAAAGGGAATCCGCTTTACGCTGGGTGACCCAGGGCGCTTGCTGAAGGCGATCAAGCCATAAGCGCCGAACCCTCGTTCCTCCCTTACATCTACGGCGCCAAAGGATGGAAGCGACTGGAAACCACAATGGCCGTCCTCATGATCATGATGATGACTATGACCAAGGCTATGAATGCGCAAACTTCGAACGCCGCAGAGGTTTGATACTGAACGAGGAAAATTTTCTCGCTACCTACGACTTTTGTTAGCCATTTCCTCTCGACATTGTTTGGTTTTACACGTGCGGAGTATACTTACCGAAATAGGCTCGGTGCTGGTAGTTCGCGACACGCAGGTGATCGATCGCCACTTGACCAAGCGCATCCCCACTGTTGCAAGACTTTTTGTTCTTTTCTCGAGACTGCTCAGGAACGAGCTTTGAACAGCGAGCGAAGCCTTGGGGGATCGCTGCCGGAACCAAGCCTTCAATATGTAATGCTCTGCTTATATGCCGTCGCTCTCACATCCGCCCATGATGAAGACAGCATGAATTAGAAAGCCTCAAAATAGCCGTCGCATAGATCGATAGTGTTGATAGTGGCATGCCTAAGCCTCTCTGATCCCACAAATGTTCCAAATCCCGCCGAACCATGGATGCCTCGCTCGAATCAGCGCTCTCCATTTTCCCAGCCTTGCTATAATCAACCAATGATCTACAAGGTCTTTCCCAAGCTGTTGCTAAAGAAAGAAGTTCTACAGCCTCATAAGGCCGGACATCTGGATTGAGCAGCCGCTCGTGGTCCGCCTCACGTACTGCTGTAGTACAATCACTTGACAATCCGGTCATCAATCCAATCAGATAATGACCTCGAGCGTCAAGCGCATTCCCCCGTTCATGCAAATGCTGACCAAAGGCAGAATGGGCAATGGTAGGAACAAATCTAGCGTCATAGTTACTGCTCCTCGGATACTTTGTCACGATTGTAGGAATGCCATGGAACTCTACCATCCCATTCCTCACGCTGGGCTTCATGCATGCGGCGCATATCGAATGGGCCTGCACCGCTCCTGTTCAAAGCAAGAGCTATCTCGATGTGCGCCATTGTAATGCTTAACATCAGTTGGTTTTCCCAGTTTTTACGTGATGTCTTTTTTTCCCCCAAAGCTGAACATTCCCAAAGCACTTGGTCACGTTTCGTTTCTTCAAGCGTTGCGAAATGGAAAACGCAGGCTCTATACCGCGCGAATACGCAAATTGTGGATTATTTCGATCAATTGGTTTGCGGCCAACTATGTCTAGAAGTCTTGTGTGCATCTTTGATGTGACTATGTTGAGTTACAAGCATGTCAATGAATGCTCTAGCACTCGACGGAGACGTTGTGCATACTCGGAATCAGGGTCAGTCCCATGGTTGCAAAATTGCCAACTTAGCAAAGGCATTCAGGCTACAGTAGAACGCGCATCTTCTATATCAGTGTGGATTACGCTTCAGGGATCGAGTATTTGCGATGCTAATGGCGTGATGACGACTTGATAGTCGTACATTCTCAATACGCATATCAGATCGGTTGACCATAATGAAAAGACGTACACGTTACATGTTGAAGATCAGATATATGACGGAGGCTCGCAATGTTGACTCCTTTACGCAGGTTGTCAGCTGTGGCTCCAAGCCCTATTTCCAAGACGAAAACCAGCGCACGCTGATGAGCGTGAAACCCATCATCAAAGTCTTCTTTGCGATTTTTCTCGCGTCGAAAAGCAATCCTGGTCTACTTTCAGAAAGTTGTAACTCTCACCATCCCCACTGGTCTCAAGCTGCAGCCAATGATTGAACACCAACCGGCTTTCGGGCTAAGTAGGGTCGTTGCAGCTCTGCTGCAGTTCAAGCATGCATAAAGATGATCAATTGTGCTATCGGTGACGTCAATCTAATTCACGTTGTACGGACGGGCTACCTACTGATGACATACGCCACATGCGCCTACACATAGTTTAAACTGCACATCTCCTCATTTTATATACTCCAACGTACATTGTTTACCTGCGTTCTTCATCTCTATTCCTCAGCCACAAGATTCTGGCCATCCCTAAGTCCCTCGACAACCAACTCCTCACCAGTAGCTCTACGGTAGATGTCCCTGATATCATCTGTTGTGGTTTCGAAATGGCTTGTAGCATCGTAACTCTTGCTCAGGAAAACCGAGTCCGACTTGCCATCCTCAATGGGCTCGTACAACGGGATAGGTGGGCCCATGAACTTCTCCTCGATGCGACCCAGTCGCTCGAAGCCAGGTTGCAGCTCTAGATGGTGGTTTGCAGAGGTTTCGGCAATCGTGGACACAATTGCAATGTAATATCCTTTAGGGCAGACGTTGTGAGCCGAAGAGACAACAGCAATGTAAATATCTACCCATAGTTAGACTCGTCACGAAACACGGGACCAGAAAGGAATCATACCATTCTTGCGGCCAATCTGGCTCTGAGGAATGATCAACTGCAATGAATCCGCATTGTTAGTGTGATCGAGTGGGTGATTCAAAATGCAAATAGCCTTAAGCAGGTGCTGCGTCACCTTGGCCTTGCTAGGGAAGTATGATGGGTCTGCAATAATAGTCTTGCACTTTGTCTGGAACTTCATGCCCTCACCCGCATCATCCTTTTCTTTCATCGTTGCTTTGATACCCACAGCCTTGCCGCCTTCCCAGAGCACCTCATCGACATCAGTGTTGAGCATGTACGTGCCGCCGTAGATAGCGGACAGGCGGGCAAAGCCTTGCGGCAATTCGCCCAGGCCGTAGAGCGGGTAAATGTATGGCGATTTGCCATAACGCGCCATGGAGTTAACATAAAGACGTATGCGGTTGATGACCTCTTCGGCGTTGCCCGGTCGGGATAAGTAGTCATCTGTTTGGTAAAGGGCCATGCTGTGACCAATGAAGTCGCGAGTGTTTGGCTCAAGACCAAACTTGTCGTACACGTCCTTCATCGTGCAATTCTGCATATCAAAACCTAAGCAGGTCGATGTCAGCGTCTGCACGCTCCAATGCTGCACCGTGGCTTGCCCCACCTTTGTGTGTCGCAGGATCGTCCGCCTTGTACGCGCCAACCCACTCCAAGAAGTTCTTTGCCCTTCTCTTCTCAAAAAGTCCCATGAGCGGACTCTTCAAAGCTTCAGCAGGACCATCTGGTACCTTGGCCACCGTGGCCTTTGCGCCAGCACCTTGCTGCACGAACGAGCCAGCAATCTGCTTAAACTCGAGATAGCGTGTGACGTCGGTGGATACAAGAATATTGGTCAGCTCGCCGTTGGACATGAGCAACTTGGGCACCAGGTCGATGTTCCAGTCATTGGCGCGGCCATACTTCTTCCAAGGCTCGGATGAGACCGAGGATGGTTGGTACTTCCGGAAGAGCTTTGACCCCATTAGTTTGTTATTGTATTTCGCACAGAGTAGAGTCATACATATTCGAGGTTGACTGAGGCAGCTTCGCTGGTAGTGTACATTAGTACCTGCGCGAGTGAAGTCGTGAAGTAGGTTGACGTACCCTCCGTAATGGTCGTTGCGATCAATGTGTAGGACCTTCTTGCCCTTGACGCTGAAAACACTTCACACTAGTCAATTAAAGACTTCTTTACACGTGCCCAGAAGTGTCATCATACCCAGACAACACGCACTCCGTCAAGCCTACCCATTGTTAGTATCCGCATCCCGCATTCACACTCAAGCAGGCGGTAGCGGGGCAAATCGCGTACCAGTGCCCATGACAATGACGTCGTATTCTGGTGCAACTTCTTCCATGTTTGCTGGTTTTAAATGTTCGGATATATGTGCTCTGCAAGTTTAAAGGTGAAGGGAGTAAGAAATTTGGAGGAAAGGTCAGCTCAGGTGTGTTTTGTTTGAGAAGCTTGATATGTTGTTGGCGGTCAGAGCCGACCTAAACCCCACATGGACTGGGAGGTGCGTCAAGCATGAAGCCATGCCCATCCTTGCTGCATCTAGCATTCAAGATGCGTGCAAGCACACTTTCTTCACTGTGGCAGACTTGATATTAGGATTCCATAGATAGAACAACAAAATATGCAATGTATTTAATGATCGACCTATTGGTGCATTGGTATTCTTACATGATACACGGCTATGCAAACGCCTTCACATGCGATGCTCCCAACCAGTGCTAATAACACAAAGATATCTTCAAGTATTCTATGCACCGTGTCACAAAAGAGTTCGGCAAATGCACGGTTTCCACGTCTTCATGATGGTGAAGGCGATGTGCTACGCTGCGACTCCTTTACGGATGTAGTTTTGTCCTCCATTTCCTCCACCTCATACGGATCCTGCTCCGCTCTCCACTGCAGCCTACCGTGCTCGTTTATCTCAATATCTGGATCCTTGCCTGCCATGAGTATATCTCTTGCTTCTAGCCATGCATCGTATCGTTCTTCAAGAGCCTCGCGGATGGCGCGCTGTGTCTCTAGAATCTGGTGGAGGAACGTAATTAGCGCTCTGGAAAGCGAACTTCAAGGACAGCTCGCGACAAGCAAACATGAGCTAGGAGTGAGCTTACAGTGTCTCGTCGCTTTTCCAATTCGTACATGCCGTACCCAGGATTCAGCCTTTTCCGTTCATGTTCCTCTGTTGAAAGCCGGTTGAGTTCCAAATGACATTTCCACCACAACACCTTCATATCATCTAAGCTTTTGATACGCAATTCCTTCCTTGTCCATGCTCTGCCTACACATGATCTCAATCAGCACTAACCAAACTCCTGCATAACAAGAAGCCAGCCTACCATGAGCATTCAAATCCTTCGGATCCGTCAATGCTTCTTTCTTCTTATTAAAAAAACCCCACAGCCCGTGGTTCTCGCTCGTTTCTATCCTCGCGCGCTTTGCCGGATCCATGACAGGCACGGGTAGCTGATCCGGCTTTATGGACCTCACCTTACGGCCAATTGGACCTGAGGACCGGATAGCGGAGAAACCGCGCATTTTATTTGTGCCTTTGGTCTCACGGGGCCATCGCGGCGCAGATGTAGAGAAATGACTTCTCTGCGATTGGACTGTGTTTCGGAATGTGCAATGAGCAGCATTTTGGCAGGCAACTTGTCGAACGCTCGAGAGAGGTGTGGACATGGTGATGGGATGGCGAAATGGACGCAATTTACAGTACGGAAAGTATAGTTAAAACATGGAAGTTAATGCCGTATTGATGCCATCCGGCTCTTCAAGCAGGAATGAAATATCGTGTAGGTAATTGATGGCTGTGCTCTGGCGTGCCCAAAAAGTTGAGCATCTTTGAAGTAGACTCAGGGCTCTGCCTAAGAAGGGTTAGCGTGACTTCAGTCTTCTGGACATCTTTCATCGATCCCAAACCTGATAACCTGAGTATTATCATTTTGACTCTAGGAGCTCGCCTTCACAGAATCATAGTCGCGTGAAAATAAACGATACAGTACGTGTCTTTCCAATTTGCCTCTTGAAGAGCGTGGTTGCGGCTGGAGATGTGGACATGACAGTTTCTGCGCAACTTTACTCAGCGACAGCAAGAGCACAAGCATCTTTCTTGTTCATTTGTACTTTCTCCCTTCATCAAGCAGGATGCAAAGACTTCTTATGTCGAGGTTCACTCTTGACCCTGCCCTTTGTCGATCTTGTTTGCGCTCGCAGCGTGCCGTCGTCGACTTGACGGCACAGCGTCACGTGCCACTTTGGCCTTTGAGTTACAAGTTCCTAAACCTCCGCTGACTCTTACATCTGCAGACTCCTGCAACTTTAAAGCAAAGATTGGAAGTGCGGGGAATTAAGAAAAACAATGTTTACCGCAAACGAGAATTCAAGGCGACCTCCAGGGGCCCGGCTGCAAAATGGCAAGTTAGGTTCGTTGGCCACTCGAAACCAATACTAGATGGAATATCTGATTGTCTGTAAAAAGATCTGGGAGGACCCAGAAACGATGCATCATGGGCGTTCGGGACACAGGCGCCGTCGAGAACAGGTGGTCCAAGTTTCGCGCAAACAATAGGTGGTGGCAGCCAGAGTAGACCTTTCGATCCAAGGTAAGCAAGATGTTACTTATGCTACAGCCACGCCGCATCTGGTCTCTCTTCTATTGCTGGTTTTTACAGCTATAAACCGTATTATGAGCAGAAATATTCTCTCGAACACGCTCTATCCAGCTTTCAAAAATGCATTCATTCTCCGCTCTCTACGCACGTCACGCACAGAAGCAGACTGGACTTAAGCAGCTTATATTGAGCCTTATTTGTGATCATACTGCTATGTCCCTGAACTTCTCAAAAAATTTCTACTTTTTGCCACTACTCCCGCCATGTCAGGATTGGAGAAATCGCACCTCCTGGAGCCTGCTTCTGTTATCCCCCCTTCATCTTTGTCGCAACTTGACGCTGTTGATAGTTCAGCACGTAAAGCTAACGAGCCTAGTGAATTCCCATCGTTAGGTGGAGGAACTCAGCAATCCGGAATTCCATCAGCGTGGGCGGCAAACGTCCGTCCTCGTAGTCCCGAGAGACGTCAGATGGCAGGCTATGGTCGAGGAGCGGTATGTTGCTACTTTCTTCTTTGTCGGTCCCCTGCGTTTATGCTCAAGTATGATGATATGCTAGGGTCCCGCTGCCGTAGATGAGGCGCGGAGAGAGGTGCTACCTCCCGGCGCTGAAGGTTATCGCTTCGGCAACGGACAGATCAATGTAGGTTTATTATTGACAAACAAGATGACTGCTTGCGTATCGGCAATGGCACTTTATTTGTCAGATAGTTCTCGATGTGGACTGACCTCAATCTTACAGCAGACAGCTAACCGTGGTACTGCCCGGAGCCCTTATCCAACACAAGTCCAAGACCAGCCAGAACCGATTGGCTATACTGGTCGTCAGGATCAGCACATTTCTCTACACAATGACGATCCCTCTTCCACACCCACCGCATCCCAGCATCCTCCTGATCAACTAGCGCCATCAAATAAGCGTCTCAGCGAAATGTCCGATCGTGAACGATATGGCATGGCTGGACTGTTAGCACGAATGAACCCGGAACATCCTGACCATAATCCTTTGCTCAGCGGCATCGATCTCACAAAGCTTGGCATCAATATGGACCAATCTGAGTAGGTCCCCAGTAATGCTTCTTCTATCGTTGATCTTGAGCCTAACACAACTTGTGTCAACAGACCTTTGATTGATACCTGGGCTGGCCCTTTTGATGAGCAGAACTTCGTCGTGCCGGACTTCCATCTTCCAGCAGCTTACACAGTAACTAACGTACCATCCCTCGCAAGCAAAATTGATTCTTTCAGTGACGAAACGCTCATCATGATCTTCTACGATCATCCACGTGACATTGCTCAGGAGCTCGCTGCACAACAGCTGTACAAGCGTGATTGGCGTTGGCATAAAGTGATGCGCTGCTGGATGATGAAGGTAAGCCCGTCGTATTTGAAATAGACGTTACGCGTGAGGCTTACGTTTCCAAAATAGGATCCCAATCAGCAAATGCATGGCTATGGTCAAGGACCTATTCGACTAAGCGACAAGAGCGAACGCGGTATGTACATCTTCTTCGACATTAACAACTGGCGCCGCGAGCGCAAAGAGATCGTCCTCAATTTCGATGACTTGGATACTCGACCAAGTTTAATGCAGGGCACCGGTTTGACTGCTGCTGCTGCCGCCGCTGCCGCTAGTGCCAACGGCCTCGGTCGGGCACATGCCGTTGGTGGCTTTGCTGCTGGAGGCTTAGGTGCTGCCTTTGGCGGTGTGGGAGGCGCTTAGGCTTTGTCTGATCTACGCAAAAGAGCCATTTGAAGCGAAGGGAGTGCGCGAACAACGATGGATGTCTTGTACATACGACAGTCTGACGTCGTCCATTATCTCGACGTGCATCTATAGCTCGGCAAGTTTAATGACAGAGCGGCATGAGTGGATCTTGCGAGGGAATTTTCGCCGCATTTCAAACCACAACGTAGCGAGATGGAGAGGCAGCCCCTCCTTTTTACTTTAATAGCGCCCATACCTTCCCTCGCTTTCCATCTTTACCAGTCTATTGCGTATATACAAGAGGGTCATACGTGACCCATTCCATGCACACTTAGAGAATGAATATGAACGTCTATTCGCCAAACAGCCTCCTGACCCGTCTCAGCACGCTGTCCTTTTCCGGGTCGTACGGGTGGTCTTTCGACGGTATCTCAAGCAGTGATGGGAAGGCCTGAGTGTAGCTGTCGACGCGGGGTCTGATGCGATCTGCCACCTATATATCCGCCGGATTGTAAATCTAAGCCGCACGCCGCAAAAGGGAAGAAAAGCGGGAGATAAAACAGGGTAGTGGGAGGGCGAGACGTACGTGTTGGTTTATCAGAAGAATGGCTATGTCCTTGCGCTCTTTGGTGAAGCTGTCGAAGGCCTGTTCGATCTGGTGCGTTTCCGTCTTCGAGTCGACGACAAGGAAGTTGCGCTGCGAGGAGGGCGGCTCCGTTACGTGCTACAGCAGAACACAAGCTTAGCAAATCTGGCGGTCAGGTCAGGAGAACTGGGGTTGGGACAGCGTACGCCCACGCCGGCGAGGAGAAGGCCCGTCACAGAGTCCTAGACGCGGAGTTAGCAGGGCCGCGGGTTGACGGCAGAGAGCGGAATGGGGAACTGAGGCACCTCGTCGCCAATGACGGCGAGAAAATTGCGATCTTTGTAGGCGGAGGCGGGAAGCGCCATGGCTCACTGAACAGCTCCTCGACGACGGGAATGAGGGCGTTGGGGGACGTGGTGGGTGAGAGGACGGACGGGCGGGCGCGTGGATCGCGGGCAGCTTTGCCTACGCCGGCTCGCAGGCTGGCAGGTTCTGCTGGCGCGTTGGCTCTAGAACTAGTGAGGCCTCCCAGCGCATCAGCGCCCACCCCATCCGCAGCCCGCGCCCGCGTCAAAGCTTCCCAGCTCTCCTTGTCCAGCCCGACATCGCTTTTTCTTTTATTTACACGCCTCGGCCTCTTGGACACGCTTGTCCATCGCCGCTGTTGTCCTGTTCCTCTGGCATTACAACGCTCCCTTTTTTTTCCTTGCGCCTATTCGCTCCTTACACTTATAGGCAACAGCCCTTTCATAATGTAGCTTTCCTTTGCACCGCACACCCACGTACGACCTTCATCTCACGAAGCCTCAGCCCTCCTAATACACGCTCGCAATGTCCCGCCGCATCCGCCGCGCACCGCTCACCGAGCGGATCGCCAACTACTTTGATCCGCGCGATTGGGCGCTATGGCTCTCAGAAGAGCTGCAGACGAGCGACTGGGCACAAGTGCAGGGCAAGCCCACTTGGCTCATTGGCCTGGGCATAAACCTCCTCTTCATGACTGCTCTCTCGAATAGTAACGGCGGCTCCGCTTCGGACGACGACGTATTTGGCGACTACACGGCCCGCAATGGCAGTGGCTGGCTAGGCGCCTTTTGCAGACTCGCCGTATTCTGGATGTGCGTGGCCAGCTTGATCAACACCTTTTATGTGTTCGCAAGCACGCGAAAGTACAGACTTTTTGAACGATCGCTGGATGAGTTGCCAAAGACCCCAAGTGCGCGAAGGGTCAGGGTGGATGAGAGTCCTCTTGCTGCAGCCGCGTCGCCTCTTAAGTACGTGAAGGACAAGCTGTCGTGGGGTAATTCAGCCGAGCAGAGAGCACATCCGGTGGAGACGAGGGACGTGGTAGAGCTGTCGGTGTGGGATCCTCCACCAATATGTCTGCGACTGTTTACGCTGTTCAGTCCGGCGCACATCATAGTTTACTGGTCATTCCTTCCTACCGCCCCATCAGATCCTATGCCTAGTGTCACGGTGGCGAGAACGATTTTGCTGGCCGCGTTGGTGACTGCGCAAGGCTTCGCATTGGAGAAGTTCTTCATGCAGCAAGTTCAGGATAAACTCATCCTGAGCAGGGAAGTGCTGAACGAGTACGACACCAAGTATGTGCATCCAACAATCAATCGACCGGCACGTGATGTGGCCATCCAAACGCCCCCGCGGCGAAGCAGGAAGAGCGAAGAGAGTGCAGAGCATAAGGAAATCGGCACAGATCCTATGCCGGACACTCCGGAAGTCCAAGTGTCCAGGGAGTACACGATCATCAATCGCGGGTTCAAGACCAATCCGAATCCCGTGTATGCAAGCCACTATGACAAGGACAACTATTTGGGTCTCCAGAGTGGCTCAGCAGTCTCTACACGCTCACACAATGCACCCACCCCTGTGTTCCGCACACCAGCAACCCATGGCTGGGCGTCATCATATACATCAACTGGTGCTACACAGACGAACTACGGGGAGGACATGTCCTCGCCTCTCCGCGTACCTGAGACTCTGGCTCCAACTGGTTTTTCCTCCATGCCGCGACATCAACCGACCTACTCCCGAACGGGAGACGGAGGTAGCTTCGGCGTGTACACCAGCGCGGCAAGTCCGCTGAGAAAAGCGGCCAGTCACCAGAATATGCGGCCTGAAACCGCAGCCGAACAGCTGAGGAAGCGAGAGGGAAGTCCACTAAAAAGGATGAGTTTGCCTGCCCAAGAAGATCAGTTGAAGCAAGAGACTGGAACGGCCGCGCTGAACACCAGATTAAGAGATTTGAGAGGTGAAACTGGGCCAAAGGGCAGACGACAGAGCGGGCGATTCTAAATAAGCGGTAGGAAGATCACAATGTGAATGAGGAGCGGATGGGCCGAACATCGTGGAGCATTTAACATAATTCAAAGATGAATACATGTGCTGTTCATAAGTCTGTAACATTTCCACAATTCACTTCCTTCGATCCTCGTTATTTCCACACTATAAGAACGCAAGCCCACAAATACGCCAGCATCTCCACCAAATGGCTCGACAGCGCAGTTGCGTCGCTGGACTGCTGGATATCAGAACTCGCAGTCGTTGTTGGGGAGCTCAACACTGGCGGCTGGGTCGTTCCCATGCTCAATATGTCCGAAACCGATGTCGTTCCTACACCCTCCGCCGATGCCGTGCGCGTTCCGCTCCCAGCATCCGCGATCACCGTCGTCGGCGTGTCGCCTCCGTTGCTTTCCCTGATCTCTCCCTCGAACGCCCAGTTGAGACTCGCGTCAGCACTGTTCGTTGTCACCATCAGACCGACGCCGATCGCAGGCCCAGAGAAGGCTACGGAGATCCCGTTCTCCGCGTTGGGCTCGATTGCGCCGACGACGAGATCGTCGCCGACGTTGTCCCAGAGCCGGACGGAGAGCGGAGCGCCGGCAATGGTAGCGCGGAGAGTGAAGTTTCCGGAGGGAAGGTCTCCGAGGGGCAAGAGAAGGAGAGAGAAGGGGTCCGTTGAAATGGGCTGGGCGATGGAGGGAGGGATCAAACGCTCTGTCGGTCAAGACCGGGTAAGCCGATGCATTCGTCAAATTTCCGGTTCAGCGCGCTTTGGTAGGGAGCAGGCGAAGACTCACTCTCCGTCCCCGAAGGGGAGATGACAGCCGGGTCGTCAGCGTGGCAGATGCTAACTCCGTCTGCTACCACGTTGGCACTCACCAGATCTCCTTCCTTTACGGACGCGCAGTCCAAACCTTCGACTTTCACAAGGATGGGCAGGCCCTCCCCGAATGCCGTATCTCGGCCTCCCTTGATGTCCCTAAACCACTGCCCCAGCCACCAGCCCTGGAACGCGTTCTCATACGCGGCCACGCAGCCCGTCATGGCGCTGCTCTCGAGCGCCTTTGCGAACGGCGCTTGATGGCATCCCCGGCCTTTGAGAAACGAGCCCGAGCTGGTGCCGCAGCACGATCGGCACGCGGAATCGTTGACGCGGAACTCGGAGTACGTGATGTTGGCCTCGTTCGGGTTGGACGGATTTACGGATTGCGACCAGAGACAGAAGTGCTTTAACGTGACATCCATGATTCCCGGCACGTAGGGCAGAGTGAGAACGGGCTGGGGATAGGGTTGGCGTGAGCTCAGATGGGCAGTAGGCAGTCCGTCGGGCCTGTTGATGAACCTCCATGGCGAGAGGACGGTGTTGAAAGACGAGCTCGAAGCTAGCACTGCGGTGAAAGCAGCAAGCATGAAAGCAGCAAGCATGAAAGCATGTCGAAGCATCTTGAACCCCACACTCGGACAGCGCGACCTCGCCCTTGGACAGTGTCTACCAGCTGAGCACGCCCGACGTCTTCCAAGCTCTTACATGAGAGTGCTTCGTAACCCAGGGCAAAGCCATGATCAAATACGCCTGAATCCAGAGAAAAGCGCGTGAGAACATCCTATTCGGATTCATGTCCAAGAGCTCGCATGCTATTTCCGTACCGAAAACCCCTGCGTAGATCGGTCTTTGCAATGGCCAAGAATCAACTCAAGCACGAGGCCAGACGCAAATGGGGAAGGACGGCGTCGCCAAGGACGCCCTCGTCGTATCATGCTACATCGTCCCCGCCGTTAAACCTCTTCTCGCTTGCTCTCTTAGGATCTGCGGACGTATCACACCTTGGACCCGATGACCGCCTGGATGTCAAGGGTCTACATCTCAGAAAGAATCTTGACTGAAAAGGGTCAGGGATATAGAACTTGGGTCTTTGTTCAAGCATGCCTCGTTATCCTCGACCCATCATGGAGACTAAAGTTCGACAGAGACGAACTTACGTGACATACGAAATCATAAAGACATTATTTCACGTGTTTTTCGTCAAAAATTGCATCGATCTACTCCTTGAAGAGCGCAAAGAGACATTCATCCGGCTGTCGATGAAGAATTGTCAGAAGAACACTATCACGTGATTTGGCTCTCACTCAGCCTTGTGCTGAGTTTGTGAGTCACTGATTTACATACGGACTTTGAATAAGCGTATTCAAAGCTCTTCAGGCTATAGAATGCTGTTTAATAAGCCTCATTCGAAAAAAAAATGAGATCAAGCTCTTTTTTATACTGTTATCACGCCCAAAAACCGTTTGTCTCTGCGAAAAGCCAGTCAAACGAGGCTGAGCACGATATCGACTGTAGGCATGACAGGTACAAGCCTCTTCGGGCGATGTTAGAACTGCTCGCACTGGTTGAACGAAGCCGGTTTCACTTAAATGGGAGGTCTAGGAGTCATCATAGGAGTTGACTCAGAGCAGAGTGCATCCACCAAACAGTCATGCTGAACTGCAGCGTCTATAAATTTGCGGCTTGTCCCCCATCTTGACGTTCTCTTCTCCTTACTCAGACGGGGATAACACATCTTCTTCCTTCGCCTGGTGTTTGTGCTTAGATCTTTTCCTTATTTAATATAAATTATGGCATTTCCAAAGCGCGTGGTGCAACAACCATTCTGAGGGTGCGTCCTGACATCCGTCATGACGACATCTTATCGTGGTATACGTAAATCTGGGGTTGAGCCATGTCCTTCAGCATGCACTGCCGAGTGAGCAAAGTGTCTTTTAACTTGCAGGTCTGGCCTACTGGCTCTCGGTGCTGCGTCACCAGCGACCACGATGCCACGGCGGTATGAATTCTTCAGAAGACTTCATTTCATGATCGAGGTTCGTGTTCTCTCCACTTTTGATACCTATATCTTGAACAGCATGGTCAAAAACTCCTCTCGGACTTCAGTCGTTGACTTGATTATGAGACTAGCTTTCGAAACCGTAAGACTCTGTTCATTTTCCGGGCCACGACTAGTTAGGAGCTTGGTGTAGTGGCTAGCACGTTGGGCTCATGACCCAAAGACGCCGGTTCGAGTCCGGTAGCTCCTCTTTTCTTCTCACATATTGATGTGGTGTTGGCATGGGAAGATCCGGCGATGAAAACGTTTAAGATATCTGTTCGAATCCGATGCGCAGCATAAAGAAAATTAATTATGCGGTGTTGACGTGTAATTGGCAGGCATGGCAAGTTCTTGATAGGCCAGGCATCATGATCAGCTCTGTTCAACTGCATTGTCTCATCCGGGACCATCTTTCTTCAATTGTTGTAATGGGACAATGAAAGGCTTTTCGAGCCCCCTTTGCCCAGAATATACTTGGATATTTTGAACAAAGTCGATTTCCAGGTTGCGTTTAAGCCTCAAAAATGTATCTTCGATCTCGTAAAAGCGTATATATTCATATATTCATGACACATTACCTTAGAATCTTTCAGGCGCTGAATCGATATCCGGCACAAAACTAGTTCAAACCCACGCTACCTCAGCACAATGTCGACATAGTCCTCCTCTGGATTCAGTAAAAATGGATTAGGCGCCCTCATCTTCGCCGTTTCCTCCCAGTCCACCTCACCAGTCTCCGTGTTTTGCACAGTCACTCGGAGAGTCGGGGTCTTCCACGAGTCAGGGAATCCACCGTGGAACAAGAACCCAATACGTTTCCATTCCTTCCGTTCCTCGTCGACGGGTATGGCTACTAATCCAATAGAGCCAGCGGGGTCTGTGACGCCCCTCTTTGCGACGGGTATGAAATAGGCGCGTGTAATGGAGCCATCAAGTGGTATGTCCGGAATCCAATCGTAGGCAAACCCTCGGAGATGGCTGGTGTCTATGTCTTGATCCGTCTTTCGATCGATGTTGTGATCAAGACGGACGGGCTTCTGCAGTCGAATGATGACTGCATTCGGGACCTCTGGGTCAACCCACGTTGGCGGTTCGGGAAAAGGCATATCATGCGCGAGCATGAGTGTTGGCTGGCCAGTCTTACTATATGCCGGAGGGAGGAGAATTACTTCGCGCAGCTGACTGCGGATGTGTAGTTTATGTTTGATGGCGGTGCCGGATGTTTGTACGTCTTCAACGATGCTAACAGATGGTGCAGCTATAGACGTCTGATTGGGGTAGTCATACCGGAAGAACGTGATAGCTTGGCCAACAGAAGCCCAGCTAAAAGATGGATGGTCGTTTTCCAGACGATGACAGGTGTGGTTGTCGGCCCACCTGATGTCCCTAGAGTGCCATAGCAGTTCTCGCCAAATGTCACGCTTCCACATTCCCTCCACAAATTCCTCTCCAGCGGCGCGTCCAAGCAAGTTTGCCACACCAGATATAGCGACTATTTTGTCAGAAGGGTAGGTGAGCTTGCACCTTGTATAGCGCTCCAGGATTATTCTCCAGTGGCTAAGATTGAATTGTCCAGACGATATAGTTCGAAACAGTGCGGACTTTAGGTTTTCCTGTTGGCCTCTTGTTCCGACTGGATAACCTTCGTCCGCCTCACATTCGATGCACTGCCAGAATATTCCCGAAGAGCCGAAATAGAGAGTTCGAGGTGATAACAACTCCTCTTGTACGCACCATCCTCGCGTCTTTAAAGGCGAAGCAGCCTTACCTTCGACCTCAAACTCTCTTCGGAATTGCGGTTGTCCGTGGTGAGACGAAGTACGTGATGTGATGGTGATCTTGCCACTAGATAGGGGGATGTCACCGTACACGCAAGGATGACGAGCGGTAAAACATCCTTGTGAGCTATCTGACGCTCCAAGTGCTGCAATTGTTAGTACCGAGTGCCTATAAATGGACCCCATCTTCGCTGATTCATTGCGCCAGTCTTCTTTGGAGTCTTGGATGATACAAAGAGCGTCGATCCAGATGTAAGAATGGTCCAAGAGCCTTGTGACCAATATCGCATCCTTGAAAGTCTTTGGAAGACTTTCGAAATCAATATTCTTTCGAAACTGCTCTAACACGTCTTGGGTGAGTTTCATGAACGGTTTTTTCCCCCAGCAGTAACTTAATGTCACAAACTCTGGCCTATCACTCAGGTCTTGTTCCGATATAACAAGCCTAGCTTGAAGAGGCTCATCGCCGGTGCCCAAATAGAGCAGTCGACTAGGGTACTGTGAATCGTCGCTTGACTGGCTTTTGGCTGACGCGCAACTCTTGTGTTCTCCGAGGCAACGCTTGAACCACCAAATTGCCAGGCCCAACGCGCCGCCATCGCCAGTGTTTGGGCACAGCGGCCCCAGAGGTGGCTTCCCCAAGGTATCTTTCAGCGTGTAGGGACAAGCGTACCGTTGGTACCACCTCTGCAGCTCTTCATTGTCCCAAAAATGTATTGAGCCCCAGAATTCCGACATGTCGGCTTCCGGGTACATCTCAGTAGTCAGCTTTGTGCCGTACACGATCTCCAAGAGGGGGCGAGGTATCTCTTCACTGCCTCTGCCGATAGGCACCCAGTGATTGGAGGCATAGTGGTCGATCAAAAGGTACTGTGCTCGCTTGCGCCACAAGGGATTCTTCATCCATCGTGCAGTGTCAAACGGGACGTCACCACGGAACCAGGACGTGCCAACGGCGAGGGCGCACATGGGACAGCCCTCAATGGCTGACTCCATAATATCCTTTGGTGTATAGTCGTTTCCCATTCGGGACGGGTCAATGTGGTAAAAAGTATTCACTTCGCGGAGATGTTTCCATTTGAAAGTCTCGGGCGGACCGCGCCTGTTGTAGTCGGTTGCGAGCATAGACACTGTGAGAAAGCAATTCAAGCAGAATTTACAAGAAGCATAGTCTTTGGCAGGTGCCCAGAGCGACGACGCTCCAACATCTTCCTCAAGCCAGTTTGGGGGCTCGGCTGCTGGATCGGGAGGCCCCGTTTCGGTATCTTGCAGTCGTAGCGCATTTACGTACTTCTCAAGTTCTTCTACCGTGGTTTCTTTCGACAGATTCAATTTTGGGATGCGGCGTGGTTGGGAACTGGACTGCTGGCCCACAGTATTATCAGACATGATAGCTATGAATGGGTTAAGTTAGGAAGTTAGTTCGACTAGCATCCCAACTGGATAAGGGGGGTTCAAAAAGAAAGCAAATCGCAAAAAATAAGAGAGGGCTGCTAAAGAAGAAGTCTAGACAATCAGCCGATCTCTAGCTTTAATACCTTGCAAACCGGTCAACTGACGCATGGATAGTTTCGTATTGGAGGCCAGAGTTCAGCCGCAGGGCTTGGGTAGAACTACTGTATTGCGGAAGTTGCCGCGCAGGCATTGAGGATCATTCGTTCATGGCAAGGAGATTTCGCGACGCCAAAATCATATTCGCGCTTTTCACGCAGGAAAATCGGCCAAGAACAGTTTAATAGATATTGGCAAGGACCAAGCCGTCCTAAGCATTGGTGTCATAACGTTGTTTCGCGATTCACAAGAAAAAGCTCAAGTTTTCCATCTTCAACGCAGCGCAGATTGAACTGAAGTACAGTAATGGACTGAAATCTCCATTGCTCCAAGACTCTACAGCGATGATCTGCTTGCGCTCTCGTTGATTTCGTTCGTCGCATAGTCTCTCTCTGGTTCAAAACGTATCCTAAGCCCCTTCCATTCAGAAAAATACATTAAAAACTGTACGAAGTGAACGAAAGGGCAAGAATAGCAACATCCATGTTGGCGTGTGCTTTTCGGTAGATCGGTGTGGATTGAAATTGGTAAAGCCTAAAGGTGGCACTTTGATTAAATACTACGATTACATCAATTACTATGCATGGCTACCTGGTGGAAATTGGAGAACTTTTCATTTTAACAAAGCAGAAACATATCATTTCGGTAGATATGAAAGGAGCTTCTCAAAGACAGCCGTCTGATTCTTTTTGTCCAATGCATACGGACTTACAGACACCTTTTTGTTCTTGTCCGTCAAGAAAAAACCTTCGCTCTTGATTATTTTCTCCGCCGCTGGGTTCGCAGCTAAGAATACCGGCAGGTCGGCGTAGCTCTGAACGGTATAGCCAAACGTCCTGGATGCGATGGGGAAGAGGATGTAAGTAGCAATTTGTTTGAGCGGGAAAGGGACGTTCTGGTTCGTCATGACGTCTGTCTGTACCAGGCCTGGCGATATGTGAAAAAAGCTGATTTGCGGGAAGCGCGACTGCAGAGCTTTTGTGTACGCATCCGTGATTACGCCGTCACGGCCGATATGCTTGCCCAGCTGTACATAACGATTCGACTCCTTAAAACTGGCCAGCTCGAGGTCGACGAGGTTGAACTCGGTTTGGCTACCTCCTGGTGCCATTATATTCACCGAACTCGACTTGAGAACCCCGGACGATGCTAGCAAGTAGTTCAGAAGGAATCGACTCAGAACCTGGACTGCGAAGTGCGACTCGATCCCCTCGGCCGTGAGTTCAAAGATGCCGTTGGGGGTGCCTCCCTGGGTTTGGACAAGAAAGTCGACCGAACCATCGCTCTTCGATTTGATCTCCTCTGCAGCAGCCCGAACACCAGAGACAAGGCTGAGGTCTGCGGAGATGTATTCAAGCTTTTGATCTGCAGACCTTGCGGCCCTGCGGGCGTCTGAGATGGTCTTCTCGAGTCGGTCGCGGCTTCGTCCAACCAGAATGACATTAGCGCCAGCTTGAGCGAAGCGAACCGCAACGCCAGCTCCAATGCCCTGCGACCCCCCGGCGACGACGGCGGTCTTGCCGGTCAAGTCAAGGGCTTCGTTCTCCTTTCGAGCCTGTGCCGACATGGATGTTGGATTTCCAAGTGTTGATGTTGCAATTACGAGTGTATACGAGAGGTGCGTGGGATGGCTGTTTCGCTGTGTTGGTGGGGTGCTGTGAACTTGATCAAAGCTTGGATGGAAGAGGTCGTTATATCGTGATTTGCGCCCTCTCGAGTATTCCACACAAGACTCGGCTCGATGCCACGAACGTTTACGGACATGTCTCTGTGCCCGCGCCGAAGTGCTGACAAAAGCCTCGACTTGCGCGCGAGGCCTCAGGTTGACCGGCGGTGCAACTCCTTCCGGTCCACCAATTGCCCGTTTGTCAGCAAGCGATGGCGAGATGATGCACCACGCCTCCGTGCCTTAGAATACCAACGCCTGCGTCATCTTCCGCCGAGCCCTCAGTATCCTTGATCTCGGCGTGACAATCTGCCTGTTCTTTCCTGTTTGTGCTACCATGGACTTGGTAATTCATGGCCCTGAACAGCCATCTGTGCATTGCGTCACTGTGCTCGGGGGATGGCTTGAGGCTTTCCTGTCTGGAGTGTCTCGCATATAGTCTCTCTACTTCTGCAACCTCTAGCCAGTCTCGACAAGCAGCTTCGACACTCATTTGCATGGAGGTTCTCCGCAAAATCTGCTTTAGCAAGGTATGCATGATTTACGGATGCCAACTTGCACTCGACAAAGGATCACCTTCTCATTCATTGGATCCGCATGCTCTGTATGCATCCATAGCGGGACACGTTTTTGCAGACACTCGGTGCTCTGCAGCAAGTATAGCTGATGCCACTACCGTGCTACAACTCTCGATTCCATTTCTGCACAAATGCGAGTCGACGTAAAACCCAAGGACAAGATACGCTATGTTCTCGCGCCGGAAAGGTTTGGACGTTGCTTAACGTGGGCACCACCCAGCTTGAGTACTACTTGTATAATAGGTTGTGCTAGGAACTAGCGCTATCTACCTTCCACGGCCTTGAGAGAAAATGGAAGCGTTTCATCAGGGCGAAACCGCCCTGCTGAGAATCTCAAGACATCATTCCCACCCTAACACGCGGCCTTGGGCCTGATGGACCGCCATAACCCTGTCCTTAGTGATCCACACGAAGCCTAGGCTCTGCATGCGTTCCACACCTTTTTCTTCAGATTCGCTTTCCGTTCGTCGTTGGCACACTGGCACAATGAAAACGCTCAGGACGATCGCCGATTCGTGCGATGGTTCTGGCGTTCTCCTAGTCGTCTCGTCCGCGATATAAGTCGCATCATGATTGTACTGCGCAGCGATTGACGCCACCACGTCTCTCTTTGAGCTGCGCAGATCTCATCAAGGCAAACGGTGGCGACGATGATTTGGGCTCCTCCAATCGCGGGTCGCGCATCACGATCGGAGAACCAGTCGCAGTCAATGCTTATCAGACGCTACGGTGGTGCGAAGATATAACGATACCCGCACTTGACTCGATAGAAACTGCTAACACAACTTCGCGCAGGGCGAAGGGTTACATTCCATAACGTCGCTCGCTCGGGGGCCCCGGCCGTTGTGCTTGTAATCTGGGCTGTGGAAAGATGGGGAAGCTTGACAAGGGCACTACTCGCGTGCCTCTGGTTAAGCTGTTACTCGATCACATCAAGCAATCTGCAAGCCCCAACCATCTTATCGCGTGCGGCTTGATCGTGCAGCCCCAGTTGCGAAGCGTGCTGCCTTGACTACGGGATCTAACTTCTTCTTTGTGCCACTAGCTCGAATTTTCCCTCGGTCCCTATGCATATGGCCGTTATTCCCTTATCTTTGGTCTGCAGCCGCACCTGGTCTAGCCACCCGGTTGGCCTCGTCCTAGATTCTCTCGCCGAGCACCGGCCAAAAAGTTCGATGCTGGAAAGAGGCGAACATCTAACCTCATTGATTGTTAGCTGACTTTGTTTTCTTTTTCTCCTTCGACCCTCCTTATCTTGCCTGTCAGCCTTAAAATATATAAGCAAGGCATGGTACCTGTAAATTAGAGCCCAGTTCTAGGTCTTTGTCTGGATCGACGAGACTCTGCTGCATACCGTCACCGCCTGTCATGGCCTCCGGTGAAAAAGCATATTATGATGAGAAGCATGGCTCGCCAGCCACTTCTGAAGTCGAGCCCGTCGCGGCTGGCAACATGTCCAGCCTGAGACGTCGCTTTCCAGGCTTCAGCCTCGAGGTCCGACAAGAGGAGAGCAGCTTTGCCACCACAAAGAATGCTTCCAATGCCGACTTCGACCCGATCCCGCCATCTAAGCGCACTTGGACCTGGGGTGCATATGTCGCCTACTGGATGGCCGATGCTTGGGCCGTCTCTAATTGGGAAGTTGGTACGTTTGCGACTGTGCTTTGAGGCTGAAAAATCAAGAAATGCATTGGCGACGCTAACATCTTGGTACAAAGCTTCTTCCATGATTGCTGTTGGCCTCAGCTGGAAAATGGCAATCGGCGCCTGTGTCTTGGGTAATACCATCATGGGCCTTGTGATTACTGTGAACGGCCGAGTTGGTGCCATTGTCAGTATTTTTTTCCCCCCAAATCTTTTGGGAAAAAGCTGACCGGAAAAAGCTTCACACGCCATTCCCTGTTCTTGCGCGCATGCCTTTCGGTTACTACTTCAGCTACTTCGTTGTCCTGTCCCGCTGTGTCCTCGCTATTGTCTGGCTCGGGTGAGAGACTCCCAAAGCGCCCTCAACGTCAATAACTTCAAAGCACTAATTACAATTTGACAGTGTTCAAACCACAACCGGTGGTCAATGTATGGCCGTCCTGCTCACAGCTATATGGCCAAGTTTTGCCAAGATCCCCAATCATATTCCTGCCGACCAAGGTATCACTACCTCAGGAATGATCGCCTTCTTACTGTACTTCCTGCTTCAGCTACCGTTCCTGTGCATTCCGTACACCAAGGTTCAGTACTTCTTCGCCTTTAAGTCTGTAATTGCCCCCATCATTTTCCTGGCCGTGTTTGGCGACACGCTCCACAAGGCTGGCGGTACCATCAGCCACAGCACTGTCATCAGCCAAGGCACCACTGTGAGCGGCTCAGTTCTTGCTTGGGCCTTTTTCGGAAGTAAGCAATGCCTTGCTTCTACTGAAAGTTTTATCCGTCGCTAATCTGTCCTGCAGATTTGAACGGTGTTTTGGGAAACTACGCCACTTTAGGTCTCAACATTGCTGATTTCTCGAGATATGCAAACAAACCAAGCGCTCAGAACGTCCAGGCCTTGGTTATCCCTGCCATTTTCAGTAGGTGGACTGACTCCATAACTCCTCGTCTGTAGCTAACGATCTTCTCTCATAGCTCTTGTCGGTCTACTTGGCATATTCACTGCAGCATCTGCTCAGACTGCATACGGCCAAGTTATCTGGAACCCAATCGAGATTATCGGTCTCTGGATGGAGTCAGGATCCCACAGGGGTCGTGCAGCTGCAGCATTTGGAGCCATTGGCTTGATCATTGTTACTCTCGGCATCAACATATCCGCCAACTCTATTAGCGCAGCCAACGACCTTATGTCCTTCTGCCCGAGGTACATCAACATCCGCCGTGGTCAACTGCTTGCTGCTGTCATTGGCAGCTGGGCCTTCGTTCCAGTAAGTCCCTCTGTGAACGCGACAAATCTTCTTGCTGACCGTTGTCGCAGTGGAAAATTCTTGCCTCCGCTGCAAAATTTTTGGCCTTCCTTGGCGGATATACCATTTTCCTGGGTCCAATGACCTCCATTCTGATAACTGAGTTCGTCTCTCCGTTTATCTACCCTTGGGAACTGCAATAACTGATATGTATGCTCCTTTAGTTACTACATCGTACGACGTGGTAACGTGTCGGTTCCCGACATGTACAACTTCCATGGCATGTATCGCTACTCGCCAAAATTTGCTAGCAACTGGCGTGCTGTTGTGGCCTTCTTCATTGGCTGCATCCCTCCGCTGCCAGGCTTCGTGGATAATATTGTCAGGGCTGGTGGTAGCAAGACCAGCGTTTCTTTGGGCGGCCAGCATCTGTAAGTTCTCTTTTTTTAAAAACCCTGCAATGCGCCCGCCTCCAAGGGCGTTCCGCTCGACAAACTCGTGTCTCATTGAAGTGAAGAAGCTAATGATAACGGACAGTTTCAACATTGGCTACATCTACTCATTTGTTGCCGCCGGTGTCTTCTATTGGATTTTCAACCGATTCTTTCCCCACACCGAGTCCATGATGGACCACCCAGAGACTGGTGAGGATATCATCGCTGCCCACGATGCTAAAGTGGTAGAGGAGCGCCGCGCAAGTCGAGCAGAGCGTCGCCCGAGTATCATAGCTCGCGCTTTTGAAGTTTAGAGTATTTTAGCATGTTGCAATTTCGAGATACACGGTCTTTTTAAAGGAACTTGAAAAGGCAGACCAACTTGAGAGATAGATAGTATTAACGACCATCATTGGGGGAGGCCGGCACCTCTGTGATACCATGTGCAAAGAAATTTGAAACCCTTCGTATATGAACACTGAGTCACCGTCACGAATTTTTTTTTCTTCCAATGAGTTTCCCTGACCGGTTTCTCAAGTATAAAATGCATTCGCCCTTCCAGATCCTCGCGCTTTCCAGCAAGTGGTGCCCTCAATGCAGGACGAAGCCGAGCACTTGAGAATTGCTTGGCCTAAAACTAAAGGAAAATCCTAACAATGGATAACAGTCCATGTAAACGCCACTTCGGAACAATAAACTCCATCCACATTCGAGATGAAGCGCCTGAGAATTCAGATCAGCTCGTAGATTTTGGAGACGGAGCGCATCCTTCTCGAGCATTAGGCACGCAAGATTACGCATCATTCAAAAGCACCGTCTCGATGACGTCTCCCATGCGAGACGAAAAGTCGAGGTGAGATCAATTCTGCCCTGTCTGCACGCAACATGGTACCCGGGTGAACCAGAGGATCTGGTTTTAGTACAATGCCGTCGAGATCAAATGCAGTTCGCTCTCGTGAGCTTGCCGCTCTACTCCCTCCGAGAGACGTGCGTGAACTGTATCCATTTGTGCTTGCGTTTCTTCATGATATAGAGTGGCTCAGGAAAACGCTGGACAAGAATATTGCAAATTTGATTGGCTCTACAAGGATATCGTCTGCAATAAGCGAACACAAGTAAGGCTTATGATGTGATTTTTGCTTTTGCTCTTCCGTGATAAACGCAAATTCCCTTTCCCCCACCTTTATGCTTCGGGTTCGCTGGGCAAAGCGGGCTACTCGGCAGATGATCTGGAACATCCCAGTCGAACATGGCGGTCAACTTGGCAACATCTTCCACTTGCTCGTCATCCAGTAAATTGTCCACCCTTACTCGAAACCAATAATTCTCCTCCGTCTGGTCCTGGTCGGCCTCTGATGTCGTTGGGACCGATTCCTTTACTGTTAATGGCTCTGTTTCCCCAACTGATGAAGTCTGACCCTGGTCCACATACGCAGTTTGCGATTCGACTTCACCACCAAGAATGAAATTATTCAGAAAGTAGCTTGTGATTCGCTTGCCTTTGCTTGGCCCAATGATTGGAGAGCTACTGACGTGCTCAGAGTCCATGCCAAAGTACTCGATTGTTTTCCTCCCTAGTCCGTGCTTTCTTGGTGATGACCTTAACTTGACGCCCTTGGAAGTTTCTACATGTGTTGATGTTTTCTCTAATGGTTCAAGAGGATTACGATTTAGTCCTTGAAAGGATATGTCGCAGGGTGAGACTTCGCTGGAAGGATATTTCGGAAGAGGAGGACGTTCAGGATGTAATCTTGGTGTCCTGAACTTGGACATACTCTCCGCAGAAACCGCGACTTCATTTTGTTGTGACGTTATCTGATCAAAAGTGCCTGTCCGCCGACTCTTCGCAAGAACTGGAGCTTTGGTGTCGTTATCATGGCTTTTATACAAATGCCATAATAAGCCTGTATGTATCTTGCCTGGCGACCTTGCTTGATGTTCCTTAATCGAAGCTATATTTCCCGATAATAGATTATCAGCGGTGGCTGAATTAATCTCTGGAGTTGTTGGTTGAGATTTTGTGGACCTTTTACTTCTTGGTTGTAGAAAGCGTGGCCATTCCTTTTCTAGCGAGGTAGATAGATCGCACCTCGCTACCGCTGTGGTGACATCGTCATTACTAGGATTCGGAAGAACTTTATTGAATCCATGTGCTTTGCAGCTCAACGCACGATGTTCATGTTCAGTTCTGAATGTGGAGATGCGTGGCAATTGAAGGATAGGACTTGGAGGACGACGCTGTGGTTTCTGATGTTGGGATAGGTCCGCCAATCTCATGTCAGGTTTCCTCTTCTTGATTCCGAGCCAATCTTCGACACTACTGATGGTACTACTTCTCGTCAAACTTCCGTAGACATCTTTTTGTTCAATCAACGCAGAACTGCAAGAATCCGACACGGGTTTCTCACTATAATCACGGTCTCCATTCGCACCAGTTTCGATTTCGATGCAACTTCTGCTGAACTGTAGTGAAGATCCTAAATTCTGACTGGGGGTTTTCCGTACAACTGTATGCGGGCATCGCGTTCGAAATCGACATATTGGAAAGCTAATACCTCGTGATTCAATAATCGGTCTCCTTTCCTGAGATGAATGGCTGACGCTGACTCTAGATTTAGAAGCTCGTGGAACACTGTTTACTGATGCCAAACCGGACGGCAGAGAATCGAATCTGCGAAGCCTCTCAAACTCCGTGTATTCTTTTGGTGAGTTCTCATGGTTTGATGACTCCTTTGGTTCGTGAGGCTGCACTTCGCTACGGCATGGTTCTTTGTTTGCTTGCACAGCTGCACTATGGGACTCTACTCCCTTAGTCGGAATGTATTTGCATGATTGTTTGTCCCTGTTCTCGGAGCCTCGAATTGCAAGACTTGGGAGATCAGCTGGCGGTATGTTGTTTGAGCAGCGACTCGCAAGTTCTTCAGGGGAGGCACTGAGGCCTCTCTTTGGTATTATCCTCTTAGCAAACTCCGTATGGCCGATTGTGTCAATATGGTTTCTAATAATGAAAAAAATGCGGGATTAGTCCTTTGAAGGGCTAGGGAGATGTTTTTGGACTTTTTTAGGGTAGGAAAGGTGGGTAGAGGGCTATTGTGGCGAATAGAAGATGTTGGTAACAGGTCCAGCATTCGGAAGAAGTCATCGGGTGATCTGAGGGAAGTCGCAATTTAACTAAAGTCACACTCTATGACGCACAACGCTCGTATTTTGCGAATTCAGAAGGATATGTCCTCCAAAATCTTGCATAATAGAAAAAATCGATAGCCAAGACTTTCCGTTTGAGACGTGCAGCTTTTACGAAATAATAACAATGCTAAGCGGAACATATGATCTCTGAAAAAATATCATTCGATGGATGTACTGGATATGCACTCTGCTTCGCGTGAAAATTATCTTTGAATTTCATCGCCCATAGTTCTTTCTCATGTGATTGGTCTCCCAGGAACCTGAGCCTTTATATGCTCGTTCGCTATCAAGCTTTCTTAAAGTTTGTGAGTATTACCTGTAGAGTTCTGGGAGCGCTTCGTTGACCTGTGCTTGAACAGGCTGACGGTGAAAAGTACGAATGTAATTGCATATAAGATGCTTTGATCGCGTTAATAATAGAGATGTGCTTGGGGTAAATTGTAAATTGTTTGACGTACAAGTTAACCACACACAATGCAAGGTCAGTATAGTATATTGCGGAATATGTGTCGACTGTAGACCGCTTGGTAAGACCTCTTTTCTTGTAGGAATGGCCGAAAGCATCTACAATATCGCTGTAGAGGCTTGAGTAATCACCCCCATTAATGACATCAGAATAATCATTGGCCAGATTGTTGGCCGCGACAATTTTCGACACATACGACGCGATAATGGCGAAAGAGCAAAGCCAAAAGATGAGGACGAAGCCTTCCACAGCAAAGAGAGCCCAATAATTGTAGAACTTCGCACCAGCAGGACTTGTAGCAATAAACCAATACACACTGAAGATCATAGTTGCAAGAGCCGTAAAGATAGCTAATCCTGGGCCGTCCTGTCGACCAGTTTGTTAAAACCATGTCTCACTCGCGTTCGCGTCTGTAAAGGGGATGCTTACAGCGCCTTCACCTGTGTAGCCGTCGAAAAGGTTCACAATATAGGCAGACATGCCCAAGACGACAAGACCAAGAACAAGTTGGATGATTCGAAGTGGAAGAAATGCCTTGGCCACAGGCAAAACAGAATATCCGCTTCCAGAAGGCATCTTGTTAGTTGAACTCAAAAGTTAAGTCGTTCACTTGTGGTTTAAGGGGTCTGATTGAAAATGATCGGAGTCGCGTCGATTCAGTTTTAACGAAAGGTGAAAGTTAAAAAGTTGCTAATCGCCGAACGGCAGTGCTCATGAATTTATTCGATAAAGCATTTTACGATAAGTCTGTTGGAAGTAAATCAATATGTCCAACTCGTTAAGCCATAAAAGCCATCACTTTGACTTGCGCATGAGGATTGATCGATCTTGACGCCGGATCTCGTATTCCAAGCGTCTTGGAGATGAAGCCAATCCTGATTATTATTTTCTGGTCCACACAGTGCCCAGCCTATTTGCTGAAACATTACTCCTTGCTGAAGTGATCGAGACAAGCCAGTGCAAACGGAGCATACCGAAGTTTTCGCCCCTTAAGATCTAATTCGCCATTGACATTCCTACAATCTAAGCAACTCAACGGGTTGAAGATGGTGCGGAAGAAACCGCTATCAATCAGGGGCTAGTAGCTCCAAAACAGTCGTCTTCTTTCAGTGCGGCCTCGCTCTCCTCACTGGACTCCACCCCTCTTGGCCAATACAGCCCTATCTTGGCAACATAAATTTGGGATCAGCCCCTCGACAATCTATTTTTGGATCTAAATCTATCCCAGGATTGTGAAATGCCATTTGGATACCACGGGGATACAACAAGAGGCAGGAGTCAAGATCTAGGTGAAACAAAGTCCATCCATATGGTTGAGTGCGATGATATGATCAAATAAATTTGGCAGGTCTGGCCGCAGATGTTAATTTAAGGCACCATGTTTGCAACTTGACGTCCACGATGAAAATTGTGACCTCGTATATTCAGACCTTTGGAAAACTTCTCTCTTCAAGCTCGGAAATGAACAAGCAGGGAATCGTGCGAATTCCCTTTGAAAGCCTATATGCATAATTCCCCACGACTTGGATTAATTGTAGGGCCTGGCAGGATCCCGTTTCATCCAGCGAAGTACCCGAACATTCCTTCGGAAGAATTCGATGTTTGTGCATATTTTTACATGTCGCCATGTCAACAGGATATTAAAAATCTACCATTTGGCTTTCTGGGGCCGAAGAAGTCGTCCTGGTGCAAACACGGCAGAACTAGCGCACAATATGATTGTGTCAAGCTGGCATGGCTCAGCTCTGGCACCAAGCAGCGTGAAATAATAAGAATTCAGCTACAATTTCTATTTCCTCTCGCTTGCTCGCATTTCTGTGAAAGGAGAGATCAACAAATTCGTCGGAGGAGAGAAGTTGCTCCTGCCAGGTCGACCTTGCTGTGGCTGATTCAGCTCTCCGTGCCCGAATACGGAATCAAAGAAAATTCAGGGTGCACGAAAATTGAGTAAAGGCAACGATACACTCGGTCAAGACCGGCGAGAGAGTGAACGCCCTGATCCTTCTCATTGCTTCAGGCACCTGTGTCCTTCTTGTCAAATCAAAATGCCGTTCGAGGCTAACCGTCTCCCCCCGGAGCTCGTGGAACTGCAGATCGCGCAGCTGGATCTCCTAGTAGCCATGTATCCAGACAAAGGAGCGGTGACGATGAACGAAAGTACGCAGTCGTGTCTGGATCAATTAAAGCAGAGCATAGAATCGGGGAATTTGATCCCGGCAGCCAGCTTCCCCGAGCATCTTTCATTGACGCTGTGTCTGCCTGTCGAAAACGAGGGGCTGAAACATGATATTCAGCTTGACGTTCGCTTCCCTCTGCTGTGGGAGGGTAGAGAGCCTCCAAGCGAACCGCCACCGGCGAGACTGAAACTGCAACAGCCTGAATGGATGAGTAGAGCAGAATTAGCAAGCGTGATGGAGCGCGTAGCCAATGAGATAGACGTGTTCGCGGCCATCGACACCATTACAAGAGCAATGATTGAATACTTGCCTCGATCGCAAGGAGAGAGACAAAAAAACTCCTCGTCCGAGTCAGAGCCCACAGTCCGCGTATGGTTCTATTTCCCATCCATAAGTACTCGTTCCAAACGCGACGACATCGTCAACCACGCCCCACCTTACGGACTTACCGGGTTTCTTCTCGCCGGGAAGCCCGGCGTACTATGTCTTGAAGGGGGATCCAATGCAATCGATAATTATATGAAGTTCATCAAGACAGAGAGCTGGGGCGATATTCCTGCTCATCACAAGAAAGTGACCGAGCGGTATCGTGAGAATGCCGTCGATCGAGCATTTGACTGCATGGTAGAGATAACGGATGCATTTGGCGAGAGAAGAGGAGAGCGGGCAAACCGACAGGACATGAAGGCTCTCGAGACTTGGCTGAACGAACGAGGATTAGGAAATGCATTTCGGAAAGTACTGATATGACCTATCATTGTGCCTTCGGGGCAGTGAAGGCAAGAAAACAGAAAAAAAAAATCGAATGTGCATATAGATACGTATTATCTTTCCCCAAGTCAATGGTATTCGTAGTGACCAAGGCTCGCATAAACGCCGATCCACCCTTTGCTGCCATGCTCATCAGGCCCGAAAATCGTAACAACATAATACACGTTATTTCAGATCCGCAGGAGTAAGTGCCTGGACTATGCTTGTGCCATCCTGGAATCTAGTCCTAAAGATTCTGTTCGCATTCTGGAACATACCGTCCTTAAGACTGACGACAATAAATTGACTGCCCTTAAAGCGGGTTTTGATGAGCCGGCCAATGTTTTGCGTGTGCGACAAGTCGAGCGCGGCGTCAACTTCGTCAAGAATATACATAGGTGCTGGCTTGAACTGCAGCAACGCCATAATCAAAGATAAGGCGATCAAAGACCTACGACTTGTTAGCGCTTACTTCCTGATAAGAGTTGGATTGGATCGAACGAACCGTTGACCACCAGATAGTTCTGTTAACGACTGCTTCCACACTTTGCCCAAGCAGACTTTCACCTCGAGACCATCCGCAATTGTTTTACCCTCTGGCGGGTCCAATTTCGCAAAACTTCCTGGCAGCAGCTCATTGAAGATCTGACCAAAATCCCCATTCACCTTCTCCCAGGTCTTCTGCAGCGCCTCCGTCTTGTACTCATCTAGCTGTAAGATGGTCTCCTCGATCTTACGCTTGTCTTTGATGACAGTGCGCATCATGTTCTTCAATGAAGCCTCCTTTTTCTCCACATTGTCAATCATGTTCATGACCTTTGGGTTGATTTTCTTTTTCATTCCCTGGAAGCGCTCAGTCAAGTTCTTGAGTGAAGATCTTGCTTCTGTCATGTTTTGACCTTTGAAGTCATAAGGTGTATTCGGCCGTCCGAAGAGTTCCTGCTCCTCTTCTATCCACTCGTGCGAGTCTGAAAGCTGTTTGAGAATCTGAGATGCACTCTGTTGATCCTTCTCAAGCTTTTCGAGAGTGTGACCAAGCTTTTGTTGTTCGAGCGATTCCTCCGTTGTCTGCCTGTTCTTGGAGTGGATGGCATCTTCTAATGACTTAAGCTCCTCATCAAAACCGGACAGCTTGGCCTGTTCATCCTCAAGTTGGGCCTGAGCAATGTCATGGGCATCCTTAACACGAGCTTGTTCAGCCAAGAGATTACTGATCTCATCTTGTTGTGTTGATAGCGATACCTCCGTATCATGAAGCTGCTCCTGTGCGGCAGACAAGTCGCTACCACACTGCTCTGCTTCCAGCATCGCGTCTCGCATCTCTTGCTGTAGTGGCTTGATTGACGCCTTGCTCTTCGCCAAAGTCTTTTTCAGCTTATCGAGCGATGATTGCAACTCAGCAAGCTTGCTATCTTTATTGTTGCTAAAGTCTTTGATATCCTTCTCAATTCGCTTCGCCTCTTTGTTCGCTTCGTCTTGACGAAGCTTGGCGTCGATAATGTTCTGTTTTAATTGAGCAATGGTCGCTTTCATCTCTTCAACGGCTTGTATGATCGACGAGGAGGTATTGCTGTTGATCTGCGATTCTGCAAGTTGGATCTCGTGCTGCTTCAAGTCAAGATCTTGCTTGATCTTTTTCACTGAGTCAAGCTTCTTCTGTTCTCTGGCAATTGTCGCCTGCAGCAAGCTCAGAGCTCTTTCTTGAGAGTTGAGCTCCGTTGTGATTTCATTCAGCTTCTGCAACGTGACGAGGACACCACTCGACTGTGGAGCGCTGCCACCAGAAAGGGTGCCGGAAGGATCGTAAACATCTCCGTCCAGAGTCACACTCTTCATTCGCACTGAAGGGTTGAATGTGACACTCTTGGCCGTCGCTGGATCATCGCAAATAAATGTAGAGCCGAAGACATACTCCATAGCGGCATTGACCTCATCCTCATAACCGATTAAAGATAGTGCTAGATCAACCTTGCCAGGTGCAATCTTTTGGGCTGCACCAACCTTCTCGGCGGACGCTCGAAAAGCCGTGATTTTGTCGAGAGGTATGATGGTAACGCGCTTTTTCAGTTTGCCGTTTTGAAGCAGCTGTGTACCCGTGTTCGAGCTGTCCACAACTACGTTATATAGTCGACCGCCAGCGCAGACTTCCAAAGCCTGACCAGCTCGCAGGTGATTCTTATCTAGAGTAAATAATTGCGCGACCAGACCTTTCACCTTTGAACGGTCAAAGTTGGGCGAGGGGTCTGAATAAGTGAAGTCAATGCTTGCGACCTTCCGCCGGAGCCCGTCTGCTTGTTCGCGTAGTGTTCGTATCCGCGACTGCAGATGTGCCTCCTCCTTGTACATCTCATCTTCTTTCCCAGGCTCAAATCCAAGTTTGGATAGATCTGCCTCGAGTTTCTTGGCCTGGGATCGTAGGCCATCAAGATCTTTAAGCAAACCGGCGTTCAGTTTCTTCGCATTATCGGCTTTTGGCTGGTCTTCTTTAATTTGCTTTTCGAGATGAGATATTCTTAGCTTCGCCTGCTCTTGTTCTGTTGCTGCTGCGCTAGCACGGTTCCTAGCATCTTGGAGCTGACCTTGATAGCCGCTTTCTTGGCCGTCCTTGGATGCCACACCGGTTTGCAGTGTCTGGAGAAGCTCCTCGTTCTTTTCGACCTCTTGACTAAGCTTCTCGACCTCGGCATGCGCTGCCTCGTATCTCTTCTGCAAATCCTCATATAATGCAGTCTTCTTCCTGAGTTCAGCCTCAAGCTCCTTGACGGTCTTTTGAAGCTTTTTTTGTTTATCTTGCTCCTCGGTCAAGCCTGACTTCTTCAATTCCACGATTGTCGACAATCTGACCATCTCGTGTGAATGCGCTTTCACCTCGTCCTCTAGAGCCTGGAATCTACCTCCTTTCCGTAGCTCTTTCTCCCGTGCGGCTTTGATCTTCTTTATATCCTCCTGGAGACATGCAACTTCATTCTTCAATCTTACTGCAGACTCCTCGAGCTCCAATTGCCGCCTCTTTTTAGAATCAAGCTCTGACGCCGTCATTTTCAGCTTCTCTTTGCCTTTGATGTAGTCATACGCGACCACAAGACGGGTTAGCCTCTCCAAATCGTTCTGCGTTTGCTGAAAATCGAGGAAAGCACGCTTTTCGCCTCGCAATTTCTCCAGCTTTGGGTCGATTTCATCCCTCAGCAACTCCGTAATCTCCTTGACTTTGAGTTCCTTTTTAGCCATGTTCTTGATGGCTTTGTCTCTCCTGTCTTCGTACATGCGGGTGCCTGCTGCTTCCTCAATCATCGCCAAAATCTCGACGGGCTTCATGTTGAGCACCTTCGTGATCCGCCCTTGCATGATCAAAAAGTTTGGATTGTTGATGTTCAGTTGGACGGACTGAAAAAGATTTTGAACGGTATGCTGCTGCGCTCTATGCCCATTGATAAGGTATTTCGACGTGCCTCCTAGTACAATCTGCCTCGTGACGGAGATCTGCGCATATTCTTCGAAGCCGATTGGAGACTTGGACTTGTCGCTATTGTCAAAGACGATTGTAACGCTGGCTTTTGTGACGCCTGCTTGCCCTCGCTTGTAGATGAGGTCCTACCCTGACTGTCAGCTTGACTATCGCTGCGCTAACCCACACAAGCTCTCTTGTCGCCAGAGCGATTTACCTGCAGATTCGTCGCGCGGACGGTGCTCATGTTCGTGATCCCGAGCACAAAACATATTGAATCGAGAATATTTGACTTTCCACTTCCATTCAGACCCGTAATCGAGTTAAAGCTCTCGTCCCTGCCAGAGATTAGATTCTCGATTTCTGCGCATGCAAGCGGTTGCGCTCACCATCCTGATATTACCGTTCGAACCGCGTACGACTTGAAGCCCTGCAAACACGTCAGCAACGTTCGCGAGGTCTCAAGTATAACTCATACGTCAATGACAACTTCTATTACCCTCATGGCGAAGAGAGTGTGCGAAAAGACTCGTTTGTCGTGAGTGTCGCGCTTTGTTTGCTTGTAAACAATGCACCTACGACATGGGTGCCTGAGGCTTCCCTTGCACGCGACGCCGCAGCGGCCCAGATGTCAGACGCGTTCGTCGTTCCTCTAACTCCACACACCAACGAAACGGCAAAAGTCCTGCCACTTCAAACCTTCAGAGTTTGCAAGGCGTCTCTATGCGGACAGTCTGCTTTACTGCACCTTTTAGGGTCCTGAATTATCGCAATACCTGTCTTCTAACTTATATTTCACTGTTTTCTGGCAAACATACATTTAAAGTCGAAGTCGGGCGCAATCAGGTAAATAGCTCGTGATTTCCATTGAAGGATCGCTTCGACCAAACGCTGTGCAAAGCCCAGAGAGTCACCATAGTCCAAGTAAAAATACAAAATAATCCGTAGTTGAACTCTGTGGAACATGTTGATGAAGGTTTTTAATAAGAATGAAGATCAATGAAGCCTTCATGAAAGACTTCTTCTCGCGCGGACTTCCTCCTTAGTTACCGTAGGAAATTGTATTCATATGAAAAATATGTCACACCATCCGTGAAGTGTTTGATTGTGAGTTGATTGGTTGACATCACATTTTCTGCATCAAGAGTGCGAGAATTTCCAGATATCGGTGCGGGTCTGACGGCCAAAATAAAGAGCCGAATCATAAACGCCATCAAGGTCACTTCGGACAATAGTACCGTAACTTATACCCAACGAACTTTGCGCTCCCAACACTCTCTTTAACACGCGCACTGCGACAATGGGAGCTCTCGAAATCACGCTACTGCATCTCAAGCCTGGCACCGAAGCTGCTCAGGATTCGCTGCTTGAGAACTTGAGAAGCGTTCGCGCGCAGCTCAACACGAACTCAAGGTTCTACCTCGACCGTGGGAGACCTACAAGTATATTCATTTTTGGCCTTTGGCCTACGATGGAAGCTCACAAAGCCTTTCTCGCATCTCCGGAGTGTGGGCGGATTCTAGGGCCCCAGGAAGCTCAGACTGAGTTTGCATGGGGTCTACACGTCGCAGATGTGAGCACAATGGACGATCTGCCGCTCGACTCGAAAATCATGTATCTGCATCTTCTCGAAGTGCAAGAAGCCGAAGAAGTCGCGTTGGATGGTGCGCTGAGTCACGTACTTCATAAGTTTGAGAGGATGGTTGGTGATGCCGGCAATCCCGTTGTATGTAAGAATGCCTTAGACGCTGCTCCTGGCAACGTGGGAAGATGTGTAATTCATGGTAACGAGGAATTGCTTGAGATGCTCGCGGATGTCGGACGCATGTGCTCTGATACGGCGTACTCCGTGTGGCAGTTAGAGGACTTGGAGAAGATATGACGAACAACGACTTACGCTCGCGGCAATGACTGACCGATGCAGAAGTCTGATGCTATTTAGCTGAAGAAAACAATAGATCAATAATTACCATGCCGCTTTTTGACGCATACGCCCTTCAGTCTGATTTGTGGCCTTGTTATTCCTGCTCATGAATAAGAGTACTGGAGACTATGTGAAATACAGTCCATTGGAATATACGCATGGGCCTCATTAGAACGACGCAAATAGCATCATGCCTCTTGATTATGGACAGAGTCACATGGAAATCTCCTAGAGGGGGAAAAAATTCTTACGGGCTATGCTCAGCTGATCTAATAAAAATGAGCTCGGCTATTGTATAAGACACATTTGGTCTGAGACAAGTCACTCGGACGACAGAACTGCGAAGAACTTGCACAATCGCACCACGATAACCTGGTGTCGGGCTCAACTCTGCCAAGTAGCAGCTCAGGATATTGACGACTTGCCCTTCCTTCCCATAGCACAACATTCAAGACCTAGCAAAGAACCTACCATTGTGTTCTATGAGTAGTCAACCCCTCTCTCGCCCTTTTTGCGTCAAAAGCTTTGATGAAGTCGTCATATTCGCCGACTGCGCCATTGGCCAATCTCTTGACTTTCCCTTCTGGTGTGAACACAAAGCCCCTGATTGGTACAATCTCTCCGTCCGTCGTCTCGACTGAAAGGGGTATATCTCCTGGAAAGAACAAGTCTGTTGGGTTTTGAGCGAGAGTGGGCGATATTGGATCGAAGATCACCGGGTCCGGCATGTGAAATTGGGAGCCGCTAGGCCCGAATAATGTATTGAAGCTTGCTGTCTGCGTCGTTTGCGATGTTAACATTGAAGAGGCCATAGGTGGCTGGCTTGCGAGGCTATTCGTGTGGACCGCCGGATTTGGAGAGGCTGAAGGTAGCTCAGGAGGGTTTCGACGTATCCTTTTCGGAGTCGAAGTAGTGAGAGGGGGCGATGAATCCGTCAAATCAACATATGCGCGTTTCTTGCTTTGGCTAGACTCTTTCGTTTGAGATGTCCCTCTCTCAGGAAAGTTGGGGATAGGTGGAAGCCTTGGGGTAGTTTTGTGGGCTTGTGAGGCAGGCTGAACTCCTCTAGATGCTCGTGGATCTGATGTCAGCGCTTTTGAATTTAGAGCCATATTGTGGGCCATTCTTTGCCTCTGAGCGGCACTACGCATCTCCCTTGATTCTTGTTGCTGGTAATTTTCTTGAATAGGCGCTTGCCGTGAAACAGGACGCGGCTCAGGAGGATTTCTCGATGGTGGCGATATCTCAACTGTCGAGTTTCGACGTGGTGTAGATTCTCGATTAAAAGTCATTGCTGGTGATGGCAGTTGCGGATTTGGCACTCCTAAATTTTGTGACGTCTGCGGATTCTGACTAGATGTCTCAGGACGTTTCGGTGTCGGTGGCGCCATCTGTCTAATTTGCCGAGCTGAAGATGCCATCCTTTGTGCTTGTCCTGAGAATGAAGGGGGAATCGCATCTTGAACAGCTGGGTTGGAAGATGGGCGAGACCTCGCCTGCGAATGTGATGTGTTTAGATGTTGCATTCTCGATTCAGCCTGAGAGCAAGAGCAGTAGCCAAGAGACAAGTTATGTTGATGCATCTTGCATATTTCGACGACTTGCCTTCCTGCCGTGGAGCCTCCGCCGTTCGGATCTGCGAACTCTCCGCTCTCATCGCTATATTTTTTCCTAAACCTTTCCGCCTTCTGATGACATTCATGCTGATGCAAGTCAAACATGCCACATGACTCTTCCCACGCGATCATGTTGACCTGCTTCAGGTATGCCTTTATCATCTCCATCATATCCACCCCATAGAGCTCGTTTTTCCGCCCAAGTGCGAACTCTAGGGCCATGTCAAGCTCCTGGTGCAAGGCTTCCATGGTCTTTCGGTACTTTAGTCTCCGCTCTGAGCGGACTTTTTTGCTGACGTCAGGCTTTACCATGTATCTGCCTTCGAAGCGTGGCAAAGATACTATCTCAACAGGTTCTCGTGGTGGATCTCTCGCCTGTGTAACGAATTTTGTCGCAATGCGTCCGGATTCATCGCAGATTTTATCTCCACAGGCGTTGCAGAATAGGTGGCGCTCATTTGTTGGTGACGCGTCTTGATCATTTGCAGTCTTTAAACTAGGCATTGTAACAATCTTGGCACTGAAATGTGCACCTTTTAGAGATGAGCACGTGCTGTGAGCGAGAACAACAAACGGTATATATCTATTCCTTGAAAGCAAAGGGGCGCGTTTCGCAGTTTTCCAGAGTGTTATGCGCTTACGGCATGGAGCGAAAAGTTGAACAAAGGTTAGGAAGAATGGACGAGCCGTGACCTAGATGAAGGATTATATGTGAGTACATGTCAGAATAATTGTGACTACAAATCATGAAGCTGAACAATTAGTTTGAGGATTTGGAATGTGAGTACATTTCAGATCTGGAGTTCATGCCGTTCAAGGGTGGTGAGATGTGTTGTAGCTCGTGAGTGCTGGAGCAATAAAGAAGTCAATAGTAAATCCAGCGCAACAATAAGCGATAGAAAATCGACTAATGGTGATGACAATGCGCAACATTAAGAGCTTCAAAGGTGAATTAGTGTGGTGTGTCCTCCTGCTAGATTGGCGGTTCATCTTTAGCCAGGACCGCAGCATGGATATCATCTCCGGAACGCAAGTATTGAACAAGAAGCTTTAGACTGAGTGAGGGAAGCACGTCGGGCGATCGCGCGGTGCTAGAGAACAACCGACGACTGAAATGCAAGATGCTCACAGGACAAATTTTTGGAGAGTCAAAGTGACTTAATTCGACAGTATGACGCTGCGGTCCCTCATCCATCGACTTTCGTGTCTTGCGGTCTTCACACAAGCACAAAATTCCAAAGGCCATGAAGAACAAGAGCAGAGAAAAAGGTGCAAATGCATGGTCCTATGCTTGAGTTAGCGAAGCGTATATAACCTCCACTCCGAAAAATTGAGAATACACCGGCGAGGAGATAGAACGCATGCCTTGAATCTTGGAGAATATAACACTGCGGCAGTAGTGGAGAACGTTTCTATCGTAAATTGACCCAGTCACCTCCAGCGTGTTGCTGAGGCCCATTCATGCAATCCAGCTTTATTACAGGACGCCGTCAATGCGAAAGAAGTTTGCTCGCGGGACAAAGCCATCGGAAAGATTGTACAAACCAGACCCAACGTTTTGCCAACCATCAAAACTTTGTCTAGTCTGGCCCATTGTCCCTTTCAAACTCTCTTTCTCTTCTAGAGCTGCTCCGCGGCCTTTCATCCTCTTTGTCGCTCTCCTCGCTGATTGTTTCGTACCCGTCGTCGTCGCTAGCAACACCCACGCTCTCCGTCTGACTTCGTGAAGCTGCTCGCTCTCTTTTCTGCACATCCGCTGACTTCTCAAAAGTAGCATACTGTGCGTTTACGCTGCCAGCGCGGCCGAAAAAGTCACTGGTCCTCACGCCGCGAACATCCTTTGGGTCTACTCTTGCACCTAATCGCCCCTGCCTCTTCATCTCTTGAATGTATTCTCTTACGGGACCCATGGCCGCATCTCTACACGCCTCCTTGATGTCGCTGCCGCTCATTCCAGCACTCAGCTTGACAAGCTGATCCAAGTCGAAGTTCTGTCTATCGATCTTTGTGTCCCGCAGGATAAGCTTGAAGATACCGCGCCGTTGGTGCGCGTTCGGCAAAGAGACTGGGAACTTCTTCGGCATGCGACGGAGAATGGCTTCGTCGATGTCTTGGATGCGGTTAGTGGCACCTAGGATGCATATTCGCTGGGGTGTGCCCGACGAGTTCGAAGAAGCCAGACCATCCCAGTGGGTCATGAACCTGAACGTAAGCTGTTAGTTTCGCTAGTCTGTTTCCATGGACAACCAGGAGAGGCATTACTCGGCTTTGACCATTCCACTTGCTTCGTGCTCACCGCTGCGTCTCTGACCCAGCACAGCGTCGATCTCATCGATAAACACGATGGTTGGCTGCAGCTTTCTCGCCAGCGAGAACACGGCGTTGACAAGCTTATTGCTGTCGCCATACCACTTCTCGGTAATGGTGCTGATGTGCAAGTTGATGAAGCATGCACCACTTTCGTGCGCCAACGCTTTTGCCATCATCGTCTTTCCACATCCAGGAGGGCCGTACAAAAGCACGCCGCTCGGGGCGGCAAGCAAACTCGATGATGAAGCGTACAGATGTGGCATGGTAAGGGGGTATATCACACTTTCTTTCAACTCCTCAATGATGTTATCCAGTCCACCGATATCTTCGAAGCTCACGGGTATATCCTCTGGGGCAACGACTTCCATCGCAATCGTCTGCTCATAGCTGCTCAGTTGTAGGTCTTGAAGCGCGGGTCTGTCATGGCCCCACGGCCTCGACGAAGACGTCTCTTCAGTAGACGCGTCGCTTCCCCGTCTGGAGCGCCGAGAGGTTAGGATGCCTTCGAGCTTTTTACGCGCAGCGTCGGCTTTCTGCTGTGCTTCTGCTTTAGTGGCACCTTCCGGGTCGAGGCGGTTGATCAGAGACCGCGCCACCCAGTATGCGGCAAAGGACTTGTTTTGGACGTTAGCATGTATCGCGCTCTTGATCGGCTGACCCTGGGGAGATAAAAGTGCGTACGGCTATGGCAATTGACAGGAAGTCCTGTGCCCAAGCCCACTTTCTGGGCGATGCTGTGGTCATGGTGGATTACTTGAGTCGGTTTCGGGTATCATAGGAGGTCGTCAGAGAAGAGCGGCGGAAGATGGCGACGGCGAATAAATTGTTGACGTGGTAATCGGTGATTGCGGTGTATTCCACCGCCTCGGCACGTGGTGAGGCGAAAGGACCCCTGTCGGCCGTGCATGCGCCTTGGGCACTGTTCCAGTTTCCCGCCGCATTCTGGGAATGTGAAAGTTTAAGGATCGTGTGGGGAAAGCTAGATTCCCAGACCCATTTCAAAGACGCCGCACCGGAACCAGATGTGAATTCGACACCAGAGGACCCATCGAAGATGGGCATCATCAATCCACGGCTCGTGCGTGCATCTGTTACAAGGACTGGCCTCATCGCGCAGTCACACCAGCAGCTGCGCAATGTCGCGGCTTTCCGCAACCAAAATCCTGGCGAAAAGGCATCAAGCGATGCGCTCGGTATGGTCGGCCCGCCCAAGAGAAGGAGCAGGGCGAATGACGGGACTGTACGATGGGATAATCTAAGCGCGGGCGAGAAAGTCGTGCGCTCTGGTCAGCAATCATTCAACTTTCTCGTCGTCATTGCAGGCGCAGCACTCACCGTCGGAGTCGGGACACTGCTTTACTCAGAGGTGTTTTCACCATCGTCGAAAACGGTTCAGTTCAACCACGCCGTAGATCGGATTCGGCAGTCAAGAGAATGTGTTGATATTCTATGTGGACCTATGGGCACAGGCAAACAAATTTCAGCCTACGGCGAGACGACGTGGAACAGATGGAACAGGAACAGACCGATTGCGTCAAGGACGGAGACGGACAGGACGGGCACGGAGCATCTGCACATGCATTTTCATGTTGAAGGTCCAAAGAATAAGGGAGTTGTACGAGTGCACATGATTCGGCTACAGGGATCCAACGAGTGGGAGTACTATCTTTTGGCATTGGATGTACCGGGAAGAGATAGAGTTGTACTTGAAAGCAAGGAGAAAGCCGGTATTGATAAGAAAGGTGGCAAGATGTTCGGCGTGAAGTGGTGGTGAAACCTTTAGGAGAACGAGAAGCTAACGCAGACAGCGAAACTTCGTGATCCGTATACACGTGCTGGAGCATAGCTCAGCCCAAGAGAGGCTTCCGTACTGGGTTTCTGTACGCCTTGCTACGCGAGCAATGATGTACCTCCTGGTGAAGTTCCTGTAACCATAGAGCAATCAAATACATCACCATATCCTTCTACGAGTTCTCAATACGCAATTTCCGACTCACGTCGAATACGTCCTCAAAAATCAACTTCGGCTTGTGAGATTGTAAGACCGCCTTTCGGAAAATAATGGCCGTTACCACGTCGTTGTCGGCCACGCGAAGCCGATGCGAGCTTGTTTCCACATCACGTGGGTCCATTATTAATCCAATTCCAGTACGTGCCGAGTATGTTAGGTATTTACCCACTCTTTTCTTCTTTTTTATTGGAGCTTAATAATGCTAAACTCCCTATCCGTGTGAGAGTTGTTACGGCAGTTGCTCTGTGACACTCCCTCTTGCCGTTATTACAGGTCCTCTTTAACAAAGCAAACATGCTCTTACCATCAGGGAAGCAATGGATTATAGAACCCGCGAAGGGGTTCGATGGGCTGCAGCTAAAACACAATATTCCTACCCCGAATCCAAAGAACACTGAGTGCGTGATCAAGTTTGAAGCCGTGTCCCTCAACTATCGTGACATAGCTATGCCTCTGGGCGAATATCCCAGCAAGCTTCACGAATGTTTTGTTCCATGTTCGGATGGCGCTGGCACAGTCGTTTCCGTTGGTCCATCCGTCACGAAATTCAAGGTTGGTGACAAGGTCACGCCGTGCTTTCTCCAAGGCCACGATGATGGCGAGCTGACGCCGGAAAAACGTGGGACAAGTCTAGGACATCCTCGAGACGGAGTGTTGAGACAGTATGCACTCTTTGAAGAATCAGGTCTTGTGGCTGTTCCAGAGTATCTGTCTACAATCGAAGCATCGACATTCCCTTGTGCTGCCGCCACGGCTTGGAATGCCCTATTCGGTCTTGAGGGACGCCAGTTACAACCCGGACAGAGCGTTTTGACGCAAGGAACAGGGGGCGTGTCGTTGTTCGCCATTCAAATCGCACTTGCTGTGGGTGCTATGGTGATCGCTACGACATCATCAACGGAGAAAGAAGAAATGCTCAAACAGCTTGGCGTACAGCACACGATAAACTATAGGACTGACCCTAACTGGGGGGAGACAGCCAAGAGGCTGTCCCCGGATGGATTGGGGGTGCACCATGTCATTGAGGTCGCCGGTGACTCAGGACTCCCACAATCCATAAAAGCAGTTCGCCTGGAAGGCACCATCTCCGTAGTAGGTTTCTTGGGTGGCATAGGGAGTCGGGGTGTTAGCTGCACGGAGGTTATGTTCTCATCGTGTGTGATCAGGGGAATGCACGTTGGCTCGAGGAAGCAGCTAGAAGATCTGTTTCGATTTTCCGAGGAGCACAGGCTTAGACCAATTGTTTCTCACCCAACTTTTACGTTTGATGATGCCAGGGCTGCATTTGAATCCTTGAAGAGCCAGTCAACGTGGGGAAAGATTGTTCTTCGGCTCGAATAACGAAAATGGTGAGCTAGAACAGCCAGTTCGACGTATATGAGCTACATCGAACGGGTCAAGTCCAATCGAGCAGATTATCAAAGACTTTCATGAGAAATGTCATCAGCTCACTGAGGTTCCTCAGCTTCTTAATGTTTCCCACTATTCTAGAATGACGCCGATCAACTTTGCGATTTCAGCTCGTCAGAGCACTGCTCTCTTCTGATTCGATGGAACAGACGTGCGAAATTCGGGAATTTCTACAGCGGCAGAGCTCCATAACGGCCATTTCATATAAAAGCTGTACAAATCCTTCCCAGAGTGTTTCTTACGAGAACCAAAGGATTACAGCCATGCCATGGCCGTAGGCAAACTCTTCGATACTATGGCCCATTTGCTCAAATTATACAATACATTTGACGTCCTGGTAAAGTCCGTCCCTTTGTTCACAACCAAGTCTTGGCATTCAGTACAAATTTGACTTGTTGCGTTGATGGACTTGCTACTAGTTTTGTAGAGCAAAAGCGAGAACGATTGGATACATATCAGGAGTCCAAAATTTTTTCATCGGCTATGATTTGTGTGCTCTCCAAGCCAGATCAAGATATCTTTATCATCAACCCTGCAAAGGCGAAGACAAATTCGTTGAGGCATGTCCTGAAATTCCACCGACAAAAAATCATGGACTTTGATATTCATCAGCTGCGAAAGCCGAGCATGCACTGGACTAGCCTTAACAGCAGAGTGATTAGTTGAATCGTTGTACTAGAAGTGGCCTTTTTGAACTGACTTTAATGATGTCTTTGTACTCTAATCTATTAGAGCACGGTTTCTCGAGCCCGTCGCCGCATAGGAAACGAACGCTCTTTAAATTGATACGATTGGCGAGAATTTGCAGGATCTCTAAACCACAGATTTCGACATCAACTATCTCAATGGCTGTTCGGAAATATACGGCTAGTGTCCGAGCATTTCGAGCTGCTTCTGGGTATCGTCTAACAATACATTCGGACTCCTCGTGGCTTTCAGGGTAGCGGCAGCCCAACAAGACTGGATTTGATTCAAGCATGCGTTTCTTGGCTTCTTCATGGATCTGGCGATTGACCATGAGGATGGAGTTATCAAGAACAACAGTTGTAATGTATTCTCGTCCTGTAGCAAATGGCCATGTCTCATTTCCAGAAGATAGGTTAAACCGCCTTGTGGCGCCATGTGAAGCACGCAGAGATTCGGCGGCGCGGTGGCCAATTGGCCGGATCCAGTCCGCACCAGAAGCTAGCACGTAGCCATAGATTTCATCGCGAAGCTCTCGAGGAAGCTTGAAAAATCCTGGAAGATTGTTGTCGGACTTGGACTCTTGTGCTGCTGTCTTGATGTCTACAAACTTCTATATTAAGTCAAGAGATAACAGACAAGAGATAGTCTTGACCGTGAAAACTGACCCCGGCTTATGAATGACGTCTGTCTCAAAACAGAGTACATGTCATGCTTCATAGCAAAGACATGCTGATGCGAATTGGGCAGGCTTCGTGGAATGGACTTGATATGGAGAAAAGTATTCCCTCGCGAAAGCGGAATACAGAAATTTGGTCTTCATGACCTAAGAATGAATCGAGCACCAAAGACGTAGTGGTGCGTCACCAGACAGGCACCGATAGCATGTCGCGTGAGAGGCTTAAAGAGTTGCTGATTGTGATTGGTCTCTTCACTATGCAGCACCCGCCGCCATTGAGGTTCGTATTGAAGTGATTGGAACGGTCAACAGGTACATCTGCACCGTCTCCGCACTTTCCGAAGTCAAAGCCCAACTGCAAAAGTGTAACGGCGTTGCGGAAGCATCATGAGACCTGTAAGCTCGGCTGTCAATATGCTCCTGAGCGGAGCTTAGTTGGTGTGTCGTTCAGACCCTCATGGCTGCAATCGACGTATTATACCGCACCTGGGAAGCACAAAGCATTCTGGCTTAATAGATACTTTGATCAAGAACCAAACACAACTAAAAAAAACCAGATGTTCCGATCGAGTAAGTGTACAGATTGTCGTGCATCGCATCGAGGTTACGTCATCCCTATCTCTTCTTCACGGCAAGTTTGCTGGATAAATGAGAGTTTGTAACGTTGCTCCTCCACATTCCAATACTTAGCTCAGAAAGATGAAGCAATCATCGGAATCAATCCGCGTACTGAAAAAAGAGACTTGTGACCAAATATGTCGTTTGAGTATGGCGGATGTTCTTAAGACCCGACTATGCGGCCTTGAAGCTTCATGTCGGCGATGTTGTCCAAGTCATGTTCGAGCGAAATTCAATCGGTGAACGCCATTGGACCATCGTAGAGTCAGACCCATACTTACCCCGCATGTCAATGCTTGAAAGAGTTTTGGAGATGCAGTCAGAAGGACGCTGTCGTGTCTCCAGTACGATCTGCTGAGTTGAAATCTCTCAGAATCCATACGCAGTGGATAAAGTTGACCTCGTTCTGAACTCCGACCAAACCGGTCGTGACATGACTGCCGCCGAAAAGTCACGCTGGAAGCGTGCGTATCTTACACATTCTTACGCTTATTCGTGTTTGCAAGACCCGGTCCAAGTCTGAATGGTTGTTGGTGCGAAACCGTGCGCGGGTATCTAGACGACATAAAAGCAACATCACTGTCATGTTGTTCTCATGCCTTTAACGGATGTTCGAACAGCTTTTGAATGCTGAGGAACGGAGCCAATGTCCGATCAAAAAATGGCCAGAGATTTGGCTCAAACCAGAAAATTATTATCGGGCTTACATCTCGATCACAATATCTCGTGACTGCTCTCTGCTCATAGTTTGATCGGCCCAGCGCAATAGATATTTGCAACAGGAGTAGTTGATAGAAACCCTGCTAGTCTCAAGCCGGAGCATAAGATGCAGAGGGCCATGGTCCTACACAAGCGTTACCGGACACGACTTCAGGTACAACATGTAAGCATTTAGCTGATCCGGTAAGTTAAGAGAAGTGGAAGTCAGAAAAAACCAAGTTCTACGATCCTAGACATGGCCAAGTAACACCCGGTACTTTGAATACCTCCGGTCAAAGTCCACGTCAACGAGACATTTACTTGAAGGGAGCTTTCAACTTACCAAAACTCTCACACTGCCTCGTTAATGCCGTGGCTCTTTAACGCTTCTGTCCCAAAGCGGTAACCGGCGTATTCGGATCAGACTTCTGGGTCTGCCTTGGCTGTGTCGCCACGCTATGATTGGGCCAACGTGCAAGCCCTTTTGCAAGCACCCATGGCTGCCCCTTCGATGAACCTCCAAGAGCAAACACGTGCGTCGAGCACCTCGTCTCTGATGAGAATACGCTAGCGTGGAGTGATTTCTTTTTGCCTTGTCTCAGCCGGGCGTGAATGCAAACACGGGAATACGATGTTGAGGGGGGCGTTGTTGGGCTTCCCACTAGGTGCTGCGCCCTTGAGTTACTTACCCGTACGCGCTGTATAAGTTCGATCTCTTGGTATCAGCCTCAAGGAAAGCACGCACATCATCCAAACCTATCTGCCAAAATTCGTTTTCATTTCGCATCGTTTACTGCGCTATCATACGTGAAAGTTTTGTCATACTCGAGGAAGTCTGTGAAAAGAAGGCTTCCCGGTTGAGAGCACCTTGAAAGACCACGTTCAAAAGTCCCCTCTTTGGTTCAGCAAAAATGGGGTCGTCGTTCGATCCAAGTATGTGATATGTGGAAAAAAGGAAAAGAAGCTTTATGTTCACATGTACTAAGTATGTACCAAGGACGGAATTACATGAGCCATCCCACCAAGGGAGCAGGCAGCGTCTTCGCCATCCTCTTCGCCTTTGCTTTCACGTTGCACGTCTACCAGAACATGTACGCATCTCACATATGCTCTCCTTACCAACCTAATTCCGCTGCCGCCATGGATTCTGCTTAACACGTTAGCAATAGAAAGTACCGATGTTGGCGTCTCAACTGGTTGACGCCATGCACTGCGATCATCTTCCTCGCCGGCTCCATTTCCCTCGAGTACAGTGCCTTTCACCCAACGGACTTCTCGCCCAGTCAAGGCCTGTTTTACAGCGGATCGTAAGTTCTCTTCGATCCTTAGCATCCTGTCGACGCCATCGACCCCTTCTTACTAACGTGATCATCGCGACACTAGTGCTGTCCTCGTGGCCGCTTACTGCGTCTACTTGGTTTACCTGATGGCAACCCAGCACGAGCTCAAGAGGTGGTGGAACCAACTGATTGGCACGGTCTTCATATTCACCCTCAGCGGCGTCATCTCCCTCACTGCTCAGGGGACGTCTAATTTCTTCGGCACGGGCGCTACTCCTTCGAGCGCCCACGCAGGCCTACAAGTCTTGCGTGCTGGTGTGACAGTTCTCCTGGCTGCGAATATCGTCTCACTCGTGGTTTTTGTCCTCTTCTATCGGCACATAGCTCTCGGTCTGGGGCGTGAAGATATCAAGCGCCAAGTCAAAGTCTGGATCTCCGTGCTTTGGGCCATAGGCATCCTGCTTCTCGCGCGAAACCTGTTCCGCACCGTGCAGATATTTTTACCAGCCAGCGCTGACCTGTGGACTTCCGAAGCGTATTTCTGGATCTTTGAGGCCGCCATCGTTTTTGTCTGCATAATGTTGCTGAATTTGCTGCCACCAGTCCTAATTAGCCCAGCACGAAACGTATGCACTAATTCGTGCTAACCCATGCAATTTGGCAAAATCAAGGTTAACAGGCGTATATCTTTTCTCTTTTTCGTTTCCTTTTTTATTCTTTTTTCAAAGGCGGTAATGAGACAGGAATGATTTTGTGGGCATTGATTTGGGTTTTGCCCGTAGTCTGTCATTACTACTTGGTCCTGCTTTAGGACAAATCTTATTCCATGTCGCACATTGAAGAAAAAGGTACGAATACTATGCTGTTACTCCCATCAATTGAAAGGCGTGGATTTGGGATGATTGTCTTTCGATAAATTAATGCCCTTCAACCTTTTAAGTATGCGTAATATTCTGCCCAACTTAACCAAGTCATCGATAACGGTTTTCCTTTTACAGGTAGAAAGGTGGTAGCGAGATGCTTTTGAACAAATAGATCAAATCCAAAGCATACGCAGTCTTAGGTGGGACCTCTTCTGATTCTGTCATCCAAGAAGTTGATCATTTCGTTATCAACTTCATAGCGAACGCTCATATCGTACTCGTATCACACACATACATAGATCTCAACCCCCATCAACCGCACAATGAAGTCTCATGCTCTCTGCGTGACGGTCTGAGTCTCCCGCACCATCAGTGGCATTTCTATTCGTTCCTTTAGCAGATCAGTACTGTTGTTTACTTCCGCCAGGCCGAGAGAGGATGCCCTCGCACGTTGCGCATGAAACTTTTGTCTAAAATCTGAGCGTAATATCCTTGGAAGTGTTCCCCAAATACACGATTGCTGACTCGTCGTCATGGTAGAAAATGAGCGATTCTTAGTCAAAGCCGTGACTAGAGGCAGCGTGAACGAAAAACATGCCAATCCGCACTGAAGTTATCAAATCCTCTCATTTTCTTTCTTTCCTTTTATTGCCTTTCTTTTATCTTTGAAAAGTTATCTTCCGCAAAAAGTAGTATATGCTCCAGTATTAGTAGTAACTAGACGCGAGCCAACAAGGCAGAGCGCTAACCGGATGTGGCCAACGTGCCTGTACTGTGAAGTCACGCCTTATCGATTGAACCGCGCGCTGCCGTTTGCACAACCGCATCATGGAGCTGGATGGGAGCGAGAACGATGAGGACGCGACGGCCGAGCAGCGTTCCAATGGGCGCCTGGACGCTAGGCTCTCGGCCTTTGTGCTACTCTTGCTCTTGTCACTGCAAGCCCTTGGTCTGAAGATCATGTATCTTCCCTTGAATCGACTTATCGAGGATCGTTTCTGCCGCGACTACTATACCAAGGTCAACCCTGGCGTCATTCCGGTCTCCGGGTCAGTGCCAGAGCAGCTTTGCAAGGTCGACGTTGTTCAACAGCAGCTTGCTTCGCTCTTTGGGGCGATAGAATCTGTTCATTTGTTCATTGGTTGGTGATAGAACACTTCTTCGTCGGGCCAAATAAAGAGGCTAAAAACAAAATTTAGATCTCGTCGTAGTGTTGCCGTATGGTATTATTTCTGACCGCGGCCACAGAAAATTGGTGTTGATTCTCAATTTTTTTGGCTTCATTGCCATGTACTCCTGGCTTTTTGGAATGGGTTCGTTTGCTACCTCTGTGTCTCCGACGTGGATGCTAGTTGGTCCCGTTTTCTCCCTTTTTGGAGGCGGGGAGTGTGTCTTTATGAGCACGATCTCGGCCTTGGTTACGGATTTTGCGAATTCTGATATTGAAAGGTCAGTGAGGCGGCCAGCAGCACGACTTTTGGATGCTTAGTTTCTGCAGGACGAACATGTTCGCATACATCAGCTCCATCACTTACGTGGTTCATCTGATAAGTCCATCTCTTGCTGCTTTGACAATGTCACGTAGCTTAAGGCTTCCGTTTGTACTTGGATTGGTGCTCTTGATCGTCGCTATTCCTCTCATTACGCTTTTGCCAAAAGATTCGAACAACGTCGGTGATGACGTCGACTCAGAAATCGAGCCATTGCTGGACAATGGCGGCAATGAGGAGGAGCTACCAAAAGGAAATCAAAGGAGTCACACACGAGCCATCCACGACATTCGCTCAAAGGTTGAAACGGTATGGAAACAGGTCTCCGGACGGAAGAACTTCCAGCTGTTGCTGGGCGTTTTCTTTGTAGCTGCACTGGCTAGTTCAAATAGCCCTCTGTTTCCACAATACATATCAAAGCGATACGACTGGACGTTCGCCAGCGCAGGGTATCTGCTGTCAATCAAGGCCGCTGTCAACGTCACCCTTCTGGCCTTGATCGTCCCCACTGTTGTGCAGATACTCTCAAAGCGTCTCGAATTCACTTCCGGGCGCATCAACAGGCTTGGTGCCGAAATTATGCTAGCAATATCAATCGCTGGAGCCGTTTTCATAGCCCTGTCACCTGGCGTGCCATGTCTGATATTTGGTAGAAGGCTCACTTTTTCTAGCTAGGGCATCAAGCTGACGAGGTACACAGCATTCTTTGTCTACGCTCTTGGATCGGCACTACCCGTTTTCACACTTTCGCTAGTCAAGGACCCGAGTGTGGCAGGTACGGAGCTGCAGGTTAACGCCATGGATTACAGCATCACAATGATAGCCAAATACGCAGGCAATATGGTTGGCCTGCCTCTTATGACCATGCTTTGGGCCAAAGGTATCGCATATGGAGGTCCAGCACTTGGTTCACCCTACTTTGCATCTGCCGTATGTTTGAGATATCATTGAGGAATCATAGCGAGCTGACGCACAACCGATAGATCCTGTATGCCTTTGGTGTCTGGCTAGTAGCAGCTATGTCAGATGACAGGCTGGCTGATTCCTACTCGGATGTGGCTGCTCTTAGTCATTAGTCATGCTTCAGCTGATTCATAACTTCTCTAGAAATTTGTTTCTGCTTTTTGTAATTGGCGAATTTTGGCTGGTTGAAGCGCTTACTCGGTTTGCGACAAATGCGCCCAAAATCGAAGTAAAAGCTGCGACAGTCAGCTTGATGTTTAGACAGAAATGATTACGCCAAAAAAAAGTTTGCAAACAAAGAAGGTCGAAGTTCAAAGTTTGCCACGTGGGATGCCTAGAACTGTTTCCGTGTTTGTCGTGCGCTGTCGAAGACGGATATACAAACGCAGCGACGGTTCTGCTGGGGCAAGCTGAGCCCCCTCACAGACGAACTAAATGAATTATATCTGGCTAAAAGGCCGGAGGCGTCCTTTTCTGTTCTCAAAGGACAGTACATAGACTCTATTGTAATCGACAACATCTACGGTAGTAAACGATATATGGTCGCAACAGGTGAGCCGGGGACAGGCGTAACGAGTATCCCCGAATGCTGATGTCGGTTTCACTCCAAGTTCTCGTCTACAAACTCTATGGCTTGCCGTTGCGCTTTCCTCAAGGTCAAGGAATCCATCTCGCGACCTGCGGGTATGAAGTGCCTCATCACCCTTTCCACGTACGCATTTGGCATACCCAACGCCGAGGCGTCGGCAATGCCCTTGTTCATCCGCACAATGTACTCGTCCTTCGGCGCCGACTCTGTCACTCGCTTGCGATCAATGTAGACCAGCGATTCTTTCCTCACAGAAGGGGCCCTGGTGACGTCTATTCTCTCGTCCAGGTCAGCGAGTTGGTGAGGCCAAAATTCGATGGGCAGCATCTCCTTGGTGTACGCGTAGGGAACACCCTCGTTCCTGTCTAGACGAGCCTCGTCCAAGGGGCTCAGGTAGTATATGAGGCCCCAAACTTCGTTATCCGCCGCGGCGGCCGGCGCGAGCTCAACTACGTTGGCATAGCCGCGTTCGTTGATGATCCACTTGAAGCCGGGAAGGCGGCCAAGGCCGACGAAGTGGCTGTTCGGACAACGAGAGTGCATCTGCTCGATCCACAAGTTGGAGCCGTAGCCGAAATAGAGCTTTGCAGACGGAGACGAAGGGCTCATGTCAACACAATTCGGTCCCGCGCTGGCCGGAGCGGCGTGAAGCTTGAAATTCTTAAGGCAAAGGTGGAGCCGACCGAAATGTGAAACGAGGGAAATTTGAATCTGTTAGATCTCGAGGAGTGGCAGGTGGAGATGGAGCACTTGTGAAGGGTTGAGGAGGGTGCGAAGGACAAAGGACGAAGATTGTACGTGACGAATCTCTCATCATAGGTAAACTTGTACGGATGGAGGTAAGTTGCCTACAGGTTCATAGATCACGGCGTCCCCCACAATGTCGAGGACTTTGGGCGCCAGCTTGACAAGAGACAAGATCTCCCAAAACACCAGCTCCATTTGCTTTCTCCTCTCATTTTTTTCTCTCTTTTTTTTCCGTCATTTTTTCTGGTTAAGTTCCATGATATGCACAAAGTCCGACCACAAGAAACAAAAACAAGGCACCGCGCCGCGATCACGTGCGAGGTCCGCCGTCGCTCCTAGCAACGAGGCCCGCCCCCTGGCGCCAAACCCAGCGCCACTCCTGAATAAAACGGAAACAACACCAGACAGTCCTGCATCGCCAACCTTCCTCCATCCGACGTCTGAAGAATCGAAAAGTCTCTTGTCCAGCCCCGCGCGAGCCCGTACGCAGAAGTGTATCGACTTGACAAGTTAGCCGAGAAGCCATTATCACTCACACCCTCTCAGCACACGTCCACACGCACCGAAAAGCTAGTCCAATGGTAAGCCAGAGACCCTGACCTGGGCGATTCCGTACCCTTCCTTCCGGCGGACCACCGTCGAGCGTCACCTGGTGTGTGGGAGAGTGTGCGGGCAGGTGAGCAGGCGAACTCGCGGATCCTAGAGTCTGCGTGTGTTTACAAACCCGCCGCTTGCATTCTCTTCGGCTTCGGCACGACATCTCACCTCTACTTCTTCGCTCTCCAGCTCTCGCTTCAAACGCTCCTCTCGCACTCCCTCGCCACCTGGCCTTTTCTGCCTCCCACACGCACGCACACTCACTCACTCACATACACGCACACACACACCTACCCTCTGTCCTTTCTCGCTTTCCGCCCTCGGACATAATCCGTCTCCGGAACTCATGGCAGCATCAAACTCACAAGGCCAACAGGCGTCGACGAACTACAAGGAGGCCTTCTCCCTCTTCGACAAGCGCGGCAACGGCCGCGTCGCCATCGATTCGCTGGGTGATCTCCTCCGCGCATGCGGCCAGAACCCAACGCTCGCCGAGATTGAGGAGCTGAAGCGCTCTGCCGGCGGCAGCGACTGTACGTTTTACCCCCTCGTCAAATCCTCCACCCATAAGCTCTACGCACGCTTCGCTAGCACCGTGCTCTGATCGCGACGATGACGGCGGGCACCTAGCGCCGGCTACAAAATGGGAACCGTGAAAGAATGAAGAAGCGGAGACCCAAAAAGTAAAATTAGGGAAAATAAAAACATGGAACCCAAAACAAGCAGACAAAACACAAGTCCCCCCTCACCGAATGTTGAGTTTTGCTGACAAGGACATGTTCCAAAATACAGTCGACTTCCCGACCTTCTCTTCGATCCTCAACCGCCCCAACGGCTTCCGCGACCCGGGCGACCCGTCGACGTACACGCGCGGCTTCCAGGTCTTCGACAAGGAGCTCACCGGCTTCATCGGCGTTGGCCAGCTGCGCTACATCCTCACCAACCTTGGCGAGAAGATGACCGACGACGAGGTGGACGAGCTGCTGAAGGCCGTCGACGTGCAGGGCGGCGAGGTCAACTACGAGGAGCTCGTCAGGACCATCCTCGCAAACTAAAAGGCTCGACCATCTCGATGGATCATGTTTTCTCTTTGCGCGTGTGCATGTTGGATCCTGGGGGCTTTTTAACATCTTTTCCGGCGTTGGGTAGGGCATGAAATCGGGGTAGGGGCCTTGCACACGGTTGAAAACCTTATCTCCCTTTATTTTTTGCTTAAGCTGTGGAGGCATTTCATGACGGAAACACGTACGCACGCACGCACAGCTTTGTATTCATTTTATTTTTCCCGCTTTGAACCCCGCCACCATGAAGAGTTGAAGGATCACACGAGCGACAATGAGCGCCAGAAATGGATTTGGCAGGATGCAGCTACAAACACGGTGAAGCAAGTCACCACGAAAGGCTTCTAACGTTGATAGACACACAACAATACCACACAGCAAGAAGTTTCTCATGTATCAAAAGTCTATCTGTGTATGATGCTCTCAGCTCGCTTATTCGCATTCATCTCACAGCGCACGATCCATGTCAAAAGGGCCATTTATATAGCTCGTGTATGTGTCTGTTACCCATCATTTCTTAAAGCCAGACTATGCGTTTGCCATTCATCAGCACAAGCGATGGGTGACGATGAATGCTCCCACATGTTTCTGTTGCAATGCAATTCATGATATCCGAGGCCCTCGCTAGGAGGTGATACTCGTACGTCATTTCGTCATCAGGCTATGAACGCTAGGAATCGAAGGTTAGAAAAGAAATGCCTATCCGTCCGTTTCTATTTGCGTCGCTCTCTAAGCTTGGAGGGGAGAGTGTGTGCGCGCGTGTGTGTGTATGAGTGAAGGGGAAGTGTTCCTGTTTCGCCACTATTGGAAGAGCATGCTAGCAGCATAGTCCAGATTTCCATCCGTAGCGTCCAGCGCGGCGATCGCCCTCTGGCGGTCAAATCCTAGCCCAATGAGTTGTTGTATCGACGCCTCTGGCCATTTTGTCGCGCTTGCGGGAGTGGGTGCCTGCGGCCGAGAAGCTGGGGCGCCGGAACTTGATGCACTGTTGTCCGCGGTTGAGAGCCCCGTTGCTTCTGATAAGCTGCTCTGACTTTCGGCTTGCTTCCCAGCTGCATTTGTGCTGCTGCTCGCATAGCGGCCACCGTGTAGATGATTTGCTGCCGCGGCAGATGATCCAGCGGGCCGGACGCTGCCCGTGTTTGCACCGACTTCCATACCGTTTGGTGCAGGAACCGTCGGCTCGTCCATCATGGTCTCCTCGAACTTCTTCGGGATCTCACTCTCCGGAAGAAACTTGACGCTTGTATGCGGGAATCTCAGCTCCCCTTTTAGCAGGTCAATGCATGCCTGGTGCCGCCTCAGCATGTCCAGTCCGAATAGCAGATCCACATCCTTGCCTTCCATGACGGTAAAGGCGCAGTCTAGTTCCGCATCACCGATCTGGATCTTGGCCTGATGTACGCGGCCCAAGATACGGGCTGTACCAACGCCGCGGGCAATTCCGCCAAAGCGCTCGTCAATCAAGTAGGACAGACCACAGGACTCGGCACATGAGGGTGACATGATTGTGGTCTGAGCGCCGGAGTCAACAAAGGCTTTGATTGGAACGTTGTTCACGACGACATCGACGTAGAGCATGGACACGCGGCCGAAGACCTCTGGGTTGTTCTCGATCGCGTATCTGTTTTAACATGCCAAGTCAGCGACCCGATATTGCTATGTCAGAAACATGTAGATAGGCACGAGCAAGCATACTGTAGATTTGCTTCAATCTTTTCCCTGCGGATCATCTCCGCTATCTTCTTCTGAGCGTCTACGTTGAACGGATCTTCGTTGAGCATTTTCATTTCCTCCTCGCGCTCGCGCTGCAAGCGATTTCGCTCCTCGAGCATACGCATCCATACCTGCAAGAAGCGGTTTGAATCATGCACTGCCTCCGCCAGCTGGGGACTCTGCTCGATGAGACCGGCAAGCTGTGGTGGGTTCGCCAAGATATCCTGTCTCAGTTGCTCGATGCGCGCAGGTGTGTCTGCTTCGGGCGGTGCTACGGGCCGTCGCGCCTGTCCTGCGCCTCCGTTATATGTGCCGCGAGCGCTACCGCCACCGAAACGGCCGTTTCCGGTTGTGTCCGGCCGCCGCACCATGACGGCGAGCATCTCGCCATCCTTGATGTCCGCCTGCTCGAGCGTCTGGGTGTCGCTGCGTAGGGCCTGGCCGTTGAAGAACAGTGTTTGTATGTTGGCTGGAAATTTTGTCTCTGCCTCGATCATGCCCTTCAAATCGGCGATGGTAAGACCAGGCGGGAGGTCCAGTGTGAGAAGGTCCTGGTCGTTGGGCTCGCCCGAAGCGTTGATCGATATAGTGATGCGCGGCCTGCATGATAGAGAGAATCGGCATGGTCAGCCTTCGCTACCGAAACGTTTACTTGCCCATTCCGAGACTCGTCCGCTTTCGTTGCGTCGCTTGCCGTGACTCTTGTTTGGATGCCCCGGTGGCCCATGGCACAAGAGGCTCCGCGCAGGAGAGACATGCAAAAGTAGCACACGGAGACTGTCGAGGCTGGTCCTCCACAAACAAGAGAGATGAATGGACTCACATTGGTCGACTGTGTGCAGGAGAAGACCTGCAGGTACCTGTATGCAAAGGGTTCTGATTCGAGTAGGGTGTCGTGTCACGAAGAGGTAGCTCAAGATCTCTTCGGCAGCAGAAGTGGAATAAAGATGGCAGCGAGCAGCGTTCGGTTGTGGTAACGAAGCGGAAAGAAGATAAAGGTGGGGAGCACCAGGGTGCGTGCGGGCGTACGTGGTGGGCTTTTAAATGTCTGGGAGCTGCTACAACAATATCGACTTCATAGTCAAAGCTGCAGACGTGAGGCAAGATAACGAGGCCGTTGGTGGCGGACGGGGTGGGGACGTGCAAAGAAGGTTGTCGAACGATTCGGACCACGAGGCAGCCACAGAACGCGCGGCGGAGGCGGCGATGTCTCTTGATTATAAACGCACTGGGGTAGGAACTTTACCGACAGGGCGGGTGGTGGAGAGAGCGATGACAGGGCGATGGACGGTTGTGCGAAAGATGAAGCTCCGGGGGGCGGACAGCTGGGGTGAATATGAGCGAAGAGGTATCGCGAGGGAGCAGAGGTAGGTTGAGTGTTGGAGGTGATGGTCTGCTGGCAGGTGGATTGACAGGCAAAGCTGGTGGTGGCACAAGGCACGACGCCTCACGCATGGTGGGCCTGCCACAGGAGCGGAGGTGCTGTCAACGTCGTGAGGCTTCTGCTGGCAGCCAGCAACACCTGGACTCGGCCGTGTTCTCATTCCTGATTGATCGATCAGCCAGCCAGGCATGGAACCGGAGGTCGACGTGTCCGCTCAAGCACGCTGACGCACGCTCGCCAGACACAAGCAGAGCTCGTCGCCGTCACTTCCAGAGACGCTTACCCGTCTGGTGCTGCGAACGCCCTTAGCCCAGCAGAGAGCCCAGACCGAGGACATGCACGAACCGATGACCTACAGAGGCTCGAATGCGCGTTCCGATGTTCGGCCGCCGTTGCGTCATCGCGGTGCGTCGCGAACGAAACGCCTCTGACTTTCCGCCGCACTCTGGCTGTACGTCCGTCCGCCAGCGCCGTCCTCATGTGGAGCCGGCTCGGTCTTCCTGCGCGGGCGTGTCAAAGGACACGCGTGCAACGCCCACCGGTAGTATCGTCTTCCTCGGCTCTGCCCCGTGAAGACAAAGAGCCGGCTTGCGGAAGTGTGGTTTTATGTGCGCCGGCGCCGTCATGCGGACACGGATGTCTTGTGCAGCAGCGCAATGCTGACCCGCACAGCCGCTGAGCTCGTCACGTACTTGTCCTTGTATGAGCAGAGCCGCAAGCGCGCCTCAAACGCCCGTTCGAAGCGCAGATGCCCAATGGCCCACGCCGGCCGCTCCTGCTGGATCAAGCAAGTCGCCGGAGGAACCGCATCGTGAAGATCCTCAGCAGGCGCATTCCATCTCGATCCTCAGATCTGGAAACCACGCCGCGCCCCGGTGGCCAATCACCTGCCGCGTCGCCGTGCTGTACCTGCCTGAAATCCCCGGGCCATTGCATGTATCCCATCGCCCTGCATGAGGAAATCGACCACCAAGTCGGGCCTCACTTCGACTCATCCTCGTCGTGTGATCGCCCGCTGGCCATCAATCCGCCCGTTCCCTCCACCTGTTTTCACTCCCGTTTGGCGCTCGATTCCCTATCGACTCCTTCGGACCACGTTGGAGCATGAGGCGTACGACCGTCATCGTGCCTGCCTAACCACAACCAGTGCTGCTGCCCTCTCCTAACTCTCCACGCTCTCCTCCTAGCCAAAGCCTTGGACCCGTGGCCGCTAGCTAGTCGTCCTACTCGGAGCGTAGAGCGAGACGCTGGGACTCTGGGTTTTCCACTAACATACTCGCCCTCATCATCGTCATCAACATCATCGTCGTCATCATCATCAATCATTGTCATCATCATCATCGTCATCGTCATCATCCTCATCATCACTTTCGTCGCTGTCACCATCCTCACTCCCCTTCCGGCAAGTTGGCGTACGGAAACTTCGGTCTGTGCAGCCACAAAGCGTGCCTTTGAACCACACCCACGCACACGCTTTCCTTTCCTAGCTTCGTTCCACATCGTGCGCACACCCAGATCCACGTCGCTTCCTTCCTTCCATCCTTCTCTCACCGCCCATCTGCATTCCAAATTAGGAAAGGGAAATTCACCATAGACTACCACCGCCACCACCGCCACCGCTGGCCATCGCCGCCGTCATCGCCCTCGCCTACCTCACCATCATGCCACGCGATCTTCAGCACGAGCTCGACGATCAAGCAACTGCCCAGACGCTCGAGAGCATGCCTGGCTTGTCAACCCAGTCCACCTCTCTGAACATGGCTACTTCTGAATCCGAGGACCTGTATTACGACACCGAGGAACAGCAAATCGAGGGTGTGAGGGTGTATCCAAAGGCTCTGACGCTGAGCGACCTAGATGCATGCTGCATCCTTGAGGACACCGCGTTTCCCCCGGAGCAGCGGTGCTCCAGAGAAAAGGTTTGTCCTACACATTTTTCCTTTTCAGAAGCAATTTTAAGTGGTGTTGTATTCCTGAGCGCTGCTCTTTTCTGTATTCTCTGCTCTGGAGCCGTTGTGAACGAGTCGCGGGAGTTTCGTTTGGCAGGCAATGAGCACATCACATGACCTTGAAAGCCGCGCGGATTGGTGTCGGTGGGGAAATGCTGGAAAGCAAATTCGAACGAGATCTGAATTGAAGTACGAAGACGGAAGAAAACTAACTCACATGCTCTCGAACAGTTTATCTATAGGCTGACTGTCGCCCCGGAGCTCTGCCATGGCCTCTTCACAACTGCTTCCCCAGACTACGAGCCACAGCACCTGAAAACTGCCGAGACTGCCAAAGCAGCATGCTCAGTGGAATCTTCGTCGCCTCGGAAGCAGATCCTCATCGCCCACGCGATTGGTACCCTATCCACCAACAACACTGTCCTCGACGAAGATATGGCCCTGCCCCCAGGCTGGAACGATGCCTCCGTGCCCAAGGACCCAAAGCTGGGTCACAAGCCTGAAGGGCGCGTTGCCATGTTGCACAGCCTGGCCGTGCTGCCCTCATATCAGGGAAAGCACATCGGCTCAACTCTTTTGAAAGGCTACATCGATCTCCTTCGCGCGAGCGGCAATTACGATCGACTCGCGCTGCTTGCGGACGACCACCATGTCAAGTTCTACGAGAAGCACGGCTTCACTAATTTAGGGCCTAGCAAAGCTGGCTTCGGCGGCGTGTCCTGGAACGACATGGTCTTGGACTTCAAGCACGGAGCTGCTGCGCATGACTGACTCGTGCATCCTCTCTTCAGTAAGCAGAGACTGCTCAAGGCAAAGCCGTTTAAGCAGAGGTCAAGGGGCATGGCCGGCGGTGCTGGAGGAAAGGGGGGTTAAAGTCGGTCGCGTACGCGAAGAGAGGATATTAATAAATAAAAATCGCGCCATCCGAATGAACGAAGACGGTGGTCAGCGACTGGGAAATGGTACACGGCTCGGAAAAAGCTTGATTGAATGGAAAGCCTAACATGGTGGAAATGGACAATGTTCACAGGCCCAGCTGTCAAACATGTAGATCAGTGTATGCTGCATTGCCAACGCCTGAAGCTATGGTATCGTCAGAAAGAAATAAAAGCCGTAACGTATGTACAGGAGTGCGTTCTAGTGTCCTTTCTTCCAAATTCAGAACCGCGTTTGAATCCCACACTAAAAGCGCACAACCCGTGCATAAAGCACCGATAAAGCACGGCACAGAAATAACGCAATCAGCGACTCCGCGTGCTGCCCAGGCCGCGCTTTCCGGTAAAGAGATGTTTTGGAATGCTGGCCGTCGTGTGCCTGTCCGCCTCGCCCTGTCTGGCCATCCTGTTCATCCGTTGCTGCCCCAGCTTCGCCAACCTCTCCGCCTTGTTCCTTGCCACCTCGTTCGTCACGCCGTCCAGCCGTCTGTTCCCCGCCACGGACACGCTGCGCGGCCTCGACAGCGCACGCTTGAGTCTCTCTTTGGGCGTGGCGTCGATGTCCATTGCGTCGCCGTCGTCCGCCAGGCCCTCGCTGCGCCCGCGAACGGACGAGCGACCGCGCGACTGCGACCCCGCGCGCGCGGAGATGGACGTGGTGTCGTGACCGGCGTCTTGAAGCGACCTTTCGAGCTCGGACAGCTTCTTCGCTTTTGCGCTGCGCGGGATGAGCGCCTTGTTCTTCATGCTGGACTTGCGCATGCGTGCCTCGTTGCGAATCAGCTGTCGCTTCTCGCGGATCAGCTCGGCCTTGTATCTGATCTCCTGCTCCTCGTCGTCGGTGATCTCCTCGCTCTCGTCATAGTAGCCTTCTGCCTCGAGCTTCTCCTCTTCCTCCTCCAGTGCCTTGAGCTTGGCCTCGATGTCAGGGTCGATAAAGTCGTACACGTTCATACCGTTGAACACTTCGGGCACGTGATCGTACTTCCACGCTTCGTCTTCGAGAATATAATTCTTCTTTAGGTCAATGCTGTAGACACCGGCACCACCGTTCTCCTCCTCGATGTCCCGCTCTAGACGACGTCTGTTGGGGTCGTTCTTGTCATATTTAACTCGGTTCTTCGCCGCCTCAGGGATATCTGGCTCACGTGTCACGCCGCCAAGCGGTTGAGCGACGTGTATCCTTCGAAGCAGATCGCCAAGCCGTCCAGTTGGCTCGCCTGCTGAATTTGTTCCTGCTTTCAGCTTCTCGCTATTTCTAACTGCAATGAGCCTATCGCACGCCGCATTTCGGGCTGCCATGACGTTGATCTCGTGTGCGCAGGAAATCTTCAGAAGTTCGGCTTCGCCAGTCTTCAGGATCTCGTGTAGCTTGGTGTCAATTATCTCTTGTAGCACCTCTGGTGCAAGCAGGTCTGTCTTGTTGACGACGATAAACGTCAACTTGTTTGCAAATAGAGGCTTAATATTTTTATACAGCTGAACTTGCGCATCGACTGAGAAACCGCAAGCCTCAGAAAGATCCATGAAATAGAGCACTGCGCTTCGAAGGTGAGCAATGGCGGTAACAGATTGCATCTCAATCGTGTTCATTTCTTCCAAAGCGTGGTCAAGGATTCCGGGTGTGTCAATGGCCTGAAAACGTAGCATCTTGTAGTCGAAGTGTCCGACAAACAAGCTCTTTGTCGTAAAAGCGTACTGGGCCATATTAGTCACACTCTACTCCACATTTCGATGTGCTGCTATATCTAATACGTACTGGCTGAATATCCACATCGGCCCTACTGATTGCTTTCAAAAAAGAACTTTTGCCGACGTTGGGATATCCACAGATAAGCAGCGTTCGCGTGTTAGGATCGATGCTCGGCAATCTGCCCAGATGCTGCCTGACTTGCTCGAGGTAGATAAGTTCGTCCTTCAGCTTTGAAGTTATGGTGGCCATCCGACCAAGTGCCGCTCGTTTCAACTGCTTGCACTGATACAAGCTTTGGCCATACTTAAGCAGACGCACGTGGTCTCTTGCCACTGTCTCAATCAATGTCTTCGCACGAGCAAGTTTTCCGAGAGCGATACGGAAGTGGTCTGCATCGTACAGTGTGTTCATCAAGTCGCGGTGGAAAGGGTGGATATCTGCGAGTTTGGGGAATGATTCAAGGGTGGCTTGAAGTTTCTCTACAAACTGCTCGGATGTGAACTTCACCTTCCGAGTGTAGAAAGCCCTGATACGACTGATTTTGAAGCCGCTTCGTCTGTATGATAAACTGATTAGCGAAAACGAGTAGGATATCCGGATGTTATGAGGCAATTACATCTGTGTGGGAAGACGACGCTGGGTCCTGGAGAGGACAATGTCCAGCAACTCTTGCGAGGTTGGCACCGGCGCGATGTCCTTCCATGTCAGCTTCATATTGACGGCTGTTGGAGAAGGAAAAGGTGCTCGTCTGAAGTTGGTAAGGTTGTCGCCGCCCTCGATAAAAAATTCAAGCCAAGCCAAGATTTTCGACAGGGTTCATGGGAAACGCTTATCGATAAGCCTGCCTGGACCCACCAAGGTTCTGTTATCATTCGTTCTTGATCGACAGCTTGCCAATATTTATCATTAACTATCTTTATCTTCACCGCAAACCAGAGATTTTAAACCACTAATAAATGTTACTAGTAAAGGATTATAATAACTTTTCAACAAGTAGACGGACCAATTAGAAATAACGTACAAGGCATTCGCGGACTCTTATTGCCGAATTATCTTCAATTCGAATCTAAGGCAGAGCACAAAATTAATTACGCCTCGTGGAGATGTATGTCGACTTGTAGTTCTGGCCTTGCATCTTGCTCTACTTTTCTCTTTAGACGCATCCACTTTAAGGTTACAGCATAGCCTTGGGGGCAGTTTTATGAGGCTGGAACGTGCGTGTATTTACATCTCCGCAACATTACACAATTTGGTCTTAGTGGCATATACATGCAGTTCGTCATACTTTACGAAGATTCAAGAACGAAAGATAAATCACGAAGGTTGCAGTCGCGAGCTCCTCAGGCCAAGTTCCGAGACCATTCTCATCATACTTAGAAGAGAAGAGCAGAGCACAAAGTATGAATCCTTAGCTTACAACCTGTTGGGCTTTTTACCTCCTGCAAGATCACCGTTATCATTGATCTCCATTGTGCACAAAATGCAAGTGTCTTTCAAAGCTCCGAGACGATACCTGATTACGCGATTAGCATTACGAACCCACTTCGTGTGAGACGAGGTGAGAGAGAGCCATGGAGCCCTTACTTGTGATTGACTTCTTGATAATCCGAAGAGCCTAACATAGCAGCAAAGTGCTCAATTGATGGATAGTGAGCCAGAGCGATTTCATCCCATCCGTCTCCCTTGCCTTGCCCACCGATGACGTTGCCAACGATTTTAGCATTTCCCTGAAAGTTGGCTTAGTTTCATCTGAAAATAAATGAGATACACACTCACTTACACCGTGTCGAGAGCCTATGCTCTCACCAAAGGCTTTGCCATATTTCAGATAGTCAGACTTCTTGCCTTCGTTGAAAGCCAAAAGGTTAAACATCGAGACTGGATGAGTTCGAACTCTAGCGGGGAGGTCGGATATCCATGTCTCAAGTTCGGGAGACAACTCAAGAGACTGGCTCGAAGATGCAATCTTGCGTCTGGTATTGTCTGGTGGTTTAACGGAGTCGGGATTCAAGAGCCGCTCGTTTTTCTCCGAAAAGTCTTGCAGCAACTTTGATGGCACGCCAGCTACAACTTTCCATGAAGCAGCGATGTGTGCCTCAATAAGAGGGCTGAATTCTGTGTTTCCTGGAAGGACGAGGAAGAGATTCCAATGGATGTTGTGCGCAAGAAGAGGTACAGTCGATATCCGCGACGGCAGAATAATCCATCTGAGGGGCCGACTTTGGACAATGGGCACTATGCCATGGTGCTTGAGTGATGAAATGAATAAAGGAATTGTTGACCTTTCCTTCAAGCTTAAAAGATAAACCTAGCTCCCTAATCAGCTATGTAAACTTCATGTTTTGTTATTGGGCAAGATATTCCAATCAGGAGATCATTCGATATTCCTTATGTATAGAGTAAGGGAAGGCTGGGGTTACTGACGTCACAAGCTGGCATCCTCTGAGCTGATGAAGAGTTGATTTAATATATGCGTGACCTAGCAGCAACAGGATATGGCTGTTGAATACAGGTGTTGGCTTTCCAATGTTAATGAATAGTATGGGGAGACTTTGATTGGTCATAGAAGTAGCTTTAACTTGTGCCTCGGCTAAACCACGATGCTGTGAATGGTGTGGGCTCTAACTTAATCATAGATGATAATTAATAATCGTTCATTTGATATAAGCAAAACGCGTTCGTGTTTTTGATTTGAGTGACAAAGTCATGCGCGCGAATTAGACTCAATCATCTAGAAAAGCTCAGGTAAGATTTCAAAGTGAACAGTCACGTGATTAAAAGTCGCAGCGTGAAACATTCTTTGCTAACGCGGTGTATTTGTATTACGAAGGAGATATTGGAAGCAGCTGATATTTCCCCTCATTTACTTCGGTTATAAAACTTTTTATATAGCATATATCTGATGTTCTAAAATTCTTGAATATCACGAAACTCTCGTCATCATTCCGTCGACAGCCTAGAGCTTACAATAGGTTATCGATGTTATCTTGTTTCTGTACGCATTTTACGTTTGTTCTTCGATTAGTTTTTCCTCACTGTCAGTTTTTTTGGCTCTGTGGTACAATCCCTCGCAGGCTATTCCAGGAGTCCTCGGGTTCCTTGCACCTTTTAGAAGTAATCATCCTGTTAATATGAATGCATAACCAAAGATTTTGGAAAATTTTCCACACGACTATTTTAGTTACCATGTTTGTTTGAGGGATGAGTCACTTACAGCCACGAAATCTTGGCCAGCTCACTCTATGTATTGTTGAACTTTCGACAGTAGTTAAAATTTAGAAACGTGCTCCTTCAGCCATATATGATCTGTGCATGGACATGTTTTCAATGGCAAATATAATAGCTGTCACATCAGAATATGTTCATATTCACATTTCCAAGCCCTCAATTAACCCCGTTTAAGGTTTTTTTTATCGCAACCTCTGTGGCTAGCTGACGAACGGCGAAAGCTTCTGCAGCTGGTTGCGAAATTCCTTCGAGGTTGAGCTATTTCGATTCCGGAGGGCAGAAACAGAGAAGCACCACGTATGAAATCCCAGTATAAATATAGCTCCTCAATTCATTGTTATAGCTAGTGTATAACAGTTGTCATTTGAGTAAGAGGTATGGTCTAGTATTCTGTTTACGTGCCATAACAATATCGATAGCAATATAAACCGAATTCTATGTCTGGAATATTGCATACACTCCCACTGGGCCTGCAAACTGATTGATAGCATTGCAAAGTTGTTGAGCGGATAGATAGATTCCTTTTGTCCTGGTACGGAGTTCGACTTGTATGATTTCAGCAAAATATGAGTACGGTAAGTGAATGAAGTCCAAGAATTTTCGTAAAATCCAAACGAAAAGAAAAGAAGAGGAATGTGAAAGACAAGAGAGCTTTATATGATCTCGACGTAGCCGGCCGAAAATCCCTTCATCAAGGTGTAACTGATTTTCGTGCCCATGTTTTATATTTAAAATATCGGTCGATCACCCTAATGTTCGGATTTATAGCCAGCGTAACAATTCACAATCATGTCTAAACAGCCAGACCAATGCTGATAGATATGAATTGTTAGGGGTATTTAACGCAGACCGATTTGAGCACTGGAACGAGACAGTTGTTAACTTCAACTACTGGCATGAATATGACATGCTTGACCCGATTATTTGAAAATCCTCATCTAGAAAAATGGCTAGTTAGATGAAAGTATGAATGGAGAATGGGATCTCGAGGACTTGTGAAAGAGATGTTGTTGTTCCCCTCTCATTCCTCCAAGGAGGACTCCAGTAGAAAGCTCAGCTTAAAGCAGAAGTGATTGTGTGTGTGTGTGTGTGTGTGTGTGTGTGTGTGTGTGTGTGTGTCATTGAATCCTTAGGGCTCTGTTTCGTAAATCACTAGCTAATTCACTGGCTCAGAATACAAAGGTGTGTTGGCGACATATGGTTGCACGAACCTTGTGAAACAGATCTCGGAAAAGGGAACGGCTTGCAAGCTTTGAAAATCAGAGTTGGCCTGGGAACTGTCTTATATTTCGGATGGATATCGGCGTGTTAGTCAACAATGCTGGCGTTTCCAAACAGGTCAATTACCCTGAATGGAACCAAAGTTACAGTAAAGTTCTGAGGCGGGGGATGAAGATGTTCAATGATCCTAATGCTTGATCAACAGCCGAAAGCGTCGAAAAGACACTATAACAAGGTGTGGAAAAGGAAGTCTGATATCAGAAGTCCGAGAGGTTTTGCCTGGGGAAAAGGAAAGATGATGTCCGTTATAGAAAGTCTGGTAGGTCTATCCTGTCAACGTTTTGATTAGGAGGGAGAAATTGATACCAGGGAACTGAAAGTAAATGGTATCTACCTCACTACATTTGGCTTCATCCCCTAGCTCCACAGAGCCTAGGATTCAAACGGAATCAACATTGCGCCGCTCGGTGCGTTTGCAGCCGAAGAGCCATGGGCTCAATGAGACACGCGATCTCTAATGTTGTTTGCTACATTCAACCCATTCAAGCCCCGTGCAGTATGATGCCATCCAATGAACACGTGCATCAGCGTTGCCGTCCGCGGCATTTTCTCAACGAAATGACTACAACAGACAACATCTGCAATCTAGAATCACTACTCAACAAGTACGAAACGAAAGTTGCCAAGAGATGTACAGCTAGCCATCGGAGGAAGGCAGAAGAGATTTTTGGACTTCGACTCATGTTGGCTTTAAGCGTAGCAGGCTATATGAGTGGAGGCTATATCCTATTAGAAGGGGGCAGGTTCATGGGTGTTTTCATCAATGAAGGTCTTTGGATGCCTGAAGACTCGTGTATAGACTAATGTGTCGAGCTTCAAACTGCTTTACCGAAACGCAGTTTCCGAATTTCTTTTTGTCCTCATGCGATGACATACTCCCGAGAAAGCTAAGAGGACATCATCTGTCAGCAGAAGAAAACAGGAATTCAGAGAGTATTTCTTCTACCTTTGAGGCTTGATTCTCCTACTTCCGATTAAGACGGAGTCGAGACGGTCTCAGCAAAAACTACGTGGTTTGACTCAGGAAACGAACAACTACTTTAAAATTACTCGCTATTCTTGTCGTTGTGAAGAAGTTGCGGCAGGGTATTGGATCTATCTGTTCAATCAACATATTGTATTGATATTGTTCTTCATCTCTGTGTCAACTCTCTGGTAGATTAGATAGTGGTTACTTCTCAGAAGTCTCTAGATTGACAATCCAATTCTCCCAAAATTTTATTCCGTCTACGCCTTGCTCTCGACACAAGTATCCTTTCTCCTCACACATCTCCAACTCCTCCTGGGCAACGCCCACGCTCCACGAGAACCATGTCGCCACCTCCTGCACAGTGACTCCTTTCCCAAACAAGCGCCAATCCCAGTTCGCACCCGCTTCGGAAGGACCTTTATGAAACATCTGCATCCAAGACAAAATACTCTGGATTGTCTTCTCATCTGTACGATCTCGACCTTGTACAACAAGAAGTCCGGATTTGAATCTTCGCAGCCGCACCGGTAAAGAAAGCTTATCCCACATTTCGGCGGCTTTAACGAAATCAGCTGGAGAAACAAGTTCAACACCACCTCGAGCACGGTTGAAAACTGCCCAGAGATCGACGAGCGACATAATGCCTCCCTCGCGTTTGAGTACACCTTTTGCGTCGTCTGTGAGAAACTCAGCAATATTACGAGATAGCTCGGAAATGTAAAGATTATCAGAACCCAATGTATCCTTGGTCGTAGCGATGCCGAGTGCCGATGCTGAATGAGAAAGAATTGCGTTTGCTTCGGAGCTGACCCCGTGGGTATTTCGAGCTTGTGTACTGAAGCGTTCTGCGAGGGCTATGACCTCTTTTGCAGATGTCATTAAGGCCTCGAGATCTTCGAAGGCATTGCCAAGAATCATTTCATTTGTTTGGCGAAGCTGTTGTCCGCGGCGCTCAAGGCCTGCCAAGCCGACGAGATTGTCACTCGGACGACGTGTGAGGGTATTATGAGGGGATGATGGGCGCTGCTGTGGATGCGGGATGGGCGGTGCGCTCATGAGAAGCCATTTTCTCTGCACTAAAGCATGTTTCAGCTTCTTGTAGAACTCCTCTTCTTTGCCGTTGTTCGAACGAAAAGACAATTTAATACTCGGCATATCCTCTCCTATGTTGAGATTCTGCAGGGTCGGCGCTGGGGATTCAGAACGCAGGGGTGTCTCTAGATCTAGTCGCTTATTCGCAGCTGCAGGGAGATTGGCGCTACAAATCTCACATACAAGCAGTGCAGCGTCATTTTCGAACGTGCATCGTGGACAGGCAACCTTATTTAGCTTGCTGCTAGACGGTTCTAACATAGGGCTCGTGGTTGCCGCTTGTCTGTGCGACATCTGGGTCAGGGCAGCTTTGACTACATGTGCCACTGATGGTTTCACTCCACAAGCCAGACATGGCGGTATGTTTGTGTGCACGTTTGCGGTCGCAGGATCGAAGTTGATTGGAATTGGATTCGAGAAGCCGTCGATAGGGCAGATCCAGGTGGCATTTGAGTTGAGAGCTGGGGCTGGAACCAGCGACAAAGCCGGAGATCCTTGCCTAGCTGGTGAGGCAGCGGGAGTCCGGGGCGAGTTGTTTGAAGGTAATGTGGTAGTTTTGGAAGCTTTGGAGTAAAGCGTGACTTTGGGCGAAGATTTAAAAAACCCGCCCTAATCGGTTGTTAACACTGCAACAGACACTGCACATGTGCTTAGTCTTACGTAGTACTCCACAGTGTCGACATCTTTCAGGTCCACGGACACCGAATACTTTCTGGGCTCGTTGTTGTCGACATAGCATATTCGGTGGGAAGTCAAATATGCTCTCCCATTCTGATACTGTGGTATCTTATACTTTCTGCGAGCAGTCGATCAGCACTTTATGTTTAAGAGACTCACGCAAAAAATGCAAGCACGTACCCATCATACAATCCTACGGAGTCTTGGACGTCTAAGAATGTCTCATCTTGGAGGGGCAGTGGCTGGAAAGCAGTGGTCAGGTCGATTCGGCGGAGCAACATTCAGGACATGCAACGAAGGTGTCATATGACACAGCATTGTTTGGCACGATGCGATGGGTTTTCCTCAGTAATGTCTTATCAGCATTGTGAAGCTGCCTGTCAAGTGTACGGAGGCTGACTTAACGTCGCCTCTGATACATCGATGGCGACTAGACGGCCGAAATCGGAAACGCCATCAGATTAGTGACTCACGTGAGATGCCAGCTTGGCACTTGGCCCGTGTGACGGCGTGGGACTTCGCTTCAAGTCACAAACCTCACCGCATCCGCAACCACACACTTTTTCCCACACATTCCCTCCCCGTACCTGACCTTTCATCGTCGGCTAACCACAGGAACGTTTTTGGCATTTATCTCATAGAATTCTTGTGCTTCCTTTCTTTTCAGTGCCCCTTTGGCGCTAACCCATAAAGCATGGCTGGTACGACCTTCTGTCCGACCCGTCTCCTTCCATCGCAAGACACTGACCGCTGTCCAGCAACCACAGCATATACATCCGTTGCAGCAAGACGGGCGTTCAATCGCCCTGACGGCTCATCCAACGGCTCGTACTCACCATCCTCTTCTCTGTCCTCACACACCGTGCACCCGTCAACACCTCCACCACCTGCACCAGTAGTGAAAAAAGTAGAATGGCCCCAGCCAGTTCGTGACTACGTTTTTCGATCATTTCAACCCGAGAACTTGATTGCAGATATCAGTAATGATGATATGCAAGCAATGCTGAAGAAGACGTTGTCAGCTGCTGCCGAGAACGGTCAACTGGACACCATTGACTGGGCTACTCTTCCTTTACCGCAACAACTAATACAGCAAGAACGGGCTATCGCATCCTGGAACACCCAGTCCTACGAGAATAATGGCTGGAACGCAGTAGAACAGCCGGACTCTGGCTCCAAAAAACGCAAATATGGCAACGACGTTACAGATGACGCATCAATACCTCCTTGGGAAAGAGATGATTCTAACGGTTTTGGTGACCGCGTTACATATGCCAGCAAGGGCCAGCAGTCCAAGATAGAGAAACGCATAAAAAAACAGCAGGATGCACTCGGCAAAGGCACAAGTAAGTTCCAAGCCCAAGCTGAGAAGCGCAAGCAGCGGTTTGGCGCACATTTAGAAGACACCCCACCTTGGAATGCTCGACGCGAGGTTACGCCTCCTCATGATCTAAACTCTGGCCCAGTCATTGGGACATGTCAGCGGCTAGAGAAGCAATACTTCCGTCTAAATGGAGCTCCCAAGCCCGAGGAGGTCCGACCCCTCGATGTCCTGGAGAAGGCCTTCGACCACATCAAAAAAAAGTGGACGCAGGATGGCAACTACGTATATACTTGTGATCAATTCAAATCTATGAGACAAGATCTAACCGTACAGCATATCAAGAATGAGTTTACCGTCAAGGTATATGAGCTTCATGCTCGTATAGCGCTTGAGATGGGCGATTTGGGTGAGTATAACCAATGTCAAACGCAACTTCGAGCTCTGTACTCGCTCAAGCTTGGGGGACACCCGGCCGAATTTTTGGCATACCGCATTCTCTACTTCGTACATACGTGCAACCGCATTGCCCTCAATGACATCCTTGCCGAGATTACACCAGAGCTGCGTCAGGAAGAGTGTGTCAAGCACGCTCTTGCTGTTCGCTCAGCACAAGCATCGGGCAATTACCATAAGTTACTAGCTCACCTCTACCAAAGTGTACCTAATATGGGGGCATATCTGATGGACATGTTCGTTCCGCGCGAAAGAATCGCTGCTCTGGCAACCATATGTAAAGCGTACGTCTTACTCCCAACATTTATAGTCGTCGAACATAAACTAATTCCAAAAAGATATAAGCCTAACGTAAGCATTCAATTCCTTGCAGAGGAACTAGGCTTCGACACCTACGAAGCGACGATTGAATTTCTAGATAATGCGGGCGCGGGCCAAGCCGGTGCTTTGGTACGACCTGTTCAACCTTTAGACGAAAAAGAGCTTGGCCAATGGAAGCTGGACACCGGAAAGGCTCTACCGTTGTTTCAAGCCGCCAGAGCTAGTGCTTTCAAGAGCGTGGATATCAAGGGCCAGATATGAAATCATGCCATCGTCATCCCTCCCAAAGAGCATGTCCAAAGCACGTTCTTCGAACGCCTGGATCAAACCTGCTCTTATGCTTGGCAAGAGGCTCACAGAGACCCTACACTATTAAAGTGACAAACGTGTCACGTCACGCCGCGTAGACGGCAATTCGACCGAGCCTCCACCAGATCTTGGGAACGCGGTTGATTGGAGAGCGACGGTTCATCATCAATCATCCCCTGAGAGGACGATGTGACAAACGTGACTGCAAGTGGTTGCAATCTGCCGTTTGCATTCTTAAGCCCTTGGCAGGCTTGCAAGATGCCACTGCAAGTTCTGACGCAACTCTAGCACTGTGCCCTCGAATAGCTTCTTGATTATTCTTTCATTTTCTCTGAGTTCCTTGACTTGATTCGCGACCTACAGTGAGGCCATTTTCGACCCGAGAGTATTCCGCACGCGAAAGTTGATTGCACGGACGGAGGAGGAATGAGGCACATATGCACGACACGACGCTGCGACTGCACACGCTTTGTGCATATTCCAAAGAATGGATCCGAAGGAAAGAAGTCTGTCACGCATGGCCCTTTTTTCGTATTCCGCGATTTCACTCAAGATATGGTCATGGCTCGCAACTACTGGTACTAACCCTATGCGCGCGCTCCGAACTTGCCTCGCAAATTTTGCTGATCCGATTTTCACCGATTCACATAAAGTCACCTGTTACATTGCACATGATGTTCAACAGTCATACAGTAAGCACAGCAGAGACGAACGGCGTTTTATTCTTCTCTTTGCAGCGATACTACTTTATTTTCAGCTTGCAAGATGCCATAGCTATGAGGAGTGTTCTCTTCAAGACACAGGAATTTGGAGCATAGTCTGCCACGGCTTCAACGAACCCTGGGACGGGTAGCGACGTCAAGGGGACCCCGTATGGATCGCGACGCCTACACTGCGAAAGCAGTGGGTGTCCATCTTACGCTTTTGTGCTCTTCCTGTCGTGGACGAGACACCCGCAGAGTTCAGAGCAAAGAAGGATAAGCATGTGAGGGAGGGCAGACAAAGTCACGAACGTTGGCTTTTGTTTTTTCTCTTTCTCTCGTAGCTTAGGTGGCCAAGAGAGTGCAAAACGACATCAGCACAAATGACTCGGGAAAGAGATACGGCAAGAGGATTCGTGCGTGACGGGCCCTTTAGTTGATGAGGCGGACCGCTCCCACGTGCCAGGCAGGATGATGATGTGATGTGTGTGGAGTATATAAAACTATGCAACCAAATTCAAAACTGGCCATTCGGATTACGCCGTCTTGACGTCCCGGGATGCTTTTGTTTTTCTTTTTTCTTTTTCTTTTTTTTACTAGCACGCTCTGATCACAAATAATGAAGTCAACAGGGACGTCTTGAGATGTCAGAAGCTGAAGAGCTGAACGAAAGCTTGGTCGGATCGCGTATGGGAGAAACGCAGGTATTTGCGACAGGAGTGACAAGGGCGACAAGTCACAACCAAATGAGGGACATTCTATCAGAGAGAGCGTATGAGGCGGCAGGAGGGGAAGGGGGAAGGGCAAAGGAGGGGGGGGGGGTTTCCAATGGCGAGAAGACGCGGGGAAGGTCATGTGAGCGTCTCTTTGCGTGAGAGATAGATGAGATGGATGCAATAAAGACGGCGACGAGAGTAGGACGGGCGAATGGGGGGGGCGCTGGGTAAAGGGCGACGAATCTTCCTGGGCACAGTCGAGCAGGTGAGCAGGACAGCTTTCTTTTTTTTTCTTTTTTTTCTTTTTTTTCTCCCTTGGCCTGTTTGTTTTTTGCCGTTTTCCTGCTTTCCGGTCGCGTTAGCACGGCCGTCTGATTGAATGAATGATTTTGATGGATGGGGGGATGGACGGATGGTTGGTTGGTCCGTTTGTCGGATGGAACGAGGGAGCCTGGCAATCAGATCGGGGTGCATGAATTTGTGCATTTTGCATGAAGGAAACCGGACGACAAAGAGCGGCCCCGTTCGTGGAGCGTGTTTGCCTCGATGCTTCTGGAACAGAGCCAAGGCCGGGATGCGTGCGTCAGAAGGAAACGCTGGTGAGCCCGGCACTTGGGCGAGCCGCGGGTCCGCTTGGTTTACGATGCGGCAGGACTTTGTTAAGGGGAGCGAAAGGGTTACGTTGTCGGGCTACCGATGATGGGGGAGCGAGGCCCGAAAAGCGACGACGTCCAGGCTTGGAGCTGTTCGCGAAGTCGGGCCACGACTCGCACGCACGCTCTCCGCCCTCTCGGGTTCTTCTTCTTTCTGCCCGTCCGCCTCGCTTCTTCGCACGCCTTCGTGCGCCCGCATAGACCACGCAGGACTCTCGTACGGGTCAGATCAGCAGCACGGGCATCGCGTGGTCTGGCGGGGCGCCCGTCGGCTTTGCGATCCGGCGATCGGCCTCGTAAAGGTGCTCACAGAAGGTTCGAGTTTGACCAGCGTTCGGGCAAGCTCTCTCAGCGTGCATGAGCGTAAGGCGGCCTGGGTGGAGGTCTGGCAGGGCTCGACAGGGCAGAGCAGGGATCAGCTTTCTGTGCTTCGTCCTCTGCTGCTTTTGTTCGCCTGTCTCGTGCCTCTGAAGGTACTTGTTTTTGATACTCTTCTTGCCTTGACTCGGTGTCTGCGGCCACGTGTGACGAGGCGATGGCCCGCTGCTTCGGCATGTGCCACGCATTGTCAACTTTGCCGTGGCCCCATCGCTTTCTGACCTCAGCTGCTTTGGCAGCGCATGCATGCATGGATTTTGCGTGTACGCGAACATGCGAACATGCGTGTGTGCGTGTGTGGCGTCAGTGTCTTGTTTTTTTTTTCTTTTTTTTTCACGAGAACCAAAGTGGTGTCCGTTTTGTCGCACAGTGCCGTTCCGTTACCGAGCCAAACGTAGCCCATTCGGCCCAGCCAGAACGGCCACGAGGAAGAGTACCCCAGTCCAAGAGAGGAGGAGAAAGGGTAGGAAGAGACAAGGGAAAAGAAAAGAAAAGAAAAGAATAGAAAAGAATAGAAAAATGATGCCGAGCCGGTGCGCGCGTGGACCAAAAAAAATGCATCCGACAAAACAAGATCTGGGATTCGTTATCTTAGTGGGTAGACGGGAGGATAAATGGCGGCGTAGCTTGCCAATGGCACGCCGAAGAAATGGGGGCGAGTCACTTTTTTGTGGCCCCGTTCGCCTGTATGCGTGTTCGATGGACAGCCGTGGAATCAGTCGTGGTGGTGGTAGTGCTAGTGGTGGTGGGCCATGGCGAAGACATGGACGGGCTGCCAATCGTAGCGCTGACCTGCAGGGCGGCAATCTCCCGAGGACGCCCAAAAGCGATGCGGATGGAAAGGGGAGGCCACGAGCAAAGATGGAAGCGCCAAGGCGTTCCTTTGCATTATTCTTCTTGTCTTTGCGCGCCAGACAACAGAGGCTCCTCCTGCTCCCAAGCGCACTGGGCTCAGGCGCGGGAAGGGGGAGCAGCGTGTTGGGTACGAGGGTCGGCTGGGCAGGGGAAAAGAGAGCAAAGAAGGGCACAGCACAACCGTAACGTGGGACCGAAGGGGACCAAGCAACGGTAGCGTAAGGGGAAAATGGCCACGAGGAGGCGAGCAAGAATGGTTCTGGGAGCGAAGGACGGCTGTCAGACCAGCTGGGCGGGAGCCCGTAGAAGGACGTACAGCGACTGTTGGGTGTCCGGTACGGGACGCGGCGAACGAACACAGCACACGCGGCCAAGGCCCGACGAGGCACGCAAGTGAATCGTGAGCAGCATATGTGTGTGCATGTGCACGAAGATGTACGTGTGAATAACGGGGTATGCGAGTCCCGAGCTGGGAGCGAGCAGCAGCGGCCGCAGCGAGCGAAGACAGGACCAAGTCCAGCAACGTCCGCAGCGGCACAGCGTGGCCAAGGAACGAACGCTGTTCTCCCTCCTCGCGCTGGTCGCCTTCTCTTCGTGCTGCGTACGGAGCGTGTGTTGGAAACGCATGTGGAGAGCTTCCGCGTCGCGGTCTCGCTGTCTCGCGGTCTCGCGGTCTCGCGCTCTCAGCTGCTGGCTCCCGCCCGTCCTGCTCCGTCTCTTTTGGCCCTGCAGCAGACAGAGCGCGCGATTCGTTTAGCCGATCTGGCCTCGACTGTTCGTCCCGAGCGGGTGTTCCAAACGCATCGTCGCCGCGACCCAGGCGTGGTGCTGCTCAGCGGGGGCTCTGACTGGGCCCCGCGCCGGTGGAAAGCGCGAACGTCGACTGCTGGGGCGCTGCTGGCCTGGCTAAGGGGGGAACGAGCGGGTCCGAGCAGTCGGATAGCAGGGGCGACCCTGTGTTTGGGGGGAGCACGGAAGGCGCTGCTCGGGGGTTTTACCGCGTTTCCTGGCGCACTAGCCCGCACTACCTTGGGGGCAGGAGCAACCGTCGCAGTCACCACGACCGCGGCATCCCACTGCAACCACCACGACCGCGACGACTCTGCGGCCGCCGGTGCTGATGTCGGGGAGCGCTGCGGCGCCGCTCTCCAGTGCCCTCTCGACGAGGCTCCTGCTTACTCTACGCTGCTCTCGCCGATCCAGGGCCCGTATGCCGTCTGCGCGACAGTGGGAAGACGTGGGAAGGGGGGGAGAACGAAAAGAAAGCAGATGGGACGAGAACGTAACCAATGACGACAGCCCCCAGTGACAGGTCAAGCGCGACGGCCTTGTCCAGCCAGTTCCTGATGCGCCCGAAACGGCCGCCGTTCACGCGCCGTCGCTCAGCGCAGCCTCTGCGCTCGGCTCGTTGCTGCTGTGCTCTGCGGTGCTCTGCTCTGTCTCTCCTCTGCTCTGCTCTCCTCTGCTCTGTTCGTCTGTGTTCTGTTCGGTTCTCCTCCGCGGCGACAGCGAGCACCAGTCCCGCTCCGGCGTCGTTCTGTCCGCGTCGCCCTGTGCGTGCGCGTACGTTCCCGTCCCAGCCCAGCCTACCGGAGCCCTTTCGAGGCTCCCTCGTTCTCAGGTCCTTTTTTTCGCTTTCGCCGTCCGTCGGCCGCACCCACGAACAGCCCGCTGTCCTTGTTCCTGTCCCGTCCCGCCGTGGTCTCCACTGCCGCTCGCCTTGCCCTCTGCCCGACGCCGGCCACCTGGACCTGGGCAGCCGTGCAAGGGCGGCCGAGTTTCATCTTCGCCCAACGTTGCTCCTCCACGCTCCACTCACCACCCACCCGTCGTCTTCAGCACTGCTTCTGGGCTGCTGGCGTGTCTGGTCTGTCCAAGCCCGCAGCGTCTCCCTGCCTGTGCACGTCTGCCTGCGTCCCTCCGTGCCTACGTGCCCCCTCCGCCCGTCCATCCATCCCACTCGTACGTACAGACACACTCTCCCTCGCGCACGAAATCACGTTCAACCACACGCACATACACTCCGAGGGCCACACATACGCACATACATCCACGCACCCGTACACGAACACATACGGATACACGCGCGCACATCCACGCCCACGCCCACGGGCTCCACCCCTTCACATCGCCGCCATTTGCACCGCCTTGCTCTGTGTGCGTGTGTGTCTGTGTGGGCGCGCGCGCGTGTGTGTCTTGTCCGTGTGTGTGTGCGGTCAGTGGATGTTTGCGTGTTCCGCTGTGTGGCTTCGCAAAGCCGTCACCGTTCTTACGTCCTCGTCGCCGTCCTCTTCCCTTTTTTTTTCTGGTCCTTTTTTCAACCCAGCCTGACCCCAGCTGCTGCTGCTGCGGCCCTGCGTCAGATACCCGTCCGCTTGCGGTATATTCCCGACCTTGAATCTCCCGACACCACCGTTACTCTCGCCCACCAGTCTCCCCCCCCCCCCGCGACCGATTCATCTACTTGCTACAGCAACGGCACCGCTGACCACCGACAAAAATCCTCCCCGCAACCAAGTCCTACGCGCCGTCTGCTCGCTGCCCCTTCGACTCCTGCCCGAAGACGCTTCTGTTATACCCGGCCGTAGGCCTGCCTGACACCGTTGCACACCCGCACGCTGCCGTCGCCGCGACCACTGCGCTGACCATCCGCTCACACCTTCTCTTCATACACGCGCATTCATCGGGAAAGAGGACAGCAGACAGACTGGAAACCCGCGCAAGCTCTCTTTCTTTCTTCCTTTCTTCCTTCTGCCTCTGAAGTTTGCACCAGCTCTCCCCCCTTACTTCGTCACACGCACGCTCTTTCTGCCCCTCTCTTTGTGTCTGTCTGCCTGTGTGTGACTGTGTGTGCGCGCGTTCGTCCGTCCGTGTCTGCAGGGAGGACATCCAGCTTCCGGACCTGCGCCGGCAACCAGCGCGCCGCAACCACTGATCCAAACGTGCCTACAACCGCTCTCACTGCGCGGACATCCACGGCCAAATCAGTTACTTCGTAACCATGGTCAAGGTATGCGAATGCACATCCATGCAATGCGCGTCCCTCTGTTTTCTCTGGCTTCGTTGCCCGGCATACGTCGCCAGTCGACTTGCAGACAGCTTTGCATATTTCCCTGCTCTTGTACTGACCTCCATCTTAGTTTCGCATGTCTATGAAGGGTGAAAGGGGGGATGCAAAACCACATCACATATCAATACCGCAGAAAGATGCCATTGCCATCGTGCCTCCAAAGAAGGTACGCGTGCTCCTTGTCTAAAAGTTCCTTCTCTTTTTCTTTCTTTATTTTTTTTCCCATCTTTCATTTCTTCATTTCTACTCTTCTTGCCTGTTCGCTCCCTCGCTCCTCTTTTGTTCACGCGGTTCCGTGAGTCACTGCACTTCATCGCGCAACAGGCTCTTGGCGGTACGCGCTGCACAGGCTCATGCGCGCGCCAGCCGCACTTGTATAGAAACTCCAACCCCTCACTCGTCTTGTTTCAGAGCGTGCGATACTGACAGTTTCCCCCACGAGCAGGTCATCAAAGCCATCGCGGATCTACCACCAGAGAAGGCGTTCGGGCCTGGCTACCTCACATTCTCTGCCGGCGACTTCCTCCACGTCGTCGGGCGCGAGAACGATACGGAGTGGTACGAGGCATGCAATCCGCTGCAAGGCGCGCGCGGTCTTGTTCCTGTAAAATTCTTTGAGACGGTAGGCAAGCAGGCACGTAATAGCGCTGGTTCGACGGGGAGCGGCGGGTACGCACCCGTCCAAGGCAGCGCTCCTCACGACTCAGGCTACGCAACCGGCAACGGCACCGGTGTCGGTGGCGCGCAGAGGATGTCGGCCGGCAGCTCGCAGCGCCCTCAACAAGGGGCTGGCAGAGGTGCTTCTGTGTATGGCATCGTCATGTACGACTTCAAGGCCGAGCGGCCGGACGAGCTTGAGGCCAAGGAGGGCGAGGCCATCATCGTCATCGCCCAGTCTAATCCCGAGTGGTTTGTCGCGAAACCCATCACGCGCCTAGGTGGACCGGGCTTGATTCCCGTCTCCTTCATCGAAATCCGCGACATGGCCACGGGACTGCCCGCCGCGGACCCCCTCGAGGCCGTCAGGAGGGCTGGTGTGCCCAAGGTCGAGGAGTGGAAGAAGATGGCCGCTGAATATAAGGAACGAAGCATCCCGCTTGGCCAGTTCTCGGCTGGCGACCTCAGCGGTGGCCAGCAGGCTCTACAGCAGGGCATGGCGCGGATGAGCCTGAACAACCAATCGCAGAATCCGTAAGTCCTTTTTCTGCCACGCATTGCTTTCAAGTGTCTCTGCAAAGTAATTTGTAATTTTCTTCTTAATTCTTTTTTTTTTCTTTTGAGCATCTTCCTTTAGCCGGAAAAGACTGGTTGTTTAAACTTTGTTTTTACGAGAGTTTTTTTCTGGCGCTGACCCAAAGCAAACAGCTACGGACAGCTCCAACAAGGAAATCCCTACCAACAGCGAGGCTACCCGAATGGCCAGAACGGAGCTCGCCAGCCGCAGCCCGTCATGCTCGCGCCCGTCAAAGCCTCCGTTCCACGCTATTGCTTTGCTGACGACACCTTTTGGTTCATCGTTGAATGCCAGATGGAGGATGGCAGACACTGGGAGCTGCAGCGTCTGTATCAAGACTTCTACGACCTGCAGATCAATCTGATTCAGGAACACCCGCTGGAGGCTGGAAACGTCAAGGGCCACGAACGCACCTTACCGTACATGCCGGGCCCGGTCACTTACGTCACGGACAACATCTCGAACGGCAGACGGGCCAACCTGGACGAGTACATTCGCAACTTGCTCAAACTAGGACCTCACATCACGCGGAGCAACCTGGTCCGCGTCTTTTTTGCGCCACGCGAGGGCGACTACGAGATTGACCCTAATGTGGCCACGGACGACTACAGACTTAGCTCGGCCTCGCAAGATTCACCCGCAAACCCATCCAACGCGGCGAGTCCGCAGAGCTCGGCCGGAAACCTCTCGCAGCAAGGCTACAGCGCTGCCGTCTCCGGACGTCCGGGGACCGCGACGGGACATAACCCGCAAGGCCAGTTCCAACACTCGCGCACTCCGTCACAAGCCACGACGACAACCAATCGCGCGCCCGGCGCCCCGCTCAAGATCAAGGTATGGTTTGAGCCAGACAACTGTGTTGTCATCCGCATGCCGGCACAGTTCTCGTACAAGGACCTGTATCGCAAGTTGAAGGAGCGAAGAGCGCTCGAGCGCATCGACGGCGAGGAAGATGACGCGGAGCTTGAGGTATGCTACCGAGACGAGGCCGAAGGCAGACTATACCCAATCAGGGGAGACGAAGACCTTCGCGTCGGTATGGAGCGAAATCCGGAGAGGTTCACGCTCAGCGTGAGGGCGCAGAGTTGAGGAGCCTATTAAACCACCGCCTTTCACCTTGCTTTCATTGATTGCGCAACCCGAATTCGCACCCATAGGCACCCACGTGCCATTACTTTTTCTTCTACGGCCTTTGCCTGTCCCTTTTTTTTTGGTCAATCTTCTAAAACGTTCGGCTCACTTTTTTTTTTCATTCTTCTGCACGGGGGTTGTACGGCGCGTCGGCGTTTGCGAGGTGAAGGGATAGGTGATTTCTCGGAAAAATAAGAGGGGGGGCCAACAGGCGACGGACGAATCTGGGAGCTATGCATTTTCTTGCGAAATGGGACGAAATGGATTGCTTTGACGACGATAGTACCACGCTTACCGCAACTGGACAGATATACACTTATGCATGTATGAAGAGGGAAGCAATTTCCCCTTCCGGTATCTTTTCTTTTTTTTTTTCTTTTACTTTTTGCGATGATGGAATGGAATGCGAATGTGTCTTGGGGACAGAACAGATGCTTTGGAGTATACCTCTTTGATCATAGCTTTTTGATAGCATCATCCCTATCATTCTTTTTTTTTCACTCGATTCAAGACTGAGTCCTATGCTTCATGAACGGCTACTTTCATTTGCATTCTACTATTCGGTTACATGAGAATTTCCCTTTTTTTTTCCTTCTTCTTCTTCTTCTTCTTCTTCTTCTTCTTCTTCTTCTTCTTCTTCTTCTTCTTCTTCTTCTTCTTTTGTCTGAGCACGTCAGCAGTCTGTTCTAGCCGTAGGAAAACAAAAAGAAAAAAAAGGAGCCGTCATGTCGCACTCCCTCCAGGATATGAGTCACTTCTGGCGAGACCCAAAAAAGTTGACGCCTCGTCCGCGTCACTGTCGACATGACACACCAGACAAAAAAAAACTTTCGAACGCGTAGCCGGGCTAGCAGATGCGTTGGGCAGCGGCCCGACCGGACCCCCCCTTCTTTTTTTGTTGCGTGCTCAGGCAAAGCTTCCACGCAGGCCAGGCTAGGAGGCGCTGATGAGGCCTCTGTCCGGCGAGATGCACTGGCCGTTGACCAGCGAGGCCTGGTCGCTCGAGAGGTAGAGGACCAGCTTCGCCACGTCCGGCAGCATCACCACGGACTCGGGCGACGTCACCTTCGGGTTCAGGTCCCGGCTGGTCCGGATGCCCTCCTCGTGGAAGGGCGGCAGGCCCTCCGAGATGCCCGTCGGCATGCCCGGCGGCTGGATCAGGTTGCACCGCACGCCCTTTGCGCCGTAGAAGGCCGCCGTGCTCTTGGTCAGCCCGACGAGCGCGTGCTTGGACGCCGTGTACGCCGCGCCGGCGACCCAGCCTTTGAAGCTGGCCAGGGAGCCCACGTTGACGATCGCCGCCGCCGCCGCCGCCGTCTGCCCGAGCACGTGCCGGATGAAGTGCTTGGTCACCAGCATGGTGCCCGTCACGTTGACCGCCATGACGCGGTCCCACTGCGCTTTGTCCTGTTCGCCCACCGGTGCTGTACGCAAGTCAGCCTGAGTGTGTTTGCACTACCACTCTCCGCATTCAAACCCCGTCCGTCTTGCCGCCTCTTCGCTCCTCTCCCCGTCTCTCCGATATCTTGTTCCGTTCGACTTGGAAAAAAAAAAATAAAAGTGATACGTACTGAACGTGTCCATGATCCCCGCGTTGTTGACCAGCACGTCGATCTTCCCGAACGCGTCCACCGCGGCGCTCATCAGGGCCTCGACCGACGCCTCGTCCGTCGTGTCGACCTTGTGGGCGAAGACGGCGCCCTTGCCGGACAGCTCCGCTTCGGCCTCCTTGAGCCGGCCCTCGTTGATGTCGCATAGCACCACCTTGGCGCCGGCCTCGAGGAATGCGAGGGCGACGCCCTTGCCCAGCCCGTTCGCCGAGCCGGTGACGAGCGCCACCTTGCCTTCAAAGCTCGTCATTTTTTTTCGATCTGGTTTTTTTTTTCAGTCTGTCTTTTTTGGTCTGTTTTGAGTTGTTTTATCTCTTCTTTTCTTTTTGGAAAACCACAAGACGCTGGTATTTGAGCTTCAGACAGGCAAAGGAAACAGGTGAGGGATGGCAGAGGCAGAGACGTTGACGCCGGCTTGATTGCGGACTGCTCTTGTTTGAGAAAATGTGCTTGCTCCACCAAACTCACTTACCCCGCCCGCCATGGCCACGTCTGCCCACGCAGCGTTTAGCACGTTTCTTTGTTCCTTTCTTGACGTCGTCTCTTTTGACCCCCGTCCCTACCCCTACCCCCGTCGCATCCGTCCGCACGAAAGAAAAGTCGACCGCCGCGCGCCGCTCAAAACTTGGGCTTGGGACATGCGTTCGCGCCTATGGAGGAAGTATGTGGGGGGGAAGGGGGAAAGGAAGAAAATAAATTGTTTTATTTCTCGGAGGGTAAAAAAAAAATCAGCTTCAGATGTGTCGCTGCTGTCAACCCCGAACCGACAGCGTCCGTTAGGGCGGATGAGGGGGTCAAAAGGGCGGGTAACCCCTGTCGCTTAAACCAGCACGCACAAGGACAAAGAAAATAAAAACAGAGTGAACAAAGAAAATCTGCAGCTGAACCGACTGGAGGCGAGAGATTGGCAAAACAAAGGTGATATATCGGCCCCTTCTGCATATATTCACAGGGAAAGCGGAAAAAGAAATTAAGTAGACAAAAACCGTTTTACTTGTCGCTCTTGTTTTCGGCAGTGTGTAAGATTGTCAGCGAAGACGAAGAAGGCGCAGGGAAAGGCAGCATGCATTTCGATCTCGCAAGTGCCGCAGCTACGCACGCTTTGCTGTTGGCACTCCCCCACGTGCTCGAACCTCCTTCTGAGTGATCCTGCCGTTGGCGACGCTAATCGGCCTTTTGCACAGATGTAGGCTGGCGAAATGCGGTGGGCTGGATCTGCTGTTATCCTCATGTCGGCCTGCAGGGCGCAGTGAGTGGACGTGCTCTCGCTCGCGAAACCTTTGCAGAACAGTAGACCAGTGGCATTGACTGCAGCCACGGGGTCTTGGTTGGTCCTGCCTTTTTTTTTTTTTTTTTTTTTTT